CACCAAGAAGAACCTGAGCCGACGCCAAGCGCGATGGATGGAGTTCCTCGCCGAGTACAACTACGAGGTTGTATACCAGAAAGGCAAACTCAATGTGGTGCCTGACGCACTGTCCCGACGCCCCGACTACCAATTGGCGTCACTGTACGAGTCGACTGTCAGTGTCGACAACACGATGCTGGATGTTGTCCGAGACAACATCGCCAACGACAAACAGTTCGGAGAACTGTTCCGAAAGGTGTCTAAGCTCCCCAAGGACGACGAATCATCCGAGTACACAGTGCGTGATGGCCTGCTCCTCCTGAAGAAGGACAGCCGTGTCTGTGTGCCGGACATTCCGTCGTTGAAGACCAAGTTGCTCCAAGAGGTCCACGACTCGCCCCTCGCTGGACACTTTGGAGTCGAGAAGACATACGACCGACTGGCCAAAGTCGCATACTGGCCTGGAATGAAGCGCACCGTCGAGAAGTACATCGAGTCCTGCCATACCTGCAAGATGGTCAAGTCACGCACGACCCGAGAGCAAGGATTGCTGCAACCCCTGCCTGTTCCCGACCGCCCCTGGACCAGCATGTCCATGGATCTCATCACGCATCTACCGACGACCAAGTTGGACCACGATGCAATCGCTGTCTTTGTCGACAGGTTCAGCAAGATGGCACACTTTGTGCCGTGCCAGACGACATGCTCCGCGCCTGACCTTGCACTGCTGTTCTTCAAGCATGTGTTCAAGCACCACGGCCTCCCAAAGTCCATCGTCAGTGATCGAGACCCCCGATTCACCTCCTTGTTTTGGACAAGTCTGTTCGACCATCTCGGCACCAAGCTGAACATGTCAACCTCGCACCACCAACAAACGGATGGACAGTCCGAGCGGACGATCCGCACCCTCGAGCAATACCTGAGGACATACGCCTCGACCAGCCAAGACGACTGGGACATACAGCTGAGTCATGCAGAGTTTGCATACAACACCGCCAAGTCGAGCACAACTGGCTTGAGCCCCTTTGAGGCGCTCTACGGATTCCAGCCTGATGTTCCCACCTCCTTGACACTGACCGAGTCCACGGCTGGATTGCCTCCCAAACCAAGTGCCTTTGTCAAAGATCATCAAGTCCGACACAAGATGATCGCCGACGCGCTCACGGATGCGCAACAAGTGATGGCGAAGTACTACGACCGCCGACACCAGGATGTCTCCTTTGAAGTTGGAGACCTTGTCTACCTGGACGCCGACAACATCAAGGTCCCCGAAGCCCAGTCAAAGAAGTTGTTGCCCAAGTACCGAGGACCGTTCAAGATAGCGGCCCGACCCAGTCCCCTCAACTACCTGTTGGACTTGCCACCTGGAAGCAAGCTCCATCCTGTCTTCCATGTGTCCAAGCTGCGTCGCCACACGACCCGCAGTCCAGCACAGTTCCCCGACGCCGACGAAGGTGTCCCGGACGACGCACCACTGGAAGACGACCTCGGACAATACTATACTCAAGAATATGAAGTCGAAAGGATCGTGAGGCACAAGAAAGTGGCTGATGGGTCACTTCGGTTTTATGTCAAGTGGGTTGGTTACCCACACTCGGGCAACACATGGCAAACACTGGAGGACTTGTCCCATGCACCCGAGGAGCTGAGTAAATACGGTAAACACCTCGAGGAGCCCCAAATAAAGAGCACACGCAGGGCTCCTCGCAGGAAGCCTTCTTAAGTGTGGGAGTGTAGGAGATGGTATCTCCGACGCTGTGCTGCGCGTACTGCGCGTACTGCGCGGCGCAGTGGGTCGTGACCTGTGCTGCGCTTTGCGTTTTCACGCACCGCAGGCAGGCCACCGCAGGGTATACCTGCGGGTTGCCCCCGTTCCCCCCGTTTGTCTGGAGTTCGGTTTTATCGTGAATAAACGTAAGTGCTCCCCGAGCTCACCCGTCCGCTAGAGTAGCCTAGCACCGCCCTGTTCTGCCCCGTCCTGTCTTGTCTTGTACCCCCTCCCTCCCCGTCTTGCCCCAACGTCCCAGTAGTGGACGTTACACTGTCTTCCATGTGTCCAAGCTGCGTCGCCACACGACCCGCAGTCCAGCACAGTTCCCCGACGCCGACGAAGGTGTCCCGGACGACGCACCACTGGAAGACGACCTCGGACAATACTATACTCAAGAATATGAAGTCGAAAGGATCGTGAGGCACAAGAAAGTGGCTGATGGGTCACTTCGGTTTTATGTCAAGTGGGTTGGTTACCCACACTCGGGCAACACATGGCAAACACTGGAGGACTTGTCCCATGCACCCGAGGAGCTGAGTAAATACGGTAAACACCTCGAGGAGCCCCAAATAAAGAGCACACGCAGGGCTCCTCGCAGGAAGCCTTCTTAAGTGTGGGAGTGTAGGAGATGGTATCTCCGACGCTGTGCTGCGCGTACTGCGCGTACTGCGCGGCGCAGTGGGTCGTGACCTGTGCTGCGCTTTGCGTTTTCACGCACCGCAGGCAGGCCACCGCAGGGTATACCTGCGGGTTGCCCCCGTTCCCCCCGTTTGTCTGGAGTTCGGTTTTATCGTGAATAAACGTAAGTGCTCCCCGAGCTCACCCGTCCGCTAGAGTAGCCTAGCACCGCCCTGTTCTGCCCCGTCCTGTCTTGTCTTGTACCCCCTCCCTCCCCGTCTTGCCCCAACGTCCCAGTAGTGGACGTTACACCTCGCCTCGGTCCACCCTCGCCCCGTCCGTTAAAGTCCTGGTTCCGGGGAGTAAGCGTGACATTGCCGAAGACATCTCCAAGCCGTACTTCCGAGAGGTCTTCGTGAACTTCGGGTTAGCATGAACAATTATATCGGATCAAGACCCACGGTTCAAGTCTGCATTCTGGACGGAACTCAACAAGATCCTCAAGACCGAACTCCGCCTCGCCTTTGCGTACCATCATGAAGCCGCCGGTCAAGTCGAGCGCTTTGTTGCCACTGTCGTCGAGGTGTAACGAACGGGGGACGGACTGGGGACGGAACAGGGGACTATCGGGGCACGGGACGGGCGGGAAGCGGGCAATGACGAGTACGGCAAACGGGCGTATATTCAGGGAGATGGACCAACGGGGCGAACAGGAAGGCGAGATAAATAGAAGACTCGTCTTGCTGGGTCCTTCCGGTGCTGGGGCTTCACCCTTTATATATCGTGAGAACCCAGCAAGACGCGGTGGGGGTAGTGGTGGGGAGTCTCCTCGCTCGCGTGCACGACCCAGCCCTCGCGACATGTGGCGATTGGACCGAGTCGTCACACGAGGCGATTCGGTGTTCGATACTAACCTTGGGATCGGACTGGATGGAACAACTTCCGTACATCGAGTTCGCTCTCAACAACAACACCCCCTCTTCAACTGAACACTCACCTTCATTTCTCATGCATGGCCAACATCAGAGGACCCCCGCAATTGCTGAAGTTATTGACGAATCAAATCCACTCCGAAATCTCTTGACCAAATGAATGCGACACTCAGCCTCGTATCCGACAATCTCAAGAAGGCGCAGGACAAGGCTCTCCACTATGCCAACCTGCGCAGAGTGGACATCACCTTCGACCTCGGGGACAAGGTCCTGATTGACACCTCAGCTTATCACTTCAACAACGACGACCTCAACCCGTCAAAGATAAAGATGCCGTATCTTGGCCCATTCAGAGTTGTCGAAAAAATCGGATCGACGGGATACAAGTTGGACCTTCCTGCAGCAATCAAGTTCTCACCCGAGTTCCCGGCCGCCGCATTTGTCCCTTACCGACAGCCTTTCCCCAACCAACAGGTCTTCGACAATCCAGCTGCGGATGACCAAGACGAGTACGAAGTCGAAATCCTCCTCGCCCACAAGATCAACAAGAGATACAAGAAGCCAACCCGACGACATCAATTCCTCGTCAAGTGGCAAGGTTACGATCCCAGCTGGAACTCTTGGGAACCACTTGAGCTCCTGCTTGATAATGCACTCGAAAGCGTCGTGGAGTACTCCGAGTCTCACCCGAATCTTCCAGAGGGTGAGACACTGGCGACGGCTCTCCAAGAACACCAAGCGAGTCAGTAAAATCGTGCCAACGTCGACCTCAGCACGGTTTTCTTGGGGGGGAAGTGAGGGGTTGACCCACTTGTGAACATGACGCGGGAGACCACTCGCGTCATGCCTGCAACATGTCCACCATCGCGCCATTAATTATATCACTTCCCACGCTCCGACACACTCCTCGACCAGAGTCCGCCCCCTCCGTTTCTTCCCAGTCCAAAACATAAATGACCCTCGGCCCGAACTCCAGGACGAGAGGGGGGGGGAACTTTTGACGGGGATCTTCGACCCATGTTTTGAACATTGAATAAATCTCCTTCAACCTATTATGTTTCACTGGGTTCTCCGTCACGGATCCCGACCACCATCCAGTCGACGTCACTCTGCTTCCGAAGGGGGGGAAACACACTTTTGACTTTGATTCCATTCCATAGACCATCAAACCCTTCCACCCAAACCCAAAAAAATGCCTTCTACCAGAATTGAACTGGTGACCTTCTGCTTACTAGGCAGACGCTCTGCCAACTGAGCCAAGAAGGCTCGAATCCGACGACCCGGAGTCGAACCGGGGACCCTCAGATTGCTCATTCACTACAGTCTGATGCTACTACCAACTGAGCTACCGTCGGCTTGTGGCGGATTAAACTTTTCCATTATATAAAGTTTTTATGATCCATATCCGAAATCCAGATTTCCCACTCTCTCCACCACACTCATATCTACATATACTTTGTCCCTTTCACGACATGAGTGTTGTTTCTTTGTTGCATCATTACCTGCCGACAGCTCTCAGACCTGACATGACCACACCTGCTCCAAGTAAATTCTCCTTTCCTCATTCCACTGTTGGGTTTCCCATCAAGAGGTCAACATTCGCAACAAAAATACCTTCACTGTGTTCTTGGATCGAGTATAGCAGAGAGGTAAGCACTATGGTCGAACCATCCTCGACAATCGCCGACTCCAAGCACATTGTATCAAAATTGCACATGGATTTCCCCCCCCCCACATCACTCTCGTCTTTCCCCATCATCCCTCCTGAATTCGGGACGATCATGAGACCCAATATCTTTTGGCGAGCATCCATCAACATTCTCCAAGAATGAAACAAAAAGCAATAAACTGGAAGAAAATAAGGCAATGGTTCCCAATGTGTAAATGCTATCGAGTGACGACTACAGGAATCACGTCGGCTTTTGCTCCTCGGCAGGTCTCCGCCTTACAAGCCTCCATGCCCATTCTCTGGATGCCCCGTGAAAAAGTAGTTGATGTTTGTTGTGATTTTGTCAAAGACGCTCTGTCCTCCCGCTGGAGAAGCCGAGGGTAGACTCACCGCCTAGGATTTCAAATATCCAAAAGTATCAGATTAATGTGCCATGCAGAACACCACTTCACTCATCGTCAAGTCTGCGTCATCCTCGCCAGTTGGAAATGCATAGAGCTCATTGACATGCGAAAAGCCAGACACTCAGAGGGCTCATAAAGACTGCGCTTACTCCTTGGTTGGTGATGAGCTTGAGTCTTAGCGTCTCTGCCTCGTCGTCAGTCATGTATGAAAAGTTGAGGGTACTTCCCTCTATCCGCTCATAGACAGATTTTTCAGAGGAAGACGCCTGAGCGACTTGGGCCGCCAGCTTCACAAAGGCATGTCGATCACGCACATATCTAAGACAAATCATTAGTGTCGCTCGAGAATTATCGCATCATATCAGCGGATATTCAACGCGAAGCCCCGACACTGAACTCACGTTCTATATGCCTCCTTGTTCAAGCAGTATTCCTCTGATGATTGAATCGATATGTCAGAGATCACGTCCAGCCGATTGCGGAGTATGGTGCTTGATAAATCACCCCGAGCCACAATCGCCGGACTCCCATCAATTTTTAGGATGGCCGAATGCTGCTCGCTGATGCCCAAAGGCTATCGGTGCTGGTGCGTCATTTGGCCGTCGTTGTGGGGTGATTGAGGTCGCCAACATTATCCTTGCGGGCACCATAACTCCACACCACTGCCAAGTGTGCTCTCAACGCCCACTGCACGATTCACAGGATCTATAGCCAGAAGCTACCTTGCAAGTTTTGCAGCACCGCATCCTTGAACGAGTTTTTGATATAGTGCAGTATGTGACAAATGTTGTCGATTCGGGGGCGCCAGGTGGCAAACTGCTGGTCCAAGGAGAATCGGCCATCTTTCGAGACAAGCGGATGGAATAGCGATGTGATGAACTCGACCCTTGGAGGGGCGTACGGGTACTGCTCAGGGATCTCGATGAAAAACTTGAAAACACCTTCTTTGTAGTATCCTCTGTGGATAAAGATGACCCCGTACCACTCTGTTTGGGAAAGATCGGGTCGTCGCATTGTCAACAGCCGAAACCAGTGGAACAGCCTGCTTGCGGGACCATGCCTGACCGTATATGTTGTCGATAGAGGGCATCACATAGACTCCTGTCGGGCAGTGCTCGGGCTCTCGGAGATTCTTGCTGTGTGTTGGAAATGCGGGACGAGGTCGCCCAACATGAGCCCAGAGATTTGAATGATAAGTCGAACGTTTTCGGCAGGCCCCAGGAGTGCAAAATGCCTCGATGCATTGCCCAGCGAGCCGAGTTCCGTACTATTCAATAAGGAGCTCATATTTGCGAAAGTGGTTGGAGTAAAACTCAAGTTCATGTGCGCTGGTTGGCTTTGGTACTTCGGGGATGGACATGGCGGTGGCAAGATGCGAGCGAGAGGTGCTGGCGGGTGGGGCGGTTGGCACCAAGATCGGAACTGGACTGGCCGGACTGGCGCTCGAGGTCTGATTGTCTTGCCACCCTCGTGCCCCACCCTGCGATCTGCCATCGGGGTCACGGATCGCTTGTCCACATCCGATGCCACCATCAAGAGTGGCTCTCTCAGATGGCCTGGGCAAGGTCTGCACTCACACTGTGCGCCTGGAGGTTCGAAAATTTCACAGCCCCATTGATCGATCTGCGGCGACAGACCTGTCCGTTCGACGCCATCCTTTCGGCATGAACCAGGCAGGTCGATTGATAAAGTTAAACCTGCTAGGATGGTATCCGTCAACAGTTTATTGATCCAATCTATCATACTCATAACCGCAGTGACCCGACCATGAGGATTTGTGAAGGGCGAGAGGGTGAAATTTGCCACAGAGAGGGCCCTGGATGGGCGGCGTCGTTGGAGTGTAAGGTTTGATGGCTTTCTTGCGCAATTACTTGGCGCCACCGCTGCAGGCCGAGGATTGGAACGAACATTAGCATGAATCATGGGAGGCGAACGGACGTCACAAGGCACGAAGTTGCGGCTGGCGACCATCATGAGCCTCCAGCGGGATCGGCACCAGTCATCACGGTTGAAAAAGTACAAGGGTTCGCAGGAATTCCGCGGTAATGAATGTAGCAAGGGTTTTAACAATAGAGAGGAGAGCAAACAAGCGATGGTTGAACAAACCTGATACATACACAATGATGTTGTTGATGGGAATATGGATCAGCTTGACAAAAAATCCAATAAAGCCCATGAGGAGGAATCCAATGGCAACGGCCCTGGAAATCTGGATGAACTCTAGAAGGATCGATGGTGATTCCCTCGTTAATGAAATGGGTGCCTTTTCGTCTTGCCATTGAGCAGATCGCCATGGAGAAAGGGGGTTAACGGAGACCCACCTCGGCGATCGGGCTTTGTGCATCGGTTCATGAACTGGATGCTGTCCTTGGCAAACTGCTGGGGACCTTCCATTACTTCGGACAGGTTTTCCGAGACGGCAGAGGAGGGTTGAGCGTCGGCCATGCTGGTGGTGTGGGTGGATCGAGGAAGGTGAGGGATGAGGAGACAGGGGATTGCAGATGCGGTCGAGATTCGTGTTTTTTTGCACCGCCCTGATTTGGACGACACAACCGCGCCGGCTGCAGCCGGCTCCAGCCGGGATCGGTGTGGCGCGCGATGATTGGCGGACGGCTGTGTCACCCTGGCTGCCCAGGACAGCCCGGCTCCGTGATGCCCAACCCTTCATCCGAATGTCTTCGATTCCAACGGGCCGCAGATGCCGGGCAATCTGGATACCGAGGGGCAGTTGCTGCTCGGCTGAAATGGCACCGTTAGGCAATGTCGATCTGTATACTAGCTGTATTTGTATTCGCAGTTGTCTTTTCGACCCACAACTCCGTCCGATGTCTGAATGAGGGCTCACCGTTTCCACCACGCCGACGCCGGGACTCGGATGTCATTCGCAGCATTTAGCTGATGGCATTAGCGACTCTCTGGCTGACTTCAGCGCTTGCGCTACGCACGCCGATTTCCAGGGTGACTCCAGATGCCCCATCAAGAGCCATTCTGCAGCGGGCTAAAACCGGAACACCTCCGACAAACGTTCCTGCAATCAACAGGCCATGTGTTGCCGCCTTGTCTTTGACAGTTCCCGTATTTTCGCAGGCGCACATTCCCAGGGACTGTATCACGTTCGATACAGCAGCTGGGCGAAACAAGTTTGGAGTGGAGGTGTGTGAGCTGCGAGTCGCAAAATCAAGACATGTTGCGTCCTATACGTCTTCATTTTACCTTGAATGCTGCTGACGGCAGTGAGCGAATATGTCTCCACTGCTTCGGCCTCCTTTCCAAGCCCTTCCCAGGCCTTGCGGAACTCTGGGACATAGTTGGGAATCATATAGTCCGCAATACTCAACTGGACGTCATCGAGCTGATGAAAGTACCCGGTCGTTAGTAGCCGCTTACCGAGCCCTGGGTGCGTTCGGTAGTGCAGACTTACAGGATATTCGTCTTCATAGCCCTCTTCGTCAGGTTCGCCGGTAGCAGGATCGCAGTCTTTCACAATAAACTTGAGGACGTTCGAAAAGGATGCTACGCAATCATCCATGCAGGGACGCCGTTATGATCCAAGTCTTGCCGTCATGACCCATGTCTTGCCATGACCAATTCACACGCCCGTTCCGCGCGAGAATTTCGACATACCGGTGGGGCAGATGTTGTCTGGTCGGCGGTAAACCACGTAGATTGATCCAGGTGTGTCATACGGCAATCTATCGATTGGAATCGAGAGCTCGTACTGGAGGAGAGCAATGGCTTCCTCATCCTCAGTTGCTTCCAGATTCATTTGGATGTGGACGTTTTCAAGCAAAATATCGTTCAAAGTATTGCGACATTGAAACTAAAATCGAAACGGATTGATCAGCTTCGATACGCAGACGGTCGAGCAGGCGGCAAGACGCAAGAAAGCGTCGCCTTATCATAGTAAATTTCGACAAAAAAAAAGTCTTACCTCGAACACCAAATGTTTGGGGAAAACATGTCGAACACAGGCAACCAGATACTCGGTCTCTGATTCTGTCAACTCAGTCACCGAGGAGCTCTTGAGCAAAAGACCGAGATGCGACAGCTGAGGAATCTTCTCCATGGCTTCAGCGTATGCCGTTTGTGGATCCGGCTGGCCGCTGGCCGCCGTCGCCTGAACTGCTCTCTGAGCACCCGAGGAAGACGGGAACGAGCTCGCGCCAGAGCTCGATACAAGGCCCGTGATGCCGGCGTCTTGAATAGCGGCCGATTTAGCTCCTGTGGAGCGAAGGGTTGCGGAAAGAAAGTAGGTTGGATTGTCAGCAGCAAGCCAAATGGGATATTGCCGACAGGCATTCCAATCGCCGCAACCGGAGCATTTCCGACGCCCCCTGATCGCTCGCCCAGTCGCGGGTGGCGCACTGCAGCGTCGGTATCATCCTTACGGGCACGCTCTGCCTTCTCCTGCTCCTTCGATATGACTGGAATGGATTGAATATCGAATGGCTTCGAGTGCTCTGACGGAGATTGCACGTAGTGATGCAAACTACGTTCCAAGGACGCAAGGGAGAAGGTCGACTCTAGATCCAATGATGGCCATGACGTTGGATTCCAACAGAATGCTGGTAAGATAGCCGCACAGGCATTTCAACGAGACTGGATCTCGAAAAGTCGACGTGAGCACGTAGCCCGAGAGTTGCCTTACCGTTATCCAGGTAACGCTTGGAAAGCTCGGAATCGTCGAGAAGGCGTAGGGCCATGGACGCTCGATCGCGAACTTCGTCATCGACATCATCCAGGCATCTAGATGACATGGGTGGTGTCAGCTTCTGTTTAAAAACAGTACTTGCCCGCGTAGAGCACAGAAGGACAGGATTACCTCGTCAGGAGAACTTTGATGCGCTCGGTCAAATCCCCGCAGTGGATCGCAAACTTGACCAGAGCAGACACAGCGGCTACACGGACAGTCGCGTTTTCAAGAATGACTCGGTTGTAGATGTAGCGGATACACTTTGAGGGCTGTGATGTCTTTGGACCCTCCGATCCCAAGAGGTGGAGAATACGGACAGCCAGCTTGGTGAACTCACAATCTTCGATAAACTCGCACAGATGGGACAAAGCTGAGAAAAAAAAATGGGAGGGGGCGGGAGCAGGACGCATCAGCTTGTGCATCAGACAGGTGCTTGATCCATGAAGCACAAGTTCGAGGCCCATGTATGATGTAGGTGCATAGTACCCCACGGCGGGCGAGCATGGTAAGACTTGTGAAATGATCAGCTCACCATGTTCTTTGGACTCAGGAATGTGGTAAATGATATCAAAGATTGCCTCCACAATGCCGCGCTTGTACTCGTATCCGCCTTCTTCGCGCAAGGCATTGGCCAAAAAGTTGAGCATTAGCTGCTGCTTTGTCGGAAACTTGAGGCAGAGGGATCGTACAGCGTCGATGACGATGATCTTGAATTCGTCCGAGATCTCAGACATGAACCCCGTGATTTGCTTCATGAGACGATCCACGCTGGCTTCGTTTCCGGTCTGCGATAGCGATAGCAACTTCGTCAGTTACGCAAACGGTGGACAGTGTATAGCCGATATATCGCTCGGGTAACTACGCAGCAAGCCTAGCAAAACAGACCTTTAAAAGGGTTGTGATAGCAAACGTGGCAATGCTTCTGTTCGAGTTTACAATGAGGTTCTCCATGTCGAGATTGCATGGACTGACAGCAACGGGGTTGGTCATGGCCAGCTTGCTCAAAGTTCGAATGGCCGCAAAGCACAGGGTGGACTTGTGATTTGAGAGCATGAGTTGGAGCGCTGGTAGTTGGGGTTGGAAGGGGGTTATATCATGTCAAACAACTCTTTGCCCACCGCCAGGCTGCCGGTACATTGGCATCAAGCGCTGCCTACCAGCAACAGCCGGGAAAAGCTCCTTGTTGCTAACGTCCTTCAGTCCACAGATGGCTCGGGCGGCTTCATATATCACCATTTCGTTCTTGTGACGCAGAAAGTTTTCCAGCAGCTCATACATAGCGGACCTATATGTAGGCCAGATCACAGCAAAACCGGATCGTTGATGTGAGCAAGATCCACTCTCGGCTATCCTGCCTTTCCGAGGCGAGCTTACCCCCAACGGCATCATACAGGTGGTTGTCGATGCCAGGAGAGGTGGAAGAAGCCAAAAGGTCCAATGTGTTCGAGCGGTTCAGTCAACTGGTCATGCGGCCTACCGATCAGCATCGTCGTCCTCCATGACCTTGGCAATGTATCGGATTAACATGCAGTACGCATAAGGCGAGCGCAAAAGTCCCTTGGAGTAGTTGCGGATCAGCTTGATAACGGCCATACGATCGTGCTGTCGGATCTGATACATGAGGCCGAGGGCATGATACTGGGTAATGATACCCTTGCTATTGATGGCCTCTTGAACTTCGTTTGCCCATCGCTTGACAACCTCCTTACTGATTCCAAAGATGTGGTGCGCAGAGACGAGGGCGGCGCTCGAGACACTGGGGCTCTTGTCAACAATCGCTTGCTTCAGGAAGCGCTCGATGCCTTGCAGCATGGATGCCTGTGAGATGCCATTTGGATCATACAGTGTGACATAATCATAGAGTTGGTGGCGGTGAACAGATGCACACGGTTTCGATCGCTCTCGGCGGGCAGCAAAGCTTCAATATGACTGTGTCTCCTACGTCGGTAATTTTGCACAGGGCTCGAATCGAGTTGGCCCTATATATCACATCTGTTTTGGCGGTCATGTCCTTGGTCAGGCTCGATGTGATGATGAATGTGTTCTCGGCAATTTTGGAGAGTTCTTTGATCAAAAGATAAACCATCTGACGCAGTGCGATCTGGAGCAGTACAAATTTGGTTTGGATGGATGGAGCAATGTTCGAATCAAGATCGTCGTAACATCAGAAGGCTATGCTCCTGGCTTACTTGCGATGAAACTCATGGCACGCAAATGCCAATCTTGGGCCGATTATCTCATCGTTGCTTTCGCAAAGTGCTGCTATGGATGCAACGCGCTTACGTCGTTCGACTGGAACAGCTTTGTGATCGAAAAGAATGCCTCTGTTGCTTCATTGGTGGCGAAGGTCTCGGATTGATAGAGCAAGTATACAATCTTGGTCAAGATCAGCCGACACTTTCGGGGGTTGATAGGCGTGACATTGAATGCTCGAGCCTCTTGTAGTACAACGCTCTTGTCAATGTTGTAGAAGACCCCAGCGTCGCCTGTTTCACAGTTAGAAATATAGTCGTCAATGACATTCTCCTCGGGCCGACCCCTGGGCTGGTGCGGATCATTATTCAGTCGGCCCGCCAGCTCGCCGTGCTGGTCGGGATCCATCATCTGCCTCGCTTTCCGGAAGCCATGGGGCATACCAGAGTCTTCGTCCTTCTTGAATGAGTTGAGCATGGTGGCCGATCGACAGTATCAATCCGAGCGGCTGAAACAGCAAGCGCGAGACAAGATTCCGGCGACCGAGCTGCCCGAGATGGCGGGTGTTGGCTCGCCAGGGAGGCAGCCGGTCTCGTCGGCAGGCTCTCGGCAGGCTCTCGGCAGGCTCTCGGTCCTCTCGCCTCTTGGGCCAATCGGCTCGGGCACTCGCCACAGCAATTAATTGGCCCGCTAATGAATTCATCGTTGGCGACGCGCTTTTGGGCCCCCAGCGAGCACAGGCTTGTTGCCAGAGGGCACGGCGAGAGCGGCGGCTCGGCAGCTTCTCGGTCTGGCCGAGACCGCAGCGAGAGCGCGCTCACGAAAAGTGCAAAAAAATGCGTGCCTCGATGCCCGGCTTGCCTTTCGTCTTCGTTCGGCCCTCCGTGTTTCGACAGAAGCGTCGTCAAAATGGCTTTCCTTGGTCAGCCCATCCGCCGGGCCCCCAGCACTCTCGCGAGAACTGTTCGCTTCGTCGTTGCCCGTAGAAACAAGTCCATCTTCCCCCCCAACATCTCCTCCCTGAAGGAGCTGGGCCGGCTCCAGTCCAGCTACCCTCAGGCTCACCCCGAGCTCTTCAACAAGATGAAGTCTTTCTACCAGAACATTCCCAAGGGACCCAAGCAGGCGTCTGCTGCCAAGACCTTCTGGGGACGCTACTACGAGAACTACATCGCCAAGGACTCGTTCGTTCCCGTCTTGCACTTCATTGGCCTGATGGTCCCCGTGGGCTTCTACATCTCATACTACAAGGGAGGGTACGTACCCGCTGTTCCGGGCAGATAGCGCAATCGATGGACAGGCACCATGCCGGCGTGTATATGTGTTGTCGAGCTGGACCGAGCCATGGGAGCCATGGGAGCCGCCAGCATATCATGAGATGCAGCGATCTTGGGATCACATCAAGTCGCATATCGTCGCAATCGGCCACTCGATTGCTCGGGACTCGGACTTGGCTCTGGCGGATCGATCAAGCCAAAGGAGGACAGAGGATTGTGTCGTGGGGCCATCCTCCTGTCGAGAACAATTGCCCTTGTCCGTTGACCGTCACGGGAACGGCAGGGTCGTCCGAGCATAATACCCAAAGCGTCGGTCGATGTCTTGGCGCGGGCGTCGCCGAGCCGATTTATGGGCTGACATGTCATCCCGCAAGGAATGCAATCGAGACTCGCTGCCTTTCCTATGAAATCGCTGACAAGGCCCAAATGCTCTGTTCTGTTTCGCCGCGCGGCCACCCATACAGACACTACCACCCCCGCTTCGAATTCCACTAATGGTCTGGACTGAGGTATGGTGATTTCTGATGGCGGTGACTGCACACCTCACCGGCTGTATTGGCAAGCGGACATACGATTTCGATTGCTCGACGACGGCACCGGCCTCCCGCGCTGACTCGAGATCCGCCGCATCTCTCTCTCTCTGTTCCCTGTCGGTAATCAGGATCCCACCTGTTCTTTAAAAGCAGCAGTTTGGAGCGGAGGCCTGCGTCTCTGTGACCTGGACCCCGCCAAATACATGCGGATTCCATATAACATCGGCATGAGCCCCTGAATGGCCCTTGTGTTTAGATCCGTCAATTTGAGCATTTATGAGGGCATGCTTCGATCTGGTTTGCCTTTCGACCCATCGTTGATTGCCAAAGTATATATGTGCAGTTCAGGCTGGCTCACGGCAAAGCAAAGCTTTGATGCCATCGCTTATGAGAGAACGCAGGGGGCAAGTCCTGCTGATCGGCCGAGGCCATCGACGGCCTGGTTGTCGCCGAGACGATGGCCATCCGCAGCACGCTTGTCATAAAACCGGGCGGGCTGGCCCGCCTTTGGCGATGCGCAGCACCCACACAGCCAATTCATTCGGTCGAATGAAATCAATTAGCTCCCTGCTCTCGCTTCTCCCTCTTTTTCGCATCCGCGCCTCGCTGCCAGCCAGGCAAAACCCCCAAAGCAAGACCACCCGCCTCTGGCCTCGCCGCATCATCCCGTTCGAGAACCTGCGAGATATAGCAACCATGTTCCGCCTTGGCTCTGTCGCCCGCCGCTTCTCGGCTCTCACTCCTGCTGCCCGCGCCGGCTCGGTCCGACACAACAGCAACTCGGTCTTTGCCAGCGATAACTTGAAAAAGTTCGTGCCCAAGGTCGAGTTCACCGATTCCACAACCCTGGGCCAAATCTGGGACGCCTGCTACGTCAAGTACAGATACCGTCTCATCTACCCCGTTATCGGATGGATTGGTGTCCTTTACTACTTCCTCTGGATTCCGTAAGTTGCCCAGCCTGTCCTCCGTCTTGGGGAATGCCTGCTCCCGGCAGTCTTGACAACAAGCAGCAACTAGGACTGGATGGCCTGTCGCTCTCGTCCCGAAGCGGCCTCCGATGGTGGTTACCATCCCTGATCCACTCGAGTCTGCCTGCGGGCAACCACCCAAGCTCTCGTGGCGCGACCGCAAACACTCTGCCCGGGGGGCCAATTCGTCAATTTGTAGTCAAGGCATGGTTGTGATCGCCTTGGTCCATCCGCCATCGTGGCTGGACCTGGGTTGTTCGTCACGAAGAGAGAAGCGCCGAAGTGTCACAGTCGCTGTGCGCCACGTTTGAGACGATTATTACTGCCAAGAACCATACAAAGATTTGCACTGGACGACGATGGATCGGTCATTTGGGATCGACCGGCAGATGCAGCGAAGCCACTGTTGTGCCTGTCCATAATTCCCCGACCAGGACTTGGCCGAGGAATCGCTTTTATGACCAGCCTTGGTGTGGTTGTTCGACGGCTCGAGGACACAGCCTTGCCTTGCAGTCTTTCATTGTGCCAAAGCTGATCCGTGGCTACTGCTTCCATTCCTTTCGATTTGACATAGCTACATCCCCGAGTCGGAGAAGGTCGCTGCTGCTGAGAAGGCTGAGAAGCTCAAGGCCCTTGAGTTCAGACAGAACTAATTTGCCCGTAATTTTCATCGGCATACACTCGCAAATGCCGATAATGGCCTGTTCAAGAAGCACCGGGCGCTTGCCGATATTTCCTGGTGATCTCTGTCATCATTGAGTGGGAATAGAGACGCCATCGACCATGCCTCTACGCCTTCGCTGTCGATCACCTATTCCATGAGACTGAGACCTCGATTGACTGTGTGGCTTGGGAAGCATGCTGCCATACTTGGCAATGGAGTAAGCATCAAGCCTTTCTGCATAAACGCAGCCATTCCAGACCAAATTGCCTCTCGTCGTGGAGAATCGTGTGGAGAGTATGGCTCGTTAATGCCTTCGCGTCCGATGACGGAGCCGTCTTTGCTGTGAAATGGATGCACCTCATTTGAGTGCAGCAAGCCAGCGGCCAGGTGCATGGGGATGGGCCTGTCGAGAATTCGACACGCATATCGACGGCCGCTCTCATCGCACGAAATGCGTGAATCGGACATTGGCGGCTGTCGCTCGACCTGCGGTGCATCGACTGTAGGCCATGACCATCACCATCGAAGAGTCGTCCTCGTTCGCTGTTGTCACGCCCATCCAATCGCCACGCCCGCTGCAAAATCCCAGGCCGCCTCCTCCGCCGCCTGGCTGGTTCTTTCTCCAGCACACACCTGATCGTTGCAACTCTCGGACCGGCTGAGCTGCAAAATGGCCTCTGTGAACAGCGGCGTCGAGAAGACCCTCAGCAAGCTCCAGAAATCAGGTACCGCAATCGGCTGCCCTTGGCGTCGATAGTTGTCCGCTTTAGATGCCTGGACACCTGCGATCGGCCTGGTCCCCTCGATCTCCTTGCTCCTCTCGAACACCCTGATCCCCTGATCATCTTGATCCTCTTGATCCTCGGAGCTAATTTTTCACCTACTTCCGCATCTTGCTCGCTACATAGTCGAAGATGGCAATTACTACGAGGCCCATCAAATGTACAATTCAATCTGCCAGAGGTATGCTTGTCGCTCGGCGCGCAACATAGGCATCTCAGCACCTCGGTCAAGATCCGGAGTGCACGTCGCCTTGTCAATCCTGGGGTCGCTCTGATGTCTCGGCTTTTCAGGTACTTGAAGCAGAGAAAGGTCCAAGAAGCTGTCCGACTGGTTCATTCTGGAGCACTCAACCTTCAGGCAGTGCGGGAGTTTGGCAGCGCCCTGGATCTATGCAACCGCCTCTTGGAGATCTACGACGGCCAAGGCTTCGAGCTCAATGACCAAAACCGAGGTAGACTTTGAGATCGATTAGCCGAATGTGGCCTTTTCGTAGTCCGTTTGTAGAGCCAGCTGTGGTGTTTATAGATTTTAAAGGCAAGGCTCCACGTTCCCTTCGACTGCCGAAGCGCTCCTGGTGGAGTTATTTGACGGCTTTCCAGTGGACGAGCCCAAGCTGAAAGATTTTATCAAGTCGTCTCTCAAGTAAGAAACCCTGCTGCAGCTCGATCCACTGTCCTCCTCAGTTTGCATGTCCCGTGCTCGATTCCAGAGTGATCCCGGTCGTTTCGGACCGCACCTGGCAATCCCAAGGACATTCGCGGCCTCCCCTCTGTTCACGTCTTCCCAGACAACCGGAGCGGCTCGACTGTGTTTGAACCAACTGTATGCTATAGAGTGACGGCAAACGAAGCGATGATGTAGCTATTGAATATCGATTTGTGGCCCAACCCTAGATGGTCGACCAAGGCCGGGGCTCCTGCAACAGGCGACCCAGTTCTTCACCATGTATTTGGATTGCGCTTCTATCGAGGTAGGAACACTATGCATAAATCCGAGCGCTGGAATTGAAGACTAGCTGAGAATCAGATTGCCTTCAACCACGTTCTGGACGAAGCTGAGCTGACTCACCAATTCACCAATTCACTCATGAACCAATGCACTCATGAACCAATGCGCTCATGAACCAATGCGCTCATGAACCAACGAACCAACGAACCCATGTACCAACGACAGAACGCTACTATTATGACGCTGAACACCACTTCCTTCAAGGCCCTTTGGAAAGTGCAAAGGCAGCCGGATACATGGCTGCGGAATGGTCTCAACTCGACACCCATCTGGATCCAGCATATCCCATTGCACGAACGGCTCTGGCGTAGGTGGCAGCAGCAACAGCGCAAATCCACGTCCCCTTCGATACCCATCGTTCTCTGCCGCCCCTGGTGCCCATTCTGCGGCTCCAATTGAACTATCCCAATTGCATTCCCCACAGTGCGCCTTTCATCCAAATATCTGATGCTGTATCGACTGACGTAACTCCGCGCCTGCATCCTATAACTATGTGCATTGATGGTATTCCAACCTCACTGCACACTGCACGCCCACAGCTTATTGGCAGTGAACAAACCCTCCTCAGCTTCGTCTGCTCTGGACTCTTATCTCCAGAAACTTAACTCCGAGCCCCAGGGTGCCAAAGTAGATGCCGACTCTGTGTCGATTCAACTGCACCGCTCTCCCCTCATCAACTTTATCAAGTTTATTCTTATGGCCGTGGAGAGGTCTGTCAGCGCCTCGAGCGAGTTCCTTCGTATCCGTGCAAAGTACCAGGACCTCCTGCAAGTGGATCCCGCGTTCACTGTGGTGGGTATATAGCTCCTATCTCCTGTCAAACCCAATGCAGAGTATGGGCCAAGTACCATCTCCCGATCGCTAGACACCTCTCCCGTCCGTCCGAGTTTGGTCGTACCCGTCTCTCTTTCTGATTGCACAGGTTAAACCTCTACGTGTGCTTGTCTACATTCGTTCTAATTCGATTTGGATCGATCCACAGTATGTCGACAAAATTGCGGCCATTTACTTTGACTTGGGCCCAAAACGGCAATCCAATCCATTTGAGGAGATTATGAGATCACTCCTCGGAGGCGGCTCTCAGCCACAAACGTCCCGACGGATCGGTGGGGGGATATAGGTGCCCCTCCTGGCCGATCCAACCCAGCAACACACCAACGTGCCCGAGGATTGGCCAAGACTGAACAATATGCAGCAAAGTCGCTGCAGCCGCATTCATTGCGCAATTTCGGTGTACAGCTCGGCAACAACTTGAGCAATAAAAAAGCCTCGTGGGCCCTGTCCAACCGGGATGGCCATATTTCGAAGGATGGCCTTCCTTCGCGCTCGACGGCGAAGCAGCGAGTCTTGGATCTGCTGGATCTGCTGATCGTTGATCGTTATTTGCTCAGATCCCGGCTCTTGCTCGACTGCGTTGACTTGGTCCGCAACCCGAGAAAGATCTTGGTCCGATGTGGATGACGGAGTTGATGAGCCTGGTGGCTGTTGGCCCTCAGCAGAGGCACTGGCACTAGGTTCTGCCTTTCCGACGGCTCTTGTGAATGTGGCCCATCCCACCTGCAGGGTGTTGATCACGTCTCCGATTTCGTCCTCTAGATCGGCGAGGTCTTCTTCTGTCAGCTCCCCTCCAAGCAACAGGCTCTCCTTGAGACGCTTCGTATCTTTCGCATTTAGTGGATTGGGCTTCCGATGCAGCTTTCGAGCCCTCATGAAATCCGAAACGCCCGGCGGAGCGCCGCCTCCAAAGACCAGCGAGCTCTTGGCCTCATCTTCGGCCAACTTCAGCTTCTCCAGCTCTCTCTGTAGTACCAGCCTTGCCTCTTCCTCTTTCTTGTTGAGCTCTAGTTCCATCAGCCGGAGATACTCCTCGGTTGACAAGCCTCGCTTCACACGATTTTCAGCCCGATACCATTCTGGGAACATGGACTCGATTTTTTCTTCCTCGTGGCCATAAGTGGCATACATTCGAGGGAGAAGCGTCGAAGGCACATGTTCGTTAACCAGCTGTGCAGTGACCGGATCACACTGAGGCGGTGCGGGAATTGCCTGCCGGAGGTACTTTGGAGTATTGTTGGTGATCTTGAAAGGAAGCCGCTCGAGACATTCACTCGGAATCTCGCTGTCCTTGCTTGAGGCGTCGTCTGTATGCTGAAATTCCTCGAGGTGAAACATGCGAGAGTCTGGGAGATCCATAACCTGCTCCACCATCTCCTCCAGCCGGTTGAAGTGATTGCTTGGCATGTCGTCGGCGTCAAGCGTCAGAACACCACGAATGCTCTCAACGGTGAGGGTGGCCTGAATGACCGACCCGGTCGATCGCCTCCGACTCGGCAAATAGTCTTCGGGCACAGTTACATGCTGCCCAATCGACAAACATCGTCGGATGGATCCCACGCCAGGGCTGGTCTCTTTAGTGCTCCCAAGGTCTTCAGCAACCTCTTTGCGTTGCCATTGTACCGGCTTGATATTATGTCTTCGGTCTCCAAGTGAAATTGTATGGCGAAGGCGAATCAACTCTTCGCTCAGTGCCGTTGAGATTTCCTTAGTTATTTACGATGATTGATTCGATTGAGTTGGAGCAGGCCGATCTAGTCATGTCTCCTGTACCGAGACACCTGTCCACCCAATATTTACCTCAATGTTCCCTGCGGATGCTGTGCTCCGAATTCCGATCCGGCGGCAAATCACCACCAGGCTATTGAGAAACTGCTCTATCGCCGACACTGGGTCTGATGCGCAGCACCTGAATATTGTATCTGTTAGATGAGCATCTCACGCCTCGCGCCATTGGGATGTGCTGTCGTTCATATTCGGCCTCTTACAATATCGGGAGTCTCTGGGGACAATATTTGTCGAGTTTTGAAAAATACCAGCCAAGCCTCCACTGAAAGGGAGTCAGACAAGCTTTAGCGATTGTGGCCTGAGGGGCTGGCAGGTTTGAAGCTGCTGTCTCATCGCATCGACGGGGTCCGTTACTGCGAGACCAACCTTTCTGTCAAAGGACAGGCCAGAGTCCAGACAAATGGTATTGATTGAAGGGTCATCCATGAATCTCATCTCGGGGTGCGCAACCGAATTCGTGACCAATATCGCCCGCTCTTCCAGGTCCGGGGTATCCTCTCTGATATCATCTGTCTTGGAGTCCACCTTGACTTGTGTCTGGCAGGGGGCGTGGGTATCCGTCAAATGTCGGTTGTGCACACAACAGTCTGAGACTCCGAGTCTCTGCAATCGTTCACAATAACCATCCTGGCAAATAGAGTTGTCGATTTGCACGACCGAGTGGGGTCGAAATCGCCGCGCTCGGCTCACCATATCAACAAAAGGCACGCGGCTGATATATCGAAGGTTTAGACGGCGCCCCTGATTGCGGTTGAAATATATGAGCCCGTGCTTTGTTGTACATCCAGCGGCCAAAAGTGCGTTCTGGTGTTGAACCAGGGGGAATGAGTAGTACGGATCAAAGCCGATGCACCAAATGGTTCGACAGTCCTTTGGCGTGTGGAAGCGTTGACCAAAGCCAGAATAGTAAGTCAAGTGGGCTTGCGTGCCCCAGTATCAACTCGTTGCACTGAGCAACAAATGGCGATTCCTACCACAGACGGATTGTCCCATGCTGCAAACTTGAAGGAAAAGTATCCAAAAAGGCCCTTTTCAAAGCAATATCTTCCCAAGGATACAGCGGCGTCTTCCAAGTCGGCCATGAAGCAGGTCTGCTGTGGAATGAGGGCTCCCCAGTTCTTGTAGACACCCACGGTAATCTAGAGTAGTGGTACAATCCCATTCAGACACCTCATACGCAACCAATATACCCTTCCAATCGCCAGCAGCCTGACCCCAGTCGCCATTCCGGAATTCGCATACTTGATCCTGATTTCCGAGAACTTGCACCTGTCCTGAGGGACAGATCATAACGTGGACAATAGGATAGCGCATATTCTTGCCATCGACGCCTTGTCCGAGCGGCGGAGTGGCCTCGACTATTCCTCCCGATTTCATAAAGGCCGTAAAGTAATGTGACCAGGATCGGTAGATGTTTGGGGCTGAAACAACCACGTGAGACGAAAGGCCCTCGAGAACTTGAGTAGTCGTCGATCTGGTCGCCAGAAGAAACGTGCCCTCTTTCGACTGGATATGCTTTGTATCTGTCAGAGTCGTGGATGCAAAAATGCCATTTTATGACTATAAATGAGCTCCAGGAACTGCGGCCAGTGATAAACGATGCACCAACGTTCAAGAGATGGCGCTCGTGCCGGGTTGAAGCAACCACTGCTCTGGCGGGACCGAGTGCGTTACCGCCTGGTCAGCTTAGTGGTATAACGAACTCACCTATATACGCTATTCCTCGACTCTGCATAGATCCATCCATTTTGAATATCCACCTGGTGATTTGTGGGTTTTGTGATACCAATACAGACATGTCGTAGCAAAGTTCCTTGAGGGAGTTTGGAGCAACAATGGCTTTGTGGGTCCGGAGATGAAACACATCGGCGTGCGCGTTAGCCATGCAGTTCTCGGTTATTACCTCTGCTTGTGAGATGTGTTGTTCACGACAGCCCGGGGATTGTGACAATCGTTTGCTCATTATGGCTGTATCGGCCATCATGATTGGCGATAGATCCAACCTTTTCTACTCACCCGGCGCCAGGTTTACTGGGGCCCCACGAAGCATCATCCGCTGTTTTGTTTTCGAAGTGAACAGCTCCATGGCCAGGGTTGAGGCCAACAGCGGCACCTTCAAGATCTGCGAGTGGCGAAATGGATGCTCACTAGGTCATATTTGGAGCAAGTCTCCCATTTTTATCTCACATTAGGGATCATCAGTTGCAAGGACCAAGTCGACCATGTAAATCTATCCATCGCCAGAACTTACTGCACTAAGCTCTATATCTGCCGTCCCCATGACTCCTGGCACTATGTATGCCTTCTGGTCTTGAGTTAAATCTCGGATTTTCTGTACCGCGAGCGGACTCATCAGGAGCATAGCTGTCAGCGAAGAATTGGGGGTAAAGAACCGTGCATTTTCCGGAACAATTATGTGCAATCTTCCTTGGGCCTGCAGATCTGCATAATCTAGACAGTGTCCAGCTGGCGGATGGATATGGACGCTTCAGTGATGTGCCGGGTCAGGGCAGTGTACCAATGGAACCCATGGAATCCAGATACGCATATCTTCAGTGTGAAGCCATTCTAAAGCCGCCGATGACGACTACAATTACCGAGTACATCTTCAATTTCCTTCATTTGGGTCTCATCCAGTACTGGTGAAACATATATAACGCTGATGCGGGGATCAACTAGATCCAGAAGCCTATCACCATGCATAAAAGTCGGTCGGTTCTCCAGCGAATTTTTGTTACGAGCGTCTTGGTATTCTCAACAAGCATACCTTCCACACTGCATCCTTTGGAAGGGTGCGACGAAGTCAAACTTTGATCTATAGCTTCTGTTTGTAACAGAAGGCAGGTGGATTGCAATCCTGTGGTGATGAATAGCACAGAACCAAGTAGCTGAGTACGGTATCCGAGTTCCCGAAAGCTAGGAAATCGGATATGTTCGCGATTCAGGGCCGCCACATTTGATGATATTGAGTCTCTACCTGTTATTCGACTCATAGTCTGACGCCCATTGCGCTCGAAGATTATCGGCGAGCTGCAGACACTCTTGATGATAGTTTGATATCCGTTGCTACAGTCAAGTGCATGGTAACGGTGAATTTGGTTGCATGCTCCCTGGAACTGTCGTCATCCGGTTCGCCGACCGCAGCATATTTTGACGCTACCTGTCCTATTGAGTCCAATATCAGTCGCTTCTTTTTTCTCCTCCAATAAAACATAAACAACTCAGCCGCACGGATGTGTCGGATGACATCCAAGTGAATCTTGCGAATCATGTGCCTTTTCAAGACAGATGCAATCTTTGCTGCTGCGGCCTGGCGACCGCAGCGCCCCTTGTAGCGTTGACCCGGAAGACGAATGCATGCGAGCACCTGAATGTATGGGGTGATGTTTTGTATCAGTGCCGGCTTCATATTGTGCCAACCCTCAAGTCAAGTGGCATCATGCGACCTCTGATTCAACTGTAATTTGGGCCGCATGGCTGCGCCGTGAACAAACAGCGGTCGTCTACGAGGTTATTGTCAAGCCCATAGGGAATCGAGCATACCTCCTCTTTGTTGATGATGCAATCGATGAGTTCCCTTCTTAAGAGCGGGCATAATATTGGTCGACGCAGCAATCGCTCCACCTGAAATATTCCTATTTCTACCCATTGAACTGCAACAAAGATCAGCGTGCATCGAACGCTGTCTCACGCCATATCACTCTGGTCCATGTATGCTCAGCCGTGTGTGCATATGCACCGTCCACCGCTTCGTGCTTGCCTGCGATTACTCACGTGCATAGTCTTTGCAAAGATCTTCCAGTTTGTCTAATACGGCTCGAATCGATTCTGGGGTAGAAAATGATTTGGTATACTCCACAAAGTAACGATATTGTGGCGAGCTGGAGACAGCCATTCCCATGGAGATCACAAAAGAAGAGTACTTGACACTTTCTCTCTCCGACCTGGCCATGATGGAAGACCGTGGTGGCTTCAGTGCCGATACCGGACGGCTGCGTATGGGGGTAGCTAGCCTGGAATCACATATGCCGACTGATTATGAAAACATACGGCGCTTAGTCACAGTAGGAGCCAGTTTAGCGGCAACGAGACTATCTCTGGCTGCCGGATAGTCACAGGTGATTGACTTGTGCCATCCGACATGCACCATCCGCAGCACAGAACGATCGCCCACCATCGCATGTGATCCGAGTCGAATGCACCCGCTTTTGTATCTTGCGCACTCTTGATACGAAACATCCTCATAAACACACGCTTACAAACCTCCACTAAGAGCAAACTTTAGCGTTGAGTCGCTTTCGATGACTGGGGTTACAATTGGGCTTCCAGCCGGTGGGATGCGCACAAATTGAGGCCTGGGAAAGAGAGGTACGGGCGGCCTTGGGGGCTATCGATTCCATGTGAAAGGATAACATTGTTTCAAACCCAGGCCAGTGTTTATCAATCATCGAGTCGCCCTCCCCCCGAATAGGCATAGATGGCCTGTTCGCCGGCCGAGCACCACGCCAGCATTTACCTCAGGCTCCTTCGGCTGGAACTTCAAACTGGGTCTATACGAGACATCGAGTCCCTTCTCGAAGACCACATCGAATTGCTCTGAGTGCGGGTGAAGGTACTTTTGCCGGAACTGGAGGAGCTCGTGACTCCTCAAGGTTTTGGAAAAATCCGCACTTGTTGGGTAGATGCCGTGCTCAATCAAGTGATAAACACCCTGTGGGAGAACATATGGTTCTGTCGGCTTGGTCATCTGATACTTTGTCACCACGATGAACAAAATCTGTATCAAGCACCATCACTCTACGTTCTGGCCACCTTTGGATCGCACCACTCGCCTGCCCACGACGGCGATTGGCCATGCTTCGACTACATCCTCCTCCATTGATGATCTGTCCTGCCGGCCTCATAACACATACTTGCGCAAGGGGTACGCATTCTTCGGCACCAGAGGTATCTCGGAAGCGCCCATGCCTTGAATGCGCTTGTTCAGGATAGATGTGCGCCACTTTCAGAATGCCCGTGCTTGGCCTCCTTCGGACTGGCGCAGTGGATACGGGTGCTCTTGGCCGCACGACTGTAGCATCGCATGTGTGTGGCCGACTCAAGTTCTATAGTTGAGGAAATGATATATGCTCTTCAAATCAGACAACGTGGAGTGTGCGGCTCAGGACCATAAGGACGCGGAGCTCTGAGCTTCGGTCCGAGAAAGTAGGATCTCGCTGGAGAGTCTGCCAACCGGATAATGGGATTTCTTGTCCATCGTCACTTGCGCTTGTCGTGTTCACACGACCTTGTAACTGCCCTGGCACTGCCTTACCCTGAGACTCGACCTTCCGGATGAAGCACTTGCTGTACGATGAGCAGACAAAGCCTGCGGGCCTGTCATTTGTCCAATGAGCTTCTTAGCTTTTTGGAGTTCCTGAGAATGCTATACCACTCCTAGTTTGATCCGCTCTGCATGTGGGTCAAGCACACTCTTACGGTAGGATATCTGTATACTTGATGTTTGCGGTGCCAGCGCAGCGCAGATGGGATTGTGATCCTTTGAAGGATCACGGCTTGGTCCACTGGGCCAGTCGGCTGCCCCAGTGGAGGAAATATCAATATCGTTCAGGAGACTTCGCTGAATGGACTGTCGAACCGCCAACTGGTAAGCTATCATTGCTTGTGAGTACATTAGCGTGCTGCTCTGGGAATATAACCCACATTGGCTGACGATCGACGGGAGAGTTTTGGTGGAGCACTTGAGGGTGCTACCATGGATCTTAGGCTGAACCGTTGCTTCTGTTGGGCATTCGTGACCTGCACACAGGGTGCAAATGTGACGGATTTTGTGGATCGCTCCAGCATTCCCGAAGCCGTCGTTGCACGAGGCAGCAACCGCTGTGACGTTGCGGCGTCTTCATGGCCCAACTCCTGCATGCTCCTCCACCTGCGTGCAAACAACGCATCCGTGGAGGCATCGTCCATTTTGTGCGGCGTTGGGTACGGTCGACCTGACCCGGGTGAAGCGCTCAGGTCAATCGCTCGCCTCGGCACCCCAAGTAATCGCAAGTGAAGCATATTCTCCGAGGAATTGTCACGTGGCGCAAACGACGGGTCGATTCCCGGCAATGACATGCGATGCGACCTCGATGTGATCGGGGGTGTCTCGTTCGTTTTGGAAATGCTGAGCCGTGGCGGCCAAATCCACCGCCGTCAACCCCAAACCGAAGCATGATCTGGTGCTCAAGAACATCAGCACGTTTGCTCACAGGCTTGGGCCGTGCGGCTCGCACTTATGCTCTTCCGGCCTGGAGGCCAATCCAGCTCTTCAACCGCCTCAGCAGCACACCCTCGAGCCCCGAGATCCGACTGGCCGACATTCGTAGCCTGTACGATTACCTGCTTACGAGTCCCGAAAACGAAAAGAAGCTGCTCCAATGCATCGAGCGAGACCCTGGGCTTCGGGAGTCGTTTTCTCGTCTGCAGAGCCTCTGTGGAGCCGATGCTATAGCGCAGATCTTTGTTTGCGACCAAAGCGATCCGGCCATCCAAGCCCAGGCCGAGGCAGTCAGGCAACAGCTACGTTTCTCAGGGATGTTGCAGCACGCCAATATCGTTGGGCCAGCTTTCCACAGCATCTCAAACAGCCAGAAGATCAAGATCGTTTCAGGGGTGATTCCGCCTCATCGTGTCGGGCGGGGCGTTGTTGTCGATGAAGCAAGCGAGCGCCATCTCCAGCGAATTGAGCCCCTGTACAATGCCATGGCCAAAGTCACCGACTTTTTGGGATCCAAGATCGAGCGATTCCGGAACACCCGCAAGGCCTTGAGCCAGCGCAAAGACTAGCTCCGGCCACCGGGCTCTGCACAAGGCCCTGTAGTAGAAACAGCATAGCGGGGTCGTTTCGCTCGGACGGATGATCACCACGGCCAAGGCCGATGTTCAAAAGAGGATGATGCCTGCGATGCCTGTGATGCCTGCGACGGTGCCTGCGACGGTGCCTGCAGGAGCATATATTGGCAAACATCGAGAACACGATGGTTGATATCTGAACGGATGCCAAAAAAAAAAAGTACAGCACCCGCCGAGTGAGGCTCAGTGCCCCCCCCCCCTCGTTTGTTGGTCTGATGGTGTGGGTCGGTCTGGGAATCGAAAGGCCGCAGCCCCGCGGATGTGTTGGGTGGGCAGAGCGGCCCGGTCGCCTGCATCCCAGCCCACAGGGGGATTGCCGCTGGTTGTGCCAAACGCCTTTGCCCCGATCTCATCCGCCCCCATCCTCCTCCTGCTGCCTTTCCTGCTCGCCGGCCATCGCTATTCGGCTCCAGACCGCTCGCTTCTCCGTAAGTGGCATCGGCTTTCTGCCCAGCACCCATGATTCCGCTGCTTTCGCCACTTTCTACACCCATCACAGCCGGCGCCGTCCCTCGCTCTTCTCTGCCCTTCCTCGCCTATTGGCCTATTGGCCGCTGGCCGATATCTAGTCGGCGGCCTGCGTCTCATCCGAGCAAAGGCGTCATCAAGCGCCATGCTCTCATTCAACGACGCCGTCGACAACCATCCTTGCCGGATGGATCCTCGTCCTCGCTGCCTAGTGGGCAATGTCCTGTCTGAGCAGCCAGGCGCATACTGTTGCCCTCCCAAATCTCGTCCCCAGCAGTCCCTGCTCGTTTTCGAGACCGCTGATTCCTAACGGCCAAGCACCTGGGCCGGACGAGCCCCTGTTCCAACCCCCTGTTCGTGCGTTGCAACCTCGACTCACTGTGCAATCCGCTCTGCCTTTCTGTTTCTGCTCTTTCCACGATCTGGCTGTCTATCCATCGACAACCTGGACAATTCTGCCTGCGCTATCTACTCGATGGCACAGCTTTCCGTGCATCCAAAACCAGCAAGGCAAGATGGGCGCCATTTATTCGATGATTGCCAAGCTCTGGAACGTCAACCGAGAGGTTCGGGTTTTGATCCTGGGCCTCGACGGAGCCGGTAAAACCACGATTCTGTACCGCCTACAGCTTGGCGAGGTGGTCACCACGATTCCGACGATCGGCTTCAATGTTGAAACGGTCCAATTCAACAACATCAAATTCCAAGTCTGGGACTTGGGCGGACAAACCTCGATTCGACCTTACTGGAGATGCTACTACGCCAACACCGATGCCATCATCTACGTGCTCGACTCTGCCGATAGGGAGCCTGACCGAATCGCCTGTGCCAAGACTGAACTTGTCAATATGTTGGCTGAGGACGAGCTCAAGAGCTCGGCGCTGATAGTCCTTGCCAATAAGCAGGACCTCGAAGGTGCACGAAGTGTCGCTGAAATCTCCGAGCACCTCGCCCTGACTGATTTGAAAAATAGGACCTGGACGATCCTCAAATGCTCTGCAAAAACCGGCGAGGGCTTAACAGAAGCAATGGAATGGCTAGCCAACTACGTTGGCAGCCAGAAATAAGCCTGTCGATAGATCCCACGATGTTGCCCCACCCGCCACTCGGAGTGATAGCGGTTCCCTTATCATTCATCAGATTGTTTGACTCGTCTCTTCAATAGACGGCCCTGGCTGACATGTCTGCCTTGCGGCAAAAAAAAAAAAACGCTGATGCACCCGGTACTTTAGGGCTAGAGAAGAGGGAGCTGGGCTGATCCACATTCCGATGATGGGCGATCGATAGCAGGGGTCGAGCATCATCCGGGCTGAGATCTGCTGGCGAACCCGGCAGACTTTATTGGTTCATCGCTACCATTTCCATTCCCAACTCAACCTCGCATATCCAGCCGTCCGTGTCTCCGGGCAATCGTCAATGCTGTACCAATCGGTGGCGGTTTTGAGCGCAGCAACAAGGGCGGTTGGCTGACAGCCACAAATCGAGGTGGAGTACCCTTGGGTGAGAACAGTGAAATCTCCAAGATGCTACGGACATTCGATCAATCAAAGTATGTATTCAACAGCCAGAGAGAAAGCGGCTGGTTGGTTTCGATCGGATGCTCTATGCCAAATGGCGCAAAGCATAACAGGCCTGTTCATTTGTACATGATCACTGGACAGGCATAATGGAACTGAAAGACGGAAAGTAGTTCGCGGAGGGATCCGAGTCACCGGCCAGAACGGCCAGCCAGAACGGCCAGCCAGAACGGCCAGGTCCGAGACCAAGCCTGCAAGGGGCACCCGATAGGACGGGCTTTACAATATGTTGCACTTTGCATTTTTCACCACTGTGATAATCAGAGCCAAGAGCCAAAAGGTCTGGTCGTGGGTCTTGCTGACTTCCTTGCCGGCGCGGCTCTGCAGTCTCTGGTTTTCGCCGGTCTGATCATCTTCGTCCGGCTCCTCATCCAGCTCCTCATCCAGCTCCTCGTCCAGCTCCTCGGCATCATTGCTGCTGACTTTGGCATGAATGTCTCGGCTCTGGCCAATATCGGTATCGAGAAATCGATAGTCCAGTCGAACACGATTGTCATCGACATCTTCAACATGGATATCGTCATCGTCAACATGGACATCCCGATCTTGCTCGTTGCTGACTCCGCCATCGGATACAAGCCCAATCGTCGTGCTGTCGGGGCTGAGGCCCTCGTTGTTAGGGCAAGAAGCTGGCGAGCTTGATTCGGAGACAATCAGATCACCGGTGGCGCCAAGCTTGTTCAGGCTGACCTTGAGTGCCTCTTGAAGACTGTCCTCCGAAACATCGGTGGCCTCGTCTGAGTCGAAGCCAATGACGTCGAAGCGCTTGCGGTCAGGCGATTCCTCAACAATGCTGACGATTTCTGTCACTGATTTCACAACAGATTCAACTATTTATCCGCAAAACACAGCAGCAGCACCGCAGAGATTAGAGACGGAGCCACCAGGACCATGACATGCTCTGCTGGTTCACGCCAGTACACCATCACACGAGCAGAGATACTGCCTGTCTCACGCCGGTTTGCTCAACAAACTGCAAGGCACATCGAAGCGAGTTACCGACAGTATGCAATAAATTGCCTTCTGTCTTCGTGCCGCGGCGAACATACCTATAGGCTCATGTTGACTTTCCGATGGCGCCGGCTGGACAACAGGCGTGGTGGCTGCAGTGTCGCTGGGTTTCAGAACAAGAATGTTATTGACGTTGCCGCTCTGATCAACCCGGAAGTTTTCGGTATCGTCGTGGGTCCAAGCGCCGTCGACGATAAACTTGTAGAGGATTGTATCCCCGTCGCTTGAAGTGGGTGGCGGCAGGTCAATGATGCTTTCGAAGGTGCCGTCCTCCTTCTTGGCCAGGACCAGGGTCTGCAGTACGGGGTTGGAGAAGTTGCGAGGTGCAGATGGGATTTAGTCGTAGTCGACCGATAGCGGTAGCCCCCGAAATATACGCCCTGAGCAGCCCAAGGAACTCCCGCGATAGGTCCAGCGATGCGGCTGGGGACGCACGGCGATGGTGGCGACGGTACGATAGGGCGATGTGACGATGGGACAAGCATAGTTCCTCAGACCTTGCTCCACTGGTCGAACGTCCCGGTGACGATGACGCTTTGAGGACCAGGGCGCTTCCATCTGAATGTGTAAGAGACCATCTTGGGTGCGGAGGGTGTGGTCGGCAGCCTGGAGATGCGATGGCGGCCTGAAGAGGGTCGATGATGCTTGCGATGCCGGTCTGGGGACCAGGCGCGTTGCAAGCGAAAAAAACCACCCAGGACCTGAACACCCGCCCCGTGCCAGTCAGCGCCGTCACGCCGACACACCCTGGCCAACGCCGATGCAGGGCTCTTTGGTGGCCGCATGGTGCTCGGGGGGGGGCGACGAGCGGCGAGTGTCGTGTGGCTCGTTTGATGCAAGCAATCAGATGGATCGTTGTTGGGCGACAGATTCGCTGCGGCTGCCGATTCAGTGCAAGCATGTCCGAGACGGCATCTCGCTCATTGTCCTCGGTGGGCAATACGACGGGCAGAACGGGTAGTCGATAGAAAACGGCCAGCCACTCGTTACGAGTGCGGCCACTCCAGCGCAGCTATTTAGCGGGCCCGCTGGCCCGAAGAGAAGGTGTCGCCGCTCTCGTTTGTGGGCGATTGCTGGCTTGAGGGGGCGTGGAGAGTCATCGTCTGGAGAGCCCGCTGATGCGCAATCCGTGTTTTGACTTTGATCCTCGGAAAAACCCCACCGATATCTTGATCTCGGTGCAAACCCCCGCTTCCGTACAGCGCTGGTCAAAAACCAAAGGCTGCCGGGAAGCGTTCCCATCAAGCCCGTCCCTCGAATATCCGTCGCCATGCTCGCCTGGGTCTTGGAAAACGAAACGACAGCCAACATCCTCTTCTCGTCGACAGCCGCCATCACCACTCGCTCGTTAACTCATCCGCTGGACACGATCAAAACTCGCATCCAATATTCGCAGCATATTTCCTCTGGAGCGCCTGGGCTCGCATCCTACTTACGGTCCAATGCCAATCTGTCGCTGTACCGAGGTCTTGGCGTCTCGTTGATATTCTCCGTTCCAGCCCTCACGGTGTACTTGACTACGTACGACGCCCTCAAGCATAGGCTTGGTTCATGGTACGGCCGTGGCGGCGGCGAGTCGATTCTGGTGCATGCCGCTTCGGCAGCAACAGCAGAGGGGCTCAGTGGTCTGTTGTGGTAAGTTCAGGTCCGAATGAGCCCGGCTTTGGGTCTTACGCCGTTTGTCGTCTGGCCCTCTATCAGACGACACCATCCGCAGTTGATGGGCAGCCAGGCCCGATGAGGATAGAGCGACACAGCACAGGAGATAGAGCGACAAAGTATCGTCCCTCAAACGATCGATAATTTGGGGCCCGGCCTCGTTAATGGGCCGTGCGTTTGTAACAGATCGCCATTGACTAGACTCGTCTTCGAAACGCCGCCCAGGACCCCCATGGAGATCATGAAGAACAAGCAGCAAGTCAGTGTGCTTCGGGCTCCGTCGGCACCGGCCGAGTCGACTCTATCTCTGGCCCGCTCCATCTATAGAACAGGAGGAGCTGCGGCCTTCTTCCGGGGCTATTGGCTCAGCCTGGCCGTGTTCATGCCATACACGGTGGGTTCGGGAGAAATCGATCAAAGCCCAGAAACGATAGTCTGAGCTACGGGTGCCTTTCTCCAGCCCGCATCGATGCTCTGCGGGCGTAGCCGTTGCGTTAATGTACCGCCGGTGCAGATGGACTCATCAAGGCTGTCTACTCTCTAACCCTTTGGTAGGTGAGCTATTTTGTGACATATGAGCAGCTCAAGATTGTTGCGCATCGAGCCCTGGGCCACCCGGATATCTCTACCGGATCCAAAGTGCAGAGCGGAAGCACCACGGCGCAGCCGCCTCTGCCCTTCTCTGTCTACTTGGCATGCGCGGCAGGCTCCGGTGCGCTAGCCGGCGCCATCAGCAACATCGCCGACGTCGTCAAGACCCGAGTGCAAGTCGACGGCACCTCGGCCTGGACGGTGGCGCGAACAATGTGGGTCCAGGAGGGTGGCTGGAAGGCCTTCACGAAGGGCATGGCCGCCCGCATCCTCTGGGTTATGCCGAGTGTAGCCATCACGATCACCATGTATGACATGCTAAAGGACTGGCGAGCCGGCTGGCTGGAGCAACGGCAATCCTCGGAGAACCGATTCATCGACAACAGGCCTCGGCCTCTATCCTCGACTTGAAGCATATTCTCAAAGCCAAAGTACGCCAATTGCAGTGCGGCCGCTTACGAATACACGGCCTTTGCCGAAGCGAGACTCAGCATTCCCAAAACGAAACGAGACATTGCATTTTCTGGGTCCAGAATACACCCCGATTCATCGTGGCCAACCAGCGTGTCCAAGGAGACTGATATTGTGGTTGCGTTTGCGAGTGTCCGGTGGAAGTAAAGGGGGGAAGGGAAGGGAAGGGAAGGGAAGTCCATTGAGCCCACAGATACAGGTTGCCAAATGCCCTGAGCAGCCCCACCACCACCAGAGACGTCCAGGACCCAGAACTCACGGCGAGGGAATGGTTCGGGACCAACTCCTTGACATCGAGAAATCCCAGAGCTGCACAAAGGGCCGAATCCATATGGCATCTCAAGACTGTGCTTCCCCCCCTCCCCAAGCCAACACCAAGCGGCATTGAATTGTAAACGGACGCAAATGACACTGTCCGATTCGCTCTGGGCATGTGAGAATCGTCCATGCGACGGAATCTCCATCTCCCGACGTGCATGGATTGCCTCGCAGCAAGTCGGCAGCTCCTCTGAGAAAGCGGTCGGTCTGGTTCGATACACACACGAACTCCATGTGGCATCGGCTCCATGTCGGGAAGTATCTCGAAGCATCGATCAGCTCTGGGTGCAAGGCGTGGTGGGTTGGGAGCGGCCATGATGTGCGGAAAAATGACTCGGCCCATGAACAGCCAATTGGGGTCACATCCTCTCCTGGGCGTCTGTCCCAGGGAATCAGTCCAACAAGCCCACGGGCGGCCAGGAAACGCTATTGCTCTGCGCCTGCTGCGCCAGCGCCATTTCTCCGCGGATTCGCACAATACACCAGCGACGAAAAAAACGGAGGACAGGGAACCCGGGATGGCGATGGCCCAGGCGGCTACAAAATGGCCCGCCGGCTTTTCTTGCCGCTGCCCGCTCTATCCAAATTGCCCCTCGTCGATGCCGCCTCACAAGATCTCGTCAACGGACAGCCTCGAGACTCGGGTTGAAAAGACCCTGGTCATCGAGGACGCTACTGATGCTATCAAGAAGCTCGGAGCTGGTCCTCAGCCGCCAAGCACCGACCAGCTCGACTATGAGAAGGGCACTTCGACCATCGCCTGGGTGCTCAAGATGCTGTTGCGGTTCAAGAGCGCCAAGGATCTTGTGTCGACGTAAGTCGAGGAGCGGCAGCCGAAGCACTCGTCGTCATGGCTGAAGCATTCGTCGTTCGTAGCCGAACCATGGGCTACGGTTCATGCTCACCAGCAGCACATCCAGCTGACCATTTGCCAAATACAGCCGCCTGTCCCTTCCAACCAATCTACTGCACCCCACGTCGCAGCTGGAGTTCTGGGTCGGTTGCGGCAACTTGTATACTCTGCATCCCGGGTGTGGTATCTGATGGCGGATGCTTTGTCGTCATCAATGCGATGCACGAACCAGACGCTCCTGATCGTTGCGCCAGGGCTAACTTGACCGCTGCCTGCATTAGAATTACAACGATCGCCCAGATCTCATGGCAAGGTACAGCGCTGGCTGCTATGCACCGCCCATCGAGCTGCTGCCGAGGGAAGCTAACTGTTCACATATGCCTTGTTCTTGTGTCTATAGCCTCAGCGATCCAGAGGACAGCCTGGACCGATTCCTGGGTGTTGTTCGATGGTGGTATTCCAAAGACACAAAGTGGAAGGTACGTGGCTGCAGGGGGCTGTTGCAGTGGGTAAGTCCAGATCTGCGACTAACTGCTTCGGCCATAGACCAATACGATGTGCAAGCCCTTCAATCCGATTCTCGGCGAGCGCTTCCTGTGTGAATGGAGGACTCTGGTCGCCCAGCCCCCAGGCCACAACGGCGTCGTGGAGCCCAAACACGTAACGGTGCAGGGAATTCAGGAGCAGATCTCCCACCATCCCCCTGTGTGCGCGTATTATTACGATTGCCCAGAGAAGGGCGTGGTCATACGAGGGCTCGATCAAATCATGGCTCGGTTCACCGGCACTCGTATGTGTCTGCATTATTCCAGCATCCGCTGGCGAGACCCTGCATCTGCTCGTGATTTGTCGCTGGGTGTTGCATCGATGTTGCTGGATCAACCACCCCCACGCGCTACGCCCCCGTCGCAACTAACCCATGACTGCCCTCGCTGGCCTGCCATAGAGCTCAAAGTTGGACCCGGTGAATGCAACCACGGCATCTATGTGACGCTGACCAAGCGAGACGAGGAGTATCTGCTGACTCACCCGTGGGCCTCGGTGGCGGGGTTCATTACGGGCTCGCTATACATCACCGTTTCGGAAACGACCGTGATCGTGTGCCCCAAAACGGGGCTCAAGGCCGTACTAGAGTACAAGCCCGAGCCCTTTTTTGGACGCCCCAAGTTTGCGATTGAGGGCAAGATCTTCCGGCACGACTACAAGGCGGACGAGGGCCTGACAGAGAAAGAGCGAAAAGAAAGTGAGAAGCTTGCGAAAATCCCCGAATCACTGGTCCTGGCTACGGTGTCGGGACAGTGGAACGGAAGAGTCTACTTCCGAAAGACCGGCGAGGATGTAAGTGAAGGACTCGCCCGGCTGCTTTGTTGATGCCGCCAGCATGTTCGATAGCGGATCGCACCGGCAGACACACAGGAATGTATCTGCTCCTAACGGATCTTTGTGTCAGCACGACACCCTGCTCTTCGACATGACCGAGTCCGAAGTGGCCAGGAAGATTGTCAAGCCTATTGGCGATCAGGACCCGCTTGAATCGCAGCGAGTTTGGGGAGGCGTTACGAGTGCCATGCTGGAGGAGGACTTCCAGACGGCGACGAAACTGAAGCGCCAGCTCGAAGATGAACAACGTGCACTGAGCCGCGGGCGCAACGAGCCCTTTGTCTCCAGCTATTTTCGGTTTGAGCTACCGCCGTTGGAGCCTGCAACCCCAGAGTCGATTCGGTCGATGGAGGGCGGCAAACCCTATCTCAAGTAGACGATGGAAGCAGCTGTGGTGATTTCAAAACAGGACACACCGCACTTGAAATAAACAGAACACCGCTTTTTGCTTGGCTGGTCAGCTTTCTCTCTCCCTCCCTTCTTTTCCTTTCTTTTCGCCATGAATACACACCCATCCGCCCCTCACGATGACCATGTGTGGCACTCGATCATGACGCTACTGCACTGCGAGACAGCCATTTGATCTACAGGTGGGGGGGCAAGGCTGCCACCGTCACCGGTGTGCCCAAGGATGCCGTCCACCATATACAACTTGTTCGTTTCGTTATGGGATGGCCGCTTATGGCTTCCATCTTGCTTGCCCAACGGATGCGCTCCGTCATCCGAAACAACAACATCAAGGCTTCCCACGGTCCCACCACCGCATTCCCACACTCCCCGCGTTGCATGTCCCACACGGAGCCGCGGGCCAATCACGGCGTCCGTTGCTGCCCCAACTCTGCGTTAGATAGCCGTGACAACGGCCTGCCCGCAGTGTCTGCATTCGGCCCCGCCGACTCGGCAGTTACTCGGCCTTTTGCTGCCGATCTCGCCTGTTCTGTCTTCCGGGTCTGCAGTAGCCACATTCTCCGGGCCAGTCAGTGCAGACTATCCATCGCACCCGTTTGTTGTGATCCGATCTGGTGCCGGTTCTGCGAATCTTCTGCTCTCTCTGCTCCTCGCATTCGGACGACCAGCGGGCCCCAGAGCAACTCCCACAGAGACTGCGTCCTCCGGACAGTCCTCTGTCTTTTGTCCTCTGTCCTCTGTCCTCTGTCCTCTATCCTCTGCTCATCCACAATCTGGCTTATTGCTTATCAGCGTCACGCTACCGCTGTTGCTGTTGCTGCCGTTGCTGTCTCGTAAATCAAGCGCTCTCCTCCCACCACGGCCTATCAGAGCCTTCTTCGGTCCCTCAAGCATCCAGCACCGAGGCCGGCCCAGGCTGACTGCCCGTCGAGTACTGTTGGGGTGCTCTCCGTGTCTGTGTTGTGCTGATTTTGGCTCTCCAACGGCCACCGCAAGTACCGCTGCGAACAAACTCGCCCTCGTCGCCCTCCGACTGTGGTTCTTGGGACGCCTGCCATGACCCCAACCACTTCGTCCTCGCTGCTCCCTTCGTTGCTGCACCGGCCTGTAACCGACGCTCTTCGACCTCCCACAACAGAGGCCCCGACGCCGTACTTCACCCAGTCCAGCTCGCTGGTCTTAGGATCCCTATCGCCTCGACTGTCAACTTCAGTTTCGACATCCCCGCCGATAAGACCGCCCTCCGATCACCTCGGGGCTGGTCGACCAACACCAAACCAACCCAGCTCTGGCCGGGTGCTTACCGAGAAGCTAGCCCTGAGCCACTTTGCTCAGGATCGGCCGGCTTCAGACCGGCGGATCCGTGATCGGCCATCTGGGGCCACCCAGGTCGTGGATGGCCTTTCCGGCGATCATCCAGGTCTCGCTCCTTCGACAGGCAGTTGCAATTCGCATCCGTCTCCAGGCATGAACCAGACGCTTCATGTTCGCTTGGACAGCGAGCCGATCTCCAAACTACCCAGTATCGAGCTTCGCCAGCGTCGGATCGGCGAGCCCATCGTTCTCCAGGAGGATGAGCTTGTCGATGGCGCCTCAACCTCGCCTGCAGGGCCCTGTCCGGCTGCCAAGCGACGGAAGGTGTGTCAGGCATGCACCAACTGCCAGAAGGGCCATATGTCCTGCGACGAAAGCCGTCCGTGTCAACGATGCATCAAACGAGGGCTTGCCGCAACCTGCCAGAATCCCCAAAAGAAACCAACCACCAAGGCCTGCCTTTCTTGCCCCGTCTTGATCCGGCCCGCACCACCAAAGCCCGAGTCGTCCTTCGTTTTTCCGTCGCTGTCCTCGACCAAGCCAGCATCTCGATCGCTGTCCCGCGAGCTGCTATCGCTGCCGCCCTCTCGAGCCAATTCCAAATCGCCATCGGGATCACCGGCTCTCTCAAGCCCGTCGCAACTGCAGCCGCAACCACAAATCAAGATTCCCACTGTCTCGATCCAACGGCCGATCGAAGTATCGCGCATAGCGTCGCCTCTGCCATCCTCCTCGGCCCTTGCACATGGGTTCGATCAAGCGCCATCTGTGCTTACAGACTCGGTCCTTTTGTCGAGTCTGATGAGTCTGGCCGCAGCTGCCACCGCCCAGGATCTGCCTGAGGCCGTTGCAACCTCGACACCAAGTTCCCCAATGTCCGGCTCTTTGGTTGGACGGCTCTTGAACGATCCCGCATGTGCTTCACCTCTGGGCTCGGTCGTTCACTCGTCCGCAATCCCATCGCCACACCCGTATTCACCCTCACACCCGCCCGCACAGCAGGATGGACTTTTTTGTGCTCTGCGGTCGAGCTTAGACTCCATTTCAACCCAGATGGCCCCAAGCATCGAGTACGATTCAAATGCTATCCAGCGTCAGATCGACCACCTCGCCCACCTCGCCCACCAAATTGCGGCCTTCCAGAACGCAACGGCGCCTCGGGCCCATCCTCCTCCGACTACACTTGCCGTCCCCTCTATAGCCAGTCCGCCCGATGGGCAGCAGAATCCGTTGGCCACTGCCGAGTCAGGCCTATCGGCAAGCGGATTGTCATCGCAAACAACCCTGAACATGCTTGGGTCATTGATTGATTATACCCGAGCCCAACCAGACGCAGGTAGGGTTTGATCCCACTGATTCCAAAGTCATCCGATTTGAGCCGAAGGCAAGAAATCAACTTGGATATCGCCCCGCTCCAAATTCAGATGACAAGGGTGTTCTATCGCAGTTGATGACTATGTGACGCTGCGATTTGGTGGAGCATGCTCACCACATCAAAGCAGCATGCCTTTTTCTGACTCACTCACTCACTCACTCATTCATTCATTCACTCATTCACTCACTCACTCACTCACCCACTCATTCACTCACTCCCGACATTCTGTCACTGTCACTCATCAAATTCGTATGTGGTCCAGAGCCTCTGAGCGTCTTGCCTCATGACTATCAATCTGGATACAATCGGGCCCGCAGCTATATGGCAACTCACATTTCCGTCGCCGGACAAGATAAAATCAACAAAGTCATTCTCACATCGCAAGCAGTCTTCAGTCTCCTGGTCAAGAGCCCACCGATTTCCGAGCTTATCCAGGTCGAACGTCGGTTTCGCGATTTGGTGCGCAATTATTGGCAGCAACAGCAACAGCAGCAACATCAACAGCAGCATCAGTCAAGAGAATCTGCAAAGATCGCCACTGCCGTGTGGCGCAGAACAGGGGAAATCTATGGAGCCAGTCATTTGTTCCTGCAACTACTTCACCTGACCCCTGACCAAGTCGTCGAAGGTCGAACGGGTATATACGAGTTCATGACTGAAGATTCCCTGGTCTCCTACTGGGAAAGATATGGACAGCTATCCTTTGGCAAAAGCAACGAAGTCAGAGTTGGTCCATGCATCTTGCGAAATCGGAACTTGCCTGGCGCCGAGCTGCATTACTCCAATTTGTCGATAGAATTCCATCACGACCACTGGGGCGTGCCGCTGATGATAATCGGTACATTTTTGATCCTGGATCTGGACGGGCAACACTCCCAGCAGCCTTGTTCGGAGGTGTCTTCAGACGCGCGGCCGCACTCAACCCCCACGAGTGTATATTTCCAGGGCTATAGCATATACGATGAGAGCTCTACTCCAACCCGTCCGGCCATTTATCAAGCCACATCAAGCTCTTCGACGTCCGAGCACCTCCAGAGCATTACTACAGCATCCTCGCTCACACAGCTTGAAATCGAGCCCGCAAAACAGAGCTCAGCAAGCACTCTGTCGGCACCGATCGGCCAGCCAGATCTTGGGTTCTCGCCCATCACAATGGCAATCGCACCGGCCCTGCGTTCGGCTGGAGGCTCCCTGGACGACTCAACACCATCAACTCTGGTCCATCCCTCAACCTCAAGTCTGTTTCCGACATCAGCATTCTTGACTGACCCTCGTCCCATCGAACAGATCTTGGGGATACCCACGGTCAACACTTTGATGGCGGCTCCACAAGAGACCCGCTCGCACTTTGACTTTGGCTTTGGAAGCTTGAGTGGAATACCAAACACAGGCCGATACTCTGTTCTGCCGGGGCTATCCTCTGCCGCAAAGCTCCCTATCCCAACTGGCGCTGGCGCGATTGCTGCCTTCCCGGGTCTTGCCAGGTCTCTCCACGATCACGCAAGCAATGTACCCCATTCCGTCGGTCACGGCCAGATCAGCGGACAGATCAGCTCGACAGACAGAGCGCCGCAACCCAGCACCGCACAATTAGACTCAGCCTCGACCTCTGCCGTGGCCGCTCCATCGAGTGTGCCTCCCAACTCCTCGAGTCCCGGACCGCTGCAGCCACAAGCCGAATCGGCTGCGCCAGAGGACGCCATCGATTTTGACCAGCTGGAATACATAGCCTTGGATGCAGACATGCAAAACCTAATGTCGGGGCTCTTGGACTTTTCGTAGGTGAGCAGCTGTATCCAAAAGAGAGCTAACGGCTGAATCCGGGTCGGGACATGTGCTCCATGAGCAATCGGATGGACGTTACATTGTGATGCTGTCGGCTCAAGCTTCCTTCTCCTTCTGCTGATATGCCCTTCCCATATGCCCCAGTTGCCAAAGCGGGTGGCATTCGCAACCGGGCAGCTCGACCGCCTCGAGTAATGTCTACGCTTGTAGCACAGTTGACCACTCTGTGAATCATGGCTCCTGTATATTCCATTCAGTAGACAAAGATGAAATCTCTTGTATACAATGCGATATTCTGTGTCTGCCGGAGCAACATTGCAGCTCATACGGAAAGGGCTGGGAACGGTACAGTCATATCGGAGGTAGCTTTTAATATTCCATGTCAAATGGAAGGATACTGAGTGTGGTTCTGAGACTTTGCATAGTGTTATCGGGTACTTTTCGGCTCTAGGATAGATTCAGATCAGGGACAGGCTCGGCGCGAGGCTTTTCATCCAACAGGCGGTACTTGCGAGTTTCTGATCTCTCAGCAATAGACTCCTTTGGCTCCTCGGTGTCTTCCACAGCAGAGGGTGGCTGGGGCGCCATGCGTCTTCGGAACGGGAGAGGAATGTCTGTGTTGCATCATCGCTGCATATAAGTCCCATCGTCCAGCCAATAAAACTAAAGCTCTCGGCTCGACCGGACGCTGTCTACTGCGAATCGGCGACCATGTGATGCAGGCTTCTGCACAAAAGTCTCACCCTTGGTTGCTCTAAAGTTTCCAATGTTGCTGGTATGTTCATTTTCCTATGAACGGCAGCGATGAGTCCGCATTTAAAACGAGGCCGCGAAGCTCATGGCACTCAGCAATGCCGCAAGAGAACACCGACGGGCCGATCCCCCTTGACCTACCATACGAATCAAATTCCACTGGAACCGACTGATGAGCGAACTCCAAGGTTAGTCTCTCGATATGTACATTTCCTCTGCAATACCACGCCGCCGGCTGCGCCCGCTTCATCACAACTCATCCTTGGTCCGTACCGGAATAGCTCGAGAATAGCCAAGAAGTAAATAAGCAGCTTGCTGTCCCAGAATATGCCCCAGTTGTTTGGGGAAATCGTGATGATCCACGTCATTCTGAGAATAAAGTTGCTCACAATTGCAAAGTAGTAGAAGGCCTTCCATGGGTACACCTGGGGGTTACATGGCGAGGACGAAACAAATGTCCCCATCATCAAGCATTAGCCACCGAGCTTGAGCGGTCTTGCCCCACAGCCCAAGCTACAGCGATCGACTCTACAGAGATGCAGTCACCTCACTACTTACGAGCTCCTCTCGCAAATATCCGTATTTGCGTTGCAAAAGATTGAAATCAAAGGTTGTATCCCAAACGTAGGCATAAATGGTGGTGATGCTTGCAAAAACTGGTGTCGCCGATCACGCCAATAACGCAGGGCGAAGCAATATCATGGTGAGAGCTGAAATCCGTGACGGGATCGCTGGTGTAGCGTGGTGCATTTTCTTGGCTGGCGCAACTTACTTATCCACAGAATTCGGATGGCTATGCTGTTCTGGATCTTGCTGACTGCAGACAAAATGATCACAGAGAGCGATAGCAAATACTTGATGCCGTTCAGCAGATGCGGTCTAGCAAACGAGTTGTCGTAATATCCTGCAAACGACGTCTCGGCCCAATCAATACTTGGGGAGCAACCGCCCCAGGAGCATATTTGGATATGGAAGTGTGGAGACACCACTCAAGGCTGCGTCGATGAGGCCAAGTAATTCAGCTGTTTGTTTACTTTTCCACTTACTGCGTATGCACTGAATCAGTCGCCAGAAGCTTGGGAGGCCCGCAATGATCGGCACGATGTACGATGTCGATAGATCGCAGGTACTTGCTGCTCCGAAGATAGATGGCCGGTTAGCATGCGCTCACATCCGACAAACGAAGATTGGCTGATAGAACCTATTTTTTGATCCGCAAACCCACCATTGGTGTCGAAGGGGTTGTTGATAATCAGGCACGCCATCAGCTCCAGCGCCACAAAAGAGTAGGTCTGTGACATCGGGAGGTGGTTAGTGACTGTGACCGATCTGCCTCGTGTGACACTTGGATTCAATAAATCCTGGCGATGGATCGCTTACCATAGAACTGAGGAGATCGCAGATGAAAAAGTCTGTCGCCGAGGAGCCATACAGAAAGAGCACGATCAGAAATACACACAGGCGAGCGGACAGGTTTGTTGGGCTTGGCTCGATATCCACCTCGAAACTCGACTTTCCAGACGCCCGAGGTAATTATCCTTCCAATCGATCGCATCAACCAAAAGCGCGAGCTGCGGTAGAAAAACTTGAATGGGTTGCTCATCAAGAGCAATATGACGGCACACAAAATCTGCAGAATGAAAAGGAACCGAGAAACTGCAAGTAAGAGCGTTGTACGATGCATGGCGGCTCTTAGACACTGAATCCGAGCCACCATTTGAGCAAATGTCCAGTCAGATAATTGACTGTTGCATGCCCCCCCCCCAGTCGATAGTGCTGTGTTGCGCAAGACAGGAAACGTGGAACTCACGATCGGATAGAGCTGTACTTCGATGCCAGGGAAAAAGTTGTCGACCAGAGATAGATAGAGTGCGCAGCTGGAAGGAATGGCGACTCAGATCATCGTATTGCGCGATGCGCATGAGGGCATCGAGACTCTAATCGACAACAAGCTGTTTCGCTGCTTACCTGAAGAGAAGGATCAGGAAGGAGCCGAACTCGGAGAACTGGTGGGGGCTGAGATGATCTGCAAATCGGATCTACAGGATCAGTTGTCCTTCTGGGAGCGGGATCTACATCGGCTGCAGTCTGCTGTCATGGCTGGAGATGCCAAGGGCTCCCGTGGCAAAGGTCCTGACATGGCGTCCATGTATGTCGCTCGTAAGCCTACCTCTGGGATCGAACTCGAAGATAAAGACATAGTTGATATGATACTTTTGCCATATAATCAAGTTGAGCGCAAACAAGAAGAGAAACAGAATGGGGATGCTGTGGGCGTATTCGAAACACACATGCGTTAACGCAGAATCGGGACTGGGTTCCATCGATGGTGCTGCTCAAGACCCACCTGAATCCAGCATAGATCTGCAGGAGCATCATATCGAGGCTGCCAATATCCGGAAGGCTCCAGATTGCTCGAATCGTGGCAACGATCGGTGGTAACGACAGGCCAAGGAAAAACCCACTGCGCCAGGTCACAAAGTGATGAGTCTATGAAAGCGGGAAGGTGCGGGGTTAGTGCCACGGGTTGCAGTGCGGCGTATCTCAACACAATATCGATCTGCCCCACGCCACCCCGCTTCGTGATAGCACCGTCGATCTCGGCTGAACAAGAGACGCCGCACCGCACCTGGTGGGCCAAGTCAGGAATGCGCAGCTTCTTCATGGCTAGTTTCCTGTGTGCAGTAATATGATTAGCGACAGGTCTCGGATGCGACATGATTTTGGGATGGGGCGAGGGCCGGATGCGCCTTGGTGCACTGAAATACCGCAGGTCGCTTGCCGCAGACTCAGTCATAAACAAAGCACGCACCTGTCGCCGCTTAAAAGACAGTCGCTGAACACGTTTTCAATTTTAGTCATCAGGCCATCGATCTTCTCCGACGACTTTTCAAATAGCGAGAGATGCTCGACTGTCGGGATATAGAGCTGGGTCGCTGGTGAAGAAACTTTGTCGAATTTCTGCAAAAGGTACCGGACGTGTGAGGCAACGAGCAGACAGACCATCATCAGGACCGACCACAGACACTGACGGCCATACCTTCATGATTTTGTACACGGCCGTGACACACATTGTCTGGGATCGAAACAGCCAACGTCAGTCTATCGAAACGATCCATACGAGATCATAATAAGGGCGGCTCTTGGGACGAGAAAGGGAATGCTGGAAGGCATTTCACGGTCTTACCTTGAAGTTCTTGATGAGCTCAAGAAACCGATAGTACTCGAGGATGGCTGACGTTAGCTTGGCTTTGATGTTCTTGCTGACCGGCACATACTCTTGCGATATATCCGTCTCGGTGAAGGACTGAGGCAGTTCGAGGTGGGTTCGGATCTGTGACGACTCCCCTTGAGAAGAGCTGCCTTGCCGAGGCTTTATAACTGAGTCAATCTTTGTGACAAGCTTGTTCTTGAGTGTCTTGAATTCGCTCTCGAGCAAAGCACTGGCGCTATCCCATTGCTAGAGATTCAGACAGCACGCCATATACCACAATTCGCACCATGTGGCCCGATGTTGGCAGATATTAGCCCGATATTTCCATCAGTCCAAGTCCGTGCGGCGTTGGTCAAGAAGGCGACGCCGTCTGGGAAAGCGAGGGTACGGCGGATATGTGCCGACGCAGGCAGAGCCCTTCACCCACGTTAAATTGGTAGTTTGTGACCGCCTTGCACTGCTCTTGAAGCTCTTCGAAGCGCCGGTTTGCTTCCTGCAGCTTTTCTGTGGGTAATGGAAATGATGGAGTTGACGGATGTGGTGGAGCGGTTCACGGGGCTAGATCTCATGGGGGATTGTGCTTTTGGCAGCCCACCCAGTATTATACAAATGTGACAATCGCAGGATACCATGCTCGCACTTGTGATACTCTTTGGTGCGAAATGCATCGGGGCGAATCCAGGAAAATGTGTGAGGTGGCACAGAGGCGCTTACCCTCGTAGAATTGATTTGCTTTCTGAACCTCTTGGTTGAGCATCGCAAAGAAGAGCACCTCTTCTTCGTTTGCGGTTTCGAGAAAGTCAGGGAAATACTCTGTCTCTATTTGGATCGGTTGTGACGGAGGTTTGCGGGCGTTCGTTAGGCGACTCCCCGTTGGCTGGATCTTTGTTCAAGGCTTATCCGCCGACCAGCCAATCCTGTGTTGAAGAAGGAATGCGCATTATCCTCGTACCTTTTATCAAGCTGCGACGGCGCTTCTTGAAGAAGAACTTGAGGGAGTTGGAAGACTGCTCTGGAAGCTGCGACTTGAATGATTTCCGCCGCAGAGGCACCGCAAGGTCACCGCTGCTGCTCTCTGCCGAGTCATCGCGCTGGCTGCCCAGCGCCGAGCCATCGTTGATGTGGATTTCGATGCGTTCGCCCATGGGGATCGAGCCGACGGGCTCGCCCATCTGCTCGTCCATTTCCTCGCCATCGTCATCGTTGTCGCCAGTGTTGCCGATTTTTTGCGGGGCGTATTCGTCCTTGCGGATATGGGCCTCTTGTTGCTTTCGTGCCTCAATCTTCTTGATGGCCTTCTTCAGAACCCGATAGTCGATGTATTTGTGCTGCCATTCTTTTGGAAAGAGCCGAATTGAAACGACGGGCTCAGTGTCCGCCGTTATCCCAAATCTGGGCCAGGCGAGGTCCCGATCGCTGACCCCCTTCCACAGGGTGGACTGCATTCGTTACGAAGCTTGGTTCCGGGCTTGGCTTCAACCCGACTCGCCGCAAGCTCCGGGACGAACATGGACATGCGGATGACGTCTCTCCTTCCCGATTCCTCTCGCACCTGGCACGGCGTTCTCGAGGAGATATTGCCCAAACTTCATCCTGGCCCCGACGGACGACTTTCGCACGTGTTGCAGGAGATGGGCATACGAAGGGGCAGAGGAGGTTCGGAAGTACTTGGGGCTGCTCGGGGCTGGTTTGTGTCTGGCGGGCGGGCTGTGATTGGTCGGATTGCACGGCGGCGGCGGTGTGGCACGAGCGCGGCACGAGCGCCAGCCTGGCTGTGGCGGCTGCGCACGGCCCTTGCCGAGACCGAGAGAGAGAGAGAGAGAGAGAGAGAGAGAGGTGGCCAGTGTCATGGCTGGAGGGTTTTCATTGCAACCATCTTGATCCCGCAGCCGCGATCGTCTTCTGCCTGCGCCGGTGCCAATCCACCATGATCCATCTGGCATCCAAGCATTTTGCCCCGCTGCTTTCGCGACGGACGGTGTCTGCGCTGCGTTCAAGTCTTCGCTCCTGTACCCCACGCTCTCCCCTCTCGACCTTGGCCCAGAATCGTAAATGTCCTCTCGCTGTGGATCGCTGTGTCGATTGCTGCGGCTCGTGCCGGCCTGAACCAGCACAGCATTTGCCGACCGGCCCTGACCACAGTTTACCGATTGTTCCCAGAGCTGGAGCAATTCCAAGTCGGTCGAGTTGTCCATGGCTTTAGGGTTGTGCAGGTACAGACACGGATGCCTCGGAACAGCCGCAGCGGACTTGTACCGACCAAACGTCTCAGATCGCTTGGCAAACGAGCATGTATCGTCAGCTGCGTGTCGCCCTGATGTTCCACAATTTATCCAGGTCAAGCCGATTCCAGACTTTGATCAGGTGGCCGTGCGATTGAAACACATCAAAACCAATGCCGACTACCTCCATGTTTTCAAGGACGATGCCAACAATGTGTTTAGGTACCCTCGATGGCATCATTGATAGCGTAGTCGATAGCATCGTCGATAGCATCGTCGACCTCCAGTAGTATAAATGGCTGATAACGGCATATCCATTCATTGGAATCATCAGTGTCGCTTTCCAGACGGCGCCAAGGGACAGCACCGGTGTCCCGCATATTCTTGAGCATACTACGCTCTGTGGCAGCGAAAAGTATCCCGTCCGCGATCCTTTCTTCAAAATGCTCAACAGATCCATGGCGACGTTCATGAATGCGATGACTGGTCTGGATGCTGCAGATTTATGTGCGGGCGGTGCACATGTGTGCAAGACATTCCATAGATGTCCACCAGAGCCCCGGCTGGCGACTCCATCCTGACCAACGAACCTGCTGCATCCTTGGAATGGCTTAGGCTCGGATGTGACCATATATCCATTCTCGACGGAAAACAAAACCGACTTTTACAACCTGATGGATGTGTACATGGACTCAACTCTGGCCCCTCGACTTCAAAAGTTTGATTTCCTGTACGCCGTCTAGTCTGCTTTGTTGCTCTCGTTTGCGGTGGGGACGGCTAGTAAGCCCCGTGTTCACGGTCTCAGTCCAGAGTTTCGCTGGCACTTGGCTTACGCTGGTCAGGTGTGGATTACGGTGGAAGCTAGCTGACGCTATGATTCGCCTTTTTTTTTTTCTCAGACAAGAGGGATGGCGCTTGGAGCATCAAGACCCTCGAGGTGAGACGTTCAGTCAGACTTGGTGATGCTCAAGATGGCGCTCTTTTCCAGATGCTGAGACTCTCGATACTGATACCCGCGATACTGCCGCGCACGATGCTCACAGATGCCAGTACTCCCATCGTGTTCAAGGGTGTCGTGTACAACGAAATGAAAGGAGCACTGGTGGGGGATCGTAGTCAGCAGATGCAGCCGTTGGGCTGGCGAGCAGTACACCTCGTCTACTGAATCGTACGACCCTCCGCGCCCCTGTCGAGCAGCCCTGTACTCGCACATACTAACGACCAATCCAAATCCAAATCCAAATCCAAATCCAAATCCAAATCCAAATCCAAATCCAAATCCAAATCCAAATCTACGCCGACTCTTGTGCACGCTGCTTCAAAACCTGTGCTCTCTAGTCGGATATGAATTCACTCTTTGCTCAGCGTCTACAGCAGTACATGTATCCCAGTACCACATACTCCACCGTCAGCGGAGGAGATCCTATTGAGATCACCGATCTGACCCATGAGCAGCTAGTCGATTTCCACCACAAAAACTATCACCCAAGCAACGCCAAATTCTTCACTTATGGTAAGGGGCGCTTTATATCAAACTGTCGGAGCTGTTGAGCTTCGGCTCTTGCAAGGGTCGACCTGACCTGTCCCTGTGCGTTTCATACCAGGCACGTTCCCATTGGTCGATCACCTCTCCAAAATCGATGCTTCGATCTCGGTCTTCGAAAAGATCCAGCCCGAGCAGCTGAATGATACCGAACGGTGGTCTAAGCCAAGAAAAATGATAGTTTCCAGTGTACCAGATGCCTGTATGTGAGGCATGGCTTGAGATCGGCGCATTCCTTCAGTACTAAACATGTGGCTGCAAGAGGACATCGACCTATCTAACAAATGCAATATCTGGGCTTGACGCGACCTAGTGGCCATCGATGGACGCGAGTCAAAGGTGGCCATTTCGTATCTGGTGAACGACTCGAACGTAGGTTTGAGCCAGCATGCCAACCTCCAAACTTCCAGCGCACTTGGGATCGTAGTGCTCGTACTCATCGGTCTCATTTGCGATACCAGGACATCTTTGAGACTTTCGTCCTGCGAGTTATCTGTTCGTTGCTCACTGAAGGGGCGGCCTCGCCCATGTACAAGTCCTTGATTGAATCCGATCTCGGCACCGACTACGTGATGGGAAGCGGATACGATTCGACTGCCAGGTAGACGATGTCAAAGAACAACTGGCTTCGTTCTCCCCTCTGTGCCAGTTTTCCTGCTAGCTTGTCCAGGTTTCAATCTTTCGCAGGCTCACGGACAGATAGTTGCGAGTTTCTAATATGTTGGATGGCTGAGCATGCAGACTGGCCAAGGTTTCGTTTGGGCTGCAAGGGATCCGGTCGGAAGACGCTCCGAGGGTAAGCTTCTTGTTGAGCGCCATGTGCGTATGCTTTGAGCCTCCCATTAATACTTTCAACGTGCCGCCAATACCCTCTGGGCTCTAGGTTGAAGATGCTATCCAAAACACCCTTGCAGATGCCGCTCAGCACGGATTCGATGCCCATCGCGTCGAGAGCGTTATCCACCAGATGGAACTTGGCTTGAAGCACGTAAGCAAGCTGCTCATTGGTACTCGTCGAGACCGAGTTTGGCTTGGCTGTGTGCTTACGCATCTCGCCGACTCCAGCGCACCGCCAACTTTGGCATGGGATTGGCGCAGGCGATCATCGGACACTGGATTCATGGTGGCGATCCCATCGAGGCTATGGAATTTTCAAAGGTGAGAACCCCCCCACAAATCGCTCTCTGGAGACGATGTTTCTGCGGTCTCTAACAGCGTCGCCCCCGTCTATCTCGATATCTACCATGTCAATCCACCCCCTGCGCACCCGCTACTTGTGCACCCGCTCTCCAGTATATCGATCAACTCCGGCGCGAGGCCGCGACACCGGGTTTCTTTGAGAGTAGGATCCGCCGATATTTCATCGACAACCCTCATCGCCTCACCTTGGTCATGGTATGCCCTTGCCACGCAATATTATCTGCTGGACGACTGTTTGGACTTGATGTAAGCATTCCTGCATGCCCGAGCACCTGTGTATAACCATATTGGTATGTGTCGCCGAAACACAGCAACCCGAGGAGTCGTTCGTCGATGAGCAGGAGCAAGAAGAGGCCAATCGCCTGGAAAGAAAGCTTGCAGCCTTGACCAAGGCCGACAAAGCACAGATATACAGCGACGGAATTGAGCTGCTCAAGAAGCAAGAAGAAACCGAAGGTAAACCGCTCTGGAGGCCGTGTTCGTGCATGATATTTGACAGATTCGCTGGTCTGTTGTGCCCAGGTGGTTTTTGGTCCGGGGAACTCTGTTTACTGACTCATCGTTCGCATAGATCTATCATGTCTGCCGACCTTGACCGTCAAGGACATCTCACCCCAGGGCAAAACGTACCCCCCCAAACATGCGAGTGTGGCAGGACTCCCTGTGCAGTGGCGGACAACCGACACCAACAGGGTTTCATATGTGAATCTCGCAAAGTCGCTTTTGCGCCTTCCCGAAGAGCTCAAATCGTACCTGCCGTTGTTTTGCATGGTAAGCGTCCTCTCCTTCTCCCACACACATTCGCACACCCACGCGCTCACATGCAATCTCTCTTCGACTGCGATTAACCAGCGTCGACCCATGAATTTCCGTTTCGGATCGCACCGTCGAGACTGACTCTCATTTTTACACTCCCCTTGAAACTAATGTAGGCCTTGGGCAAAACGGGAACCACGAACAAGTCGCTTGCCGAGCTGGACGAGCAGATTCGCCTTCTGACCGGCGGCATCGAGGCGTCGTACACGGCGCACGCTAGCCCGCAAAGTCTCACAACGTCACATGAGGATATCTTGGTGGCAACTTCGTCACTTTCTTCCAACATCTCATCCTCGTATGATCTTCTCTGTGAAGTCATCCAGAACACCAACTGGCATGACACCGAGAGACTCATGACCAACATTCGGCTGGCGCAAAGCAACTATGCCAGCTCCATCGTTGAGAACGGCCACGGCATCGCCATGTCATGGGCGGAGGCAACAATGACCCGAGCATCGTGGTTGAATGAACTCACGGGGGGATTCTCGCAGGCAGAGTTCTTGAACTCGCTTGCGGCAAAGTCGCCGGAGGACATCCAGGGCGTTTCGGATTCTCTCAAGGTAAGAAAATCGCTCGCCCGCAATTGACACTCCGGAAGCCCGGCTGATCGGCTGCTGATTCGAGTGAGGGCATGTGTGTTGATGCTGAGCCCGATTCCGACAACTCTCTGCGCCACGACCCAGAGGATCTCTGAATTCGTCTTGAACGAGTCTGAGACAAGCCGTGCGGCTGTCGTTTTGAGTCCTCAAGATCAGCCGACCCACGAACGGCAGTTGATCAAGCTTGTCGATCGACTCAAACTCCATAGCAATGCTTTCGAACGGACAGGAGCACAGGTGATGAAGTTTCTCGATTGAGGCGCGAGCCATTGGGTTTGATGCTTCTTGCTTCCTTTCGAGCGCTGCACTCCCTGCCATGCCCCAAGAATACGTGGCCTTGACAAGGCGGCAGCTTCCCCGTGCTGACATCGCTCAATCGCTATCTTGTCTAGATCCCGTTTGTACCCAAGTACCGCAACACCTTGATTGCCCTGCCCTATCCCATCAACTTTGCCGCTCAGACATTCCTCGGTGTTCCTCTGGTCCACAAAGACTCGCCATCGCTCCAGGTATGGGTGTGCGCCGAATGCTATCGGCCGTCCCGCAGCCCAACGACCATCAGAGTCGCCATATTCACGTCTGCCTTGCCACACAGATTCTTGCGTCGTTGATGACGACCCACTTCTTGCACCGAGAGATCCGCGAGAAAGGCGGCGCGTATGGCGGCGGCGCCCGCTACTCGGCTCTTGACGGCACCTTCAGTTTCTACTCGTATCGTGATCCCCCTGGCGCCAAGCGGACCCTCGATGCGTTCGAAAGCTCGATCAACTGGGCTGTCGATATCAGAAAATCGCTCGGACAGCGGGTATGTCCAACGCCGTTTGGCGCGCATTTCCCACGGCGTTTGCCCTATCGATCGTAGGCCATAGGCGCTGGCCACATCGGCCGGATTAGCCATGCTGTGGGCTGCAATCACGATCGCTATCACGGATCAGTCTCCTGCGCCAGTCGTATTGATTGCTTGGTTGCATCTTGTCACGAATATCTGCTGGCTAAATCCACCGCTGCCGACGGTACCAGGAACTCGATGAAGCCAAGCTGTCAATCTTTTCCCAAGTCGACTCCCCTGTCAATGCTGGTGACGAAGTAAGCGGTGCAGTTTGTCCAGCAGCGATCACGGATGGGTGACCGTCTAACTCGTTCTTATACCATGTTTCTAGAGTATGACACTGTTCAAGTACGGTGTGACGGACCACATCCGCCAAAGGTAGGCGCACACCGAGTCGATTCGGTAGCATCGGGGCCCAAGGTTCTTTTGCGAGGAAGCTGACCAGAACGCACGTCTGCTATTCAGTCGCCGGGAGCAGCTGTTTGCTGTGACATTGGATGAGGTCGAACTTGCGGCACAGACCTATCTCCTGGAGCCGCTCCGGAAGGGCCACTCCAGCAAAACTGTGCTTGGAGACCGCCGAGAAGCGGAGGGCGTCGAAGGATGGACGATTGTGGACAGCAGTGCTGGGGGCGAGTATTAGGAGTCATCGGAAGGGGGGGGCTACTTGGGAAGGTGTTACTTGAGAGCGTGCTGCCTCAATATACAGCCAGCATACACTGCTGTTGGTCGCATCATCCAGGATGGGCCTGGCGTGCAGTGCCCTGGGTGAGTAAGAAGCTGCGTAGAACGAGTGGACATGGCGAACACCAGCGAGCCGCCGCAGATGCAGTCTGTGTAATAGCGCATTTCGCAGATGAGGGAGAAGGACGTCGGGCGAGGAACTGATGGTGAGCCGCGAGCCGTATACTCAGGCTGTCAGCTGAAGATCGTGAGCAACATTGGATTGCTCCATCGTCCCGACAACACACCACCTCAGCGGGCCATCGACTCGAGCCGTCTGCATGTGTCAGATGCTCTGCTCTTGGGAAGGATCGCCCATCGCGCTTCCATCCACATGCCGCGGGGCTTTCACATGCACCGTCACGATCGACACCCTCAAGGCCCGCCCTGGTCGCCAGAATCCGGCCTCGCTCCTGTCCACCATCCTCTGCATTCAGGCCGCATCCGATACCTGCGCATCGAGCCTCGGTCTCTCACAGGCCACCTCTCTATTCGTCCACCCCGCGTTCTGCATATCCTCCCATGATTCCGGCATTCAATGACTGCATCTCGGCCCATGTTCCGCCCAGCATCCGGGCTGGCATCTGGAATCTTGTCACGACCCTGCAGCATGGTCGGCTCCAGGGTCTCGCCCGGGTGCTGAGGCCGTTGATGCACCTGAAAACCAGCGCCGACAGCGAGACTTTGATCAAAGGTGGGCAAACGAGCTCTTGTGGCTCTTGCCGAGCGTTCATCCGAGATGGCTCGGTCGCTCGGCGATACACATCTATAGGATGGCGATATGCACTCACTGAATCACATTTCTTCGGGTTGCAGAGCCACCATCCGTTGTCTCGGCGGCCCTGGTGTTTGCAGTTGATCCGATTTCTCTACCGCATCTCGGAAACGTCCTCGATATCACTGACTCGACAGATTTGAGCTGGGCATCTGTCGAAGAGTGTCTGGAAAAAGGATCATGGGCATCGATTGCGATGGGGAATGACCTGTAAGTGCGCAATGCCTCGCATCGCTTGCCGAGAGAGCTGACGGTCCCATGAGCTCACGTTTTCAACTTGATCAAATCATCGGCAGGAGCGATCGAGCAAAGCCCAATGCTGAGGCAATCGAGACTTTCTGGTTGGTCTGTCTGTATATTGCCTATTTTCTCCCCACAGCTCCATCTCGCGTATTCGAGGTTGGGGATTGCATCACAACCCGAGCAGTCCTGGAGCGGATTGTCGCCAAGATCCAAGCCAAGGTGTGATCTCGGAACTGCTGCAAGTGCGATCCGCTCGGTGTGCTTGCAACGGCGCCCAGACTTGATGTTCAGCTTCCCGCTCCCACACAGTGCAACACTGACGAACGATCTCTCGTCCGCAGCAACTGGCCATCATGGACACAGAGCGCACCTCACTGGCCCCAGGATTGTGGCATCGATGCTTCTCGGATATCAATCTGCAAGTCGAGTCTGTGGTCGCAGAGGACACTGGGCGGTAAGGCGCTATCGAGCATTTCCAATCGGACATGCTTGAGTCGACTCTGCGGCACCTGCCCGCTGTGGTTGTGCTTAACGACGGCTGTCGGTGACAGCCATGAGATGAGTCGAGCTTGGCTGACTGTCACTCGGTTCTCCGCACCGCCAGTCATATTCCCTGCAACGTGGCTGTTCAAGATATTCTTGAGACCATTCGATTCCATGGCCTTCGTCAACAGGGCTGGATCGCCGGCTCTAAATCCACGGCCAAGCTCTCCGTCGCCGATGTCGACAAACTGGCGGACCTTGCTTCCAGCAGCTGGTCCATAGTGATGGCTCGCTATCTCGGGGGCACCGTGTCGGTATGTCAAGTGCACTTGCCGAGGCTTCAGATGTCAACGATCGGCAAAGCTTTCGAATTCGACGCTACCGCCAGTAACACTATTGCCGCACTGATTAGAGACCATTTACTGACGCCTGGGATCTATTCCTGCATTGTTTGTGTGGATTGCACACTTCCAGGCCGTTTTGAATCTGGAACTTCTCGCACAGTATATAGGACAGCTTCCAACCAAGTGGTTTTCTCGGGACGTGGCGGTGCTGTTGCATGATCGATGGACCGAGTGGACAATGGTTCCGGGCCAAACCGAAGCTCAAGGCTTGATCCATCTGCTCAATGTCTGGACTGGATACCTTCAAAAAACAGGTAAGGACTATGACCTAGCTCAGTAGATGTTATGATCGCAGCTGCGTGATCCAACTGATCGCTCGTTCCCTCCATCCAACCTCCAGACGATGTCCAGAACGTCGATGTTTTTGAGGACATTGCCAACTCGAGTGTCTTTGCACCGCATGTGATCCAGGAAGAATTGGTCCCTGTCATGTCGGCGTTTGTGCGCTTTCTACTGATCTTCCTTGGTAGGTGGACGCAGGGAAGTCGGAGAAGCTGTTGGCGCTGACCGGCTTGGTGGTCTGCCCAACACTCCTCTGCGATTGGTAGCAAGTGTAGGTTTGATGTGGCAATCGATCAAGAAACCACCCACTCATGATTATGATGCTGCCGTGACAACGGTCATGGCTGTGACTGTGGCTGTGGGCACAGCTAAAACTCAAAGTGGCGGTCATCATTTCAATCGCATCAAATCCTCGCTTGCCCTGACGCCGACCATGCCCGAGTACGTATTCGTGATGGTGGACCTCGCCAATTCTGTGTATACCCGATGATCGATGCTGGTCAAATTACCAACGTGGAGCCTCCGGGTTGAGCTGCGGCTCAATTCCCGAGATTCGTATAGCTCTATTGTTCATCGTACTTACATCCACAGCGGCGTTGCGTTTTCACATCTCCAGCATCAAGCAGTTAGAAGCTCTGGCCTCGGCCCTGGCCTTTTTCATGGCTCGTGCGGATCCCGAGGAAAGCATACAGCTTTCGATGATTGTCGTCGACACGTTTTCGCGCGTCAATACCGGATCCGACGTGGCTCAGCTTTACCAGGAGTCGGCCGATGGATTTATTAGGCGTGGTCTGCTGGTGTCATCATTATTTGAAGAGACTCTGGAACATGGCGACGCTTTCCCGAGCCAAGAACGGGATTCTCGGTCGCAAAAGAAATGGAGGCTCCAGGACTGGCTAGTCACCTCGCAGAACAGCATGGATCGTGAGAGTTCCGACGGTGCTGTATCGGGATTGCAGTCGATGCGAACGTGGGCTGTTAGAGCCATCGAAAGCATATCCAATAGTGCCATATCACCCATGATCGACAATGAAGCCAGCCACCGACAGTCGACTCTTACGTTGGCAATAGCGATTTTTGCTCTAGTTGGACTCAGGTAAGCCCCGAGGGAGAGTAGATCCTAAAAAAGGCACACTCACCACTAAAACTCTATGTTTTTAGACGGGGCCGCAAAAGGATGACGAGCATGTCCAAGGAACCAAGCAAGACTATGAAGCGAGTCGACCAGATAATTCTTGAGACACTTTTTCAAGCCTCACGAGTGTGCGCCGAGACGAACAGAGACGGAAAGATGAGCTGGCAGAGTTGTCTGTACTCCAACCATGACTGCATTGCTCATCATGGACTGTCTTGTCATCCGCTCGGCCGTTCCAGATGCGGCGCAGCGGACACTCGGATCGCACCTATCGATCAACACAGTCTGAGACCACTTTATATCTGTAGATGTTCTCCAGGAATCGATTGGATATGGAATGACCCAACTGGAGAACGTGTATATCCCTCGTCTTGCGCCGCCGCAGTTCGACGATTTAGAGGTTTGTCCAGCATCGCCCAGTCACTTGTACATTGCGATTATCAGGCGAATGAGAGTCGATGTCTATCATGCATCCAAAGTCGTAGTGAACGCGCAAACGCCCTTTTGGCGGCCATGAGCTGACGCATCGCTGTGTTCCGCTCAGACCATCACGGATCTTGGTGCACGCTTCATTTTTGAGTCTCCGATGACACTTGGGCTTCCGCCTGGCTTTTTTCTCGAGCTTTCTGGTCATCTCCGAGACACCAAGCGCCTGTCCACAGGAAACGGAAGTATTTCTGCCGAACGATTCCGACACTACGACATTGTTCTTGAAAAATCCGATAGGGACCTGTATTCTGCAAACTTTTCAGCAATCCCGACGATGACGCGGGCGCTCGCAGACATGCTGGCAACTATCTATTTTTCCCACGAAGAAGAGCCTCCGTCATTCGCTGGCCTCGTCAAGGTCTTCGAAACGTGAGTTGACATTCGCTCGCTTGCGTATTGTGCCAATGACTCCTCTGGCGACGCCAGCAGCTGTGCTCGACGAAACGACGATATCAAACTCATAATATGTGACCTTGTCGCAATGTCTCTCAAGCATCCGCAACAAATGCCGCTCCACAGCAGAAGACTGGGCGGCGAATATAGCATCCCTCGATCAAGTGGCTGGTGAGCGTGTTTCCAGCGGGGACCGGGCAAAGACTCAGTGCATCCTGTGCGGGTTTGATAGTTTCGACTCACTACCCTTGCATCCCATCAGACAATCCAGCGCTCGTCGGTACCATGCAGATTCTCAAAACACTCCTTTTTGCGGTGGCATACATATCTGAGCAATATGTGCAGTCCAGTCTTCATAGAAATCGCCTGCGCATGAGAGCCAGCGCCAAATGGGCAGAGCTTCAGCACCAAATTTTCACAACGATTCTCGAGTGTTTCTATCACCTTCACTTTGTTGCGACCGGTTTCGGATCAAGCATGTTCCCGTCCTGGAACCACACCTTCTCCGAAATTACGCGCTGGATCGTCGCCAGGAATATCAAGGCTGCGGGCCGCTCTGTTCGCCAGGCAACGCCATTCGAAGCAATGATGGATGGACTGACGCCCGAATATCGCGGATCTGGCGGTAAGCTTCAGCCAAGAAGCGGCACTATATATTCCTTGGCAGGAATATTGTAAGATCCTAACTGACCAGTTGATTTCTTGATGCCATGTGATGGTTAGTTAGCAACTGTGTCGTGCATCGTTGCCGGCTGCTGTTCTACCAACAATTGGTGCGGGCTCTGCTGCCAATTATAAGCGACGATGTGCTCTTGCACCAACTCCTCCCACAAATGTCTCCGTACATTGTGTGTAGTCGGCCGCCTGGATCTGCCATGGCGATGGGCGATCGCAGTCGCCAAGCCAGCGAGCTGACTGAGCTTTTCGAGGCGAGTCATATGGTCTGTGTTGGCGTTGTCTCCGAAATGTGCTGGCGGCTCTCAAAGACCAAGCTAATCGAGAACTCGAGACTCTGGAATGAACGGGTTCGGTTCATTGGCGAGTTTACCATGTGGTACTGCCGTACCCTGCTCGAGGTAGGCTGCTTCATGGAAAGATGACTATGCTGGCACACACTTGTCGGCATGTGTATGTTGGTGCTCACTCGGATGAGTGAAGATCCTCCGAAGGATACGCATGAGGATCAAGGCCGCCTTGTGTTCAAGCCTATGCTGACAGCTGTCCAAATTATCAGCACTTTCCGGATCCCGTGGACTTGGAGCTTCTGCGTGGATGCTTTCGGAGTATCATTGTCTCTATTTCGACGCTCTCCCGGCAAAGCCAGGCCAGTCGCAAGGCTCTCACTAGAAAAAGCCTGACGGCCCAGGATGACATGGACGACGATTCCCCCGACCATCTGGACGCCGAAGATCAGCCCGAGGAAGAATTAGACGATGGTCAAGATTATATCCTTGCCGACCCTGTCCGCATTGCCAGCGATATTCTGCAGCATTCCGAACATGGCATGGATGAGGCCCCAGCACCGAACGCACCAGCCCACCAACTTGCGACCGAGAGCACAAGCGATGTGCTATCCCTACAGTGTATTCTCGTTCTCATCGAAGCCGTGACCGAAGCCAGAATGGCGACTTGTTCCGGGTCTGTGACCGCACCCGAGTCCGTCGCCACACCTGCCATCCCAGAGTACAACTCTCGGCCCGAATTGTCGAATCTGGGACAGGCTCCGAAAACGGAAACTGTCCGTTCGGGTCAGTTGAATACTGCATTGACTGAGGGCGCCGCGACCCTGCCCTCGGGCCCCTCCAGTTCCGGACCCGCCGGTGCATCGACCAAGCCTCCGGATCGATTTGAGCAGTTGTGCATGGTCTTGATTGATCAGATCCGACACATCCGCCCACGATGTCTTGTCCCGCTGCTTGAAGCCATCCGCTGGGTAATGCTTGGCGACAATGAGGCCTTTCCTCGATCGTTGAATCTTCTGTTGGAAGACAGCAGTCACGACCCGGCTGTCGAGTGGACGGCGGCTGAGGACGCAGATCGGGCCCGTAGCCTCCTCCAGAGATGGTCGGCGCTACGCTTGTGGGTCATGCGGGATGCTGGCGGCGGCGAGGAAGGCGCCATATCCCCGACCCAGGCTCCGGCATCAACGCTGTGGCGGTTCCTCTTCGATACCATTGCGAGTCAAGACGGATTGGACTATACACGCAAGACACAGTGCATCGGCTGGTATCTGGAGCTTGTGCGCGATGCGCAACGGAGGAGCGGCTCTCTGCCGGCGGTGCCCCGCCCGCGTCTGTAAGCGATGGCAGGAGCAGGGCGCTCCTGCAGCTCCATTGCTTCGCTTCATGGTCGGCAGCGGAACCAATACATGCGGCCACCGCAACAACCGTCCCTCGCACCTCTGCATTTGATGGTCGGGCCACGGTGGCACAGGTCCACCCCTCCTGGGATTTCCCGCACGTGGCTCAGCAAATCGGCACAACGTGGCCGACGCGTCTGTCCGCCAAACACAGAGGGCAAAGACGCAAGGGGCGCACAGAGGCTCTGCGCAGCCAGTGCGCCTCTGGCTGTCGCAATGGCAAGAGAGCGTGTGTGGCACCGCGCCGACGCGACGCGTGTGTGCGCGCACCTGCCTTCTTGGGCTCGCTCCGATATCGCATCGCATCCGTCTTCCTGTCCGCATCGCATCGCATCGCATCGCATCGCACCCATCTTCCTGTCCGCATCACATTCACCTGCGGTCGGTGTCCTCCTCCTGCCGTCTGCGTCGCACTTCTCCCTTCGCATCATCCTGCACTCCTTTGCATCGCCCACATTCACCATGGTCAAGCTCCTCTCTGCCTTTGCTCTCGTCCTGGCCTCGGCCGTCTCGACCTTCGCCTATCCCACCGGCGCCGGCACCTGCGACGCCGATGCCACCACCATCCATATGGGCATGGGCTTCACCCAGAGCCCCTCGGGCTTCAGTCTCTCGGCCTCCTCGGGCCAATACACCCCTGGTTCGCCCATCACCATCACCGTCCAGGGCAGCGGTACCTTCAAGGGTGTGCTGCTCTATGCCACCCTCGATGATGGCACCACCCGTGTCGGCACCTGGCAGATCGGCAGCGGCTTCCGCTCCATGCCCGAGTGCACTGGCAGCGATCCCACTGCATGGCTGACCCATTCCACCGCCGATATCAAGAACGCCGGCACTACCTTCACCTGGAACCCGCCTGCGTCTGTCAGCGGCAACATCCACTTCCAGGGCGCCATCGTCCCGGGCATGCCCAACTTTGACATCTTTACCTCAATCGTTCTCACCCCCGCTGCTGCTCCGGCCCCTGCCTCTGCCCCTGCCGGAGCTTCTTCGGCTGCCAGCTCTGGTGTTGCCCCCATTGCCACCTCGGCCGGTGCCCCTACATCCGCTGCCTCGGCAGCTCTGACTACCTCTGCAACTCTGCCCACTGCCTCTGCCAACTCGTCGTCTGTTCAGGTTTCAAGTAAGATATTTCTTTGACGCGGCTGGGTCTGGCAAATTGGCTTGGAAAGACGGCATCGATAATCGGCGCCCTCGTGCGATGCGGTGCGATGTGCCCAGAACATGCCTGGCTGGAGCTGCTCTCCAGATCCGTCACTAATTTCATCTCACCATCCCTCCGCAGTTGCCTCCGTCAGCTCTCCCACGGCCGCCGCCAGCAAGTCCGACGCCCATACCGTGACTTTTGGTGCTGCCTTGCTGCTCTCTGTTCTGGGTGCTCTTGCCCTGTTCTAGGGGACATTGTTTTCGGCTGCTTCTTCGTCTTGTTTCTGAATACACACGTTCATCCGGTATCCAATGGTGTGGGCATTGACAGATTCCCATCGCCGATAATGCGACTGGTGCATGACCTTCGGGAGCAGCTCCCATGAGGCAGCGAAAATGCGGCCGCAGCGAGCAGTTCGGATCAGCATTGTCTGCTGCTTACTAGCATCGATCGGCAACCACATGCACACATGTATCGAGCGATCTCTTCACGGCGAGGGGAGGTGCGCTTGTTGCGTCTGCCCGACTATTAATCCTTTATTGACCCTTCGTTGACCCTTCATTGAACGTTGCAACCTCCATCGACACAGGGGCTCTCCTCCAGTAGCTGCTGTCGCTGTTTGGCTGCACCAGCGGTACTTGCTCGCTTGTCTACAGCAGATCCCGCTTCTTGGCCGTGCGCTGGTAGGGCCTCCAGACCCATTCAATGTCCGCCTCGGCAATGTCGACGGTTCCTAGCCGGATTTCGTATGCTGCATCGTCGGCGCATGCATCAGCGATCCTCAGTCAGTAACGATTTCGCCATATGCAAGCATGATACGATATTCTGGCCAACAGGGCTGTCTCTTGGAGAGACATGAACATGGCTTGGGAAGTGGAGTTGATTTGCTCCAGGTCAAAAGAGGCCGGTCGCACGCTTACCTCGCATTTCAAAGCGCGGTCCGACTTCGACCAAGTTGACTTCATCCTGCGCCTTGTAGAAGACATGGTGTCTGTGATATACCGAGATCACGCCGTTAAACAACCGTATCCGGACCCCGAAGCTGAGAATAGCAAAGCGCTCGCACTGGAGGACAGTCAAACGAGATGCACATCTCTCGGTGCTGGTGAATGGGCTATCTGGATCGCTCGTGGATTGCACGTTCCAGGATCTTTGAAGTACCTGAACGAAATGAAATCGCTCTCATTCGAAAACGTCATGACTCGCTTGCTGTCTTCCTTTGGGACAGGGAACAGATACTTGAGAATGTTTTGGATCTGTGCATCGACATCAGACACGACGGGCTTAGTCCGATGGCTTGGTGGGACGGGCCGCCAGAAAGGTTCATCATGCTCATCGGATTTTAGCTCTGTTGTACAGAATCGATGCTAGGGCTAGGCAGGGTGCTCACCCGATTTCCAAGCTTGGAATTGAAGTTGTTGAAGATCAGATGCGGAAACTGCTCCGAAACGGTGCCGCGATTGTCGATATCATGGCGCAGAGCCACATTGTGCAGTGAAAAGTATGCCGTTGGACCATACGGAAAGTGGCAGACAACCATGCCGTCTGGGACACACGGAAGCAGTCGATTGATCTCCGGTTAGTAACTGGCACTCGCAAGCACAGTCGCTGCGAGCCACCCTGTTTCGATGACACACATCGCCGCGCCCCTGCTTTCTGGGCACCTTCGCCGCACAGTGATTAGATGCCTCACCTGGCTCGCCGCGGTGTTCGTGCAGGATGATGAGATCAGTCACATCGTTGGCTCTGCAGGCCTCAACGACTTCCTTCATGACGTAGTTGCCACGGTTGATGCGCTGCGAATTGGGGAAAACCAGGCGCATTTCCTGCATTGAGCAATGAGAGTATCCCAGATGCAGAGCGTCAACTGTGGTGGTCGTTGTTTCGAATGTGGTGTCTGTGTGCGCGCACTTGGATGGCATCGCCGCCCCGCAAAGGGCAACAGAACCTCGAATATTGCCGATGTTCCTGTCCAGACCTTTGCGAATTGGGCCAATCGCGAACTGGGGTCTCTGCTGGTGGTGATGAGGATTTTCGGGTCCTGTTCTCCGGCTCGCGAATATTCATCGTCGATGTGCGTCGTCGGAGCTACAGAAACATGGCGGCATTCAATTTAACACTGGGTGAAGAGACTTTGACAGCGCTTTGCCGACAAAAGGCGGCGCATCTCATCAGGGAGATCGGCTTTGTTCTGCAGAGCGTAGCAAAAACTGTGCATATGCATGAAGCAGCCCTGTTTGCCCGTCGCTGCGCTCACCTGCTTGCCCTTCGTCGAATATCAGATCCTTCCTCAGGGCCTCGTCCTTCTTGATATCTCCAGAGAGGGGTCGTCCATCTGCACGCAGCATCACAAGCGACGCAAACCCAGGACGTCAGATTCGGATCTCGATCGAGCGATTCCAACTGCATCGTTATGCCAGCCATAGACTCGGTCGCGAAAGGAAGGTGGGGCTGTTCCTTGCAAGGTCGGGACATTCGTGTGGATAAACTTATTGCAGACGCAATCGCTCACCCTCCAAAGCAGCCTTGAGGCTTTGCTTCCGCTCATGGATTTGGAGATCCTTTGCTTCGAGTGCCTTCCGGTACAGGTACTCCCGGCGCATCTGCAGAGCACCAGTCACAGGCGAGGTCAGCAGATCAGGTCAGGCGCATACGGATGTGTTATCTTTGATTCCATATTGCTTCTGGGAATGGCTGACTCCCGCTGGATGCCACTTGCTTTGCGCTCCTCAGTGTTCCGAGGCCAGTGTCGCCGCCACGCCGCTGCCACGCAGTTCGATGGAGTTCTGGATGCTCGCCATTGACTTACACGAGCCTGTCGTCTAATCATATCGGCGGCTAGATCTTGTCGTCGGCTTCCAGAGTAGGGAGTGTGTGTGGTGTGGGGTGTGGGGTCTGTCTGGTGACAAGCGCAGGGCCGCTGCTGTGAGGATCGCTGGTCGCTGCTGTGGAGAATGCAGCACAGCGCCCTCAGCAACACGAAGAGGAAAAAAAAAATTTTGGAGCCGCAACTCCGCCGCGTGGCTTGGCCTGCATCCCGCCCGGCTTGGCTCGATCCGGTTGTCCATCGACCGGGAGGGACGGTCACCTGACCTCGCCCGATACGGCCAGCTGTCTCCTCACAGTGCCGGGAAGCCAAGCGACTCGAGAAGGCCGAGTATCTTGATATCGATGCACCATGGAGCTGTCCAGAGGGTCGAGTGAATGCACCACACAACGATATTGCCAACCAGGACGGGAAACAATCGCATGGCTTGCACGCTGGAGCCTATGGATCAGCAAACTTGTGTCGCTGATGCCAGAGTAACTGTCCTACTTCTTTCTGGATTGACTGTATATTCATACAAACACAGGCGAATGGTACATGGGCGTGCAGCGAGCAGATCGAGGCGTCAGTGGCCTCGTCTAGATAGGCAGGCCCATCAGGGGATCGATATCGAGAGCGATCTGGGGTGGCTTTGCATGATCCTCTGGTGGATCATGGGCGGCAGCCACGAAAGCTTCCGGTAACTTGGCATTTTGGAACAGATCGGGCTGCTGCTCGTCAAGGGCATTAACGTCTGTCGCAGTGCTGCTGCTGAAAGCGGTCGATGAGTGTGTTCGCAAAGACACTTGATTCGTTACGCTCGGTGGAGATAATTCATCGTCCAGTCGTCGCTTCAGATCGGCTTCTGGCGATTTCTTGGGGTGAGCTGGGTCGTTGACGGTGCAGCCACTCTCAGTCAGAGGGGGCTCGATCGTCGCACGAGGCTCCGCGAATGTAGCTACATCGTCCCTTTCTTCGAGGCCAAGGGCGGATGGTGGTGGAGTGTGAGACGAAACTCGCAGCTCGGCCATAAGCGGTAGTGGCGGCAGGCTGCTGGTCTGTGCCTCGAGGCTGCCAAACTCGCTCCCATCCTTGAATGAGCCGAGCTTGTATTCTGCCTGGGAAGTCTCGGGCGATCGAGACGCAGGATTGTCGGCGCCGTCCTCGGAGAGGTATCCGGGCGAGGAAGATCCCTTCTTTTCGTCAAGGGCGTTCATCGAGCTGTAAATGCTGGCGGTGTCGTTAAAGTCTTCGTCCTCGGGTCGCCGCAGAAGATCCATCCAGTATACAGGGTTGATTCCCCCTGGGTAAAGTACCCGACCGTCCGGGCTAGTGCAGCCATGGGTGCCCCTTTCGCCGTCGCTTCGCTTTCCGGAGGTTGCCGACGATATCGACGAATGCATCGTCCCAACCTCGGCGACAAAAGCCGGCTCAGAAGCACATGGAACATAGGCCGGATTGAGGAACTCGGTTGGGTTGCTGAGGATCCAATCCCAGATGCTGAAGGCGACATCCTGAATCGGAAGTTGGTTCTGGCCGCTGCGGTACATCAGGCGCTCGCGCTCGTTGTTGAACAGGAACGTCCCAAACTGGCACGAGTAGATGTGGTCGTTCAGGGCCAGGAAGAGCTTGTCCGAATACTCAAACTGGGTCGGAAACTGCCGCCATATCTGGTAGCAGCAATCCAGAAACTGTGTGAAGACAGGAGAAACCTCTCGTGGCATCAGCTTGTTTGGCATCGATGAAGAGTGGGTCGAAAGCGATGGCGCCGAGTCGTTCGCGTGCTTGAAAAGGCTCTTGGCTGCGGACGATATCGACGACGAGAACAGCTTGCTCTGCGCGTGAAGCTGCTGGCCCATGGTCTGGGGGCGCTCGGACGAGTCGTTGTTTTCGCGAGATATGATGCCCAGTCGATCGCTGAACTTGTGGCCAAATGAAATCCACTCCTTCTCAATCAGCACGCAAAAGCCCTCAAGGGTGCGATAGTATGGATCCAGACACATGGAAGCCAGGGAACACAGCTGTGCGGTGCGATCCCAGCCATCACTGTAAGAAATCGTAGATGAGGGTTAAGACGCAGGATCCGCGATTGCCGCGACACACGTGCGGAGAGTGGCTGCTACATATCCAAAATAGGCAACCATGGCTAATCTTTTGGACATGGAGATGAAGCTGAGTCGGAGGCGTCTCGATACATGGGATGCTTCGGCTCCATGTCACTCGGATGCACTCTGGCGACTCAAGAATCGAGACGCACCTGCAATGGACCAGTACGTGGTTCTTGTGGATATCCACATTCTGAACAATCAACGAAGCGCCGTCAATGATTGTGCGAACGTGGCGTAGCCAGCCCGACCGGTCGAGCGAGCTCTTCGAGACAGGTCTTGACTCTGCACCTTGGATCGCTGGTGAGCGAGACACAAGACGACATACAACGCAGCATCAATATCGCACAAAGATGATGTCGGTATGCAAGCGATCACGAGTTGGGTGACTCGATGCCGCGCCCAGTGCGTATCGCATATGACTACCATGCATGGGGAGGCGGTCGCCATGGGTACTGCGTGAGAGCATGCAGTCACGCAATCCAAGGCCTGCAAGCCATACCATCAAAAAGCCGGTTCCGGCTGTCACGAACGATGTGGATGTTTTCGATCCCCAGGAACATGATCCTGCAGCCCTTGTAGTTCTCTGAGCTTTCGGCGCCCGATCCCATGGCCGTCTGCGCAATGACGTTTGCCATCGGCCGCGCATCCATAATGACGTTGTGGCTGAGGTTCACATATGGCGATGGGTTGATTTGATCCGAGGAAAAGATGCATTCCACAAGCTTTTCGTCCTGAACCGAGCGATTCTGTTTGATTCCAGCCATCGGTTGGCTTGATCTGGTGATGGAGATCTGTTGGACCAGTGATGCGGGAAGAGATAAGTTACAACCGCGCCAGACTCGATCCAACTTCGCCAACCGAGGACCGCCGTCCGATTGCTCGGATGGCACAGTAGGATATGGTATCGAGGATGCACACTATCCACCAGCAGGGGCACTGCTCGGAGATCCATGGCGAGTCTGAGTCTTTATCGCCACAAAACACAGGCCCATGCGCAAAGCCTGATCTTCAGTCAGCCCGGCGGATCAGCTGCATCGGAGAGGCGCCACTGTTGGGCTGCATACCATGTTTGAATGAAGATAGCTCAAAGCGGGTATACGGCTCTTACTTCGAAACTTGCCAATATGCTTCAGGGTGTGATCGCTGATGCGCGATGGCACCACCAAGTAGCGAGGATACGTTGGAGCAAACTGCGACACATGCCAGCCATCCAAGTTAACACCAGGCACTGGGCTCCAATCCCAGGAGGCATCCTGCGGCCAAGGCTCTGCACACTCTTCGGAGGCCGTCTGCGGGTCACGGTTTCACGGCCATCCAGTCCAGAAGACGCCGACTCGAGGGTTGCCAATACATCTCAATCATTAGCGCCGTACCTGGAAATCCTGATTGATAGCGCTGATGCGCCAGTTGTTTGTCTTTGTGCCGACTCCCATTCTCCCATAGTCCTGTTTGGGGTCGTAGATCGTCCATCCAACCGCCATCGGGAACGGATGGAGCGGTTTGTAGAAGAACGCATATAGTTGATCGACCGAGGCTTGTCGAGACAGTAAATGGGATATGAGTCTTCTGTCGATGCGTCGACCTTGTCGCCTGCTTCAACGAGCCCCATGAAGGCCAGGCCGCAGCTTCCAAGTTCAATCACATATCTGCTTTCCCAGCTTGACTTGTGCGAATACAACGGCACCCATGTCCCTGAGCAAGGCCACCGCGATCAACTCCAGGCGCCGCTCAACATACCAACATTCATGAGCTTCTGCAGACTCGAGTATACATCAGCAGCGTCCTGCTCCTTCGGAATGAACAACTTTGCGAGCAGAAAGGTTTGGCACATGATAAAGAGAGGGTGGTTTCCATTGACATCCGAGTATTTTCGGTTGACGGTGTGGATGCTGGAGTACGATATCTATGCCACAGGAAAGTCTCAGTTCAAAGTCAAGGGCCTGCTGCCTGCTGCCTGCTGCCTGCTGTTGGCATGCCCATCGTGTTGACGGTTCATATCCCGCATTCGGAGCTGCCCTTGCTCGTGCAGCGAGCGCTTCCTCCCATCTTTTGCTTGGCAGTTCGATCCGCCCACTGCAGCTTCGAGCAACCACCTGCTTTGCCACCGCAAGTTCATTCAGCCAAGCCCACCAGTCCTACCAACCGGCCCACGACAAAATGGTGTCCGAGCCACGAGACTCACCCAAATCTCTGGTTCGCCATTTGACGGACAAAACAGAATATGGTGGGAAAGCAGGTGCAGGGTGCCCTGATGGCTCGCCTTGCCCACGACAAGAGTCACATCCGGGACCTGGCCAGCGTCGGATAGGGCAGAACGAAACGGGTCAGAGTCAAGAATTCTCGGTTGCTCAAGTGGCGAGGCGACCAAGCTTCCGAGATCATGGTTGGCAAGGGCGTCGGCTCGAGCTGCTGCCTGGCATGTGGCTCGGCCCGGACAACCAAGCTGGAAGAGCAGTCAGGCTTTGCATAGCGACGGCAGGTCCCTTCTCGGCAAGGGAACAGGCAAGGGAACAGGCAAGGGAACAGGCAATTGCCTGGAGACTCGAATGGCTGCCGGTCGGCCTCCGAAAGGATTCTCACTTTAGCCACTCGGATGTAATCCATATCTACGGAGAGAACAAAGTGCGGGCTACTTCTTAGCGTCCGAAAGCACGGCACGGGAAGGGCCAACAGTGGGTTTCCTGGAGTCGCAGCCGATGGAGGAGAGATCCAGACACAAATCTGGGCCGGGAGCGGCAGTGTCCCTGGTATGTGTGTGCGCTTTTTCTGTTTTGAAAACTCTGGACCTGCGGGTGAGCTCCTCGCAGCGAGCAAAAGAACCTGTTCGTATGCTTCTCGACACCGGCCGTTGCGATAGGGACAGAGCGGCTTGGTCGCCTCCCGCTTGGTGGAGCCTGGAAACGGCACGCTGAAAACGCTGGCCCGTGCGCAGCACCATCTTTCCCAATCGCCCCAGAGTCGAGAGAGATCCGACCAAGAGGCGTGGCCGGTGGAGGAACTGTGGGGATGTGGGATGCGAGGGAAGCAGGCGGGAGGCCCATGCCGAATACGCACGGTGCAGGGCCCAGGCGAGCATCGCCGCAATGGCATGCGTTTGCGTCGGTGGCATTCCAAATTCATATTCCATCTCATGCTCGGATCCCAAGTATCGCCCAACGCAGCCAGTCCATGAGCCTCACAAGCCTGAAAGTCCCTGGTAGAGCGCACGAAGGAGCGAGCGCGGGTGGTTGACGGGGACATCGCCGCTGCTCTCCCACACGATGATGCCTGCGAGTCCCTTGCCGTGGACGTACTTGCACTTTTCCTCGAGCGACTGGACTGTGTCGTACGAGTTCAAAATGCGCTTCTGGGGATCGTATGAATAGCCGGCCTTGGCATTCTCATCCCAATACTCGACGGCCCCAGGTCGTGGAAGCGTTTTGTAGTCGCAGACACCATCCTCCCATGATCGATCCGACACTACGCCGCTGGAGGGTGTGCCCAGCCCGTCGCAGTTGGCAAACCCGCGGCTGTAGAATGCGGCGCCTGGCGATATGCAATATCAGGCATGGGTTAGCAAATGCCGTGCCGGAGTAAATGCCTGAGCAAACGCCGTGCCAACAATCCAATATCGGGCGGCATCGCCTCGACACGAGCATGCAGATGCTGTTCGTTTGGGTTTGCCGCAACCAGGTCCATGCAAAGAGACTCAAAGCAACACATACCGATCACGATCTTGCTCGCCGGGACTCCTCGGGATAGGAGCGTGTCGACAGCCAGCTCGACCGAGAGAGGCGCATAGGGCGTCGACTTGAGGTTAGTGTGGTGGCCGGCTGCCGCGGCCCCCCACGAGGAGGAGCCCAGGTCGTAGGTCATGACGTTGATGGTGGTGAGATAGGCGACCATGGCTTGCAGCGGGAGGACATTCATCTTGACAGGATCGCTTGCAATACATGCCGATATCTCAAACGACCCGCGGCCGGTTTCATTCAGCCGTGAGCGAAGGAGAGCCAGGAACTCTGCAAAGTTGTGCGGATCCTCGCCACGGACTACGTTTCCATCCAGACCGTAGTTTTTTCCGGGAGGGCTGATGTATTCCCAGTCGCTGTGGTATCGATTCAAGTGGTGGGAGAAAACCGATATCTGGATGAGGCCGCTACACTCGCAAGAATACGAGCTCCGATTGAAGGTGCATGCACTCGGACAGACACAGCGACTTACATGTCCACTCGGTTAAAGATGGGGTAACGATCCAAAAAGGAGATGATAGATTGAACAAAAAACTGCCGGGCCTGTGGCGACACAACGGCATCCGAAAAATGCGAGCTCCAGCTCCAGCCACCGATGCTGATGCCCAGGTTGTATCGGATGCCCAAGTCCTTGAGCTTCTTGAACTGGCCAAAGTTGCCGTATAGGCCCTTATTGTCGTCGTTCCAGGTATCAGGCGGAGTCACTCCCTCGTCTGGCCCAGTGAAGCGCTTTTCGTAGTCCGCCCAGGCGTCGCCGGTGGCAATACCGTAGTAGCCTGACTTGGGGTCTCGGACAAGATTCCAAAAGCCATAGTTGATATCGCTGATATAGTTGATGGGCAGGTCTTTGACCTGGAATTTGCGGTCGTAGCCGGACCATGCCGTGTGGTCTGTGGGAAAGACCATTGGGTTCGATTTGCGAGGGGGGGCGGACAAGTTTGGTATTGGTCAAATACGAGCATCGATCGAATATTAGCTCCGAGGGCGTCTCGGGTATCCGAAGAGACCGGTCTGTTGAGCCACCGGCCTTGGCACGATACAGACGCAACACAGGCCGTAGACTCGAGAGCGATAATCGGTGTGGGGAAGCAGACTCCCGAGCAACCAGCTAGTACGGGAGCAGCCGGCATCCCTCAGTCCGCGCTATCCAGCGAGCTGAGGTCGATGCTGACCACCTCCTCATGCATGTCGTTTGGGAATCTGGACGGCCAAACCGGCACTTGAGGCCGAGCCCGGCTGACGGGCGCTCGCACCCCGCCAAACAGATGCCGCGCCTATTGATACATACACACGATGAGCTTCTTTCCGGACGGCCAAACAAACGGTGCGGCATTCATGGCTGGTGAAATTGACGGGATGACGGGATGACGAGACGATGGGTGGCCGTGTCTGTTTGGCGAGGTGGAATAGACAGGCCAGGGCAGCGGCTCGAACCAGCCCTGTCGCCAGGGTTTCTCAGCGACAGGGTGGACCAATCGCGTGGTGGCTGCTGCTGCTTGAATGAGTGCTCTGCCATGCAGATCGAGTCGGCAGCGGACGGCGCTGTGTGGGGCTCATCGGGCTGCTCCGATGTGCTTGCGCATGCTCGTAAAACGAGCAAGTCATGGCAGCCATGTCGGCCACAGCGCTGGAGACGCAAATGACCAGAGGCGCAGGGGAGGGCTGGTGAGCGGACACGGCGAGCAGCGAGAAGGCAAGCCGCGCATTTGCCCCCAGCCAAGCGCTCTCGTCTTGCCATCTCGACAGCGGCGACGACGACAGCAACGACAGCAACGACAGCAACGACAGCAACGACAGCAACGACAGCAACGACAGCAACGACAGCAACGACAGCAACGACAGCAACGACAGCAACGACAGCAACGACAGCAACGACAGCAACGACAACAGCACGGCGAGATCATGGTGGGTGCTGCCAGTCCCGCCTCAGCCCACTGAAGAGGGATCGACTGGTTAGGTGCATCGCGATGGGCCGTCCAGGTCGCCGACAGCAGGTCCGGGTCACTGACAACAGGTCCGCACGCCATCCAGGATAGCCAGTTTACAGTTTCCGTCCACGGCAGTGGGCTGCTGGTCGACATTGTTGAGGACGATTGGATCAAGGAGCCGCTTCCGGTTGAAGGTAACGTATCGACAGCGCATCTCGGCTGGGCTGCCTCACAGCGAGTCTGGGAGGATAGCCAGGCACCACCAAACTCAAACTGCGATCTGGAGGCCGCATGGCATCGGCAAGCCCACAGGATCTAGTCGCTCACCCACCAGTTTGGCGTCTGGCTGGATAGAGGTTGAAGTTCCGATTGATGTTGAGCTTCCCCCCGACGAAGACGAAGGTAAGGCGGCGCAGATATCAATGGCATAGGCCTGTGGACACAGGGATGATTGCCGGAGTTCATACTCCGGGTCTAACCGTCTCCATCATGACTTGTTTCGACTGTTTGTGGCCCAGAGAGCACCCAGCGACCAGAATCCGAGTGGCAGGAGATGTCATTCGATCGCTTCAACATATCGCGCGACGATGCTGGGGCTCATTCAGCAAGCTGAGGGTTGCCGCTGACTCGGCGCATCTGGCTGCTTGGCGAACGGAAGCAGATTCTGCTGCTGCACTGGGCCGAGAACGGAGCTGGCGTTTCCCATCCCATTCCCTCGTCCTCTGGAGAGCGTTTGGTGATCGGATATGGTTGAAGCGAGTCCAATAACAGATGGGGCACCCAGCGATCCGCTACCTCAGAGCACCGCACGCTGCCAAGGCGATGGGCCTGCTATTGTAAAATGGACAGACTGCCACAGGATACACTGACGCTGTGGAGATGGGAGTCCCGCTTTCTCATGGAGATAGTGTGGAACGAACTGTTATTGTGGACCAAAAACGCTCAACTGGCGGCGAGAATGCAAAGCTATGATACAGAGGGGCGAGTCGACAGGGCAACGCGCAAGAACATGGAACGAACGAGTTGGTACATGCATAAATAGACGAGACAACGTGAGGTTGGGGATGGGGCTCTTGCTGTCGAGGGACGTCGTCAGCAGGCAGCATTGCGGCGCTTCAGATCTACATCCGCTCCTTCAGCCGGGAGCTGATGGTCCTCAGGGTGGTATAGACCTTGCCGGGTGTGGAGCCCAGAATCAAGTTGACGACAGCATCGCGGGCAATCTTGATGTTCTGGAAGCTCCCCAGGATGTGGATTTTGGTGTCAGCAACGACGATACGAGTCCGGGTGGTGTTCTCGATGGTGTACTTGGTCTTGCCGTCTTTTCCGACAATGCGACCGATCGCTCGCGACAGGTTATCGCCGCCGAGGGTCTTGACGTCCTTGATCTCAAAAGTATCCAGATACAGGTCATCCATCCGGATCAGGGCCATGGCGTCCTGTGGGGTTGGTGAAGAGAGCCGACTGTCAATGCGCTGACTGACAAGGGCATCTGTCTGGTCGCTGCAACAAGAGGCAAGCGGCGGAAGCACAAAAGTGCGACAGGGCGCACGATGCACGGTTTGCTCACCCCGACTTCGAAGCCCAAAGCGTATGCTCGCACAAAATCGGCGGCTTTCTGGATCGCTCCCTCTTCCTGGGTGTCGGCGGAGGTCTTGATTTCGACAGCACGGGCCTGGACGTTCATGCGCACATGAAGCTTGAGATTGTCGACCAGGGGCGTGTAGATCTGGAGCCAGTCCTTCTTGAGAGGGGTCATGCGATGCGGCGGAATCGGGACCTTGCGATACTGTGCTTTGCCGCTCTGAGAAAGAAAGGTCCAACGACCGGCGGGTTAGGAGCGCCAAGGAACAGCCAGTGGGGAAACATTCCTCGCCAGCACCAGCACAATCTCGCCCATCCTCATGGTTCGTAGTCAGAAATAAAAGGTTATGCATCAAGATGTATGTTCAGGGCTTGACTCTATATGAATCTCATCATTTCGAACTGTCTGTCGGGAGTTTGTGTTTGCGGGGCACAGCAAAGTCTGTCTGCCACAGACACATCTACTTACGCCCATCTCCGAGGGCTTCAGCGCATCGAACTTTGGCTTCTCCGCCTTCTTTTTTCTGTACGCACGGCGCTTCTTGGCATCCGAGTCCATGGGGGTTGGCCCGGCGAGCTCCGAGGGCTCGATGACATCGGCCATTTCTTCGTTGTCAGACATGGCGCTGAGGCAAGGGGACTGTGGCGAACACGAAGCCGGCGCGGCGGGTTAGCAGACGGTATCGGTGCGTCGGACGCAGAGGCAAGAGGGACCTGGCGCCGTCGCATACCTGGTGGAGGAGGATTTGGACGAAGAGCAAGAGGCAGGGATCGCAGGGCCGCCGTGGATTTATACGGCCGCGCCGGTGGTGTGCCGGGCGGCGGCTGGGTCCTTGCGCTGCGCTGGCCGGCCCAAAAAAAAAAGTTGCCCGACGCAGCGCCCTGATTGGCCGCGTCCACGTGACATCGGAGTTGCAAAACAAAAAATTTAATTCATTTCGGGCGCCGGCCAGATCCAACCAGCAAGCAGCAACCAGCAACGAGCAACCAGCAACGGGCAGCACCACCGCTCTCCTCCGCCTGCTGCCATATAGCACCCCGCTGATCCGCCGTCATGGTCAAGAAGCGCTCCAAGGGCCCTGATTTCCACAACCTCTCCGACCACGATGAGCGCGACGTTGACGATGAGACCCTAGTCGAGGAACGCAAGTTCTCCAAGTCCCGGAAGAGCAAGGGTCCGCTGGCCAAGCTGCAGCCCCACTCCGGCGATGAGGGGAGCTCTTCTTCCGATGGCGAAGCCGATACCAGCAACAAGAAGGCGTCTCTTCGTCGTGTGCCTCGAGCCAAACGAGTCGCCCAGCAAAGCTCTGATCCACGCTTCGCAGCCTTTGAGGACAGCGCCAATGATCAATCAAGCAACGCCAGTGTTAGCGATGACCTCGATGCCGATCATCTGGTCGATGATAAGAGCGGCGGGAAAGCGCAGGAGGAAGAATATAGCGATGACGACAGTAACAGCGAAGGAAACTTGCTGCGACGAGAGGACGCAGACCAGGACGGCAACACAGACCCCGTCCAGGCGACTGTTCTTCCGAACGGCAAAGCCCTCACTCCGGCGGCGCTGGCCAAGTTCCAAGCCAAGGTCGAAAAAACCGGCGTCTGCTATCTGTCGCGGATACCACCGTTCATGAAGCCCATCAAGGTTCGGCAGCTGCTCTCGCAGTACGGGGAGATCGGGCGAGTCTATTTGGTTCCAGAAGACCCCAAGATTGCTGCGCGGCGCAAAAAATACAAGGGAAACAGGCGAAAGAATTACACCGAAGGCTGGGTCGAGTTCATGGACAAGAAGGTCGGCCGTTTGGTGGCCGAGCGCTTGAACAACAACAAGATTGGTGGAAAGAAGCGAAGCTACTATTACGATGACATCTGGACGATCAAGTACCTTCCGCGGTTCAAATGGCAGCACTTGACCGAGCAGATTGCCTACGAGCGCGCCGTCCGCGACCAAAAACTCAAGGCCGAGATGTCCCAGGCCAAGAGAGAGAACAAGGTCTATATCAAGAATGTCGAGAAAGCCAAGATGATCGAGGGCATCGAGGCCAGGAAGAGCCGGAAGCGACAGATCGAGGACTCGTCTTCAACTGGCGAGGTGTTGGCCACACCGGCGGTGAACGCTGCCTCTGCTGCGTCCGTCGAGGAAGCCACCGCCGCAATCCGCCGCAGATTCAAGCAGCGCAAGGTCATTGATAGCGAGGCCCAGCAGCAACAGCAACAGCAACAGCAGCAACGAATCCCTGCCTCCAAGAGTAAAGCTGCTGTGCTTGGCAGTCTGTTTGGGAGCGGTTAGCTCGTTACAGCAAAGCAGGTCCGAGCAGTGCCTGTTTTGGGAAGCTTCTTTCAACCCGATTGCAGCAAGCAACTGGCCCGAGGCGGATACTCTGCGGATCGCATGATCTCGGCCGTGCGATTGTTTCCCGTCTTGGTTAGCAATCGAGTGGTGCTCGTTGGTTCGGTGAATACGCCCTCGAATACATCTGGCCGATCTCCTGTGGCGATGATTGGCAGGCACATCGATATCGTGTGTTGCGAGGCGCTGGCATTGCAATGTAATGTAATGTAATGTAATGTATGCAATCGGCCATTCGGACAGCTCCAAATGTCTTGGTATCAACATAGTCCGGGGTGTTGGCGCGAACTGCTGCTCACCTTCGTGGAGCCGTGGTTCCAGCGCTGTCGAATGACCGCGGCATGCGGGCTGGCTGCCGTCCATGAGCGAGGTCTCAATCTTGCCGTCCTTGAGCGAGGTCTCAATCTTGCCGTCCATGAGCGAGGTTTCAATCTTGCTGTTCAAGCAGCCCAAAGGCATACGCAGGCAGCACAGAACCGCCCGGCGCCGCCACAGAACGCCCTGGAAAAAAATTTGTCCTTGCGGTCGCGATCTGGCTGGCGACTCTCGTTCCTGCGCCCCGAGGCGATCTGTTCTGGGACTGTCTGTCTTGCGTCTTTGGCTACTTCCCAGCGACACCCACCCGCACCATGGCCTCTCACCGAGTGCTCCTGAGATCCAGGGCCCTTCTCGGCTGCCCGCTCCTCCGCCCCAGCAATCCTCTGGCCTCGCTCCCTGTCCGGGCTGCGCTTGTTCGCCCCGCCCGAGCTTTCGCAACCCAAAACGGCGACAAACCCGGCCCACAGCAACCCCCCGTTACCGATGGATCTGATCTATTCTCGCAAGCCTTGGCCGCCCAGCGCCTCCGCGAACAGAAGAAAGCCATGAACACTGAGTCGCAGCAGCAGTCGTCCGCCGCGAATGCTGCTGCGGCCGATGCTGGAGCTCAGCCCAAAGCCACACAGCGTCCAGCCACCTTTGACCAGCAGGAGAGCGAGCAAGAGCTGACCGACGAGCAGCTTGAGGAGCTTCGCATCAAGCGCAAGGCCTTTGAAGCATCCGAGAAAAAGAGAAATGCCAAATTCTACAACTCCATGTCCCTCGCTGTCATCACCAGTGCCATCGGAACGTACATCTTGCTGGGTAAGGCATCGCCCTCTGTGGTGCTCCTGGTGGCCGATCGACAATGCCGCAGAGCACATAGTTCGCGTGTCTTGCTATCGAGCACCGACTAATACTCGTCGGTCCGATCTTTCTTAGGCATCGACAAGGACCCTAACCACCCCGATGATACCCACCACCAGAGGGTCTTGCGAACTCTCGGCATCAGCACCACCAACAAAGCCAGCCTCACGATCAGACCCGACGAGAGCAAAAAGTTCCTTCCGGACCCGCTGCCCGAGCCATACGGTCGCCCGTACACCCTCTTCATCGAGCTCAATGACTCTCTCGTCCATCCCGTTTTCGATGTATGTATGGTTGTGCACAGCTGTCCGAACCAGCAATGTGTGCCTCTGATGCTGACACTATTGGATCCGTCGGATCCGAGAGGCCACAAAGCCAACTCACGCCGCTCGCTTTCTGACTTGCATGCCGTTTTTTTTACCGGCCCGGTCATGACATGTACGATAGAAATCCGTGGGCTGGAAGGTTGCTATCCGTCCTGGTGCCAAGGATCTCCTGGCCTATCTTTCTCGCTTCTACGAAGTTGTCATCTGGACCGACTCTCTCAACTATGTAAGTTCCGCGATGATTTGTTGCGTGTTGTGGCTGCATGGTGTCCTTTGCCGCCGTCACTCGAGTCCTGCGCCAGATATATGACCCACATGCCACCCCTCTGGCTTGGCGTCAATTCACGGTCGCTCTCGCACACTATCGTTCCTTGCGCCGTGGCATTGTTTGACCGTCTCGATCCACCACGCTGCTTTGTTCGTTCTCGGTACTTGCGCCTTGCCGTTGTCTGGCTTAGGTCGGCGATCCGATCATCCAAGCCCTCGATCCCTATCGCTTTGCTTGTTATCGCCTCTATCGGGATGCAACCACCTCTATTGGCACCGAGTATGTCAAGGATCTGAGTGTCACCAACCGCGATCCGAAAAAGTGTATCATTGTTGATATCAACCCAAGCGCCTACCAACTCCAGCCTGAAAACGGCATGCCCCTCCAAAAATGGAATGGCGAGAAGGGTGATGATGAGCTCAGGAAATTGTCGGCTTTCCTTGACGGTGAGCTTTCCTGCTTGACGTCTTCTCTGTGCACCTCCGCCCGTGCCATGTCGGCCGCTGTCGAAATCCGAGAGCGGAACAGCCAAGCCGGTCAGAGGCCCAGGCATGCACTTCCCGGTCGCTACCAGTGGCACGGCCTTCATTGACCATAGCCTTCAATGCCTCCGCAGAGCTCGCTTTCCTGGGCATGATGCTTCAGATCGAGGACCTTAGACCCCTTTTGAAGCAGATCCGCGCTGCGGGACCCAGCAATATTGGCGATGCCTGGTCGGCCCACAAGGAGTGGATGCGCGGCGAATTCGACAAGCTTCTCCCTCCTCCCCCCGCCTCAGGGATCAGCGGAGTCACGGCCGCTCTCTTTGGACGCTCGTTCACGCCCCAGACCACACCAAATGTCATCAGTCAGATCGAAATGTTGGCCAAGCAGGAGCGCCAGGCCTTCGAGAAGGACAAGGTCGAGATGGAGAAGCAGCTTGCCGATGCTATGAAGGAACAGGAGAAGCAGATGAACGAGCACATGGAGAAGCTGAAAGACGGCAACTACAAGTTCTTTGACTATCTGTCCGGCTCTGTGCCGATGCCTGGTCAGCCGCAGCAAGGCAACTGAGCGCCGCTGTCGTGCCCTTGCATTGGCTTGGGCTCTATCGTGGCAGCCGTGTGCCCGCTCCCTCCCGCTCACCGACCCCCTCCCTGTGTTTCTTGACACCACCCACGTCCCGTATCGGTTCCTTGCCCTGTCTGAAACAGTTGAGGAAGAGACCAGCATCTTTAAATTGCACCGCTCGCATCTTCGCATATTTTTGTATCACTGTGTTTGATCTCGATATAGCGGCATCTTTTCTGCATGAAAGGGGCGCCACAAGGGTCAAAATCACCACAGTTACCCCGATCGCCCGCGCAAATGTAACAGAGAGAATATCGCAACACTTGGGTAGCATTGGCACCGCGGCTTTGGATGGGATGCACCAACTCCACCCACTGGGTGGAGTCGTGGGAGTCAACGATGCAACTTCTCGCTGCGACATGCGGATTCATGATCCGGAGAAGTGGTCGTTGCCCCAAACGCCGTAACGAGGAGTATCAGCTCCGCCGGAATACCCAGCGCCGCTTTGGCGAGCGGGCTGTCCTTGGCGAGCGATGACCAAGTGTCCCTCTCCTTGAGACGAAGCAGCCGGGGGCTGGCCTGCCGTTGTTGTCTCAGGGATCGGAGCCCTGGACGGCATCCTCGTTGGCGGCCAAACAACCGAGCGCGCCAACAGGCCCCGCAATCGATCGTTGCTAGGATCAGCGCTGTTCGTCACGTCCGGATCGATGCGCTTCCGCTGCTGCCTCAGAGAATGGGCGGGCTCATCCTGTTTGCCTATATATTCAAACGATGTCCGGAAGGGGGGGGGATCGCCAAGCTCTGCAGGGCGCACGAGTTGTTCATTCCGATATCCTCTCCTGGTAAGATCAACAAGCCGGTGCCGCGACAAGGACGCTGTCAGAAAGCATGCGTGCTCGAGGTCGTATTTCCCTTGGTCGTAGACCGCTGGCTGAGTCTACTCGTCCGGATCCATCTGAGCTCATAACAGCCTCCGCCAGACTTGTCATTGCAGCGCTCTATCGCATTATCTCTGCTCGCCATGCCACCAACGCCTGATGAAAAGCTCAGTGTCCCTGATATGGAATCCAAGGACATCAAAATCGATATCGGCATTATTCCCTGCCATCTCATTAGTCGAGGTGTGTGCTGAATCCGCCTGCGCTGCTGCAAGCCCCTCTCCAGCAAACGCGCAACGGATCGCCCACGGCTCTTGCTGATCACCACCACCCATTCTTCCCAAACCCAGAGTTCCATCGGCGCGTCTATCTGTTGCAGTCGTTGATCGACGGATCTCAGGGACTGCTCTTTTCAATTGTTATCCACATGGTTGTGCAGTGTGGCCTCTTGGAGCCAATACCACCATTTTTTGTGTGAGTTGCCACGAATCGAGAAGGCTCTGGGCTGCAGGTTCCCATGCAAGTGGCTGCTGTCGATATCGTGATCGGATGGGGCCACGGAATTGATGCCTCCCAAACGCTTGTTTCCAGGTGGTTCGGTCTCATCGGACTTTCCTTCGTGACGATGGTTCCCATTGTCGTTGGATTTGACAAGTTCAACAAACCATCTTCGGCCTGGCGCACGCCCTTTGTCTGGTACCTGATCAGCCTTACGTGCGTCGGCATCGTCATTCTCATATACTGTATGTATCGGATGTGCATTTCTGACAAGGCGCTTCGCTACCCCTCTGTCGAGTTGACTGCTGCAGCATGCCTACAAACTGCTCACTTGTCCACAATCCGTTTCCTCTCAGCCCTTTTGTTCCTGTACTATATGTTTACCGTAAGCGGTGTAATGATTGATCCCTTTGCACCGCTGCTGTATGCGGTCTACGTCGAGCTCGTTGTCATGTCGGTCCTATCCCGATGTCTCTACAAATCCAAGACCTCGTCCTGTCGCTGGACCGCTGCCTGGTATGGCGTATACATAATTTTGGGCTCCATTCTGAGCAAGCCGCCGGTCGGAATGAGTGGGTGTCGATCGCGACTATGAGCCAATCTGCTGATGTATCGCACCCTCGACACCATCAGGTCTTCCTTTGAATCTACGGTGCTGCTTATCGCCCTCCTGTCGCTTCCGCTGGTGGGCATGGTACATCTATTTCCCGAGACACCGACGCTCGGGGCCACCATGCTGGCAGCAATCTATATCTGCAAGGGCATTTCTTGTTCGCTTGTGCTCTTCCAAAACGAGAGACTCATTCAAGAGGCCCTCGACAGCCTTGCTCGAAACGAGGATCCGACTTCCGAGATTGTCCGTGGCAAGCTGGACTGGGAGGTGTTTATGAAGTACTATTGCGGATGCGAATAGAGCGTCCGCACCTCTGTTCGCTGGCGATCTGGGCAAGTGTGCGAGTGGGATGTCGGCAACCCGCATGGCTCGCTGGTGCCGGTGCCCGCGCTTGTGCACAAGAATATAGACGTTTGATTTTCCACATTAAACCGCATGGCTCAAAGCCGATTCCTCTCTGCGACGGTCGCGGCGTTGAGATTCGCTGATGGGTCTCACGGCGATGTGCTTGGTCGCATTCCAGCACTCGACCCGGCTCGACCCGGCTCGAGTGCGGCGGAACAATCCTGGTCCGAAGAAGCGCCGCCAAGAAACCGAGCCGCTCCCGCCAGCGACGGTATCTGTGAGCTCCGGCCAGCAACGCTCCAGACCAGCCGCCCCCCGACCGTCCCAAGCAACGCCAGATCGACCACCAGCAAGGCTAGAGCACCAGCCCATCCATTTGGTCTCTCCAGCTCCGCCAGCCATTCGCCGCATCCCAGCCCTGGGTCGACAAACATGACAAGCAAATCTCTCGACGAAATCCACCATGGTCTGGACAAGGAAGCGCAGGAGCTCGTTGCAAAGAATTACCAGGCCAAATTCATTCAGAGGACCGTTATATCTCTCCTCAATGAAGTGGGTGCTACCTCGGATTGGACCGATGCGGAAATCTGCTGCCCTGCAGCACCTCGCTGATATTTATGCAAACCCGTGGCGGTCGCCAGACTTTCCGCTACGAGAGCCGGGTGTTGATTGCATTTGCTACATCGATCTGTCGAGCTAACTATATGCTGCTTGCAGGGCCAGGCGGCTTCCGAGAAGGGCGAATATCTCGATGCGTATATCCTCCTCTACCGAAGCGTTATGTACGATGATGGATGAGTTGCAAGGGTCTGCCCTACATCCCCGACGCACTGTGCTTGCGCTGCCCTCCTCCCTCCACCAGTGTCTGAGACAGAAATGAGACCGCCGCGGAGCCCTACAAAACCCTTGCTGACCTCGGACACGAACCTCGGCTCACCTGCTCATCCAATAGAGTGTTCACCAAAGTGCTGCCAAAAGGGAAGGATTACAAACAGGATGCAAGCGTTGCAGATTTGTACAAGGTAGGCGTCCTTCCCCCCCCCTCTGATTATTCGTCGAACCACATCGGGTGATGCTCTCCAAGCACTCTATCGCTACTCTCGTTTGAAGTGCGTAGAAAGAATTGCAATAACCGTTTCATTCTACCGTTGCCACCAGCGTATCGGTGGGGCTCTAACGCTGCTCGAGCAACTCAAGCCTGAAGTAAAAGCGTAAGTTTGGCTCGACTGCCTCAAGAGCAGCCCACGGAATAGCTCATGGATACAGATGATCATCGAGCACGCCGACTGAGTGCACTGAGTGTTATTGTCTTGCTATCGTCGCCCAGGATGATCGAGAAGAATGCCACCGGATCAGGACCCACAGCACGAACCAGCATCTCGGCCAGCTCTGCTTCTGGCTCGCAGACAGCCACCCCGGCCCAACCAGTATCATCCCCGGCGAGCCATGGAGCCAGCATTGCTTTGACCTCAAATGTGGCCGCTGCAATACCTGCAGCCTCGACTCCAGCCACAGCCAACCCCCAGCTCAGCCCATCGGCATCGATCCGGTCCGCTGCGTATTCCGGTGCGCCTATAGTACCTGCTGCGTATTCCAGCGTGCCTTTGGTACCTGCTGCATATTCCAGCGTGCCTTTAGTGCCGTCCAACACCCCACCCCTGCCATCACATGTTCCTTTGGTCCCACAATATGCATCCAGCAGCGCAGCATCTCTCAAGTCCGCTGCCGCTCCAGGATATCGGCCGGCTCTCACCAGCGCCCAGCCCCAGCCCCGGCCGGTGTCGACGGCTCCCATCCAAAGCCAGTATCCGCGTATTTCAGCGCAGGACCTGTACCGAGGGTTGACTCAAGCAGGCACAGGAAAAAGCCGCGTGATTGTCGTGGATATCCGTCCTACTGAAGAATTTGTTGATGGACATATCCGCTGGCCACGGGTGAGCCGGAGCGATGGAAAGCCGCCCGGTGGCATTGTTTTGATTGAGCCAGGGTCCGTGGAAATCAGGTATAATAGTGAAAATGAAGTTTTTCGGGCGGGAGCGTTGATCGCTGTGGCTTCACGGATGCGTGCCGTCGCTGATATCAACACCACCTCTACCACCTGCGTTTCAAGCGAGTCCGCACGGGATCTTGAAGAGCATCTGGCATCGCTTGGACACGATGCCGAGGCGAAGAGTCTATTCTACCGACGAAACGAGTTTGACATTATGATTTATCATGACGGGGCCTCGACAGCCAACAGCCCGGCCGGAATTTTGCGCAAATTTATGCGACTGATCCACGAGATGGAGTTTGACAAGACCCTGAAGCAACCACCAATTCTACTCGATGGCGGATTCCAGGCTTGGAATTCATTTATTATGCATGAGCTCCCTGCAGGTGACAGCGCACAGTGGATCGAATATGGAGAAGCAGGCTCCAACACTTCCACCCGCGCCCCAGAACTTCGCATGGTACGTGCGTTTTCGAAGCCGTGTCCGCACCGAACTGCCGCGTACACTGTGGGCCTATCGCCTGTCGAGGCTGACTTGCCACTGAACATTCGTCCCTGGCCAAACTTCCAGAACGGATACACTTCCCTGCAACCGGCGATCCCTGTCCAAAGTGCTCAAACTGTCCAGGGCCTGCAATTCGCTATCTCACCGCCAAACACGTTTCCCTCGGGACTGGGCCCTGGCCATGTCCAGGCTCAGCCCGGTCCGATCCCAACGCAGCCGACGATGTTTGACAATGCATTCTATAATTTTGGTTCGCTGACAAGTCTCTCCACTGCGCACGTCAACCCCAGCACCTATGCCTATAGTGCCCAGTATGGCGCCTACCCTACCCTTCCAATGTCTGTTGCCGGCTCGCCAAATGCTCCGCTGGGGCTGTCGCCGCAATCCACGCCACCGCCCTTGCTCCCCAAGACTCTTGCCGGTCAATCAAGCTACCCGCTGGCAGATTCGACCAACTTGCTTCCACCAAGCAATTCGCTCGCCAGCATCAATTCGGACTTGCTCCAGCAGCAGCTCGACCAACAGGCAATGCAGAATCGGCATATGGCCCAACAGAACCTGATGCATACGCAGCATCAAATTCAGAATATCCAGATGTTGGCATCGACGCACTCCCAATCTGTGTCTGCGAATAGCTCCGCCTCCAACCTTCCGAGTCTGGCTCAACCAGGAGCTCCCCAAGCGATTCTTCATCCCGTGCCACAGGTTTCGACGCCGCCCATCTCGACGCTCCTCCAGCCGTCTGCCACACAGCATCCGCCCCTGATTCCGCCCAAGCCTCTTCAAATCCAACAGCGTCTTCAGGGGCAAGACCAGATCGTTCCCAGAATATCGTTGCCAACACGAGCATCCTCGCCCTCGCCATCGACGACTCTCTATTTCCCACCACCGATCCCCAAGAAGCCTGCAAATTTCACGACCAGCTCGGCAACCGATACTGCCGTCATTGTTCCGATGGGTGGTGAAGTTGCACTGTTTTCACAGATGAACCAAAACATTGGGCTTGTCGGTTTGAAGAACATGGGCAATACGTGCTACATGAACTCGATCATCCAGTGTTTGAGCGGCACCGTCCCACTTTCCAGATTTTTCCTTGGTAGGGGCCCACTCAGGCTTCATTTGTGTCTGCTTATGCCGATTGATCCACTGTCTGCATCGCTTGCTCGACCGTAGCCTGCCGCATGTGATCTATAGTGCCATCCGCATGCGTTCCAATGTTGCGGCCGTGGTGGTTGATACTCACGTGCCCTCTATCGTGCCCTCTATCGTGCTCCCTATCGTGCTCAGACGGAAGCTTCCGTCGATTTTTGAACTGTTCAAATCGACTGGGCACACAAGGAAACTTGGCCAACCGATACGCCGAACTTATCAAGTCCATTTGGTCCAATGAGCAAACCGTCATCTCGCCCTTTCTCTTCAAGGTGAGCCTGCACTATGTCCATCGCTGGCTGTTTGGATGAGACTGACGTGGGTCCCTGGCTCTAGAAAACAATTGGCCAGTACGTTTCGCAGTTCCAAGGAGACGAGCAACACGACAGCCAAGAATTCCTGGCAAATCTTCTCGATCGTTTGCACGAGGATCTGAACGTTGCTCGCATTGGCTCCAAGCCCCCGCCCAAGTCGATCGAGGATGATGGGACGATTCCGGAACACGTAAGCTCATCTTGCAGAGCTTGCGCACCGAATCAGGACTATAGCCGTGTGCCCTTGACTCACCGTGTCGGCTGCATAGATTCTTGCCCAAAAGTCGTGGGCGCTGTACAAAGAGCAAAACTGGTCCGTCATCGTCGACCTATTTCAAGGACAGCTCAAATCAACTCTGACCTGTCTCGCATGTGGCAAGGTAGGCACCCGTCCGCTGGTGCCAGAGGACTCGCCGCCGACACACTGCCTTGCGCTTGTGTCTGCTGACTAATTCGATCGGACTTCTCGGGCGGCACTTGTGTTTCAACAGACATCGACCACATTCAACCCGTTCATGTACCTGAGTGTTCCTATTCCTGCAACGGGAAGCAAGCATGGCAAAGTGACAGCTGTTGGACTGCGGGCTTGTCTGGACAAGTTCGTGGAAGAGGAGACCCTGGATGGCGACGATCGATGGTGAGTGCGTGGGCGAAAGGGCTGATGATTGCTTTGGTACCCGCAGAATCGGCAGCCCATCTCGATCGTTATTGTCCAAGAGCCCATCTTCAGCCCTTTGCAGCCTCTAGGGCCGCTTTGCTGCGGGGCACCGTTGGGCACACTCAACTCGCTGCTGACCTCCCCGGATTTGCGTCGCCAAAGGCATTGTCCCAAGTGTAAGGTCGCCCGTAAGGCAACCAAGAGGCTTGAGATCACCAAACTGCCTGTCATTCTCCTGATCCACCTGAAGCGCTTTTACCAAGAAGGCCCATTCCGCAACAAGATTGAAACTTATGTCGAATTTAATATCGCGTGCGTATTCGGCAACCCGCATTCTGGGAGCGGTTCACAACAATGCGACTGACGACTTGGTTTTACTATCGGCAGGTCTCTGGATTTGACCAGCTACATGCCTTCCTGGAGCTACACCGGTCCGAGAGGGCAGATAATACCGTACAAATACGATCTATTTGCAGTTTCTGTGAGTTTCTTCCGCCTGGTTAATCTAGACTCTATGCAGCCGCTCTGATTGAAAGGGCGGCGCGTTCGCGGCGCCGCCGTGCAATCTCCACCGTTGCGCTGCTAACGAGCTCACTAACGAATGTCTCCATCGTCGAACGGCCAGAACCATATGGGTGGCTTGAACGGAGGACACTACACGGCCTATGTGAAGAATCAGCAAAAGAACTGGTATCTCTTTGACGACTCGACAATCAGCAACAGCAACGAAAGCGTCGTCCAGGTGGGTGTCGCAGACGCAGCAGACGCATCAGACACAGCAGACACAGCAGACGCAGCACAAGAGCGATACCATGTCTCTGACGCCGTGTCCACGATTGTGTTTGTTCCTGCTGCCCCGTTCAGTCCAACGCGGCGTACATTCTATTCTATATCCGCCAAAACACGCCTGGCATTCGGCCGGTGGAGGGCCCGTGGTTCGACTCCAAAATGTGATCCAGAGCTCCTCGATGAGCGTGGTCGGGATCCTTGTGCGCCGTCTCAATAAACAATGCACCGCCCGCACTTTGGCATGCGTGCCTTGCCCCCCCCCCGGCTCGCCGTCGGTCTTGGCTGGGCCTTCGGCCTTGGTCATGGCGGCGACAGACAACCAAGCGCGGCAGGTCGGCGTGGCGCAGCACAACTGTCACGCCAGTGTCACATGCGCGCAGCAGGCCTGTTGGCGACAAGCCCTCGCGACGTCCTCGCTTGCGCGCAATCCGTCGCCGTGCCGGCCCTCCCCTGTTCCATCGCATCGCCCATCCGACGCAACCCGCAGGCGCCTGTGCACTTGCTCTCGACACCAGTCCAGAGGCACCGACACCGACACCGACACCGACCCAGAACCACAGCAGCGCCGCGGACCCTATATCACACACAAAAAAAGCAACAACATGGCGTACCACATCACATCCTCATCAGCGTCGTCTCAGCCTTCGTTCCTCTCGTTCTCGTCGTCATCGTCGTCGCCGTCGCTATCGACGCTCTTTCCCTCCGACTTCGACTCCAATGACTTTGACTTGTCCTCCTTCGCCCTCCATCAGTACATGTTGGCGCTTCTGACCTCGCCCCTGACTGTGGTCGAGACCCTCTCCGAAGTCCAGCTCCAGAAACGCACCGATCAAGAGAGTGTACGTATTGCCTCTGCTCCTGCCCTGGTCGGTCTGCTGTCAAGTCGAAGCGAAACGATCCTGTCCGCCAATCTGTGCTACAGCGAGAATGCTGCCCTCGACCAAAAAATCAAGCGAGGAGGCCCACGGGGTGCACCCACTGGCCTATAGCGCAGTGGCAGATCACTATGGACATGTTGCTGACTGATTTCGTTCGGCTGATTTGATGATGGACTGCTCCAGGATCCGGACATCGAGACTCTCAGGACAGAAGGTGCCATCCAGCAGATCGATCCCATGCAAGGCGGCGTCTGGGACAACGTCAGGCTGATTGTTCGATCCGAAAACGAGGGCCTATCTTCCCTTCTGAAAGGTCAGCTTCCCGGACAGCTTGCCGGTGCCGTCGCTGGTGGATGCGAAGACCAGGCCCTTCGCCGCCTATGCTTCCGGCTTGGAGGCGCTGCCACAGAAACCAGTGCAGGCCTGCCCTCCCCCCATACCACGCACACCCTCGGGAGGATCTGTCGTTTGTCATGATTGCCCGATCGCCTCACGAGCCGCTGTGTATCATGCATATTTGGCCGCCCTCGCTGACCCACGCCATCGCCATCTCTTGGAACTGCAGGAAGCTTTACTACTTTTTTGTACAATGCCTCATACACGTTCCTACAACCGGCTCTCGAGGAAGTGTTCAACGACTACCTTGATGTCTATGACGACAACAACCCGGCTACACTGGCTCTTAGCCACGTTGTTGTCGGTGGATTGCTGAGTCCCTTGGAGCTGATCCGCACCAGGTAATTGCGGGGTGGTGCATCTTGCCGTTGTTCGGTTGGCTCTCGCCAAAGGCAGTAGCCATGGTGCTGCTGCCGGTCCCAGCATTGACTCAATCTCACGCTTCGCCCCACCCGCCTGCAGACTGATTGTCCAGTCGACGACGCCAAGAAGATCGTACTTTGGACCTGTGGATGCTGTGTGGACGATCAAGGAGGAGGGCGGCAGCATAGGTTCGCTGTATGCGGCCCGTCTTGTCCTTCCCTCGATCCTGATCCGCACGGCCAGTCCGCTCCTGCGGCTCGTGTCGGCCCACCTCATCACCGAGGAGCTACATCTGGACCCCGGATTCAACCCGCTGCTCTATCGTCTGGCAGTCCTTGGCTTTATGGCCATCGAGGTTGCGCTGCTCACGCCCATTGAGATTGCCCGGAAGCGCCTCCAGGTTCAACGACTTTCGTACGCGAGCCAGAGCGTGAGGAGCCTGGCTGAGGGCGAGGTCCCCCAGGCGTTCGACACCTGCGTCGAGGTCGCCTCGGCCCCTTATGCCGGTATCTTGAGTGCGATTTGGTCGATTGTGAACGAGGAAGGGGGGAAGCAAAGACGCCGCCCCAAAAAGAATGCCAGGCGCGGAATCGTGGATGACGGCAACGACGACGACGACGAGCTCGAAAAGATCCTTTCGACAAAGAAGCGAGGAGGTAACTCGAGCATCCAAAAGCTCTGGCTCGGCCTCAAAACACTCTATCGCGGATACTGGGCCCGATATGCCGCCAACGTTGTCGTCTATATCTTTGAGGACATCGGACGGGGCGATGAGTGGTAGGCTTTTTCCGCCGCCCGGTGCACCGGGAGCGTCGACAGCGCCGTCGGCACAATGCTGCCTTGGACAGATCGGCGTCTCCGCTGACGCTCTCCGAGTTGGGCTGCCAAGCAGTGCCGTCGTGTACCTATAGATTTGGTCCTGAATAACAACAGACCAGCCCGTGCTACTCACACACTGTCTCAAAACGAGCGAAGGGCTATGTAATTCCAGTGCTCGCAGGTCACCATGCGGGAATCACAGATATTCCCACCCGGGCGAACTCGACAGCAGCGACAGGCGGACATAACAGAGGCGATGTGCTGACCCGGTGAGACCTCATCTCAATCACACCCCCGCCCATTGGTGAGCACTGCACGCGAATTGCAACTTTCAACCATGATATCTGTGGTGTCGTGTTTACGTTTGGGAGGAGTGTATAGACTACTTTCGCTATTGGGTCATAGGGACAGGGACGCACCCGCGAGAGAGTCCGGTTGGATATGGCATGAGACAACGATAGCTGAACCTGTTGGCCAGTTTGACATCCTGTCCTCCCGAGACTCAGACCTGGGGAATCGCAAAGGGCTCGAGCGACTCGTAGTGATACTCGACATAGTGGAGCAGATAGAGCGTCTGGTTCTGGGGGAAGTCGCCTGGGGCCTTATTCGAGTGCGTTGGCATGATCGTCCAGAGGATACCTTGCTCGTTCACAACGCAAATCAGACAGTCAAAAACCTCGGCAGCAGCCTGAAGCGTGAGGTGGTCGCCCCACTCGGGGGACTCCAGGCGATTGATGGCGTTGCAGTAGCCTTCCCAGTCCGTGCAGTCTCCCTTCATCAGGGCATATTCGCAGATTTTGCTTCCGTTGGCCTAAATGCGTCAGGCAACGGGTCGAGGGGCGGGGGGGGAGAGGAGAAACCCAGTCAGATTGACATCAACCAAACGAGTAGCGAGTTGTAAGTTTGATGGCATTCGTGACTCCGGCAAGTATCATAGACCGGCTACCACCCGCAATCGACAGCACTACGGATGCATCCAGGGAGCACTCACGAGGACAAAATTTGGGTGAGATCGGAGCCACGATGCCACCAGGCGACGGACATCGACATGGGTAGCGGTCGGTGCGATGCCCGAACGATGGAGCTGATCGGCTAGGGCGCTGAATTGGCAATGGCCGTCGGGCAAGATTGGGCTCCGTTGGATGGTTGACTGAGGAGGGACTCGGAGCAGCTGGTTCGTTTTCGGGCTGCTGCCTTGAGAGGCACTTTGATGGGGGATGGGGTCGAGCGGAGGGTTTGTTGGGTGGCCCGTCAACGGCTGCGAGCCCTGGTTGTTCTGGATGGCGCAATAAGAGGTTCGGGGCAGAGAATGTGATGGGAGTCAGAGAGGGGAGATCCGCGTATCGCCCAAGTCATCATAAATCAGCCGTAGGCTATGTCGGTGCGCTGGATGGTGCTGTGGTCCTCCAGTCTTGCGGGTGAAGGAGGGCCGTTGCCCACACACAATCGCCGACTAACCTTCAGAGCCCGTTCCCAGAGCTCCATCAACAGCTTGCGCTGATGGAATCGGACATCAAACATCGTCACATTGAACCACCACGACACTAACTTGAACTCGAGCTCGTCCTTGGGCTGGCCCAGGAACATGGCGAGCCAGCTGCCGTAGTTGGCCTGGATGATATGCCAGAAGAGCTCGCTGAAGCTCTTTTTGCACTTTCGCAGCAGGAAATGGATCTCCTCGAGAAAGAGGCTGCGGTGCCGCTCGGCCAAGACTTGGTCGTGCTGCTGTATCGACGGCGATCGGAGGTAATTCAAAATGAGCGACGACGCCATGATGAACCGGCGAAAGGAAATCATGGCGGCTTCGTAGCTGGGATGCTCGCCCCGACGGGCGGTTTCGTAGGCCGCCGAAAATGAGGACGCGACTTCCTGGACCGTGGTGATGAGGTATCTTGAATGGTCGTTGGATGAGGCCGCGTCAATGATTCCAATAACCCGGAGCTGGTTTTCCATCCGCATCTGCCACAGCGGCAGCCAAAGGTGATATAGATCATCGTTCAGGGGGGCCACGCTCGAGGTGGGGGAAGTCATGGTGGGCAGTCCTGGTTGGGAGATTGAGAATTTGGGAGCTTGGAGTGTTGATTATTGGAGGGGGGACGGGCCTGTAATTTTGGGGAATGTGTTGCCGACGCTGTTCGGGTGCCAAGGGCGAGCGATCGGTGGACAGTGGAGCGATCGGATCGGCGGATGCCAGGCAGAGAATGCAGGTTTTATGGGCATGTGGAATGCCAAGGGCAGTGCCAAGGAGACACGTGATCGCCATGCCAAGCCGCCGAAGGAGCGGGACGGGCCTTGGCCTGCTGCGAATGCTCTTGAATGGGGAACACGGAAGCAGCCTCCACGCAGGATATGGAGGGCACCGGAGCCGCCGGGCGAAGCGGTCGAAATCCACAGAGATAGCGGGATGAGCGCAAGATCCGTGCTCCACATCATGAGTTTCACAGCATCTATCCAGGGAGGAACGGGACAGTTCCTTCCTGGCTTCAGATGTCTGAGCCCCGCTGACTGACTGTAGGCCCCGGTGAGCAAGCCGTGAGATTGTTTCCCGTCCTGGTTGGCAATCTCTTTGTTTTGGTTGGTTTGGGAAGCATGGTCTTGAATACACTCGGTCGATCTCCTGTGGCGATGATCGACTGGCATACCGAGATCATGTTCCTTGAGGCATTGATGTCTCGATGTGTGAGTGTGGTGCATCCACTCGACTCTCTGGACAGCTCAATGGTATCTCGATATCAAGATGGTGCTGTGCTTGGCCATGAATGCGATGAGTGGGTGGGTGTATTCAGGTTCCAGAAAAAAAACACTGTCCTGGTTAAAAACGGGGTGTCCCACTTCATTCTGGAAACGCTGTAAACAGTCAAGAAACCCCAACTCCAAGGAGGCGGTCGAATTTCTCGCTCAGCGAGGCTCAGTGAGCGAGCGGCTGTGAGAGCGAGGACAGAGATAGAACCACTCAAAACCAATGCTTGCGCTTGTGGTGGGGGTTCAGGCGCGAGACAATGACCTTCTCGCCCTCGGGGTTGATCAGAACAATGTCCTCGGTTCGGACACCGCCGTAGCTGGTGTAGTTACCGCTCTCGAGCTTGTCCCAGTTGATGTACTGAGCAATCGAAGCCTCGGATTTGTCGTTCTTGATCAGATCAAGGAGATAGGGGATAAAGTAGACACCGGGCTCGACCGTGACGATGTGGCCGGGAGCAATGGTGTAGTCGACAGCGAGGGTGCGGATGTCGCGGATGAAGGGCTGGATGAGCTTGGGAACCGGGGGCAGATCCAGGGTCAAAAACTGAGACGAGTAGCGCTTGGGCACAGGATCGTGAACATCGAGGCCTGTGTAGGATGGAGCATGTAAACAAGGCATGCCGATACGATTGCGAGCGATAGCAGATGTGCGCATGGAGGTCGGCAGCACATCCAGTTGGAGAATGGTGAGATGGATACAAATAGAGGAGAGACCAACGGCCGGGTCTCGGCCAACGCGAATGCAGGCATAACAGGCACATTGAAATGCGGAGCTGTCTGCCGGGAATACTGACCAACAGGATGCCCGAGACCATGGGGCTGGAAGGCATAGCCAACACCCTTATACAAGAGCGTGTCAACGTCGGCACCGTGGACAAAACCAGCGTCGAGCAGCGACTCAATCATAACCCGGGCGGCCTTGCGATTCAGATCGGCCAAAGAGGCGCCGACCTCGAAAGAGTCGATAAAGGACTGCTGGACCTTGGCAACGATATCCTGAATCTTGACCTTTTCTTCGTCGATGGGAGTGGGCTTGGGGTGAGGACGAGGGTGAGGACGAGGGTGAGGGTGAGGGTGAGGGTGGGGGTGGGGGTGGGGGTGGGGGTGAGGACGATGAGGCCAGTGATGCGGGTGGTGCGGGTGATGCGGGTGATGAGGACGATGAGGACGACGAGAATCGTCGTCGTCGCTGTCGCCATCGTCGTCGTTGTCGGCGTCGTCATCGTTGCGGCGATAGCGGTCGCCCCTGTTGCTTGAGGCCATGTACTCCTCGGGCTCGTCGTCGCGGTCGCGGCGATGACGGGACCACCAGTGAGGGTTCGGGCGAATGTAGGTACGGGTGATGTCGCTGGCGTATCCGTGATATTCGCCGGCAGCATCGATCAGGACATACGAGTTGGGCTCGATGTGGGCGTAGCCGGAGGTCTCATTGTCGCCGGTGCGGTAGTGCAGAATGGCAGAGTTGGGGCCAGCACCAACAATGGGAGGATAGGCTTGCAAACGAGCGCCACAGGCGGCCGTGACATGGGTGAAGAGGGAAGCCAGACCGATTTCTGAATAGGGCGCAAACGGAAGCGCGCCAGGGCATTTGGAGCACGACCGAGGTTGAAGTCCGCAGGGATCAGGCAATTGACGATCGTCAAGGGTGCGGAAGCCAGGGAGCAACATGGTTGACCGCGGGAAGAACGGAGAACCAGGTTAGCAGTGATTGACGACGGTAGTGGCGATGGATCAAAGTATCGACATGGGCAATTGCGGACTGTCGTGGACAGCCACGGACAGTCACAGAATGCTCTGGAGTGTCACGGACTGTCATGGAATGTCATAGCACGCTGCAGATCGAGGCACATCCTCCTCCAGGGCTGCCGGCAGAGGGAAAGGACGACTGCATGCACGACTGTCTCTCGATTGCACAAAGGTCCTACCGGACACGGAGCGGCTGTACTTGATCTTGCGGGCGACCTGGTAGTGAGCCCAAGCAGAGACCTTGCTAGCAAAGGACAAGTACTCCAGCTCCAGAGGGGTCTTGACGAAGCGAGATTCAATAAAGGATTCCTGGGCCTCGGCAGAGTACTTTGCGCTGTCGCGAAGCTCGCGAGGAAGGAACTCGACAGCAGCAGAGGACAGCACGGTCTTGCCTTCGTAGACACGGTCAAAGTCGGAGTAGTCATAGACGCCCGAGATGCCGTTCTCGGAGGCGAGAGTCTCGGCCGAGGGAGGCGGGCCCGAGAAGATGATCTCTCTCGGGGTCAGGCTGGGGCGGAAGACATCCACATCGAGAGAGTCGGGGATGGTCTCGGATACACGGAGAGCAAGAACCGCGGGCTCATAAGTGAACAGACCCGCGACGTAGATGACATTGGAGGCCTGTCTCCAAAGGCCCGACTCGACATCACCGGCGATGCGGTACGAACGGGGCGAGGTTGGGACAAGAACGACGGTGTCGTTGGAGAAGTCGGGGACCGACTCGCGAAAGACAGACAGCAGACGCTGGCGGGTCTCCACGTAGACCGGGGTTGTGGCCTCGGGAGCGGGGAACGGGCAAACTGGAGACCGGGTTGGTTAGAGCAAACAAGCAGCGAGGGGTAGTTTGCCTGAAGAGGCGCCGAGAGACAAGAAGGCAACGCGAGGCCGAAGCAACGCAAAAGAGCAGGTTTCAGAAGGACGCATGGACGTGACCAAGGGAGGGAGCGGCGATGGATCTGATACATTACCGATGTGGATGGAGCCGTGATGAACAGCAAACAGCCAATGGGCGATGATCACGATCGCAAAGGCAAAGCCGGCCAAAAGAAGAAAGCCGAGCAGCAGCCACAGGACGCGGCGACGGCGGCGGGGATGGTCGGGATGCTTGGGATGCTTGGGATGCCTGGGGTGATGGGGGTGATGGGGGCGCTTGGTGGCCTCATCGACGAGCAGCGGGAGGGAGGACTCGTCCTCGGTGTCAGAGAAGTACGAGGTCATCGCGGCGACGGCCTGGGTGCTGGAAGGCAGGGCGAGGCAGCGCCGAAAAGGAGAGATGGGGGTGAAAACGGAGAGGAAGATAGCAGCAAGCAGCGGGGAGGAAGAAAGCAGCAAGCAGCGGAGAGGAAAAAAGAGGCGGGAGGAATCGGGAAAGGCCACGGGGTCTTGGCGCGGGCGAGCCACCAGGCCGGGCCATGGAGCCCACGACAGAAGCCTGCGGGTGGCTCAGGCGGGTGCAAGTGTGAGTGCGAGTGTGAGTGCGAGTGTGAGCGTGATGGATTGCGAGTGTGAGCGTGATGGATTGCGAGTGTGAGTGTGAGTGTGATGGATTGCGACATGGCAGATGCAGCATTGAAGATGCAACACTGAAGATGCAACATTGAAGATGCAACACTGGAGATGCAACATGGCAGATGCAAAGGGCAGAGCCGTTGGCTGCGCTGGTTGGTGATCGCCGCCGTTGGCTGTTCCATCAACAAACAGCAGCAACAACACCCAACAGCGACAACCACGGCCGACACATTCTCCCGCGGCCACAGATCGAACGTGCCCTCATGCTTCGATGCACATTCTTCTGTCGCACGCACCGCCACAGCCCGCCCGCCCCGCCAATCGCTGGCCCGCACGCCGTGGCGCTGTAGCGCGCCTCTGTGCGACGTCTGTGCGCGCACAGCAGCCGTATTTGGCAGCCCTGCGCGCCCGCGCCGCCCGCGGCCTTCTCCTGTCTCTGCCCGCCACCGCCCGGTCTTCTTGCCCAACGGCGGCTTTCCTTTGCCTCTGCGTCGATCCGCTTTCCACCACAGGAGGAACTCCCCCCCCCTGCGTCGGCCATCGCTCCCGCTGCCTCTGCTTCGCTCCTCGTTCCAATATGGCCGCCGCCCGTGTCGCCCTTCGCCGTATCTGCGGTCTCGGGCCCTCGGTCCTCCTTCTACTCGCCGTCGCCTGCTCGCTGGTCTCTGCCCAGACATGCATCTCCTTGGCCAACTCCCAAGCCTGCCCCAACTTTGGATCCATCTCCATCTCGGCAAGCTCGGGCCTGCCCATCACCGACGTCAACTCCTTCGACAGCTACGTCTTTGCGGCCTCGTCCTCGCCGTCCACTCAGTCCATCATGGCCCCCTTGGGCTGCTCGGCGGCCAATCTCGGCACCATTCGATACACCACCTCCTTCATGTGTGCATACATCCTCGGCAACTCCAGCTTCACCAGCGGATGCAACTCGCAGCCCTCCGCAAGATACTGCACCGCCAACTGCACACAGTTCACCACGCTGCTGTCGGGAGACGTTGTCAACCAATGCATGGGCGGCACTGCGAATATCCAGGCACGAACCCAGACGCTTTCCGATTTCTTCAACTTCTGCACCAGCCAAAGCAGCATCGTCGCCTCCAGCAACTGCAACAGCAGCTTCGGCACAGATGCGTTGTACTGCGGTATGATCTTGGACCTAGCACCCCTTTGTCGACGCTCGATATCTGGTGGAAGGCGAGGCTGGCTTTGGAACACATTGGCTGACACCGCCGCATCCTTCTGTTTCATTCTATGTTTCGATACCTGACCCGCCTGCCCAATGTCCATATGCGCACCGTTGGCGGCTATCCTGCAGGCTTTTCAACCTCCGGCTCCAGCACTGTCCCATCGGCGGCTACCTCGTACTGCGCTCAGAATCCGAGCGATCCCTGCTGTTCGGCTCTGGGCTCTGGTGCCTCGTCGTGCTCTCTGCTCGGCATATCATGTGGCAACATCATCGGCATCGCCATTGGCATCGTCTTTGGCATCGCAGCGTAAGTCACCGATCTCATGCAGTAGCCGAGATAGCTCTGGCGATCTTGCAACGTCCCATTTAGTGACCCGAGTGGATTCTCGCTGGTTGCGGCTGCGGCTGCGGCTGCGGCTTCTTCCTGCCGCTCTGATTGCTGATCACAGCCGCCCAGACGGCGGGGACTCGCACACATCGCAGCTAACTCTCTCCCCAATTCGGGTACTCCGTTTTCATACCAATCCGCTCCTGGCCCAACATGCAGGGTTGCTGGAATGCTGATCGTCGCTCGCTCCCAGCCCCGCAAGGGTGTGTCGTTCTTCGACTCGGCCTATCAGCCCGAGCCCATCCAGCTGCACAACGCCGCCAACCCGGCCTCGCCAAAGGAGCGCATTTTCCTTCGAGACAACACCGCCATCACACAGAGCCAGACGGTACCTGGCATCCCCCTGCAGGCCATGAACCCTCAGAACCAGTCGCCTCAGCTGCACCAGCACTTGGCTGGCCTGACTCCCCAGGAACAACTGCAGTACCAGATGAACATGCAAAAACCCCAGCCCCCCATCCCGGGAGCAACCAACCCAAGTGACCATCTTCAGAGTCAACCTGGCTTCCCTGGTCAACCGGCCTTCCCTGGCTCGGCCCAACCTCGACCCTTCCAGCCCCAACAGTTCCAGTCACCCAACCAGCTGCATTCCCAGCCCCAGCAGTTCCAGCCCCAGCTGGGAGGCACCCCTTCCATCCAGGCGCATCTGCCGCCAGTCGCATTCCCACAGCAGCAGCAGCAGCAGCAGCAGCAGCATCCATCTCAGAGTGCCTTTGCTCAGCAGCAGCAGCAACAACAACAGCAGCAACAGCAACAACTGTACCAGCAGCAGTTCCAGCAACAACACTTCCAGCAACAGCAGCAGCAGCAGCAGCAGCCACAGCAAAGTCTCGGACAGGCTCCTCAGAACTTTGCCACTCCTCAAACTACCGCTTCCTTTGCGTCTCCCAAGACACCCATGGGCGCCCGGCCGCTGCAGCCCGCGAACCCCGCCCAGTCTATTCAGTCTCCTGCGGCTGCCCAGCAGTCTCAGCTTCGCTCTGCGCCTTCCGCTCTGAGCGCCAAGAGCTCACCACGCAGTGCCAGTGGCTCTCCAAAGTTCCAGGTCGGCAACGTCACCAAGTCCCCGGCAGCTTTGCCGAAATGAGCATCAGCAATGTTGTCCCGCGCGATGGCCAGGCCCGTCGCCCCTCACGGCTTGTGCGTTGGGTTATATCGACAATGTTCCACGGCTCTGCGCGCTTGCGCCCGACCATATCACACCTTTCTTCTTCTTGTCACTCCTTTGTTCGGTATTTTGATGTCGATCCTGTAGTTAGCCAAAGTCGACTTTAGCGCTCGCTCTGGCCAAGGGAGAACTACCGGTCGCCCGTCAAGTATATCCGATTCATATCTCTACCAAAGCCGACGGGCCTGTCTCGCTGTTCTCCACTCACTCGTTTCCCCCCCCTTTGCATTCGCCCCGTCCTTCGCCTTCCCAATAATCACTGGTCTGACCCTTGCGGCCTGCTTTCTCCTCAGTTTCTCGATTTGTGGCTCCCTCCTATGACACACACAGCGGAACTGGCATGTCGGCCAAATACATGTATTGCTCTGACCACCCCCCAAGGAGCCGGTGACTCTGCTGTTGTGTGGCCCATGCCTGCACATACTTCTGCCCTATCGCTACCCCAAGACCCAAGACTCGAGACCCAGACTGTGCGTTTGGCATCAAGCGGGCACTGCTGTGGCAAGCTGTGGACAATCGACTTTGGCCACCCCCTTCCCGCTCATCCAGGCAGCCGCGAACGTTGCGAGCAATGGTCACGGTCAGTTTCGAAACTCGTACAGAACCGGAGCCGAATCTGGGATGGAGTAGAGCCAGATGTGGCGACTTGTGTCGTCGCGGTGGGACTTTTGCATTGTCCTCCGGGTGTTCACAAGCTGTCTGGGTTGGCGCATTCCATTTTCGCCGTCGGCAATTGTTTGGTATCGACCATCACTCGTTAGCCTTTGGACGAGATCGCTGAGATGTAGATGCAAATGGAACCACAGTCAAGCCCTGGGACATATACTCACTCGCGCGTGGATCCTGGACTCTGGTTCTCGAGCTGTCGCCAGACAGCGTCGTCGTTGATATCCACATCCGCGATCCGCTTGAGGACAGAGAGCGCCAGATCAACCGCAATGATCCGAGTCCGTGTCATGGACTGCACAATCCGCGAGATCGAGCTTTCGGCTGAAGCCACACGAGCCACCACAGCCCACGGCGACAGCAGCGGCAGCAGAGCTGATGTTAGAGGGTTTCGATTCGCCACAACGGCCGCATCAATCGGCTCTTTCACCAGAATAAGAGTGCCCAGTCTCGCAAAGTGCGACTCGGCCTACCTCGCTCAATGATCCGATTTTGTTCTTTGAACTTGAGTCGGTTCTTTTGCGGCGACAGCACAAAGCTCACTGCGTGGTCATTACAGCGGATATCCCACATGGTCTCAGTAGCTGCGACAAGGCTTGCTTCTTCCCAGATGCGAGTGCGTGTACAAGCAGCGCGGTGGTACGGAACCTGTGGATACGATCTGTGTGCTGCTACTGCTTCCTTTGGAGTCTTGTGACGACTCGATCTCTCGCACGTGTGAATTGCCTGATGCTCGAGCCATGTTTTCGAAGGAGTGTCATGACGCCGCCGTGGGAGCCCCAGAGCCGCAGACGAGATTGAGATGTCAGTGAGAAGGCTTGAGTTTGGCATTGATGCATAGGTGCGAGCGAGAGAGTGGACATCCCCAAAAAAAAGCTGTCGCATTTTGACGGAGGTACATATGGATGCGGGCGTCTGGTCTGGGACCATACGCACGGCGTCAACATGGCCGGCCGGTTGCTCAAGTGGAGCTGGCTCAGTTCGGCATGGATCGATCAACTGGCCACCCTGCCTTACCTTCCGCGGTGCCAGATCGCACAGTTTTGTTGATTCCGGTATCACGCAGATAGTGAGAGAGCTCGGTTTGCAGGAACGAAATCAAGTCACGTCGTGAAACTGGGGAAGCGGGGAGGCCGAAATACAGCGTCAGGTTGCCGGGGCCGCATTACATCAGAGTGCAATGGATTGCATGGCTCCTTTCCATTCAAGGTCAATCTTACCATCGTCTTCTTGTCGAGTCATCATGTTCTTGACCTTGATTTGCACTGGTGGTCACGACGGGCAAGATCAGCTCGGTCAACAGGCGGCTGCCATATCGTACGGCGCACATCTCGGGCCAACCATGTACTCCCTCAGCTTACTAGATTTGGAGTCTTGGTCTTTCATCTTGGTGTAGATGCAGAAGCTATAGCCTGTGTTGCTTCCGTGCGTTAGACCATAGCAAAATGCTCCGAGGGCACTTTTCGGCCCGGGATCATTCCGGCGGCTCTGGGATGTGCAACCAGTGTCGTTTGTTGCCATTCCGGACACCATTGGGGCTGCCATTTGGGTCATTGTCGAGGCGCCGGCCACTCACCTCCAGCAAGCGCCGTCTGGATAATCTCCTGTGGAGACGTGGCATCCTTCTCCATAACTTCGCAGGATATACCTGTCCGAGCCCATCCGAATAGGCCCAGTCATTAGCTCGGAGCGCATGCATTTGCTACATTCTGCTATTGGCGACGTGTGCTTCTTGTGCACATGTCGCTGCGGTGGACTTACCGTGGCTCCAGCACTCGGCTGCGATTGCCATGCGATCGTCCACGGCTGCTTGACCCTTAGCAAACGATGCCACCAGGACGTCGACTTTTCGGACAAAATAGTTCAGGCTCGAATGCATCTCATCGACCTTGCCCGACATCCAGCTTCGAAGCGAGTCAGCGTGCTCAAGCACGACGCGCTGTATCAGCTTTTGAATGGCTTTTGAACAGGAGGTCGGGGCCATTGAGACAGATGTGTCAGCACAGCGCAAACAGAGATGGCTCGTCATGAAACGTTGGGTCGGTGGATGCGCGCATCCACCTCTGCGGGCTCCAGAGATGCAACAGCAAGTAATATACTGCTATTCCAGAACCAGCCACACCGCTGCCGTCGCCGTCGCCGCCATCGCAGCAGCAAGGACTTCAGCCATACTTACCAATATTCACGCCAACAGCAAAAACACGGCGGTTGGACAGAAAAGGCCCTCGGTAACGGGCAATCAGCTGGTCGTATCTGCCACCGGCAGCGATAATGTCTGACGCGAGGTCGAAGCAACGTGAACGCAAGATGGTCAGGGCAGACTCTATGGCGTCTCAGCAACAGTCCCTTCCGCTGCGATCTCACGCTGCTTGTCGAGATATGCTGGAGTGCTCGTTGTGTTTCATTCTTGGCATCACTGGCCTTTCCCCAGGCAGTCTTCTCCGGCCAGTCGCTTACCAAGCCTGTTCTTTGCATAGGTCGCTATGTGAAACATGATGCCCTTGCCGTAATACACGACGTTTTGCGAGAGCAGGGGCGACAGGATCACTTTGTTGCGTATGCCAAACTGTTTGCAGTACCTCGACAGCACCACGAGCTGCGAAAGACACTCGGACAGCCCTGATCCTCGGCCATATGTCCGAAACAGGCCGTCGAGCTTGCGGCGCGACTCTTCGATATCACCCTGGATAAATGCATCGAAACCCCATTCGCCGGTGCCGAGAACTGTTAAAGCAAGGGCCAGACCAACACATGCAAGCTCTGATGCCAGGGCTCATACCTTGGTCATATAAAAGTTCTCCAGGACATCCACCGTCGCGCGTGGGACGTTCAAGGAATGTACAAGCTTGTATCGGACCTGGGCAAAGCTCAGAGATGCATCCAGCTCTTGTAGCACGGCGAATACTGACCGACGGAAAGCTTGGTCCTCGGTTATCTTACAGCAGGTTAGAATCTCCTGCAGGATACTCTCATGGCTGAGGAATATCATATAGTCAGAGGTCCGCGGTGAGCAGACTTCGATAATGTCCATGACGACTTTCAGCACTGAATGTGGTTGCCAGAACGGAGTGATTAGAAGGCAGTGGCCAGAGGGAGCGATCGGAGGAACATCTCGCTCACAGCCCTTATCCAACGGAGTGCACCGATGCGCCAGGCGAATCACCTTCGGCCTCGGGCAGTAAATTGGTCTCCTCGAGAGTCACGATGTCAAAGTTGCAGCTGTATCCACTCCGCGGCTGTCCGCCGACCAAGTTTGGGCGGTAGATCTTCTCGAAGGTTCCTCGCTTGAAGCTGGCTTTGATGTTTGTGCGAGCGATATATCGCGCAAATGGGACAATCAAATCATACGGCAACTACGTGCACAGGGGATTTTCGAGAACCAGCAGTTGGAGGTGTGATTAGGACACGAATCACGACAGGTGCCCCAGATAATATCGAAGCAAGCATCATCGTATGAGGCATGGCTCAGCCTTCTAGCCCCATCGAGCGGCGCACTGCCGCAATCAGTAATCCTACAAACCCACCGAGACGAGCACGCCACTCTGATCGAGCAGAGCCACACTCTTGTCGATGTCAAGGTTTGTGTAGATTTCGGATTTGGGTATCAGCGAGGGCACCATGATCTCCATGGCCCCGTGGAGCTGGAAGATCTTGAGCACTTGGGACCGGACCCGGGCCGTGACGAGGGAGGCGAGCTCCTCCAGAGTGGCATGTCCGCAATTGAAGTCGTAGGTGAAATCCTTGTGCTTGTCCATGGTCTGAGCAAACAGCGCCGTAACAAGTCGAGAGTAGTACAGCGGGTTGTTCTGGTCGACGACGCTTCGCAAAGCCTCGGTAACGTACTCCTCTTCCTGCAGGACCAAGATCAGTCATCATCAGTCGGGGCCTGCGGGGATCGCACCAATGAGCTGCCCAGGGCCCATGTCACTCTGCGAATGAGGTAAGAGATGTTCTAGCTCGCAACATCCTCGTACCAGCTTGGGTGGAAGGAGATTGGATTTCAAAATGGCAGCGCAAGAGGGTCGAGCTGGATGTGAGCCAGATCGTGCGACTGTTGGTTAGTCGTGCACTGCGGGCAACAAAGCATACCAGTAGAATCGAGATGATTCTACTTGCCTTTGGGCGAGTGGCTCAAGAAACTCTGGATGATGCTCATTTGTTTGGCGTATTTCTTGCAATCAAAATCGCCGGGAAACTTGATCTCGGGCAACCGGAGATCGCGGAGCACCACCATCCTCTCCATCCCAGTTTGCAGCGGATAGCACATCTAGGCGAGCAGAGATATCATGGCGAGTGTCAATCGATGCCAAGGTGGGTGCCAATCGATGCCATGATGAGCATCAATCGATGCCAAAGTCAAGATTTGCATCGAGAGCCGCCATCGACTCGCCAGTCGGGTTGGGCGATGGTTGGATGGCTGGAGTGCTAGTTTCTGCACGACGACAGAGGCACCGACCTCGAAAAAACTGAAGGAGACGCGGGATGTTGCGAGCCGCGATGACAGTTAGTCAGAGTCGGTCTTGCAGATGCCACATGCACATCCCGCCTACCAGATGCCCAGGGAGTAGATATCCACTTTCGAGTTGTATTTCTTCGAGTTGCTCAAAACCTCTGGCGGCAGAGGGTACAGAGTGAGTGAGTGAGTGAGTGAGTGAGTGAGTGAGTTGTTAATGCGCAGGGCAGCACATGGGCACGGCATGCGAGCCAGAAACCTACCAGGAGCCACATAGATCGGAGTGCCGATTTCCGACGTCATGGTTCCGTCGATTTCTGAGCGACGAGATTCGATGCTCTGACCTGGGTGGAAGGCCCCTTCTTTCGCGCCCACTTCGCTTCGGATGGTGGCAAGCCCAAAGTCGCCAATTTTGACGTTTTCGTTCGCATCAAGGAAGCTGGTGGCCAAGGACTGGTTAAGTGTGTGCCGGCTGGAAAGCCCATGCCGCTGATACCATGGCACTGCGATGCAGTGGGCACACGGCGCTTTGAATGAGTACGGCCCTCTGCGGCGCGAGACAACCTACATGTTACTGGCAGCATCGATTTGAGCCGTGGGGATCAAGAGTTGGTGCCAGAGATGGTGTGAGTGGAGTGACGCGGAGGGTTGTTGCCGAAAGTGCATCACGGGCAGCAATCAAAAATGGAGCGGATGCGAGCACACGATGATCGAAAACTGCTCTCCCGCGCCTTACCTGGGCTTGAGGTCTCGGTGAATCATACCAAGTGAGTGGATGTGGGCCTGTACGAAAGAATGGGTGTCCCGTTTCAGGATACAGTGTGCACAATCTCGGAATGATGAAAGACATGCATTAAATTAAATGGCGATGTCGCTACCAATCCTTCGACTATCTGGCGCAGCAATCGCCAGGCCTCTTCGTCGGCTAGACCTTGGTCAATGACATCCCTGAGCGATAGAATATCCGTCGTAAGCAAGAGCGTGCTCGTCAAAGCCCAAGTGAGGCCGTAATGCTGCTATTCATGTCTGGCAACAGGCCACCACGAAAGCATTGCATGAGCACTATACGACAACACATGCATCTGATCCAAGACTCAAATGACCCGATCGTCGTTGCGTAGTCAGCAAGACCACGAGAGCTAAAACTGGCTTACCGGAGCGTCTTCTTTTCGCAGTACTCCATCTGGATATAGAGCGAGATCCGATATAGTCCACCGCTCTCGCGCGACGACTCTGTCACTGAGATATCGGGCTCTGCAAACGAGATGCTGAACAGCTTTGAGCTCTTGCTGTGGTCATGCGAGACAAGCCAGTCGGACTTGGACTCCATATTTCTCAAATTCTTGCGGCGTTGGTTTGGCATGGTTGGTGTCGAAGTCATAACGCCATCGCTGGTGCTCGTATCGTTGTCCGACTCGTCGTCGCTTGTGTCGTCGTCTGAGAGCTCGCTGTCGTCCGAGCTCTCGTCAGAAAAGTCATCATCCGAGTCGTCGTCGTGCCAGGTACTTCCGGTTCCATCTTCGAACCATGCTGCAAGTCGATGATAGTCATGTGTGAGCTTGCTGCCTAGCCGGAGGGACGGGAAGCGGCATTAACCTCTGGCCCTGGATGGTATACTTACCTTGGTAGTAACGCACAACGAACTGGTGATGCAGCATCGAAAGAGTTTGGACCTCGCGAAGGATTTTGCGGCTGTTCTCCCGATCCTGCGGATCAAGCTTGATCTGTTTGATGGCATAGAAGCGCCCGTCTTTGACCGGAGGAGAAATGGCAGCCGCATGAGCAAGGCGTGAGCTGCATGTGTGCACATGAATGCATGTCCGGCTGTGCAGTGTTTTTGTCACGTTCCGTGAGTTCCATAAAGCACCCACCGATTTTGTTCCGGGCCTTGACGACCTGCCCAAACCCGCCTCGTCCGAGAAAGTCAATCTCCTCAAAATCCATCTTGTACCGCGACTGGGTTTTGCCGTAAACTTCCATGAGGGATGTGCTTGACTGAGTCTGGCCAGCTTGTAGCAGAATCGAGCCTCCCACGCCCGCTGCTCCGGCCGGCGGGCCAAAGGCTGCACCCTGGGGCAGTTTGTTGGTATGCAGCGCCAGGATATCCAAAGCCAGTGGGATTTCCTTGTCGTTGATGTCGTCGAACAACGAATGACTGAGGAGCTCCATGGCCGTTGAGCGCTCCTGCGAGTCTTTGGCGAGTGTCTTGCGGAGGACACTGAGAACAGAGGCGGGGATGCTGTTTTCGACTACATTCGAGATAGCCGACATGGATCAGAAGTCACCGTGAGCTCGTGGACAATAACCGGCTTGACAGTAACCAGCAAGCGCTTGAGCAAAGAAAGAGTATCGAAGATATGGCGATACAACTCTCTACCATCAATTGCTCGCGCATCAACACAACAGATATGCGAACGGGGGAAGGGGTCGGTCGTTGCTGACAGCTGCTGATATGACTCACGATTCTTATATAGGTCCTCCGGCGAGTTGTACTTTTTGGTGACTCCCAGACCCAACAGCATCTGTATGTTCGATTAGAGCAGGCGATTGCTAGGGCTTAGACAGGTACAACGTGACCCAGTACTCAACCACATGCCACATATGCAGCGGACGAAGGAGGCCGCTGCGTGTGCCCATCCGTTGCAGTAGCCAGTGTGCAGGATAAGGCTCCCACCTCAGCAAATGTTCGTCCGAGACACCATATGTCGTTTTTGGAGCCGTAGACACCGGGTCTGCTCAGAAGCTCTGGTGCAATCCTAAAACAGTCGAGGTGCGGCAGGTTGGGCTGGGAACTCAGGGTTGTACAAAGCATTTGCTGAACAAGCACTCGGTGGAATTACCAGCCGCTCGGGTAGACTTCTTCAGCAGGAAGATCTGGTCGTAGGGGCCTTGCACGATGCAGGTCTTGGGAGCCGCGAATGCATCGGATTGCAGTTGAACATGCGCACAAAGGAGTTACCGATGGTCATCGTTAAATTGGAGCTCGACAACGGCGATCAGGACCAGTAGGACTTTGACCAACTCCGTTGGCTTACCGAGAAGCTTTCGCATGTACATGGCGTTGCCGAGCATCAAGATAGACTCGGTATGGCCCTCCAGGGCCGTGAAAAACACAGTTTGGGGCTTGATGTCTGAGAGGGAGTAAGCATGAGTATCTCAGCAGCAAAGTGGCGGTTTACGTCTTTCATCCGCGACTGCACAAGTGGCGCTGAATACCTCGATGAACCAGATTCCGCGAGTGGAGAAAGACCAAGCCTTTCAAAGCGTGGCGCAGGAATCGCCGTGCATTGGTCAGTGACATGGTGCCGCACTTTTTCAGCAACGAGATCAGCGATCCTCCGTTGCAGTACTCCTGGAGGGTCTCGAGGAAAATCTCGCCCCGCTCGCGGCGCATCTGAATGTCATAGAGATTGACGATGTTTGGATGATGCGTTTCCTTGAGCGTCTGGATCTCTTCGATGATGCTGACAAGCTTTCTCTCTCCGTCAGCGCCGGCACGAGTGTAGTACTCGTCCGCGATACGGAACTCCTGCAAGACGAGCATGTCGGTATCGTCCGAGGAGTTTTCGTAGCTAGCAACACGGTAGATGCTATAGAAGCTGGATCCTGGCGGGGGCAGAGATGCGAGCGCCGAGTGGCAAGGCCGTAAATGAGACGATGGAGCCGTACGACCGAGTTGCGGAGCGGTATCAAATATCAAATATCAAATATCAAGTATCAAGTATCAAGTATCAAGTATCAAGTATCAACGATGAGGTATGACATTTGAGGTATGAAGTATCGAGTACATTCGGTACCCTTGCGCTGCTTGTGACCATACAAACCATTTTTGATTCTGGATCCGCGCAAGGCAAACTCCATCCGTCTTGTCTGCGCCTATGACAGGAGAGTGTCAGTAACGATGCTCAAGCATCGTGCGGCACAAACAACCCCATTTCGCAGCTGCGCCAATATATACCGGCTCTTGGCTCTGGCTGTCTGTGGGGCTGCGATCGCTCTCCTGTTCAGTTGCATCCTCCGAGTCTGGCTCGCTGGTAGTGGTGGACTCGGAGCCGCTGAACGATTGCTGCGTCCGGAGGCTCATCTCCGTCACATCGAGCGACGGCACGGTGTCTTTTCGCCGAAGCAGCTCCTTGCGCTGGGCCTTTTTCTGGTTGATTTCGTCGACAATGCGCCGGAGAAAAGTGTCATCTTCCTCCTTTCGGGCCTCGGCCTCCTCCAGCATCTTGCGTTGTTCCGTTTCTCGAATTTGCTCCTGCTTGACTAGCTCGTCGTGCTCGCGACGATCGAGCATCTGCTCGTGGGCCGATATTTGCTTGGTACCACGGATGATGCTGTTGTTGACGCTCATGTAGTCCTGGACCATGTCGATAATGCTAAAGATCTTGTGCGTCGTCCAATGGTCAGGGCATGTTACGGGCGATAATGGCGATATGCCACCGCATCGGTATTGGAATCGGATGCAACATACAGTCCATCAGTTGACGATACTCTTGAAGCCAAAGCACATGCACCGCGGCTACCGACGTCGGCGCTGATCGATCTACTCACCATCACTTGCCCTGCTCAACGAACAGAGATGTTCACGAGCCAGGTGCAACGGATCCCAGAAATGGTGTTCGGGAAGGGCATGTCCGCGATCGGCTTGGTGAGATGGAGAAAAATGCCAACGGAGCGGTCCATTGGGGACCAGAGAGCGAGCGAGCGAGGCTTACCCTTGAACTGCTCGGCCCATTCAGGCACTAGTGACTGCAGTGTCCGGAACTGTGCATCCGAGAGGCCTGTCGATTCGCTGCAGTTAGCATTGGAAGCACAGCCTCGTCGCCAGCATCGGTGAACAAGCAGTGTCCTCGTCCACTTGCCTTTGTCCTTCTCCAGGTGAAGATCTGGCACCTCTTCAGGATAGTTTGGCGGATAGCTACCATCGAAGCACATGCATCAGTCGACCAGGGATTCGAAAGCCTCCATGAAAAGAGCAAGCGCATGTCCTGCCCTGCAATTTGGCGTGTGGTTGAGTCCGCAGCCATCCGATCGGATGCGCTTGCCCATCTGCTCGCATGAGACTCCCAATAGCCACCTCACAATCAGCGTCAGCTGGACCTGGCCCTTCAGATCGTTGCCATTTTGATCATACGGCGGCTTCAGCGAGATCTTGAGACCTCTCCGGGCAATGTCCTTTTGCCAAGCTTCTCGACGGGATTGCCAATTCAGCTCGGGATTAGTGCTCTGGAGAAGACCGTCAGCCGGGGCAGGCCATCCCCAGCCGGGCGCATGAGCATTTGGGGGAGGGGACGCAGCTGTACCTCGGGTCTGGCGAACGGTTTCTTCGACGAGGTCGTTCTCGTAAATGGCTTTCAAGGCCATGATTTCGTCGTCAATCTCTCGATTCTGTTCGTCTTCGATAGCCGACTGTACTAGCGGCGCTGGTCGCTGCATCGGCGACGGACTGCGTGTCGACAGCGTTGGCTGGGCATGGCCCTCCATTGAATGCTGAGAAAGTTGGGACAACTGCTGCTGCTGCGGGTGATGGTGGTGGGGCTGTTGTTGCTGCTGCTGCTGCTGCTGCTGGACGGGCCCGGTGGCCCGGGCTTGCCGCTTTTTCTTGGCCATAGTCGATGTGTGCCAACCCTGAGGTCGCTGTTCCGGCCCCGATGTCCAGCGATTGTGCCTCTCTGGTTCGACTCGTCGGCACTGCGCGAACAGCCGCCCCTGGCCCGTCCCGTCCTGCCTGCGAGGCCATGCTGGCCGGCCGCGGCCGTCGCCCTCACTGGTTCCCGAGGCCATCCCGGCCTCCGTCTCCTCATGGTGCCCATCATGACATGCCGGCCACCCAGGCGCTCCGAGCCCATCTCCATGCTTCTCGCCGCAAGTCGCCAGCGGCCAGGGCCGCCCTGTGCTGCGCCACGCGTCTGGGTCTGTCCATTTCTCAGCGGCCGTGGGCCTGGTGGATTGCAGCAGCCAAGCCGCCTGCCCAGGCGTCTCTGTCCTCCACCACACAGCAGCAGCCGCCGTCCGAGCTCGCCTTGCAACCCAAACGACCAGCGCAAGAGAGAATAAGAGAATCCAGCGACGCTGACCGAGGCCAGAGCAAACGAGAGCCACAAGCACGTACCGTGAACGTCGACTGCGAGAAATGTCGAAGCGCGCTGGTGCTGGCCGTCAAGACGACGGCGACGATGTGCAGGACAACACCGTCCTCGACGAGCAAGGTGCCGATCTACCAGCGACCTGTGAATCACCTCTGCATCGTCTGGATGGCTAACGTCTCTGGCTCTGCCTTTTCCGTGTGCGCAGAACAGGAAGACATAGTCGAGAAGCTCCGTGAAGAGAACAGACAGCTCGATCTGTTCTACAAGGTTCGGGCCGATTCGTCCTCCAGCAGGCATCCGAACTGACCACGACGAGGCAGGAGGAGCGATGTGGCTCAGGGCGATGATCTGGACTGCAGATCGGGTGCTGACGCCATGCACTCCTTTACTTTCACATTGGATATGCGGTGCTCACGCCCGGCAAAACATGAAATCAGTCGTCGATAAAATTGGGAATCGTGCTGCTGGGACTACTGTGAGTATGCGTCACCATGTCCTGCACTGCCATGTCCTGCACTGCCATGTCCTGCATTGCCATGTCCTGCACTGCCCTACCGATACCTAGCATGTGGACGGCAGAGGAGCAGCAAGCAACGGCAAGGGTGCCGTGAGAATGCGATGCCCAACGCTGCGATCACAGATGCAGAGAGTGGAGCAGACGTCTGGGGCGGCCTCTGTCGCATCGAACTACATTTCAGGGCCGAGGCTACATGCATGACTCACACGCCCATCGAATTGCTGACCCGCCTCGCTCGTCTTCAGGAACATATACTGGGGAGCCCTGCCGTACTTCTTCGCCACAACGCCAAAGTTCTACACCAAAAACGCACTGTTTGCGCTTGCGTCGTTCGCCAGCTCGGCTGTGTTGTTCTTTGGCAACATTGCTCCTCCGTCTACCGCTGCACCCAGCGGCAGCAGCCCCGCCATGAAGGCCAAGTCGGCGTTCTTACACCATTCCTTCATCGGAGGTTTCCTCCTGGGAATAGTGCCGCTCTACACGACGTATATGCACCACCAGGAGCTCAGCTGGGATCTCGGCATGTGGGTCCTTCCGTCGCTCGTGGCAGTCATCATGGCAGTTACAGTCGACCAGATGGAGGAGCTCAAATCTGATATTGCACTTTTGGAGAAGCACAAATACAAGGTCAAAGGCGCCTAAGCACCGGGCCCAGTCTGACCCGAGCGGCGAGCGTGCCGTATGATCCAATAGCCTGGAGCCATTTCAGTGGTGGTACCTCGATGTTCGGGCGTCGCTAATTCCCACTGTGCAAGGAGTTGCAAGAATCCCAGTTCCCACAGAGTGTGGAATCCGGCATCAATGCGGGATAGAGAGGGCCCCGAATCCCCTGCAAAATGTATTTGTCACGGCTCAGCTGCTGTGTCGGGCCGGCCGATCTCGCTGGTCTGCGATTTGGCCGAGTGCGAGTGTGTCTTTACAGCCTCGCTGTTGGCCGCACCGCATAGCCGGCCACAGCCATCCGAGATGCCCTTGGCCGATAAGGCCGGTTGGAAAGCACCGGCCCTGGACGGGGACAGATCGCGGTCGCCGCTTCCATCGACCTTGCATCTCCGAATCAGCGCTTGTGCCACCAACAAAAAAAGTTCTCCGGGGCTCCCCAAGCACGATTGGGCTTTGCCGCTGTCGCTCCAGCCTCGTCCAAGCCATCGCTTCAGCATACGACCAAGCATCCCATCATGGGCGGCACGAACCCCGTCGACGAGCTCTTTGAGTGGGCCCGGAAGCACGGCGCGCGGATCGACAACATTGTCATGAGAGATCACTCCAACGGTAAGTAGCTCGGGGGGCTCTTGGGCCACAGCAGCCTCGTTTGCGATTCTGCAGCAGGACAGCAGAGCAGCAGAGCAGTAGTCCTGCTCGTGGGCGGTTCTGCAGCATCACGAGCAACACTGTACTTATCTCGGCTGCCGAAACCCTGAATCCAACCAGAACAAGATGGCTCGTATGCTCAACGGGCGGCTTACGCAAAGGCACCGATCGGCTCCAATGAGGTCATCGGCTATATACCCGATATCCTTGTCCTCCATGAAACCGCCGCCAATGCCTCTCCCGTCGGCAAGGCCATCCGCAGCTACCTGTCAAAGCACCCCGAGAGCTCGACAGCCTTCCACGATGCCAGCGACCCGTACTGCGCCGGCCTGCTCCTGATGTCGGCCTATCTGGTGTACGAGCGGTTCGAGAGGCCAGAGGGAGAGTCCTTCTACTATCCATATCTCAACAGTCTGCCCAAGACCTTCAACATCCCGATGTGGTGGCCGATCGAGCAAGTCGAGGAATTGCTCAAGGGCACCAATCTATTCTACATCGTGCAGTCGAGGAAGGCCCTGTTGACCCGCGGCCTCAAGCTCATCCAACTCGCTTGCAAGGATGTCTTTCCGAAGGGAACTCTAACATGGTAAAGCCACAGGCACTGCCCTCGTGCGTCTAGTCGCTGTGGAGCGCTGCCCATGTTGATCTTGTGATCCAAAGAGAAGGATCGCCACGGAAGTCGTGGAGGAGCTTCGATCTCGGTACTTGGGTACTTCTCTGACCCGCCCCTTTCTGCGTGCTCAGGGATAACATGTTGTGGGCATATTCCGCCATCTCAAGCCGTGCTTTCCCAAAGAGCCGACTGACCAAACGCGAGGAGGCCGACGACGAGCTCCCCTCTGTGCTGGGCACCGCAAGCGAGCTCTGCCTCTATCCCGTGTTGGATATGGTCAGTAGTCCGCCCGAGTGATCCGGATTGCTCGACTCAGCATGTCGCTGTCGCTGATCGAGCCTCCATGACGCGGCTTCGTGTGGGCGGATTCTCTGCATTCAACGGCGGCTATTATGTTTCGTGCATCCCACGCGGTGCATCGTAGTGAGCGAGGATTCCCTCTGGAACAGCTTCGTGGCCTGATTTGGCATTTACGCCGCGACTTTGGGCTCCTCTTACTCCCCTTTGATATGTGTGGATCATCGCTGCCTTGACTCCATAAGCTCAACCATCGGAGAGGATATCGGATCGAGTGGGATGCGACGATAGACTCGGGCATGTCTTTCATTACCCACGAATCTGTTGCCGAGGGTGAGGAACTCGTCAACAACTATGGTGCCAAGGGAAATGAGGTATGGCTATCTGCTGTGAGCAGACGCACAAGCATGAAATGTGGCCGAGAGCGCTTTCCATCAAGCGCCCAGCGGCACCATCTGCTGATTCCCAAAATGTAGATGCAGTCCCTGCCTCAGGTGGAACCTGAATCTCCGGCGCCATTTGCCCGCGAGCTCGAGCTTCATGGAACTGATGTTGAGCGATACAAAAGTCCGCGCCCTCTCTAATGTCTCTCTGTCTCGCTGTCTCGGCTCGTGACTGTCAGAATCTACTCGGAAATTACGGATTTGTGCTTGACCCAAACCCAGAAGATTACTACAAAGCCTCGTTGAACATCCGCGATGCAATCGACCCTCTTGCCTCTCGAAAGCGCAGTCTCCTGGAACGAATCACACCTTCGCGACTCGTCCACTTGCTGTTCTGCGACGACACCCTGCCGGCGGATCTGATCTGCGTCATGCGAGTCTTGGTCATGAACGAGTACGAACTCGACGTCTTTGAAAGCTCGTTGGTGGACGGGCGGGGCAACGCACCGGCGGTGCCGTTTACTCCCAGAAACGAGATGGCGGTCTTTAGCATGCTCTGGTCCATGCTCCAGGTGCGCCATAGCGGCGTACGCGAAGGAGCATGGGAAGGCTGGGAGACGGAGCGATTGGACTTGGACAGCTCGACCCGGGAGCGACAGCGGCTGGCTCGGGTCTACAGACGAGGTAAGCCTGGTGCTGCTTGGGAAGTTGCAGGCAGCGGCCAAGCTGCTGAGACGTTGCTGCGATCGTATGTCTGACAACAGCACGCTCTACAACCAGGTCAGCTCGACATTCTCAGCCACAACATGAGGCTGGTGACCGAGAACGTCAAGGCTTTCCTCAAGGGCAAGGGCGCTTCTCATGACGGGTTCTTCAGGGACTGCTTCCTGACATTGGAGAACGAGCTCATCGACGATGCCTTTCTGGAAGCTCTGGCGGCGCTGGGCGAGGAGGCCCAGATCGAGATCGACGAAGACACGGCTCTGTCGCTGTTGATCATCTGGGAGCATGCCCGTGGCGATCAGTCGCCGTGGTGCGCATGCTTCTCGAGCCTCTATGGAATGGACAGCGGTATCATTCCGCAGATACTCGGGTGGGTGCTGCAGTGTCTCGAGCAACTCTGTTTTGGCTGCAACCGAGGGGTGAGCGGCTGGAGCTGTCACAGCGAGTATGGGTTACTGACGAAATCAAATCGCACGCACTTTGTTGCTGACTCGCAGCGAACAAGTCGAGGCCATCTCCGAACACTTTGACCAGTATGTGTTTCCGCTCTTGGAGGTGGAGCGCTCACTCTTTCCTGCGCACGTCTACAACAACCAGTCCTTCATGTGGGCTGCGTGTATTCTCGAAACCCACGGCCTGACGATGCAGTCGAACCACTTTGGAGAGACGGCAAGCGCCTCCAGCCCGAGCGAGACGGACGAGCCCGATATTGTGCACGGTCTGATTATGCTGTGAACATGCCGAAACAGAACACCCTGTTTTGAGTGGGGGCTGTCGTTGATTTCCGGGCCTGAATATACGCCGCCCATCGCTACCATGACCAAACGGTGTGTTGAGAGTGCCTGGAGGCCAAGCGACTCGAAAAGGGCGACAATATTGATTTGTACGGAGCTGTCCAGGGCCGAGCGAATGCACCACTCCAGTATCACGACATCAATGCCAACCGACGCTGCTGGAAGGCGAGGCATGTCACACAGATTGCACGTGCGATGGCGTTGGCTGTCACACGGCCCAGACAAACCGGTTCCAGCCGCCCGTTGCTCCGCCACTTTTTTTTTTTCTGGTGTTTGCCACCATCGGCACAGTCCCGCCTTCAACAGTCCCCGTCGTCAACACCGCTTGCCATCGACACAGTCCTGCCAGCGCCGTTGCCCCCGATGGTCGAGTCAGCTAACCAGAGAAGAAAGGCCCTCAGCCCCAAGCCTGTCTTTGACGAGGCCACCCTCCTCCAGGCGTTCGAGGAGCGCAACATCAACAGCAAGCACGCACACAAGATCTGGCGGTACTTTCTCCAACGAGGTGCTGCCAACTACGATGACGTTCCCGAGCTTCCAAAGTCCGCCAAGGAGCTGCTCGAGGCCGAGTTTGCGATCATGACCTCCAAAGTCGTCAAGCGAACAGATGCAGCCGATGGCTCCACGACCAAGCTGTTGGTCGAGCTGCAGGATGGACAGCGGATCGAATCGGTCATCATGCGCTATGGCGATGTAGTTCTGGACTCGTTCCCCGAGGAGGAAAAGAAAAAACAGGTCAAGGATAATGACGGCCGAGTGCAGTTCAAGAGCAACAAGCGAGCCACGCTCTGTGTTTCTAGCCAAGTTGGATGCTCGATGGGATGCACTTTCTGTGCGGTAAGCGATCACAGCGCTATCGTCAGGGCCGTGGATGGCATCGGTGGGCAATCAGCCCTATACAATTCGACCAGCGATGGCTCTGTTTCCGAGGGAGGGCTCTGGCTCCAGGGGAGGGCTCTAGTTCCAGGGGGACTGTCACATGCAGCACTGTCTTGAAAGACGCTCTGATTGCCACCCAACAGCATTACATAGCATCGAGAGGACAGTGCGACCTCATGGTTTAGCATACCTCAATCGGAGACTGAGACAGATCCAGAGACTGAAAATACTCCCGCTGCTTCTCTTCCAATTTGGCATACAGACCGGCACCATGGGCTTGATGTCTAACCTGACATCCGGCGAGATCCTGGAGCAGCTTATCCACGCCAACAAGGCCCTCTCTGACGATCGCAAACAGAAGGGCGAAGGCTCGGGGCCAGATTACATTCGGAACATTGTGTTCATGGGCATGGGCGAACCCTTGGACAACTACGACTCGGTCATCTCGGCCATCAAGGGCATGGTCGATGTTGGCAGGTACGAGGCTCGACAGACATCCGTTGATTGCAGACTCGAGCGGCTTGGTCTGTCCAAGAAGCATCACCACCCATAGCCAGCCGCAATTCTTCCCCTTTGCTAACAGCCGCTTTGCCTGGTATCGCATCGTCCGCCACGATTATTTTATTCGCGGAGCAGATTTGGTCTCTCGCCGCAACGCATCTCGGTTTCAACCGTGGGCGTGGTCCCGAGAATGGTTTCGCTCATCAAGGACGCCCCGGATGTGGGTCTGGCACTGTCGCTTCATGGTCCCACGCAGGAACTGCGTGCGCAGATTGTCCCGACGGCCAAATCATGGCATATCGAAAAGATCATGGAGGCCGCCGAGGCTTTTGTCGCTCAGCAGAACGCCCGTGCGCCGACGAACAACCGACGACGAAAGGTCCTGATCGAATACGTCATCATCCGAGATGTCAACAGCTCGCCCGAGGTCGCCCACCAGCTGGGCCGTCTGCTGCAAAACAAGGACATGCTGCTGAACGTTATCCCGTACAACCCAACAACAGTTCCGTTCGACTACAAGCCACCCACGCCAGAGGAGCTGCGGACGTTCCTGACGATCCTCCGGGAGGAGTATGATGTCCACACACTGATGCGACAGGAGATGGGTCAGGACATCAACAGTGCCTGCGGCCAACTTGTGATTGACAGCACGATCAAGAAGCCCGTCTGCGACAGCGAGAATGGTGGCGTCGTCGATATGGAGGATCTTGTTGTCAGCAATGGCTCCACTGCGACCAAGAAGACCGTCAAGAAAACTACCCGCAGAGTCGTCAAGACTGGAAATGGCCCCGTCAAAGACGACACTCCTCGGTATCAGCACTGGATCTCTGTGGGACTGGCCGTCGCCGCTGTTGCATTGGCCCTGCACTTTGGCTGGAAGTACTCGGCCAGGCGCTAGTTGTATGCTATCCAGGCAATACACTTTGCGCAAAGAACGGGACACCGCAGCAGCTTCCGTGAACATGTAGTATGTGATGAGCTTGCAATTGAACAGATCACCTCCGAGTGAAGACCGTGGGTCGCTCTCCGGTCTCCACAATCGACCTGCACACTGGTCCTGGAGTGCCATTGGTGAATGGTGCTCTTGGACACACTGAATATGGAGGCAGCATTTCTTATGCTATGGATGAGGGCGAAGCACCACATCACAGAATGATTATGGTCAGTACGCGATGGTATTTGGAAACAAAATATTTAGTTAACGACCATAATCCGGGGTGTCCCGTTTTTTATTGGAACGCCGTGCCAATGGGGCTTGCATGGTATCCAGCGCAGTCCATGCTGGAGGGAGCGGCTACTGCCAAAGACCATAGACGGCTCCGGGAATCGTTTGCCATAATCTGTGCAGCGTGTGGTGAACAAGAGCCAGAGAGACGCAAGCTTGAGTGACTTGCCCAAGCAAAGCGCTCGACACCAGTCCCGGCACAGCCTCCGATCAGAGCTTCGATGCAGCTTACACACCTGACAGTGCCGTCTTCGCTGCCCGAGGCGTACAAGTGTCCGTCGGGGCTGTAACTGACGCAGTGGATTGGTCCGTGGTGTCCCTTGTAGACCTCTGTGATCGATTGGACCATGTCAGCGACCGAGAGGGAGCAGCCATTCCGAAGTAAGCACGGATGCATATGGCCGGCCCTGCGTTGACTCCGACCGGGGCTCATGGCTGCAGTGGCACAACGAGTACAGAGGCTGGCGTAAAGCAGGAAGACCGGTACAGTTTGCTCGATGGCAGGGAGCTCTCGAGACACATACCCTTTTCTTGGCCTGATACCCAGTCGTAAACGCGGACCCACAGATCGCTGCTCCCGCCGACGACGAACCGGGAGCCGTCGGGGTGAAGCGAGGCGGAGGAAAGCTGAATCGTTGTCTCGAACGTCCTAAGGAGCTGGGCACTGCGGCGCAACCAGAAGCAGGGCGTGAGTTGCTGGACAGGACTCTGTCGAGACCGGCCGGTTTACACTCAATATGTAATGTAGCCAACCACAAACCCTGGAGCCACCTGCCAAGTCAAGTTGTGTCTCACCTCACCGTGTCGAAGAAATGCACCTTCTTCCCGGAGGTGCAGATCAAGAATCGGCGGTCGTGGGAAAATCGAAGACTGGAAATGGCATCGTCGAAACCGCGGGTGCTGACTTGAGCCGAGGTCCGCAGATCCCAGACGCGGAGCTCCTTGCCATCGGCCACAAAAGCGATACTGTCCCAGGAGAGAACGGGAGCGAGGGAGGGAGCGAGAGAGCGAGCAAGAAGGAACGTTGCTGGTCAGCATTCGAGCCTCGAACGTAGCAGCCAGCCGGCCAGTTCAGAACGCTCTTTGGTGGCGGACATGGAACAGCGGGCATGAAGCAACAGACATACCCAAGATTGGACTCCAGCAGAGCGGATTTGATTTCGTTGTTGAATCCCTCGAAGCATCGGATGGCCGTCTCCTTGCCGCCAGCAGCCGAGTTGTTCTTCAGGTCAAAGATCCGGACTTTCTTCTCGAACCCGCCGGTCAGGACATATCGACTGTCGACGGAGATGTCGACCGTCCGAACAATGTGCGAGTGTTCCATGGTGGCGATGGGCTGTCCAGTGACGTTATCCCAGACCTTGCAAGTAAAGTCGGCCGAACCTGTGGCCGAGAGGGTTGCATCGGGAGAGAGCTTGGAGCTCCACACAGCGCCCTTGTGGCCGTTGAAGGATCCGATGTACTGCCCCGTTTTGCCGTTTCGGAAGATCGGAACCGAGTCTTGCAAGCGACGACAGTGTCCGTGATGGTACAGAGCCCCATCGATGGGGTTGAGAATAGAGCAGTGTCGATAACGGAGGATGTCAGCAAGAAGAGAAGAGACGGTGAAGCGCAACGGGAGCAAAGTGACCGAGCAAGATATGCCAATGCCCCGTCCGATCGAGGGCTGAGCTAAGAAGAGAGACAAATCGGAAGCAAGCTATCCCAGGGTGGCAAACCTTTGCATGCGCTGATCATGAAGTAGTCGACGCCGCCGTTGACGATTCCGGAGAAACAGAGGTCCACCACAGGTCGGGTGTGTCCGGTGCAGGTCAAGGGAGACTGGCGAGCCTGTTGTTGCTGCTGCTGCTGTGAATTGGGTCCGGCCGGGACGAAGGCGGAGGCACCGCCGTTCGGGACAAAGGATTTGAGCGAAGATTCCATGGCGGATGGAGAGCGACGAGCGAAAAAAGGGTAAAGGAAGGGATGTGCGAGAGCTTGGGAGGAGAACAGCCGAAGCGATAGCTGGAGCAAGAAGGAGGCGGGTGGAGGCGAGGGATATCTGTTCACAAAAAAGCAATAAGCCAGCGAGTCGAGCAGGACTGGTCTGGGAAACCGGGGAAGTGCAGCAATGCGAATCGAGACGGAGGCGGGCTAGTGGCTGGAGAGATGCCCAGAACACAGCCAGAAAGAGGGTTGGATGGAGAGTTGCGGAAAGGGGGGGAGATAAAATAAAATCTATGACTATGTAAAAGCAGGGTAGAGGCCGCAAGAAAAAATAAAAGGAATAGTTGTAAAAAAAATATATATAAAATAAACAGCTGCCCGGTCGAGCGACAGCCGATGGGAGGTGGGAAAGGCAAAGGAACAGGAACAGGAAGGCGAGGGAGGCGAGGCCGGAAGACCACAGGGCGCGGGTTGCGAGGGCTTGCACCGGAAAAACCATACACACACGGCCGGCCAGCACGCGTCTCGGGCGAACAACATGCCGCGATACAGGTTGGCTGAACCAGGTTGCAGAACAGAAAGCGATCGCATGGCGGTTATCGGATGGGGTTGCTCCGAGCTCGCTCCCGTCCAAGCGCAGCGGTATCATCTGCAGCACCGAACGGACACATCCAAGGCGGCAAAGTCGCCGTGGCTTGACCAGTGCTCATCATGAAACAACACCAGCCCAGTTGGTGCGGCTTGCTCCAACTCGATTTGGGAGAGGAAAAGATCTCTATATTGATGGCAAAGACGCACGGAGGAGGTCACGCAGACACAGTGAGGCGGCAGCAGCGATGCTGGCTCGCACAGAGGCCCGGGAGACGGGAGGCGGGTTGGAGAGGCGTGATAGGAGGAGAATGGAGCGAGACGAGGAGTGCAGAACAAACACAGCAGAGGAGCAAGACAGATGCAACGGAGCAAGGCGGAGGAAGAAAGGCAACGGTAGCATGAGGGCAAAAGAAACGGAAAGCCGGTGTATTCAGGTAGAGTGCAAGACGGACGAGCGCAGGGACAAGACCAGAGAGGACAAACAAATGGATGGGCAGAAGACGTGAGGAAGAGATGGAGGGGCCAGGCGGCTGGCTCAGGGCCCCGAGTCCAAGAGGCAAGGATGCTCAGATTTTGGATTGGACATGATCCACAAACGAATTGAACTTTTCCTCGACCTGGCGCTGCTTCTCGGCGTTGTCGACGAGGATCGAATGCACGACGCGGTAAAACTGGTCAACGTGGCTCGACAGAAGCAGCTGATCCTTCTGGTGCTGCTGGGAGCTTTGGCGCTCCTTGGCAAGCAGGCTCTTGATCGATTCGAGCTGATGGGCAAAGTTGGCGCGCTCGGTGGCAAGCTGGTTCTCGAGCTCGAGGAATCGAGTCTGCAGCTCGTCGTGAACAGTCTGATCGACACCGGGCGCAGATCGAACGGCCACAGTCTCGGTAACAGTGACCTCGGCGGCAGTGGTCTCGACAGCATTGGCCTCGGTGGTGGCGGTCTCGGTAGTGGCCTTGTTGTCGGTTTGGGTCGAGATTTCGGTGACGGCAGTAGTGGACCCAGGGGCAGTTTGAACTTGGATCTCGGCAGTCTCGGCCTGGGCCTGGACTTGGATCTCGGCAGTCTCAGTTTGGGCTTGAACTTGGATCTCAGCGGTCTCGGTTTGGGTCTGGATCTGAATGTCCTTTGACTCTCCAGACACAGCTTCAGACACGGGGAGCTCGGAAGCGGTCTTGGTGGCATCTTCGAGAACGAGTTCGGTGTCGCCTTCGACAGGAGCCTCGACAGGGGCCTCGACAGGAGCCTCGACAGGAGCCTCGGTGGCAGCCTCGACGTCCACCTGGGACACGGCCGCGTCCACAATCTCGTTAACGATGGACTTGGCGAGGTTGTCGCGCTCGAGCCATTCTCGCGCAATGCACTGCTTGCAAGCATCAATGTGGTGGACCACATAGCGATGGACGGGCTCTTGCGCCTCAGCACCATCAGCAGTGACCTCAGAGGCAGCGGCGGTAGCTGTCTCCAGCTCAGCAGATTTGTTGGCGTGGTACTCCTGGATAAGCTCGTGGGTCGCTTCGACAGGAACACCGTCCACGACCGCGTAGCCATCGACAACGGCATCGTCCACCAGCTCAACCACCAGAATATCATGGACGGTCTGACAAGCGGCGTCGCTGAGAACCTTGTGAGTGGTTCCCTGCTCCGGGACCAGGACGACAGCGTCGGTCTGGGTCAGCTTCTCGTCAAACGGCAGCGTGGTGACGATCGAGCGGCTTGCGGAGCGCTGGATCTCGAGCTCGTCCAGGACCTTGCCGAGTTGCGGGTAAATCTTCCGGAGATGAGTCTGGACACGCAGGACCGAAGCCGAGTCCTTGAGGGGTTCGATTTGAGCAGTGAGGGCGAGCTTCTCGGGCACGGTGATGTCGGGTTTGGGCGGAGGCAAGGCGATGACGGGCTCGGGGACGACAACGGGGACCGGAGGCTCGGCCGGAGTGCTGGTGCGCTGGATGGCCTCGGCGTCGGGCTTTGCGGTCGATTTGAGATCGGTGGAGGAGGGCCGGGGTGTGGCCGGGGGGGTTGGAAGTCGGGCATGAGCGGCGGCAGGGCTGGGCACCTTGGGCTTTTGCGAGGGCACGCTGGGAGGGGCCGGGGGCGCCTGGGCCTGGGCCTGGGTCTTGTTGACAACCGAAGTGGGGATATCCATGATCTCATAGTCAAAGTCAAGCGAGCGTGGACGGCCGACGCCCTTGATGACGGGGGTGGGGGCGGTGGCAGAGCCGTGAGGGATCTGGATCATAGTAAACTTGGACTTGGTCTTGCCAAAGAGCGAGTCGCTGGCCGAGGGCTTCTTGGGCTCCTCGGGGGTCGGCGGGGGCTCCGACTGGCGCAGGAACTCCTCAAGCGACATCTCGGCATCGGAGGGGCGTTTGGCCTTTTTCGGCTCTTCGCTCTCGTTCGGGCCGCTGTTCTTGAGGAACTCGAAAAAGGTCTCCTGTCCACCGCGAGAGGCACCGTCCCTGCGTGTGTCTGTGTTGCTGGCCCGGCGACTGATGCTCTTTCCGACGGTTGGCGGCTTGGCCTCGAGCTTGATCGGATTGCTCTTCTTGACCTCAATGCTCTTGAGGTACTCGGGCGTCGAGGTCATCTTGACCGTCTCGGAGCCCTGCAGCAGACGCTCGAACTGGTCGGCGGCGGCAGGATCCTTGACCGGGACAGGCGTGGGCCGCTCCGGTCGCTCGAGGCTACGAAAGCCGCCTGACAGGCGGCGAGAGGTGTCGCGCGATTTGCGCATGTCCTTGAGGGTCTTCTTTCGAAGCTCGCGCGGGGTGAGCGAGGGCGACCTTGTGGACATGGACGGGGAGCGGCCGACGGGCATGGACGGCGACTTGAGCATGGAAATCAGACCCTCCTCGCGGTCGCTGTCGGCCTCAGTGTCGCTGAGGAGAAGGTCGAGCTTGGGAGTACCGGCTGGAGAGGACGCCGGGGCGTCGGCAAAGGCAATGGCCTTGGGCTTGGGGGACGCGGATCCCGACGAGCCCAGCAATTGGCCCAGTTTGGAGGGGGTGAAGTCGTCCGAGGACACCTTCTTGGAGGAGCTGAGCGAGGCGGCCGACGGGGTCGACGACTTTGACAACGGGAACGAGTTGCGCTTGTCATCGAATAGGTCCAGACTCGAGGAGGGCTTGGAGGACGAAAACGAGTCGAAATCAAAGTCGAGACTGAACGACGATCCCAGAGCCGAGGATCCAGTGGACTGGGAAGGAGCCGCAGCCCTGGAGACGGCCGCGGGGGCCGGAGCCAAGGGCTTGGTAGATTTGTTGGCGGGTGGCGGGGGTGACGGCGTTTTGCTGGGCGAGGGCTCGACCGACTTTTGAGGGAGCGGGCGAATACTGCTGGCCTTGGAGCCCGTTCGAGAGACCGAGGGAGGCGCGGGATTGGGGGAGAGGGCTCGGGCGACGGGAGGAGGAGTGGGCGAGAGTGCGCGGGAGAGGATACCGCCCTTTGAGGACGACGACGGCGGCTTTGAGGACGAGCCAAGGACCTTTTTCTTGACCGGCGGGATGGGGGCGGGAGCAGGGACAGGAGCAGCAGGAGGAGCAGAGGCGGCGGTGGTCATCGAAGGCTTTGAGGCCGTGGTCGAGGATTTGGAGATGGCTGGCGGTGTCGATGTCGAGAGGCTGGGGGAGGTCAGACCAGAGGGTGAAAGCAGATCAAACGAGCTGCTGTTGGAGGCACCCAAGGGCGACGAAGGCGACAAGATGGAATCCAGTCCGCTGAAGATATCCGAGTCCAGCAGCGAGCTGAAGGACGAATCGGCGGCGAGGGACGAAGAGAGCGAGTTGGACATGACGCAGGCGAAGCAAAGAAGATGGCGGAATCAAAGCCGAGGCGGGGGGGGGCTGGTCGCTGAGTTGAGCAGGACCGAGCGGGAGAAGGAATCGGCGATGCTGGTCGAAGGGGATCGGTCGGGCCGGGTGGCAGGAAGCTGTGTTGGGATGACGGTAAGCTGTGCCGGGATGGCAGCCGCAATGCTCACAGCAGCGACGGGTCCTGGAGCGATTACGCTGGTTTGGAAAGCCGGGGCCGTGGGAGGCGGCAGAAACGGGCGAATGGATGCCGATGCAGAGTGCCCGGGGACTCGGCAACAGCGAGTGAGGGATGGAAGGCAGCTGTAACAGAAGCAGCAACAGCAGCGAGACCGAAGCCAGAGACAGGCAGGACGGGGGACGACCTGGATGCGGCTGGAGGGAGAAGACAGAGCCAGCAGGACCCAGAGGCAGCGAAGGACAGCGCAGGACAACAGCGCAAGACGAAAGCGGAAAGACCAGGACGACGATGCAACAAGGGGCGAGGCAAGACGCGAACAGGACGCGCGTGCCGAGTGCGCGAGCGACGCGTGTGGTGCTGGCGGAGCAGCCGCCACCACAGTGTGCAGTGGGTGTGGGGGCGCGGCTGGGCGAGCCACAACGCGGGCTGGAGCGCGCTATGGAGCGTGCTGTACGACGGCGAGCGCTAAAACAGGCAGGCACAGCAACACAAGACAGCGGTGGGTGGCACGAGACGCGGCTTGCAGCGCGCCAAGCTGTGGCAGCTGTGGCAGCTGTGCGCCTTTCTTTTTTTGGAACCAAGCTCTGGGCAGGGCGGGAGCGGGTGGAGGCGTTGCGGGCTTGGTGTGGTGCGCGCAGCCCAAGGCGGAATGTTGGGACGGAGCTTCGACTGAGTTTGGAGCGGCGACGCGATGGCATGTCATATGGCGATGCTGGGCGTCGGGATGGGCGTGCAGCGACCATTGCGGGGCGGCGGACGAGGCAGTCATGGACGAGGTGGTCATGAACGAGGCAGTGAGAAGTCATTGACACACGGAGAAGACAGGACGGGCGACAGCGATGCTTACGACGCTCTGCAACCAAGAGCAGACCCTCGGGTCGACCAACATGCCGGGGCTCGACCTGCTCCGTCCACCAGTACGAGGCGATGAGTCCGCCAGTTTGCACAACCCAGTAGATATGTCTGCTGCGGGCCGAATGCAGCTTCGTCAGCTATCACGCAGGCAAGGATGAGGTGGTGTGAGCTGGGATCCAGCAATCAACAGGGATCCTCATTTGGACAAGCCGCCAGGCCATCGAGCAGATGAGATGACAGGACAGGACAGGACAGGACAGTGCTGCCTATCTCCCACACCCCCAGGGCATGCACTTGTCCATCCGATGCTATGCCATGCACTTCGAGGCAAGCGACAAGCACCCTGGGCAAATGCCACCCCTGGGCGAGCAGACTGGGGCTCGGTGCTGGCACCGGGTGCGTTGTTGTCGTTGCCGTTGTCGTTGGCGTCGACCGAGACAAACAAAAGAGAAAAGCGCTGGGTCGGCTGATGCCGATAGCGCAACGAAGAGGCAGGACGTGGCCAGCGGGACATGTGTGCTCATGGCGCACATCATGCGGGAGGGGGCATGGCATGAGCGGGGCTCGATTGCGTTGCTCGCCGGACGCGGTCACATTGGGCGGAGAACGAAGGGACCCAGCAGCCAGCGATACCGAGCGGCAAGCGTGCTGGGCAGGCGGGTGTGCTTTGGGTGTATTGAGGCCAGGGGTGCTTGCCGTATGGGGGAGGCGCCCTGGCAACAGCCTGGCTCGAAAGCAGCCTGGATTGCTGTCGGCACTGGTCGGGAACCAGTTGCCATGACCAGACGCCAAGGCGGCAGGCGCATCCTTGTCGCCGGTTCATGGAAAGTGTCCCGGGTCGCCCAGCAGACACAGACAGGGCCGGCGGCGCAGGCGTGCTGGAGCCCGGCCCAATCAGGCGGGCAGACCCAGGCGCCCTTGCCGTGGCGGCGGAGCCAGCCAGGGCCCTTGTCCACGGCCACCAACCGGGAGTGGTCCAGATTGCAGCCGCGGAGATAGCGGTCTCGGTGGCTGCTCTCGCTGGCGGCGAGGACGCTCTCGCTGCCGGCCGCTGCGCTGCGTCGCCGGAGTGCGAGTGTGCCAGCATGCGCTGTCTCTGTGCGAGGACCGACTGTGGCCACGGAATCCCGACGCGCACGCGCGTTGGCACAGAACCGCCACAGAGCGATAGAACAGCGACAGGGCACAGCGGCTGTGTGCTGTTTGTCGGGCATCTGTCCTCACAGCAATTCCGGCCCTTGCTCCACCTTGCTCTGCCTTGCTGCTGCTGGACACTTGTACACAGGCTGCGCATCGATCGGGCGACACAGAATGTGCGTGCCCGCCTTGCTCGCGCTGCCACGGCGCCGCCGACGCGCAATCTCGGCCTTTCCTTGTCGCAAAAAAAAGACGAGGCTTGTGTCGCTGCTCGGCCTCTCCTCGCCTCTCCTCGCCTCTCCTCGCCTCTCCTCGCCTCTCCATTCGCTCCTCGGTATCCCCTCTCGTTGTGCCCTCGCTGCGTCGCTGGGCCGGCGCCTCTCGCTCGGCGCCTCTCGCCGCCCCTCGCCGCCTCTCGCCGCTCCGCTCTCGCCCTCGCTGTCGGGCCTCAAAAACCTCGCGGCTCCCTCCCCGTTTCCGTTTCTGCCTCTGCCAGAACCACCGAGTCCTCTGTTTTGTTGTCGTCTGCGGCCCGGTGCTGCCCCACATCCGCCTTTGCTTGTCGTCATCCCGTCGCCTCTGTCGACATTTCTGCTGGAGCATTCCTCGCAGCCCCCTCCTGACCTGTGCCTAAGCGCTTCCAGTAGTGCTTTCCAACCTCCCAGCCTTTGTGCCCACCTTTCAGAGCAGCCTCGCGAAATCGTATTTTTCCTTTGCCTTCATTGCTCTCCACAGAAGCTTCGCCATCTCCCAGACCGTCCCGAACACCCCAGCAGCTGTCTTATTTGTTCCCCCATATCCCACCCTTACATTGTCCTCAGTATGTCCAAACCGATACACTAATTCCAGAGAATCTTGGTGCAATTTTCTCGCCCCGCCCATCACTGTCGGTTCAGCCTCCGGACACTGAAGAACGGTCTAAACCGCCCCCCCCCCCGCCAACTCGCCGATCTGCGATCTGTCTGTCTCCTGATCGTTTTGGACCCAAACTGTGCTCACAGCCATCTCCGCAGCACGCCCAACCATTGATCCAACCACCCTTAACTGTCGGCGCCTGCACACAACTACACCAGCGATAACGCTCCCGCCGCCACTGTTCATCGCGACTCCGATCCGTGTCTCCATTTTCACCGACGCAAGTCCCACGCCGCCTGTTCCCTTGGTCAGCGTTTGCCCTGGCCTGGCTGCCCACCTATTTTTTTTTTTTATCCTTTGATCAAGCAAGCCCCTTCGCCACCGCCCTCATTCGTTCCTGCTGGAGGCGTCACATCCCCTAACTATTCTGCGTTTCTGATCACCACTTATCTCCCCTGCCGATCCCACTCCACCATCACCAACCCTGTATATTAGCAATGTCGGTTTTTCTTCACTAAGCCCTGTTCGAACGAGCAAACCATCTTGTTGCAACTGAGCCTTTTTCTCTGTATAATTCTTCACCGTGCTCATCCCGCACTGTTATTTTTAATTTCACCCCCCTCCCTCCGTCTTCCTCTCCTAGGCGGATTTCTCCCATACACCCCTCTACCCTTGCCATTCCTCGACCGCGTTGCCGTCCTATCAACCCATGAGCGTCAACGTTGCTACTTCCCGCATCGCCACGTCGCTCAACTCCCACAGCCACGGACATCACCCGTCAATACCGGACCTGATCTCGTCCAAGACTCCGTGCATCAAGATCTCGACAACCAATGTGTCTCTATGCTCGATGAGCTCGCAAGAGTCGAGTCCGGATGATTCGACTCCCGATCTCTCCTCGATCCCGACCTGCCGCTCACCCAAGAAGTGTGTCAAGTTCAGCCGCTTCTCCCGAGTCGTCGAGACCTGGGCGCCGGAAGAATACGACCGCACCTCGGTCTGTCGGAACCGAGACGGCTCGGTCGCGGCGGACGCGGACATGGAGTAACGGCTGGCCCCTACCCGAAGTCCAGATCCACTGTCGTGGGGCAATCGATGGCGGTGGTGTATCTCCCGTCCGATTGCCTGCCGGCCTGCCGTCGGCCTGATTGTGCCCGTGCTCCCATCCATGTACACCACACGGCACGGCACGGTTTAGAGTCACCAGCATAGCATGTATTTCCCCGGCACTGGAGCAAGCAAGCGCCGTTCATATCACCCTCTCCTCCTTCCTCTTCCATTGCGACTCATCACATCCTTCTGGACACATTTCCTCCTCTCCTCTTCCTCTTCCTCTTTCTCCTCCCCTCCATGCAAATATTCTGCACGATTCCCTCCCACCATTTGCCATATTTTTTTTTTCTTGACGAGCGCTCAAATGCACACACTGATCGCAAGTTGGCTTAGAGAAGAAAAAAGTGCACATGCTGTGCAATCAATCAATCCCTAATTCAAAGCAGTTTCTGGATGCTGCAGAGCCCACGTCCGTATTGTAGCGCCTCTGTCAGGGCCTTGTGCCTTGGAAGGTACTCTCTGGGCTGGCCTCTCCGTCCTGGTTCCCAATACACAGTTTGATCTCTTTCCACAGCCCAACGAAAGTGGTGCCGGTGTTGTTCTCTTGGTGGTGCCCACCCCCTGTCCATCCGATCGATTTGTCCGATTGATGCAGCCCAACACCGGCACAGCAGCGATCGCAGCGGGTTCCCTTTGGCTGGACGTGCCTGGGGTGGGTCGATGTCCGTTGGGGGCGAATATGGACCCGATCGATGGGACTGGGCGGGATCTCCACATTTGGGGACACCAAGCGGAGCATCGCAGGTCGCCGCAGACAATGCTGCCAAGCCAAGTGCTGCAATATCGTCAAAACAGAGAGGCCGCGCCAGACCGCCCCGCGCACCACGCGGCCCGGCGCGCTGCCACACAAACAAGCGGACGTGTGTGTGTGGTGTGGCCTCCCGCCGGCCTCTGGCCAATGGCGTGCGCGGCCCTTGACCCGACCGAATGGCGCACACACACACGGCTGTCACGATGGCGCACTCCGATTCGGTCCTCACGGAGAGGGAAGAAAGCAACAGACACAGCAGCAGAAGCATTCAGCATTAAGCATTGGGCATTCAGCATTGGGAATTAAGCATTGGGAATTAAGCATTGGGAATTAAGCATTGGGCACTGGACATCCAGCAGCATCGAGCATTCCTCCACAGCCCATCCCACACCTCGCTGCTCACAGCACAGCACAGCCGCTCCACCATATTGCAAATCCGCCACGCCGACCAACCAGCGTCCGCCGCCGCCCGGCCAATCGCGCGCGGCCTTGCCCTCCGGCGCCGTCACGCTCCCGCGGCCAACAACCGTCGCCCAACCATCGCCCTTTGCTGTCATTCGCGGCCCTCCCATTCCACCCGCTTGTGTCCCTCCAGAAAATTTTCGGGCGCCTCCCGAAATAGCCCCCCTCCCCACCATCGACCCATATCCTCCTCCTCCTCCTCCTCCTCCTTCTGCCTCGGCCCCGCTGTCCTGCCGTCGTCTGCATCCAAGCCTGTCTCTACGCCTGTTTCTGCGTCTGCGTCTGCATCGTTGCTCCTCCCTTGGCTCGGCCCCTTCCTCCTGCCGCTGCTGTCTCAAGTCACTGCTTGCTGTCGCCCATTCGCCGTCTCTCCGCGACCGCTGTCCTTTCCCTCTTCCTCTCTGCTTTCACTTCGGCCCTCGCTGTCCCTTGGCTGGTTCCGTCGCCGCCGATTGCCTCGCCGTCCTCTGCATTGTTCGACACCAGGCCTACCGGTTCTTCAACTCTCAGCGTCCCCATCGGATCTCTGCAACTTCCACTCCCCTGAATCTGTGCCGGTCGAGGCTTGTTTGTGAGTCATCTCTCTGTTTCTGTTGGGTCTGGGATTGAGTCAGCGCTGAATCTGGACTCGGTATGATGACTGCATGCAGCCCGTTGTTTGGTTCTCATTGCCAAGACGCTGCGATATGTTGCCCTGGCGCTGCATCTGCATCGGCATCTTCATCTGCATCGGCATCTGCGTCTGCGTCTGGGTTTTGAATCGGCACTGCAGGGCGTCCTTCCGTCTGAGTCGCCGTTGCTGCCGGAGCTCATCGTGCCGATGTACATCGAGAGCTGCAATGTCCTCGTTCGTGCTCGGTCGGCCCCGCTCAAGGGCACCGGTCTGGCTTGCAGCGCTTTCGCTGACGCCCTCCCGGCCAAGTGGTCGCTGGAGCCATCGGACCTTCCCGAGAGCACGGCCGCCCTGAGCATGCTCGATACCTTTGATTTGGCTCCCGACCTATCCGGCGTCGCTGTGAAGCGAAAGCTGCCATGGGTCTTTGTCCGTCGTTTTCCTCTCACGTCTCGCAACTAACGCGATCCTATCTGGCTTTCTTTGCACCATCCCGCTCCATCCCACTCCATCCCATCCCATCCCATCCCATCCCATCCCATCCCATCCCATGGTAAACCTCGGCTCAGATAATGACCCACCTCGAGGCCTCTGCCGCCTGGTCTCAGGAAGACTATACCTCCAAGAATCACCTCCGTCCCTATCCTCCCATGGACGGCCGCGGGCACATGCCCATGGAAGCACGGTCGCTTCCCAGTCTCAGCTCCTTTCTGCAGCCTCTCTCTGGTCGCGGCGAGTCCCCGTTTGTATTCCCCGCACCCTCGGCCCCATCGGCCGCCCTGCCTCCAACCCAGGGCGCCTTCTCGGCCTTTGCCGCTGACTCGTCGCGAGGATTGATCTACTCTTCGTCTTATCAACCTTCCGGATTCCGGCCGACCCCGGATGTCCCTGCTCCTGCTGAACATACTGCATTCTTTGCCGTCAGCAACCCAACCTCCGCCCCCACTCACCCGCTGCCGCTCCAAGTTCCTCCCGCCAAAGAAACCAGCCCTCTGAGCCCCCACAACCCCACGTCGCATACCCTTGGTGCCTCGCTCGACGAGTCTCGCCTTTTCTCCTCCTCCAAGTTGGCTGGGTCTGCCACAGCCTCGCCCCACCTCGGCCGAAGGGCCTCGAAACGCACCTCGGAGCTATCCAAGGAGCTTGAGGTCATGGGCATCAAGGACCGGTACATGAACGGCACGGCCGCCACCCCTGCTATCACCATCACCAACCCCTCCACCCGCACCCGCCGGCTCTCAACCTCTCGTCACTCGGGCCGCCGAAAATCCGTCGCCTCATCGCCCAACACGATGGGCACCTCGCCTCCGTACCCCTCGACCGATCCCACCGATCAGGTGTCTTCGTCTCTCCCAAACTCTAGCTCGACGCATACAAGCAAGGTCTATCAGTGCCATGTCTGCGGCAAGATCTACAAACACCCCAACTGCCTCACGAAACACCGCTGGGAGCATACCGAGCAGTGGAAGGAGGCCTCCAAATTCTCCTACACCAAGCATCAGCAAGTTCAGCTGCTCGAGGCCGCCACAATTCTGGTGGGGCTCGGCGATCCCACGATCGGCCAGCGGCACCCGCTCAACAACACAATTGAGCCCGCCAGCGTCGACGACCGATTCTTGAGCTCGGCCACGGGCCGCAAGCGAAGCACTAGCGCCGTGCTGTGGGCTGGTCCGCCCCCCGAGTGGGACTCGGCCTCGCGTTCGCCGAATGCCCATCCCTCGTTGTTCCGTGCCGGCGTCCATGACGACGACGACATCGACATCAGCATCGATGAGGATGATGACGAAGACGACGACAACGACAACCGCCACTTGCGGGCTGACTCGGACGATTCAGACGAGATTCATCCTGCCGGAGAAATGGAGATGGACTGGAAGTAATCATGCCACCTTCCACGATACTGAGCACACCGTCAGTGCGGACCTGGCCTGGTTCCGTTGCGGGAATCACCGGTAGGATCCTTTGCCGACCATCGATTCGCGGCTTTCTTGGCAGTTGGCTTTCTTCTTTGACTCCTCCCCCCTGCCCACAGCCATTTCCGTTTAGTTCGTTGGGATTGAAACTGTTGGTGTTATCTATTATAATGTCTATTTTTCACCCCTTTTGCTCTTTGATTTCGCCACTGGTTTCTCTTTCCAATTACTTTTCTATCCGCTGATCCCGTCGCCTTGGTTTTCGTCGGGGTCGCTCATTTCTCCCACCCTCCCCCTGCCCTCTTCCTGCCTTGCTTATGATAATTCCGATTGGCTATTTGGTTATGTCCACTGAGGTTGCATCCCTAATCGCAATCTTGCTGCCTCATTTGGAGCTTCCTCTCATTTTTCTTCGACTGCCTATATGCTTTATTTCCACGACCTGAAAGCCGCCGCCCCGTTACCCCCTGTCGCCATGGCTGGTGATCTTCGACAGAAGCCACAACCCCGTGGTCTTGGTCTTGGCCGAGTCCCTACATTCGATCTCGCTGCGCATGTGCTTCCCCTCTGTTGATCACCCAGCCGGCCAGCCACTTGCTCTCCCGCTCTCCGACTCTTCTCCCTCTACCAGTGAACCATAGCCGCGAGCCACCCGAGGCCGACCCCAGTCGCCTTAGTGTGCGCAATCGCCGACAATCCTTCTCCCATCTCCACCCTCCTCGAGACCTGTAGATACGCCCGCGTTTGAAACAAATACACCAATGTCGAGAACAACAACAACAAACAATATTGACGAATGGATACGACTGTGTTGTGCCCAGAGTTTTCACTCGTTGCGTATGGTACAGAGCTGTGTCTGGAAAGCAGCGCCGCTTCCAATGGCGGATTCCAAAACCACTGCCATTCACATTCCCCTTGCACTGTGTTCAAGATCGGGAATCATCTTCGTCCGCATCCTGACGGGCGCATTCTGTTTGTGGCTGCCCGTAGTCTCCCGCCTCGTCATCTACAGCGTCAGGATCTTGTCCGAGTCGCCATAGAGAAGCCGTTGACAGTACTGCCTGAGCTGGGGACGGCCGTCTGCGCCAGCACCGGGGACAATCACCCAGGTGAGATCGTACCGCTTGCCGGGCCACTTGCCAGGGATCTCTGCCGGATCGACGCCGAGGGCGAGGGCCCAGTCCCGGAGCATCTGATGAGCCCACGACACCACCACAGACCGGCCCTTCCACTCGGCCCGGGCTCGAACGGCCTCGATGGCCTCGGCAAAGTCGCGCTTGATGAACCGGGTGATGGGAATGCCCGTGGCCTGCGAGAGCGGCTCGACCGTCTGGAGGCACCGCTCGGACTGGCCAAAGGGCTCCGGCCCGAGATCGACGTCCTGGCCGATGATCCCGCCGAGCGGGAAGCTTTGCAGGATCTCGCCCATCTCGCCCCGATGCTGAAAGTACGGCACCAAGGCGTGCGCCCGCTCCCAGCCCTTGGAACTGAGCTGGTGGTCGTCGACGTATGCGGCCTTGGCGAGCTTGTGGTCCTCGGGACAGAGTCCTTGCTCCCAGACCAGTTTTTCGGCATGGCGAACTAGGATGACAACCGTCTCGAGCGGGGGGATGGTTTTGGGCTCCATGTTCTTGGGCGGCGATCGCTGTCGTCTGTTGGACGGTGTCCGTTGCGTGTGGATGCATGTGGATGCGGGTTTGAATAGGGATGTTGGCTGTCGATCATCCGCAAGATCGACCCCTCGATCGGCGGTGACGAACCACAACAGCGCACTGCATTGCAACGATACCATGCGAGCGCGAGCCGGTGGTATGCAACAACGCTCTTGGCAAACAGCCTACCGAGGGGTGGGAAACGCAGATTCGTTGGAGTGGATGGGAGGGAACTGAGGCAGATCGAGGGCAAGGAGGTTGGAGTGGACGGGCAAGGGGTGGTGGGGTGGTGAAGTGGGGGGGGGTGCCAAGATTGTCCGATTGCCAGTCCCCAGTCACCCGTCCCCAGTCCCAGAGAACCCATGGGCCAGCGAGTTGGCGAAACGCATCTGTGGCTGCGGCCAGGGTCTGGCGGATGGCTGATTCGCCCTTGAAAGCACTCTGATGGCGAGGACTGATACAGTGGGATGCATTTGAAACGGGACACTTCAACATGCGGATGGCTAGTGTGGACTGAATGACGCCGATGCAGGAGTTTATGGGCTGGCTCCAGGAGTCCGGCTGGTTGACTCCGTGAGGCCGGCTGATTGATCTGACCCGCACGGCCGTTCATGGCCGAGTGAGTGCATGATATGTTCCGGCGAGGTGATGTGTCCCGCTGCTTTCTTTCGGCACGATATACAGTCAATCCAATAAAAAACGGGACACCCGTGTTTTTGACGATTGATCAAATATTTTGTTACGCGCGCTGGCCACTCGATTGCCAACCAGGACGGGAAACAATCTCACGGCTTGCTCACTGGGGTCTACGGAAGTTCGGCAGGCTGCAGACATCTGAAGCCAGGAAGGAACTGTCCCGTTTCTTTCTGGACCGACTGTATGGCGAATACGCTCGTGTTTAGTGTCCGAGTAAAACAAACCACGGAGTGAGCGAAAGAAAGGAAGAGAAAGTGGCCGGGCGGGCAATGAGAGGAAATAATGAGAGTGGAGGGCGGGGGTGGCAAAGTTGACTATCTGACCATCGATGAGAGAGAGAGAGCGATAGAGGAGAGAGGAAGGAGATTGCGAGGAGCATTACGGTGCAGCTTAGCGCCACAAGCTGGTTGCCCTCCTCCTCTACAGCTCGCCCTTGAGAATGGAATCGATGCAGCGGTGGATGTAGTCCTTCTTGGAGCTCAGGTCGACCTTGAACTCCTTGGTCAAGTCCTCGCGAACGGTCTTCTTGGTGACAGTCATCAGGTCGGCCGTCGAGAGGATGTTGCGGATGCTGCGGAGGATTTGCTCGTCGGAGGGGAAGCCCGGGATGGCGTTCAGGCTGCCCGACGAGCGGTTGGCTGCGGCTTGGAAAGACTTGCGGTTGTTCTGGTCAAACTGCTGCGAGTTCCAGGAAGACCGGCCGCCGTTGGCGCCCTGGCCATAGACCATGTTCTGATAGTCAGCATCGCCGTAGACGGAGCCCTGCATGCCCTGCATGCCCTGCATGCCTTGCATGCCTTGCATGCCATACACGGGCAGGGCGACTTGCGAGCCTCCGTAGACAGAGCCGGCAGGAGGAGGGTACTGGATCGGGACACCGCCATAGACAGAGCCGCCGTAGACAGAGCCCTCGGGACCGGGGCTGAAAGCAGCCGCCATCTGACGAGACTGGCGGGACTGGCGGGACTCGTGAGACGAGCCAGACTTGGACTCGCCATGGGCGGCATCCAGTCGCTCCTTCTCAAAGTCAGACCACTTCATCAGAGGGATCGAGTCGGGATCGAACTGAGGGTGGGAGCGAGATGCATCAGCAATCAAAAACGCTAGCATAGGGGCCAGCCATGCGATACGATGCTGCAAATGCACTGGGGGGGGCTCCCAGTATCAAAAAACGCCCAGCGAAGCTCACTGTGAGGCAGGCTTACCTCTTCAACCTCCATGACGAACTTCTTGGAACCACCCTCTTCAAGGACGACACGGGTGTTGCCCCATGAAAAGTCGTCAAAGTGCCAGAATGCATAGACGGGGATGTAGAAACTGAACACAGGCATGGCCAGGAGGTACTGCAGACAGAGATGGACACGGACGCATTAGTGGATCGGCAAGGACGCGGCTCAAAGGTGGCCTCGAAGATACGGCTGCATCAGGTGCATCAGGTGCATCGACGAGACAAGGCGGTCAGGAGCGAGGGACAAGGTTCATGCGAGCGCACAACACTTACGATGAACAGCCATCCAATGTGCTGCCACTCGCGCTTGAGGATAAAGATGATGATCTGGAAGCCGTAGACGGCGGCGAGCAAACTGATCGACACGATCGGGAACTGCGTGTACGATCCCGTGACAGCCATGTAGATCATGTAGCCGATGTAGAACAGAAGCGCGGGCTGGGTCATGGTCGCAAAGAGATCGATGAAGACGACAAAGCGCATAGAGAAGCAGCAGAAGCCGCAGAGCTCCGGAAGTGACATCAGCTCCATCAGGTTGTGGACCGTGGAGTTGATCCAGCGACGCCGCTGAGAGAGCAGCACGGACCATTTGTCGGGGACGTAGGTGATCGCCGTGGCATCCGGGGTGAACACCAGCTTCATGTTCGGGAAGTGCTTCATCATCAGCGTGGTGAGGTATCGATCCTCACCGAGGTGGAGCAGGTTCTTCATGTGCAAGGTGTCGACGTTGTTTTCCGAGTAGTCGCGGATGACGCCAGGGGCAGTCAGCAGCGCGGCGTTCTTGGCAGAGGAGCGGATACGATACATGGAGAAACAGCCGGGCAAACAGGTGACGGAGCCAAAGAGCGACTCGAACGCCTTGGAGAGGTGGTGCGAAATAAAGTACTCGTAGACCTGGATCATGGTCACCCAGCTGTCTCGTTCGTTGGCGATCTTGGTTTCGCCGCAAATGCCGATGATGCGCGAGTCGCGGGTCATGCCAGAGATCAGGCGGTTGAGCGAGTCCGGGAAGACCTCGGTATCGGCATCAACCATCAAGCAGTATTCAAAGAAGGAGGGGTCTACACCGACAATGTACTTCATGTGGTAGAAGATCTCGAGCTCAAGCGGGGTCATGGCTTGGTTGAAGTGGACGCGCGACAGGAAGCGCATCATCAGCATCTGCGAGTCACGCTTGCCGCGGTTACCCGGTCGCTGGCGCTCGGAAGGCTTACCGACCTTGACAACAACAATGAAGGGCACCGAGCGGCCGTTGAGCTCGTAAAGACCCGAGTACACCTTGCCCATGTTGTGCTGCTTGGCGCCCTCGCCGAGGGCCATGTAGCTGAAGCTGTCTGGGTCGACCGAGGGGTCGACGCCGAGAATATCCAGGACGATGCGCGGCGTGGGCCGGTCGTTGCCGGAGCCAATAATCATACCGTCGCAAATGACAAACAGGAACTTGTGCTTGTCGTCGTACTCGGTCATGGCCAGCGACTCGAGCGTGCGCAGCAAGGATTCCTCGCCTTCGGTGTAGCAAGGCACCTGAAGGATGACAAACTTGTCGTGGTCTTCAGGCACGCCCTTGCGTCCAAACTGCAGCGCCGACAGGAACTTGACAACGATGACGATGAACAGGACGATCGAGGACACAAACAGGATGTAGTCGGGGACCTGGCACTTGATATCGTTGCGGTGATCAACGTAGCCGACAAAGAACATGTTGTCAAGGCAGATGAATGCGTTTTGCCACTGGCTGGGGTAGCTCTTGGCCAGCTGCTGGAAGTTGGCGGTGACCTCGACCGAGCCCGAGTTGACGGCCTGGTCCATGACACTCTTGACTTGGGTGCCCATAAAGTTGGTCTGGCTGGTGCTGGAATAGAAGGCACTGATGTCGTAGACACGGTCATAGGCTGTCATCAGCTTGACCGTGGGGTCCTTCATGGCGTCCGAAAGCGACTGCGCCGCCCAGACAACATCGCCCTTGCGGTAGGACTGGAGGCTAGGGAGGTGATCGTTGCCCTGGCTCGAGTGCGGCCACCAAGTGCCCTCGACGATCTGCTGGGCCTGGTTGGGGAAGCGTTGGAAGCCGTTGGGCTGGTTGAAGGACGGGCAGTACGTCTTCCAGAACGGGGACTTGTCAAACATTTGGCTGACGTCCATGCCGAGGACGGCGGCCTGCCAGAAGGCGTTGCTGCCGCCTCTGCCAGCAGCAATGTGCTGGGAGACGATTTGGGGAATGACGTAGTATCCGCCATACATGTAGACATAGGCTTGGGTGACGCTGTTCATGCCCGAGATTTCACCGGGCGAGAGCTGCGGCTTGATCGGGCAGATGAGGACGCGCGCACCAATGATGAAGAAAAGAATGAATGCACAGAACAAGAAGATGATCCAGCAGAGGGTGAACTTTTCGCGCCAGGCAATCTGCTGGTCCTTGCGCTTAATGCCGCAGAGTGATAGCATGAAGGGGGGAATCCACCAGGTCGAGAACCACGTGCAGAACAACCAGCGACATCTCTGGCTGCTCATCTTCTTCTTGGTCACCGACTTTTGCGACTTTGAGCGCTTGAGGGTGCCGGCGGCAGCGGCTGGGGTAGTCGCGTTGGCACCGGCAGCCGGCTTGGCAGCCGCGATGCCGAGTTCAGGGTCTTTCTGGGGCGTGTAGCTTTCGGGGGCACGCTGGTCGGTGACGTCGAACTGGCTGTCGGACTCGTACTGGCTGCCTTCATCCTCATAGTAATTACCGTGATCGAGCTCGCGCAGAGCCGTGGCGTCGTTGGTGCCCTTGATGAGCGAGACATAGCTATCCGCAGCACTGGGCGGGCGCGGCGAGGCCGACACCGCCTTGGTGCCCGAGAGATCGACGGCTTCAGCAGGCTCGGTCGCCTTGAGCGCATGTTCGAGAATGCGCCAGGCCTTTTCGGAGAGGAAGATCTTGCTGAGGCCAACAACAGCGTCAATCTGGGTCCATCCATAGTGGGCCAAGAGCGAGTCGCAGCGCTCGCGAGGGGTGCTGCCCTGGAGCTGCAGGGATGCAAGGGCAGGGGCGTAGCGGCTGAGAGCAGACTGGTGGTCCATGCCGGCAGTGTATAAAACAGCTGAGCTCTGCGTGATCTTGTCGATGCCGTATTGGGTGATCTGGCTCTGGATCACAGGAAGAGCCACACGTCCAGAGCTTCCGTCGAGTGAGTTGATGTGGAAGACGAACCACGTCTGGGTGTCGCCCAGGGTGCTCAGCAGCTCGTTCAAGCCTGCACGGAACTGAACAAGGCGTTGGCAGATGACGAAAAGTCGAGCGGGAGATGTGGCAAAGAGCGACGGCGTCAGTCTGGATTTGATTTGATTTGATTTGACAGAGTGTAGATCTGGTCTGCACGCCTTGCATGGCATATGGCGATGGAGACGTCGCTGAACACCAAAGCTGCTCAGCGCCATCACAAAGCAAACGCATACCTGGTATCCAATGGTGTTGGCGGGATCGACGTCATCGTCCTTCTTCTTCTTGCCTCGCTTGAGAGACGGGTGGCGAGAAATCGACGAAGCAGCGACCATGGTGCCGTACTGGTTCTGGGTGGCAATCAGGCGGTCCGAAAAGATGGATCGAAGGAAGGCGTTGCCGGTGCCAGGCTGCTCGGGGCTGCCGCGGATGAGGGTGACAAAGTCGGACTGGAGCGTGTCTGAGTTGCTGGCGACAAATCCGTGGGTGTCATACTCGACCTGGGTGGTGCTGGCAAAGTGGCGGACGATAAAGTGGTGCTTGGGCTTCTTGGAGGCCTCAAAGACAGACGACGAGCCGGAGTGCTGCGCGTAGATCTTCTCGGTCGCCTTGGAGTCCTTGCTTCCTGAGGCTGCCTCGACATCGATGAGGTACAGGATGCCGTTGGGTTCGCTGAGCAGGAGCTCATTAACGCCCGAGACGCTCAGCTGAGGAACGGTGGCAATAGCGGCGATGCCCTCGGCCTCAAAGACATCCCTGGGAAGCTCGTAGAGCTGGCTGGTGATAAACGTATGGATGCGTTCGTTCGCAAAGTTGACGAGCAGGCGGTAGAAGCCGTTGGCGCCTCCGTTCTGGCCGCCGAAGCCGGGAATGTCGAGGACCGAGATGAAATGGGCCCATCTGGAGGCATCCTCGATACACATCTTGTTGTTGATCTGCTCGAGGATCCAGCTGAAGAGCACCGAGTAGAGAGTGCGGGCGAAGCAGTCACGCTGCTCAGAGGCAGCCTCGGCATCGAGGAACATGGACACAACCGAACGCTGGATCATCTTGGAGCGGTAGGTGAGCACATCCTCGAGGGCGGTGGGGTTGAGGCCGAGCATCTCGGAGACGATGGCCAGCTGCTGGTAGTTGCGGACCTTGCAGGCCTCTTGGGTGTGGGCGGGGCCGTCGACGAAAGTAATGTTGCCGAGGTGGAGGATGGCGGCCAAAAGCTCAAAGAGAGGGCCCTGCGAACGGCTGATGCCGAGCGACTTGAGGTTCTCCTTGAACTCGCGGAAGGCAGCCACCTCATCGACGGCGGGGCTGCGGATGCTCGACTGATTGAGGTAGTGGAAGTGTGCAGGGTCAGACAGCTGGAGTCTCTGCCGCTCCTCGAGGGAAGCGCCAGCGAGCAGATAGTAAAAGACATGGAAGCTGCGTCCATGATCGGCGGCGCCGGTAACGCGGTTCTTTTCGAGGAGATAGGTGATGAACTTGCAGCCAATCATGTTGCCCTTTTGGTCGAACTGGTACTCGGTGTACCGCGAAAAGCCCGAGGAATTCGGGTTGATGGCGGTGACGGCATTGCCAAAGGTCGAGAGGATCGAGTCGACCTTGAGAGCGCACGAATGCACCTTGGTCTTCTTCTTGGAGGTTTTGCTGATGTCGCAGAGCTGGCGGACGATCATGCGATGAGCCTCAGTCTTGCCGGAGCCCTCGTCACCGCTGAAGGTGTGGGTCGACAGATGGCCAAGCCGCAGAGACAGAAGAGCGCGGGTTAGAGCCAGAATTACCTGGGACGACGGACACACAAATCTCTCCGGAGCCAGAGCCTGAGCCTGAGCAATCGCAGGAAGCTACGGGAAGGGGCTTGGCGAGTCTGATGCGAGGGCCCGGTCGGAGTGCAACTGTGCTCATACCTCAGAACGATGGCCTGGTCTTCATCGCCGCGGGTCATGTGGAGGTAGGCCCGCGAAGCAAACTCAAAGATGGAGGGCTGGTCCAGGAGCTGCTCCGAGTACAGACTGGTCTTGACGGACTCGGCAAGTTCCTTCGAGGCAGACTCGGAAGGCAACGGAACCGAGCGGCCGGCATTGACGGAGAGCAGAGCGCGAGAGCCCAGACGGGTGAAGAGCTGGCCGAGCTTGAGACGATCATGGACGATTTGGGCAATGTCATCCTGGGTCAAGTCCTTGAAGGCCAGGTCCGAAATAGCGGCAGGCCCCGACGGGTTGCCGACGACAGGGGCGGCCTGCGGTGTGATGGTTGGGGTGCTGAAGGGGTTGGAGCGACCGGGCCGAACCATGCTTGCGTTGGGATGCAGCGGACGCGAGCGGCTGCTCTGGAGGATGGGTGTGGGACTGAGCGCCGAATGAAGAAGCGATCAGAGAGCCGAGCGGCGGCCAAGTTTTCTTGGGCTCGTAAGGCCAAGAATGGAGACCGGCGACAGAGGGAGGCTCCAGGACAAAACGAGGGTGTGGACCTGAAGACAGCAGAGTCTGGAGATGCTGCTGCGGGTTATATGCCGGCTGGGGCAGCGAGCGAGACGGAGAGAGAAAGAAACAGCAACCCGAAAGCCGACGGATGGCAAAAGGCCGCCGCGAAGGGAGGGAAAATAAGGGAGCAAAAGACGGCGATATGCGGGGCTGGGCACTTGGAGGTGGGGGACCCGCCAGTGCTTCTTGTCGCAGAAGAAAGACGGAAAGAAGAGCCTTTGGAGCAGGGCTTGGGCTGCAGGGCCGTTGGCCAAGGGCGGCGCAAACAAAGAAACTCGCGCAGGAAATGTATGCGGCGGCACTGTGCTGTTGTGCTGTTGTGCTGTTGTGCTGTTGTGCTGTTGTGCTGTTGTGCTGTTGTGCTGTTGTGCTGTTGTGCTGTTGTGCTGTGCTGCCTCGCCACTGTGGGCTGTGGACCATGTCGCGGCTGCTGCTGACTGTGTCCTCGCTGCCTCGCTGGCCGCTGTGTCCAGGACAGCGTCGTCTGTGTCCGATACCCCGCGCTGTCGTGACAGCCTCTGTTTGCCTGCCGCCCTTGTTTGGACAGAGACGTGGACTTCTGGCTTTCCATTTGCGGTCGGCGGAAGCACAGACGCGGGAGACGTGCGCAGCAATGGCGCGCAGCACAGGCGGTGCAGTCTTTGTTGTCTGGACGCCTCCCAGGCGGTGGTGGAATCTTGGTGGTGGTGGTGGTGGTGGAAGTGGTGGAAAGCCACCGATGCATCGGCAGAGACCAGCAGGACCATCAACGGCGGAATGCATGACCATCATGATCCATAGTGCCAGATGCCAAGCAGGAATTCGCAGCAATGGGAGCCTCGAGACGTTCCAGGCCAAAGCGATACCCAGGATGCGCCGTTTCGATTTGGGTGCGCCATATACCAGCACTCAGCCTCCGCTTGGCCCTGGATCAACCCATCCTTCTTGACATTACGGGCTGAGGTCTGTATTAGTTGCTCATGCTGCTTCATCGCCCGCCTCCAGTCATCGCCCGCCTCCAGGCTTCTGCATTGTGCCGCCGCCGCCGCTACCGTACTGATCAGGGCCAGGCATTTGCATCGCCTGATTCGGCGGTGCCCACCCACGATCGCCGGTCTGTGGATAGGCACCTTCGTATCCAGACGTGTCCCAGCCCCCGTGCCGTCCGCCGCCATAATCCTCGAGCACGTCTTGTGGATAGTGCGCACTATACGATGAGCGGTTGTACGGATCGACCGAGTCGCGCGGCGAGCGGTAGTTGGCCGGGTTGGTCCCGTTGGGCATCTCGGCCCGCGTTGGCAGGGTGGGATAGTAACTTGCTTCGGGAGGGCGCATTGACACTGGCTCGTAGACGAGCCGGGCTTCGTACAGGCCAGTCTGCGGGTGGCTCTCGAGATACTGTCGCGGAGGTGGAGCAGGCGGCCCATCCGAACGGCGATACACCAGCGCCGGCGGCGGGATACTTCCGTTGGACGGGCCGTGCCCGTACCGCTGTTGATCGGATGGACCGTGCATCGACGAAGATGCCCACTGGTCTTGCATGGGGATCATAGAGGGTACTGGCGATGGATCGGGCAGGCTCGGCAGCGGCATCGCCGGCGGTCCATTGAGGGTCCCTGTGTTGCTGTGCACACTGATGGTGCTGCTTGGACGCTCAACGGCGCGAGCATCGCCGGGCTTCAGAGCATCGTTGTAGGCCTCTGCAAAGTCAGACAGGATCTGGCTTGTGACCGCTGAGCCTGCGGGTGATGGTGAGTGACAGGGGTTTGAGATCCGTCAGTCGAGCGTCTCCGCACTATATTGCCACAAATAGCCCGGCCTGTGGTGGCCCGAGCTCAATACTCACACCTCCGCAGTGACCTTACAACCACCATCGCCTTTGTGTGTCTCACCTGTGTATGCCGGCAGCTCTTGTCCAGGAGAGAGTGTGCCTTGCGGGATCTGGTCGGCAAGGTGCTTGCAAAAAGTAGCCATGACTGAGATCTGTGCATGAGAATCCATTTGAGTATCGTGACCATATCCGCCCGCATCGAGCCATCGCCGGGGACATGAGACCAGATGCCCCGGACAAGAATCTCGACTGCTCCGGCTCCGGCTCCGGCTCCGGCACCCTCCAGCCCTGGCGGAGATCAGCCCATCACCACAGATTGGCGCACCATCCATGTGGCCACCGTCAGCAATCGGAATACTAACCTTCTTGGCCATGTTCAGATAGGCATCAAACGAATCGTGGAATCCCTCTCGGAGCTTCATTCGCTTGAATCCAGCCAGCGAACAGGACGCTTCCTCGACAGCCGTCTGCGCGTCGAGAACCTCTTGAACCAAGCCATCGGTTGGTCGACCTTTCTTTCTCGCAGTCTCGAGCGCCGTTTGCAGATGCTTGACTTTATTCTTGAGCTTCTCCAAATCCTCTTCGCGTTGCTTCACCTCTTTCATTGCGTTACGGCCCAGCGCATACTGGTCTGAGACGTTATACCAGGTAGATTAGCACCTGCCAATCGATCTGCTCTCAGGATAAACCAGCCAAGATCGTTGCTCGAGCATTTCACTCCTATCTTTGCCTAGCTTGCTCTGTCATTCCCGAGGATCGCCCTCTTGTGGTGGGAAAATACTGCATTCCTTTCCACTCGCCATCTGGACGCCATACTCCAGACACAGGAACGCCATCCCCTGCGTGAGCTTACCGGCCAGCTCGTTGAAAATCTCCTGCTGCTTCGAGAGCACCTGAGACATCTTCTCAGATATATCCTGAGACAAATGGATGTGTAAAGGTCGTGGGCGCATGATCCCTTATCAGCATAAAGCTCGGCCATGGCAACCAGGCTATGTCGTCCAGCCCCAGCGGACGGGGTCCTGGAAGCCGGGCTGATGGTCATGCACAGTCATTGCTGCAGCCGCCAACCAAGTCGCTCCCCATTACTTTCGCCAAGCCAAACAGCCAGCGTCAGCTCGAAAGAGCGAGAGGATCCGAGACAAGAACAGCACCTCCCAGATCGACTCGACTCGACGGCCGCGCTCGCTTACCCGCAAATCTTCTTCCTCTTTCTTGCCCCAGACGGCCATGTATTTGGATACTGCGAGGGAGGCAGGCGCACGGCTATTAGTGTTGGTTCGAGAAAGGAGAGGTGCCACATCAGCCATCCTTTTCCTTCCCCTCCGCTCTTGGGCTGGTTCGTGCACGGATCCTAGATGGCACTCGCTGACAATGGATAGATGCCATCCACCCTCTACAGCTCGCCACGATGGTCCAGAGTCGCTGGCCAAATGCCCTTCGGCGTTTTGGGCTACCTGCTGTTTTGCAGGCAACGAGGCCGACTTACCATCGGCAGACTCGCGACCAAGAGATCTCCAGGCCTTGAGCACGTCCTTCTCTTCTTGGAGCCACACATGGAAATCTTTTGTTTCGCCACCGCCGACAGTCGTCAGAGATCGGCGGGCGGCCTGGCCAAGACTGGAAAGAGCCATGGGGAAGGATGAATCTGGCTGGCTGGCTGGCTGGCTGGCTGGCTGGCTGGGGATGGGCTGCGAAATGCAGGTTTTGGTTTGGGCGATGCGGCGGTATGAGGCAGATAGACGGTCGAGTGCGGGACTGGAATGAGCCGGTGCGTCTCAAACTTGGCTTGATTGGAATATCGGGGATAGGGAGCGGTGTCGGTGCGGGCGAGCCAAAGAGCAAACGAGGTTGGGCTTTCGACGGGGCACAGCAGCCAAGAAGGTCGCACAAGCATCGTGGCAGTGCTTGGCACGGGAGTGGCTGTGCGTCTGTGTTGTGGGAAAGATCGGCGGGACGAGATACCCGAGTGCCGCAGTGCAGCGATGCCAATGGCGAGGACAGGGGCAGAGTCCAGCAACACACTCTATATTGAACCAATTCAGCAACGCTGCCGGGCGGGTCAAAAACACAAGCGACCCGACCGCTCCTTACAGAATCCAGATAGAAGAAAGGTGACGCGGATGCAAGCAGTAGACAGACGTCCGGATCATCGCGATGAACATCGGCGAGACGGACATGAGAGCCACGATGACGCCTGCTTCAGGCGGCGATCAGAGACACGACCTTGGTGTCGTCCAGCTCTCCCTTCTTCTCGTCAGCAGGCTTCTTGTCGATTCCAGTGACTTGGATGTCATCGTTAAACTCGACAGTGTCGGGGTCGGGGTTCATGGCGAAGGATCCGCGAGGGATAAAGGTCGAGGCAACGATAACGATGCCCGCGAGGGTCATGAAGACACCGCCAATGTAGATAAACAGGTCGCGGAGGCTCTTGTTGTTGAGGACAAAGTCGTCGCGGACAGTGCCCATGAGCAGGTTGAGGATGTAGAATGCAAGCAGGTAGGCGACGTACAGGAACGACATGACGGCGCTGAGCGGCGAGGTGTACTTGTCGATGTTGGCATAGTCCTCGAGGCGCGATTGCACAAAGGCGGCCAGCGAGACATCGCCCGCGGCCCAGCCAAACGAGATCGTGGCCATCAGAGGGGTGAGCTTCCAGGTGAAACCAACGATGTCGGACTTGTCGACCGGAATGAAGGGCAGCGCCCAAATGAGCAGCAGGAGGATGGCATCGAGGCGCAGGAAGGGAATCGGGGTCTTGACCTGTCGGGCCAGCAACAGCACCGTCAGGGCACCAAGCAGCTCACCAAAGTTGGAGCCACCAACCATGATGGTCTGCATGTCCGAGTTGCCAAGGACCGACTTTGCATAGAACGGCGCCAGGGTGTTTTCGAGATAGCGGTGGAGAACCAGCGGAAGTGTGTAGGCCGGAAGGAGCCAGACAAGCGCTCGCTGGCTGCAGACAAGCCTGGCTCCCAAGTAGACCGAGTGGAAGAACGAGTAGACAACGGCGCCGAGCCGCTGGCCGAAGGGAATGTCTCGCTCGGCCTGCTTGAACTCCTCATGCAACTTGATACGCTCGGGCCGGGTGGTGATCAGGAACCAGATGCACGACGAGAGGGTGAAGCCCACGGGCAGCAAGCCGAGAGCAAAGCCCCAGCCAAAGTAGCTGATCCAAATCGAAGCCAGGATGGCGCCGGCAGTGCCGGTGATCTCGTAAAAGATATGGACGGTGGCATCGAGGCGCTTGAGCTTGAGAGCATCGCCTCCCACAAGATCGGCGGGGATTACGCGGCGCATGAGCTCGACCATTCCATGGAAGATGCCCGCAAGGGGAAAGAACACAAAGATGAGATACGGGGTCCACCCGCCCCAGGTCGACTTGATGCTGGAGCCTTTGTTGAGAACGGCGGGGATAGTGCCGCCCGTGGCGCCCTCAAGGATCGGGATGGTGACGACGGCGATGCCAAACAGCAGGATGGCCAGCGAGAGGACGTTCTTGGCCTGGTATCGCTTGACCAGGGGCCCGACAAGAAGCGAGCCGAGGCACTGGCAGCCCAGGTTGATGCCCACGAGGTTGGCCCAGACGACACCCGGTCCAGCGGACTGTGCGAGGCGGTTGAGGACAATGCCGGACATGCATGCGTTCATGGTCTCGAGAGAGAACTTGTAGGTCATGATGCCGATGATGTACAACGTGATGTTGCGGGTCTCGGTGCCGGTGAAGGCGTGGCTGTCCTGGGTCATGATGGAGCTGGCAGTGGCAGAACAGGTGCGGAATTGGTTGGAGAATTGGTGCGTGGGAAGACTTCAGGGATAGTGCCGTGGGATGCACTGGTTGCTGCGGCGCAGAGTCGTCAGGATGCAGGAGATTGTGCCCCAAAGGTTGGCAAGTGCAGAGCTTGATGGGATGGCGAGGCTCAAGACCAGAGAGCTGATGAGACTCGGGCTGGATGGGTGAACTTGGCTCGGAGACTGGTGTAGTGCTATGGGATGAGCTTGAGACCGTCCCGGCAGAGCCTCTTTATATGGAATACCGTTGCCCCCCTGGCACTTCCCGGGGCTGGCATCGCGCTGTCCTCATGCAATCCTCTCGCGTCGGTATGAAAGACATCGACGAGCCTTTCGCATCCTTGCCCACCGAGGAGCTGAGCGCATGCATGCATCGGGGTCGACCTCCGGGCTGCGTGCGTGCGCCCACCTGCGATCGCCGGTGGATGGCCTCGTCGAATTGCTCGTGTGAACGGCAATATGTGGGCATGGCGGCGAGGGAGCTCACCCAACCCAATTTGCGCTCGGCTCACGCATCCGATCCAACTCTGCGGGTTGACAGGCTCAATGAGAGCATGCATGTTCGCTCTGATGCGCCGGGGCAAGACCATTGCCATGACGATGCAACCCGATGGGACGCAACCTTGGAGGAAATTGGGGATGCACTCACAAGGTTGGCCCTCGGGCTGCGCAAGGTTGGTGAAGCGATCAAGGAACACAGCCGCGCTCGGCTGCATGGGTGTGGTGAGTTTCCTGGACTGGCCGAAACACAGCGCCAGCAAAATGAAACCGGTCGACCAGAGTCTGTGGCGGTGGAGCCGTCGAGTGGTCGCAGACGCTCGGCGGGTTTGGGATGCATTGATGCATGCTGGACCATGGCGGTGCTGGAGAGCGAGGGAGAGGAGCACTTTGGTTCATGATGGGAGCCTCAGCACGCACCCGACGCCAAGGTTACGGCGGGCCCAAAACCCACAGGACACCATGTTTTTGAGTCATGGCAGTCACTTTCCTGGGACCTGAGTACACGCCTATCGATCGTCCACTATGGCCAGGTGCGCTCGTGGTGCCTGGAGGCCAATCGATCCGACTCTCTTGACGTCGAGGAAGCTACGGAGGCTATCCAGACGGCCGAATGTTTGCACCACATCACGATATCGATGCCAGTCGATCATCGTCACAGGGGGCTGACCGGATGTATTCAAGCCTGTGCTCCCGCAACTAGACAAACCCACTGGGTTGCCAACCAAGACAGGAGTGCAATCCCAGGGTCGGCCCACTGGGCCATGCAGATCACTGTGGGGTGACACTTATAGGCACGCTGTCCCGCTCAATCCGAGCAAGCTTTAAAGAGCGGCGCGAGACCGCTGGCTCCGCTAGAGCAACTCAAAGTCGTCCATCTCCATGTCGATGCTCATCATTGCACTTGGCAGAGCACCTGGGCCGTCCTGGGGTGGTTTGTCAGCGCCGCTCTCGGAGTTCTTGTCGTTTCGTTCGTCACATTCGCTGTACTCCTCGGCATCGTCCAGGTCCTCAATGCACTCGATGGGTTCGGTGGATCTGGACTGCTCAATACGCTCTTGGCCGAACTGGGACAGCGACTCGTTCGAGTTCGAGGGATTGAGTGGCTGGCCATTCGATTCGGCGATCTCGTCGACATCAAGGAATTCATGCCGCGACGCCTCGACGACATCGAGATCGGCTCTCTGTCGCTTGGCAGAAGCTGCCGCCGCCAGATCGGGTCTCTTGCGGACTCGCTTTGCAGTCTGTTGGTCGAGTGTCGGCTCGGTCTTGCTTCTCTTTCTGGAGGGAGAGGCTGTGCCGACCTCCTCGAGCGCATCGTCGTCGTCGTCTTCATCGTCGTCTTCGCCCTCGTCATCTTCGTCATCATCTACATCCTCGCTATTGAGGCTGATGCTGCCCTCGTCGTCATCGACACCATCTGCTTCTTCGTCCGCATCTTCGTCATCTTCATCTTCTTCCTCGTTGATATCCTGCTCGTCTCCCTCAGCGTCAACTTGGACAGCATCTCTGATTTTGGTTGCCTTCTTGGTGCCTCGGTCGTCGTCTTCGCCCTCGCTCTCACGTTCTGAATCGGTTTCATGATGCGAGTCGAACTCCTCGTCCACCTGAGCGATACAGAGCATGTATCAGCAAAACAATCATGCAGCAAGATCCGGGGGTCCGGAATCGCAGGTTCCCGATTCCCTGGCCCGTCCAACAGATCGCCAGCGCCCTTCTTGCTCCGGTTGAGCGGCTCGGTTTCCGATCGACCATCCAACGTGGCACTCCGTCGCCTCAGAACAGACTTACTTCGTCCTCAGACAGAGCCACATAGTCTTCGTCCTCCTCTTCACTGTCACCGAGGTCGCCGTGGGCAATCGTCAATGGTGCTTTGGACCGTCGTTCCGCGCCGCTTCCCGCGGCTGGGCTCGGCCTTGTGCGGCCAACGTTCTGAGAAAAGTAGCCCATGAGACGCTCTTGCTGCTGGATGTCGATCAAGCTGAACTCGACCTCGGTCTTTCCGGCGTCAATCCCGACAGGCGTATACTTGGGATGATCGTGCGTGCTGATGAGCAGATTAAACGACTTGCCGCCGACAACGAAGGGCTGAGCGGCCGAGATGGCTTCGACAGGAATCCAGATGGCAGGCTTTCGGAAGGCAAATAGAATGCCTCGCTTGAGCAAATACAGGAAACCGTCCTTGACTCCGATGTGAGCGACGACGCCGGGGGGCGGACAGGGCTGCGATCCAAGCGAGGAACCCGACGACGGCCCTGGAACAAAGGTAGTCAAGTCGGGCATGTCGACGCTGAAGAATCCAGCGCACCGGCCCTCGAGCGCCGCAGAGAGGTAGTCGACTAGCAGCTTTCGAAGGCTATCGCCCTTGGCGAGAGTGTAGGAATGGCCTTTGTTCTTGTACTCCAAAGGCTTGACAACTGGTGACGAAGAATCATGGTTGCGGATAGGGGATGAGAAATAGCGCAGTCAATCTGACGTATCCATGAAGGGCCTTCCATCAACGACGCAGTCTCTGTTTGGCGTCGAGCACCTCCTGCTTGGTATCGAATATTCCTGATCGAGTCGCCGGGGTAAGGATATCGTATCTCCGCGACACCTTGGACGACTGACCCGCATATATCATGACAGCAGGCTTTCCGGGGATATCACTGCGCTCAGCCGTGCGATCTGGCTCGGCACCGGAATCCCGTCATGACGCACGATAGATCCAGCACGGCCACATCGCTCGGACGGTATGCCACCCCGTCACTCTGCTTGCAAGCCTATGTCCGTTCGACTTATCCCTGGTTGGGGCCCCAGTCATGCCGCTGAAAATGAGCCAGCCGCCACTCTGCTAGACTGTCGAGCTTGTGCCCGCAACTGCAGCTGCGACTGCAACTGCGACTGCAACTGCGACTGCAACTGCGACTGCAACTGCGGGCCGAGGAAACGTACCCAGATCTTCGGCCCCAAAGGATATGATATCCGACTTGAAGATCAAGAAGAACGTCGAATGGGGCTTCTGCTTCATCGGCGTCGGTAGACAGAATCCAATCTGGAGTGAGTCGATGGAGTAGCGGGTGGTCTTTCGAGCCGGCGACGCCAGGCCCGTCGAGCTGGGGGTCGGCAGCGAGGACGAGGCATGTGGCAAGGACTCGACCAGGGTGATGTCGTCATCCGAGAGGGCCAGATCCAGCTTCTTGCGCGGGTTCTGGAACGAGATGCCAGGAACGACGAGATCGTAGGCGAGCTCGTCGTATGACTCGGCTGCGTCGTCGGCAGCGGCCGGGTCCGAGTCCAGGTCGTTGAGGGCTGGTTGCGGGGCATGGTGCAATATCAGATCTCGGAAGATGGGCTCGGTGTCGGGATGCTGCTTGGCGGCCAAGAGGACTCGCTTTCGGAGCGCCGGTGGGAGGACGGCGGCCAGCTGTTCGAGCGACATGGCTTGGAGGATATCTGGGAGAGGGACCGTGGGCTGTTTGCTCGAGGATCGGGTCTGGAGAAGCGATGGAGACCAGCCGCTCTGGCGGGCTGGCTTGAAGGAGCCAAAGGACAGCCCATGACGGACGAACCGGCTCTGCTCGGGAATCCGTCCAGCCGTGCTGGCGCCTGCACCCGGGACTGGATCCTGGTCGGAAGCCAGTGTCGCTGATACAACTGCGTTGCGATGCCGAGAATCCGATGCATGGCCGGGGCAGACTCGGACCCAAAGTCTCGGTGGTCGAGAGTGCCCAATTGCATTCAACCCGCAGCATTCCTCCAAAGGAATCCGGTTGCCATTGAGTTCCTCCGAGCGAGCCGGGCTAGGTACTCGCAGTCGCAGCCCTCACCATGTCGCGAGCTGTGCAAATACCAACAGCCGCTCTGCGGGGAGATGCAACACCAAATGCAGAGCACAGCGTGAGAAGCCTGTTGTCGATGAAGTGATGTTTGCTATTCCTTGAGCAAGAGTGGGCAGGCAGACTACACAGGCGGAATCATCTTCCGCAGCGTGGTGGATCGGAGCGCATCCTTCGGAGGTCGCCTGTCGACCGAAACAACCTTGGGGATCAGCCAGCACCGGGCAGCCATAGCCGTTGCTGCAGAGGCGACACCACAATGTCGGTGAGAGCCCAATCGCCAGACGACGTGCAGTGATTGAGGCGGTGGCAATGCGGACGCCGAGTCGTCCTGGGCATCAACCGAGACGGCCCGACTCTCTGATTCGACTGCTCGAGTGCGACAGTCGATAGCTGGACGATAGCTGGACGATTCCCGCCAACGGACGCAGCTGGTCAATGCACTGGAGGGGCAGGAAAACCTTGGCTCGGATCCCCGCGCCCGGCGACTGCCGATGATCCTGCTCTGGGGGCAGCGCTTCTGCGTCTGCTTGGGCCAACCCAAGCTGTCTCGAACAACCCGAGCGGTCTCGAGCACCATCGGCTCTGCACCGAGCTTGGAGCATTGGCTGCACTCCTCTCCCCTGCGCTCCGGCCCGTCCGCCTCATCGCCTGCCGTCTCGCCAGTGACACTGGCCCTTCTTGGAAACGCTCCTCCATCAGCAAGGCCCTCTGGCGCAATTGCCGCTGCCCGATCCACGCCCACCAGCTGGTACGCTGCCGACAGGCCGTTTCAGGCTCTCCCTCCGTCCCGAATACCCGCAACCTCGCCGACCAGAAAGGTCGCCAAGACTCACCCGGACCGAGAACGCCGCAGCTCGCCGCCACAGTCTGCCGCAACAGCAGCCAAGAGCAGCCTCGCGTGGCCTGGATCGATCGCTGCGATGGACTTTTTCAAGCCGTTTGGGATCCAACCCCGAACCTCGCACACCCACCCCATTAACATCTCATGGCTGATTCCGCCCGAGCTCGACCTTGTCCTGCCACCGGATCCGCGAGGGCTCGGAGACGACCTGCTGGCAAAAATCCAACCGCGGCCGCCCAACAAACAGGCAGCACCACCACTGTGTGTCGAGCGGCCCAACGGCGAGCCAAGTCGATCCCAAGACCGGCCCGAGAGTGCGGAACTGCTGCAGTCTAACCACGGGCGCGAGGATCTGGAAAAGGCCGAGGCCGGGCTATGCCCGATCGACAGCGTCCTCTGTGACCCGACCGAGGACGAGCAGCAAGACGCAGCTGGCCCGAGTGCTCGATCAACGACCGATGTACCAAGCCCGGCGGCCCAGAACACCCGTCCTTCGCGGGTGCCAGCAGCCAAGCCCGGCAACTTTGCTCTGAGCTCATGTCCGGGCAAAAAAGTCCGACTGGACACTGGGCCAGTGAATGGTCGAGGTACGGCGCCCCAGGTTGGGAGAGCGTGGTTGAACTGGATGGTCGTGGATGGCTGCAACAGATGGAGGCTGATCATGTCACTGTCGACGGAGCGATTCGCAGTTCAGAGCGGACAGATCATAACGAGCATCGGTCAGAGGGGTATTCACCGAGGTCTGAAACCAGATATCATTGCAATCTTCTGCCACAGCGATGATCAGCCGCGACTTGAATATGGACTTTGAGCGGATAGCGTCGGCGGGAGTCCGGCTTGTCGTCAAGTATGGACTATGCTCTGTAGCCGGTCCGCCGATGCTTGCCACCCGATTGCGGAGAAGAAACATGATTGTCAGGGTGGCTCGCAGCGAGCGACAAGGGGAGGCAAGATGTCCTCGAGATCTGTATTGACCAGCCAATTTTGCATTTATACTACGAACGGAACCACCCTCAGTTGCCTCGATAACACCGAGCTCGAGTATCTGGGGGCGCCTTGGGACAAGTACCAAGCTGCTGCTGCGGGACAAGGGATTGATGTTATAAGGTGGGCATCGAGGAACAACGAGATTCGATCGCAGACGACCGAGCCGGCCGAAGGAAAGAAGCCCTGTCGCGGCTAGAGGAGCAGGCCGATAGAACGATCTGCTCTGGGAAGGCCCCATGGATCCATTATCTTATTGTTGGGTGGTCCTCTCATCGCAGAATACCCATAGCCGAAGGTTACGCGCCAAAATCAATAGACGATGTCGAGGAGGTTCTCAAGGAGATTACAAAGCGAACATCGAATGGCGTCAATATTCTCTGCCATTGTCGGGGAGGTCAGCGATGAGCCAATCGAGATCGATACGGATGCGGCTTGGTGTGCGCTGGTCCGACGCTGATGCTAATGGCAATGCCCGCCCTCATTGCATCCATGAACTTGAACCTCTGTAGGTGTCGGCAGAGCAGGTGTGATTGCGTGCTGCTGGCTGCTGCGGGAAGCGTTGGTGAGCACTCCCGATCGGTCGATCCAGTACCTGCGACTCCGCAGAAGCCCAAAGGCGATCGAGACAAAGTTCCAGGAAGACTTTGTTGTGCAGTACTATCGATGGCTCACGACCAAGCAAGGGCAGCCAGGGTCGACTCCGTCAGCGCCGCAGTGAGGCCGAGCTGGTTGCGCCGCGTGGTTGCCGCTATTTGTTGGTGACGACGATCACACATTTGGTATCGGGTGAGGAGCGGCTTGGTATGTCGCGGCGGTGAAAGCGCTCGGTTGTGCGTGTGCTCGGTTGCCAATACAGCCCGCCCTTATTGGAACAGGATGCTACTATGCGCGGAAGGCTTGCGAGCGTGCAGCAGCAGCGTCGCCAGGACAGAAGCGCCAGGACAGAAGCGCCAGGACAGAAGCGCCAGGACAGAAGGACACACCATCGGACATGAACATGAAGCAGCGCCAGGGTCGCGTCACGTGCGCGTCCGCCCTGGTTGGCACGGCGAGACCCGAGGCGACAGCGAGACGCGCCTCGGCGTGCTCTCTGGCGTTCTCGGCAGCAACACGTCACGACACAGCGAACGCGCACCGGCGATGACGCAAGGGTCACACGGGCAGCGCGCAGACCTGGAAGCCAAGGAGCAACACACAGACAGTGGGCGATGCGGCTGCAGGGTCCACAGCATCAGTGCTGTGGTCTGTGCTGCTGACATTTGCTGGCCGCGCGAGTCATGCCACGTCTTTGTTTTCCGCGGCCGCGCCTTTGTTCTCGGCTGGAACAGCATCAGCGGATGTTCCGAACGCCGCTGCAAACACCGCCCTCGGCTGGCCTCGCCGCGGCCTCGGCGGCTCTCGCGGCGCCCTCGCTTCTCGGCGCGGCCAATGTGACGCCGTCAGCCGCCTCGCGCTCGCCATCGGGCGGCCAAACAACGAAATCTTCCTTGGGCTTCGCTGGTCTTATCGGGAGCGATGGTGGAGGATGGAAGTGGATGGTGGAGGATGGAGGATGGTGGAGGATGAAGGACAGACTAATGGTGAATACGACTCAAGAGTGAATACGACTCAAGAGTGAATACGACTCAAGAGTGAATACAACTCAAGAGTGAATACAATCCAACTCGGGGTATCATCCGAGGGACGATATCGCCGCGAGAATGATACCGCATCACAGGACTTAGAGCATCTGCTCGATGCCCAACCCGCCCAGCCAGACGCACCGTCGCCCCCCCCCCAGCATCGCCGTCGGGTATGGCCTTCCAGCGGATGCGCGGCGATGTCCTCGGGATTGGCGGTCTGTTGGATGGAGCGATCAGCCCTGCTGTGCGCCCGTGTCGCTTGTTTGCTTCGTCGCCCCCACCGACCGCAGTCCTGCTGCCCCTCCGCCGGGCTATAAATACCGCAGCTTCGCTCCGTCCAGCCAGGCCGCATCCGCTTCGCTCTCAAGCTCTCTCAAGCTCTTTTTCTCGTCGCCGTCCCAGCTCAAGCCAGCCCCTCCCCCCAGCTCCAGTTCCAGCCGCCATGTCCGCCGCCCAAGCTTCCTCCGAACTCTCCCAGCTGCCCACCGAGGCCCCCCCGCAGCCCGCTCCGGCCCCAAAGAAGAACTCGTCCAAATGCTCGGCCCTCGGCTGCACTGATCGCGCCGTCAAAATCGTCGGCGATTGCCGATACTGTGCCTCCAAGTTTTGCTCGCGGCACCGGCTGCCGGAGGCTCATGCCTGCCCCAACATCCAGTCCTGCCGGCAGGATGCCACTGCTCGCCTCTCTGACCGTCTGATGGGCGAGAAGTGCGTCGCCAGCAAGGTCTAAGGGCCCCTCCTCTCCCTTCCACCCATCCCCTCCCTCCCCTTCCCGGGACGCCGACCCGGCCGGCGAATGTCCTTCCCGTCCCCCCGCCTCCCGAGGCCGCCGTCTTCTGCCGACATAGAGGCGGCCGAACATCAAGAAAACGCTCAAGAAACACCCACCCTTCTTGAATCAAACACACATCCTCCTGTCTGGGCTCGGCACCCAGTGCCCTCCACCCAGTCGCTCTCCACCGTCGGCGTCACCTCCCAGTCGGACTCGGACCCCCTTCGCTGCATTGCGGTCGAGTCCTTCTTGGCCTTGAGCGTCGTGTCGGACGGCTTTCCCGATCAGCGATGAAGCAATTCGCTGCGAGCCGCTCATGGATCGCTGCCTTCTTTCATCATCCCTGCACACTGTGGTCTGGCCTTGTATATGATTTGTTTTCCTTCCACCCTCTCCCTCCCTCTCTCAATCTGCCTTGACTCTATTTATTCTGCCGATAAAATGGCATCTGCGATGCGGATGTGTGGTGCCTTCTTCCTCTGCTGTTTAGTTCTGCTCTGCTCTGCTCTACTTTGTTTAGTTCTACTCTGTTTAGTTCTGCTCTGTTTTGTCTTTCTGCTTGCTCTCCCCCCCCCTGTTTTGCTGTCGTAGACTCTTTGATTCTTTTTGGGAACATGGTCGATGTGTTTGATGATGATCGCTGCCAAAGAAATGTATTTGTTTCTCAATTCCAACACAAGCGAGCAAGTGTGTGTGTGTGTGTCCACGTGATTTGCGACCAGGGTTGGCCCTGGGCTGTGTTGTTGTGCCAGCGATCCGGCACGGCATGGCAGCGTTCATGTGTTGCAGATGGTTGACTGGACGTTGTCTCGGGCTCTGCGCCGATGTGATATGGATGAGCACGAACAATCGAGGGTTGTTTCTAAGGGCGCCCCTCCCTGCCACACTCACATCCAGTACATCTGGAGAGCCCATCAAACAATGCGGACGGATGGGGGTGAGTTGGTTCGATCGAGATATCGGGTGCTGCACCATCTTCAGAGATCAATAGAGGAATCGAGAAAAAGACAATAAACGGAATAGGACGGGGCTTCAATTAGGTGGAGTGCGACAATTGGACCATGAAGGAAGGGGGAAACGAGGGCGACTTGGATCAACGCCAGCCACAGAGGACAAACGGACGAAAGCCACCACAACCCCATGCCGCGAAGGAAAGGAAAGGGTTTGGAGTGGGCGTGGGATACTGGGGACGGGGGCCAAAGGAAGGTGTTCGCGCATCTCAAAGTCGAGAGCGGCGACGCCAGAAGTGACAGTGGATAGCGGATTAAAAGATAGAGGCAAGAAAACACCGACTCACGCACAACAGGCAGCGAGCCGAAGCGCCATCGAAGAATATCAGGTAAAGGGAAGAGAAAAAGACAGAACAAGCAAGGCAAAACAAGACAGAGTTAGTGGGCGGTGGCGCTCCAGGCAATCACGGCTCCGACGAAGCCAGCGAGACACGGGTGTGCATCAACAGGACATCTCCAAGGCCGGGCCGAGAAGCTCGGGCACCACAACGGACCCAAGGAATCCAAAATCTATGTATATGCAAGAGGAGGAAAGCAACGGCATAACACGGGAGGGTAAAAGTGCAGAACACAGAAAGACAGCAAGGGAAGATGGACGGCAGGATTGAGGAATGGTGGCGTCACTGGGTGGGAACGGACCGAGCGGGAGAGGAAGGGAGGGAAACGATGCCCGGGGGGGGGAAACAAGAGTCAGAAAGGGCACAGCGAAGGTGATGGGGAGAAGCTTCTGGGAAAGCATACGCGAAGCCGAGAGGGGCCGCTGGCAGATCTTGGTCGTTTGGGACTGGGGGCACGGCCGCTCAGGCGATGACGTGCACGTCCGTCTTGACCACGATCCGATCCAGCAGACCTGTGCATGCCGGGCAGTCAAAGTTGGAGTGAGTGTCGCAGATCCAGTCGCCGTCAGCGTCACGGCGGCTGAAGGTACGAGGCTGACGCCTTGCCGGCGGAGAGTGCTGCACCGAAGCCGAGAGCGGTGACGGGCTGTTGTAAGGGCTGCTTGGGCTGATCGGGCTAATCGGGCTAATCGGGCTCATCGGGCTGCTTGGGCTGGCCGGGCTGGACTGCAGCACAGTCATCTTGGGTGAGACCGAGGCATTGCCAACGCCGCGCTGCTGCTTGTCGTTCATGAGCTTGAGCAGGTCCTCGGTGCTGGCCTTCATGGACTTGAAGGGCTTGGGCGTCTCGGCCCTGGGTGTCGCAACGGCATCGGCCTTGTTGAAGTGCAGGTTGCGGTCCATGTTGATCTCATTGACGATGTTGGCCGGCTGCAGCTCGACAACCAGGTCGTGCTCGACAAAGCTGCAGCTCGTTGCCGTTGTGAATTCAGAGTGGAAGGACTTTGGACTCAGCAGCAGTCCCTGCGCCGTGTATTTTTCGCCGAGCTCGTCCATATTCATCTCCTTCAGATCCAGCACCAAGTCGGCGAGCGGGTTGGAGTGGTAGGTGTGGGCGTCGATGCCATAGTACGGCTTTTCGTGCCGAGATGATGTGTTGCTGTACACGCGCTTGATCTTGTCGGCCGGGTCGTCGCAGTGGGTGGTCTCGGTGGCAAAGGTCATGTCGGTCTGGTCGGAGCGCTTGCGTTGGTGGATGCTGCTGGCGCCGTGGGAGGTGGCATAGTACGACGACGAGACGGGCGAAGTGATGGTCGAGCTGGCGGACTGGATCGAGCGAACTGAGCGACCGGTGGGCTGTCGCGACATGGCCACCGACTCGTACGGATCGCTGCTATGCTTGACAAGCATGTCCTTTTTCTTCTTCTGGGCGCTCATCACCCGGGCAAAGGCGCCGTTGAGATAGGAGACATTCTGGGCAAGCTCGTCGTACGGATCGACGGCAGCGGTCGGCGACGTGGGCACGGTAGAGGAGCGAGCCGACCCAGCGCTTGGGTCCGTCGCCGCTGCCGCCGCCATTTTCTCGAGCTTGCTGGAGTCAACGGACCGACGCGGAAGGCTATCGAAGGAAGGACGGCAGCGCCGAGGGGGCGGGCACGGCTCATCTGGGATGAGGCTGGACGGGAACATGTCCTGGTGCCTTTCTCGAGGCGACCCATCGCAGCGGGCGGGGGCAGCAGATGGGATGGAGGGCGATGGCGAGGTCATGGACGAGTCCGTGGGCGAGACGGGTCGCTTGGACGACTGCCAGGTGGGGCGAGACTTGAGCGGCCGCTCGGTGAGGGACGGGCTGCAGCAGGAGCACACGGTCGAGGCTTCGGACTCATGGCCATGAGCCGAGGAGCTGTATCCGGAAGAACATCGGTGGTGGGAGGCCGAGTCACCGTCGAGACGCTGGGTCCACGAGGCAGGATCGGCCGTGGCGAGGTTGGCAATGTCATTGACGGACGCCTCAGCGTTGCGGGTGAGGGTCATGTACGAAGGGGTGTAGGTCGAGCCCGAGTCGGACAGAGTGGGGGAGGAGGGGCTGAGGGCTCCTGGCGAGGACTCTTCCTCGTGGATGATCATGGAGCCGCGACGGGGACGCTTGCCCCAGAGACCCTTGATGGCCTTTCCGATGGATTTGAACATGGGGGCTGCGTGGAGGAGCGACGGAAGTGCGGCAGGAAGGAAGGTGTGGGTATGCTGGCGCTAAGCAACAAGAGACGAGCTGGGCCGGGGAATAGAGCGACAATAGATCAGCGACAGTCCAGCAAACGATCGACAATAGATCGACAATCGATCGGCCACAGATCGGCAGCTGGCCAGCAGAGATGCGGAGGGGAGGGGGAACAAGCGACCAGAGGAGGAGGGAAGATGCTCGAGTCTCGCTCTCAACCAGACCCAGGAGGCACGGGGACCCTCGGCAGGCGGCGCCCTGGGAGACAGGGTGGCGGAAGTGACCCCAGGGACAGAAAACCAAGAGAGCAGCACGGAGGAGCACCACCCCCCACCGCGCATGCGATGCAAGCCCGAGAGTTGCTGCTGTTGCTGATGCTACGAATTGGATATATACAGCAGAGACGCTTATGGGGCTGGGGCAGCTTGCAATTACCTGGACAATTGCGATGCCTCGGACGGACAGAGCAAACAGAGGGGCCAAGGGAGACCGCAGGACGAGCTGTCCGAGCAAAAGGCCAACTGGTGGGCTGGAGACGGATGCGGATGCCGATGCGGATGTGGGTGCGGGTGCTTGGTTGCCCCCAGCGCGGCTGGTGGTATATTGGTGAGGGATACTTTGGGGACTCGGGGCGACTCGATGCAACTCGAGGCGAATCAGAGACGGTGGGCTGGGGGGGGGAGGGCGCAGATCAAATAGAGCAGGGGCAGAAGCGAACAGAGGCAGAGGCGGGTGGTCGGGGTGCGATGGACGGATGGATGGATGGACGGATGGTTGGAGACGGCCGATCGCTCTTGCTGGGCTGTCGAGGGCCCGTTCCTGCCGCTTGCGGGGCCAAAGCCGACAGTGCAGTGGAAAAGGCTGTCGACAGTGCAGCGGAAAACGCAGCAGAGGTTTCGCTGCCGCCTTTGCGCTTTGTCGCGGAGCTTAATTTGCACAATGCCCTGCTGGCCCGCTGTGCTGCTGCTGTGGGCGACTCTCGCCGAGCCCTCGCCGAGCCCTCTCTCGCTCTCTCCGTGCACTGCCCGCAATGTCCTGCAAGACCGTGCGTCCTCTCGCCCGCTCCTGCTCGCTCTCGTCTCGTCGCGCTATCACAATCCCCCCGGTCTCTGTGCACCCCGGCCCGGGCCCTGGTGCTGGCTGTAACCCCGTGCGCGCCTGGGCCGCAACAAGGCCGCAGACCGGGGCGCCGTCGCGCGACAAGGGTGCGGCAGGGCCGCCCCTGGCGAGTGGTGCAGCGGATGTGGGACAGGCCGTGTGGCGGGCCACGCGCGCGCTCGACACGCGGCACACAATGACTCAGTCGCGGCATGCGTTGTACCGCGGCGCCGGTGCGCGTCGTTGCCGCACGCTGCCGCACACTTTCTCTGTGCGCCGCGCCGAACCGCCCTCCGCTGTGCATTCCGCTGCACCACTGTGCATGTGCCGACCGGCGCCACCTCTGCTGCCGAGCCACAGCGAGGGCACTCTCCTCCCTGGTTCCAGCCGGCCACCACGGCACGTTTCTGCGCCGCGGCTTTGTTGGCTCGTCGCGATGACGACCCTTTCGCCAGAGATGCAAGCAAGTCCCAGGCAGCATCCTCGGTGCAAAGATGCCTCTGGCTGGTGGGTCCTCGACGCAGGAGATGCTACTGCTGCTGGCGGCGATGTTCGCTGCCGCGATGAAGGCTGCTTGGCAAGGTCCCCGATCTCGGCCGCGAGCCGCTTCCTCCAGCCCCCAAATGCACCCGCCCCCCTGCCGTAGACGCAAGCGCCCAGCAGCTCAGTTCTATCGCGCTGTATTCGTCTTTGCGGCTTTGGGTGGCAGCGTGATAATGCTGGCTGGCCGCTCTAGTTGACAGCCTCGAAGTACTCCTTCGACTTGACGGGATCGGCCTTCATCGTCTTTGCTGCGAGCATCGAAGAGAAAAGCGGCGTCTCAGTATCATCAGCCCACACCAGCCGGCGCCTGGCTGGTCTCTCCCGTCCTCCAGCATTGCTCGGAAGCGTCCCTCCCTCTTTTTTTTTCTCTCTCTCTCTCTCTACTCTTCCTCGATGGCCATCTCAGCTTACCTCCTTTCTTCCAGCCAGCAGGGCAGACCTCCTGGTGACCATGCAAAAGAAAGAGAAAGGGTCAGCCCGTCCTTGGTTCTTGTGAGCCCGGGAATCGGCGATAGCAGTGACAGCCGCAGCGACAGTCGCCACGGCAGCAAAAAGAGCGGTGGTGGTGGGGTGGATTCTGCAGCCAGGCAGCCAGCCAGGCAGGCAGCAGCCCCGCTCAAATTTGCTGCGGACCCGACAAGGACCGCTTGGATCAACTTACGCCGTGCTGGTCGTTGAACTGGATGGCCTCGAGGATGCGGAGGGTCTCGTCGACGCTTCGTCCAACGCCCGTGTCGTTGACAGTGATGTGGCGAACGACTCCGGCAGGATCGATAATAAAGGTACCACGGAGTGCAACGCCGACGTTGGGACCCTCGTCGATCAAGACGCCGTAGTCGTGCGAGATGTTCTTGGTGATATCGGAGACTGCGGATTGGGGGATCGAGTGTCAGCAGCGACCAGGAGCCACCGGAGCAGTGCCACCACCCAAACAGAGATAGATGCATCTGGCTGGCGATCGGGAGCGCATCAAGACCACATCGAGACCGCACATACAACCGGGGACCAGCAGCCGGTCCGAGACCACAGCCCGGGTCATGCGCGTCCTGCTTTCCTCATGGGCCGACTTTCGATATCGCATACTGGGTGGCCGTGGCCGTGGCAGGCATGGGGTCGCAGATCCCCTCCGGCCTTCCTCGCCGCCAGACATAGCCCGTCCTCGGACCACTTACTCAGAGGGATCTTGAGATCGCCGAGACCACCCTCCTTGCGGGGCTGGTTGATCCAGGCCAGGTGAGAGAACTTGGAGTCGACCGAGGCGCCGACGACCTCAGAGCCCAGGGCACGGAACTCCTCGATGCGCTCGCTGAAGGCAATGATCTCGGTGGGGCAGCTGGGGGGAAAGGACGAGCGCAAACAGGCACCGATTCGTCAGCGAAAAGCAGTGTTTGCGTCGCTCCGGGAGCTGCCTTGGTCCCTCAAATCCAGCAAAAGCAACAGTCATCTCAGGCGACCTGGTATCGTGCCGAGGATCGTGCCGTGGATCGTATATGCTGCGATTGCATTCCTTAGCAGCCACACCGGCCCTACTACTCACACGAAGGTGACTGTGTTTGTCGCCGACACAAGCAATTTGAATCGTAGAGTCCAGCGACAGCGGTATTGCGGACAGAGCCAGACGGTCAGCATGATCCATGGCCCTGAAATGACATGAATCCGGATATAGCCATCCGACCACCGCGGGATGGCTGCGATACTTACAATCGAGGGGGTAAAAGAACAGAACAAGCCTGTGTCCCCATAGCCAAACAGCAAGTGGTCAGTACGAGGTTGTAGGTCATCTCGCATCTTTCCGATGGATCGGCTTGCCTTTGGAACAGTGCATCGTCTCTGCGGTATGATGGCACAGGGACCTCTGTACCTATCCTGATACTCAACACTGCCCATTCATCCAGCGTGGCACCTACCACTTGCCCTTGTAGTCATCCGATGAGATGGTCTTGAACTGCTTGTTCTCGACGGCAGGGGCAGCCCAGGAGGGAGCCGGTTTCTGGGAACAGCAGATCAAGAATGGCGTCAGAGCGGGAGGGCCATAGCCAAGATCGGGATGGGACCACGGACCAGATCTCCAGAGGATCGGAGATGATGCGCCATATCATAGGATATGCTCGATCCCGACATTGATTTGCCGTTTGATGTGATATCGCCGCGGCTAAAGCCGTCTTGGGCGGGGATCGCATTGATCTGTCTCTGGTCCGCTCTTGATCTGTGCTGGAGGGGAAATGCTACGCCGGTGCGTGCTACGAGTACCCCCGCCTTTCGGCACGGCCTTGGCTGCTACTATATCCTTCGTTGTGGCAGATCGAGAGCCCGCCTTCTCTCATCCGAGGTCTGCGTCCACCAGCCGCTCCATGGGCACAGCCACCAACTTACCAACACACGGGCAAAGTGGTGGGCGGCAACGGCAGACGAGGCAAAGGTGCGGGCGCTGCAGGCATACTTGGGAGCCACAGCCAGTCGGCTGGCGGTAGCAGCAGCAGCGCCGCGGAGAGTCATCAACGAGCGAGCAAACATGGTGCAGGCGGGGATATGGGCGAGAGCGAGGGCGAGGGTGATCTGGGGATGGGCTCGGATGGATGGCTTGCTGATGATCTGCCAGCGGAAGGAGCCGCCGCGTGGCTTGGACGATGCGGAGCAACCATCCGCCCGCATTCGCCATCGCCGGGTCGAGTGCGGACCCACAATTGCAGGACGCAGGAGCCTCGGCAGGACCGGCTCGATGGGCCCACCTCACAGCGGATTGCCATGGGGGCGAGAGCTTGGCCACAGACGACGGCCCCAGGCGCCTGGCTCAAGGATCATGCATCGCGATGGTCGCCGTGTTCAGTGACTCATTTGGCAAGGCCATCACTCGTCGTATCGCTCGGGGCGCCACCCCTTCTTGGAGAAGATACTTCCCAGAAACCAGATGCTGCCATCAATCCAGGCATCGAGCACCGCCCTCATGCATCCAGCCCTCGACTACAGTCTCGCCAGCTGGTCCAGATCGCCACGCGCGACAATCTCGAAACCACACTCTGCCATCGTCTGGAAGAGCCCCGCATAGGTCTTGCCGAGCGGGGAGCTGGACTGGCCGATCTTGATTCTTGCAGCGATGCCCTGGAGAATCACGGCCGTCTATGCGGTGCAGGAGCGTCCCTCGATAAGTCAAAGTACCTGCATTCCCCTGCTGCATCATCCCTCGTATCGCACATTGCACATCCCAACCAGAGCCAAATGATCCACCAAGCAGCCGGTGTATAGACACCGGCTGCGACTACTCACCCTGAAGAACGCAAAGGCGATGCAAAAGTCCCATCGTGGAATCGGATACGGCCGGCCGGCCATCTGACAGTAGTACTGAATCAGCTCCTCGGCCTCCGGGATCGCCATGGGTCGCTTTGCATTGCGGATGCCCATGATGGAGTTGTAGCCGTCTCCGGGAGCATACCAAGGGAGAAGCAGGTTGGCCAGGTCGGCGAGCGGGTGTCCGATCGAGGATCTGCGAATCCACACCGGACCGCACCGTTATTGAATGAGCATCAGATGTGTAAACTGACGGCTTCGTTGCAGCCAAGCGCTGACGACTGAACTGCACAGGGCAGGACCGAGACGGACCGAGACGGACAGTACTTACAGCTCCCAATCCAGGATACCAATGACGTTTTCGTTCCGCTGGTGGAAGACCTGCATGGCCATTGAGCAATGGGTGTCAGCCAGCCCGCGAATCTCTATCGAATAAGGACACCGTCGAATACTTTTACCATCCCGGTGCTGGCGCACCCTGCCACAACACCACGCAATCACATCGGTCCACGATAGTAATCAAATCGATCCATCGGCCGAGCCAAACGCATTAGCCTACCACATTGTTGAGCTTGAAGTCGCCGTGCATCAACGTAACCTCATCGCGGACCTGGTTGCGTTTGAACCAGGCAAGGATCTCGGCGATGCCCTTGATCTCGCCAACGCTGTCACCGCTCGAATCCTTGACAGCGGCCTGGGCTTGCGAAACCCGATAGAGACTCTCGATTTGGCGGGTGTAGAACCCGCCGTGCTTGCCGTAGCTCTCGAGGCCGACGGCGACAATGTCGGTCTTGTGCAGCTTGGCAAGCGTGCGCACAACCGACCGGAGGCTGCAATGGCAAAGGAAGAGTGTGCCGTGCATCATCTGTCAGCACCACTCCCTGCCCGAGACGAGACCAGGCTTTCGAGGAGTCGGCCTGCCAAACTGCCAAACTGCCTAACTACTTGCTTGCTTCGGCGGATACCGGCCCCATCCACAACGGGATACATACTGGCGATACGGCGCGTACGGTTGAAGATCTCTTAAGAGGTTGTCATCGAAGATCCTTCCATCGAGAAACTCCATGACCTGATTGATTGCGGCGATTATGCATGAGTGCATGGGCATCTCGGCGAAATGACCGGCTCTGGACACACGCGCGAATACCCAGGGTACTGCGATGATCGAATCCCCCGTCATGGAGGTGGAGAGGCGACGAAACCATCTCGCCGGAACAGGTGGCTCGTTCGGAGGCAAGCAGACTATCCGCATCCAGCACCACATACATAGAACGGCGTGCCCAAGACAGCAGGATCCTCGCAGAGCACGTAGACCTTGGGCACAGGGACGTCGGTCTTGGTGCCGAGAGCATGCAGAATGCGGTATTCCCGCTCGACCGCATGCGCCGTTTTTGAAATGAGCTTTCCCGGCGGCTTCTTGCGAAGGACCCAGCGCGAGCCTCTGTCCGAGGTGGCATCAGAAACCGATGAGAATGCAGGTCGTCTGGGCTGCGTGGGTGAGCCAGGGCAGCAAGGACGGATCTGATGGCCGACCAAGTAGATGCAGGACGGCGGGCGATCGATCCAACGGAGCACGAAGAGCACATGCAGATCGATAACGGTGTCGCTCGTCCATAGGCATCAGCCCTGCGATATCGGCGGCCTGCACAAGAGAGATGTCCTTCCGAGACGGACGCACCTGGCGTCCTTCAGAAAATAGGTCGGGTTGCTTTCGCCCAACTTGAACTGACGGATATCGAGCGGCGGCTGGAGTTTGAGAGTCTTGACGCCGGACAGAAAGGACTCGAGCCTGGTGACATCGAGCTCCATGCTTCAGAACAAAGAGGCAGTCCTGGTCAGCATATGGCGAGGGGAACTGTTGTCTGATGGCATTGCATGTGAGCTGGGTAGCGACGAGCCCGACCGATCGCCGAGCACATGCAGCGGCGCTGTGTGCATTCCCGGCTGCAACACACCCTTTGCGGACGCTGCTGGTCGTCTGGCCGTCTTCGGTAGGACCTCGCTGTGGTGAAGTCATGGTGGATGAGGGGGGGGGAGCAATCGGCTGGAGGACGGGGCTTGACGGCCGGCTCCGATTTTATATCTCCTCTGCGCTCGCGGTTGTGCTTGGTTGCATGTGAATCGCCCCCCCGGTGGCATGGGTCTCTGGCCAGCTGCCGTTCTGGCTGATGTCGCCTGTCCTTGCGCTGCTCCTTCCCCCAATCCAGCGCCGGCATCAGACCCTGGCGTCGGTTGCATCGCGAGGACATGTCAGAGATACTGCACGGCCTGTGAGAACGCACCGCTCAGCATCCGCATGCTTGGAGGGAATGCAACATCGCTCGCCTCAATCGGTTGAACTCAGCAACCGCCCATGCTAAACAACAATGAATGGCAACATCATCTCTCCGTGCACTCCCTTCCCCCTTCGACTCGGCTTGCAAATGCTTTGCCTCCCTCGCGCCAAAGCTCGAGGACGGACTGGTCATTGGTGCTCCCTCTCTCCCCGATTTTGGCGGGTCAATATTTGTCTCTCCCGGGCTCGAACATGCCAACTTCCCGCTCAGCGAAACGGAGAAACCGGCTGTCTCCGCCCGCCCGAGGTGCTGGCAGCTCACCATGCGCTACCGCCCGAGCGCAAGAATGCCTCTCTGAGCTGCTGGGCCCGCCCTCCGAACACTGGCGCCGCGCAAGGACTACTTATCGGGCCAGGCTCTCCCCTCGCCTGCCGGCATGAAATCGGATTTGTTTCCACTCACGACCACCACCCACCCACCTTCGATTGTGGACTTAGGGACCCTTCCCCCTGGACACTGCCGTACCCACAATCAGCAGACTCGAAAGCGAACCAGCCGACGCCATGTTGTCAGCATTTTGGATATCACTGATGGCGAGCATCCTGTGCCATGGCATATATGCCGCTCCCGTGCTCGGAGAGGTAAGGCTCCAGGGATTCTGTTGTACTCGATAGGCCCTGTGCGCTCTCGGCACCAAGTTGCGTCGCTGCAGCCATGATCACTCGGCCGGGCAATGTACTGACCGTCAGCCTCTCTCGATCCTTGCTTTGGCAGCACCAAATGAACACTGCGGCCACCGGGTGGCAAATCTGCCAGTCCGTGGGATTCTGCATTGCCGATGTTCATACTCAGAATGTAGGCCTCTGATATAGCTCTGCTTACGATAGTCGATTGTATTGAAAGTCTTCTTCGCATCCTGATATCGTCGGTGGAGCCACCGAGTCCTTTCAGCATCGATCCAGCCGGGCTGATCAAAGCAGGGCTTGGCCGCATTCTTGCATTGACCTTCATCCCTCCCTCCATCTATCTATCTCTCCATCCATCTCTCCATCCTCCATCTCCATCCATCTCCATCTACCTCATCGCATCCACCAACAGTACTGCTGGGATGACCTATCGTATCTCCTAGCGCATCCGCCCGCCAAGAGCTGGCAGGACCAACCCAAGTACTGCACGCAGTGCAACCGCCTCATTATCGAGTACTTCAACTCCACCACCAGTGGCAGCCCATCCAACACCCCATACTTTAGCGTTGGTGGTCTCAAACACAACCTTGATCAGCATTGCGGCCAAGGCTTCCTCTCGACCGGCACAATCACCCAGCCGGGCAAGCTGAAGGGCCACACTGTTTCGGATAGCGATATCTTTATCTCGTTTGACTCGCCGGTGCCCCGCCGCCACTCGACAGTCCAGAAACCCTCCCGATCCCTAAGCCATCCGACCGCGCACCCGTCCATGATCTAAAGAGGATTGAGCGGGTTCTCCTATTTTCCTTCTGGAAGAGTGGGCATCCGGCCATGATCCCAGCCGACTCGGTAGTCGTTGCAACCATGCTTATGCCTGCTTCCTCTTGCTTGACAATATGTACAAACCATGGCAATACAGTCAGTCCAGAGAGAAACGGGACAATCACTTTCTGGCATCGGATGTCTGAAGCCCGGTGAACTTCCATAGGCTCCAGTGAGCAAGCCCGTGCGGTTGTTTCTCGTCCTTAAACTTGGTCGATCTCATGTGATCGATTGATGCTAATGTCTCGATGTGTGAGTGTGGTGCATGCACTCGATGAGGGAGTGGAATGTATTCACTCGACTCTCTGTACAGCTCCATGGCGTATCGATATCAAGATACTCGACTTTCGCGAGTCGCTTGGCTTCCAGGCACTTTGAGCGCACCTGGGATGTGTTGAACTCGTTCACCGAGCACACATGGCCGTCTCTGGTGGTAGATGAATTGCTCAAAGTATTTGGCGAACCTGAGACTCCGTGGGCTGGATGCATGTCCCTTCCCCTGTTTCCAGGATGCATTCCCAAAGGCAATCACCACCTCAGTCTCCTTGGACACGATTGAACCATGATTGCAATGAGTGGGTGGGTGTACTCGGGTCTCAGCAAACAACATCAGTCCTTACTAAACGGGATGTCACGGCTGCTTGTTTGGGGTACTCGTTAGTGGATCTCCTCAATATGCAATGCCATTACAGCGTTTCCAAAATGAAATTGGACACCCCCGTTTTTAACCAGGACAAGGTTTTTTTCTGGAACCTGAATACACCACCCACTCATCACATTCACGGCCAAGCACAGCACCATCTTGATATCGAGAAACCACACTTTGTCCGGAGCTGTGCAAGCTGCACCACACTCACACATCGAGACATCAATGCCTCACGGAACATGATCTCGGTATGCCAGTCGATCATCGCCACAGGAGATCGACCGAGCGTATTCAAGACTGTGCTTCCCAAACCAACCAAAACCACTCGATTGCCAACCAGGACGGGAAGCAATCTCACGGCTTGCCCACTGGGCCTACAGTCAGTCAGCGGGTTTCAGAAGCCAGGAAGGGGAAGTGTCCCGTTTCTTTCTGGACCGACTGTAAGATGTAGTCTTACCGTGTCTCATCATGATGGGAATATCCATTCCCATCCAAGGAAGTAGTGTGTCTTCGTTTCATTTTGGAAGCGTCGTTGCCAAACACGGCACCAGACCCACTGTGTTTGGGCCGATGGTCTATGATGTATATTTCTGCTGTCGCACAGAATGCACATAACCATGGGTCCCGATGCCTGTCGATACTGGTCTCAATCTTTGCGAGGCGCCACTTGGCGATGCTGCAGACCAACCTAAAACAGAGTAGCAACATTCAAAATGTATTCGAATTATCCTATGAGAGGATTTACAACTTTTACAACTCTACAACGAGCTTTGCAACAAATGACGTCGGTGGCCGATGGGGCGTGGATGGATAGAGGCTGCGAGTGAACGATGGGATGTTGGAGCGGAGACAGAACTGGCGGGGAGGGAAGGACGGAGATTGGGGTGCGACGGCATCAAGATTTGATGAATCAGACAACGAGTAGGCTATACAACCGCGGCCGGCATAGAAGGAAAGAAAGAGCAGGGGGGGGGCATAAAAACAATAGAAGCTGGCAATGGACACATGTGTGGCGAGGTGGTGAGAATAATCGACATCGCAGTAATGGCTTGGCTTCAATCTAGCGGGTCGGCTGAGCGGGATGGGTGGGAGCCGTGAAAGGATACCGCCATGCATGTCTCGAGCGATCCAAACGGACCGCCAAATCAAGTCTACAGGAGCCACCGATGCGGATCACCAAGGCAAGCCATCGAGGACGCAGCACATAGAGCGACGGCAGGTCATAGAACGGCGACAGGCCGTGGGAACGGGTGCGGATCACACAGCCGCGGGTCGCAGGGGACTCTCGAGTGCGGAATCGTGCTCGGTGTTTTCGAGGTCGTGCAGGAGCTCTCTGGTCATTTCGGGCTCAACTAGAGAGCGACGGCTCTTGAGGCGATCAATCGAGGCTCTCGTGAACAGCAGAGGCGACTCGATCGTGGTTTCGATCTTCTGGAGCATCAGGGCGGGATACTTTGTCATGGACACACGCACGGTCTCGACAGAGGCCAGCGACGACATGGACTGGTACGAGCTCGCCATGTCCGGCACAGACCGGGCCGTGGACAGAGGCGATTCTGTGATTTGGGTCTTTTGGTTCGCAGGCGAGGCTGAGCGGAAGTTGGAGGCGTCCTCCATCATAATGCTGTGGGTGTTGGAGAGTGCCTTGGGCGGCATCGAGACAATCCGCTCGCCGTTGCGGGCGGCGCCAGGAGCGAACGGGGGCTCTTCGGGATACATTCGCTGTTGGTTCTTGCGGTCGCGTTGGGTGCGTCGCAAGACAACTGCGGCCAGGCCACCGCTGGCGAGGACACAGGCTCCGACAATCAGGCCGATGGTGGTGGGAGCGAGTCCAGAGCTACCGGATTCGACCGAGGGCGTGCCTGCAGTCGTTGGAAGTGAGGGAGCGTTGGAGGCCGATGGAGCGTCTGGGGTTTGTGGGCGGGCGACCAGGGTCGGTTGCGCAACCGAGATGGGCGCGGCGGTGCCGAGGACGAGGTTGACGTTGGTCGAAGTGGACTGGGTCGAGCATTGTTCCTGGCGGCGCAGACAAGTGGTGATGGTTGCGATGGCCTCCCAAGTACCCGGCTGTAGCGATGGAGCCGAGAGCACGGCCGAGCAGGAGGTTGAGAAGAAACAGGCCCGGTTGGGCCCGTCACCGGAGCACTGGGCCTGGCCGGGCGTTGCGTTGTTACAGAGCACCACGGGCTGGGACGAGCCGCTGGCCTGGAGCGCAAAGGAGGCGTTGAACGGGGCGGCGCCTCCGGGACCCCAGGCGGCAAAGATGCCCTCGCCTCCTCTGGGTGAGAAGGTGGTGTTGAGCTGAAGGGTCTCGGTGCTGCCTATTGCCCAGGCATCGCTGTTGGCAGCGGTCAAGGCGAGAGTCGGCTGGACTGTTTGATGGAACGGGATTGGGTTTGGAAGGAGGGGGGTTGGTCGTGGGATGCGGTGCAGCGGTTGTGTGGACAGATGATGCCGTGGTTGATTGGTGAGACGAACATGACATGAATGCGCTGAGGCAGTGCCCGGTGACGTCGCTTCCAAGGCCACACATGTCCAGCCAAGGTACACACGAGCCCGACGCCGGGGCGATCACACAGATGGCAACTTACACTGGGCAGCAGCGCCGGTGGCCCCGAGGACGAGCACCGCCAGCGCTGCGAGTTGGTGCTGTCGGGCGGTCATGGAAGGGCGCACGTTGGACACGCAGACGGATGCGATGAGAAGCGAGGCGACGAAAAGCAGAGGACCGATGGGAGCGGGGGGCTGGCTCGCTTTTGAGCTTCCTCCTCCTGCAGAACGCCGATGACCAAGGCGGTTGGTGCTTTCCCACCGCGTCTCGGGCTTGTTGCGCGTGGGGCAACAGCAAGGCGAGGACGGCCGCAGGAAGGACACCGGGCCTGGACACAGGATCATGCCGGTGGGTACTTGTCCTGTGTCAACAGAGCTGGATCAGCCAACGTTTTTTTTTTCCTTTGGGCTGGCGGGGGCAGCAGACGCTTGTTCCTGTCGATGCTGAGCGGGCAGCCTCTGCTGCAGCCAGTACTTCGTGGCGACAACGTTTCATGGGCCGCCTTGTCTCGCGATCGGGCATGGGCCCTCCTGTCAAGCGCTCCTTGGTCCGTGGGAACAACAGCACACGCAAACAAAAGCGGCACCTTCGGGTCGGGCCGCCGCCGAGTGGTCGCTTCGCTCTGGTCTGTGCGCGTCCAAGGGCCAGCCCTGAGAGCCACCAGCGTCGCACCCGCCCACCTCACCGGATTTCTGTCCCTGGCAGCAAGGGCCGCACCGGCACCTTGAGATGGCGCTGCCCCCCGCGACAAAAGTTGTGGTTGGAAGGATGCGCTGCGTGCTGGTGGATGCTGGCGTGGCCGACTGGGGACCGGCGGGCTGCACCGCAACCCAGTGGATTTGTTTGGCAAACACAGCAGTCCGCCGACCAGTCGGGCTGGTCGATGTGCGAGCATGGTTGGTGCCAGCGCGAGCCGGGCAGCGGAGAGCACTTGACCACATTGTGGCTCGGTGGTGGATGCTGAAGAGCAAAGGGTGTGCTGGACAGGCCGGATGGTGCAGTCCCCATTCCTGCGATGCTGGGCGGGTGGAGGGAGAGTTGCTTCTCGAGATGCGGTATTGGTTGTGCAATATTGGTTGTGCACTATTGGTAGTGCAGTATTGGTTGTGCAGAACAGAGCGATATCACTTGTGCAGAGTCGGCGGCATCGCAATCGTCCAGACCGGAACTCGGCAGATTCGGCTCAGAGCGTGCGGATCCATCGAGACAGCCCAACGAGCCCGGCGCCGAGGACGATCCACTTGCCCAATGCCCATGTCCATATCGACCGGAGCTGTTCCTCGCTGCCGGCAAAGATGAAAAACCATCGCAGCATTGGCCGAGACACTTGCAGCACGCCTGGGGCAATCTCCTTCACATGGCCGATCACAACCACTGGCGCCCCATGCCGAATGACGGCCTCGTCCACCTGCGGGATTGTCCCGTGGAGGGGAAAGCAGCAAGACCGTGAGCAGATGACCGACTTGGACCGTCACCACCACCACCAGTGCCGCCATTCGCAACCGATGATCCGAGTTCTCCCTCTGGGCCTCATCGCATGGGCTCACCTGGCTGCTGCTGACGACGCTCTCCAGAAGCATATCGGCACCTTCGGTGATCACCAGGACCCGCGAATCGTCCGAAAGCTGTACAGCCCAAGGGATCTCTCGGCATTCTTGCGTAAACTCCTGCAACAGATACGCCGCCGTTAGCACAGATATGCGTGCTGGATATTGCCAAGAAGGGCTGTCCAGGTACGGATCTGCAGCAGTTGCTCGTTTGGAGGAGGGAGGCGGATCTCCATCGTTTGCGCGATCCAGGAATAGATCCATATCACTTATCGAGTCCAAAGACGCTTCTCCACAGGCTTCGTCGCCATACACACCTCGGTGGTGTGCTGCTCCTTGGCAGCAAGCGTTCGGGGCTTGCGGGCAAACGGCAGCCAGCCCCCAAGACGGGCCTGTCGGGTCCGCAGAGAGCGAACCGAGGCCGTTCTTGCATAGACGCACTTGAGGCCCGAGGCCCCGGCGCTGATGACCGAGCCGGGGTTGACTGCACGGGCCGTGCCGAGCAACTTCATGTGGCATCCAGAGAAGAGATACTTTGTCGATGCACCACGGATGTGCTCGAGGCACTCTGGCAGCGACCGGCCTGGTGGTGTTGCTGCCAGCCTATAGCGCTTGAGGCCGTATTTGTATGTGCCGTAGACCAGACAGGCGAGACCACCAGCGACGCAGACGCCGGACAGGATGTTCTTGAGCGGCTCCATGGCGGCTATTGTCGGGACCGAGGAGCCAAAGCCGAGATCGCGTTGGGCCGGGGTGTGATGGAGACCGACCAGGACAACGTTGGCCGCGACGGGTCATTTGCATGGCGGCCTGCGCTAGGGAGACAAGCGCAGTCGTTCGTGGTCGTTCGTGGTCGTTCGTGGTCGTTCGCGGTCGTTCGCAGCAAGCCAGACGGCACATCCCGCCCGCTCACACCGTCCGCTCGCCATCCAGCAAAGCCTGTCCACGAATCCCTCGTCGGACATTACGTTTGCACAGCATTACTTACGGCCTCTTCGCTCCTTCCACCCCTCCGCCCAGTCCCCCTTCGGCACAGCCCTTTCCACCCACGCACACAGCCCATCCTGCGCTCTACATCGGCCAGCATCCCGCATCCATCGCTGGTGTGATCGCAGCCGCGGATGTAATCGCAAATGCAATCGCAGCTGCTGGTCCACGGCCGTTGGTCGAGCAAGCCCATTCGCTCCCATGTTCTCCCCAACCACAACATCGACAGCGCCCGCAGCACCGCCCAAGGCCCGTGGGGCTGCAGTCACCCGCGTCGCCCACCGCGCCGCCTGCTCGCGGGCATTGCCAAATGCGTCGCTCGCCAAGGGCAGCTTCGTCGCCGGACAAGCGCAGACGACCCTGTGTCCCCAACAAACGCCTCTGTGTCGCCTTAACGCCCGTGACTGGCGCTTGTTGGCTCCTCGCCACGGCTTGTCGTTCGTCACAGCTCCATCGCCATGCAGACCAGGTCGTCTCCATATCTGTCGGCCTGCCTCTCCCCCTTCTTTCTCCCTGCGTCCACCTCGGCTGGCTGGCCGGGCTTGCTGTCAAGATTCTATCCGTCGTTTGCGACCCTGTTTATCTATCTATTGTGTGTCTGTCTCGATTCTATCCATCGGCCCAACCCAACTCTGCTCGACTCGATCGGCCCAAATCAACTCGATCGACTCATCGCGCATTTCATCGGCCCTATTGACTCGCTCGCACTCTATCGACTTGCACTCTATCGATCCGCACTCTATCGATCCGCTCTCGGCCAAGCTCCCTAATATCGGCTCCACTGCTCATCCCGCTCGCTGTCTGGACTCTATCATCGCGTTCCGTCGCTGACTCCGTCTGCAACCGCCGTGACGCTGTCGGCATCCGCTCTCCTTCCGCCGCAACACCCGCCCTGCGCCCTTTCCTGCCGTCCCCGCTCTCGGCATCTGGCCTCTCGACTTTGTCCATTCGCAGTTCGCCGATCTGATTCTGGCTCGCAACATACCCAGCTCTCGGCTCACCACCCAGCCGCCCACAACTTTCCCAAGCGTCCCCTGCTCAACTCGCTTCGCGCCATCGGATATGTGGCTACTTGTCGTATTGGTGCTTTGCTCCTGGAGCTGCAGTGCCCTTGCTCAGAGTAAGCAACTCTGCCGGGACGATCGCCGCCTCTTCCGCTGCCTGAGTCGCTCGGTCTCATCAACCCCGCATCTCCATACGGCAACTGTTTTGGGCTTCTCTGGCTCGTGACTGCTGTTGTTGGATCTCGCTCCGTTGACTCACCATGGCCGTCTCTCGACCGTTGCTTCCCTTCTCGATCCCAGGTGTGCTCACCCTCACTGCATCCAACAGCGGCAGCGGCTGGCAAATCGGGTCGCTGCAGACCCTTGTGCTGCAGGTTGCCGATTTCGACCCCAGCCACAACATGAGCACCACCTTCAATCTCCAGAACCCCCAGTCGGGCCAGGTCATCATTCTGTGCGACTCGATCCCGTTGGCTGTCCCTGCATCATGCACCACGGCACCGTGCTCCTCCTCGTGTGCATGCTCGGCCTCCCTCAGCAGCAGCGGCCTGGCTCCGGGCAACTGGACTGCCATCGCCGCCTCCAAGGAATGCAACCCACAACTGGCCAGCTGCTCCTACTCCAACTCTCTTGTCAGCATCGTGCTCACCACCGCCGGTCCAGTCCCGGTCCCGGCACCTCCGGCAACAGCGCCCATTCCCGCAACAACCGTACATGGCCCCGGCCCGACGCAGGAGCCTGCTCAATCGCCATCGTCTTTGCCGTCACCGCTGGCTCCGGCTTCGGGATCCTCCTTCGACGGCACCAAGATCGGACTCATAGTCGGCGCATGTCTGCTCGCCAGCGGCGGCGGCGCTGCTCTCCTCCTTCGCAAAACGCATCTTGGCTGGCAGGGCCGAGCCCACCAGCGCATGAGCAAAGACTCGACCCGGGATCTCAACCAACCCGATCGCTCGGCGGACCCGTACAGCGCCGGCACCCGTCGGCTCATTGACGGCCGTGCCGAGAGCTTTAGTTCCCACATCAGTCCCAGCCTCCACGAAGCCACCCTGCATGACATGCCAGAGCTCCCGCCGCACCTCCGGCCCCCACAGCAGCCACCGTTTCCGCAGGCCAAAGATTCCTTCATCCCTCCTCCACGGCCAATGGATATCGAGCTCGTGTCATTCCCCACACCACCAACCCGATCGGTGCCGCCGCAGACGCAGCTGGATCCGCCGGTCGATGCTGAGCTTCAGGCGCTGCCGCCTCATCACCAGCGCCTCTCGGGTCTGCCGGGTCTGGCTCATCCTCCATCTGCCGTTCACAGCGGCTCCAAGCGGGTACGATCGGCACTGCAACGGGCATCCACCGCACCGCGGTCAAGCGCTGTCGTCGAGATGGTTCGGGTGTCGTCGACGCTGACCCCAGTCGAGCTCCTGGATAAGGTCGAGTCCAAGGTCGAGGCCGTCGAAGCGACCGCAGCCCTCTCCCCGATTACACCGATCTACCGCCGCAGCACCGCTCCTGTCTCGCACCAGTCCCTCGACAAAGTCATGTCCGAGCTGCTGGTCGAGTCCAATGCGCCGGGTGACGAGCCCACTGTGCGCCCGGGCAACAATGCATATGTCAATCGGCCCATGAACGTTGCCCAGCCCGAGGATGCCGTCTTTACCGCAAAGCCATACGCCTCAAAGCCGCGCAAGCCCAAGCCTGCGCTCCCGCGGATCATCACCGATCCGCGGCTCATGGAAATGGGACGGATTGCGCATTTTCGAGAGGCAACACTGCGCGAGTTTACCGACGGGCGTATCTAGATCGGGAGCTCCGATTTCCACCTTGCAACAGCCATCGAAATGAAGGCCTTGCACCAACCCCCCCCCTTTGCCTGGACTGATGCGCCAGTCCCTCCCTGTTGCTTGATGTGATAACCGTGCAAAAGTAGGCTCTCTGCGGCCGGCTCAGACCATCGCTATTCCCTCGGCCGTCATGCCCAAGTCGGCCCGGCCCTTCAGCTCAAGCTCCTTCTCCTTAGAAACCAGACCGCCGAATGTATTTAGATGTGCTGGTGATGCTGTGTTGTAACTTTGATAGACGTTCATGTGGGCGCGCCCCGTCCACCTTCTGTGCTATGGCATTTGTCGCTGGTATTCCCACTTCCCCACTCACTTTCCTTCCGTGTCGTCTCGGCCCCCACCCAGCCTCTCGCTGGCTACTCTGCGCTGCCTCCTCGCCGATTGAACCCACATCCCTTGTGGAATACCATAGCAATATCCAATTCTGTCCCGAGTTTCTCTGCTGACTTGAGATTATCTGTCGTGTCGGAGTAGATTCAAGGAGCCGGACAGGCCTGTACGAGCGGACCGGAGCAAGCGAGTGGGTCGGATCAAGTTGCGCATAGATTGCATCCAGCGGTCTGTCTACGCGACCCGGGTGTTGCGGCGTTGCAACGGGAGGAGCTGGGCGGATTTTTCGTCCATGATGGCCTTGACTTTGTCGTAGTCGTCGTCGATGATGGCGTAGTAGAAGGTGTGTCTGAACTGCCCCTTGTAGAACATGTGCTTTCGGAAGGTGCCTTCGTAGATGAAGCCGGCGCTGAGGGCGGCGGCCTTGCTGGCCTCGTTCAGGTGGTGGGTCTGGCGGGCCGCGGATGACGGAGCCAGGAAGGCGATTGCACAGGGATTGCCGATCATGATCGAGCCGAGAGAAGATGAGTCAGCGACCCAGACCCAGATCCAGTGAGTCAACGGCAGGCGCGGCGACAGGTGAGTCGATTCCCCCCCTGGACATGCCGCATGCGGCGCAGATGAGTCAACAACGGGACATCCGACTCTGTTGCCTCGGCGGCTGGTGATCTGGGCGCCGTGCCAGCACTTATCGGCAGCGCCGACGGCGATGCAGTCCGGGAGATTGTGCTCGTGGGATGCACCAGAGCCATGACCCAACGGCCAACCTCTGCCAACGCCCTCGGCGGCCAACCTTTGACGAAGCCCTGCAGTCAACCGCACCGATGGTGCGATCGTTACCTTCCACTCAATCCGGACGAAGCCTTGGTCCATGGCATATCGCATCAGCAGGTGGGTGGCCTCCAGCGCCACCTTCTGGCCCTGGTAGGGTCCAGCGGTCCAGATCTGGCCGATCTCGATGGTTTTGTAGGCAGCCTGCAGGCTCAGGTAGCATATGAGACCGACGACGCTGTTGTTGGCCCTGTCGCGGATGACAAAGGGCAGCCGGGTCGGGTTGTGGGTCCAGTTTTCGAGCAGGAGGGTGTTGCGGAAGATGTCGTGGGTCTCTGGAGCATCAAAGGGCATCAGGGCATAAAGATCCTCGTCGAGACACGAGTATTGGTGCATCAGCACCGAGTCCTCGACGGGGACCGACTCGTCAAAGGGGACCAGCACCAGGCGCTTGCCCTCGATGACGGCGGCGGGGATGTCCTTGCAAGCACCCGAGTACGAGGTGTATGGACGGGTCGAATAGACAAACATGGCGGGGGAGGAAGAGTCGGGATCAACGGGATGAGGGGACAGAGCAGCAAGACAGAGCAGCAGCAAGACATCAGAGCGAGGCAGGCGTTCCTTTTCATCGTCTTGGATGCTGCGCGTCGAGTCGCTGTGGTCATGCAATCGCTGCTGCGACGCACCCGCCCGATAGGCGAGTGTCGGCCGACAGGGATTGTGACGCTGCGGATATTGGCATGGAGGGCTGCGGGCTACTCTGCTCATGCGATGGAGCCCGTCGTCCTCCATCCTCAACAGGCCTTGGCTGCGACACCATTGACAAGCAATGACACGCCAAGACAGGTGCAGATCCAGCTCACCGCGGATGCTGATGCCCCCCGCAGGCGTGATGCCAGCTCATCGACGGCGTCTTGCTGGCACGCGGATCTCTCCGGCCCGACACATGCTTTAATGTTACGACGGCTCGCGGCCAGCCCGCCAGCCCATGCCTCGACCTCAACAGAAGGTTTGAGTCTGAGATGCGGCACCGATGCTGGAGTGAAGGCGGCGAGGCGGTTTCGGCGGGCCACCGAGCCCTGGCAGCGTCGCCTCCGGGTTTGATAATGGGAGGGACGCCGCGCCAAGCAGCGAGGATGCGGATTGGATGGTGCTGTGCTTGCTCAGTCAGCGATGCACGCAAGTGTCCGAAGCGGCGAGGGGCGTGTTGGGTGGTTGCGGGTGGCAGGTGGCAGGCCAACGGACATGCCGGCAGACAGACGCAATTGCAGGGCGCGAGCGAGTCATCGCGGACAGGCGCCTCGGCCCAGCCAGGTGGCAGGGCGGACGGACCAGTCGGCAGGGGTCGGCATCGGTCACGGCGCGTCACCGGCGGAACCACAGGTGAGGCCGGATGAGCAGGGGCCGGGTGTGTTTGCGCGGCGAGCGCGTCGGCTGGGCGCGGCGCGACGCACACGGACTGTGGGGCTGCGAGTGCACGCGACCCCCTGCGCTGACGGGTACGGGAGGCGGTAACGGACAGAGGCGCACCAACGCGAGGCGCGCCAGCGCGTCGACAGACACTGTGGCGGCCAGCAGCGACGTCGCCGCCACAAGCGCCGCACAAACGACACAGCAACCGCGGTCTGGACACAGCTGGCGGCCCACAGAGTCTGTCGAAGCCGGTGCGCTGGCTGGGGAGCACAGGACAGAGCATGCAGCGGCAGAGACAACGGCAGAGACAACGGCGGGGTGTGGTGGGTGTGGTGGATGCCGCGCTCGCCCGTGCGTCACACAGCATGTCAGCGCAGGCCAGCACAGAGCGACACAGCACAGCAGCACGCACACACACACTCGCCACACAGACTGTGCGCCGGCGGCTTGCCGCGCCCCACCGCGACGGCGCGCCCGGCAGGTGGGGGACCCAGTGACCCGCCGGGGCTCCAGTTGGTCCCTTCTGCGGCCTCTTACTTTTTTTCGCGTCGGGCTTGCGTCGGGCTTGCGTTTGCCTCCCGCACGGCTCTCCTGCGGCTCTCCGCGGTTATAACCCCTTCCTGGCGGCCTGCCCTTCCATCGGCACGCCCGTCTCTCGTCTCCTGGATCTGTCTGCCCTGTCCGAGCCGCCCCGCTCACCTTCGCCTCCCGTCTGGGTTGCCCCGCATAGGCCACCTCCTGCGCCTATTCTCGTTCCTTTCGTTTCGTTGTTGTGCTGTCCCGCTCGCTGTCTCGCGAGCACACTCCCCACAGCCCCCCCCGTCGCTGCCCGAACGAACAACAGCCGCTCCTTCGACAGCCCGACATCCACCTCTCCTCTCCTTTGCAAATACCCCCAAATCCTCTCTGGCCTCAACCCACCCTAGTTTTACTGTCCCGCCCTGCCCTTTCCTGTCCTGCACCGCTTTGTGCCCTCCACCATGCACGCCAAACAAGACCATCCTGCTCGCCAAAAACTCATGCGCTTCGTTCAGAAGTGCAAATCCTTTAATCAGACCATGCTTTTGAAAATCAAGGCCCTGGCCAAGCGCCAGGGCAATGACCACCACCGCGTCTCACCGCTGCCCAATATCCCTCATGTGCTTCCTCAACCCGAGGAGCAGCAACCGCAACTGCACTCGCAGCAACAGTCCCCCCGCTGCGGCTCGCCCTTTAGCGCCCCAGCTATCGTCGCCATTCCCGTCGCCAACGAAGCGCCGCATCAATGCGCTCCGGTCCTGGGATCTCCCCCTCCTTTCGAGGCCCCTGTCATCGGCCCGCCCGAAATCATTCGCACTTGTACGGTGATCTCCTCTCGCACCATGGTCAACCGTGCTACACAAGCACCGTCGTTCTTCGAGAACGTCAACATGCAGAGAACTGCCTCGATTGCCGAACACCGTAACACTGCGGTTCACGAGCAGTTGAGCATGTTCACTGAATCGTATCACAAGGTAAGACCCTGCGGCTCCCACCCGCTCATCTCGCTCATCTCGCCCATCTCGCTCATCTTGCTGCACCTTTCGATCCATTTGGTTGTCCCGGTCGTGCTCCACCAAGTGTGGGTGCGTGTTGGGAGGGTCTCCCTCCGTATCGATCGGCTTTGACCTCTGCTAACTCGTCTTTGCTCACCTGCTCGACCCAGGCTATTTTGTCTATGTGCAAGACCGAATCCTGTCGCACATTTCTCTGCAATGATGCCCATGAGGCCATCAAGCCTGCCGGCAACAATAATAACAGCGCACGTAATTCTCTCGTGTCTAACCGCCTGTCGAGCAGAAATCTCGAAACCTACATTCTCGAAATGGTGGCCACGCCCTCGGTATGTAGCATAGTGCAGCCGAGCAGCCCGTCTGCCACCAGGGAGTGTCCGGTACTCAAAGGCTAATGGCGTTGTATCCGTGCCTTCTGCTACAGAACTGTGGAATCCAACTCGAGCGCCAAATCAGCGTCGTGGTTCATCCCTTCACTAATACAAAGGTAAGTCGGCTGGATCGCAGCTATACCTTGCCACTCGGCGCCTGTGACTGATCTCTCTCTCTCCTCGCAGCTTCCCCTTTCGCTCCTCCATGAGCTGAACACGAAAACAAGAAACTCCCTCTTGATCAAGCCCACACAATTGGCCGAGTCCTCATCGTACACCATGGTGAGTGTCGCCCCAAAGCGACCTGGCTGGCTTTTGGCTGGCATGCGATGATGTGGTTATCCTATTGTTGGATGTGGTTGCTGTTCCCTGACTGTGACCTCACCCCCGCTCTCGCCTCGACCGCCAGGCCCTTGTGTCCGTGCTCCGATCCATGCTCCAGGCTATGGAGCCCTCCGCATCTCTGCCCAGCACAAACGGGCTGAGCAAGAGCTTTGACAACTGCCGCGATCCGCAGTGGCTTACAAAGTCCAAGCAAATTGAATGCTGGGTAAGCCCTCACTATCGAAAGAGTGTATACGTGCGGGTGTGTGTATTATTTGGCGGCCGGCGTGGTCCTCTCGAGTCATGTCATGTCATTGTCATTATCATTGTTGCTAATGCTGATCCGTGTGTTGCAATCTTCAGGTGGCCAACGTTGTCAGCAGCCAACCGTATGAGGAGCCATTCCGAGCCAGCATCATCATCCAGTAGTCGCTTCCGGGTCCCCCCCCCCAGTTGCGCCAGCATATGGCCTGGCCCCTGGGAACCTGGCGACAGACCGGTTCTGTTGGCTCGGTATGCATCGACTCGTGCAGGCACTGCGACTCGTATTTATTGTAGCGAACTCTCCCCCCCCCCACGCCGCCATATGCACTTGGCGATAGCTCGCGAACTGCTTCTCTCCCGCTGCGATAGGGCTCCCCTATCCACTTGCGTTGATCGTGAGGCGCAGAAGCTGTTTGTATTTTCTTGCTCCCCCCCCCGCGAGTGTCTATCGCCTCCAACCCGTATTTATTACCTTAAATCCCACGCCCTCTCTCAACTGCATGCCCTCCCCGCCATCGGCATTTTTGACTCCCAATACAAAATGTTCTAACCAAAGCAATACACTGTTTTGCATGACCATGATGACCAGGGCCATGGCATGGCCGTGACGCGCGGTGCCTCACCCGCTGGCCAATGGCTGGCCAATGGGAGCGCCAGTCACCGGCCATGGCATGGCCATGTGCGCTGCTGAGCGCCCAAAATCGACCTTGGCCAGCCTGATATGGTGTGCGTGTGCGACGGATCGCGTGTGTGGTGTATGTGCTTGTGCGCGGCAAAGCGATATTGTTTACACGGCATTTGCGTGCGTTGTGCTGTCGATTGCCCCTGTGCTCTGCACGGCTTTGTCGGCTGTGGCTGTGCAGCACCGTCGAACGCACAGTGCCAAGCGCAGCGTCGAATGCTCAGCGTCGAATGCACATCGCAGTCAACGGGGCAACGTTCGAGCTGCCTGCAGCCGTTGTTCCGAGGCGTTGTCCGCGACGACCACCTTTGCCTGCTCGGCTCTCCTGAGACCAGCAAGCGTCCTCGCGAACCAGCGCCCTCTGAAACCAACATCGCATGTTCATGAGAGACCCGCTCGCGCGCCGTCGCTCCGCGCCTGGCCCCGTCCGCCACAAGAAGAGGGCCTGCACGCGCGACACATTCGCTGCAGAGCTCTTGTGAGCGGAGCGACCTTGTCCCTGGGCGCCCTCTCGCCCGCTGACCCGCCCCTTTCCTCTTTCGTGGCCTGCCTGCCGACTCATAAGCCTTCCTTCGCGGCCTCGTCCCTCGTCTGCTCGCCGTTCCTCAACGTCCTGCTCGAATCTGGTACGTCCCTTGGCCGCTCGCTGCTTTATTGCCCGTCGTCAGCTGCCTTCTATCGGGAGCATCTGCGTCTCGCGTCTGGCCTGGCCTCGCTGCCTCTGTCGGCGTCTCACCATCTGCCCGAATCCAATCGCCATTCCAGCCCTCCCCCCCCACCCGATTCCATCCAACTCCCCCGTTGGTCGATACAACTCTCACCAGTACCATGGACCCATCCGCTCGCCATGACTCTGGGGCCATCGCCGAGTCCCACGAAACTGTGCTGGCCCAGATTTCGACTGTCGAGCTGCTGGGCTCCGCGTACCAGTCTTACGGAAACCAGTACTCTTACCCCCAGTCCGGCATGTCGCTGCTCGATCTTGACCAAGCCGACGAGGCCGATGGTGCCGCTGTCGGCAGCAGCGAGCTCTCGCTGCGTGTCTCCGATGTCTCGATGGTGGATGATGCTCTCCAAATCCTGGCCAAGCCTTCGTCTCCCCCTCTCCTGCCCGACAGCAACAAGCACCCAGTCGCCGTTGCCCAGAACCTTTCCAGCGAGACCCTCTGCAGCTCCGATCTTGTCGAGTCTGCTCCTTCGGTTGCCTGCTCCGAGACCGAGCCATCCGATTTGCTCGAGCCTCTCGATGGCGAGGCTTCGGTCTCGGATCTCCCTCCCTCGATCCTGGTCGGCCTCTCGACTGCCGAGCTGCTCGGCGGTGGCTTCCGGAGCGACAGCTTCGCGTATCCCCGAGCCAGCGACTCGATTTCTCTTCTCGGTCTGCAGGACGTTTCCAAACCTGCCCATCCTGTCTCGATGTCCTGCTCGTCCGCCTCCTCGGCGGTATCCAGTCCTGTTCCCACGCCTGCCGCTCCGACCGAGCCTGTCGATGGCCTTGCTGCTGTCGCCATGCATCCTGCACAGCTCTCGCGGCTGGACGGCATCTCTACCGTTGAGCTGATGGGACCGGCCTACCAGAGCTTCGGCGGCTCGTTTGCCTATCCCAACCCGGGCACGCTCTCGCTCCTGGACTTGAGCCTCGACATCGATTCCAAACCCGATTCAGAGTCGGAAGAGCTCGCCGACGACTCAACCGTGGCTGTCGTCTCCCGGGTCTGTGACTTGTCGACGGTTGAGCTTTTGGGAAAATCCTACCAATCCTACGGCAACCAATTCTCGTATCCCCAGCCCGGAAGCCTCCCGTTGTTGAGCCTCGACCTGGACCTGAGCCTGAGCCTGGGAGCCATGTCTCCTGACCAGCCCGATGCCACCGAACTCGCTTGCGATGCTACTCCATCGCACAATCTCGCTCCCCGCGATCTCAGCAACGAACACGGCGAGCCTTCGCTTTGTGAGCCTCGGTCTTCTCTGCCCTCATCATCCGAGCTTGTCTCGGCGTCCTCTCCAAGCCTCCTTGCCAACGAATCGCTCATCCGCAACCTCTCTACGGTCGAGCTTCTTGGAGCTGCCTACCAGTCCTACGGATCGACCTATACCTATCCCCAACACGGTTCGCACTCGCTGCTTTCGATCGATCAGCTCGGCGATGTCGAGGTGCTTGATTCGACTGTCGAGGCCGCCCCAGAGCGACCAACTGTCCATGTGGCCATCGAAGAGCCCGACAGAGAGCTCGATTTGTCCACCGCGCCATCCTTCGAGCACAGCAATTTGCTCAAAAGCCCCGATTCGGATCTGAACCCGTCCCAGCTGCTCAACATCTCGACCGTCGAGCTCCTGGGTGCGGCCTATCGCTCCACCAACAGCTCCTTTGCCTATCCCAAGGCCGCCACCTCTGAAAGCATTCTCAATCTCGACCGCGCTCTGGGTGATGAGGCCGCTCTGGTTGCACCTGAGGCTGCCCCCGTCAGTGGCCCTGGCGCCACACTGCCGCCGAGTATCCACTCGGATACCTATCCTGTCCAAGCGATGCCAGATGAGCCTGCCAACCCACACTCCAAGATCCTCGATCTGTCCACCATCGAGCTCCTTGGTTCGCACTACCAAAGCTACGGAAACTCGTTCTCCTATCCTCAACCAGGCCAGTTCCCTCTGCTGGCTCTCGGAGCGGCCGCCGAGGCTCCAGCCGTGAGTGGAGTCGCGGACAGTGTCCACGACAGCGCCCTGGCACTTGGCGACCAGTCCTCGCAGCTACGCGGCAGCGAGGAGAGCATCGTCGACATCATCTCAAGCGAAGTGAACCTCAAAGCCGCCCCGGCTGCATCCGCCCCCAGTCCGAATCCCAGTCTGGGTCGCTTGGCGCTGGGCATGTCGACGATCGAGCTGCTTGGCCCCGCTTATCAGTCCTACGGGAGCCAGTTCAGCTACCCTCAAGCCGGTGCCTCGCTTTTGTCACTTGAGCCCAAGCCCCCCAAGAGTCCTTCCGCTGGCTCTGCTGTTTCAAAAGATAGACATGGCGGTGTCGATGCCGGAAAGACATACGAATCGCCATCCAAGGTCTGGTGGGCCAACCTGTACTCGATCGGACTCTCCAAGTTTCGGCAGCCGCTGAACTCGTCGCGGGTGACTCCGCTCCTGCGGGATGATGCGACTCTTACGCAGCTGAGCACGTATATGGACTCGGTCGACGGGCTGGAGAGCTCCGGAGACGACCTTTCGAACGACACATCCAAGACCCTCCCCATTCCCCTCAGTGGTCCACCGTCCCTCGGCGAGGACAAGAGCCAGTGTGCGGTGATGTGAGCACAGCCGACCACCCCGCTCTCTCCCATCCTTTTGGCTGTGACTTGAAGCGGACGCTATCTTGAGCGGAGATCGAGACCGTTCTCAAGTCGTGTTAGTATTTATTCCAACTGCAATGATTCTACTGCAATGATTCTACTACAATGAGTCGACTACAATGATTCGACTACAATGATTCGACTACAATGATTCGATATAGTCCCCCCCCCCAGCTTTTTTATTTGTGCTTTGCTCTGTAATCCCCCCTCCTCAGACAGTTGACCTCGAGGTAGTGACGGGTGGGCATATCTTGGAAGGACAATCACTGTTCTTGTCGCCCGCTCATACCCAAGAATATATCCTGCCGATTCCATTCCTCAGGCGGTATAGAGCCGGGTAAATCCAGCGGGGCCGGGCTGGAGCCTGTCGGATCGCAGTACACAGACACAGGTTAACATCGCATGTCTTGCAAGCACAAGTCATCCAGACATCAGAACGTTGCAGTGCAGATTGCTTGGGGAGACGGTTGGTGGATCGCCTATATCGCCCTGCAGCCGCCATCAATGCGGTCTCTCGCTCCTTCCATACTCGCTCAGGCTGCTCGTACCAGTTCCGTTCGTCATACAGACGAGTCCCCTCAATCATGTGGAAGGTGTAGATGAATCGGCTCTTGTCGGAAGTGTTATGGCCCGATTTGAGCTGGACCTGTCCATGAATGAGCACCAGGCTCCCTGAGGTCGCCGCCAGCGGAAGAATAAAATCAGCAAAAGCAAAAGATCAACTCGCTCCCATCAGTAGCCGCTCTCCACGATCCTTGGTTCCTGTCGCTATCGAGCGACGTTTGCATGAGAGGCCATGCCCTGGCTCTGATTCGTACCGGCTTTGGTTGGAGCACAGACATACTCCTCTGGACCAACGATTGCAGTGGTGTGGCCTGGGTTCGGGATGAAGGTGGTTCCGGATCCGTTTGGGTTTCGCACAAACCGCTGGGTGATGCCGCACTCTGTTGAGGAATCCATGTCAGTGTCGCGGGGGGCAGCGCCAGCGGAAGAGCCCGAGATGCGCACGAGGGCTTCCTCACAGCAGCAGCAGCAACTCGTCGGCAGCGACCAACGACATCGCATGAGCAGTATCGCAGTGCGACACCGATGCCAGGCCCAAATCAACCAAAAGACTTACTCTTGTGGCTGCCAGGGGCGAACCACATGCATCCATTCTCAGGCGTGCAGTCTTCCAGCGCAAACCAGCACCCCATGGCCGACGGAGGCTCGGTGTACAAAAACGTCGAGTCTTGGTGCGGAGGAACTGTCGGTGTTGTTCGCGACGTGCGATATTGACAGAGACGCTCAGCGAACCCCGAAAGCACACCGGGTATTCTCTCGGGCTTGCAGCAACAAGCAATGCCGGAAGGATGCCGGGAGGATGCCGCCGAGGCGGCTCGTGAGCGTACCTTCTCCGCCGATTCTGGGTTGCTGTTGGCGAGCGAGTCGATCGAGTTCGCAGGTAATTTGCATCAGCTGCTCGGTCCAAATGGAAAACAAGACCAACAGGATCGACCGATGCATCCGTATCCACCCCCCACGACGCTGTCTTCGCTTCTCACCTTGCAGATCACCATGCTCTGCAGCACGCGCGGGTCGGTGTATCCGCACGACTTGGCGATGCCTTTGAGCTCGGGCTTGACTGTAAAGGCTCGGAAGAGCGGGTCCAGCTCATGCAGTCCTGTCGGAAGCCGCTGGTGAGATTCGCCCACACGGCCTTGTCCAATATGCTATCCGAGAGACGGCTTCTGCTCACCATGACCGATCTTGTTGATCGATTTGGTCTTGTCGACCGCCAAGTTGCCGTCCGAGTCAAAGGCGCCTTCCTCAAAGAAGAAGCGAACCTTGTCGCCCGAGGTCAGAAAGTAGTCGTCGCCGACATGCTCGGATCCCTATCGGTCGAGTGCGAGAGATCCAGGTGTCTGAGTTACCGTTGTCGCCGGGCTTTCCAGGAGCTGACGGCGTGGTGCACCCAGCTCCGTTCGGCTCATTTGCCCCACCACCGCAAAATGTGCGAGTGCATGTGCGTACATTCATGCCTGTCGAGAATCTAGTCTTTGGATGGCTAGCCAGATCCATGTCCTGCAGCAGCTGGAGGGCCCGCTCGCGCAGAGCCTTGGCTTCGTCGAGGGTGAAAAAGTCGGGGATGACCAGATAGCCATCTTGCTGGAACTGAGGCGCATGGCGAGGTGATCAGATCGGCCTGGCCTGGCCTGACCTGACCTGGATCGAGGGTCATCAAGACAACGACGAGAGCCGGGCTGTTTCAGGGCATGCGTACCTGCTCGAGCTGCGCGGGGGTCAGAAAGCCTTGGATATCCATGTTGGTGCTGGTGCTGGTGCTGGTGCTGGTGCTGGTGCTGGTGCTGGTGCTGGTGCTGGTGCTGGTGCTGGTGCTGGTGCTGGTGCTGGTGCTGGTGCTGGTGCTGGTGCTGGTGCTGGTGCTGGTGCTGGTGCTGGTGCTGGTGCTGGTGCTGGTGCTGGTGCTGGTGCTGGTGCTGGTGCTGGTGCTGGTGCTGGTGCTGGTGCTGGTGCTGGTGCTGGTGCTGGTGCTGGTGCTGGTGCTGGTGCGGGTGCTGGTGCTGGGGGGCAAAGCGACGAGGCCTGCAGACGAACAAGCTCCGAAAGTCAAATGTCCCTCATGACCAACCGCCGAGAACCCCCACGCTCTCGGTCCTTGCTCGTGCTGCGACCAGAAGTGAGACCCGTGCAGCTGCCCTCCGAGGCGGATGCTGCCGTCGTGCCAGTGTGCCGTCACCTCGCCGAGTACCATATGTGGACGACAATGCAGCCATTCCATGATGTCGGCGTGGGCATGTTGGGCCAGCAACGACAAGGGTTCTCTCTCTCGCCCTCCCTCTCGTTGTCCGAGAGGACCCCGAGACGGCTCATGGAATATCGCGTGGGCGGCCATCGACTGACCCGCTCGGCTTTCTCTCGGCATTCTCTCGGCTTTCTCTTCAGGGCATCCCCGGCTATTCGTCTCGGCGTCCATCTCTCTCAGGTGCCTCCTTCACCGTGCATACCCTTCGCAGACCCAACCAAGACCGCTCGAGCGAACCGCCGCCAATGCTCGGCCAACACCCTGAATCTGCGCTTCTCAACCATGATATCCTCCCCATTGTGCTCTCAAACACCGCCTTCATCGGCGCTCTTGATCTGCCGACCTTTACCCGGCTTCTTCGAACGAGCCAGCAAGCCAGAGCCATCCTCCATCGTCCGAGAACATGGTACTCCGTCCTGGTTCGGCTGCTGGGCCTCCCTTCGGGCTTCTTCAAGGACGTGCATCCCGCTGTGAATGTGTTGGTCGTTCTTCGCGGGCTGTATTGCTACTGCAGCCGCCCCGACCCGCTCTATCCCCGATCGCTGGCCATCCACCAGATCGAGTTTGGGCTCTGGTGGGGGCTCTGCCGATGCAAGGTGCTCTGGTTGCGGGTCCTGAGATACTGCCACGGCCGCAACAAGCTCTGGCCAGGCTCTCATGATCAAGAGTGGCTGATATGGCAGAAGCGGGTATATCCAAGCTCGATGTCGGACCAAGAGCGGTTCCAGCTTCTCGACAGCGCGCGCATCCTGCAGGCCAGAAGTCAAACCGCCAGCTCGAGGGTGGTTATCATCCGGTTTCGCCAGCACCCTCTCTTTTACAACCACCAGTTCTTCCGGCTGCTGCCGCACGAACTCTTCCAGCTCGTCACGCTGGGCAAGCGAAATCTGTGCTTATACGACTGCACCTTTGCCTCGCTTTCGGGCTGGCCCGCCGAGCTCCCTCAGGTCGAGCGGCTGCGGGTCTTCAACTCGGGATCGTTTACTCAGTACTGGGACTGGACATGCATCCCCAGCATGCCGAGTCTGCGCGAGTTCAGCCCGCCGCAATCCCTGGAAAGCCTCGACGGGATCGAGGCGGCGTTACCGCCGCTGCACAGGCTCGACCTGTCTGATTGCTGGCGACTCAAATCCCTGGCGGGGCTTTCGACCATGGCAAACTGGAGCACCCTCATTCTGCCTCCGTCGCTGGAAAGCCTCGTCGAGCTCGGTCAGTTCACCAACTCATTCAACGTGATCGACATGTCGTCTTGCCAGCACATCACCACATTTGCAAGCTGGCCCAGCACATTGCCGCAACTGGGAGGTCTCGTCGTCCCTTCTTCGCTTGAAAGCCTGGAGGGAATGCCCGAATCCATGGACTTGATCTTTCTCGACATGGACACCGGCAAACTTACTTCCCTGAAGGGCATGTCGCAGAACCTACCCAATCTGCGCATGCTGAGTACTCCTTGGAGGCTCACCAGCCTGCAAGGTCTTCCTGCAACCCTGGACTCGCTCGAGAATCTCAATCTGAAGGCTTCCGTTCATCTCAAGAACCTGGTCGGTCTGCCTGAAGCCCTCCCTGAACTCCGGCGACTGGAGCTTTCGGCCAACCTCGAGAGTTTACAAGGCATGACTGTATATCTTCCATCACTTCTTGATCTGAACATGTCCAAATGCAAGATGCTGAAGACTGTCGCAGGCCTCCCGCAGGATTTCCCCGCTCTCCTGGCGCTTGCCCTTCCGCCATCGCTCGTGTCCTTGCAGGCACTCGACACCGCAGTCTTTCCAAGTCTTCAGCGCTTAATGCTGAGTCAGTCGCTCGTCAAGACGGTCGATGGAGCTGCGTGGCTTGCGCGAACAACAGAGTCTTGCCCTGGCCTTGAGGTCGCGTTGTATTCCGAGTAGTTGTGAATCCGTGAACCGATGTTGTCAAAATACAGTTCCTCCAAGACAAACTTCCTTCTCACTCAGATCGTCGCGCTTTACTGCTTTCGGGCATCACTCGGCCGCCACGGGCTCCCACTGACCCCTTACAGTCATCTCTGACACCGCGAGTTATTCATGACCAGTACTTGGACGAGTTTGGGTGCGGAGTGGAAGACACTTGTGACTATGGGAGCTGATTGTCCCTGATTGTCCCTGGCTGCACGGGCTGCACTGGCTGCACGGGCTGCATTGGCATATGCATATTTGTCGACACCGTGTTTCCTGCAGCCGCTGGGAGCCGGAACCTACCGATGGCGATGCTCTTGACTCTGTTGAGTTGGCACGAATCCAGATAATGGTGGTCCACGGCCTCAGCAGAGTGTGTGAGATTGTGGCACTTGCAGCTGATTCGATAAAATGCGGGTCACCCCGGTGCTCTGAACGATTATTGGTACTTGCAGCCCAAAACCAGATCACTGTCAACACTCAGCGAGCCAAGCGCCTGGTCGAATGTCTCGCTTGCATCCGAAACAACCGTGTATTCGATGTGAGACATCCGACAGCTTTGCTGCAGCTCTCACTGGCGCTCAAAAAGACTACAGCGTTGAATGAGTCGTGATATGACATCCCGCGGCCGCCCACACCCAGCGTCGACGCATAACAAACAGACCAAGACCAAATCAGAGCGGCTCCATAGAGCATCATCGACCTCCGTCCGCAAGCAAGACTCAATATAGAAATTCCTTTGGAAGCTGTGACTCCATGTCGTAGACGTAAATGGTCTTGCTAGCGCCTCCGCCCAGAGCAACCATTTGGTCGGTTGGGCTGAACGCGGCGGTAAAGACGGGACTGGTCAAGTTCTGAACCATCGCCACGGCCTGTGGGGTGGGTTCATTTGAAACAACATGTATAAGCTGGCTGTGGCACGGGAGCTCATCGTTTCAGCAGCCCTGAGCGGCTCGTGACAAGTTTCTTGACCGGTAGTGCAGTGGCAAAGAGAGGAGGTTTGAACTTACCCTCTTCGATTGTGTCTCGTAAATCCTCATTTCGTTTGCCCCGCCGCCTCCAGCAGCCAGTACGAATCTGTTGCGGATCGAGCTTTCCGGGCTGTGGCTGAACTGAGCTGCGTAGAGCAGACACGGCTTTCGCTCGCTGAGTTCCAGTATTGACCACGGAATTGTATCTGTGACCTGTGCCTGACTCCATGACCATATCTGAGCGACGTGTCATCTGTCAGTCCACGATCAGTCCACCCATCAGTCCACGATCAGTCCACCCATAGGTCAGCTTAGATATTGCACACCAGAAAATGCATCTCATCAGCCGCACCTGGATCGGATTTTCCTTCGAGTACGAGCCCGTGAGAATCCGGTCTCCCGAGTCGTCAAAATCGATCGAGTCGGCACAGATATGCGGACCATATATGCTGCGGACGGAGCGTTGTATTCGAGTATCCCAGATCTGAATGGTGCAGCCAGCGTCAGGATCGTTTGTGGATCTGTCGGTCTCAATGCAGCGCTGCATGACCCAGCCCCAGGCCACAAACCGCGAAGGACTGGCGCCGCTGTTCGTTCGCTCAGAACATACCTGGACAGTATTGTCCCACCCCGCGCTCATTATCGAGTGGGGCTCTTTGGGATGAAATCGGACTGAAAATATGCGATTCGAGTGGCCAGAAGTCACATTGACTTGTCTGAGAGAGAAAATGAGACCAGTCAGCCAAGGCGAAGGCAGAGCAAGGCTGGACCGGGATATTACATCTCGTCACATCGCATCACATCGTACTGCAGCATGGGCGATCGAGAACGGCGACTCACCCAAGCGTCAGAGTCATTGCCTTTTGGGATGTGAATCCATCGAAAACAGTCACTGTTCCCTCGCTGCCACCCATCGCAAACCTCGCCCCGTCCAGCGAGTATGTGATGCAGTTGACTTGGTCGTCGCCGGTGTCAACGACTTTGACAATCTGACCGGTCGTGTAATGCCAGAAGATGATCTTTCCCTCCGAATCTGTGCCAGATGTATCAAAGCCGCCGTCCCAGTGTCTCAGTCTCGGATGTTGGCGAGAGAAGGTGTTGATGCCATATCGACAGCTTATGCCATTCGAAATACTTTACACCCAGCCACGAGAATGTTCTGGTTCTTGTAGGAGGGGTTGGTCGGCCGAAAGTAGAGCGTCGTGCACGGTGCCTTGAGATAGTTGCCCGGTGGAGTCAGTGTTCGCATGACAGAGCCTGAGCTCGTCAATATAATCTGAGGTGGATGTATGTATAGTAGCAGGTCAGTATTCGCGCCTGCTTGGAGAGACAATCGGCTGGGAATCAGAAGCCGCTGTCGAGGCATGTCCTCCCCCAATGGCTCACGATCGGCATCCAGCAAGTTCCCTTGGCAACAGTGAGCTGCCAATGACCAACGCACAGAAATCGTGGCGTCTCCGTATCCGACTGCCAAAGAGCCTTCGTCGGGGGAAAATCTTGCGATGAAGATCTCGGCGCTCGTTCTGGAGATAGAGCGAGACGTTGGTGACTGAGGAGGATGGATGCGACGATTGCCGTCGTGCTCAAGACCAAACCCCTGGATGTTTCCGATACTACTCTGATTCCCCGGTGAGGCTAGCTTAGCGAATCTCATGCATCATGGTTCTGGTTCAACGAATTCCCTCGAGCCCACAGACCCACAGCACAGAGCAGCGACAGCCTTGGCATTCGTGGGGCTTTCTGCCACACCTAAGTGAAAACCGCGGTTTGAGCATGCCTGTGACAAGGGGTTCCCTTGGAGCCGTATGCCCGGTGAGGTTTCCGAGTGAGCCTGCGCGATCATTGGGTTTTAGTGCTTTGTCGACGGCACACACTGCGTCGCGGCCGACATTGGAGTCTTGGAGCAAACAAGCAGGACCATCATTGCAGAACACGCGCTGATGCAACACATACCAAGCTTCCCTCCCTTTCTGCCCGAGGAAAGCAAGTCGGCGGCCATGCTCGACTCAATGTAGAGCGAGTGGAGGCTGCCCGACTGTCGAAGGCTCGCATTTGAGAGTGCTGCGAGCTCAGACTTGGAGAGCATGCCGCTGCCGATGGTACCGCGTTTCGATAACTGCGATTTTGATAGCGATAGCTCAGAGCTGATAGTTGTCTGAGGAGATCGGTTGCAGGGAAGCATGAGGTACGTGATATGTGTGAGAGCCGTTTCCTCCGATACAAGAAAGGATATCAACGCACTTACGCTTGAGGGGAACGGCCCAGACGTTCGCCGGTTAGACACGCCCCCCATGCTGGGAAGCGAGCTTAGAGACGAGTTTGACAGCGCGCGCGAGCCGAGATTTGATGTCGACATGGCGATATTTGTGATAACCGCGATAGCTTGATGTGGACAATGGGCCGAGGTCGCAGCCTCACGAGAAATGCCTCGCGAAAAGTGCCTCACGAGAAAATGCCGATGAGTCTCGACGCGATTTCAGCCGAGAGCAGCGAGAGCAGCGAGAGCGAGCCGTGCGAACTGGTGCCTTGTGAGTGCGGGTGTTATTGCAGCAGATCGTGTATGGGTGCTGGCGATTTCAGCACAACTGCGGCTCCTCCGGATGGTGCTGGTGCAGGAAATCCAATGGGCTCAAGGGCCGGCTGCTGGTGCATCGTCTGGATACTTTTCGCGCCACCCGCCCAATCAGCCGCCGACTGCGCTGCTTTGGCGGCTCGCCGTTTTCCCGCACCCGATCGTTGCGCAGTTCGTCCCGCCCGCTCTCTCTCCCATCAACAGCGACTCCCGCCTCTGATGACTCCCGCACTCGAATCGGGCCAAGATCCGGCCGACAGACTCTCTCGGCAAACCACGTCCACCGGAGCTGTTGCAAAAACTATCGACATGGACGACACCGCCGATGGCGTCACCTATGACTTGGTGAGTCGGACAGCAGCGGGTATCGCAGCGCCCGAGCGAGCATTTCGGCCAGATTCGACGGTGCCGATCTGCCTGGTAGAGGCTTTCCGGGCAGCGATCGCATGATCCAATGGGAACCGATATCTGCTGCTTCTGTTCATTTTGCGCTGACGGATAGACGAGACCGACGAGACCGACGAGACCGACGAGACCGACGAGACCGACGAGACCGACGAGATAGCGGGCTGACACATCGATCCACTTGACAGTCCAAGAATCAGCTCTATCTCATGGAACGGGAGGAGCGCATGAAGCGGCTGCACTTCCTGCTCACCCGGACCGGCGTCTATTCCGACTGGCTGGCCACCAAGCTGGAGGCTCGTCAAAAGGAGCAGATCGCCAAGGCCGCCCGCAGCAGCGAGCCGGTGCTTGGGGATGGGGACTCGAGCGCCGCTCCGACAAATGTCAACGACCCGATAGAGCCAGAGTCCGGCCAGGTGAGCCGTTTCTTCAGCCTCTGATTGCTGTCTCCCTTGGCTTCCTCTTGGCTAACTCAAACGTGCTGTCGGTTGCCTTCCAGCCCAAGCGACGAGGACGTCCTTCCAAGGCCAAGACAGACAAGGATCCAGCCGCCATCGACGCCCCAGTGGTCGCCGCCAAGCGCAAGCCCGGGGAGCGCCAGCCTGTTCTGGTGACTGGATGTGTCATGCGCGAGTACCAGCTTGTCGGCATGGAGTGGCTCATCAGTCTCTACGAGAATGGCCTCAACGGCATCCTTGCCGATGAGATGGGTCTTGGCAAAGTATGCTGCTCGGGCTCCGATTCCATTCAGACCCACTGGCCATTGCCATTGGGTTACTTGATCTTGGGGAGCGATGCACACGTACAGAGCTCTGTCGATCGTTTGCACTCACTCGAGACGTTTCTATCGCCGGCGACCGACAGACCCTGCAGACCATCTCATTCTTTGCGCACTTGCGGGAGAACAAGGTCATGGGGCCGTTCTTGGTCGTTTCCCCACTCAGCACTCTCGATAACTGGGTCAACGAAATCAAGAGGTGGGTCGCCGTTCTCCCCTTTGCAATTGTGCCGTGCCTCGCCCGAGCGTGTTCTCATCCCGGCCAAATTGCTCAAGGTTTGCGCCAAGTATACCTGTCCTTCTGTATCATGGAGATCCGCCAACTCGCGCGCAACTGCGAAAGGAGCAAATGGGCAAATTCGATGAGAGGTTTCCAATCATCGTCACAAGCTTTGACATCAGCATGCGAGATCGAAAGCACCTCCAGCGCTATGCATGGAAGTACATTGTCGTTGACGAGGGACATCGTCTCAAGAACCTGAACTGTCGGTTGATCCAGGAGCTCAAGAAATACACGAGCGCCAACCGACTGCTTCTCACTGGCACTCCCCTGCAGGTTGGCATCGATATACCGCGCATTCGCCCAAAGCATGTGCCCATGGCCTCTGCAGGATGCGTCCACGGCCTCTGCAGCGACTCCCTAACTTTCAGTTGTATATCGCCAGAATAATCTCTCGGAGCTGTGGTCGCTGCTAAATTTTTTGATGCCAGATATATTTGACGACCTCGGGGCTTTCCAGGATCTGTAAGTGTCTCGGTCTGTGTCGCAAACGCATCACTGGATGTCTTTCAGGACTGGGCACCAGAAATCGCTCCAACATACCTTGTTTGTGTCCATATCAGCTTTGATTTCTTCGAGAGCAACTCGAACGAAGCCGACAAGGAGAAAATCCTGGACCGCGAGAGCAAGGAATCGGTCGTCAGCAACCTCCACAACATCCTGAAGCCCTTCTTGCTGCGTCGAGTGAAGAGCGAAGGTAGGGATGATTCTGGAGCTTGGGTTGTGACAAGCCTTGCAAACTTGGCAAACGGCCGTGTACCGACAGACTCTACTGGCACTGGATCGACGCTGTCTGTGCTAAGGTTTCAGGTACTGACTTGCCATGTGGCTCCATACTAATGTGGCAGTGGAAAAATTTCTGCCGCCAAAGAAGGAGTTCATCGTGTACGCCCCTATGACAAATCGACAGAAGGAGCTTTACTCTGCTGCCCTGTGCGGTGTCTCAGGCTTGCGCGACGTGCTCTTGCGAGACACGCAGCAAGAGGCTCCTCGTGCGGTTGCAGGCAATGATGCAAGCAGCGGCAATGACGAAGAGACTGTCGAGTTACGGACGCGGTCGCAGCGCGGTCAGATCGACCGCAGGAACTACGAGGAACTAAGTGACCGTCGATACTTTGCGAGTCTCGACAACTCGAGTCACGAAGCTGTCAAGAGCAGGGCTGTATCGAGCACCGCACCTCGCAAAGGCCCAGGTTTGTACCAGCAGATTGAATCAGTCAGCTTGCACATATCGACACCTCGGTTGTAATCCAATGTGTCGATGTTCTCTTTGAAGCCAAGGCAATCAGCCGACTCAATCTGCAGAACTTGATCATGCAACTCAGAAAGATCTGCAATCACACATATCTGTTTGATTTGCCTGACGACGACGACGAAAGCTCGACAGATGGGGACGAGAGCGAGCAGGAGGACGAGGTTCCCGTCGCGAACGGTCGGAGAGCCGATGAGAAAGCCGAGTATCACGATCCCCACCACTCCGTATACGAGGGCAGCCTCGTCCATCGCGGTGAAGCATCCAGATCCGGATCGAGGCAGAAAAGGACCCGTCGACTCCCCGAGATTGTGGCTACCTCCGGAAAGATGATGCTTCTGGAGCGAATGCTGCCAAAACTCTTCCGCGACGGCCACAAGGTCCTGATTTTCTCTCAGATGCGCAAGATGTTGGACATCATCGCGGACTGGTGCGAGTACGAAAAGAAATGGAAGTTCTGTCGGATCGACGGTCATGTGTCGATCAGCGACCGGAAGAAGCAGGTATGCTAGGCACGATCCTGACGTTAACAAACACAGCGCCTGTGAAGCAACGCAACGCGCCACAGCCACAGCGTCAATGAGAGCGAGCCCCACGATTTGACCGGCGCTCACCGTCCGCTCAATGACTGATCCGCTGTGCTTATGGTGTGTGTGGCCCGGACAGATGGACGAATTCAACAGCGATCCAAGTATCAAGCTGTTTTTGCTGAGCACTCGGGCTGGAGGCCTGGGCATCAACCTCACCGCTGCCGACACGGTCATCATATACGACTCGGACTGGAACCCGCAAATGGATCTCCAGGCGCAGGTAAGGGCCATGAGCTCCATGCAATGCGAGTCCCTGTCTATCCACGAGAATACTATGGTCTTGGCACGACAAGCGGCACTCTCTGCGATCGCCATCGATCACTGTCGGCCAGGACTGACTCAGTTGTTGATATTACCGTGTATTGCTCGCCCCGCCTGTTCGACAGGACCGCGTCCATCGGATTGGGCAAACCAAGCCTGTGTTCGTGTATAGATTCATTACCACCGGCACAGTCGAGAACAGGATCCAAGAGAGGGCCATGTCCAAACGCAAGCTCGAGCAGCTTGTTATTCATAAAGGTGCGTTGGCTGACCTCCCGACGAAGCTTGCTGCGGCGATCTGCTGCACCACCCCCTGGTTTCAGCGACTCTAAGTTGCGCTCAGAACACGCTCCTCTAACAAGAACCGTCTGGCGCACCGGCGGCCTGGGTGTCGCCATACAGAGCACTTTAAGGGCAGCTCCAGCTACTACAAAAAGTCCACAAGGATCACGAACTTGGAAGACCTGGCGATGCTTCTCACCGAAGATGCCGCCAGCACCGAGTCTGTTGTGGCATCTGAGATCGGTTCTGGTGCAAAGCGCAAGAGACCCGATGGCGACGAGCCCTCGGAAATTGATCTCGAAGAGATGCTCACAGAGGAGGACCTGAACCGGATGATGGATCGGAGCCGCATTGGTGGCGATCACGGCTCCTCCAACAAACGCGCTGACTTTGACATCAAAGGCAAAGTTGCCGAGATTTAAGCCAGCAAGCCAGCCGACGGCAATACAGAATCGACTACGATCTCGTAGCCATAGGAGATGCATACGTTTGATTGAGGCTGTCGTGGCGGACAACGGTGCATTGGCGAGGGGTTGTCCCAGCACGAATTTCCACAGCGCGAGACATCGGTTTCAGGCATGGCGCTCTGGCTCATATTGTGGGAATCAAACGCGGCGACCCCAGGGACAGAGAATATCGCTTTCTATTTAGCGACACACCAGGCCATCTCGTGGTGTTCCGATCCATCATGCGCCATTGTGGCGTTTAGACGGACACGACGCTGCTGGATATGCACTCGTCCAGCATTGCGAAGAGAGAGTCGTTTCGCTCCGGGTCGGCGCCGCCCATCCACATGAACCCAACGACCGCGGCAATCGACTCCGAAACCAAGTGACTGCCACAACGGACATGGCTTTCAGTTGCTTCCGCCATCAGCTGTGATGGAGAGGCAGTCAGGGGAGCCAGCTTGCCGAGAATGGCCATCAACCGTCCTTGTAAACCTTCTCGCCCGAGGATGTATGCAGGACAGGAGGCGAGTTAGTCTCACACTCTGGACACGGTATCGGACGGCAGACGGCGCACACTCTACCTGTGTCGCTGGGACCGTCGCTGGGATCGTCGTCCTCGACATGCTTGCGTTTCAGGCTCGCCGAAACGTGAGTCTGTGTCAGTGCGATGAGATTGGCGGCTGCCAGCGCGCTTGTTCGGAGGGCCTGTTCATGGCCCCTTGTGGCTGCGGCAAGCGCAAGCACCCGAACCAGTCCAACAAGAGTCGTCTGAACTTCGAGCTCTTCCTGAACTCCGCGATTCGCTGACCGGATTGTTGGTAAACGCGCTCCGGCTCTGGCAAATTTGATTTGCAGTCTGAGCAGCCATGTCAAATACGACTCGAGATGATCGGGCTGCCAGGCTTCCGAGCGGCTTTGGAAGACGCTGACGCTCCATGCCATCAAGCCATAGAGCGCGCCTGTGTCTGGGATCGCTGCGATGGCTTCGAGGCTTCCTGTTTCAAGCAGACACAGCGCCGAGAAACACTGATCAAAGGCAGCCTGCAGGATTGCCGAGCTATCGAGATCGACGCTGTAGAGGGTTTCAGGGTCCATTTGGTCGTGCTGGTGTTGGTTGGTTGCAGTCGAGCGATCAGGTGTGGCGGACGACAAGAGCCGTCGTGCATCTTGGAGGGCGCGAACCAGCTGCAGCAAAGTGGCGGGCTCAAACAGCCTTGAGTTATGTCGGTCCGTGGAGCTTGCAAGATGCAGCGTGGCAGCCAGAAGAGAACTTGCATTGAAGAGCATCTGGCACCACCATACCAGTTCTTCTGCTGAGGTGGCCGATTGAGCAAGCACGCCCCAAGCTTGGAACTGCAGACAGACCGTGTCCAGCGTTGCTTTGACAGTTGCGGCGATTGAGTCGGTCCAGAGACTGGCTCCGGGCGTGTCTCTCATGTCCCAGCCTTTCACGACTTGAGTCAGGAGGCGCGGCAATGCTAACGATAGCTCATTCTTGGAGGCAACTGCAATAGTGCTGGAGCATGTCGTGAAGAAAGCAAGCAGGCCGCTGTGGTTGGCCATGTCGGCGATAACTCCTGGGATGAAGGACGCTTTGAAGATGAGCTCAAACACGAGCTTCCGGGTCTGTGCATCCGCGAGACTTGAGTGGAAAAAGCCCGTCACGATGTCGAAGACGTGGCGTCGCTTGTAAATTCGATAATCCTGCACACATTTGATCACGAACGAGATGAGCTTGTGAAGCGAGGTATAGGGCGCTCAAGCACCGAGTGCAGTCAACATTGTGCAGCTAGCATCCTGTGTGCAGCTAGCGTGCTGATCCGTACCGCATATGTTTTCAAACCACACGAAAGCAGACGCAGCATCCAGATGCGTTCCTTCCGGAACTCTGAGCTGTGTGAGTAGAACAAGCTGTAAAACATCGGTACGTCCTAAAAGAAGCCGACGCAGCGATATGGCCAAGGGATAATCATGACCAGACATATCAGCATCCTACGTTCAAGCGGCACGCGGATATGCCAAACTGCCAGCAGAGGTTGGTCGCGACAGCTCGCACGATGTTGATGGCTGCTTCCACAGAAACACAAACGGAGGTGGTGGTGCGGAGTAAGCTGCGACGGTGCTCCAAACGGCGCATACCTCCAAGTCAATTGTGGGCCGTTGCAGCAAGAAGCGGTTGATCAGCGGATACAGCGAGTTTTCTGGCTTCATCACAACCATCAGTGCCTGCGCGACAAAGAGGGCTACAATTGAGGGGACTCGTTGAGGGCTGTCGCGATCTGTGATTGCGTTTTTCAGGCTTTCCAAGAGTAGCATCACTTGGTTGTGCTCCTTTGATGGCGACGACTTTGAGGAATTGCGTTGGTGTCAGCAAGATTAGTCAGCTCAGCAAATGTAGGTGCCGCAGCTAGACGATGCCCCAACGTACCTCAATCAACTGATACGCCTTGTCAACCACAAAATAGCCCGCCTCTCGGGTCTCGGTATCCTCTGCAGACAGCGCTACCACAGCAAGTCCAAGACAATTCACTTCAATCAGACGCTTCAAGTCCAGTTTGGACTCGCCCGTCACCACGGCTGTGGCAGTCAGGGGCAGCACAAACTTGATGTCGTAGAGTGGCCACAGGCGCGAAGGCTTGCACTTTGACTGAATGTCCAACGCTCGCATCTCAAGGGCCTCGGCGACAGGCAGCAGTTGCAGCGTGTGTGCCATCCAGACAGGGTCGATGGGCAGAATCGATTCGGCAGCTGTTACCGGGCTGACGGTGTTCAGAACGGTGTTGGGCCGGGACCATGCTACGGCATGGGATGCCACACTCACACCGGCCTCTGCCTCGTAGATGCTCCAAATTTCAAGCACAGTGCGATCGGCGGGGTGTACGGTAGCCTGGTAGCCGGCGCTCAGGGGCTTCAGAAAAGCAGGTCTACAGCAACGGACAGGATCAAGCTTGACGAGCACAAGAAGCAATCCAAGGAGTGCCGACTTTGCGGGATGGATGGCCCTGATTGGACTCTTTGTCTGGGGATGATGGGCCACTTCGGCGCTGGTCAGCGCACCAGGTGCGTTGATGGTCTCGAATTGAGAATGCGAGATGATCATTTCACAGAGCACGTCCGGAAGAAACGGCAATCGCGGGGCCGACCTTAGCTTGGTGGATTTCTGGACCAGCCACACGCACAAACAGAGCGAGGAAAATCTCAGAGTCAGATTTGGCCATGATACGCGCATCTTGTCTGTAACAGGACAAGATGACCTGTCCATCATCTGCCCGCGTTTTGGACAAGTCCTCCGTTGCAATCGCAGGAGGTGCAATCGCAGGAGGTGCTGCGGTGCGGAAAGCTTCATACGCAAAATGCCACCGTGTGTCGGTGAGTATGCATCTTATGCTTCGATGCCGATGTCAAAGTCTTACCGCCGCGCCATAGAGCACCTGGATCAGACTCGTCAGTGCTTCCAAGGCCACGAGATCAGCGACGCGATACTTCAGAGTCGATACGATGTATGACTTGATTTCTTCCAGCGCCTTGTCGTCGTTGGCAAGCAAGACCTCGACTGTCTCTTGATCTGCCGCTTCCAACGAGCGGACCAGGTGGCGCGACAAGTTGCGGGCCGCGAGCTCCTCGTCCTCGCCACCAGCACACTTTTTCTTGGAGTGATAGTATGCACGCAGAGCAATGATTGGCACAAGTATCTGGCCTGCAGCTTCTCGTGCAGGCCGCGCCGCTGGCTCTTCTAGCCGAGACAGCCCCGGGAGAAGGACAGGGAGCCAGTGGAGTCGGCTTGCAGAGTCTTGAGCCTTGGTGTCGCGAGTTTTCGAGAGCAGATCTGCAAAAAAGCTTCCAGACCACGATGGATGCGTCAAGTGTGCCACATAGATAGGGATACTGACTTTTGCGACCTCATCGGCATGGAATGCATGCTGACCGGTCAGGCTTTTGAAGAGCGTGTCTAGCGACCGCTCCTCAACTTCGTTCCAGAGCGCTTGGATGGCATCGAGGTACGGTGAGAGTTCTTCAGGCTGCCATTTTTCTGCCAGGCTTTCGGGTGGCCCACAAACTCCTTGAAGCAGCCCCGCCAGTAGCATCTCCGACATGGCTGTGCCCTTGAGGCTCTTGGGTACGACGTTCCGGATAATGTAATTGCGATGGGCTGGGCTGTGTGTCGCCAGAAGCTGCAAGACCTGTCCGCCAACGTCCGCCTGCCTTGCGAAATAGTCAACGATTTGGCTGTCGATCAGAAGAGCAGCGTTACACGGAACACTGTCATCGTCGGACGCATAGACAGCGAAGCCTGGCTGCGCGACAGCCACGCCCCGGGAATAGCATCGCTGCAGTGTCCCGAGGGCCAGTATGTCCAGGTCGGGGCTTTGCTTGAGTTTGATGAGCTCGAGAAGAAGCACAAACGAGCACGAGCTGATTCGTCGATCGGTTGATCCGTCCGCTGTGAGAGCAAGAGATAGCAGCTCGCTGTGCGAATAGATCTTCTCCTTGTCGCGCACGGCTGATTCAAACAGTGCCTTGATGATTTTATCGAGGTCGTGGGGTCGAATGTGATGTCGGAACAGCTCAAAGACCCGCAGGATTGCATCTGCAGAGATCTGGGTCTGGCTGGAGAGGTGGGCCAGCAGCACATCGACGATCTGCTCAAGATATCGATCAAATGAACCAGCTAGCGACTTGGGTGCAATCAACAACGATTCATACACCGTCCTGGCACACTCTGCGGGAGGAGAGGGGAAGCAACCTGGGTGAGCGCCTCAAGTGCCGTTTTGGGGAGCCCAAGGACTCTGCCACAGCATCTCTCAACCGCAGATAGGAACACACAGGGCCTTTCTGACCCAAATCGGAGGGGGTTTTGATACACGACCCCAAGAAATACCGAGCAGTCACGAGATCCCAACCATGTACGAATCATTCGTTTACAACAGCCAAACGCCTTACCGATGCCGAGGGTCGTGTCATCAAAGAACGACTGGAGGATGATGTGGTGCGACAGCACCATATCGAGGCCCGATTGAAACCCGGCCATCCACGCAGCGGTCTCGTAGTCATCCGAAAGCCCTTCATCGTGGAAGTAAACCGCATTTGGATGCTGGAATTCGGGATCTAGCCTGGCAGCTGACTCTCGGTGTAGTCGCGACAGAATAGCCCGGATAGACTCAAAAACAAACACTGCCAAGTCGGACCGAATATCGTGGGTCCTCACAGCGAGGAGGAGTGTGCGCAGATGTCGCAGCAAGGCTACGGGACTGTGAATCTCCTCGAACGCATCATGCATGACGGACTTGAGTGCTGCCATTGCTGTGGGCGACAAATCTCTTGACAATACGATGTTACTGAGCAAGGTGCTGGGGGAGAGATGTCGAATGGCGCTACCGAGCCAATGGCTCCTCATATCGCTGCTGATTAGCGTCGCCACTAGGTCCGGGTACCGATCCAGGAATGAGCGCGCCGCTGGATGCTTGAGCTCCAGGAACCAGCCGACCGCCTGTGCATTGTCCGGGGATGCTTCATTTGCAAGCGTACTGGCGAGCGAGACCGCAAATTCCCGCATCGACAGAGTCGCGATCTCACTTGGCGTGCCTGCAGCGGTATGCGCATTGTGTCGCAGTTGAATTGCGGCACCGTCGACGGCAAGGTCGGTCTGCATTTGGTCGGGGTTTGGAGTCAAAGCATGATCCAAATCATCAGCGACTATTTTGTGGGCGATGCAATAGTCGATTCCCGTCCATGGACGGTCCAGTGCAAGTTGGGTGTCGTCCGGCACCAGACCATCGAGCTTGGACAGCGCTTCGATCACGAACACAGCCGAGCCTTGCGTGGAAAGGAGTAGCTCTTTGATCACAAGGTGCATATACTCAGAAACCATGACGGCCCGACGGGATACTGCATCCTTGTTCAAAAGGGCATAGAGGGCATCGATGGCACAGAGCACGCCAATCGAAAACGGGAAGTTGGGGCCATCCGCATCTTCGTCGGGGATTGCAGAGGCTTTGTAAAACCGATCAATGTGTTGCTCCAAGCTGAGGATGCTTTGGCCAGCCCAGCGGGACAGCTGCAGGGCGAGGGTGTCACCTTCCGAAGGAACTTTAGATGCAAGAAGTGCCATGCGATCGATTGTCTTGAATGGATTCCGCACGCCGGTGCAGAATGCCTCATCGAGCCACTTTAGCACCGAGTCCCGGTATTCCGTCGGCAGGCGGACCAGGGTCGACACCCAAATGTCTATTTCGCTGATGTGTTGGCGAAAGAGGATGGTACCTCCCAAGAACCGTCGAGCAGCGATCCGGGTCAGAGTCCGAATGTGATCCTCGCCGGTCCGCAGATGCAGGTCGAGTATGTTGCCAAGGTGCGAAAGAGACGCGCCGACTACAATAGCCCGTGGGTGAATGTGTTGGTAGCCATAGTTATCGGCGCAGGGGTAAATGTAGTTATGGTGGCATAGGGGGGGGGAATATTGCGCGAAGGAGGACGGTTGGGTGGTTAGCTGAGCGGCGCTGGGCGATACGCTTGGCACGGCTCCATATCTGAGCCGGAGTTGCAGGGGAAATGACGAGACCGTTCTCCACGCAAGTGGCGAATACACTCGGCAGAAATTGAGTAGTCCACCCGCCTTTCTGTGCACCGCCCAGAAACAGTCATCGCTTACCCGTACGATTCTGCCACTTAAAGCCGTCAGCCACCGCAGCCAGTTCCAGGAGAATCTCTTGGATCTCTGCGCTGAGGACAAGCAGATTGGCAGGGAAGAGCTTGCCGTAGTCAAATCTCGATTCGAATATGGTTTCGGGGAAATAGCGCTGATAACAGAGAATCAGCCGAAGGGCAGCAGCCTGGAGCTGTTCAGGGGTTGTGTCGTCCTCGATCTGATCTTCCTTTGACTCCACTACCTGGGGCTCGTCCAGCCGGCTACTGGCATTGCCCGTGGATTGGTGCTGGAGAGCAAGGATGATCTGCACGTCTGGCAAGCGCTTCTTGATCTCCTCTAGCAGCAGCGACCTGTACGTTTCCCAAGTGAGATCGGATGCTCGGTGGCTCTTGGTATCTCTTTCTCGACCACGCTCCACTGAAACGGGGACTGGTGCTTCAGCAGAATGGCGCCAGCGAGCCTTGTCGATATGCTTCTCAACTTTGGCCAGCTTCTTGAAAGCAACCGCCATCACAATTGCCATGGTGTGCTTGACGGCATGGCTGGTGTGCTGCAGAGCTCGCCCCAGCAGGGCCCGACTCAGAGCGGAGGGCAGAATATTCTCTGCTATGCCCGATACAGGAGGCGGAGCGGCGCCTTCCGACACTGCGCCAAGAGCATCCGGCACAGGAAGGTCAATGACCTTGGCTGCAAACGACATGCTGGACATCCACTTGGCCGAGGGGCGAGGCTCAAACGACAACGAGATAATCTCCTGCCAGAAGCTGTCAGGCAGCCCAGATATGGAAGCATGGTGGACAAAGAAGACAGTCACGGCGTTAGACTATGCTCTTCACATGCTTGTTCCGCAGCACGGATGCATCGGTCCGTCCTAGGACCCGCGAGAACTCACAACTTGACCAACTCCGGACACGCGCCCAAGATCGAAAGCACCAGCTCCTGCTGGCGGGTGTCCTCGGTTGGGCGGAGAATCGACAGATACTTGTAGAGAGTTTTGTTGTAGAGGCGCACTCCCTTTTTGGAAACGTTGCCGCTTGAGGATCGCGCCGGAAAGTACCCGTGGTCCTGGAAGCAGATTCCGACCCCTGGCTTGGTGCAGATGTGCATCAAAAAGAGATGGGCCAGATCGGCCACGACAGGCAGCGATTCGTTGCTCTCGCAACCACCTGCCAGCTTCTGGACACCCTCGATAGTGGGATCCGTGCGTGTGTAAAGTTTGGTGATCTGTGCGGATCGTCGGGTCATCATAAGTCGTCGTTGGCAAATACTGGGCGGATGCAGAGCAGCCATTGGGTCTTGGCAGCATACGGGATATGCCAATGCTGTTTAGCAGACCTGCTCCAGAATGTAGTTGTTGTAGAAAGCGATCTTGACTGTGCGATTTAGATTGGCATCATCGACGACGTGTTTCTTGTGGACACTCAAGATATACTCGACGAGCTAAGATGCAGAGGCATGATGCGAGCACCCGCAGTGCAGATGTTAGTGCGCGAGCGACACTCGTCCATGGGTTTATAGACCTTGCAAGGCATTCCTGGCGGTTCGCGCTGAGGCAGCAGCATCACACCTCATATGAATCCTCCGCCATTCCCTTGAATACGCTGCTGACAAAGTCCTTCATCTCCAGGCATGACTTTTTGACGTTTACGTCGCCGTGGACGAGAAACGCGAGGATGAACCGAACATAGAGAGAGCGCACATCTGAACGTACAAAGAAGCACAGATGGAATCAGAATGCGATCACAGCCAAAAGTCAGTGACAAGGGCCATGGAGGTTGGGGACGGATTCGAACATACCTTCCATCGATCGGGCATCCGAGGGCTTTCGGACCGTCAATAACTTTGGGAGAACCTGATTTGTATGTAAGCGAAATTAGCAACGAGGCTGCATGGGCCGCGGATGGCCTCAAATGGCGGCGAAAGGCGGTCGACGCCCTGCGATTTGCTGCCTGAAATCAAGACTCGAAGGCGAGTAATCGGCCCAGAATCGACAAAACTCGGCACGGAGCAGCACGACCTGCAAAGCGCCTTCAGGAAAGCAGCTGAATCGGTGTCGGTAGCAGCCCGCATCGCGGCAGAGTCCTACCTTCAGACTGAAGTTGAAGCCTTCGTGGAGCTCCTTGGTCGTGCCGGCACCATGAGATGCAAGAGCCAGTAGGAGTTTCAAGGCACTGTGCTGGACAGCATGCTTCCCCGACGAGAGGTTGCGATACACCGGCTTCATGTGGTTTCGAAGCAGGATCCGGACGACGGCCGTCCCGATGCCCCATTTCTCGATTCGTTTCGTCAGGACGATGATGCTGGTTATGGCCCGTACGATCACCGCCTCGAGCTCAGACACGTTGTTCTGGAGAGAAAGCGGCATTAATCGAGGCGCTGTCTCAGCGAGCAATATCCTCACCACCAGCAGAGGAGCCGGTGGAGCCTGACCAGCGCAGCCGCAAAGCCAATCGCAAGGCTACCGAGTTTGCAGCAACCGGCGATCCGTGCCCTCTGCTGCGTTGTTGCCTTCGTCTCGACTGTCGTTGTAGAGCTTACCTCTTGCTGATACTTCCAGATCGAAAACAACTCGCTGCATTCTGGAGACTGCTTCAGGTATCCGCGGAGGACATCTGCTTCATCGGAGATCTCGATATCGACTTCATCGTTCACGAGCCTCTGGAGCTGCGTATCAAAAGCAGAGAGCCCTGAGAATACCAGATCCGAGCTTCGGGTTAGCACCGCATTCTGAGGGCCGCCAATGTGCTTGTGCGGAGGGGCCGATGCCGGTGCCATGCCCACCTTCGACCAAAACGTCGTTCTTGTAGGAGCTCAGAAACTCCATCAGCTGAGGCAGGGTAGTGACGCCCTGCACCGTTGAAGCCATGTCAGCGTCGTCGGTGCCGCTGTGTCGCTGTGTTGCGGCTGGATAGCACTTGCGAAGCTCCGGCTGCTGCAGCGGTCGGGCAGACGCTTCGACAGACACTGGGATGCAGGATTTTTGCAGCCCGAGAGCTCGCGTGGATGATCTCGCGCCGTTGGTGTGGGCCTGGTTCGGAGTTGAAGAAAAAAACGAGCCGGATCGAGTCACTGTTGCACTGGATCCGCCGGCCAAGAGCATCGCTTTCGTCGAGCCAGGACGCCCCGTACCGATTCTGCATTGCATCTGCTGCCGGCGCGCTGCAACGGGACCAAGGCACCAAGCCATGGCCAAGCTCCCGGCATCAATCACCCCGCCGGACTTTTATGGCATTGTCGAGAAAGGAATCTACCGCTCCAATATCCTCCACCCGACAAACTTTTCCTTTCTCAAGACGCTCTCGCTCAAGACCGTGATCGTGCTTTCGCCAGAACCACCGACCCGGGCACTCAGCACGCTCTTTGACGAGGCCGGCATCAAAGTCGTACGTAGATACTCACACCGTCGGCGGACCAGCCGCCACGTCGGAGCCGAGCTCAACCCGACCCTGCGAGCCCCCTACGAGCGAATGTGGCCGACACAGGAGCGACACTCGGAAGTTTGGCACTGACCGCGGGGCGCTCTCTCGTCGCTGTGGGCAGTAGATTCACCTTGGAGTGCAAGCATGGAAGCCGACACTTGGATGGAGACCCGTCAGCGAGGAGCTCATCAAGGAGGGCCTCGAGATCATTCTGGATGTCTCATACCATCCGGCCCTCATTATGTGCACGTTCGTATCCCTGCCCAATGACCTGTCCAATGAACTGCTCGATGGCCTGCCCCAATGCGTCTGATGCATTGGGTCGGGGGCAGTCACTCGTGAGGCCTCTGGGTGCTGACAATATGATCGGATCGGCGGATGGACTGCTAGGTCCGGTCTTCATGAAACAGGCATTCTCGTCGGCTGTCTGCGCAAGCTCCAGGGCTGGAACTTTAATTCGATTGTGACCGAGGCACGCATCTTCGACGCTTTGCGGTCACCGCCGGCATACCCAGTACCTCCAGGGGTTAACGCATTCGACCCCTCTCCGATGCATTTGCCAGTACCGTAGCTTTGCCGGCACAAAGTCTCGCTACGTGAACGAGCAGTTCATCGAGCTCTTTGATCTGGATCTTGTGACTCTGCCGATGAGTCTGCCGCAGTGGTTCATCCGGCAGCAGCAGCTTCTGGTGAGTTAGGCTCGGCGCCTGCATCCAAACGACCAGATGCACTCCGGTGGCAATGTGTCGGTGCAACGGGCGCTCACTCTGGCTCTACTCTCCGGCTTGGCATTCGAGATTAGAGGGAGGAGGAGGAAGAGCTGCAGAACTCGCTGCCTCAGCCGGACTCGCACGATAGCCCGCGCCTGCTCTATCTCGGCGGTGTTCCATCCAGGGCTGCCAGCGGGCCAACGACGCCGCGCCTGTTTGTCAAGAACGCAGCCGGACGCAAGGCCGACAAGCCCAAGAAGTCCAAGACTGTCGAGGACTCGGATTGAAGCGACGTCCGGGTTTCTCGGCCAAAACCCAGCGAATCTCCACTCGATCGACCTGTCGGGGGGGGGATCGTCGACCTGCTGGCTCGGTTTGGGTCACTCGTCCTTGCTGATCGAGTTCATGCATTTGCTGCATCGCTGTCGCATCGCTGCTGCGTGGTTGATGGCGGATTGGCGATTGGTGATCCCAAGCCACGCCTGCGCCACACACCGCGGGTATATAAACCCGGCTCGCCCAGACCCCTCTTTGGCCAACTCATTACATATTACTTCGATCCGCTTATACCACACGCTGAAGCGAAATGCGATGATCAGCAAGTAAATGGCGCGGACCCAGACCAAACACCAGCGGCGCTTCTTAATCCTCTTGGCACGCCGTCCACGGGCCAAGAGGTTCGCGAGCGCCCCACAGACAGAGCGGACAGAGAGAGCGGATGGTGGTGGGTGTGATCGGGTTTGGTTGCGGGGCAAGAAGCACTCCCAAGCCTTCCGGGCAGGGTCCTGCTCGAGGGTGCATCCCCATCCGGCTGCGGCTGCGGCTGCAGCTTCGGTTGTCATCCCGGCCCCGCCCAAGCCTCCTGCCAGCGCAGACAAGCGCTGCCGGCACACACGAACAGGATCGGCCGATGGACGAGGCGAACCAACCCGAGTGTCACCCGGCGATGGATTTTTTTCCTTGCTGGTGCAGGGGAGGGTGGCTCCCTGCTTCCAGGCAAACGCCATGGAGAAGCCGGCCCAGCAAATCTATTTCCATCGAGTCGACGCCCCCGCCGTCCAGAGCCAGCCCAGCTTCTCGCCCAGCAAGAATCAGACCAGCCGAGCTGCCCGCGCCGTCTGATTGCAGCTCTGCTTGGACTCGTTCTGCTTAACGGCCCTCCTGTTCTGCGGTCCTCCTGCCTTCCGTCTCCACGGGCCATCGGCACTCTCGCTCGCAAATGTCGCTGTCGCGGACACCCACCGATCTCTACATCAACGATGCGGTCAATTACCAGCTGGCAAGCCTCGCCAGCCCCTATGCCGACTTTGTGACCTCAAACACTACCAGAGTGCTCATCATTTACACCGGCGGGACCATCGGCATGAAGCACTCGGCCGACGGCTACATCCCCGTCAGTGGATTCCTGAGCAAGACTCTCGCGAGCCGGCCCCAGTTCCACGATCCCTTGGGCATCTTCGAGTCCGGCAGCGCTGCCCCGAGCGGCTTCCAGTCGGCTGCGGCCAGCGGCGAGCTCCTCAACCCCGTCAACATTCCGCTCGAGTATAGCGAAGGCCCCCAACCCAACACAGATGGCATCGTGGGCAAGAGAACCACCGTCAACGGAACGCCAGTCATCCGAACTCATTTGCCCGCCCTGATCTCGCCGGCCTCGCTCTACGGCAAGCGGACTCGATACTCGATTCTCGAGTATGATCCACTGCTCGATTCGTCCAACATGAGTAAGTGTCTCGGTCCCTTTCGACCACCTTACTGGGCAGGTCGCCGGTCCTGCTCGGTGCCCGCCTGCGTCTCCCTTCTCATCATCGTCCAGCTCGTCCGGCTCGTCCGGCTCGTCGACCCACACTACCAATATCGCTGACGCCATGCCTCCCGGATCAAATACCCTGCCCCGCGTCAGATATGACGGATTGGGTCAAGATTGCGACGGACATTGAGGTCAATTACGAGCTTTTCGACGCCTTCATCATCCTGCACGGAACCGACACGATGGCATACACGGCCAGCGCCCTGTCGTTCATGCTCGAAGAGCTCGGCAAGACCGTGATTCTGACGGGATCGCAGGTCCCGCTCTCAGAGGTCCGGAACGACGCCGTTGAAAACGTTCTCGGGGCGCTGACTATTGCCGGCCACTTTGTGATTCCGGAGGTCGGGCTGTACTTTTCGCACAAGCTTTATCGCGGTAATCGCAGCTCCAAGGTCGATGCTGTCGACTTCAACGCTTTTGATTCGCCCAACATCCGACCGCTCGTCTCCGTTGGAATTAACATTGGTGAGTAGCCCCGCGAGCCTCTATCTGCGCTGGGGTCATTCGTGTGAACCCCACGGCCCCTGGCCAGCACGTCAGCATGCGTTCTCACAGATCCCAGATGTGTCGTGGCCCATCATCTTCCGGCCGTCGGCCATCGAAAGGTTCCGTGTGCACAAGAAGATGACCACCGACATTGCCACCCTCCGCTTCTTCCCGGGCATATCGGCGCATACGGTCAAGTCCTTCCTCGCCCCTCCTGTCAAGGGTGCGATCCTTGAGACCTTTGGCAGCGGCAATGGCCCCAGCAACAACCCGGAGATTCTCCAGATCCTCAAGGAAGCCAGCGATCGCGGCGTTGTCATTGTCAACTGCACACAAGTAAGGACTTGCTACACAGATCGACGATTTGTCCGTCAGCAGAGATGTAGGTCGTCGGAGCTCACCTTCGTCCGGCTGCAGAATCGCATTGACAAGGATCCCGACATCTTTTGACGATCCAGTGTCGGCGAGGTCTCGTCACCGATATTTACGCCACGGGGAAAGCCTTGTTGGATGTTGGTGTGATTCCCGGATACGATATGACGGCAGAGGTAGGTGGCCACAGTCGATCAGCAGTGTTGTACATAGTTTGTTGATTGCGCTCGTGGTGGAGCAGGCTCGATATACAAGTCGGATTTCGGGCTGCGGAGCTTCACTGGCGAGAAAACCTCATGCACCGCTCTGCCACCGCAGCGGTACAACCGCTCCCCCGTCGCCGACTTGAAGCCTCCCTAACACTCTGATAACTTGCAACCGATTCAACTGCTCGTCAGTGTGCACTGGCCAAGCTGTGCTATTTGCTCACTAAGGGATATGGCCCCGAGGAGTGCCGCGGACGCATGAGGCTGAATCTGCGCGGCGAGCTCACGGTTCCGATCCGGAGCCAGCGATTTACCTACGAGCATCGCACACGTGGGCTCATCAACTCGGTTATGTCTCTCCTGGGCCACGGAGACAGCCTGCCCCGACGACCGTCGATCGAAGGTGTCTCCAGCAGACGCCCTGATACCCTGACCTTTGGCGAGCCCAAGCGAGATCCTGCCGAGATTGCATCGCTGGAAGTGAACCTGGTACCCTTCCTGCTCTGTCAGGCAGCGCGCATTGGCGATATCGTTGGAATCATGGAGGTCCTTGGCGAATACGAGGGACTAGTCAACGTGGGCGACTATGACGGACGGGTAAGTTGAGTGTACCGGGAGGAGCCGAGTGACCGCGATTGGAACATATGCATCACCCTGTTTCTTCCATCCGGGACGGCGCTGAGCCGCCGAGCGCCGCTATGAGAAATAACCCGCCCTGGGGCACACGAATGCCGATTGAGCTACTCGAGCCACGAAGGAGGGTGACTGCATTTCTTCCTCGATGGTGTCGGCTATCCGCTGTATCTACTGACGGCCCCACCAATGTGCCTTATCGAACCTGGCTCACAGACGCCGTTGCATGTCGCATGTAGCGAGGGCCAGATTGCCACAATCCAGTTCCTTTTGGGACGTGGGAGCAATGTTCACTCCCGAGACCGCTTTGGACACTCGGCTCTGTGGGACGCTGCCAGCAGTAGCAACCGCGAAGCTGTACAGCTGCTCCGGGACTGCGGTGCCCATTTCTCGGAGGAAGAGCAGTCCGAAGTTGTCATCAGACTGACCAGGTGGGTCCAGCAGCCTGTTGGCAAAACTAAGGCGCATCCAACAGCCTCTCACTCTATGCAGACACACCGAGACAATCTCGCGAACTATGGCTATACCTGCGGCGAGCTATATGCGATCCGGCTAACGAGCTGCTTGGCATCCACCAATCAGGGTCGTGGCTCTGGATGACGCCGGAACCCTCGCCGCTTTCAGCGTGGCCGGTGCCGACCTTGGTCGTAGAACCTTTGGCAAACTCGCCTTGATCCATTTGGTAGGGTGCTGCAGTCGCCGGTGATTAGGATCTGCGCCATATGAAAGGAGAGGGGAAGTTTATGTCGGATGCAACAGGCGGGCTCGTACTCATGCCCATGTTCCGGCTCTGGTTCTGGTCTGACCACAGGCCACACTCGAGAACCGGCTCAAATGCCTTCGCTTCCTGGTGGACGAGTCTCTGGCTCGACTCAGGGCCACGCCGGTCTCCGTCGCAGGCCTCGAAGCCACCCACTTATTGGACAGCATCGATCTCGAACCCCGCGATGTGTCTCAGAAGACGCCGCTGGCGATTGCACGGGAGCTCGGTCACCAGGAGGCAGCCAGGATCCTGGCCGAGGGCATCGACCAAACGCGCGCCCTGATTGGCTAACTTTGGACCAGATTGTCTTGGATTGCCTTGGAGCATGGCAAGGAAAGGACCGGTTGGGCGACGAGGCCTGGCCTCGGGAGGGACGGAAACATGCGTACTGTCGGGTCATCAATACAACGCCGCCCAGAGGGCGAGGCGTATGGAAATCAACCACTTTGTCAGTGTATCGCTGTGCTGTCCCTGGAGAAATCGCTGACGGTCTGGCCCAGCCCAAGGCTTCTTGGTCGTCTTGCAGCCATTCCAGCGACGACTCCGAGCTACGGCATCGGCGACAGCAACGGCAACGGCAACGGCAACGGCCCTGCCGACAGGCGGCGGAGCTCGGAACTTGCTGGGGTCGGCGATGGCACCGGTGTTGGCTGCACGCGGCGGTCTGTTGACCCAGCCACCCGTCGTGGTGGGCCGGCGCTGGGCAGTGACTCGCTCTGACTGACCCGCCAATCGGGGCGGGGCTATTTCTGCAGCCAGCCAGCCAGCCAGCCAGCCAAGCCAACTCCATCCCCTTCTGGCTCTTCCCTCTCCCTGGCTGCTCTCGCCATCATCCATTCCATCATCCATCCCATCTCCTCATCTTCTCCCAACCCCCGCAACATACGCATATAGCTGTTCGACATGACTTTGGAATCCAAAAACGTCATCCACAAGCTCCTTTCGTCGACAAAATGCTCGGACCTGCTTGGTGGGCTCGCCGGGCCCTACGGCACGTCCGCGCCGCCCCATCCCGTCTGTCTTGACTCTGAGCTCTCTGTGCAGGAGGGCTGTGCCGCCCTGGCTGCCCACAAGATCTCGTCGGCCCCGGTGTACGATGCAAAGGCCGGCGGCTTTGTGGGCATGCTGGACTACCGAGATCTGGCCACCTACGTCCTCGAGGTATTCCACAAGGTTCCCCATAGCCAAGTCCCGGTCGACGCGGAGCTGGTAAGGCCGATCGCTGCGTTCCGGCAATGTATGCTGTGCAATTCCCTCCCTTCGCCTCTTCCTCTCCAAAGGGCTTCCCAGCCATCTGCAGCCGACGGTACGGCGATCGTACTGTCCGGCCTGGTCGCGCGGCGTTGGCTCTGTTTTGCTGGATCATCCATCAGACCGCCTCCGTTCCCTGCCCGATCATTCGGCCGTCGTCCCCATTTGAGTCTGCTTTCGCGCGGATACGTTGGGAGGGCTGTTTCTTGGCTCGAAAAGGGAACCTGATCGATGGGCTGCAACTTCACATTGCCACCAGCAACGTGCAGAATGGCGATCAGGGAGCGGTCGCTTGGCGGCGCTGCCGACCATCTGTACTTGACCATCCTCTCTGTCTGGGATGGGCCTTTGGCCCTTGGCGCCATGCAGATCGAATCCCAGCGCCTTTTCTCACCATCCCCATCTTTCTCGATGTGATTTAGGAAATCACCGATATTGTCAAGCGGGCCGTTATGGACCGGCAGGGCGTTCCCGTCAAGCTGGTCAGCAACCTGTCCCACCGGAACCCGCTCGTCTCGGTGCAAGCGAGCGCCCCCCTAATTGATGCCGTCGAAGAGTTTGTCCGTGCCCGTGCCCACCGAGTGATCGTCCTGGAGCCCACCGAGGACGGCGGCCAGAGATTCATCGGTGTTCTGTCACAGTCGTCGATTTCGGCCTACCTGGCCTCGCAGTTCGGAAAGCTGTCCACCAACCGAGCCCTTATCGGAACTTGGGCGCTCGGCGAAAAGACCCTTGCGGACCTTGGCCTGGTCTCGGGAGATGTGGTCTCCGTGACCCAAGAGGATACGGTAAGTATCATACCGGTGCAGGATCCACAACGGGGCCTATCTTTGACCACCTGCTCACACCGCCGATCGCATATCCCGACACTACCGCTGCCTGCACCGCTGCTGATCTCCGCCCGTCGCATGCTCGCCCACCCTCGCTCACCCTCGATGCAATCGGCCTTTGCGATCTAGGTCCTCGAAGCCCTCTTCACGATGCACGACCGCGGAGTCTCTTCCGTTGCCATCGTGAGCCGCGCGGACGGATCGTCTGCGGTAAGTGTTGGGCGGCTGAAGTCGATCTTGCTCTTTCAGATGCTGCTTTCTGTTGAATATGCCCTGCGCAAACCGCGTCGTCTCGATAAACAATAGCTGCTGCACACTGCGTCGCTACAGCAGCTCGCGCCCTGAATCCCGACTCATCTAGTCCGTCTGTGGTTCTCTTGGCGATCTTCTGCAGCTCTGTGGCAGCATTGGCATGACCGATATCAAGGAAATCCTCGCCCATCGTGGTGGATGGCGCCGGCTGTTTGAGAACGTATTCCGATTCTTTGTCGAGTTGAGATCGGAGCAGGGCTTGGAGAATGGCGGCAACGATCGTGCCCCGTCATTCACCGTCCACCCCAGCACCACGCTCATCTCGGCCATCGAAAAAATGAGGTGAGTGACTGAATCGTCGAATCGCGGTGCTTGAGAGAGCAGCTGGATCGGCCATCGTGATCTGGCTGCATCTGGCAACTCTGCCTTGGTCTGCCGAATCAGCCAACTTCCCACTGATCCGTGGCATGCACCTGGCTCATGTATTCCTGGCTTACTGACTGCCGGTACGAATCCTGCGCTTCGCCACACGTCTCTGCGTCTTTCCTCATGGCTGATTCCGGCAACTCCAGCGCTACCCATACCCACCGAGTCTGGGTAGTCAACAACAACGGCGAGGTTGTTGGTGTCGTTAGTCTGTCCGACGTAATGAGCCGCCTCCTCTGAAGCGGCGTCAACCAAGACACATCCCCAAGCAGGTCAAGATAGCCAAAGCTGGATCAAGATCGCTCTCATGCCCCTCAACCAGGCTGCAGCGCCGTTGGCTTGAGCCTACTGCCAAGCCAATCTGATCAGAAGCCAGCCCGTCTAAGAGCAGCGACAAGATCTGTTTCCTCGTCCCTGTCTCGATCGATGCCTCCATCCAACTTCTGCAAGCAAAATTTTGCCTTTGCCTTTTTCCGATTCATAAACCGTGCCTTTGCGCTCTGATGGTGTGTCTGTCTCGAGCCCGTCCGCCGCCCTGTGCTGCGGCGGTTTCAGAGCACCTGCTTTTCCTCGTTTTTTATTGCTCTTTTCTTCTTCCTCAGTAAACCATCGATGTGAATCCTATTCGGCTTTGACTGATTGCCCCAGGGTGGTCGTTCGTGCACTATGAAAAAACCTCTTGTTAAAAAAATAAGCGAGAACGAAAAAACGCGCTCTCGGAGCCACCTCGGTCGGCGAGAAGAGCAGTCTCTGGCGAGAAGAGCAGTCTCTGGCGAGAGACCCCCGAGGGAAGGCGAGAAGCCTCTCGCCGTCACACACACACACACTTTGCACACACACACACACACACACACACACACACACACACACACACACACACACTTTGCAAGAGAGTCAAACACCTCCCATCGACCATCCCAAGAGGGATGGCAACCCCGAAGTGGACTGCCCAGAATATGGGCGACCCGGCATCCACTGTCAAAATGCACAAGGAACAAGATACTTACAGTCTATCCAGAAAGAAACGGGACAGATCCTTCCTGGCTTCTGAAGCCCGCTGACTGACTGTAGGCCCAGCGGGCAGGCCATGGCATTGCACTCCTGTCTTCGTTGGCAATCGAGTGGTTTTGGTTGGTTTGAGAAGCACAGTCTTGAATACACCCGGTCGATCTCCTGTGACGATGATCGACTGGCATACCGAGATCATGTTCCTGGCTGCATTGATGTCTCGATCCCACAGCGTATGACAGCTTGCACAGCTCCGGACAAAGTGTGGTTTCTCGACATCAAGATGCTCGACCTTCTCGAGTCGCTTGGCTTCCCGGCAATGTGAGCACACCTGGGATGTGTTGAACTCGTTCACCGAGCACACATGGATCTTGGAGATGGATCGGTCTGGTGGTCGTCTCCGGTGGTGGTGGAACTGCTCAAAGTACTTGACAAACCTGAGTCTCCTGGGACTGGATGTGTATCCCTTCCCTTGTTTCCAGGATGCATTCCCAAAGGCAATCACCACCTCGGTCTCCCTTGGTGCCTGGTCAATGACTCGCTTGCACATCTCGTGGACGGTGCGCTGTCGCTTGCTGTGGAGATCGAGTCGCTTGAATCGCCGTCGCCGGGTCAGGCTGAAGTACAGCTGTTTCTCCAGCATGTCTCCATCGAACACATGGCGAATGTATCGCAGGAAGGGATCCAACCCAGGGATCTTGGGACTTGGTGTGGTGCTCATCCATTCCTGCAGACCAAGTATATTGTGGGTGCTCTGGATCCACTTGGTCGCCTGGGTGGTGTCTTTCTCTTGCGGGGAGCCATCTGGCGTGAAAATAGCGACGATGGCTGGTTCTGCCCTTGGGGAAGAAAGAATCTCCTCAAAACCAGCGCATTTTGGGCTGGCAGAGATACTGCACAGTGGCGTCCTTGATTCAGATCCAGAAACGCATCGCTCGCTCAATCAGTCGTGGGAAGACATCTTGTCAAGGTGAGTCTTGCCTGATAGCCAAACGATCATGTCATCTCGCTGACACACAGCCACGCTTGACTAGGTTTCCAACCAGAGAGATTCAGACGGTGGTGGTTCTTGTCCGCAATCGGAGTGGAGCTTCCAACAATGATACAATTGGTCATTCCTCCACACCAATCGCCCACCACCACCGTCAATCGGCTCAAGACGATACCAAATGCCGTCAACCGACCATGGCCGGATTCCAACTTTTGCTGCGCCACATCCAACGTGACTTTCGGGTGACCGAGATGAGCAGCCGCGAGGGGCCGGAAAAAATTGATGGTGGTATGCTTGCGATCCAGGATTGGGCTTGATCTCTCTCCCGCTCTCGCCCGGCATCTCGCTGTTCTCGCTGGGGCTCTCGCCTCGGGCCCAAAATAGCGGTGGCGCCCGTCACATGAACTGGGTGGCGACGGCGCGCGGACACAGAACAGCATCCGCCGGTGCCACAGTGTCGGTCCCGTGCTCCCCACCTGACTGCGCTGCAGCTGGCGCACACACAGACACTGTTGCTGCGCAGCGCAGAGAGCCCCGCGGCGCTACACAAGACGCGCCGGCCAAAGGAAAAAACGCGCCGCCTTGTGCTGCATTCCTGGCCGTGTGCTGCCTGTGTGCTGCCTGTGTGCTGCCTGTGTGCTGCCTGTGTGCTGCCTGTGTGCTGCCTGTGTGATGCCTGTGTGCTGCAGATTCATTGCCTATTTAAAGCCCTGGGTCGCCCCTCGCTTGGTTCGTCGTCGCTCTCCCCCCTTTCCCAGCCGCTCGACCGCCAGCCGGCAACCTCACCTCCCCGCCCATCGCATCGCACCACATCGCATCGTAGGAGCAAGCTCCCGCCACTATACCTCAGCATGTCCACCCGCCGTCTCTCCATGGCCTCCACTGCCCAGTCCGAGGCAGATGAGGAGTTCCAGGCAAAGCTGGTCGCTGCCGCCAGTGCTGCCCAGGCCAACCCCGACAAGGCCGCATCCGACATTCAGGCGCTGGTTTCGCAAGAGTATCGCAACCGACTGACCATGGCCGCCGAGGAAGGCGACGTCGAGGCCCAGGTTTCGCTGGCTCAGATGTACATTGCCGGTGCCCCCGAGTTTGGATTCACCATGGACGAGGACAAGGCCTTGTTTTGGTGCCAGAAGGCTGCTGAAGCGGTAGGTGGAATCCTTGGGCCTGGCTCGGTCGGGTCTATTGGTGCTCTGGGGCTGCGTCGCCGGGAACATATCGATCGTGATGGTGGTGGTGCTGGTGCCAGTTCTGGCGGGCACCGCTTGAGCCAGAAGCCGCGGACTCTCTGGGCCTGTGGAAAGAAAGACTGGTGGCTGTCGATCCCGGGGGTCTGAGATCGGCGCTGATTGTGCTGACGACGATCTGGTGTCCCCCCCCCTGCCTTTCCCCAGAACAACGCCGAGGCCCTGTACCTCCTGGCCCGGTTTTATGAATCGGGCTTTGGCGTTCGAAAGGACGAAGACGAAGCCGTGAAGATCTACTACAGGGCTGCTGACTGTGTAAGGCCATAGTTACTGTGCCGCTTGGTCGCTGCCATCGCCTGTCAACGGTGCCGTCCAAGAAAGCCGTTCGCGTCGCTGCCGGTGCCTATAGCACAATCTCCCCTCGCCAGTTTTGGGAACGACACAGCTGACAAGGTGCTTGCTTGTTCCGCGCCACATGTCCTTGGATATACAGGGCAGCGCCGATGCTCAGTACATGCTTGGCCAGATGCTGGAAATGGGCGACCCGCATGTTCTCAAGGACGAGTCCAAGGCTGTTCACTACTACAGCTTGGCTGCCGACCAGGTACGTCTGCAGCAGCCACCCGTCACTTGTGCGATGCCACCTCGGTGCGATGGTCGACGCCATGAGCCCGCTCTCCTGCTCGATCGCTGCAACGATACTCACATATGGCATCGTTTCTTGGGGCCGTCTTGGACCCGTGGCGATACCAACGACCGCCTTCTTGGGCCTGCGCTCTATTGACATCATCTCAGGCACACTCCGATGCCGCCTATCGCCTCTCGGTCTGCTACAAGAAGGGCAAGGGCGTGCATGCCGACGAAGACGAGGCTCTCAAGTGGTCCCACCGCGCCGCCGTCACTGGCAACCTGGATGCCTGCTATTCGATGGGCATCACCACGATCTCCAGCTCGGCTGGAGACTGGCAAACCCTGCAGCGCGGCATGCTGTGGCTCGAGCGTGCTGCCGATCGTGGCCACACCGACGCCTTCGATATGCTCCAGACCACGTACTCGACCGTCAGCAAGACCCAAAGCGATCGCATGAAGACCCTGCGGCCCCTTGCCGAGCAGGGTGACTCCAAGGCTCAGCTGGAGCTTGGCCGGCTCTACAAGACCGGTATGAAGGACCCCGACTCGGCGGCTGATGTTTCCAAGAAGTGCGCCATGCTCTTCTATCAGTCAGCCACCCAGAGCAGCTCGGAGGGCGAGTACGAACTGGCCCGCATGTACGACTTTGGTGTTGGCGATGTCAGCAAGCATCTGTTCAAGGCCGCCTGTTGGTACATTGATTCGGCGCGCCAGGGCAACAACGTCTTTGCGATCCTGGCCCTTGCCGACCTGTTCCAGAAGGGCGGAACGGCCGACTCGCACGGCCACCAGTTCCCCAAGGACCCCGAAAAGGTCGCTCTCTTGCGCGCCAGCGCCATTGCCGTGCTCGACGGAGAGAAGACCACCCTGCCCAACCTCGACCTGCCTATCGATGTCGAGCGTTTCCTCGAGGGCGAAAAGTCGGATGCCAAGCAGCGCTTCAGCCGCCAAGAAGCCCGCAAGAACGCCGCCAACGATACCTCGAGCCTGAAGAAGGAGGTTTCCAGCAGCCTGTGGTGCTGCTTCTGATGTAGCAACACTAACACGCGTGTTGTCTCGTGCTGCCGAAGATATGCCACGACCCCTTCCCCGTCCCGATGTCGCCTGCTCCCGTCAGTGCAGCTATGGCTCCCTCTGTCTTTGCTTGTGTCGCCAACGTTCTTTTTGCTGCCTGGCTTCCTTTCTTTGTAGCTCAGTCCGTCGTAATGTGTGATGGATTATCTGTCAGTGGCCTGCGTCTACTTGCCAAATCTCTGTCGTTTCAGCATCTTTTATTGACGTTGCAGGCTCGATGGCGGTCCGTCCAACAATCAAATGGCCGTGCTCGCCGTTGTTCGGAGATGGCGGTGGACAAACCACACGATAGTTACACTGTATGTCTATTGTGTCCCTAAACCCTTCACATCCCTCTCCGCTTGTTGCCCAGTTTGATATTCTTGTCCCAGCCTCTCAATGTATACAGCTACGACTTTGCAAACGGATTTGGACGTAGTTGACTCGGGCGGGTATCAGCGGGGGGAGGATGGCGGGATGGGGGCAGTCCGTGCTGGAGAATCGGCATGGAACACATGGTTTGCGGCGCCGGCTCATAACGCATCCATCTCGGCGACCACCATCAAAACGGTCAGTGTCCCCAGTTGTATCTGTCGCTTGCACCCGAACACACTCCCATCCGGACGAGAGAAATGATCAGCGAAGCAAAATACGGGGTGATTATATGTTTTTTTTTTGTGTATTTTGGGGAGCTGATGGGTGGGGAAGAGGTTACGGCAGACACAAAGGTGGTAACAACATATCGTCGTATGTTCGGAACGAAGAGTACATGGAATTATTTGCAAATACCAACATCAACAACACCAACGCGGCTGCGACAAGCACAACGAGCACAGAGATCAACGAATTCGTTGAGTGGGAGAGGGGCATCGAAAGAAACGAAGCACGGGAGTGAGGATAGGGATGGCTGAAATGGGATGGAAGTGAGGGATCGGGTGGTCTAAGAAAACGGAGAGGATGTATCGAGTGGGGCAAGTTCAATATCCCGCAATAAATATGCATATAATGGAGAAATAAAAGGTTGGAGGAAAAAAAGGGGGCGCGAGAGGAGAGGAGAGCAAAGGGCGCAAAGTAATGCGGGTGCTGCAAGAGAGGCAGCGAGTGCAGAGTAGTAATAGAGAAATGAATTGGCTGTGGAACCAACTGAAGCCCGTGGCAAAAGAACCTTGCCTTGAGGAAGGGGAAAGAGAAAGGTGATTATTTACAGATGGCCGAGGATACACGCGCCTCCTCCTTCGCACCAGACGCACCAGGCGGCATCCAGCGACATTTCCGTATCGACCGGGTCGTATCCGCCAAGTACCGGCGCTGCGGGTTCGTGTGCGTGATGCGACTCTGGGCCGCCCTGGGTCGGTTGCATGAGAGTTGTTTGACGTGCGCTGGGATAGAGGAGCCCCTTGGTGGGCATGTGGCCGTGCGGCCAAGATGTGCGTGCCTCGCGAGAAGACGTAGCCGGTGGAGAGTGCATACAGTGAGGGCTAGCATCGTTCTTGTCGTGCTTGGTGTCGTCGTCGGACAAAAGTTCGTCCATACGAATGACGGACGTCATGAAGTTTTCGTCCTGGTCGTGGAGATCCGAGTGGAACAGCGACATGCTGCTACCGGAAACGTGCGGGTCGGAGGGAACGTCCCATGCCGTGGGTGGCACATCGACGTCCTCCGATACAAACAAGTCCGGCACCTTGGAGGAGGTTGCATCGTAGGTGCCACAGATGGAGATTTCCGGTGAAATAGTGACCTTGAGCTGTGGAAGATCGTTGGACGCTCGGACGCGATGCCCATCGTAGGCCAGGTCGTGGTTGCTGAACAGGTAGTCCATGTCGTCGTCCGAGCTCTCCAGATGGTGCTCTGCATCGTCATAGATGGCCTGGATGTTGTTGAAAATGTCGGTGGAGCCCAACATTCGAGGTTTGGACGCAGATGTGCGCCCGAGGATGCGATGGTAGTCGCTCAAGGACTTGGGCTCGATGTCGTGGGCCTTCTTGGGAGGCAGGGACAGAGCCTTTGGACCGTCTGATTTGCAAGGGCGGCCGCGGGATAGAGGCGCAGGCTGGGGCTTGATGTTGGATTTTGCCTCGCGGCGAGCAGCAGCGGGGGTCGGGGTGGCTGGGGGCGCCAAAGTCGCTGTCGTCTTGGACTCCTGGGCCAAGTTGGGATCGGTCGGGAATTGGATGCGACCGCGCTTCCACTTGACACCACAGCCGTTGCACAGGGGCGAGAAGCCCGGTGGGCCGCTTCGCCACATCGGGGTAGTCGTGGTGAAGCAGTGGCTGCACGATCGGCTCTTCTTAAGAGGAACAGGTGTCTTGGCGGGAGACGGCAACACCGAAGTCGCAGCGGCAGGTGGGGCGGCCATACTTGATGCAGGATCCGGCACCTTGGGAGCAGCAGCCGGGGATGCGTGAGCGAGGGCATCGACGAGACACGCGACCGCAGATGTAGGTACAGCTGCAGATACAGATGCAGACGCAGACGTCGATGTCGATGTCGATGTGGTTTCCGGTGCTGCCACCGACGTTTGTGCAGCTCCGAGGGTAAAGCACAGGTCTCCGGGCGCTATGTCTCGGCTGACGAGAGGACTCGTTGGAGGTGAAGGCGGAGGCGACTTGAGCGGCGAGTGGACCAGGAGACTGGACGGCGCCTTCTCGTGCTTCGGAGATAAGCAGTTAAGATCAGTGGGCTGCAGCGTTTTGAAAATCTTGGGCGAGTCCGTTGTCGTGAGCTTGGCTTCCTCTGGAGCCGGGACACGAAGCGGAGCCTTCAAGGGGTCGTTCTCACCGGCACCGAGAGATGATGCGCGATCCTTTTGAGCTTTGCCACCACGTCGTCTGGGCTTTGAGAGCGATGGCGAAAGTGGTTCAGGCTCGTCGTCGACACGAAGCGGGGATCGCTTCGGGGTGGTGGGATAGACCAGCTCAGACGGGTCCAGGGGCCGTTTTGGCGGCTGAGGGGAGGCCAAAGGGAGCATCTTCGAGAGATGTGAGTCGAAGAACAGCTCGAGGTTCTTGCTCATCTGGAGCAAGCGGGGGTGCGGCTCGCACAGGCGCTGGGCATTACGCAAAGCGAGGCGGATGTCGTCCACAAACTCCAGCAGCGAGGCGTAAGCATGCGAGGCCAGACGCCGCTCAATGGTGTCGAGGTCGAACACACAGGCGGGGTCAGGGGAAAGGTCAGGAAGATTCCAGTCCTTTGGGTCGAGCGGGAAGAGGAAGGGACCAGCATCAGCGTGACGTTGAAGATGGTGAAGGATCAACAGACCCAGCTGATGCTGGTCGGGAGAGAGAGTATGTGGAGACGGATCGCTGGGAGTCATCATCGGAGCGGAGGGTGTCCGGATCCCACCTGCAACGGGAGAAGTCGCCCCGGGCTCGAGCACGCTCGAACGAAGGTCGGGGTCGATATCGGCGAGTCCCGTCATAGAGTGAGTCGGAGACGAGGACGGGGAGGAGGGGTACAGCGGAGATCGCTTTGGGCGGGCATAGGGCGAGAAGGAGGGGGTAGGGGTGACAGAGAGGGTGGAAAGATGACTCGAGGATGACCTATTGCGAACCGCAACCATCTGGAAGAGAAGCAGAGTGGATGTTGAGAAACACAGGAAACAGTGAGCCACCGAGGCTGGCCTGGAGTTGTGAGGAAGGGGAAGCAGAGAGGAAGCCAGGCTTTTGTTCACCCGAGATAGAGTGAAAGGCGAGCGAAGCGCAAGTCTCCCACAGGCGAGCAAGTAAATAGGGACAGGCGAGGCAGGAAGCGGCGGGTGCAGAGAGCGCACACGAGACGGCAAGCGGGGCCAACCGAGAAATCAGAGCAAGAGGAGCAGCAGGAGGCGCAGACAAAGGATGTGCGGGCCAGGAACCCCAACGAACAGCCAGCGACTGGGGGAGGGGAACGGAAGACCGAGGGACCGGGAGGAGCAGCAAGTCGAGCGACACAGAAAGCTCTTGGCGATACGAAAGAATATGTCTCGCAGCGAGCCGATTGCCAATGCAGAAAAAAAAACAGTGCAGGGGTCGAAGACGCAAGCAAGAAACAGGGTCGCGACAGATGGAAAATGACGACCAAAGGACTCGCGAGGCAGGGAGGAGGATATGCGACAAGAAACAGGGGCAAGACCGTTTCGGCCTATCGAGCAGCCGGTGGGTGGAGACGAAGAAGAAAAAGGAGACGGACAGACACCCTCACGAAGGCGGGTGGGAAGAATAGGACGAGACGAAAGTCGATGCTCACACTCAGTTATATGCCCTTGAGGTCGAATGGCGAACAAGTTGGGAAGGACCCGCTGATGCAAGTGGACAGACGAGTACAACTTCACTCTCGCTCTGGTTGAGCAGCTGTCGGCTGAGACGAAGGAAGGGCAGGAGGAGGTCTTGTCCTTCAAGGCGTCCGAACAACAGCAACAGGGGCGGAAGGCTTGACGGGAGGAGGGCTGTCGAGGGACGGTCGGGACCATTGGACTGTTGAAATCGCGAGGCGCCTGAAGAAAAAAAATGTGAGCGGGCGAGGCGTCGGAGCGAGGCGGCGGAAGACGAGAGAAGACCGGCGAAGGCGAGAGGGGCGGAGCGAGGCGCGGCGAGGGCACGGGCGAGGGCACGGGCGAGGACGCGTGGGTGCGGGGCAAGGGCCAGCGAGAGAGCCATGAGCGAGAGCCGCGAGCGGACAAGCGAGGCCGCGGCGAGAGCGGCGGACCCCGGCGCCGTGCCGCTGCGGCGGACTGCACCAGAATGAAATTCATTTCGGCGGATACAGCCGCGCGGTGACACAGCGGCCGCACACACACACACACATGTGCTGGACAGCCGCCCGGACACGGCGCGCCAAACTGGTTTCGCCTGTGCTTCCAGCCCGCGTGCCGCGCCACACCCGCGCCACACGCTGTCCGAGCCCTGGTCAGCCGGGCACCTGACCCGGTCCTGGCTTGCTGCTCCCCGTCCGGCTTCTCGTCCAACTTCTGGTCCAGCTTCCGGTCCAGCCTCCCCGCCCCGCGTCCTGCTCCATCGGTCTCGCCTTGTCCTGCTTCGCACCGCATCCATGGACCTCCCCGTCGAACGAACCGAGCGTTGGATTTCCATCGGCTCCGCCGAGATCTACAGCTTGGAGTGGAAGGTATATCGACCCCGGCTGGTGGCGACAGCCAGCGTGGTCGGCCGAGTCGCTGCCGTGGTCTCACCCACTCGCGATGCCGTGCTTGCTCTCAGCGCCGAGTCGAATGCTCAGACGAGGAGGCAGGCGTGCCCGACATATGCCCGTCATCTACCCGTCATCTACCCGTCATCTGCCCGATATTCACGCCCACTTGATATCCCCCTCCGCCGACGCGATAGCCCAAAGAGACTCCCGTCGTCGCAGCCATCCACTTTATCCACGGGCATGGTGACCACATGTCTCGATACGACGCCGTCCTGGGCCCAATTGCTGCCCAGAACGGCTTCTATATCCGCGGCATCGACCAGAGGGGCTTTGGCGAAACAGGGACAAGATCCAAGTCCATGGGCAACTGCCAAGGTTGGCTTGTCTCTGTCGTCTTTCCTGGCCGCACGGACTGTTTAGCCGTTTGCCGCGAGGATCGTATCGTTCGGGACCTGACCTTCCTGCTTCGATAGGAATGGATGTGTCGCTGGGCGACATCGCCCACATTAGCGCGTTGATTCGCAACGACTATCCAAGTGTCCCGCTCTTTCTCATGGGATACTCACGAGGAGGGGCTCTTGCTCTGCTCCACGCCTGGAAGCAGCCAGATATCGTCCGGGGAGTCATTGCATTGTGTAGGTTTTGCGAGAGCTTGGGGCCAGCCCAACTCCGGACAACGTCCTATGATCCATCTGGTCGCCTGTCTGGCTGAGCACATTCGAGTCAGAACATATCCTTTGGACGTTGGCAGAGTCACTCACATCCATTTTTTGCATAACCGGGATGTGCGAAGCTCCTCCTCTGGCCGGGCCAAACCCTGGCTTTGTCGCCAAAACAGCACTGTTCCTGCTCGGGTCGCTGGTGCCAGGCTTCGTCATGGATACGGGCAAAGGTTGTTTTGGCGAGGACGCTCGCTCCTCCTGCATCCCATCTATGCATCGGCCCGTGTATGCCAACCACAGGCTTGGTCCGCGGTTCTGCTCGCTGACCGCTCATCTCTCGTTACCCTCGTTTCAAGATGCCACCCCGGTCACACGAAACTCGGATCTGTACGAGTGGCTCCTGAACGATCCTCTCAACACATCAAAGATTTCAATCGCTACAGGTTAGCGACCTTGTGCCTCCATTCCTGTCTCATAATGCGACCAAATGCATTCGCCACTGTATCGATCGGCTGATACAACTCATTTTGACCACCTCCACTCGGTGGCTCCACGCTCTTTGGATGTCACGTCTCCTCGCCGATCCTTCAGTGAGAGATATTCTCTGCACATTCCCTCCTCTGTTCGATAAGGACGTTCCCGAGGCATTGGAGTGCCCTTTGTTGGTCCTCTTTGGCGGCGACGACAAGATTGTGCCGTGAGTCTCGACTGCGCACTCCCTTACCGCGCTGTTTGCTCTTCAGTTATCGCTCATTCGTCGCTTAACATTCGTACCGGCGGTGGAAAATGCCTGCTGCACAATGCAGACCCGACTCGGGAAGGAAATTTGTTGAGAAAGCAAAGTCGACGGACAAGACCTTCAAGGAGTTTCCTGGGGCTCGCCATTCATGTAGGTTTCAAGCCGCGAGTCGAGGAGCTGTGCCGCGGCCTTGAGTGGCCATCTACTTCCGTCCTGGGTGCGACAGGCATCGACTCAATATTCGGGAGCGGACATGCAACGCAGTGTCGAGTCTGTGATGGCTCTCTCCGCACACTCGGCCGTAGCACTGTGATCTCTGAACACATCTCTTTCGGGTGGCAAACGCAGTGCTCTTTGAGCTTGAGGAGACCAAACTCGCTGCTATCGACACCCTGTCTGGCTGGATCAAAGAAAGGATTTAACGGTAAAGCACTTCAATGGACGGCGCGTCCATTCGAAACCTGTGCTTGGCAACCAGCTCAGTGATGGCAATTGGAGAGACAACGTCGCTGACACAGCATGCCCACGGGCGCCAATATGACTCGGATCGATATTGAATTGAGCCTCTATCCAAGGGTAGCTCTAGATCGTTGGCTAGACGCGGGGCTGCACGGCTCTCCGTGAGTAGTTGCGTCGTGGCCGTATGATTGCATCGATCGAATACATCATCAGCCTCATCAAGAGCAATGGCATGGTGGCTCTTTGGCGCTTGGTAATGATCGGGTTACTTTCACCCGAGGCGACGATGGCTGCACGGAGTGGCCGGCCACCTGTTGCCACAAACTATCAGGGCTTCGGACACATTGTTTCTGTAAGGCGGGGCCTGTACTCCTCTGTTTTGTATTATGGGTGCTGGCACCCTGCACTGTGCATCGAATGACTGTCTGCCTCTGCTCAAGTCTCGAATGTCAAGGTGGATGTACCGTTTACCAAATTGCTGAATGGGAGCTCGAACGGATTGATCCACCAGCTACACACATTATAATTGTCTCGGGAAGGCTCACGGATGGCACTCAGCTTGTCTCGTTGGGGCTAGCAAGCTTGACAAACACATCTGCAGTTGAGACCCAAGTTCCGCTCAGAGGTCCCTCAGTGATGTTTCCTGTGGCAATGAAGCTGCTGCCGCAATCCATCATCAAAGCACTTGTGAGTCCAGCCACGGCGCCGCTGATTCGAGGATCCGTGCTGTTCTGCACATCCTGAACAAACAGGCGGATGCACTCCGTGCACGCTGCCTTGGATTTTGCGACGATTCCCACGGGTGGATGACTCAGCTGACTGGCGATATCGTCCCAGCAGAACTGCGATAGCGGCGAGATCCACGCGATGAAAGTAGAGGGCAGTCGATGCACGCGTGAGACCGGCGACAATGGGACCTCAGGCGTTCGCAACCAATGAGTATCAATCGCAACCACACTCGGTCTCGACTCTCACGATCCCTGCATCGTCCCTTTGGGCCTTGGTATCACATGAATCCAGGTCACAAACGCATGGTGCACGGAATGGCCTCCATGATCGTGAGGGTCGATGATCTGTTGATACATACGTGGCTGGTCGCGACACTTGCATAGCAGAATCCAGTTGTCTTGCACAGTTGCAGGCCGCTGACGGGACCGGGCAGTGTCTGTTCCGCTCGGCGATCCTGTTGGACATCAAAAAGATGAGTGATGCGAATGATACGACTGAACACCTTGAAGTACTGGCTGGAGCGCTCAAAGGCCTCAAGGCCGACATCTCTCGCCGACCTTTGCCCAAGCGAGTCCGAGGTGGCTGAATGATCCCAGTGGAGCAGAGGAGCCAAGCTGAGCCAGCGAGCAAAGGAACGCGGCCAGTCCCCAGAGTGCGGTTTTCATGCTGCCAGGTGATGGTTTGAAATCAGAGCTTGCCCACCAAAAGGCTCCGGGTATTGCTTCGGTTGTATTGACGATCAAGGTCAAAGCCGATCCAGCGAGCGACGGACATGCAGCAGGTGTGCCTTATCCGCAAACGAACACCATGCACCAGACGGCCGCTCAACACTTCGGGATGGCGCCGGCGCCAACTCTTGGCGGGTCTGGTGCCGGGACATTGACGCTGTACTGCTCGAGACAGGCGGCCGATGGCGGCATCCGATGGTCCAATCCAAGGTGCCAGGACCAGAGCCAACCAAGCAGAAAGCAGATGGCCTGGGCTGGCAGATGGCCTGGGCTGGCAGACGACCGACCTCGGTGATGTTGTCTGATGGATGTCTGCTGAATCGGCGCCAGACACGTGCCGGCCCAGGAGCTGGGTCACGGGGCAGCTGCTGCCTCTTTCGGCCTGTCTGTGGCACCCGAGGCCGAGGCCGTGCTGCCGCTCTCTCGCCATACTCTCGCCATGCTCTCGCCGGGCTCTCGCTGCATCTCACCGCGCGAGGCCGCATGCCTTTCCTCCCACGATTCTTTTGCGCGGCCCGCTGGGAGCCTTCCTTGCTCCTCCTGCTTGGCCCGAGCTGCCCAGCTCCTCCTGGTATGCTGCTGCATCGTCTGGAGCTCGCCCTGCTCTACCAACGCCCTGCGTGGCACCTGCTGTCGGCGCTAACCCTCGAAAGGATATCGCCCGGCTCTGGCCGGCTTGCCGCCACCACTGCCCGTGCCGCCTCTGCGTCCCTCCGACAATTCCATCCGGCTGCTGTCTCTGATCCGTTTGTCCATCCCGCTTGCTCCTCCTCATCGTCCACAAAGATCTCCGGGAGACCCCATGGCTCCGGCTCCACCTCCGGTGCCCCGGACATCCCTGTCGTACGTAGCCATGCTGATCGCAGCGTGAATTGTGGCTCGGTTTCGGTTCATGAGAATATCCTCGTGTGGGCTGGTTCGGCTCAGTCGATCGGTTACTCGGCGGAAGGCTTATCCTTCTGTATCCCTCTGTATCCCATCGGACGGTGCCGAAATTGTTCCTGCGTCTCGGTCAACTCTTTTGTCTCGGCCATCGACATCGACCGTGGAAACGGTGCAAATACGGCTGGCAACGACGAATCCGTCACCCCACAGCATCATAGCTGCACAGGAGCGGGAACTGAGGTCCATGATAAAGGATGACATCTCGATATTCGACAAGGCCATCAACCAGCTTCGACTCGAGTACGTGGTGCGAGCGGTCCGATGGTCCAGTATCGCATCATTGTGACCAGATGCCCGTTGCCGAGGCTGGCAGGCGAATATCCTGCGCCGCCGCCTCAACCGAGTCTGGTCGCTCATGGGGGATGAAGAGCAAGCTTGCGGACAGAGCGTCACGCTGAATCCTCTTCCTCCCAACTCTGTTTCGGACATATCCGGCCAGGCTTCGGGGAAACATCGAGTCGTTGATACTTCGTGAGTTCGAGCTAGCGCTCTCCAAGGACCTGGAGGCCACACTGTGGAAAGTCATCCACTACAGGGTTATCGATGAGTTTCGGAAAAAGCATCGGCATGTAAGTCTAGTGAGCTGTTTCCAATCAGTAACCTGCCTCCACCGAATTCCTGCCGAGGGGACCGTTGCTTTCGCCCCAGCACCTCCTCCTCCCGAACATCATTCTCATGTACACCGTACCTCTGTATGCTACGATGGTGTGGTCCCAGCTTTCGAGCCAGAAGAAACCGTCGGCCTCAGCTGCACGGGACGGCCGAGAGCTGCGCCAGCTCACGGCTCAGTTCCGAAGTTTTCTGACCGAGTCCGAGGGCTTCTATCTGGACTTGATCGTCAAACTCGCCGCTCGCTTCCGACTGCAGCCTGTCACCGATAAAGTCATTGTGCCCTTCCGAATGGACTTTGAGCGCCTTGACCAAGGTTATACCATGCTCTGCCCGCTGCTCTGTTCAACGCTTCTGCTACGGCCGACGCTTGGTGTAGCCGAGTGGGCCCAAATGCGGCCTCCGATCCACGATACTGCCTCTGTGTGCATCGGCACAGTGTCGGCACAGTGTCGGCACTGAGTCGCTGTTGGAGGTGCTCAGGCGATCATCGTTGGCGAGGTGGTCATCGTTTGTGAGGCGTCATTCACCTTGGGCTCATGTATCCGATCCATTGTCTTTGCCCGCTTAGATCCCTGTGCAGACGATGAGTTGACACCCGAGCTTCAGCACAAGGTTTTACTGGCCTGTCATCGATCTCTCATCTTTCTCGGTGATCTGGGTATGTGTCCGCTGCGAGCTGGCGGTAATCTATGCGAGTGAACAAATGAGGCTCGATGGTTTCACAGGGAAGAGAGCATCGGCGCTCACCTCTCTCGGACCAATATCCCCCCTGTTGTAGCGCGGTATCGAGAGATTCATGCCGAAAAGAAAAGGAAGAACTGGACGTCCGCTCGCAGATTCTATGCCATTGCACTGTCGCTCGCTCCTGGAAACGGAAATCCCTTCAATCAGCTCGCCGTCATCGATACCTATGACGGCAATGCCGTGAGCGCAGTCGAGTCTTATTTCCGGAGCCTTGCCATCGAGCTTCCGTTTCCTACTGCTCGGGGTAACTTGGCCCTCTTTTTTGAGAAAGAAAAGAAAAAGTGGGAAGTCGAGTTGGAGCACCTCAACGGCGAGAAGAAGACCAAGGTCCATGGCAGAAGCATCCTCAAGAGCCAGGTCGCCGAGCTCGTCAGCTCGTCAGATGTGCTGAAGAGCTCCTCCGGAGCGATCTTTTCATTTCTTGTTCAGTTTTTCAGCCTACACAGCAGTATCTTTGGGAACGACGAAAAGTAAGGCCCATCGTTCCCACGATTACGTGTCGTTTTCCGGTGCAGCCCGCTGTATCATAGCGTCTCCAGCCCGACTTGCAGCCAGCAGGATGCCCTTCCTCTCCCAGTCCACCATGCGTCTATCTGATCGACCGCTGACGCTACACCTTTGCCACAACACAGCCTCTCGCTGTTTTCGAGCACCATAATCCAGGTCGAAAATGGCTTTCCAGAATTCCTGAGGCTCATTCGCGCATCTCCTGCTCCCGGCGATCTGATCTTCAAGCTCTTTACGATCAATATGAGCTCGCTCTTCCTGCATCAGCAGAAGATCCATCAGTTGAGCGGACCAAAGGCAGGCAGCAGCAAGCTCTCGCTGAGCAATCGGCAGCCTCCCGCAGCAGGTGAAAGCTCGTTTGTTGCCACCAAGAACTTTTCCAAGGGCAAGCACATGGCAATCGAGCAAAAGGTGGTTCAGTTGATCTACAAAATGCTTCAGTCAGTCATTGAATTCATCATGACAGATCCTGACGGCAGCGATGATGACATCGGCAGCCAGTGGAACGAATCTCGGTTCAAGATGGGCTATATGACTCTGTATCTTGGCCTGAAGTGGGTGTACGCGCGGCAGCAACAGCATTCCGTAGCCAACGACTCCAGTGGCTCGCAAGCCAACCTGGTCGCGAATCCGACGTCCCTTTCGCCGATCTGTGACTTCAAGAACACGTACGGATTGGCCACCGGCGCCTCGAGCCGGTCGGACTGGACAACAAACAACTTTTGGAATGCTCTCGAGCAGCTCTTTGGCCGTCTCCGGTCCGTGGCTCAAGAACGTGGCCGCGACTGCGGGTTTTCAGAGCGCTGTAGCGACAGCGATGCGAATGAGACGGCGCCTGTATCTTCGCGCGATGACTCAGGCCCGCAGGGCTCGTCTGCGTCAGTCTCATCCCAAGCCCCAGCAGTGAAGGCCGTGGGTCCGCCGCGGTCGCCAGAAGGTCTCGAAATCTCTGGATTTGCGCCCCTTATGCTTGTCACCCCCTTTGCCGGCACAGATGCCCAGCAGCACAAGACTGGAGGGAGCCATGTACCGACGGCGTTCTCACTCAGTGCTCTTGGAGCACCTGGCCGCGAGCGACACTATGATGTGTCCGTTTACGACGAGTTTGATATTCGCATCTTCTGGATGGTCGACGATATCGAGGCAGTGCTGCTTGCAAAGGTGAGGATCGCGCTGTGGATGCAAGTGTGCCAGCAAAAAAATAACCTGAGCCAGACTTCTGATGGATCTCTGTTTGCTCCAGCCGCAGGAATCGCTCGATCCGTCCCCGTCGACAACCGATACAGCCCAGAGTCGATTTCCTTTCTCGTAGTCATCACGATCCCATGGGCCTCGCCAGACCAGCCTACCAAGGTGCTCGATCTCCGACATTTGACGCACAGAACGAAGCCCACGGGACACACTCTTCTCAGGACAATCCGCCTCTGCGGATAGCAACATCCAGCAGGCCAAAGTCTGGCCTCAGTAGCCCCACTCCTGATGCGGGCAGCGTTCACCTCACCGATGACACCCTCGATCGGACGTTCAAGTCGAGACGGACATCCAACGGAAGTCCGCTGGCAAGCGTCGCCAAGGCAGGATTTGCCCGTGCACGGGCAACCTCTCCCATCATCCATCATCACCAGCAAAACATTTGGGGTGCACCGATCTCGACTGGATTTCCAAATGGGGAGCCCACCGACCTGCTCAAGTTTGATCACAAGCACATGAGGACCAAGAGCTCAATCTCGTCTCTCAAGACACTTGATCATCTGGCGGAGCCTGAGAATGCCTGCTCCTCGAGGCAGTCTCCACTGTCGCCAAATTCAATGCATTCTCTGCCACTGGAGTGCCCCAGCGACCTAACCAAGGCTGTCGACGTCGGCGGTGGCGAGTTTGACTTGAGCGCCGAGAAACTGGGCTCCTCGTTCGGAGCTGGCGCGGATGCGGTCGGCACGCTGTCGTTTCTGGGGCTGCTCAATGACATGGAAGCCCGTAATGCGATCAGGTATAGTTTACGATTTCTCCATATATCATACATAAGAATGTGTCCGCTGTGCGACATCAATTATCGGGATCTCATGCACACAACCGCGCGCTCACCATCTCGGCGTTTTCGTTCCTGGATCAGCAGCAAACCTCAGAACCTTGGAATACTCGCAGATCTTGCAATCGACTCGTCGCCAACACCTATTCAACGCCCAGTCCCTTCAGTTCATGTGGGACTACCCCATGAGCATGTCGCAACCATGGCGCCGACCGCGCACTTGGGACTCTCGACAGCCAGCCCCAGATCCACAGCTGCATCGCCAATGACATGGAGCGGAGAGTTTAATCGGCCGTTCCGGAATGCCTCCACCGGCTTTGGGGGAATGCTGATTCCGACGCAAGCCATCGTTACCAACACTGCGATCCTTTCGGGCGCCGCCCAGAGCCCATCTCCCTGGACCTATCCCTTCAGCTCTAACCCATCGGAGACGCCTTCGTCAGCGGATGTTTTTGGGACAAACAGCAACGCTTTTGACAAGATGTCTCCTCGCGGCATGCACTGGATGGATCTCTTGAGCCGCCCCGGCGAAGGCAGCCAGCTTTTCGGAGCGTCATCTCAGTCCTGAATGCCGCGGGATGAATTCTGATGCGGGAGATGGCTGCACATCCGAGCCGAGGATCGATGGAGCCCGCAGACTCGTCGAAAGCAAGTTCGCTCCGTATGGCACCAAGAACGTCGAGCCCACAGCGCCCCGCCAGTCGGCGCCAAGGAGTCAAGCGACATTGGACAACACAAGCGGTGCCAGACGAGCGCCACAAACAGAGGATCTTGATGTCCGCTGTGCCTCCTTCCCAGTCAGACGCCCGCATCGATACTCCTTCCGAGCTTCGGAGTGGTGCTCACTGACGGGAAAGAGCTCGTTGCTTTACTTTGGCTGCTCCCGCCGCCGCTGTCAGTTGCGGATGGCAAACACTTTTTGGACAACCTTGTCTCGAATACATGATATCGATTCTCACGAGCGGCGTTCGACTCTTGCTGCGACGTTTGACGCTTACTGCGACGATGGAGGCGGCCTCGAGCGAATAGAGGGCGCCCACACCAGCGCACAGCGGCAATGCCGGCCTCGGGCGTGTTGCGGAGGGCGGTGGATGCGCGCAACTGTGCTGTGCTGTTTCGTTTTGAGAACCGGGTGAAGCGACCCGCGGAGCCGATCACCCCAGAGAAGCGATTGTGTCACACTAACAGACTTTCTCTCCGTGGTATCACCGGAATCGGACGGTTCTACCCAATCCCGAGTTGCGTGCACGGCAGACGGATACCCACGCCATCGCAAGGTTCCCCATCGTCCTTCCAGAGTTTCCGCGCAGAGAGCTCGTGCACTCGGTGATCACCCCACTGCGCCTTCATAGAAGTGTTCGTTGCTTCTAATGATCACGGCGTGGCTGCACTGGGGATGACCTTACGGGCAATCCAATAAAAAACGGGACACCCGGGATTTTGACCATTCATCGAATATTTTGCTACCCAATGTTATCGCGCGCTGGCCATGACCATTCGCCACACATCCGACTTTCGCACCGCCGCATTGCGATGCTACGCCCTCATCCATAGCCTGCGTAAGGTCGCCTCCATATTCAGTGTGTCCAAGAGCACCATCCATCGATGGCACCGAGGATGCAAGCTGGATGACCCATCCCGGGTCCCAGCTCGCAGATCCACTTTCTTCGAGCAGGCATGTCCAGTCATTCGCACCCTGATTGAACAGGACCCGTTCCAGACTGGTCCTGTGTTGCGGTGCAAGCTCGAGTCCATCCTCCAGAGGAAAGTATCACTCTCACTCTGCCACACTGCCATCCACCGAGCAGGTCTCTCACACAAGAGGGCAACACACCTCTACAAGTCCAAGCGACTGGATGAGCGAGTGGCACAGTTCAGGGACCGGGTCCGCTCCATCGACCCGCGGCGATTCGTTTTTGTCGATGAGACAGGGATCAGGAGATCCATTTTCCCTCTCTACGGATACTCACCGAAGGGTGCTTCGCTTCGCTAGCGCAATCACATGAAGCACAAGTCTGTCTCGGCTGCATTTGCAATCAACCACTCTGGTGTGCTGCATCGCATGTACATCCCCACATCATTCAAGACACACTCGATGGTCGAGTTCTTTGAGCGAGCGAGCTTCCCAGACGACTCTGTGATTGTGATGGACAATGTCAGCATGCACAAGACAATGGCTGTCCTGGACTGCATCGATCGCCGAGGATGGTCAGTGATCTTCACCCCACCTGCTTCACCCGACTTCAATCCCATCGAGAACTTCTTTGGGATTGTGAAGCATCAGTACAGGAAGGCAGCAGCGCTGAATGCGTCCGAGGGGTTCAGAGTCGGAATGGTGACCCTGTTTGAGTCTGCCGTTCGGAGGGTGCTTCCAGATGTCTTCCCACGGCTGATTGAGCGAGCGATGCGCTTCTGGGGTTGAGTTCCCTCCAATCACGCCGCCATTTTCACGCTCAAATCCCTGGCTTGAACCTCTCGGCGATTTTTGAACAGGGTCACCCCCCCAACCAGCCCGCGCAGACGGGTTCCTGCTCTCGGGTATAAATGCCACACCTTCGTCCTGCTGCTTTCTTCCCTCATCTCGCCTTGATCTGATCATCGCGCCATTGTACGATAAAAAAAGTCTCTGCTCTGACCAGTACCACTGGCAGACATCCAGCATTCTCTGCCCCCATGCCTCCGAAGCGTAAGGGTGCCGGTGATGGCCAGCCTCGGCCACCCAGGCCCAAGAAAGCCAAGTCACAGTCGGAGCCTGTCTCTGGTTCGTATTCTGACCCCACGCATGCTTGGTCGTCTGTTGCTCCGTCGCTCACCACCACTGCTTCTGCAGATCCAATGGATGTCGATCCCACCGAGCCTGGTCCATCTACTTCCTCGAGTACCGGCAAGCGATGTCGCCAGTGCGATGGCACCGATCACGAACGCTGCAACACTAGCAAGTGTCCAAAATATCACCCCCTCAAGAGTTCTGTCGTCCCACTCGTGGATGGAAGGTCATCCGCCCCTCAGTTCAGCTGCTTCAAGCAGACGATGGATGGCTGTTGTCTCAATCCCGCTCTCCGCGACAAGATCCAGGCCACCGTCGAGGCCATGACCCAGATCCAGTTCGAGGCATCCAGGCTGCTCAACCTGCACATCCTGAGGTGCATCGAGCAGGATCTTCCCGTCCCCGTCATCTCCAAGTCCACCCCTGCATTCATCCGCCAATGCTTCACGATTGTCGAGGCCGATGCCCTCTCCCCGACCGGGGACAACGAGAAATACAACGAGCATCTGGTCGCTTCCTTTCGCGACTACCAGACCACTCGACATGCAGACCTGCCTCCGGCCCCTTGTCTGCCTGATGGTGCTCACAGTCAGCTTCTCACACTGGCTGTCAATGCCTATGCTACCAACTGCACCACCCACCTCGACCTGGCCTACTGGCGACTCCTTCGCCGCTTCTGCGCTGCCGTCTTCCCTGCCAACAAGCACAAGCACGAAGCCATCGAGGCCTGTCTCGAGCTCTTCGAGAAACCAGGGCAGACTCCACCCAAGGCCGATCTCGAGTTCCTCTACCCCGACTTTGGTCACATCCTGGACGAGTTTCGGTACAGCAACGACCAGGACCGCTTCCGGACCCTCTACCGCCTCTCACACCATGTGAGAATCCTCGCCCGAGACAAGATGGTCGACAATGTCCACAAGTGGATCGACTGTGACATGCCCGCCCTCCGAGTCACCGAGCTGCAGCGCCAGGTCAAGCTAGACGAGCTCACTACCCAAGGCATTCCCTCCGACGACAAGAGGTTCACCAAGGCCAAGTCTGAGCTCGGCACCACCAAGTCCAAGATCAACAAGCTGGCATCCAGGCTCAAGTGGGCACTCAAGCAGCTCGCTCTCGACACTCCTCCAGCCGTGTGCACGATGGTTCCTCTGTGCACCACCAAGGCCAAGTATGTCAAGATCGACACGGTCACTCTCTGGGAGCTCCTTGGTCCAAAGAAACGCCTTGGACTCACCAGGGACATGCTCAAGGAACAAGGTGATGACGGCATCAACAACCAGGATCGTCTCTGGCGCAGTTGCTTCAAGCTGCGTAGTTCCCTCTTCCAAGAGCGGGTCAGGGACAAGAAGCTGTTCAACTACGAGATCAGCACCGATGGCATTGGATGCACCATCGGTCTCGTCAAGTTTCTGCCTCGAACCGATCACACCGAGACCATCGAGCCTCCTCCGACTTCCGAGCAGCGCATCCAGGCCCACATCGGCGACCCAGACCCCAACCGCACCACTTGGATTGGCATCGATCCTGGAGTCGGCTCCATCTTCACGGCGGTCATCCAAGCACCGGGTCACCAAGACGAGGTGGTCTCATTCTCCAATGGTCACTACCAGCACATGTGTGGCCATACGTCCAACACCAAGTGGCACAATATCATGAAGTATCGACTCAGCATCGAGACCTGGATGTCGACCACCCCCTCGCCCAAGGTGTCGTCCTCGGAGGCTTTCAAGGTCCATCTCACCCATGTCCTGCGACCGGAGCTGCGAGTGCAGCTCGACTTCCACCTTGGCAAGAAGGCCCGTCACCATCGCTTCACAGGCCACAAGAGGCGCCAAGTGGCCGTCGACAGGATGTGCAAGGCCGTCCTGAAGCACGCCCCGATACGGACCGATGTGGTGATCGCCTTTGGCAATGCGTCATGGCGACAGGGCAAGGGCTATGCATCCAGCCCTCGGAGGCAGCGGTTCGCTCGGTACTTTGAGCAATTCGAGCACCACCGACGCCGTCCCAATCACCATCATGGAAGCGTCAAGGTGGCCTCGACGAACGAGTTCAACACCTCGCAAGTGTGCTCCAAGTGCCTGGAGCCAGTTCGGTTGGAAGGACTCGATGCGCCCAGTGTTGCGAATTCCCACTTTGTCAGGAGCTGCAAGAATCCCAGCTGCCGGACAGTGTGGAATCGCGACGTCAATGCGGCGCGCAACATGATCACAGTATGCAGGTCGATTGTGGAGATCGGAGAGCGACCGGTGGTCTTCACTCGGAGGCTGCCAAAGTGATCTGTTTTATTTCTTGTGGCTTTGCTTGACGCAAGCACAGCACATACTACATGTTCATGGAAACGGCTATATTGTCCCGTTTTTTTCTGAATAAAGTGTAAATAGCTCGAGCAGTCGAGTCGTCAAGTAGCCACCAGTGCTCAGATCGCCATCTCCCCTTCTGACTTTGCCCCTGATTCCCACGGGTTCCCGAGGACACACTTTTGCCTTCAACGTTTGGGTCTTGATTGCCGCAACAAACCAACACCTCTCTCCTAACCACTTTCTATCGCCACTACAAAATGAGAATCGCTGGAGCTGTCGCCGTTGTTCTTGGTACCTTGATCTCCGCTTCGACGGGCTCGAGCCTTGCCGCCCAATATGGCTGCAGCAACCCGAACACTTACCGCATCACCAAGTGCGGGACCGAGTCTGAGTGGAACCCCATCTTGACCTTGCAGATTGCGACTGACCTTGTCTCCGAGCCCCAGTTCAACTTCCCTCCTGCCACGGTCCAGCTCTGCTACAACCAAACCAATCTCAACATGAAATTTGTTGCGTCCGGCGAGCCGTCGTACTATGTGAACTCTACTCTGGGACACAACGACAACATTTGGGCGTACACCGTCATGGAGACGTTCCTTCAGACTGGCACCGACGACCCAAGCAACTACCTCGAGTTCGAAGTTGCACCCAACGGGGTCACGTACTCGTCCTTTGTGTATAATCCCTCTCTTGTCAGGGCCGCCGGTGCTCCCTTTGGTCATTTCTTCGTTCCCGTCTATGACAACGGAAACCAAGGTGCCTTCATCGGAATCAGTGCAAACACCAACACCAATCCCGCGGCAAAGACTTGGTCGTCTCAAGTGAGCTTTCCCCTCAGTCTCTTCAACGTCAACAGCCCCGAAGGCACCTTTTGGCGAATGAACTTTTTCCGAACCGTGATGGTTCAGGATAACACCCAGAACTGGGTTCAGCACTACGGCGCCTGGAATGCCCCCAACGTCGTAAGCTTCCACATTGTTCCGTGCTTTGGACGATTCTTGTTTGATTGGTGAATCGTGTGATTGGCGACACGCCATTCCGGCTACTGGCCTGACTGGTGACGGGGGAGGACCCTGCCGGCTCTCTCTCCCTCTCTGCGTGATTGTGGCTTCCTGTTTCATTTGTGGGTATGTTCTAGCTGTGACACTTTTGTAAAAGATCAAGCTCCGGCATGCTCCCGCAACAGCCAGTGTTTGCTGCTGTGCTGAAGATGTTGGACAACCTGGATGCAATGAATAAACTTGATTACTGAGCTCACTTTGAACGGCGCTGGCCTAGATTCGCTTTGGTCGGCTTGTGGGTCTTGCGAACAGCCATCTCTCGTCTCGGTGACTCTGACAGAGCCATCCATCGCGGACACTTCAGCAAATCTGCATTCAGCACAGCTCGAGTCAGCAATATGCTCCAATTCCCACATGCTGCTTACGATATAGCCTCGTGGGTTGTGGTGGTGTGCTCATCGATATCGCTAGGGTGCCACAGGATCATGCCCCGAGGGGGCCACGAATCGGAGTCTCAGGCCTTGCGAACGGCGGCTCCGAGAGCCAACGGCAATGTCCTCGGACTTGCATCAAAACCGCTCGCACCGACCCTGGGAACAAGCAAGTCGCACCAAAAGCCATGTCCAGCTTGCATCCGTCCGCCAGCAAGAGCCGACCTGTGAGCGCCCGTGCGGCCGACGGCCCACGACGAGAATCGATCGTTCGTCTTCCAGATATGCACAGAGGGGAATCGATTGCCCGCAACCCTGACACAGGCCGACGGGAGTCGATCGCCCGTACGCGCTCCATTGTCGACCGAGTACGAGGATCGGCCAAGGCGCAAGAGCAGCCCCCGATGCAGAAACGCGATATCGAGATGGCCTTCCAGATGCTTTCGGAGGACGGGAAAAAAATCACGGTCAAGAATATCCAGAACTTCTTCGACAAGTATTTTCCGCACTCGCTCCACCACAACTGCAACAAGAAAGTCCTCAAGCTCTTGGGAACAGGGAGGGAAGAGCTCACCAAGGAAGCTCTCACCAACATGCTGCTGCACAAACCCCTGGCTTGCGTGCCGTTTGAGGATACTTTCAAGGTACTTGCTGGCGACTGTCGCCGACTTTCTGCATGGCTTGCTCGCATTCGGGGTGCCGTTTCAACACTGGCTCGCTTGCTTCATTCACCAGCGTGTTTCCGATGCGGCTCCATGAAACCACACCGACCACCTTTCCATCTCTCCTTCCCACGGCAAACAAGATTATGGAGCCATCAGACACCCCTACGACCGTCTCCGACGAGACGCTGGTGCGGCTCATCAAGACCATGAACCCGTACGGCCTGCCCTACAAGGGCGACATCAAGTGTATTCTGGACAAGTTCGATGCAGACAAGGATGGCGCAATCAATCTCCGAGATTTTGAAAAAATGGACATGTAGCCCAACACAGTGTCGGCGGAACGGCCCGGTGTGGCGAAAACGACATGCCGTTGCGAATGCCGGGCCGGCGTGCCACAACGTCGCTCAGGGAGCACCTGTGACTTCATTCCCAGCTGAAATGCAACAGCAGTCTTGGCCGGTTTATCGCTACAGTCGCGGCTCAGACAGAGAGCGTCTGGAATCACGTCGACGACGATGGTGTTGATGATGTCGATGATGTCGATGATGTCGACGGGGCTGGAGGGAAGTTTTCCGGCGGGCTTGATCGCAGCTGCACGACACGCCCGAGTTTGGCCGAGAATGAGCAGCGACGACGGGCGAAGGAGAGCGGTCGATGACAGCATGCATCGGAGGATCACCATACGCTCCAAAACCCACCTCCCAGATATCCAGCGAGCTCCGCTCAGTGATCTTTTGCTGGTATTTGAGATCTCGCCGTTCCCGAATCAGTTTCTAGTGATCAGTACAAAATCGGTGAGTCGAGTGCGGTGACGCTCAAAGCAGACTTGTTCACCGTCCGCACAAGAGATATCCAGCGCCGCTGCTTGGCGCTGCTGTCCTTGCCTCTGCGACAGGCCGGCTCTTCATCTTCATCTTCAAGCAAAAGTTGAACTCTTCTCGATCGGCCGTGCAGTCACGAAAGTTGCCGTATCGATAGTAGTGCTTGACCTGAGGGATCAAGGCTGCAGTGACCAGGAGGCGCAACGGCAGAAGCATGGCAGAGCCTTTTCAGTCCAGAAGGCTCTCTGGATGCGCTGCAAGAGAAACGAAGCAGCAAGAGAAACGAAGCTGGATCCGCATGCCTACTGTAGCAGAGCTGCATCTTGTCAAAGGCATCCCAGACGCTGCATGCTGCGGGTGTGCTGTCGGCTGTGTCACCGCCATTGGTCTGGGCTTGCTCGGCTTTCGGGGGATCTTGCATATGGCCTTGGACTGCCGGTCTTGGGCTGCTGGCTGCTGGATGTTGGTCTTGGTTGCCGGCTGAGGGATGGACAACGTCGACTGCGGGCAGGCAGAACGGCCTGGATCGCATTTTGGCTTGCGTCGCGCAGCCGGATTCCGTGTCGCGGCTGCACGGAAAGCCAGCCAGACCGCGGCCAGCCACGCCCACGGGGACAAGCCAAACCGAGATCCCGCAGCCCAGCTTCGTCCGTTGCTTGTCCTGCTGGCTGCTTGGGCTCGATACCCATCAACAGACAGCACCCCCCCCCGGCAAACGCACCGCACACGAACACACAGCGATGGATTCGCGCAGGTACATGCGCTTGCAGTGCGACGCCGTGAGCCATTATTGCTCTGCCACACCCAGCATCTCACCCGCCGCTTCCCTCGGTCTTCCATGTGCTATTTTGCAGCGACTATCGAGACGGCCGCGACAGGGATCGTGAACGAGACCGGGATCGAGACCGCGACCGATACCGGAATAGAGACCGAGACCGGGATCGGGATAGAGACCGAGACCGAGACCGAGACCGCGACCGCGAGCGAGATAGAGATCGGGATAAGGATCGAGATCGAGATCGCCGCCGTGACTACGACGATGCTCGCTATGGGTCCCGAGACGACCGCCGTGGCCGCGATGAACCGCCAAGGAGAGAGTACGACCGCAGACGAGACGATGGCAGACGAGACGCCGATCGCTACGACGTAGACCGCAGCGTTCGGGGCAGCAGTGATGCTCGAGGCTCGGAGCACGATCCGTTCGCCAGGAGTCGGCCCTCCGAAGTGTCCCGGCCAGCCAACGATGATGTCGAGATGGAGGGCGCCGAAGACGAATCAAACAAGCCCGTCAAGAAAGCGCCGCTTTCTCTCGAGGAGCTGCTCAAGAAGAAGGCCGAAGAGAAGGCTGCAAGCGACAAGCCTGTGTTCCTTTCCAAGGAAGAGCGCGCTAAGCTTGCTCTTGAGAAGCGAGCCCAAGAGGTCGAGCAGCTTCGACAGCAGCAGGAGCAGGAGCGAAGATCCGTGCAAGACCACTTCTCTGCCGGCCGAAGAGACGAGCCCAGCGCCGCCGGGCCGAGAGACCCCCGCGGCCCACGGGACGAGCCAAGCCGAGGCTCCTCCGGTCGATATGTCGACGAGCGCGGCCCGGATCGACGCCGAGCCCGTCCGAGCAGTGACGACGATATGCCAAAATCATCAGACAATCTCAGCGAAAAGGAGCTCCAGGCGATCAGGGATCGATACATGGGCGGAGAGCAAAAGAAGCGCCGAATCCGCAAGATGAACGACAAAAAGTTTGTCTTTGACTGGGACGCCCAGGAGGACACCGCCAAGGACATCAACCCGCTTTACATCCAGAAACATGACGTACAGCTCTTTGGACGAGGCCATATCGCCGGCATCGACATCAAGCACCAGAAAAAGCTGCGCTCCGAGTTCTACGGCCGTCTCCTCGAGGAGCGCCGAACGATCGAGGAAAAGGATCGGGCTGGCGAGCTCATAGAGATTGACCGCCGCCGAGAGCGGCAGGCCGCCTGGGACGACCGCCACTGGTCCGAAAAACCGCTCTCGGAGATGAAGGAGCGCGATTGGCGTATCTTCAAAGAGGACTTTAACATCTCGACCAAGGGCGGCAACATCCCGAATCCGCTTCGCACCTGGGAGGAAGCCGAGCTGCCGGAGCGCCTTCACAAGGTCATCAACGAAGTCGGCTACAAGGAGCCCACGCCTATTCAGCGCCAGGCTATTCCAATTGGGCTGCAGAACCGAGACATCATCGGCATTGCCGAGACGGGTGAGCAGATGCGTCTTTTGCGCGGTGGGACCGACTACGGCGTGGCTGGCTAGTCTAGGGTGGACCACTTTGGCGACGGAATGTTGCTTTGGCTGACATATTTTTGCTTCCAGGCTCCGGCAAGACGGCGTCGTTCTTGATTCCGATGCTCGTGTTCATCACCGAGCTGCCGCCACTGGACGAAAGCAACCAAAACGATGGTCCCTATGCCATCATCCTGGCCCCCACTCGTGAGCTGGCGCAGCAGATCGAGCAGGAGACGCACAAGTTCTGTCGGCCGCTTGGGTTCAACTGTGTCTCGATCGTCGGTGGTCACTCGATAGAGGAGCAGGCTATCGCCCTCCGCAACGGCGCCGAAATCATCATTGCAACGCCTGGTCGCCTCAAGGATTGTCTGGATCGTCGTATGCTTGTCCTCAGCCAGTGCACCTACGTTGTCATGGACGAAGCCGATCGCATGATCGATATGGGTTTCGAGACCGACGTCAACTTTATCCTGGATGCCCTGCCTGTGTCGAACGTCAAGCCCGACACGGAGGACGCCGAGAATGTGGAGGAGCTACGGGCGATCATGGGCATGAAGGATCGCTTCCGACAAACCGTGATGTTCTCGGCGACGATGCCCGCTGCTGTGGAACGCCTCGCTAAAAAGTAAGCTCACTGTGGTGGTGTGTGGGGGGGGGCAAGGGGTCTCTCGCTGGTGTGGGAAAGGCTCTCCTTGCTGACGTCGCTTGCTTTGCTGCTGGATGCAGGTACTTGCGGCGGCCTGCTGTGGTCACGATTGGTACGGCCGGCCAGGTTGTCGACCGTATCGAGCAGCGTGTCGAGTTCATCAACGACGAGAACAAGAAGAAGAACCGTCTCATTGAGATTCTCAACGGTCGCTTCGAGCCTCCGATCATTGTCTTTGTCAACCAGAAGAAGGGGTGCGATGTCCTCTCGAAAGCCCTTGAGAGACTTGGTGTATGTGCAACGTGCTTGTTGCTGTGCAGATGTGCGATATTGCTAGACGATCTATATTGCTCGGCTGACCCTTTTCTTCTCAAACGATGGGCTGGCACAGTATCGCACCACGACCCTGCACGGTGGCAAGTCGCAGGAGCAGCGCGAGGCCTCGCTTGCTGCCCTCAAGAACGGCACCAAGGACATTCTGGTGGCCACAGACGTCGCTGGAAGAGGTATCGATGTCAAGAACGTGTCGCTGGTTATCAACTATGACATGTCTCTGAAGATCGAAGGTGGGTTTGCGCGTGCAGCGGGCGCTGCAGCGACTCTCTGTCCTCGTCAGCGCCACCGTGATGTCGGGAATGCGATGGATGGCCCAGAGTGCTGTGGGAGGGCCGCTTGGCACCCTTGTCTAATCTCCGTCGTTTTTGCAGACTATACCCACCGTATCGGCCGCACTGGTCGTGCTGGCAAAGACGGTGTAGCCATCACCTTCCTCGGCAACGGCGACACCGATGTGATGTACGACTTGAAACAGATGATCCTCAAGTCGCCCCTGTCGCGCTGCCCTCCTGAGCTCGCCAACCACGAGGTGGGTGATCACTGGCTGAGCCAAATATGCAGCAGCGTTCGCGGAGTGATCTGGGGACCGTGCAGGATCGGATGTGGTCCTGGTGCGCATCTGAGGCTCACAAGGCCGTCCAATATTCCCACACAGGCTGCTCAAAACAAGCCTGGCAGCTTCAAGCCAAAGAGAAAGCAGGAAGAAACCATCTTCCAGTCTTGAGGCGCCCCTCCCCTCTTACTCTGCCCGCCCCGAAAGGATAGCCGCGCACCCATCCTCTCTGCGTCCGGGCATCCGATTGGCTGAATAAAAAGCTGGTGACGGCCACAGCAGTCCGTGCATCATGACAAACGTACCACTGGCACCCGGTGTGCATGTCGCCCCAAGCCGCAACGCCGGAAGGACAACGCGGCACAGCAGGCTGCTCCCAGGATCGGTTTCGGCTGACAAAGCCAGTGTTGAGGGACATGAATGCAGCGGCACAGAGCTGCATGTCTCGTGTTTCAGCCAAGTAAACCGGATGGTCCTAGTTCCCATGTCAGTCCCGTCGGCTCCGCTTCTCCTCGGGAGCGCTGGCGCGATGGTCGTCCTTTCGGCCGCGCTTGGCATGGGCCATGAACTCGTCGAGACCAAACGGATCGGCAACGTCCTTTTCAAACTGGACAGGCCCGCTCACACCACTACCGCCCGATCCCTCCGCACCCTTGAAGCCACGGGCAGGCTCGCTGCTGCTCAGCAGCTTCTCGATTCCTGCGGTCGACACGCCGGGCAGGACTTCGTCGTCTGCGACCTTGGTGGGCCGGTAGATCGATTGCGCCGACGTGCCAGAGAACAGTGGTTTGTCGTAGATGTTGTAGGCGTCCTCGCCTCCGAATCCAGAGGACAATCCAGCAGACTGGTTGAAGAGACGCTGATCGTACATGGATTCCTTGGACATGGTTGGCTGGGCAAGACCCAGAGCCACCTTCTCGGAAATGTCTCGATCGGCCCTGAAATAGCAAACAAGCAGCAGTGAGAAACAGATAGCAGGCGATATTGCCCAAGCAGAGTACACCATCATTAGCACAGCGGCCCAGGCCGACTTACATCTTGCTCATGACCTTGGCCTTGGTCTCGCGGCCCATGTGACTCAGTGTCAGTTCTCGTTTGTGCTGCTGTCTCAGCTCCCGTCGTAGAGCATCGCGCTCACGAAGGCGCTCGTCGTCCTCTTCATCCTCGTCATCGTCATCCTCAGCGCTCTCTCCTTCTCCTTGGTCGTGCTGGGTCTCGCCGACCGAGGCAGAGAGGCCAACGCGGCCATCGCGGGCTTTGCGTGCAATATCCCGAAGCTGCTGCTCCTTCTCGGCCTTGGCCTTCTGGGCGAGTTTGGTCTGCATTTCAGCACGGATTCGAACTTCCTCGCGGGCGTGTCGGTCGGCAATCAGCAGAGCTTCGGTCAGCTTGGCAAAGCCATCGTTTACTGTGATCTGCGAAGCAATTGTGGATGAGAAAACGAGCGAGCGCAAAGTACAGGCAAGCAATACGAGCGAAAGGACACGGGGAATGTATGGCTGCTTGTGAACAGGCCCACGATGCCCAGGATCGCTGAGTAGTTCAACGCAATGGGACTGATGCGGTCCGTACCGTCTGGAGGCCACGGCCGTCCGCCGCCAAACGCTTGTCCAGAGGGATGGTGTAGCCCTTTGCGTTCTTCCAGTTCGAAATGCACGGCGGGATGACCCAGTTCTTCTGCTCTTCGGCGCTGACTTTTCGGGGAGGCGAGTGCATCACCGGCGGGGGCGGCGAGGGCGCTTTCCGCGGGACCTTTTTGTGCTTGAACTTTGGCGGCTCCATCGGGTCGACCGGGGCCTCGACCATGCGAATGATCCTGGTCTGTGCTGGGCCGGAGCTGGAGCCGGAGGGCGTGTATCGCAGATATTCGGGCTCGTTGGTTTTTGCTGATGCGACTTGGGTGGGCTGCGCAGACTTGATACGGCCTGGGTGTATGTGGCAGCATCGTGTCCGTGACAAGCAAGACAGCAAGCGAAATGGGCGAGTCAGCAAAGAGGCAGAGCAGGGAAGGCTGGGCCAAGGCCACATAATCACCAAGTTCGTAGTGGACGAGGGTACGGGTCTTTGGCGAATACACACCTTCGACAAGCTTCTCGAGTGCCTGCTTGGTCTTCTCGGTTGTGGCTTTGACAGTCTCCTCGTCGGGCCGGGCGAGCGAGTCGTCGTGTTCCAGAATATCCTTTTCCTTCAAGGCACTCAGCTGCGAGTGGATCACTTTCTTGCCGGAGGCGTCGCTGTCCTGTCCCCTCAGAACAACGTCATAGCGAATGTTTCCCTCCGAATCAGTCTGCAGCGGAATGGCAGAGGAGTTGCTCAGCGCCGAGGACTGGCTCTTCTTGCCGAGATCGAGCGGGTATTGGGCAACGTGGATTTCCGGGAAGGCGCCGCCATCGCCAAAGTCCTGTGGGGAAGGAGTGCAGTTGCTGCCGGTTAGAGAGCTGGAGAGCATGTTTCTGCCTTTCCGGCTCCGACATGTGCCAGCGTGGCGATCGATCGCATGCGAGAAGGATTTGCCCAGGCTGCCTCAGACGGGCTTCTTACCGACGGCACTCGGGGAATGAAGCCTTTGCGCTTTCCATATGGCGGCGGGCCCGCAGGAAGAGACTGCGTCTGGCTCTTGTGGGATGTCGATGTCAGCTGGGCCGCTTCGTCTTCATCCTCCGAGTCTTCCCATCTCGAACGGGAAGTGGAGTGGAAGCCGGCGTTTTTGGGGGCGGGCAGGACGCTGCAAAGAGAGAGGGCGGCGTCAGATGCAGGCTTTTGGTGCTGCGGGCTGACAGATCATGCACAATGGAGACGACAGACTATGCACACGCACCTGGACAGCCGAGACATGTGTGTGCAGACACGATCGTCGGGACGGAGGAGGCTGCGGCTGGATGGGATGTGGATGTGGATGGGTGGGCTGTTGATGCGGATCGGATGGGGTGAGGCCGCCTCTGTTGGGTCGGAATGCTGCGTTTGCCTGGCTGGGAGGCGCCGCAAAACGGGATCTCGAACGAGCCGGCTCGAGCCGGGCGGCGCCTCCCTGGATCCGGATCGACCCGCCTGGCTCGAGCCGGCGGTTGCGTCGTCGGCAGCCAATCGCCGGGCACCACCAGCGCAAGCGCAGCGGCGTGACCGACACGTGGCTGGGACCCGGCCGCCGCACCAGGCGCCCCCTCGCCCTTCGGCGGCGACCCGATCGGCACACCCCCTCGAGCGCATCTGCTTTTTGCTTTTAACGCCCGCCGCCTCGTCGCCGCACCAAGAAAGCACTCATTATGGCCCGCATGCCTTTCGCAATTGTCGCATTCGTTTGTGTCCCCCTGGCCCTCCTGCTCCTGCTCGGCTGCCTCGACCAGAACGCGGTCGTTGCGGCCAAGGGCCCCGTCGTCACCAACATTGTCTACTTTGACATTAAGCAAGGAGACGAGAGCCTCGGCCGCATCGAGATTGGTCTCTATGGCGCCACGGTTCCCAAGACCGTCGAGAACTTCCGAGCTCTGGCCACCGGCGAGAAGGGCTTTGGCTACAAGGGATCCAAGTTCCACCGTGTCATCAAGGTAAGCGCTCACTGCTGAGTTGGCTGGGGGGGGGTGTTTGGATGGGAGATCAAAAGGCGAGCAGCCCCTGCGGCTGCGATCAGCTGGCAGTGCCCCCAAAGCGATGTGACGGATGGACGCCGCGACGAGGAGCTAAGATTCTTGGATGCTCGGGGATGAGATCGGCTCTGGAGAGAGGGAGGGGGCGTTGAGGAACTACAAGAGGTGATCGGAGCGATCTAGCGACCCAACGCCGGCGGCGATCGGTGAAGAGGCTATGTGCTGGTGCTGGTGCTGGTGCTGGTGCTGGTGCTGGTGCTGGTGCTGGTGCTGGTGCTGGTGCTGGTGCTGGTGCTGGTGCTGGTGCTGGTGCTGGTGCTGGTGCTGGTGCTGGTGCTGGTGCTGGTGCTGGCTCAGAGCCAGAAATACGGCGGTCTGCTGTGCAGCTAACGGGTCTGTGTACTCTTGCTCGTGCCTGCTGCAGAACTTTATGATCCAGGGCGGCGACTTTACCCGCGGCGACGGTACTGGCGGCAAGTCGATCTATGGCAACAAGTTCGCTGATGAGAACTTCAAGCTCCGCCACACCGGTCCCGGCATTCTCTCCATGGCCAATGCTGGCAAGGGTAAGAGCCAGACTAGAGGGCGATGCTGTCGGTGGCCGAGCACAGGCGGTGGTGCCTCTGGCCTATTCTGCTCATTTGTCTGTGTCCGTATTCTGGGTGTCGGCGTTAGAGCACTGGTCATGGGAAAACGGAGGCCTGCTCCTTTTCTGATCCGCTTCGTCGCTGCGTCTTCGTTGCTTCATGGCGCGCCTTGGCGGTCGACTTTTCCCATGCCGCGGCGCTACAGACACCAACGGCTCCCAGTTCTTCATCACCACTGTCTCAACTCCGTGGCTCGACGGCCGCCACGTTGTCTTTGGCAAGATTCTGAAGGGCATGGACATTGTTACCAGTACGTATCTGCCTCTGCCTCTGCCTCTGCCTCTGCCTCTGCCTCTGCCTCTGCCTCTGCCTCTGCCTCTGCCTCTGCCTCTGCCTCTGCCTCTGCCTCTGCCTCTGCCTCTGCCTCTGCCTCTGGATCCATGTCCATGCGCGACATGCCTGCAGTGTTGGTTTGAGCCGGACTGGCATGAGGACAGCCTCTGATTGGACAATTCCTGTCGCAATTTGCTGTTTCGCTGATACAGAGATCGAGAACACTCCTACCGGCCCCAGTATGTATCCATTTTGCAGAGCAGCGCGATTGAGCTTGGTTCCGTTTCGGGTTTGGAGGTGGCGGGAAGGTAGCGGGAATTGCTGTGCACGGCCGGAGCGGGGTATTGGATCCGAGGGACTGCAGCCGCTGGCGCTAACGGACGATGGTGCGATGCAGGCGACCGCCCCAAGACCCCCATCGAGATTGCCGACAGCGGCGAGCTCCCTGTTCCCAAGGAGGAGGAGGAGGAGAAGAAGGAGCTCTAGGAGCATGATTCGGGCACTCCAATATACTTTGGCGCCCTTTGCCGTGGGCTGCGACTTGACTGACAGCCGACGGTCACCATGCTGCACGAGCGAGCGAAACGGGGCGGCGAGGCCGAACAAGCCAGGTGGGGACTTGTTCGCAACACAACAGCCGGCTGGCGGCGAGAGAAGGTTTTTGTGATCGGGTTACCAAGCCGCGACGGCTGAGTGAGGAGCAGCGACACCGATGGCTGGCAGGATGAGTCGGAGAGGGACGGGGGGTGGATGTCGCCTGGATGTCTCCTGGATGGCGTTGGGGACCGATGGCATAGATAAGGGCGAGAGCATGATGGATCAGGCAGCACACGGGCCAAAGCAGAGCAGAACCGAACTCAACCGAGCTGAGCAGCCAGCGATCCCAGGGGGACACGATGCTGGACTGGACTGGGCTGGGCTGGAAGCAACAGGCACCCACAGCCACGAACACACCCGCAGTGTTGGCTGCCATGAACATGGGTGTTTGGACGCCACCGATGCACACCCACTCGCAGACAGCCAGCCAGGGGAGCGACGGCGCGGCGGCTGGTTGGTGTGTCGCCGGTTCTGGGGCTGAAGGTCAGTTGGGTGGTTGGATGGCTGGGCGAGCTTGTTTGGCGGTGACGGCATGTTTGCATGTTTGCATGTCGGCCTGCACATGTGTGCCAGGCTGCCAGTGTTGCTGCCAGTGTTGCTGCCAGATGCCAACCAGGATGCCAACCAGGATGCCAACCAGGATGCCAACCAGGATGCTGACAGGAGCATGGACCGGATGCCGAGCCGAAGCACGCGAGCTGGCTTCGGCTCGACTGGGGCTGCCGTGGTTGGCTGGCCCTTTGATCCTGAGCACGCTGCTGATTGGTCCGCGGCTGAGCCTCTTGTGCTGGTGTTTTGGAAGCACAGAAACAACAAGAGGCAAGGACAGAGAGCCGACGCCTCGCACAGGAATGCACAGGGGCCCACAGGGGCAGCGACAATGCAGCTGAGGTCGCCCGATCCCGTCGCACACATGACCGGCTCGCCTGACAGCCCGCGCCAGCGCCAGGGAGGGAACCACTCACAAGACCGGCAGGGCGCGACATGGCAGGCAAGCCAGACGGCTGCGCGGGAGTGGACAGCCAGCCACAGCAAGGCGGCGGGGACAGGGGCCCATGGCGCCGTGGCTTCGGTGACACAGCCGACAAGAGCAAGCATGGGGGGCAACACACGAAAACAAGACGGTGCGACGGCGGTGGGCTGCGTGGCGGGCAAGAAAGTGGTGCTGTGCGGCGGCCTTTCCTCTTTGTTTGTCCCTCTGGCGGCTGTGTGAGGCGGGGGCCGTGCTGTGCTGGTGTGTTTTGTCGATGTGTGCTGTCGATGTGGATTGTCGGTGTGCTTGTTGGTGTGTACTGTCGGTGTATTTCGTCGGTGAGCTGCAGTCCCTGTTGACTGCTGTTGCCTGTGTTCTGTCGAGCTGTGCTGTGTCATCCGCCGAGCAAGCCTTTTCCTTTTGCGTGTGACGGCGCTCAGCCGACAGAAGATGCTTCACCGTGTGTCACTGGCGCGCCGGTGTGTTCTGTACAGTCCGAGTGCAGCATGTGCTTGTGCTTGCTTGTGCTGGCTTGTGCGGCATGTGGTTGTGTGTGTGCTTGCTCCTGCCCTTGCTTGCCTTTGCTTGCCCTTGCTGGCCCTTGCTTGCCTTTGCTTGCCCTTGCTTGCCCGTGCGCGCCGGCGTCTCTGTGCGCGTCGCGCTCGCCGATCGCCTCGACGCGGCCGGCCCAGCCGTCGCACAACGGTGTCGCGTGTGTGCACCAAATATTTTGCGGGGATGCCTCTCAGGCGCGGGCCCGCCGCACTGCGCACACACAGCGGACACTGTCGCTGCCGCCCGCCCCCACCCCTCACGCGGCCTGCGCACAAGCCGAAGCCCGCCCGCCTGACGGCCGCGGTCGCGGCGCAAAGAAGGGGCGAGTACATCGCCTTTGGGCATGTGTGTGCTTGGGCGTCGGCTGTTTGCCCTCGCAAGGCCGCCGATCGCCCCACGGCCGCCCCTTGCTGCCGCCCCGATGCTCCGGCGAATGCCTCAGCCGGCCGCTCCAGTCAAATTTGCCTCGCCCCTCGCTATATAACCGCGCTGCCGATGCCCCCTCCTTCCCCCTTTGCAGCTTTCCTTCCACCTTCTGCCTCCCCCTCCTCGTCCCCGCAACCATGGGTGCCAAGCAAGTCGAAGGCCACGTCAGCGAAGACCACATCAACACCGACCACCCCGTTGTCTCCAGGGCCGAGCTCTGGTCCTACTACCTCTTCTACAACGGCGACGCCGGTGTCCAGAACGGCTGGATCGCCTCCATCGTCCAGCTCTACCAGAACGATGCCCGTCGCTCGCCCTCCAACGGCGGTGGTGCCTGTACCGCCGACTCCACCGACTGCAACCTGCCCGTCGGCGGTGGCATGCCTACCACCACCTTTGTGCTGATCCAGCAGTCCGTCACCTCCCTGTTCGCTGCCTTCATCTTCATCAGTATCTCTGGTTATGGTGACTACGCCATGTACGGCCGCAACCTCTTGATCTTCTTCACCTTCCTGTCTCTGATTGCCCAAGCCGCCTTCATGTTCTACCGTTTCCCCGGTAGCTCTGCTGATCGTAAGTGCGCCTGCTGTTCCCCTCGCGTGTCCATGGCATCCACTGGCATCCTTTGGCACTGCTCGCTACATTGCATGCTGCATTGTGCATGCCGCATGTCGCTCATGCGTTGCCTCGCGTCGCGCTGCTCCGGTTCCTCGCAACTAACCAACCCTGATCTGCCCCGCCAGCCCTTCCCTACACCACCCCCATGAGCACTGTCTGGTTCCACTTCTTCCTCCAGGGTGTCCAGCAGATCGCCTACTCCGGCTCCCTTGTCTACTTCTTTGCCCTGTTCCCCCGTCTCGCCCCTGCCATGCCCGAAGTCCGCGCTGCCATCGAGCGTGGTGACTCGGAGGAGTCCATCTACAACGAGATTGCCTTCCAGCGCTCCCGTATCTCTATGATCTCGACCCTCTGGTCCAACATCGGCTACTTTGTCCCCGCCGTCCTGACCTTCGGTCTCATCTTCGCCGCCAACCCCACCGCCAACATTCTTGCCGGCGACCCGACCTCCCTCGTCACCAACAACTGGATTCTGCTCTTCCTGATCTCCTACTGGCTCGTCTTTGCCCTGCCCTGGATCGTCCTCAACAAGCCCCGCCCCGGTCCCCCCGTCCCCAAGGATGTCAACATCGCCGCCCTCGGCTACCGCGAGTTTGGCCACGCCGTCAAGCTCTGGAGACGTCTCCCCCAGGCCTGGCTCTACATCATCGGCTTCTTCTTCTTTGCTGATGGCAACGCCACCATGGGTATCCTCGTCGGCAACCTCCAGAACAACTTTGTCTCCTTCAACACCCTCACCAACAACCTGTACACCTTTGCCCAGGCCGGAACCTCCGTCTTGGGTTGCATTGTCTTCTGGTGGGTCGGCAACCACTTCAAGGTCCCCACCAAGCGCATGTTCCAGGTCACCAACTTGGTTGCCCTCCTTGTCAGCATCTGGGGTGTCGTCGGTATCTGGGCCCCCGGCATCGGCTACAAGACCGCCATCGAGTTCTACATCGAGAACTCCCTCCTCGGCTTCTTCCAGGCTCCCTTCTGGGCTTACCAGAACACCTACCTCTCCGATCTTATCCCCCCCAGCAAGGCCTACCTCTTCTTCTCCGTCTTTGGTATCTGCGGTCGTTTCTCTGCCGCCATTGGCCCTCTTATCTCTGCCCTGATCACCGCCGTCGTCCCCGCCAACAACACCAACGGTGCTCCCCAGTCCACCTGGATCGCCTTCATCCCCACCACCATCTTCATGTTCATTGGCTTTGTCATCATTCAGATGACCAACCCCGAGAAGGCCAAGCGCGATGTCATTGCCTTCGAGGAGGCTGAGGCCGCCGAGGCCAAGGCCAAGGCTTCCGCCTAAAGCAATCATGATTATGATGCTGGCTGGGGCCGACTCCTCCCCCTGATGTGTGCGCGCTCCCTCCGCTCACAGTCGTCGGTCCCAACCCCGCCCCAAAACCAAAAACCCAAACCCTGTCGACGTCCTGACTGCTCCGTAGATGTCTGAGTTTTCCTATGATAAGCTGAAAATGCCGATCACGTAATGCTCCTCTGTCCTTTTTCTTTGACTGTGTCCGCCTCCCGTCGTCGTCTTTCTATCTGTCTATCGTTCTATTCGGCGCTCCTCGTATGTATGGTGCTGCTCTCGTCCGGAAAGCCCCAGGGGCTCACACCCAAAGTTTCCCGGAATAAAAACGCCGTAATTACTGCGAATCGAGTCGAGTCGAGCCCTGTTGCCACTCGGTGTGCTGATGAGAGTGGGCGGGTTGGATTGACTGTATTTTGAAGGAGATGACTTTCCCCCTGGTCTGGAGTGGACCTCAGACCCAGAGCCACAGACAGACATGACATCCCGAGCCCACAGGGAAGCCCCCATCACCATCAGAGCTTGGCCACGCCCTTGCGATGCGCCTGCGGCAGTCGATCGAGTCGCTCGCTGTCGTCTGGACTCTCGGGGCCCACAAAGAACGAATCGCCGGCGAGATAGGCCAGCATCATCGTCGTGGCATCAAACCCGAAAAACACCTTTGGCGGAACGACGGCGCTGCCCTCGCTCTTGTTGTCGCTCTTGTCGTCGATGTTGGTGTTGCGACCGGGGTGGTGATGCACAACGGCAGAGGGCACCCCAAAGAGCTGCAGTCCAACGGCGTCGTCAAAGTTCTGCCGGAGTCGGATCTTGACCGAGTCCTGATGGATCAGCTCGGGCGAGGCCACCTGCATCTCGCACAAGAGATCCGCCCAGCGAGCCTGATGCTGCGGCTCGGTCGGGGTATACCCGTCTCGCCAAACAAACTGGAACAGGCGCTCGACCGTCTCGGGCGTGGGTCCCAGGAAGACGCAGAGTCGCAGGAGCGGGAGCGAGTTGAATGGGTGGGTGCTTGGCATCGTCAGGGGAATCTGGTGCTCGTATGCGAGCCACTGACACAGTCGGTAGGTCCACACTCGCTTTGGCGGGATCTCGGCGGGGCCCCGCTGCTTCCAGTGGTCGAGCAAGCCGCCAAAGACGATGGGCTTCAGGATCACCTCGCAGCCGGTGCCGGCTTGGAACAGGCCCTTGCGCTTGAGCACATGGAACTGCAGGTACGAGTATGGCGAAATGAAGTCAAAATACCATTCGATGCGGGCTGGTCTTGGGAGTGCAGCGGGCATGGGAGACGATGTGGGAGGCTCGCAAGGCTGCTGGCGAAGACGGGCGTGCGTGGTTGGGTGCTGCCAATAGATCGGTCGACAGAAGATGGACACCCAACGGGGAAGGTGCAGGCAGGATCCAAGGCACCCCGGCGAGCAACAGCCACCAGCCGCCCAAGACCGGGGGCGCGCTCGGCTCATGGCGGAGATGGCTCGCTCTCCAAAACCCATGGCTTGCTCTCCATGTCCACTCCGTGCCAATCCACAAGCATTGCCATATCTCTGTCCCCCTGGCCTCCTGCTTCCACGGGACAGACGGCTAATGTGGATGATCGATGTATGTGTATTTCAATTCAAAAATAAAAACAACAAGCGCAAGGTGTCCCCGTTTCATTGTTATGGTCGTCAGACAATCCGTGTTGGGAGCAGGCTCTTGGCACCAGAGAGACAACCGCCGCCACGGCTGTGGAAGGGAGGGGGAGGGAGTCTGGGGCAGTGTCTCGGACCATGACTCCTCGGTGTGACTGCCAACGGCTCAGTTCAAAACAATTTCGAAGCCCTAAACAAAACGAACAAACAGAATAATAACAAAAACAGGCCAGTTGTGGGCCCAGGAACATGGGCAAGCAGAGCGAGGGGGGGGGAGTGAAGCAAGTAGAGGGGAGGTAGACAAAGGTCGCACATCTCATGCCACGATGCCCGTTCAAGAGTCCCGTTCGGGCTTCTCAGCAGAGACGACCATGATCTTGGTCGAAGGAACAGAGGTCTTGCGCGAGAGCGAGCTGTTGTTTCCCGAGGCAACCACAATATTTGAGCTGGAGACGATCGACCGGCGCGAGACGCTGGAGACAACGGACCCAGTGTCGTCATGGGTAGACTTGGCCGTCGGCACCGTGACCTTCATGTTGGCGGTCGTCAGGAGCGGCTGCACCGGTTGGTGGGTGGCCTTGGTCGTCTGGGTAGTGGTTTTCAACTGCGACTGCGAGGTCTGCTTCAGCGCAGGCCGTACCGTGGGCATAGCGGGCATAGGCGGAGGAGCCTCCTCACCCACAGTACTGAGAAAATCGCCAAAGCTGTCGCTGTTCGAGTTGCCGCCGGTTCTAGGCAGAGTAATGGTGGTGCTAATCGACAGGGGTGGTAGCGAGGGGGAGGTGTACGATGCAACTGACGGCTTCTTGGCAAGCTTCTGTCCGCTGACGGCATGCGAGTCCGAAAAGACATTGTCCTTTCCAACGCTGACCGAGTGGGTGTCCGCAAAGGGGCTTCCCTCGGGTTCGATTGAGTGCTTGTCCGAGAAGATGTCCACGGGCTCGGGCTGCTCTGTCTCCTCGGTGATCTTGGAGAGCTGTTCGTTGTGCTTGCGCGCCAGGGAGGGCAGCTTGGGCACAGGCTCCTCAGCCATCTCAATGTCCGTGGGCTTGGTCTTGGCGCTGGCGAGGAACGAGAGACGGCGGCCCTTGTCGCCAAAGAGCTGCGAGATCGGGCGGTTGGGCAGCGGCTTTGCCTTGCCCCGACGAGACGCAGGCGGCTCGGGGGTTTCGTTGATGTCACTGACAATGCTGGCATAGGATCGGAAGGCGGCATCACGAGGACCTCGCATGCGCTGGCTATCGGTGCGCTGGATATCGTTGTCGGGCTTGACAACAGCGTCGCTGGGAGGCAGCGGGAAGCCCGAGAGTCGAGCAGCAGCGCCAAAGAAGCTCTGTCGCTTGCGGTACTGCTGTTGCGCCGGCGGCTGGCCACCAGCAGAGACCGTAGCTGCCCGGGACGAGGGGAGGATGGCCAAGATAGACTTGCGGCGGTTGGTCATATTGTAGCTCAGGTTTCTCTTGCGGGTTTGCTTGGTGTAGATCCAGCCAAAGATGGCGCCAATGAGGACGACGGCTCCGAGGCAGATTGGCAGGACCAGAGTCAGCAGAGAGTTGCTTGTCTGAACCGAGCTCGTGGTCGGGAGCGGCGCAATAGACGAAAGAGCTTCGCGAAGAGGACAGCAGTTGCGGAAGGCATGGAGTATGTTGGGTCGATGGAGCGGATCGATAGAGCGGATCGATAGAGAAACGTGAGTGTGTGCTGATCAATCCAACAGCTATCCATCGGCAAGCTTTTGACTGTTGCATCCACCTACCCTGACACCATTTGTTGTTCGCAAGGGTGCTCTGGCAAACGGCATCACAGATGTAGCAGGATCCCTGGCCTGGAAAGCAAGTCATAGACACCGTGTGAGAAATGGGGGGGGGCAAATTGACATTGTGGCGGTCGATTCTCTCGCTGCTCAGCGGACGAACGGCTTACCTTTCTGGCATCCCTTGTTGAAGCTGCAGCTCGAAGTGCTGTTGGAGAACTGGATGCAGTTTGAGCCATCCGCCGAGCACATGGTCTGGAGCGACTTGGGGTCGTTCTCCAGAGTCGGCGGCACTGCAGATTCCACAAGCCCATACGGGTTTGTCCGCCATATGTTCGATGGGCCGATGGCACATGGTTGAGGCAAGCAAAGCGACACAGAGACCAGTCTAGTTAGCAACCAGAGGCCCCCCCCCGGCTTGCTGAACGAGCTCTCGGACTCTTGGCTCAAAAAGCGGTGTGGCCGGATTGGGCGGCAACACAGCAAACCCGTAATCCCACAGCCCGCCCGGCTGTCCAAGATCATGGTAACTGTAGATACGTACGGTACTGGAGACTGGTGCACGCCCCGGCGCTGTTGATGTCGTTACATCCTGCAGTGAAGCCGCTTGACGACGTTCCTGGGGTGGCGGCGTAGCAATACACACAGTTTCCGTTTGCCATGCATGTATTGGGTGCCGAGACACCGATGCTCGAACAAGTGCTGCTTTGGGCTGCGGTCGCATCGAGAGAATGTATCAGTTTGGGTGGAATTCCGGTCGTCCTGAGCAACAGGGAGCACATTGCGTGGAAGACGAGGGCCAAGGAGAGCAGAGTCGGACGACGGACGCAAGAGAGGTGGCAGAGATCCCAGAGCAGCCGAGACAAGTCGGCATCTGGTTCAGACTTGCTGGCTGCATTGAGAGGCCTGCCGCCGATTGCCCCGCTGTCTCGCATCGCAGCCAAACCAGGAGGAGCGATGCTGGCTCTCGGCAGGACGGGGCGGCGACTCCTGAAAAATGACATCCGTTCCTCCAAGAAAACGGTCCGTGAACGACGAGTATTAAAACTGCATGGCCGGGATCCTTACCCGACATGGCTGCAGTATTGGATCGAACGGGGTTGCTCTGCGAATGTGTCTAAGGCGCCTGGGAGGTTTGGACGGATCCACAGAGTCGGGCTGCGACCACCACGGCTCGCGATGGAGGGAGAGGAGGAGGAGAAGGCGGTTGACGAAGCAAGCGATGCCCAAGAACGCCAGTCCAAGCGAGCCCAGGAGGAGCCAAAGCAGGAGAAAAGGGCCTTGGCCGCGAACGCCTGGTGAAGGCCCCCCGAGCGACGGCGTCAGGCCGCTCTCGGTGGGTCCCCGCTGCAGCGAGAGGGCTCTCTGTCTACACAGCAACACAGGCAGTCCAGCACGGCCGGCCCTCGCTGCCGCCTCGCTTTCCCCTGCCTTGTGCCTTGGTCGCGTCTGGCCGGTGCTTGTCGCGCTGTGGGTGCGACGGTTGAGTGAAACGCGCTGGCGGACGCGTTCGGCGCGAGGGCGTGTGCGACGGCACCGGTCCAGTCGCGGACAGCGCTGCTGGGGACGCGCTTCGTGGGCGCGGACACGGCGACATGTGCTGGGCCAAACAGCGCCCGTGGCTGGCGCTGTACACCGATCCTGTTGCCGATGTGACGGCCGAGGGGTGATTGGCGCAGATCGCTGCGGGCAGTAACAGCAAGGCAGGCAATCCTTGCGGCCCAGGGAGCCGCTCAACGTGGCCTGCTGCACGTTGCCGGCAACATCGCGGATCCAGCTCCTCCACCAGCGGCATCCACAGCAGGGCACCCACCAGCGGCATCGGTTGTTCATTGTCGCTGCGGGTCGCGGCGCATTCACAATTCCACACGATGAAAAAAATAGGACGTGACCCCTCTACAGTGGCTGTGTTCGGCTCGGGACCTGGTCAGCAGGCACATTAAGACACAGAATGAGTCACGTGTGTGCCGACAGTCTGGTGCAGCCTCGTCCGAACGATGCCATTTTGGGACTGCTCGCTAGCCAATCAACAGCGTTGCTTCCCACACGTGCTCTGGCCCGATTTGGCATTCGCTTGCCGTCCCGCTCCGTCCCGCTCCGTTCCGGGACCCCTCCGCCCCGGTTTCTCCCGGCCCCGAACCTCTCATATCCTCATTCTCCCTCACCATGACCCGTTCTGAGAACTGCCTTTCGGACACCCCAGTTCCGACCGCCGTTGGGCGGCACCGTGAACTCCTGGGGCAATCCTCGGCCGTTCTAACTAGTCCAGGATTAGGTCAAACCCGCGGTGGTCACTGCTCCACCAGCCAGTTTAACCTCAGAGTCGCAAACAGAATGCGGTATGATATGCCGTGTTCAGTAAAAACGCAAGTGATAACAAACCCGAAATGATAATAATCAAGATAATGTCCCATGGGGGCGAGGATATCTGGAGGGAATGAGCGATGCGGTTAGTTGAAGCGTCGCCTTCGAGCTCTCTCAGATGATACTCAATCGTCATGAAGGGACTTACTTGGATTTGGATGGCTTCCTACATTCGAGACATATTCAAGATAGTGAAAGAGGAAGCGTTAGAGTTAAAAACATTAGAGACATATTCATGATGCGGCTCATCCTCAATATGCATGCGTTTAACGGCACCTATGTCATCGATCGGCTCATGGGCCCGCCGAGGAAGTTAGGATAGAGAGGGCCTGAGGGGAGTATTGACTTGAGCCTGACGACGGAAGCGGGCAGGAAGCGGTGGTCGGGGGGATATTTATATTCCAAACCTTCCGACTTGACCTGTCATTACACTGATATGGTCACTATGGGTCAAGTTCGGACAAACTCCCTTCGTCATCAAGCGGCCTCAAGCACTTTTTGGCCCAACTACCTGCGACATTTGCATCGACTTGTCAAATCGGAGGATCTTGCTCGATAATATAAAAGCCACCTGGAATGGTTGATATAAGTATCAGCCTGACTTTGCCTCTCCAATTGCAGCAAAGCTGTACCCACCGCCTTCCATCTCGAAGTATCCGACAGTAGAAACGATTGTATCGACTGGGACAAAGATATGATTCGTTGACTCCATGCTGTCGAGGTGAAAGGTAGCACACTCTTTGCATGGGCGGTATCCTGAACTGTCATCTCCATATCTGATGTTGATCTTTGGAATCACACAGTATGCCCAGTTTGTTGTTTCTCCATCAAAGGAGTGGCTGATGAAATATTGGACTTGATAGAAGCGGACAGAAGAATATGGGTGATTGCTTGCTGATGCATCGGGCATATTGGTCCAAACCTGTAGATTCAGAATGCATTAGCTCATATGAGGCTTCGCTATCGCGCGCTGCCGAATGCCTTACCTTCACAACAGAGTTCATCCGATGATGTGCCGTGCTCATCCGATGTGATTGAGATATGACATGTAGTTCCCCCGCGTCCATCTTGGTGTGTTTGGAGCAAGTGTCCGAATTCTGATCCCAAAGTGAATGGACATATTGCAAGGCTTCACGATAGCCGTATGAGGAATTGGCAGAAATCGTCCTGGCATAAGCGCTCTTTAGCTTCGCGACTTGTTCAGAAGGTAGTTTCAGCTTTTGTTGCTGGCCAGACAAGGTTCCGCGGCTATCTTGATTCGAGGCCCGCCCATTGTTTGCAAAGGAGGATGGCCATATCCCAGGGTCTTCGCCCAACCTGGATGTTCCTCTCAAGGTCAAGTTCGGAGCAATGCTTGGACCGCTCAGAGAGCTTTGGAGGACGAGCCGATTGGCCATATTGTCCACTGGATGGACCTTCGATCGCCCGATGAGCTTCAGGCGACCACAGGTTCTTTCCATTTCAAACTGCCATTGATATACCAAGGGTCCAAACAATCGGATGCACCTGGGCAAGTGTTGGAGCTGATGCACGTAGGTTTTCATCAAACGAAGTCCAGACAGGTCTGGAGCTCTGTCTGGAGGAGGTTCGAGTGACTCTGGGAGATTTGCGATTGACCTGGTGAATACATTTCGAGTATACGTGGTTAGATATTGAGAATTAGTGAGCTGCCCAACATCCTCAAGTGAAGGGACTGCTGTCTCGTGCTACTTGCTCTGTGTAGTACTCCTGGAACCTCTGAAGATTTCTCTCGATCTGATTGCATTGAGCAACATTCAACTGGGGAAGCAGCATCAATCGAAGGGCATAGACAAAGCGCCTCCATCCCAATCTAGGCACAATAGCATCACTGTTAGGATCAATTCGAATCAAGTATCTCATCGACCGTAGGACGGGCCCCGGTTCGAGCAGGGTACAATATCAAGAGCTTACAAGTGTTCTAGTGGAAAGCCCGCCGCATTGAGCAGAGGTAGGGAGTACATGATAATCCAATTCTTCCATTCTTCGGTTTTGAAGCTTTTGTATGAGACAGGGTCCCGACAAGAGGCACCAAAGCCTGTTGGAATCTGAATCCTGCCTTCGCTGATCCATCTTCCGATCTTTTTCAGGCACTTGGACGTGATCTTTTGGTCCAAACTTGAGGATGAGGGAGCCTTCCGCGTTCCATTCCAAATCTCCATCATGAGTGGACCGATGTTCGAGATCACATGCATCAGATCGAGAGGAAGACAGAAGCTGAGCTCGATGGACTCAAGTTGAGTTACACCTGGTCGCCCCACGATCCCTGATCAACATAGTTAATGTTAACATCGGAGTCGAAAACAACGCCCTGACTCGTCTCGTTAACGTACCGTTTCGGGGCATGCCGTCTTGATCGATGGCCTCCCATATTCTGTTCAGACTCTCTTCGGTGCGGTATGGACTGGGAGTGTCACGCTCATAGAAGCACATGGCACCCCCGGCCCTCGTGGCCGTTATTTCGCAGAGACGACAGCCCTTCGTGGCGGTGTGCCCAGAAAATTTACCGAATTTGTTGGATCCGGGCATGTCACTCTGGCAGTACAGCAAGTGACCTCGGAGAGTGAAAGAATGTTCCACGCCATTTTTGTCGACCCTTATCGCCTCAACACCTGGGAGCGAGAGACATTGCTCCGTCAGCAGCGTGCTCTCGCGAGGATTATGTGGAGTGACCAAGTGATCCACACCAGAGGGGCTTACGCACCGGTCTCAAGTCTCTTCATATCTTCGAAAAACGGCTTCAAAAATGTATCAAAGTCACGAGGCGATCGTGGACCAGGCGTAAGCAAGACCGTAATGAGATTTTCCTTTTTGTAGCGCAGAGCAGGTGGAAGATTGAAGTTGATCAAGATGAAGCCCCACGATTGATGGCTTTGCCTACACCAGATACAAAGGTCAGCTGTGGTTATAATCTGATTTTGAAACAGAGAGCGGGCGTACCTCTGATTGATATTGAAGACATCAAAATGCAGCCCGAGAGCAACGTCGGTGGGCTGCTGGAACATTGAGCGACTACAAAGGTGCTGGTAATATTCGGCATCGAATATGTCGTTCATGATGCCTGAAGATTCAGATTTGGTGAGTTCAGAGCACCATATAGCAATATAGTATTGGGAAATAATACGGGTGGAAAGTACCTGGTTCGCTCGCTCTGTTTGCTCTGTACATCATCAACTCTGCCATAGTTGGATTTCGGTAGAGTGTCTGAAGTATCTGAACAAAATCGAAATACTTGTAGGTCTGAATCGGCCTCAGTTGTGGTTGAATGCCGCCATTCAGAAGTTTTTCGTTCACCGTCGCATAAGCATCCTCTCCACAAAACGTGCATATTCGACTCTGGTTATCATTGATGTCGAATCCCATGCAGCTGTTTGGGCAGCAGGGAAGCCTCTGAAGATACTCGTTCCACTCGCAACAAATGATCTTTTGGATCTTGTACAGACTGGGTGCAGCTGGTAATGACAATCCTTGGAATTTGTTGCAATGATTAAGGACAGATTTGATGGCTTTGTCGGTAACATTGCACTCGGTCAACACCTTGACCAGCTGCGAATAGAAGGGCGGGATATCTGGGGGAAAGCCGCGGGTGAATACATCAATTCGGATGCTACATCGGATTGCTATCTGTCCTTTGAATTTGACTCACCATCTGATATGCGGGGCTCTTCGTCACCAGTTTCTTCATCATCTTCATTCATTTCAAGCAGTCGAAAGTGGCCGAGGAAGCTATCCGGATACTGTCCTGGAAGGTGAACCGTGGCATTTATATGAGTCAACCGGACTCTGAAGCAAGACCAGGAAGATTCGACGATACGATCAGGCTGGGTGACGTTGATATCTCACCCGAAATGTCATCGAATTCTCTCGGTGAGCTTGAAGTGGTGTCTTCTGAGTCTATCGAAGAGTCTTCAGAGTCTTCGTAGTACATGGACGCTTCTTCAGAGTCCCGCGATGCCCACATGCTTGGCGACCACGAAGGGCAGCGTTCAAATTGAGCTGGAGCAGGGCCTTCGTTGTCTTGGGTGCATTGCTGAATAGATGCTCCTGTTTGGATATCCATGCTCTCGTGCTCAAATGCGCGGGGTGAGCCTTTGGGCCAGGCCAAGGATGAAGAAACAAAGTCGGACAAATCGAGAGTGTATTGGTCATTTCGTAGTGAGCTCTGGCAGCGTCCAAGCACAGATCACTGATTATTGCTCAAGACTGAAACCGTGACGCACACAAAAATTTAGCGAGAATGTGATATCAGGTGCTCAGTCTTACCCAATGAAGGTCGCTGCGATGTTATCCCATGTGGTCGCAGTTCATCTACCACCAACACTGGGGGATGAAATGTCGGCGAAGTTCGCAAATTGGGGTTATTTTCGCATATGCTTGTAATAGGACGGTGAGGGAACGAAGAAAGATGGCCAGCTGTGTTTTCTTGAGGATCTTTGAGCGAGTACATGTGAACAGGGGGGACTCCAGGTGGAAAGCCATAGCGATAGAAGTGGTCGTAGTAGGTCGTTCTGGAGACAATCCTGAAGCCTTGCGAATCGGTGCTACACTTGCGACAACGACAGATGGATCTGTTCTTGGGAAGCCCATCGTGAGCCCTATTTATCGAGGATGGTACCCTGGTCGATGATATTGGATATGGAGTATGCCTTGGGTGATCGTGCCCAGATGGTTGAGCGGCTGAACTCATGATTAGAGTCGGATGAGAAGGTCGAGGGGAGAAAGGATCAAGAGGAGATTGACGAAGCAACTGGGGGCGGAAATGCCCGGTTTTTGTCCAAGTCCGAAGGCTCTGATGACCCATGAACACAGATGAGTCAGGAAAGCAGCCGGGGGTCATGGACAGTGAACGAGTCGCGGAAGACAGTGAAAAGCCGGGATGACTCGGATGCCATGTCACGTGAACGGAAGCAGCCCATTGGCCGAGGGCTCCACGGGATGTGGCAGTGCGGGTTCGGGGACACCCAGGGAGCCAGCAACCTGGACGAACAAGGAGAAATGCGGGTGACCCGAGCCCGTCGCGGTCGCTTCAGTGGCCAGACGCGACCCCCAAGGCAAAACAAAACGCGAGAAGACGTGTTTTTCCTTGTTATGCTGAGTCCGGTGGGGGATTTGCGAGGGAAGTATTGGCCAACGCGTAATTTACACGTCAGCTTTTTTTTCATAGTGCCAGTCTCTGCCGCATTTCGCCATCGCCCTCTCTGTTGCCTGAATCCAACGCACCAACCTGCCGAGCAGTGCGGCGTGTGGCTCCTTTGGCTCGTCCTGCCAGCCGGCCATGCAACACGTGCAGCAACCAAGATTGCCAAGGCATATGGCACTGGATCTGAGATTGGATCTGAGATTGGATCTGGGATTGGATCTGGGATTGGATCGGCAGTCACGGCGTGTGGTGTCGCCAAGGGCTCTCCTCCACAGCCACAGCCCGCTCTGAAGCAGCGAGGAATCATGTCAAGGTCGACAGCGCCAGCGGCCTGTGCTTGGCCTCGAATGCATGTATTTTCACGGCCGCAGCAGGGTATCTGAGTGGAAACCAGCATCGATCCAGGCGGGCCAGGGCGCAGCCCCAGCGAATCATGGTTCTGTCTGGCCGGCCTGCAACGCTTCAGCCCGCCAATCTCGTTTTGCCAAATCGGATGCCCCCCCCCCAAAAAAAAGTCGCTGGCGACCCTCTGGACCTCCTCGCCCAAACGCGCATCCTCCGGACCCATCGGCCTTTTCTCGGCGCCATCGCCGCTGTTGCCCTTCCAGACCCAGCCTGGGGCACTCCTGCCGCCATCCAAGTTATACCACCTGCACCCGCCGATATGGAAACTGCATATAGCACCGACGGACTCTTATCGGCGGCGCACTCACATGCCTCAATCGACTCACACGCCGATCAGCTCGTCCCGTCGCTATCGTCGTCCTCTGACCCCCTGCCGTCGCATACACAACCGCAAGCCGTCCCGCCGCTGCCGCTTCCACCAGCCGATCCTCGGTCGAAGGGGATCGACGGCAGCCTCACATCAGCAAGCGAGCCTGTGCCCGAAAACAAGCCGCCTTCCGAGTCCACGTCGGCACCGCTGGCAGCCTCACTGGCGTCGTTGCCGCCGATACAACGCCCCGTATCCGAGCCTCTTTTGAATAGCAGCCAGCCATTCGCCGACCCGCCGGATCCTGAGATTACCGAGCTGTCGTTGGCCTCCCGCGACCTTCAAAGCTACTGGCATCTGGAGCTCTTCCCCGCACAGGCAGAGCACGTCGACGAGCGCAAGCGCGAACGAGTGCAGAACTTTCTTCGGGTTCCCTATGAGCTGGAGAAGGTGCGGTCGTTGGTTTTGGACTTTGAGCCAAGCTGAATGCTCTGCAAATTGTGCAGCATAATGATGATGCTCAGAGGGGCAGAGCGACAGCGACAGCGAAGCGACGTGTTGAGCATGCCCGTGTCCTAACCATCCGGCTTCTGATGGCTCCAGCTCATGTTGCTTGGCTACTTTATTTGTCTAGATTCATTCCTGTATCTGTTCACGGTGCTGCCCGTCCGCATCCTTATCTCGGTCGGCTCCCTCCTGAAGAGCATTGTCTTTTGGTAGGCGGAGCTGCCTTGGAGAGAATTTGCGTCGGCTGCTCCCCGGGCTGGCTCGTGCGTCTCGTGGTGGTCGAGACTCGAGCACCCGGTGCGAGCTGGCTCACCCTTGGCAGATATTTGTTGGAACGCAGTGCTGATGGCCCTTGTCTCTCTCTCTCCCTCTCATCGCTCCTGGGACAGCGGCAAGCCCATGAAGGGCGTGCGCACCATCGACCTGCTCAAAGGCATCATCATATTTATATGCTGCTACGCACTGCAGTACACCGACACGTCATATGCATACCATTCGATCCGCGGACAGTCCGTCATCAAGCTCTACTTCATTTTCAGCTCCCTGGAGGTGGGTCGTGCTCGATGCAAAGAAGCGCCGGTGCGATGTCGGCATTTGGCGCTTGGCGGATTGATGGCGTCCCTCCCCTCGCCCGACTTGGATCGTGCATTGAAAGCTCGAAGCAGCCTCAATAGATATCATTAGGCATCTGCAACCGAGGAGCTAATGGCTGTGGGCATCTGTCCTAAATCACATCACTTTTGCTCTCGGTGTGGTAGATCTGCGACAAGCTCTGTAGCGCGTTCGGCCACGATATCCTGGACTCGCTGTTCTCGACCGTCAAGCGGCAGTCCAACGAACGGCTCAATGAGAGCTTCACGCGCCATCGCTACTGGGGGCGGATCCCCCACTTTTGCATCGCCATGGTCTATGTCTATGTGCATTCAATCATCCTCTTTTACGAAGTCATGACCCTCAACGTGGCCATCAACTCATTCTCCAACGCACTGCTGACGCTGCTCCTCAGCAACCACTTTAGCGAAATCAAGAGCCACGTGTTTAAGCGATTCGAGCGAGAGAATCTCTTCCAGCTGGCTAGTGGAGGTAAGACAACGGAACCCCCCTGGCAAGCGACTGTGGTATACCAACCGCATTCCGAATGCACAACTGCCACCACGCACGCAGATGCGGATGTGCATGCGAATGTGCATGCGAATGTGGATGTGGATCGTGGGTTTTCTGTTCCTTTGTATATCGATCTGATGGCCCCGCGCTTGGAATGGTACCCTTGGGTCCGCAGACATGGTCGAGCGATTTCAGTTGTCCGCGTTCCTGTGCATGATCACGGTTCTCAACTTTGTGGAAATCTCTGGAGACGGCAGCATGGACACGGTCATTGGCTACTTGTACCAGATCTCGCCCCTGGCTTTGTATCAGTCGCTGGAGCTGCGCTTTCCCGCCAACATCCAAGACCTGGCTGTCATGGTCTCTCGGCTGGCTGTGTTGGTATCGTCGCCGACCTACAAGCTCATCGAGACCTTGGCCACGCCCGTGTTTTTCGTCATGGGAACCGAGATTCTGGTTGACAATCTCAAGCATGCCTTCATCACCAAGTTCAACCACACAAAACCGCAAGTCTATCAGGAGTTCAGGGACAGCCTGTTCCGCGATCTGATGGGCGTTCGTCTGAAAACGACCATGGTGCGTCTGTGTCGCCCTTGGGGCGCTGCTAAAGTGTTCTTGGCTATGCTTGCGGTCTGGCGGCTTTATATCTGCTTCGAGACTACTACTCCTACGTCTCGATCGACTTTATGAGTGTACCGAAACATCTGCGATGTGTCTTGTGGTGTCCTTTGTGCTCTGCTCCACAGCATGCGCTGTGTGGGAGTTGGACTACTCTTTGATCCTCCTCTCAGCCCTATTTCGTCACCCTACTTGCGCAACAATCCACGACTTTCCGCATGGATAGTCGAGCATGCATAGTCGAGCATGCATAGTCGAAGCAGTCATAGTCGAAGCACCCCGAACCCAGTGGATAACGTACCTCCTGTTTCCGCAAACGGGCAAACTAATCGGGCACCATCCCACCTTGCTTGGCATCGGCAGGTTCCGGATCAATCCCCCTTTGTCGCCCGAAGAATAGGCTTTGTCTCGATCCCGCTGGCGTGCGTGGTCGTCCGAATATCGATCCAGGCCTTGGAAATGGGCGAAATCGTCTCCGAGTTCGAGACCGCCAGTGTTGGGCGATTCTTTGCGGCCATTCCGCGCACGCAAGATGACCTCCTTGGCTTTCTCAACTCGATTCCGGAGCGCTATCGTTGGCAGGATATTGAAGATGGCACGGCCTACGTCCTCTATGGACTTGCCGTGTATGGGCTGTAAGTGTGAGGCTCGCCCGGAGTGGAAGCCTTTTTTCCGGCAGAAAGGCCGTGGGTAGACCACTGCGGCTCTTTGCGTCGCAGAAAGCCTGTCTATCGCTGATATGCATCCATCTGCGTACTCTCGCTGCTTCCGGTCTCTACCCCATTTCGCAGACTGGTGGTGGCCAAACTGAGCGTCGGGTACATCCTGGCGTCTGTTGCTCGGTCTCGCATCCTCGAGCTCACGGCCAAGGGCCGGGGTGTGCCTGATCCCGTGCCAAACTTTGAGGTCCTGGACCTGAGCCGACGGAAGCCCCATCCCGAACCCGACTCTGGCAAAGATGTCTCGAAAACCAGCGGCGAAGGCGCTGGCGAGAGCCACCACGCAAAGGACAAGCCACCCGCATCGCTCGAGGACGCCAAACTCGACAAGATAGACCGCTTCATGATGATCAAGAACCGCATCGTATGACCGAACGCTGTAAGGCCGAGAGGAGGGGATCCTGCCCCATTCCCACAACCACAACCACAACCACAACCACAACCACAACCACAACCACAACCACAACCACAACCACAACCACAACCACAACCACAAGGACGACAAAACATGTCCCTCCTCTCGCCTCCAAAAGCAGACCAGCCGTGGCCTGGATGACTATGCATGACCGCAACTGCGCTGCTCCGAGATGCACAAATACAACCCTGGTCTCATATGCTACACCAGCCAGCCAGCCAGCCAGCCAGCCAGCCAGCCAGTTGCCCGAGAGCACTCTATGGGCGGAACTCATGACCATGTCTGGCTTGGCGGGACATGGCGCCTGCCCCTCGTCGACATCGATTGGAGCCGGGGGATCGTGCTTGGTGTGATCCAGAGAGTACTGCCTGAGCAGGCCTTGTTGCCGCTGGGAGCGGCTGTGGCTATCCCCAGGGTCCATCGTGTTGGGAATGAGGGGGTCAGTCGTCCCTGCCTTGGACGGAGAGCTGAGCAGCAGAGTAGAGTTTGCTGCCGATGCGAGGACGGGGATGAGCCGGTGGCCCGATTCGGCTCGCACACTCCTTCGAGGGGGGAGAGGAGAGAGCGAACAGCAGGGCATGACAGCGACGGACCCTGATGCGATTTGGCGATTGTCGAATTGGGAAAGCGGGGAAGGGTCGGCTGTGCAGAGCGGCTGGTGTGCTGTGCGAAACCAATCGATCTCGAAAGCAGCCGCCACCATCAGCAGCACCAGCACCACCAGCACCACCAGCAGCACCACCACCAGCAGCACCAGCATCGACATCGGCGTCATCACCGGCGCCATTGCCATGGCCAACGGGACTAACCCCCATTTCCCGCGGTGACGTCACGGAGCCGCCCAAGAACGCAGAGTCCGAATATTGCGCCTCCTCGCGTGTCAGAGCCAGGGGCCGTGGCGATGACGAGCTGCCAGGCGATGGCGGCGCAGGGCCAGCAGCGCAATCGTAACGAGGCCGGATATGCGACAGCGACGCAACCAAGATAACACCATCACCTCTGCACCACTCGCACGGCCGCCAGTCGAGACGGCGCGAGTGGTGCCTGCGAGTGGTGCCTGCGAGTGGTGCCTGCGAGTGGTGCCTGCGAGTGGTGTGCAGATGGCGAGGACGAGCCGGACAACTGATCAAGGGCAGAGCCCCCAGCGAGTGATAGATGGGCGAATGGTGCAAGTGTGTGGGATGTGGACAGCCGGACGGGCGGGCGAGCGATGTGGCCGGCTGACCTGCGTGGGACATTGGCTCGGCCATGCTGGCAAAGCAGCAAGGTCGATAGGAGCAGCCAAGTGCAGACCAGGCAGCAGAGTACTTGGCGTGCTCACTGCTCGCTGCTCTCGGTCGGGCAGATCCTCGGCATTGGCCAGTGCTCGATATCCCCGGCCAGTGGGGCCTGGCTGGGTGGGAGCGGTTTTTACACAAGCAGGCGGCGCCGGCGGGTGGTTCTGCGTGCCGTCTGTTTCATGTCATGGGACAACTTGCCCAGCAGCATCGACAGCGCCGTGGAGCGGCGATATCTTTCCGGCTCGCAATGGGTCGCTGCTATCTCGAGATCGGCCTACTGGGGCAACTGGGGGAAGCTGCCCACATGATCGGCGTGGGAGGTGCCGCTTGCGGCTTTTGCAGGCGCCAACATGGCTGCTGCTGGTCTTGCTGCTTTGTCGGCTGCTGCTGGTCTTGCTGCTTTTTGCCGGTGGCCTCTCGCCATGGAGATCGGGGGCTGGCTGGGGATGAAGCGGCGAAAGGGCATGACCCGCTCGCAAAGCCGACATGCGCGCCATCTGCGACGCAAGAGCCAGCCTCTTCCTCCGTCCTTGCGCCTTCCATCGGCTTTCCTCCGGCTTGCCAGCGGAAGCACGCCTGCGTCCTCGGGAGAGTCCTTCGTTGCAGCTCCGACCCCACCGGCTTGCATGGCCGGTAAGGAAGCCGAGGGCGGTTGCACCAGGATGGTGGGTGCACAGCGGAGGGGGGCTTTGAAGGCAAGGGGGAATCGCGCCCCCCGCTGGTCACCAGAGCAGGCACAAGGGGGCTCTGGAATGGGGCAGTGCCCACACACAGCGGCACTGTGGCACTATAGGGCGATCTCTGAGACTGGAATCGAGATCGCCAGAGACGGATCGAGGCTGCCAATGCGAGTCTCAGTCTCGATCCCAATCTCAACCACAATCTCAACCCCAATCTCACTCCAATCTCAACCCCAATCTCAAGCAATCAGCAAGGCACGAAACACATCCACAAACGCAGCGTCCGGCAGCACGCGCTGTGACGCAACAGCAATCCGAGCCCAAAACAGCCTCGCACCAAATGCGATCACCAGCGCCGCGGCAACAACGGACGCGTGCCTGCAGAGAGCGACCCTGTCCCCGACAGCCCAGCCCAGCCCAGCCCAGCCCAGCGCCGCCGAACCTGATGTTCTGCACCAGAAACTCGCTCCAGCCAAGGACAACACACCTCGGCCGACTGCCAGCCAGCAATAGAGTTTGGGTTGCGGCTGCGTCGACCGGCCCTCGCCTGGCCCTTCGCCTGGCCCTTCGCCTGGCCCCTCCAGGAATGGGCTGGACACGCCTCGGCGGAACAGGGCCTCGGACGAAACCGGGATTGGTCGGGGGTACGGCTGGCTGGGATGACCGATCACGGGGCCGGCGGGCAGGCAGCACAAGCGTGCGTCCTTGTTGGGCGTGGGGCGCGCGTGCCGAACAAGGCCGCCGCCGACACACTTGGGCAGCGGCGCCGGCCGAGGGTGTGGGAAAATCGGGGATGTGCGATGTACGATGTGCGATGCGCAATGTGCAATCGATGGAGGTAGTCATTGCCGTTGAGCAGGACCAGTAATATAGATGTATCCATTTTCTGATGCAGCCGCTGTCGATCAACCGCTTTTCAATGATATCACCCTCCAAGGAATCGCCCTCCCATGGCATTTCAATGCAACCCTCTTCAACAACATCCATCGATCAGCCATGCGTCCTGCGCTGCTTCCCTCGCGCGCCCTCTGTGCATCGATGCCTGGCAGCGTGTGCGTCGTGGCCGATGCCCGACCGATGCCCGGCCGTCTCGAGCTCCGGAATCGCCGCAGGCACGGCAGGCATGCCTGGCTGAGCAACGAGCAGTGCGATTGCAACACCGTCTGCCGACAGCCTTGGCGTACGAGCCCCCCCCCTTCCTCCTCTCCTGCCTGCTTGCCTGCTCGGTGGACCACGACCAGACAGCAGACGGCCCATGTCCTTGCCAGGGCACTTCGTCCCGCTGCTGCTGGCGGCTGCCGAAGGCTGCGAAATGGACACAGCCCGCCTGCGTCGCACTCTTTGTCGCCCACCTGCCGCGGGGGCGCAAAGCGCTCTGGTCTTATCTTGCGAGTACAACTCCGGGGGGCGCACGGCCCCAATGCGCGAGTCAGTATCGCCCGCCTTCGTGACCGGAATCTTGCATTTATTGCCTCCCCCCGCCCGCTCTCGTTCCCCCCTCTCCTTGTCGGCCCAGGCACAAGCGCATCCACACCCATCTGCTCCAGCCCACTGCTCTCCAGCCTCCCTCTGGCGACTCTGGTCCTGGCACTTGTCTCGTCTGCATTGGTCTTGCCTGCATTTGTCTACATTTTCCTGCATTTTCCTGCATTTGCCTCATCTGTTCGGCCGAGTCCATCCCAGCACATTGGTGGTTCTTGCTCCTCCACTTCCCTTTGCCACTTCCCTTTGCCACTCGCAACCTGCTGGTGTCGTCATCTCCGCCTGTAAGTCCGAAGCATGACACCATGCCAGGCCGCTCGCCACCCCCATCGTGACCACGGGAATCTGAGCCAGCGACATGCAGAAAGCAATTGTCGCCAGCGCCATGGAGAGAGCCGCCGCCATGTGCTTATGGCCCGGCATCATGTTGTGGGTGCTGCGGCGGGAGCCGTGGGCGATGCAGCAGCGTCCTCTGCCATCGTCCGGCATCGTGTTGGGCGCCGTCTTGGCTTTCCGAACCCCCGGGCTTACACCTTGCTCCGTTTCCCTGTCTCCCTGTCTCCCTGTCTCCCTGTCTATATCGGTCCTGGTCTCCACCAGCCCACCAACTCTTCGTCGTCCCCAACTGCTCTCCCCTATCATGATTCGCATTGCCGACATCGTCAACCGCGAAGATACTTCGCCCATCCTCCGGCCCTCCGGCGTTCGGCTCTATGATGCCAGCAGCATTCCAGCTCGCACTTCGCTTGACCGCCGTCTCCGCTCCGCCACCCAACCCTGGGTCGAACTCCCTGGTCTCCACGCTCGCTCAGAGCTCGTCGTGCATCCCTCGGACACCACCATCTATGCGCCGTTTCCTCCCAGCCGCACCCTTGCCAGCTCCCTGCAACCGGCCTCTCTGCCTGCCTCAACCTTCTTGGCCGACATACCGGGGCGTGCCGGCCGTCCCGGACCCAGGACCGAGCCAGCAGCACACCCAAGCTGCCCGGATTGCGCCCACCAAGAGTCTGGCCCGCATGCCTTCCACAGCCAGCTGCGGTCCCGGGCTCTCGCCACCAGCTCCGATGGCGGCGAGAGCCAGCACCAGGAAGACTTTGAGCATCCGAGCAAAGAACTCGACCGCCAGAAGCGAGGGCCCGACGACCTGGACAGTAGCGACCCCGACTGCCAGCCCGACCATGAGTTCCCCTGGTCTCGCTCGCGGGACACTGCTCGCCTCCTGCTGCCAAGCGTTGCCGCTCTCCCACAGCCCCCGGCGTCGCAGCCCCCTGAACACGCTGCCGCCCACACCCAGGACAACGGCGAAATCAAGGCGCCACCAAGGCCCGACCATCACCAACCCCACCAACCCCACCACCACCACCACCATCACCACCACCATCACCACGGAGGTACTGCCGTTGCCGACTATTCCAAGCCGTTTGTCTGCGAGTTCTGCTGCCGCTCGTTCCGTCGGCCGCAGGAGCTGCGGCGACACACCAAGTCGATCCACTGCGGCCCCGAGGAGCGCCAATGGGTCTGCCCGGGATGCTCGGCGCCTTTTGCGCGGGCGGACGGGCTGCGGAAGCATCTCAACTCGAACCGGGCACTGCTCAAGGGCTGTGTCGATATTGATGCCCGCAACCCGAACCATGTGTTCAATCTGGCTCACGAAAACAAGCTCAAGCGCCAAAAGGTCAAGTCTCTGAAGAGCCAGAGCAACTAGAGGGCCCGCCCTTCCCCAGACCAAGAAGCGGAATGGGTGGGTGGCATTAGAAACTCGGACCAGGGCAGCTGTCATGACCCCCAGGCTCTCCCAGCCACGCTCTCCACCGAGGCTCATAGACAAGACCGTGGGAAGCCTGTCTGGTGCTCGCCATGTGCCCAGGCCAGCGCACCCCGCATACCACGAATCGAATTGCGCTTCCAAGTTGGCACCTGCTTATCATGGTTATTTTTTTTTCTTGTTCGTCGCGGGGGGGGGGAGCGTCCGGACGGGATGGCCTGTGATCCCCCTCCCAACGAGATCATAGGCTCGACCGGTGCGCTCCTCCCACGCCCCTCGATCCGTCGTGGGAGCCACGGCCTGATCCTGCTGTGCATGCATGCCTGATTATGATCTCGCTCGGGGACGGGCTGGTCCCACGGCTTGCCCTGCAGTGCTTGTACATTTGCGCATTTCTGTTCTGGTCTGGTAGTGGTGTCTCGGTTTGGCCACGGGTTGTTTGGATGCTATCGATGGTGGACCGGCTGCTGCTGCTGCCCTGGCAGACTCGTGTCCGATGTTCGTCTGGTCCGGGTTATTTTTTTGCCTTGCTTTGTTTTGTTCTTTGCCATTCCTATTTTATGTGCGCTTGCCTGATTCTCGCTTCTACCGTCTGCTCGGCACTCGCGGTGTGTATCGCATACCAGCCCTGAGCGCCACCCCCAAGCGGCTTCATCCTTCCGTGTTTTGTCCAGCTCTTGCCTCGTCTCTTTCCCCTACGAATTTTGGCTTCTTTGCATGTACAAATGATATTTTTGTCTTGTCTTTTTGTTTCTCTTCACATTTGCTGGTTATTCTCGTCACGATGCGTGCCCCCCCGGCTGTTCTGGCGGAGAACCCACCAGCGCCTAATCCCACGGCCGCACAAGCCAAAGTCAACCCTCCCGCTCTCGACCACGAAAACGCCCAAATTTGCGAGGACCCCCTTTCCTTTGATGCTGCCCGATGACGGCTCTGTTCGCCAAGAGGCGGTGGTTCGACAATCTGTCACTGCTGCCAGCATGTGCGGGTCCGGAGCCAGAGAGGGCACCAGCGAGTGAATGAGTGAGTGAGTGAGTGAATGAGAGTGAGGGAGTGAGTGAGCAAGGAGAGAAAAAAAAAACTGACCTCCAGCTCCCAGCACCATGGGCATCTGTGAGAGTGAGGGCCCCCATGAGACGCTATCTGGACCTGGCCAGACATCTCCCCGGCAGTGCCGCGCACTGCTCGAGGCAGCAGCCCCCCATGCATTTCCCACACACGAGACAGGATCAGGCTGTTTTCTCGCACACGAGGAGCAGAGGGGGCCACAGAGGTGGGGGCTGGTGGAGTTGCACAGAGAGATAGAGGTGCGTGTGGCGGCGAAGATAGGGCGGCTTCGGCTGGTAGGTTGCGACTGGTCATGGCTGCGACCGTGGCGGATCTGGGCCGACGAGGGCAGGTTTTGCTCAACCGAGGCGGCCACGGCGAGCCGGTGTGGGATGCCGAGCGACAAGGCGCTGGTCTGGGTCAGGCCAGGTCAGACCAGGCCGTCGAGCGAGCACACAGGGCCTTGGCACGGCAACAGACGCCGTGGGCAGGACGGCGAGCAGCCCAACAGCAGCGTGGGGGGCTGTGGAGAAGCAGGACGTGGGCAGCCCGGACAGTGCCTGAGCAGGGCGATGCGATTGGTCCGTGGGGGTTGGTGCTGGGCTGTAACGTTGTTGTGGAGATGTGGTGGTGTGTTGGTGGTGTTGTATTGCGTTGGTGGTGTGTTGTGTTGTGTTGGTGCTGTTTCTGGAGAGTGGGGGCAGTTGCGAGAGTGTTGCGAGCGTTGCGAGAGTGTGGTCATGTTGCTGGAGCGTGGCCAACGTGCGTTAATGTTGTTCAAGTGCCGTGCCCCGATGCGGTAACATTGCCGCCACAAACACCACTGCGGCTGGCCCAAGGTTATCGGCGTTGTGCGAGTGGGCAGCCCCGTTGTGTGGCCGAGCGCGGCCGCACAGACCAGGCAACGCGCTCACATGCCCCCGTTCGCCGGCTTGTTGTCTGCCGCGCCGTTGTGTCGACAGCGGCAGTGGATGAGATGCGAGAGCAGCGCCGGCCATTCAGAGATGGAGCATTGGGCCACGTATCATTAACACATGGGCCACGAGCATGTATCATTGGTCGCATACCATTAACACACACACATATCATTAACACACACACATATCATTAGCATAAACACATATATCATTAGCACATCATCATTAACACTGCCATTAACACATTTGTCATTCGCAGATCCCACTCGCACTCGCAGGCGCACCCGCCCCTTGCCGTGCGAGTCTGCGGCATCATGTGGCCGCCCCTTGTTGCGCCGTCGAGCGCCTTGCTGTCGCGGGCAAGGCGGGTCAGTGGGCTCCACGGGCGAGCACCCGTTGCACCTGCGGGGTCGGCCCTTGTGCGCGCTGCCCGCTTGCTGCCCGCTTGCTGCCCACTCGCGGCCGTGCGGGGCCACCCACCCGCCCGCACGCTGTGGCCGCCCATTGCGCTGCAGGACCAACCGCGGCCTGCCATTCGTTCCACGGCCGAGCCCCTCGCCGCCCCCGCTGTCGCTCGCAACCCCCCCCGCTCGATTTATATTCTTGCACCACGCCGCCCGGCAACCCCCCAAGTGCCTTTTTCTCTTCGGCTCTGACGGTCGTCTGGTGGGCTGCTTTCCGCTTCGTCTCTCTCCCGTGAGCAGTGAGTCTTGTCCTGGATTGTCCTGGGTTGTCCTGGATTGTCCTGGATTGTCTTGGGTTGTCTTGGGTTGTCTTGGGTTGTCCTGGACTGCTACTTCCCCTGCATCGTTGTGCTCTACACCTTTCTGTCAGTGTCTCCCCACCAACGCCCCAACCGCTAACATTTCAATCCCTCAACGCTTCGATTCGACTGCCAGATATCTCGCCTGCCCGCCCCTTCTTCCCAAGAGAAAGACACCCTCATCTGCGCTGTACACTCCTGCAGCAACCAACACCACCTCCCCCCCACTGGCATTCACCCCCCCCTGTCTCTGTCTGCCAAGATGATGCGCATCCAAGATATCGTCAACACCGATCCTACCCCTTCGACTCTGCAGCCTTTGAACGACCAGACTGTGTCTCAGGACGATTCGATGGCCACCCCGTCGCAATCGTCGCTCCTTGGCCAGCACCACCATCACCACCATCACCATCATCATCACCATTACACCCCCGATGCTCCCGTCTCCGCTACGCCCCAGTCACATGGATTCCCGCATCAGCTCAACCTCAGCCCCAACAGACGACCCTCGCTGCCGCTGCCAAGCTACTTTGCTTCCAACCGCTCGATCTCTGCGACTGTGGACGAACCGATCCGTCCGATGCTGCCTCCGCTGCAGCAGCTTCCCCCTCTGAACCAGCTCCCGTCGTTCCAGCAGCTCCAGTCTCTCAGCCACGGTACCCATCAGGGTGCCCATCAGGATGCTCACAAGTCGTCCGACGCATCTGCTGCCTCGTCCTTCCACGCCCACGATGGCGCCTGCTGCTCTGCCGACCACATGAGCTCGCCTGTGCCGCATGCAGCTCACTCTCGTCAATCCCCCATGTCAATCAACTCGCCCGCCCTTTCGAGTCGATCGATCCCGTACCAAAGCCCCCACGGCCAGTCGCACTACCTCGAGAGACGAAAGAGCAGCGCTGTCTCGATCGACCTCGCCTCTATCAACGACATGGACATGGATGCCTGCTACGGCTCGCCGCAGACCCTCAACTCACCCACCTCTGCCAATCAGACCTCGGCTGGCGCAACCACGGCCTCGGGGGCTTCCAACTTCATCTGCAACGTCTGCGGTGCCAAGTTTGAGCGTCGCCACAACCTCACCAACCACCTCATCAGCCACTCCTCCGAGCGACCCTACTCGTGCTCCATTTGCTCCATCTCCTTCCGCCGCCCGCAGGAGCTGCGTCGCCACACAAAGTCGCTCCACGGCGGCCCCGATGACAAGCGCTGGGTCTGCCCCGGATGTCAGTCGCCCTTTGCCCGAGCGGACGGGCTGCGAAAGCACCTACTCTCCGGCAAGGCCGTCTTGATCAACTGCGTTGACCCCAAGGATCCTCTGCGTACCCCCGATGCCATCTTCAAAATCGCCCACGAAGCCAAGCTGCGAGACGAGGGCAAACCTTTGCCCCGAAAGCTCTGAGCGGTCGACCCCGGCTGGCTTTTCCCGTCGTCTCCAGAGAAGGCCCTCACCAGCCCCGCCGACTGTTGATGGCTCTGGCTCTGGCTCTGGCTCTGGCTCTGGCTCTGGCTCTGGCTCTGGCCATACCACGGCTAGACACGGCGACGGTGTGAAACCCTTCCCGACGGCAAGCACAGCCTCGCCATTGCCGCTCGCTCCTCTCATCGAACCAGTTTTGTTTGGCTACGTCTTGATGACAACGGCACGCATCGTATCATTGTCCCTCCCCCCTGCTATACATAGCACGTCCATCGCAGTCCTGCCCTCGACAACCTCCCTCCTTGTATCCTCGACTGATCTCATTGTTTGGCCTGTTTATGCATGTACCTTTTACATCCTGGCACTGAGGGCCGTCGAGAGGGACTCTCATGTACCCAGTTAACAGTTCTCGTCGGTTGCTGCTTTGTCGACTCCCCCCCCCCTCTGCTTTTCTCGTCTCTCCGTCAACATATACTCGTCGCTGTTGTTATCCTTTTTTTTTCTCTCCTCTTTTCCTTTTCTTAGCTGCTGGTCGTCTTTAATGGGCTTTCTCGTCGAGGTTGTGGCTTTTGTCTCGTCTCCTTATCCATCCCTCTTAGGACGCTGTGTGATTTTGATTGCATAGCTTGATCCGTTTCTCTCTCTCTCTCTTGCCCCCACAAAACGGGTTGTTTTCCTCGTTTCTTCCTGCCTTACCAACTCTCCTATGTGCCACTCAAGTTCTGATTCTGGAAAACCCCCCTCGTTATTGTTCAAAACAGTCAGGCGAAACTCCCCCCCCCAGAAAATCAATAGGAAACCCCAACCCCCCCCCAAAAGCACCCCGCGGATGTTTCTCCTCCCTCGTATCAATGCACCCTCATCGCGGAAACGTCCTCCCCGAGCTTTTGCGCGTTGTAATACAAACTGCCTGGTTTATGTTATGAGACCCGTGGCTCCTGAATCGGTCGTGTGCCCGCTGACCATGTCTGCGTTGGCCTCGGCTCCTCCGCAGGTGCTGGTGATGATGCTGGTGCTGGTCTGGTGCACAATCTTGGCAGCAGAGTTTGCAGCAGAGATCGTCATGGCTGTGGTCAGCGGTGCAGACTGAGCAGAACGTGTTTGGCGCCGCATTGCGTGCTTGCGGCGACGACCAGCAGCCAGCAACTGCCTCTCTGCCAGGCTCGCCCTCGGCGGTGCATCCGCACAGGCTGCGGCTCGACACAAGGGCGAGACCAATGGCTCGCATTCGCGCTGTCCGGCTGAGCGGTCGCTCGTTATCGGCCGAGCGTGGGAACGGGACTCTGCCGCGGCAACGATGAACGGGCCAGCAAGGCCGCTCCGCACGAGCGGTTTGTCGCTCGGGAGGACAAGTGATGCCGGTATCCGTCCGCGGCGTGCCTCCCTTGCAGTGGGGAGGGGCAAAGGAAGCGTTGCCCAGCGTGAGCGTCGCCTGGCCTGCTGGTCTGTCGGGTGCAGAGGCAGTGTGCCCAGATAGCAACGGCGCAAGGAAAAGCCGTGAGCGCCCTTGCTGCACCTCCCCAAGGATCAAGTGTGCGCGTTGCATGGTTGCTCATGTGGCCGCGCCGTCGCGCCGTGTCCCTGGCCGGTCTCGCACATGATCGCGCTCCGCGAGGTACAAGGCTGGGGGGTCGCGCCTCAGAGACCGTGTCGCACGAGCGGGGCGGTGACTGTGGCAGTGGCTGTGGCTGTGGCAGGACAGGCGCGTGACTTGGCGTGGGTTGGTCCTGGCAACGCTCTCGTCTCCAGGCTCAAAGGCATCACCCCTCTGGTCGCCTCCCGTCCACGCCAAGGACCATGTGTGCCAAGGACCATGTGTGCCAGGGTTCGCGGGCGTTCCTGGTTGCCATCACGCTGCTCGCTTCGGGCCGCTCTGTCTCAAGACATGGGCCAACGACTTGATAGTTCCATTCATGACAGCAACGTGCAGCGGCCACCTCCGTCCGCCGCAGAGCGAGTCTCAGACGGGCGCGGACACCTGCTGTGGTTTTGTCTCAAAGCCCGTTCTGCGCTGGTCGTGCCTCGTCCACCCTGCCCTCGGATCGTCACTGGTATCCCTTCAGCGCCATCGAGCTTGTGACCAGCGATAGTCGCTCTGCTGCATTGCTCGATCCGAGCTTGTAGATCTGGCGGAATGAGCGAATGCATACAGGGGCTCTCAGTTCACACATCCTGGCAGATCCAGGCCTGCTTTTCGGGGAGCAATCGTGCGCGGGCTGCACTTTACCTTCTCAACCGCCTGCAGGTCCACCAGTTCGGCGTGGCGACTCAGCGGCACAAGTTCTCCTTGCACGAGCGACTGGATCTTGGCCAATCCCTTCGAGAATAGGACCGCCAAGCATGCTGTTCAGACTTGGAGCAAAGCCTTCTCTATGGCAGCTCGCCGTCCGGCGAATCCACAAGAGAGCGACGCCGATCCGGATGCACACAGCCATACCTCTGCCGATGGCTCTCCGATGAAAACTACAAATATGGCATTGGTCTTGTCCGAGACTCCAAAGAACTTGAGCGATTCGGTAATCTGCGTCCCGAAACAGGAGCGCCGAGCAGAGGCGACGGCTACGGGTGAGTCCGCTGGCTCGCCGGTCCTGGCCGGCCTTGCATATTCGTCCGTGAAGCTGCTGCATGTCGACATACGCCTCTGATGTGCAGTCGCACGTGGCCTCCTTCCCACCTTCCTTTCTCATTGTACATACACTCGTTCCTGGCGTAAAGTTGAATAGCAGTTCCGAATAGATCGATTTGGTTTTCATCTTGCCCTGAACTCGCGCGAGGATGGCCTTCTGCGCCGCAAGCTGGATCAGCGACGGGTCCAGAACCTGCGCGATTGTTTGTGAGGAACCGAGGGAGGGGGATGGAGATGGAGAATGAGCTGCAGGGTCGTATTTCCTCGGCTTTCCCCCGGCTTTCCCCGGCTTTTCTCGGCTCTTCATCGAGGCGGCCCGAACCTTGCGAGCATCCAACATCGAGCATTGTGGAATCGTGTCAGGGCTCTTGATGATTGTGTTCTTGATCTGGGCGGGATTCTGGACCTTGACAAAGAGCGACACATGGATGGAGCATGGATCGACGCTGGCGTCCTGGTGGACAGCGACAGACGGATACGGATGGTCGCTGGGAGGAGGCACCAGAAATCCTGGGAGCGGCAGCGTGGTGGTGGTGGTGGTGGCCATGGCTTGCGCTGCTATTCAGTCGGATGGCGATGCCCGTGCTGCTGCTTGACCAACTATGCACCCAGATATGCAATCAATCAGATATGCAATCAATCAGATATGCAATCAATCAGATATGCAATCAATCAGATATACATCCAGCTGCTCTCCCCAATGTTCGGCCAGATCTGCGGTCGTCGTGCTGTGCGGCCAGCGGCGTCGGCGCTGTCCACCCCGCCAGATCGCACAGCCGGCCGCCTAATGAAATTAATAGTCCACCCACCAACCTCTCGCTCGCCGCTGTCTCGCCGCCGCTCTCGCCCCTCGCCGCTCCCTTGCCTTCCTGGGGCCGCCAGACGGCCGTCTGCCACCCGCTCGCTTGGGCATCCACATCACCCTGTCCTCCTTCCCAGGACGCAAGCACCCCTGCCCGATCGTGCTCTCCCCGCCTGCGACGGCCCTGTCTCTCCGTCTCCAAGACCCCTGGCCTCTCGCACCATTCTGCCGCGCCCCACATGTTCTGGCGATTTGGATTCCACAACGCTGCCTCGGCGATCGACACCCTGCTCGAGAAGGAAGGCGTCACCCTCGATGAGCTGATGGAGGAGGAGGAGCTCCTGCAGGAATGCAAGGCACACAACACCAAGCTTATCGATTTGTATGTTGCCGTGCCGATCGTCCTATCTCGCGCTGCTGCTGTTTCTGTTGCTGTTGCTCCCGCCGGTGCTGTCGATGCCGATATTGCCGCGTGGTGCTCGGCTGCCTGTTGACTCAGAACAGAAGGGCGTCTGCTGCCTGCACTCTGCTCCTGGGTTACGTGTATTTTCTCTTCTTGGCTCGTCTCCGGACCCAGGCATGGGCATCACATTCCTGCATAATGTGCTCGCCATGCATCCCGATATCGGTCGCATCTGCCACCCTTTCCCCCCTCTCGTGTGGCCCAGACCCTTGTCCGCTCGATGCTCTCCACCCATCACTGCTTGATCTCGTCCTCACCCTCCCCCCTCCACCTGTCCCGGGACCCACCCTGTCTTCATTCAGCGATCACACCCGGCATTTGGATCCCTTTGGCTTTGCCTGCCGGTGTGGACGATGGCCTTGGTTCTGAGCCATTCCTTTGCCGCGGAACTCACCCCATCCTCCTCTTCCTATCCCACCCGCCAGCCTTTGCAAACCCGAATCGCTCACAAAGCTCCTCGGATACATCGTCGATAACAATCTGGACGAAACAAAGGCATTCAAGTATCCGTCGTTCCGCCGTCGGCTCGTGCTCGCATGCCCCTCCCCTCTCGCTCAGTATCACGCTCGGCGGTTACTTCTGGGTCCTCGAATCGATCCTCGAATCGATCCTCGGGCGCGACAACCGGGGTCATTTAGCGATGGCACGGCTGCTCCTGTCTCCTGAGCCCTTGGCTTCGCGTCCCGTTGGATTATCTTGGTTCATCTATGCATCCGCCTTCACTCTTTGGCGTCGGCCGACAGAGCGCATTGGAAGCTTCTGGCTGGCCTCTGTCAGCTGTTGATTTCTATGCCAATCGTCCGGACCATGATCCACGAGTCCTGCAGCCAGATCCTTGTCGCCGAGCCATTCCGTCATTATTCACACATGCGCTCCCCCTCCTCCTACCACTGCTAGCTTATTGATCTTCTCGCTGTGCAGTTCTGTCGCGAATCTGCGATCGATCCCAGGCCAGCCTGTCCATTAACAGCAGTCTCCTCGTCCAAACCCTAGATATCCATATCTAGCAAGCGAAATTGTCAGCTGCGAAATCTTTTCGATCTGCGAAGGAATCATGTCCAATATTTCCCTGCTAAACCACTTCTGGTCCATACTCGAGGGGCCCGTGGGAATCAATCCTCTGCAGGCCAGCTACTTTTGCAAGGTCAACGGCGTGCTGCTGCAAAAGAAAACCGCCGAGGTGATTCTCCGTGCCGAGACGACGTTTCTGTCTCCAAGGATGCATCGCACTGCTTCACATCTCGACCTTTGTCGCCTCAAACCAGCCTCCCGCGTCCCGTCGCCTTCCGGGTGTCCTTGGCTGTGAACTCTCACACTCACCTACACATCCGTCGCACCTTGCCAACTCTACCAGTTTATCCAATTCGTCCGGAGCGTCCCAAACTTTGTAACAAATATCCTCCGGCACATTGGCTCGTCAGCGATCGCCGACCTGCTGCTCAAGCTGATTAGCGCTGCCGAGCTCCCAGAAGGCAACGGCATCGTCGAGGTAACCACAGCGCATTCACCGGAAATGGGCCCATCCTGATGTCTTGCTCCCCCCCCCAATGGAAGGCTGCTCCAAAGATCGACCACCCTGACCTATGGCTTGATCATGGTCTTTTGTTGCTCCTCATCTACGTTGTGGTTCATCGTATACATGCGCGACTTGCTTCCTGGCTCGCTCGCCTCCTCGGCCGCTGCGCCGATACATCGGAATGGGTATGCGGCTTCGTCTCTGACCAATCTTCGATCTGCGACGCAATCAATTCAGTGGCTCAATGCCCAAGGCCTTATTGCACATTTGGTCAGCCGCTTGGACCCAAACCTGGATCCCGAGGTAATGACTCGGCCGTGCAACTGCGGCACAAAATCCACCCCTATTCTCGTATGCTCGGCCAGGTCGCCCACTCACGTCTGCCCTCCTGGTCGTTAGATGCACAACACCGCCGCCCAAACTCTGCTCGATATTATCGCTGTGAGCTATCAGAGCAACATTGCCGACCCAACCGGCGGAGGCGACGCCATGCCCCAGAGCGATTTCCTTGGAAACTCGCTCGTAAACGAGCTCAAAAGGTATGTCCTCTACACGCCGTCTGCCATTGGCGAGCGGTTTGCATTGCACGGGTACAGACTTTAACTCTCCGTTCTCGTTATCTCGCCGTACGATCTACAGCAAGGAAATCGTTCTGGTCCTTGTAACCTACATGCTCGACACGGCTGCCCCCAATACATCCAGCTCGCTGACCAACGGCATCAACATCTTTATCGAGCTTATCCGGAGATACTGCAGGTATGGTTGCACATGTCCATCACACTGGTCCCATCCAAGCCTGCCTCGGCTCGCCCATGTCCTGACAAACACGTTTGCTCCAGCGATATCGAGCAAGCCGAGTACCAGCAGCATCAAATGCAGCTCCAGCAACAGAACCAGCAGCAACTTAGCACGACTGAGCCTTCGCCCGCGCGAATCCGGATGCTGGCCATCGACCTCAGCGACATGCTCTCGGTGCTGAGAGAGCGCCTGACCGACTTTGCCAAGCTCCTCGACCACCAATGGACGAGTGTAAGCACTCTCATCGCTCGAGCCCGTTTGTCCTGACCAAGCGCCGGCGACACTTGCACTTGACATGACTCCTTGCTATTTCTGCCTCCCGTCTGCTTTGCGCTGACAATGCCGGTCGCTGTGGTTTTCAGAGCCTTCCCACCGTCCGCGCCTCTGCGCAGCGTCTTGGCCCCGAGCGCCTAAAAACCTGCGAGCTGTTTGCCGAGATACTCCATCTGCAATACCTCTACACCTCCAGCCCATTGTTCGAGCGTCTCACCGAGAGCGGCTCGCTAAACCCCGCCGGATATCCCGGGCTGTCGCCGACCGCGGGTCTCGTGAACGGAGTAGATCCAATGCAAGTGTGCGACCAGACCATCGTGGACGAGCTCATCCGCATCACCGAAATCTTTTCTACATTCAACATTCTGCCGACCTGTCTGGTACGTTGGGGGAGAGGCGCATTTACACGTCTCGATGTGGCGATGCCGTTTGAGGAGGTGGGCGGACGAGAACAGCGTTGCCCGATGCTGACAGGAGGCTCTGTCGGACACAGAATCTGTTTTTCCAGCACGAATGGAACAACTTTTTGCACTCGGTTGTGTACGATATGATCGCCAAGGTTTTCAACACATACTCGTTCACGAGCTCGCTCTCTGCGCAGCGCGCCGCCATTATCCAGGGCACGGACGCTCCTCCCGCAGACTTTGTGCCAAACCCTGCCTTCGACGCCAAGATCGAGCGGGTTCAGACCACCGTGCGAAGGGCTGTGGTTTCGGTGAGTATTGGGGTGGTGCCCTCTTGGTGGGACTTGGCTCAGCCTCACCCGACGTGCTGTTCTTGTGCCTGTGCACCCATTCTTGATTCCGCAGAGAATCGAGTCCAGTAATCCATGGTGTCGAATCGCGCTTGGATTGCTCTGCTCTCGGGTTGATCCGTCGCCTTCCTGGCGGCCAGCGACTGATGCTGTGACTGACGATCCTTCTTTCGATTTCCTGCCCAGATCCTGCGCGACGGCGCCCTCACCAAGAGGATCACCGAGGCCCAACGGCGAAACGACGCCGGAGAGTAAGTCTGCAACTCGCAATGTGGCCTGTCCGGATGCCTGTTCCGTGGACCTCGTCAGTGGATGCTCCGTTATCGCCACAGTCCTCACTCACGCGCACATATTTGCCTGCATCGATCATAGGGAGCAACCTAAAGGCGTCCGGCTTGGCTACATGGGCCATTTGACCTACATTTCCGACGAGGTCAGCAAGCTGTTGGAGAAGTGTGGTCCTGAACTCATGGATGATATCAAAGGTCTGTTTGGTCGTGCCTCTGCCTTCCTCGACTGTGTATTCCGGAACAGGTGTCTCTATGTTCAAGTTATCGCTGGCGGCGCTTGTGTGCCGTTTGTGAAGATGACAATCACTGGCCTGACTCTCTGCCCTTGCTTTCCCTCTGCCACCAAGACACCATTGCTTCATCCGACTGGCAAGACTATGTGAACGGCATTCTCAAGGACACCAAGGAGCGAGACCGACAGCCTCTTGGCGGCGTCCGCCCTGCAAGCAACCCGTCGGCCATGCCGCCCATGTCAGGAGCCTTCGACGACGCAGATACCGGCGTCATAATCAACCGAAACGCGCCAAGCTACGCGATGAGTGGCATCACAGGGCTGAGTGATGATGAAGATGATGATATTGATGGAGTCGCGAATAGAGACCATAGGTATAGTGGGGAAGGGGAGGCCTCGAACGACCAGGTGAGGAAACTGGTGATGATGCAAGATGAATGGGCCGGCAGCAACTGGGACTAGCCGCCGCCTGGTTGCGCTCCATGACTCGCCCGTGCCACCTTTCATCTGCCGTTTTCGTATGGGCGTCTATCCATCTTCCTTTGTTGTTGTTGTCCCTCCACTCTTGGTGCTATGATGATGATTTGGTTTTCTCTGAGCTTTGGCATGTCTGTGGTTGCTTGGCCCTCCCATCCCCCCCTCCATTCACTGGATTCGGTTCGATGACGAGGACCCCACTGTTACTTGCGGTGCCACTCTTGTCCTCCCTCCTTCCTGGCTTTCGTTTGTGCTTGTCGGCAAGCCTTGTGTATTTCATACCGAGCGATATGAATGTATTGGCGTATGGCTCTTCCTTTGTAGTCATATTTATTAAAGCAACTTGGTTGTCAGAAGGCGTAGGAGAGCAGGACGAGCATTCATTCCTTTTCTCACCCGCGCTCCTTCCCATGCCAGAGTGTCTTTGCTGGTTACTCCTCCTTTCCTCTCCTCCCCTTTCCTCCTCTCTCCTTCGCCACGCCTTCCTATTTATTGTCAATTCTCCGTGGCCGCCTGGGTGTCGGTGTGCACGAATAAAAGTACTAATTTGACTTTTGACCTGCTTCCCCTTCTGCCTCCAACCCCTTCCTGCAAACGGCTCCCCCCCCCACTCTCACTGTAACTGCGGACGATACGATACGATACGATACGATACGATACGATACGATACGATACGATACGATACGATACGATACGATACGATGCGACCGACCGGACTCCAACTACCAACTTGCCCACAACTCGACATCGATACTATTCCGAACTGAATCAACCGACACCCTCCCCTTCTCTCGATTCGATCCCGCTCCTCCACAACCGACCAGTTCGCGCGCTACCTGTGCCAGCAAATCGTCAACGACTTGCCCGACCGGCTGCTCGGGGCTGAAAGCTCAGACGACGAAGAAGACGAGCAAGGCTGGATAGAGTATGATCAAAGCGTCGGGTGTTGGGCACTGCCGAGTGATGCGGGGGTGGCTGTGTCACTGCAACGGCCCCGAGCCACATTGCTTGATTGCCTCGGCCCAACATGTGTAGTGGGCTGACATTCGTATGGACACCCACGTTTCTTGCAATGATAACAGCGACCTGGACAACAAGAACTCTGCAATCTCACCAACATTCCAGATCTCGGTAAGCACCGTACCTGTCGCTTTGCAATAGCCATGAACATGCAATCACATTGACGCCGAGTCGACTGACGCAAAGCACTACTGCTGGCTCGCATTCGTGGAATGTTCAGGGACACTTGGCCGTGGAAACTCGAGTCCCGGGAGCACGCCAGGAAGGTGGAGACTCTGGCGAATTCGACGACGACGATGACGACGACGATGACGATGAAGATGAACAGCCCGCGACCGAGGAGCACCCAGACGCCACGCGTCTCTCCAAGATCTCGAGTGTCAGTGGCGGCGACAGTGGCGAGGTACGAGTTTTGAGTCTGACGACCCATTTCTGGGACAGCCAGCCGAAAGCCGCCGTGCTCTGCTGCCAGATGGACCAGCCACTTGCAAGACGAGTCCGTGGTGGACAACCCTCCCTGACGAGACAGACGACAGTGGAGCAAACTTACCGATATCGTGCGGTCTCTGTTTGCAGGAGTGGATCGAGCGGCCTATTGAGGATGCCCGTGGCAACGCTCCTTCGATCACTTATTCGGGGCCCGATGCATCCGGCGCCAAAGTATCGAGTCCACCGCCTCCGGCCCGGCCGCCCGTTAGCACTGGATGGGCCGACTTTTCCTCATTCGAAGCCCAGAGCAGCATTCACAAATGATCCTGCGGCGGTGCTCGCTTTTTGTGGGTGTCTGTCGATCACTGCAGCATCACTTCCCATCCGGGCAGACAGATCCTCGCTGCCCCTTGGTGCCGTGCCGCCTATGGGCGCGAACAGCCCCCCCATCGCTTTGGCATCTCCGCTGGCACACGATTGTCTCCGGCCCCTTTCTATTCCTAAACAGAAACTAGAGTACTGTAAAGGCAAATCAAACAGGCCCGTGGGTGATAGTGCTGGTGTATTGCGGTGCGAGATTGGCTTGGATCCGAGTGGGAGCCTGCTATTACAGCGTTTCGAAAATGAAATGGGTACCATGTGTCCCGCCAGGTTCAGCCCTGGCTTGGATGCTCTTGTGCTGCTGTGGCAATCTGCTGCCTGCTGATGCGTCAACGCCTGAACTTGCATCAGATTGCACACTCTCGCAAGCCGTCATCGAGAGCATCACCCGCCCGCCACACCGAGCTGTCTCTGCTGAGATAGGATCAGGTGGCGGGGCTGGCAGAGGCGACGAGGCCGAGCTCGCCTGAAAGGCTCACTTGGCTTTCTTGGTGGCAATAATAAGATGCGCCGTGGTGCCAAACAGCGTGCCAGCCTCCTGGCTTTGGCAGCTGTCGATGTCCTTGTGGTTGGCAAGATATTCCTCGTATTCGTCGCAGTGGGCAATGTCCCACACCATGATCGTGCCGCCGGGTCTGGCCACTCGGACCATTTCCTGGAGCCCATAATCTCGCTGCAGCCGGGCTTCAGCCGCAGATTCTGAGCTGGCCCCGCCTTGGCTTGACCCGGGGCCAACATACTTTTCCGAGAAGCAGTGGACCGTCAGCGACGAAACGACGGCGTCGAACTGACCCGATTCAAAATCGGTGTTGCGGCCATCCTGGGTCTGGATCGAAATGAAGCGGCTTGGATCGGCGATTCCTTCCTTGAGAGCGTTGCGGAATACGGCTTTCTCCCCGCCCTGATGCGAGAGATCCTTTGTGTCCCAGGTGTCGATGCCGACCACTCTGCGGATCGACGGGGCCTCGGTGCTCTGGGCCTCGCCGGCTTGCCTTCGCTTGCCCTTGACATTCACGTCGAGTTCCGAGGCTGGATCGGATCCTGGCTCTTGGTCGAGCTGCTGAAATTCCCTCGCGAGAGCACAGGCAAGCAGCCCCCGTCCCGTGCCGACATCAAGGATCTGGCAGCCCGGCTTGACAAGCACGCCAGACGCCTTGAGGCGATCGACGATTTCGAGAGCCTGCGTCTTTTTGGTGGACAATGACCCGAACAGATGGAGGGCAGCCTTGTAGAGGTTGTAGAGCGCAAAGATGTACAGGATTTGGGAGGTTGATCGCAGGTAGAGCGGAGCCTTGGCTTTTTCTTCTGCAACGGCAAACATCACCCGGGTAATCCACTGGCACATTGCTGCGGTGAAAATGACAGCGATGGAGACGGCGAGGAGCGTCCAGGGCACGCTGATGTCGTCGATGCCGTAGAAGCCGCGGAGCGGGGCGGCTTTGGAAGCTGCCGGAGCAGTTTCGGAGCTGGCTGCTGGGGCGCTGGGCATGGAGAGCGATGGGTCGAAGCGATGGGTTGAAGCGATGGGTCGAAGCGATGGGTCGAAGCGGTGCAGAGAGGAAGGCCGGGTCTGGTCTGGTCTGAGGGCGCTCGCTCCAGAAATCCTCGCATTCCGGTGACGGCTGGCCGCAAACGGCAGCGCCACGGCCGCGCCGCCGACAGAGGCGCCAGCAATCACTTTTTTTGTTTGGTGTTTGGACCGAGCGCCAGTGCGCCTGCTGCTGATCTGCTCAGACCCAACAACCGTTCCGGACCCACACCCCGACCCGTTTGCGGCGACGACAGCATGAGCGACCAGCCTGTCTCCACAAACGAAAACACGCTGCTGCTCGTCCAGGCCTGCCGCGACGGCAATGTCGAGCAGATCGCCGTGCTGCTTCAGGCCACCCCCAAGCCCGACATCCACTATGTCGATCCCGAGACCGGAGCAACGCTTCTCCACGATGCCTGCGGCTCTGGAAGCCTCGATGCCGTCCAAGCCCTCATCCGCATCGGCGTGCCGTGGAATTCGGTCGATTTCGCCCACAAGAGCGCTGGCGAGGCCGCCCTTGAGGCCGGCCACATGGATGTGTACGATGCCCTCGTACAAGAAGGCATCCGATCCGAGCTGCTTCTTGAGGCTGTTTCTCGCCACCATGACGATGAAGATGACGATGGTGCCGAGGAAGATGATGATGCCGATGGCAATCTCAAAGATGGCGGCGAGGAGATCCACGAGACCGAGCATGACAATGCACAAGCACCCGATCAAGTCGGCGCGGACAGAGCACTTCGCCAGGACACCAAGCCGGGACCTGATGCTGCCGCAGAGCCTCCCAAGAAGAAGACCAAGGTCTCGAATGCCGAGTATCTGGCGAGCCCGCTTGTCTTTTCCGAGGGCCGACTCCTGGATAGCGAAAGAAATGCCGTCATGATGGGATGGGAGCATCCGCTGATGATCCATCACGCCAAAGTGATTGCTCCCAAACCCGGCCTGGACGTGCTGAATGGTGAGATCAAGAGCGGAAGATGTCTCGTTGGCAGGCGGTTCGGCTTCTATCATCTGTGTGAGGCCAGGTCCAGCAGATAGATTGTCTGCAGCCACCAACTACAGCCAGCGACGTAGCGTGGCAATGCACCGGCACCGATGCGGCTGATACACCCTCGCTCACCACTCGCATCCGTCCACCGACTGGCAGTTGGCTTTGGCCTTGGACTGGTCGACAAGGAGCTGCAGAAGCTGAAGCCGCGGACGCACACAATCATCGAAGCACACCCGGACGTGTACAAGCACATGCTCGAGGAAGGCTGGGACAAGATCCCCGGAGTCAAGATCCTGTTTGGTCGGTGGCAAGATGTCGTTCCTCAACTCGAGACCTACGACGGTATCTTCTTTGGTGAGTGCTCATACCTGGCTTGACCAGACGAGCAGCTGGCCGGAACTCCAGTATCCGATCATCTCTGGCTCCTCCGGCTCAACTTTATGTCCATGGATCCTGGTTCCAGATACCTTTGGCGAGTATTATGCCGACCTGAAAGGTAAGTGGTGTCCAAAGTGGCGGTATGGCCGCCGGGATAGCAGGATTTGCATGGTCGGCGCCGCACAGAACGCTGGCCTGCTCGCCGAATCGGACTGACCGTGGCATCTGTGTTCAGAGTTCCACGAAGTCCTGCCCAACATCCTTCGACAGGACGGCATCTACTCGTACTTCAACGGCCTCGGAGGCACCGACCGGTTCTTCCACGACGTCTACTGCCAGATCGCAGATCTCGATCTGCAGGACATGTGCATCCAGACTGAATACGTCCAATTGGATCTCGAAGCTCTCGGCGATGAAGTCTGGCAGGGCACCAAGCGGCCGTACTGGAGCCTCAACACTTACAACCTACCGATCTGCAAGTTTATGGAGCTCTGAGGCAAACGGTGAAGGGTGTTTGCCGAGTCGGCTCGCCGCTCGATGGCGGTAACCGGAATCGATTCGCGGCCCTGAACGCTCTCTCACCCCACATACGTCACCCACGCCCAGTGCAGCAGTGTCGGCACATCGTCATCGCCGATCCAGACGGGTCTTTGATGTTTATTTCGTCGGCAAGCCCAGGGGAACAACGGTACTCGCTGTAGACTCCACATCAGTGTGCTTTTGCAAAGATATGGCCCTTGTGTGGAGCAGCCAAGCTGGCCCAATGAGCGAATGAAAGAAAGTTAGGAGTACAGAATGAAGTGAAGAGTGGAGTGGTTGGATTTGATGTTGATGAAGGGGTGCAGAGGCATGTGCTGTGGCATCGGCGCCATCGGGGCCACTGTTCTCGTGCGGTGGTGCCTTGTGTGGTTTGGAACGCCAAAGGCAGGCGAGTGATCTGTTGAGCCCCTACAGCTCATAGGGGCCGCCCGTGCCGATACTGCTCATGGCTTTCTTGGGAGCCAGGGCTTGTGAGCCGATCCACTGCCAGACCGGGTGCTGCTCGCCACATATGTCCATGCTTGTCTCGCGCACATTCGAGTTGAGGAGGACCATCTCAGAAACCTTGATCCAAACCTTCTGGCGCTGCTGTGGATCCAAGTTGAACCGTTTCTTGTTCATCATCGACGCCAGAGCCGAGGGAGACTCGAGGCCCTCCCCATCAGAAACAGCGCTCTCGCTGCGGCCGAGAGACGGCGATCCGAGCTTCTTGTGGACGGGCAGAAAGTGGTCGCGAAGTTGGTTGGTGCTGAGGCCGGGGATGGGATATCGAACGGGATCTCGGAAGTGATTGTCACCTTCCTGGTGGAGCGCCTCGAGCACATCGTCGACCAGCTCCGAGATCATCTTGGACTCTTGTCGAGCATAGTGCGCTTGGCCCCAATAGAAGGCAACGCCAAAGATCGTGAAACCGGCCACGGAGAGCTCCAGAAAGTGTTTTGAGATCCAGTCCAGCAAACTTCTACTGATGCGGCAGCTCAGGGGCATGATCGGGGGCTTGCTGGATCGGAGCATGCGTTGTTGGTTGGCATAGATGCAGGACAGATCCGAATCGATTACTGCTGCCTCCGGCTTGGTCTTGGCGTCGGTGAGGGTCGGGCTGGATGCTGGCGTGGCTGAAGTCACGGATGTCGACGCAGCCGACTCTGATTCAGGCCGCGGCGGAGCGTCAAAGAGGCACTCGGTCGTGTTGATTCGCTTGAGCACAAGCTTCCACTGCTCCTCGAACCGGACATCGTCCCAGCGAGTGCCAATGAGCGCCTTGAGGCTGTTCTTGGCGGTCGACAGCGGCATGCCAAGCACGTGTCTACCATCCTCGGACCAAATGTTGCCTTCAGCCGAGAGATGGGGGTCTTGTTTCTTGGGCGAGTGGAGGGCGCTGCGGATCTGCAGGATCCGTTTGCACTCAAACTGACCAGTCCATCGTCGCACAATCTCCTCCAGAGCGTTGGTCATGCTACGGATCTGCTGGACTTCCTTCTGTTCCTTGGCTATCTTCTTGAGGTCGGGTTTGCAGGTGGGCTCGGTCCAGGGGAAAGGCAGGAGCGAGTAAATCAAGCCCCGGGTGCCGACAACAGAAGTGACCCAGTTGGGAGCCAGATAGTAGTCACCTTCGCACGCCAGAAGGTTGCTCTCGGTGCAGGTGCCACGCTCCGGGCATGGGATGCAGGTCGGCAGGGCATATCCAAATGGATTGTAGCCTTTGTAGCTGGGTCGCTGATCTTCTTTGTTGGGGCCGCAGTAGCCCATGTCGCCTTCGATACCGTTGCGCCAGTCGAAATAGCCGTATCCGAGCAGCACGGCCAGGGCCAACCAGAGCATCCAGAGCCCAGATCCTTTGGGTGGGAGTGTGGTATCCTTTCTTCGCACCGAGCTGCGCCTGCCAGCCTTTTTCTTTTTGGGAGGCTTGGGTGTCGCGGGAGCCTCGCCAGCGGCGTGGGCGTGCTTGGGGCGCTCATCGTCCGTGGTGGCCTCGGCCACACTGTGCTTAGCTGCCGGCGGGGTCGTGGGTGCGGGAGCCCGTTTCTTGAGTCCAGAAACAGCCTCGCCTGGTGCGGTAGGGGAGCTAGCGGCGTTGGATCTGGCTGCGACCAGGGGGCCATCGATTCCGTCGGTCGAGCGGGTGTAGACGCCCAGCGATTTTCTCGGAGTCTTGGACAGCTCGCTAAAGGATGAGTTGCGCCTGACGCTGGCCACAGAGCTGGACTGGGAGCTGTGCTCGGCAAGTAGACTGGGATCCATTGTTTTTCTCCCTGGACGGATGGTGGCCGGGAGGGCGTGCGCCTCCATCGCCGCCGGCGAATCATCCACTGTGTCCGGTTCGCCCAAGGCAGCAGCATCCTCGAGAGCGATGTGGCCCTCGTAAGTGTCAAGAGACTCGATTTCGTCGATGGTATCGATCTCGTGATATGCCGACAGCACAACCGAGCGCTGGTCCAGAGATCGGCGAGAAGCCGAGTGCTGAGGATCCTCGGTCCAGGAGCCTTTTGCTCGGAAGTCGTTGACAGACTTTCGACGAGACGATGCAGAAGGCCTGGCAGAATGTGGGCCAGCGGAGGCGTGCGGATGTGCAGCGCTCACGGCACTTGCAGATCCGCGGGGGGCCGAGTCAAACGGCGGGGGCTCGTCTGTGTTCGAGAAACTTGGCACAGTCACCTTTGGGGTGTGAGCTCGGAAGTTGAACGGCTGCGGTGACGGGTTTGCGGCAATTTGCAGCGGCCGAGTCGACGCAGGCCGATGCGCTCCAGGGGCATACGACGCACGGACTTTCTTCTTGGGCGTCTTGAGCATGGCAACATCTGAGTCGACATCCGACTGGTTGGCGGACGGAGGGTTTGAGATGGCGCCGGTGGACTTTCTCCGAGACGCCGACGATGGAGTCGCCTTTGGAGGAGTTTGGAAGGGGTTATCGTATGAAATGTCGCTGGTCTTCTTGGGAGAGCCTCTGTGGTTGGGTGTGTGCGGGCCGGAGTGAGCCTCGACCGCGGTGGAGTCGTCCTCGGACTCTTCGACAAATTCATCAAAGTCTTGTTTTATACAGGTTGATGGGGGGGGTGGATTGTGTGTGATGTTAGTGGCTGTATGGGCATCGCCAAAAGCGGCGGCAATCAGCCCAGCCCTTGGAGCAAATTGCCAGTGCCGACAGAATGTACCAACGCCGACAGAATGTGCCAACACCGCCAGAATGCGCCAATGCACTGACGGCTACCGGTCTGAGCACATACCAGAATCCTGAGAGTCGACTGAAACGGCAACGAGGGAGGAACTCGCAAGCTCCAAGGCCCGCTCTGTATCATCGACTGGTTGGTCCTGGTCGCGGACATTGCCAAACGATATGTGATCTCTGGACGAGGCTGGGACGGTATAAAAGGCTTCCGACGGACGCTTGCGCTTCTGAATGTCCTTCTGGATGGCCAACTTCTTCCTGTGGCTGTCGATGAGGCGCTTCCGGTTGGCTGCGATTTGGTTGTTGAAGAGCTGGATGTAGACGTCCTTCTTTTGCTTGGTTGGGGGCAGCACAACACCTTCGCGGGACAGCAGGGATGAGAGCGCCGGCACAGAAAGCTTGCTGGGATCGAAATTCTCGGCGAGGTACTCTGGCAGAGCATCTCCGAGCAGGTCGCTGTTAGACTCCATTAGGCTGTTTGTATGTGCGTGGAATGCCTGGGCCGACAGAGATCGGGGTTGGTGAACAGGACCAAGACGGCTGGGCAGATGATGGGAGGATGCTGGGCAGACCACAGAACAGAGTGCATCAATTTTGTCCAAAAACGGCAGCCGCCTGGACGTCACGTGTGCGGGCGGTGCTTGGCGGCTGCCGGCCCCAGCCGGCCCGCATTGCATGTGAACGGGTCGGCGATGGCCCGGCTGGGACGAGGAGGCCGTCGAACAACAGACAGGCACGATGCGGTGAACAGGATGGACTGGTTTGTTCCAACGGACGGGTGGTATCACTGCAATATCGGTCCAAAGATTGCATTCGATGCACGAGCGGTTTCCACGAATACCGCCAGTTCTCACGATGGCTCCTGATGGCTGCCTGACCCCGTAAGCACCACCTTGTCGTCCGGGTCTTGGCTCCTTGCTTGATGGATAGCGCTGCGTCGCTCCTCAATAGGGGTCCATACCAATCCAGAGCGTCAAACACAACGGGCAAGACATTGGCTTGCAGCGCCCGCCCAGCCCGCGTCGCAGGCCCGCTCTTTCTGTTAGGTCCTGGTCCTGTCGTGCCAAGCGTCCTGTCCAAGCGGCTATGGGTTGTGTTGCGTGTGCACACCGAAGCTCTCAGCACGCAGCGCTCTCGGAGACGGCAGCATCTCCTTGGTTTTGTCGCTCCATCTTGCCCCACATCGCGCCTCGACAATGCGGCCTATCGCGCTCGCCAGCCATGCTTGGAGTCACAGGATGACGGCGGTGCTGTTGCTGGTCCTGCTTCTCGTCTGCCCAGCAATGGGTGGGAGGGCTCTGACCATGCCGGTCACAAAACACGACAAACTCTCATCCTATTTCATGCAGCACTTGGGGCTCAAGGTCCTACCTATGGCTTGCAAGCGAAGATCGGCGGCTCTGTCGCATCCTGTCTTCCTGTCGCAGTATGTCCCTGTGAAGCCACGGGAAGCAGTGCCCGCACACGTCCTCCTTATGGCATACAAGACAGACATGCAAATCCAAGAGACATACTTCATCAAAGCATTCAGGATTCTCCACGCGCTATACCAGGGCCAGCCGGCGTCTGTGTTCACCAACATTACGGCGCTGAGCCAAGAGGTGCTTTCGCAGCCCATCCGAAGTCTCCCGTCTCCGAGCCACTGCTTTACGCGTGAGCTTCTGCTTCATATCGACGATCTGTTGGGCCAGTACCACAGAATCGTGCATGACTGGAGCACGGTGAACCTGGAGGCCGACCTGGATCTTTTGGCCAGCGCCGACACGATCTACAAGGCCGACAGCAAGTGCAGGGAGCGGCTCACAATGCCAGCCCAGATGCCGCGCGTGCTCGAGCTGATAGCCGTCAACGCACCAATCGAGCAGATCTACAAAGTCTGGCGATCCGACATTATTACGAGCATCCACATTGTCAAAAGCAACGTCAAGGTTCTTGAAAGCATGCTATCGGAGAGCATGCAGCTCGAGACGTCGCTGCGTAAACGGTTCAAAGGTATGATCAAAGTCGCGTCGTTCTGCGCTGTCGTGGAAGGGACCGTGGGAACGCGGCGAGCGAAAGCGTCCTGACAGCCAACCTTCGTCCCATCAGACGCCGACACATTCAAACTCGTGGTCAAGGGGCTCGGAATCTACGACTGCTTGAGCTCGGAGCTCGCACACATCTTTTCCGACCACCTTAGTATCGCCCGAGGAGTATCGATGGTCTTCAGAATCGCGGCTGCACAAACAGACCACCCGGATGATGTGGTAGCCGATGGAGAGTTTGTACTGGAGTCGGGTACGTATGGTGCATCCGGGCGTGGTATAGTCGCGGCGAAATGTGCGAGCGCTGCAGTAGCCGCTTCGGTGCGGCCTAGAGCGATCACCGACCACACTCCAGCACTGCCGCCCGCATTGACATATTCTTGTTCTGGCTTCTCAACCGACATGCTATAACATAGCCCCCTGAACCAAATGATGAGAAGCGGGCTCGTTGAGATCAACAGCGTCCGCAAGCGACATGGGACTCGGGTTGTGCTCGGACTCTTGACCTCCAGGGCTGGGGTTATCTATGCTGGCAGCCGCCTTTGGTCTGGTGTTTCTGCATTGATGCTGCACGCTGCTACAGGCAAAGGTACAGCTTTCCCAAAACGAAATGGGACACCCTGTTATGAGTCTGGGGTTCAGTTTTCTTGTCCTGAATACACACACCGATTGTCTGTCGTGGCCAAGCAGCGTGTCCAAGGAGACTGGCGTTGTGGCTGCCTTTGGGAATGCCTCCTGGAAGCAAGGGAAGGGATATGCTTCCAGCCCGCGGAGACTCAGATTTGCTCGGTAATTCGAGTAATTCACCCATGTGTGCTCGGTGAACGAGTTCAACACATCCCAGGTGTGCTCACAGTGCCGGAAAGCCAAGCGACTCGAGAAGGTCGAGCATCTTGATATCGAGGAACCATGGAGCTGTCCAAAGGGTCGAATGCGTCCATCGCACTCCCACATCGAGTGAATGCACCACACTCCCATGATCATTGTTCCCCGTTGCCTGAGGCTCCTTCGTGGGGCGATGAGCAGTGAGCGAACGTGCTGATGAGCGAGAGGGACGACCAGCAAAGGACCTGGGCCGCGAAATACAAAACATAACTCCCACGTCCTGTTCGCGCATATATGCCGCTCTTTCAAGTGGTATTTGCCCGGGAAGTTTGGAGCGTGCGCTGTATTTTCTCGGCAACACTGCGCTGCGAAGGATCGCGACCGGATCGCGGGCGTGCCCGTCTGGCTTGTGCGCTTCATCGGATGATGAACTTTCCCCGTCGTGGCAAGACCGGCGGCTTCGGCGTCTCGTCGACTGACGAAGAGGCCAGGTTGGTGACGAATTCGTGGAGAACCGGAATCCTCTTGAGAATCATGATCCAAGCCAGGGCCCAGACTGGTGGGGGATACGACATGACATGGAGGCGGATGAGCTGCGTTTCCGTGAGCGCTGCTCGGCTCACGGCCAGAGAGCCGACTTGCAGATCCGCCCTGTGCCCTGTATCATACGTCCTGCATGCCCTATTCCGCATCCTGCATGCCCTATCATGCATCCAGCACCCAACACGCCACGCACCATCTTGTGACTCATGTCGGGCGCAGTCTCTGCTCAACAGCCACACCCAACGACCGCATCCAACAGCCGCATCCAGCCGATCGTGTCTGATACTCGCGGCTCACCTATGAACACGAGCACCAGCAGGAACACCACAGCCAGCAGCAGCTGGCCGCCGACCCAAACAAAGATCATCATGGGCAGCGTGCGAGCCCAACCAGGCAAGGCCGGGCGGCGGCCCATCGCCGGCGGCCCATGCCCTGCCGCCCGCCGCCCCGGGCCCTGATTGGTCCCTGCGGGCAAGCCCGGATGACCAGGCGGCGTCACGTGTGTCACCGCCTTATCGCAAAATTTTTTCGCAAACAGCCAAAGGATTTATGCCTGGCACACAGCGTAATCCGCCCCTGCTGTGCTCCTGGCTCGCATCCACCAGCTCCAAGCAAGCCCCGACCATCGCCGTGCCCCTCCTTGCCCCAGAGCAGCATTGGTCTCCCTGCCGTCTCCCCGGAAGAAACGAGTAAGTGGCTGCGGATGCGGCACGACACCGGGGCAGCGCAGCGCCCGACAGGCGGGGTCTGCCTGCTGCGGTGTTGCTGGGAGGAAACGGGCGTGTCTCCTGGACCGGCTCCCACGGCCAGCACCGGCACCTCGGCCTGACCTTCTTCCCATCAACCTGCTTTCCCACCACCCCTCATACCGAACGTGCCGCCAGATTCAGCCATGAAGCGATCGGCCCCGACCTCGGCTCCCTCGAGCCCAACCAAGCGACTCAACCTTGCCTGCGGCTCCCCCAGCGAGCCCACGGATGAGACTTATATCTATAAGAACTCGGCCTACGGCTCCGACATTCCCTCCGTCTACGCTGCTCCTGGATACCCGGACTACCTCAATCTCATTCTGACGGCCCGTGTCTACGACGTCGCTAGCGAAACCCCCCTGCAGCCCGCGCACAACCTGTCGCTCCGCATCAAAAACAACATCTACCTCAAGCGCGAGGACCTCCAGCCGGTCTTTTCGTTCAAGCTGAGAGGCGCCTACAACAGGATGCAGCAGCTCAGCGAGGAGGAGAAGAAGCGTGGTGTCATTGCCTGCTCGGCCGGAAACCATGCCCAGGGTAAGGCTGTGGCTCCAGCGGGCCCTCTGGGCGTTTGCGTATGCGGCTTGCGTATGCGACTGCTCGGAGTGGGCGGGCTGGGTTTGGCAGGCTCGGAGGCCTAACCCCCCCCCTATTCTTGCTCGGCCGGCGAATCTGTCAGGAGTTGCGCTCTCGGCCACCAAGATGGGCATCAAAGCCACCATCGTCATGCCTCTGGCGACTCCTCCCATCAAGTGGAGAAATGTCAAGCGTCTGGGTGCCGAGGTTGTGCTCTTTGGCAACGACTTTGACGAGGCCAAGACTGAGGCCGCACGGCTCCAGCAGGTAACGGCCGCTGCAGTGCCTCTGTGGGCCTTCTGGGATGACCTCTTCGAAGCGATCGCCCATCCGGGGAGGGTTGCATGTCCGAAGGGGGCGGCCATGATGCTCGAGGTCGGCCGGGTGCCATCGGTTGGGGCTCTGATCTGATGGACGAGTGCGAGCCCACCGGACCAACGCACCGGACCAATGACCTGCCCGGTCCAGTCCGAATGCTTCTCCAGTGCCCTGGGCAGCAGCACTACGGCATGTAGGTGGCAGGTCAACTGCACCACAGCTCTGTCCGCTGACCGCACTCTCTTTCTTCACAGGAGCGCGGCCTGACCAACATTCCCCCCTATGACGATCCGTATGTGATTGCCGGACAAGGCACCATTGGAGTCGAGCTGCTACGTCAGGCATCCTTTGGCAACATCGACGCCATCTTTGTGTGCGTTGGCGGTGGCGGCCTGGCTGCAGGCGTGGCCTCCTACATCAAGCGCCTGAATCCCAGCATCAAAATCATTGGCGTGGAGACACTGGACGCCGCTGGCATGACCACCTCGATCCTCGCCAAGAAGCGGGTAACCCTCCCTCAGGTTGGCCTGTTTGCCGACGGAGCCGCCGTCCGACTCGTTGGAGAGGAGACCTTCAGAATCTGCGAGCAGCTGCTGGACGAGATGATCCTGGTCAGCACCGACGAAATCTGTGCCGCCATCAAGGACGTCTTTGAGGATACCCGCAGTGTCCTCGAGCCCGCCGGAGCCCTCAGCGTTGCTGGAGCCAAGAAGTACATCCAGGCACATGGCTGCGAGGGCAAGAACTTTATCACCATTTGCAGCGGCGCCAACATGAACTTTGACCGGCTACGATTCGTGGCCGAGCGAGCCGACCTGGGCGAGAACAAGGAGGCCCTCATCAGCGTCGTTATCCCCGAACAGCCTGGAAGGTAAGCCGTCGATGCTGCAATTGCGGCTGCGGCTGCGGCTGTGGTGCTTGGTGAGGGATCCTGTACGGGATGACCAACCAACGCCTTTTCTTCTCCGTCCCCCCCCCTCATCATGCCCTCTGCTCCTGGCCTTGGTACTAAAAAGATTTCACCTCATCTCCAGCTTTTTGACGCTCCACTCGGTCATCCATCCCCGAAGTGTGACCGAATTCTCGTATCGGTATGGCGACGCCCACGAGGCGCACATCTTCATGAGCTTTGTGGTCAACGACCGCGACGCCGAGCTCAAGCAGATCTTTGCGGAGCTGCAAGCCCTTGGGATGCGCGCCATGGATGCAAGCCACAATGAGCTCGCCAAGGCCCACGCCCGCTACCTTGTCGGTGGCCGGAAGGAGGTCCCGCACGAACGTATCTTTCGATTTTCGTTCCCGGAGCGGCCGGGAGCGCTGAACCACTTTTTGAATTCGGTCAAGTGCCCGCTGTGGAACAGTGAGTACATGGACAGCGCGGGCTTGCTTGTGCCGCAGGATTCCAGGGCAGGACCCGGTCGGGACGGACAACAAGGCGGGCGGGGCGAGGCGTCGGGGGTTGGTGCCGTGGACGGGAGGGCGCGCGGAACGGGTGGGGCACGGGGGCAGGGTGGGCGGCATGGGACCGGGACAGCAGCCGGGCGGGGGCGCGCGTTCGACGGAGGAGGCTTTGGGCGGTGGTGGTGGTGGTTGCGATGATCATGATTGCGATTGCGGTGGCCATGACATCCCCCATCGACACCTTCGTTGTTGCGATGCGTCCGTGTCTCACCAGCCGCTTCTCCCGCTTCTCCCGCTTCAGTCTCGCTCTTCCACTACCGCAACTACGGCGGCGACGTCGGCAAGGTTGTTGTCGGTCTCCAGGTCCCTCCCGACAGCCAAGCCGATTTCGAGACCTTCTTGGGCGAGCTCAAGTACCCGTACGTCGAAGAGACCAACAACAAGGTCTATCGTCTGACTCTCAACGCCGGCTTTGCCAACTGAGACCGAGCCCTGAAGCGCAATCGGGAGCTGCCTCCGTTTTCCGAGCATCTAATTTGCTGACCTCAAATATAGACCGTGATACGCCCAGCCATACGCAGCCGACGGCCATCCGGAACAAACGCATGGTGCTAGATGCTATATTTCGGCCCAGCGCCTCACGGAGCTGCTTCCAGCTTGAACCAACAGCGTCGTGAAGGGAGGGAGAGAGACTGCGCTGGGAAAGTGACAAAATCAGTGCAGCCGAGGTATTCATTCGACGAGGCGACAACTCGATACCAAAACCGGAAAAGGATGCAATCCAAGAGACACAGGTGGAAACGACAGGGTCATTGACACCGATGGCGCGGCAAGCGGTGCTCGTCGGACGGCAGTGCACAGGATTCCTGAGAATCATCTGGCAACTACCCGGCCTGCAAGAGTTTGCGGGCTATCGAACCAGAAACGACCAGATCCTGCGGAGGAACGAGCGAGATCGCAACGGCTTCTGGACGATGCGGCTTCCCTGAGACTCCGTCGTCGGGCCGAGCCATCTCGAGGCCCCCGAAGGAAGGCGGGCAGCAAGGTGAGGTTCTGTCGGGAGATGGATGCTCTCGACGCTCGCGCGGGACCCGAATGCGACAAACGGACGCAGGATTCTCATTTCTTGGAAGGCAGCGGATGTAGCTTCGTGGACAGCGGATGTGGCTTCGTGGACAGCGGATGTGGCTTCGTGGACAGCGGCAGGATCAGGACCAGGACGAGGACGCCAGTGGACGGTGAATCGAGCAGGGCAGGAGGTAGAGCAGAAGGCAGACGAGCGAACGGATCAGTCCAGAGACAGACAAGCGAACGGATCAGTCCAGTGACAGACAAGCGAACGGATCAGTCCAGAGGCAGGCCGAAAAAAGCCCTGGGTGCTATTTTTGGGTCCGGGCGTGCAGACGGCGCCTGCCGATGATGTTGCCGTTCCTGGACATACATCGACCCGAGGGCACCGCTGCTGGCCCAAGCTGCTGGCCCAAGCTGCCGGCTTGCCGTTCAGGCTCTGGCTGGTGTGGGGTTGGAATATGTCCGTCGTCGGCCCCTTGCACAACGACCGCCGTGGGAAAGCACTGGCTCCTGCCCCAGACATCATCGCGTGCCTGTCCATGATCAGTGCCGCCGTCCATCGAGCGCTGTCCCCGCCATCGTCTCCAAGTCCAGATCCAGCACCGATCTGCTGCGGATCCCGTCTGCTCGACGCTGTCCTCGCTCCTCTCGTGGCGGCAACGAGTACGCCGGCCCTCCAACGACCCTGCGCTGCTTCTTGCTCAGCGGGTCCTATACTTGCACCCCACCCCTCCATGGTGTTTCTCCGACCTTTCGTCTTTCTGCTCCTCACACCCACGCATCGCGGCCGAGACCTCTTCGGGCACCTCCTCTGTCATGCTCTCTCGTCGTGTGCACTCCACGACGATCGACGGACTATGGGATCGTGCGCTTACCCGTCGTTGCGTCTCGTTGCGCCTTCGTTTGCCTGTCAAGCTCACAGGATGGACTCCAATGTCTTTGGACCTCTCTGCATCGGGGCTACCGTCTGTGCCCCCCCCCTCCACCTCCACGGACTCTCGAGGTCATGATTGGCATCCTCGTTGGCGGGCCGACCACATGGACACGGCGACCGGCGGTCGCAGGGAGACAGCCACACACGCCTCGAAGGCCAGCCGCCCTCCCGCCCATCGCCGGCCCGCCTCTTGCCTCCTCTGGGCTGGATCCTTCCCTTTCCTGGCCAGCCTGCGGGAGAGCCCAAATCCACAGAGATGCTGAGGAGCCGGCGTCCTCGCCAGTCACGATGGGCAGTCCTGTGGCCGGCGGCGGGATGCATTACCGATTCGCCAGCCTCACCTGGTGCCTTCCCTGGGCGGCTCTGCTTGTGGAGACATTGTTGGCACTGACACTGGCGGTGCTCCTGACAATATGTATACTATCAACACTGTCAATGCCACTGACGCTAGCGATTCAGCTGACCCTATGTATTCTATCGACACTACCGATGCTGTTGGCGCTGTCGATACCGCAAAGCCCTGGACGTCACAGACACTACCGTCGCTGGCCATGCGGTTGATCAAACTCCCAGTGCTTGCCCAATCAGCCCTCCAGCCCAAGGGGGTCTGGCTATTCCCTCCTCCCATCTGACCTCTCGCTTATAAGTGCGCCGGCCAGAGGCGGCCCCCCGGCTCCTTCTCCCTATCTGAGCCCGCAGCCGCTCCAGGTCCTCTGCCCATCCCGACGCGAGCGAGCCGCCGATCTCAGCCGCTTGGCCGATCGTCCTTGTCCAGCAGCCGCCAGGTCCTCGCGTTCCTCCAGCGACCGCAAGTCGTCCGCCTCTGATCGGCCCCCCCCTCCTGAACGACCAAACCGCACCGCTTCGTCGGAGCTTTTCCTTGTTGCAGTCCCTGGTCCGTCCTTCCGCCGCATCGCCGTGCTTGATCGCTGCCTCAGCCCCCCCCCTCCCGGCGTATATCTGCTCATCGACCCGCCGGCCTCGGCCCCGAGAGAGATCGTTATCATGAGCGCCGCCTCGCAACGACCATCCAAGACCTCCTCGTCCGCCGCCTCCAAAAAGGTCTCCCCGAGCAGGTCCCTCAAGATCGTCACAAAATCCCATTCCCAGGCCTCCTCCCACATGCCCGTCTCCGCGACCTCGTCCAAGGCTCAGGCCCGCTCGGCCATCGGCCCGTACTCGTCTTCCTACGGCAAGCCCTCGTCTCAGATCCCGCACAGCAACCCAATCGTCAAGCCGTCGGACTATTGCGGGCGTCCCGCCTCGATGCAGCAATTCGATCCAAATCGCCTGAATCCCAGCTTCAGCGCCCGATATGTCTTGCGAGACATGCTCGGTTCTGGCGGATTTGGCTTTGTCTACGTCGCTCAGCGACTATGCGATGGCGTCGAAGTGGCCGTCAAGTTCATCCGCAAGTCCAAGGTGCATCCAAACAGCTGGATACTCGATTCCGATCTTGGGTGGGTCCCAAGCGAGGTGTTCATTCTGAAACGCGTAAGTATCTCTGTTCCGCCGTGTTTGCCATGCAGGCAGTGTCCCCAGAAGCGGCCAGCAGCCCGCCTAGAGAGTGCATATCCGCAATGTGCGCTGCGATCCAAGCACAAGTCAATGTCTTTTGTCGGCAGCACTCGCCCAATTGCGAGATGTATCGACCAACTGATGCTCACATTTGGGCCCCACGCATGCCTGCAATCGGCTGTCCTTCTGCAGATCCAGCATCCCAATGTCATCCGATTCCTGGAATATTACGACGACGACCATTTTGGCTATCTAATAACAGAAATCCACGGTGCCCCATGGACTTCCAGCCGGGAGGCTCTCGATTCGTCCCTGAATGGCTCGACTGGTCCAGTCAGCACCGGGTTTCCGTCGCCACTGACGCCCAATTCATGCGAGTGGTCCCAGTCCTCAACGGGCACGTACGGCTGCCCACATCCTCCATCGGTCGACTCGCTTGCGTCGGCCACCTCGCCTCCGATCTCGCCAGCACAGTCTCTGGACGGCGATCCTGCGCCCAAGAAGCCGCCTTCGTTGACCCGCAAAAGCTCGCGCGATCTGTTCGAGTGCATCGAGCAGCATCAGCGCTTCACCGAGGATCAGGCCAAGTTTGTCATGAAGCAGATCCTGACTGTTGTCCGCGATCTGCACGCTCTCGGAATCATCCATCGCGATCTCAAGGACGAGAACATTCTGATCAACGAACGGTTTGAGGTCAAGCTCATCGACTTTGGCTCGGCCACCATCGTTGCGCCAGCACAGCCTGTGGTCTTCAATTCCTTCCAAGGGTATGTAGCGGCAGTGCCCCAACCCATTTTCCAGTGCTGATCGCTGCTGCACACCAAAGCCCGCGCAATCCAAGACGCTCTTTGGCGCCATCTGATCAGGGGCTAATGCGGTTCAATTTGCTCCTCCCTGCCTGCAGGACCGTCCAGTTCGCCTCGCCGGAGATGCTCCGGGGTGAGCGCTATGGAGGTATTGAGGCCGATGTCTGGGCACTCGGCACCTGCCTGTACATCATGCTCACCGGCGATGCTCCGTTCCAGAGCATCCAGCAAGCCTCCTTTGGCAAGATCAACGAGCCCAGGTGTCCGCTTTCCAATGAAGCCGTACATCTGATCTACTGGATGCTGTGCGTCAGCCCTCACGAACGAGCGACCCTGTTAGATGCTCTCAGCCACCCGTGGTTCTACTGCTGAAGCCCGGTGCTCGAACGGATATGCGGAGCCCTGCCGCCTCATGAATCTCTGGAGCTTGCTGGTCGATTTTACATGTGTCCCGGTCGGTTGCGACCCTGCTGCAATCGGGTGTGATCCCTTCTTCGATTTGAGTGGCTGTCCACACAAGCACAACCAATCCAGCCGATTTTCATCCCAATCGTTTTCTCGGTCCCAAGCCCGAGCTCAGCAACGACGAGGAAACCTTCCCTCTGTCGAGCCAAGCTCATTCTCGCACTCGACCCTTCCAACGACACGTTGGCCCTGGGAACTCTGCCCTTCCAACCCTGTTGATCCCTTTTACTTGCAGATACCTATGGCTCGAGTCTTACTGTCTGTCGATGGTCGCCGACTCGTGCAACCTCTCCCGATCGGACTGAACTTCGGGACAGACAGTGTGGTACATGGCTTTTGCGTCTCTCGCCCACTCCCCCAACCTGCTTCCAGCACCCTTAACTTCATGTCACATAGTTTTCCTGCCTTCTCTTGCCATTGTACCCATCAATTTTGCCCCCAATCTTCAATTTTTGGACGCACTCTTTGCACGGCCCTTCCAAGAACAAAGGGACACCCCGAAATATAAGGTTTCATTTGCCAAAGCTGCTCGGCGGTGCTTACCCAGCGGCGGCGGTCCAGTGGCCGATCGCTGTTACAGGAACTTTTGTCTGTCGTCAATTTGCAAGCTTGCTTGAATGGCGATGGCTCCGAACAAGAGCTCGGCGAGTGGTCCCATCCTGACCTCCCTTGAGTTGAGCACATTGGGTGGATGCGAGTGCATTCAGGACTCAGAGAAAGCGTGGTCATCTCTCTGGGATCAAGCCCATAGTTCCTTTGCGAGTTACGACCGCGAAGGCACATTTCTCTGCTCGAGCCCAGCCCCCCCCCCAACCCGATGCCGCCGAGAGTCGGTCCGGACGAGACCCAGTGCGCTTTGGAGCCCGCCCTCCGTGTCTATCTGTCGTCCCGCCAAAATTGCGTCACCGCGACAGTCCGTGAGCTCGGCTTGCTGCTTCTTCTGACTCGAATCGGCCGAAATTCAGCGCTCACGGCAGGGCAGCGGGGCCAAAGTCTTCACTCGGAGACTCCCGAGAGGATTCGCTTTATTCCCGATGGTATTTCTAGGCACACGCTTCCAAAGTCTACACACCCAACTGTGAACGGAGCTGCATTCTTTCACATGCCTTGAGAATGCAGACGTCGCGAGCGAGCACGATGGCATTCATCAATGCTCTCCCATCGCATCGCATCGCATCGCATCGCATCGCATCGCATCGCATCGTGCGCAAGTGGGTATTCTAGCGTCGGCCATTCTTCTTGGAGTGCTTCTTTCCTCCCGAGATTGCCGGGGCAGCCTTGCCGCTTGCCGCGGGAGCAGTAACGGACTCGGCAGCAGCAGCAGCGGACTGACCCTTGCTCGGGGCGGCTTTCACGCCAACCACTGGAGGGATCGGCGCTGTCTTGATCTCGACCTTGGGCTTGAGGCTGATCTCGGGCTGGGCCTGGGGCTTACGCTGGGGCAGCTCCTGTGCAGCTCGGGGGGCTCCAGAGCATGCTCCAGAGCAGCACGGAGACTGAGCAGTCTGGGACAGGATAGATGGGGGCCCATAATCAGATAAAATAACATGCTCGGTTACTCCGCTTCAAGAATGCATCGCACGTTTGGCTAAACGGCGTGCAGAGGCTCTGTCTCGTCTCTCGGGGCCGATGACGCTCATGCGACACTTACGACTGGCTCGACTCGCTCGCTGGGAGGGAGCTTGGTGTTGGAGGCGGCGGTCTCCTCGGGCTCGACAATGAAGTAGTTGTTGCCGTATTCCTGGTTGTGCCAGAGCGAAAGATTGTCCCCAACAACAAGGTCAGACGCCATTCAGGGCGGAAAGGCCTAATGTCGTATATCCTGGATCATACATTTGTACCACATGCCTCATCCATCATACATTGCATTTCCCCCCAGCATCGGCGACAAGGAGACTCTGCATTGGAAGCAACACAAGCTCACCGAGACATCGATGGGATCGACCTTGTTGGAACGCCATTCGCCATCCACCACAAACTTGTATTGGACTCGGGATCCGGCCGAGAAGCGCTCGGAATCAAGCTGGACGGCGAGCTGGAAGCCGTCCTGACCCTTTTGCATGCGGCCAGTTTGACTCCATGAGTCCCATTCGCCTGTTACGATCACCTGTATCGAGGAGGGGAGGAGAAGCGATGTTGGAGAGGACGCGAGGATTTAAGAGTCTGCGTTTCCCACCGCCCCTCTGGCCAGAGCTGCCCCACAGGGAGGTCGATGGCATCGCTGAGTGGGTCGGCGAGCCTCTTTGCCTGACAAAGTCGTACCTCCGAGGCGTCGGTTGAGGGCCACAGGAAGGTGCGAGTAATCATTGCGAAAGCTATCGGAGGCTTGAGCTGAGAATGACTTGTTGAGAAACGAAAATGTCAGAGACACGCGCTGGACAAGATCGAGAGGCAGATATGGATCGGAGAGGACAACATTGAAACAGCAGCAGGGTCCCAGAGGCGCTCTTATCTATGCGTCGGGCGGTTCGCCCTCCAATGCCGCCTCCTGCCTGTGTCGTTTCATGCTCACACCGTCTCCAAGCGCCGTCCAGTCACACCTTGGCCCCGTCTGGGGCTGCCAGAGCGCCAACCTCAAACCGCTTCTCCGCAGCGCTCAGACTGGACGGGACTGCATCCGTTCGCGGTCGAGTTCGTCCTTGGTTTGGCTCTGTAGACCCAATCCTCGCGCGCTTCTCCCAGCACTGGCGGGAGAGCGCTTTCGTTTGTGCAGCATTCTGATGACGCCGTGTGGTGGCATTTGAGCGGGGACATTCGGCGGCGACTGATACGTTGGGCTCGACTTGCCTTCAGCGGATCTGGCTCCCTCCCCCTCCCCCGCTCGCCTCCTGAAACCACCTGCCCGGGAGAGAGAGAGAGAGAGAAAAGGGCGCTCTCGACTCCGTCTCTAACCGCAAAAATGGGTAATTGCGCGATTGAGACCGCCGAGCATCCGGGGTGGTGGTGGTGGTGGTGCATTCGAGCGAAAGCCTGTCCTGGCGCTTTTCCCGCGAGAACGCACTGATGGAGTGGCTGACTCGGTGCGAGCGGATTATATTCTGGAGTGGCGAGGGGAGGATATGTGGGCTTGCCAACAGAGAGGAGAGGAAAGGAAGAAAAGAGACCCAAGTCTTCTCGAGATCGAAGGAGAAAGGGTTGAATACCATCATCAAGCAGACTTGACCGGCCTTGGAGGGAAAATTCCCCACATCCAGTCGAGGAGTGAATGGTCATAAGCGACAGGCACAGGGCGATGGGTTGGACAAACAGCAGGGGCTGGAGCAGACATGGCGAACGAGAGCAAAGGAGATGCGAGTGGGATAGGGGAGCAAGTCAACTGGGGAGACGTAGTGTCCAGAGTCAATATCTGGCAATCGAGTGCCGTGAGGCAGAGGGGGATTGAGCAAAGCCGAGCGACAGAGCCAACTGGGTATACACAAAGGCGATGTTCTTGGCTCTCTCCCTGCTAAAATAACGACTGATATCTATCTATACACGTCCGGAGTCGCCCAAGAGTCGGCCAAAGAGGAGCAGGTAGCAGAGCAGGGCTTGAAGGGAAACGACGGCGAGGGAAGGGTGAGTGGGAAAGCAAGGGTGAGTGGGAAAGAACGGATTGGGAATAATACGGCCGCGAAGGAGTGAGGGTGGGGTGGGCCACAGAGAGAGCAGTGTTCGTCCATCGGAATATGCGCTTGTCCAACTCGGTCCGATGCCGGTTACTCTTCCTTTTCACAGATGCTCATCAGCGATACGCGATACTGCCAGTCGATGTAGTCCATGTAGTTGATGTACGAGTCGCTCATCCAGAAGGTCGGCAGATGCGGGTTGTTTGAGGATGGCTTGGTGAACTGCGCGGCAAATTGCTGCAGGGCCTGGGCAAATCCTTCATTTGGACGAACAATTGGGCGGCACTGAAAAACATTGGCGCGGTGTCAGCTCAGCAAGTCCGCCGCTCCTCGCACGGGGCGCTATAAACGAGCAAGTGGCCCGGCACTGAGCCTGAGCTTTGAGCAGTCGTTGTATATCATGTCGTCCGGTTGACATGGCTGGCTTCGGCCCACAGGACAGGTCCAGCCGAGGGGACGGACCCATTCCAGTCGATGGAGCGCTGTTGCTCCACAGTGGCATGTCCTCGATCCAGGAGGAGGAGGATTATCGATATCGATATCGATGTCGATGCCGAGTGATCCCGGTCAACTCGAACCGGCGTCGACGGACTGCTACCAGCTTACCCGATACGTCAGCTCCCACGCATCGTACAGAGACATGGAGCAGAACTTGATCAGATACGCCAGAACGATTGTTGAGGAGCGACTCACGCCGGCATGGCAATGGACCTGGCGGGAGAGAGTAAATAGTAGGTACACGGGGAGCCAGAATACTGTCAGCGTTGCAGATACCAGGCACATCAACGGAAACGGACTCGGCTCGGTCATGGATCCGCCCGGGAGAGTTTCGATCGTGCTGATAGGATTCCAGACAAAACGTCGCCCGCATTGTGCAGCAAGTGGTCCGAATGGAAAAGCAGGGTCTGGAGCGAGACCCCAGCACCCACACTGCGCGTGCGTCGAATCGCCACGACATACCAAAACAGCCTCTCCTTTCAGCCTGGCCGCCTCGATCAAGTCGGCAGTCCGCTCAAACAGATTGATGATGGGCTCATCGGGCGAGTCGTCGATGGGAAAGTCGTGGTAGACGACCGTAGGGCTGCCCGAGTCCGAATCCACGCAGTGATTGACAAAGCCCCAGCCCAGCCGGATGATTTGCTTGATATTGTACTGGGACACGAGCGGCTGGGTCGCCGTGAAGCATGATCCCAGATACAGCACCTGGGGCAGGATCGGAATGGGCTCGTCGCCCGGGTTGGTCTTGCCGTACCAGACCGAGTCGACCAGATGGGCTTGCAGTAGCCGCAGCTTGTCGACGGGGTGCGAGATGTCGATGAAGCTGTTGTTGATGGCTTTGGGGCGCTTGGAAGTGGTCAGGAGCATCGGGAAGCAAGCGTTGAAATGATCCAGGCCGCCCTCAAGGACACCCAATTTGACACCCGGATCGCAGGTGTCCTTGATGGCCTGGGCGACAAAATGGGCAAAGCCATAGCGAGCGCCCGTGTCGTCGTAGACAACGACGTGGCTGCACTGGTTGCGGCGCTTAAAGTGGGTATCGACCATGCGGTCAAGACCGAGATCGCTCTGCAGCCGGGCCATGTCCTTCTGCGGGCCAAGCGGGCCTGGGGTGGGCGGGTATAAGTCGTCGATCATCATGCTTGAGAGATCCTCACCCTCGTCAGGGATTCCCGCGGTGGCGACAGTCTCCATGATATCCACAGGACGGCCGCCATCAAGGCTGGCGAATCGTGGATCGCCCTTGCCAAAGATGCCGTATTCAAAATCGAGCTCGGTCGCGGACTTGCTGTCGAAATCCGAGAAGAGCTCCTTCAGATACGAGCGGTACAGGCCAACGAGCTCCAGATCGCCGTCGATGGACATGTCTGCTTCGGCGATGGATTCGGACGACGAGTCCACGAGGGCCAGCGACCGGAGCGGCATCGACTGGATTTCGGCCAGATTCTGCTGCTTGGGCTCGATCTCGACATCGGCAAGCGTCTGGTCGGACCAGTACTCGAGATACTGCCGGAACTGGCGCTTACGGATGGACACGAAGCGGTAGCGGAAGACCTCGAACTGGGTAAAGAGCTGGGCGCCAGGGATGGCTCGCTCGGTCTGCTCGCCGGCGACGTCGACAAGCAGCAGGTTAAAGAAATCCGAGCGCATGAGGTCGACGAGATCCGAGGGCGCGATGGAGAGGACCGGCAGCGAGGGGACCGAGGACCGGATCGAGTCTTCGTCCATCAAGATGTCGATGACCTGGGAGGAGATGACGTCTTTGTCCATGTCGACAGCCTGCTGATCGGAGGGGACTGTGGCGATGGCACTATCCATGCTGGGCGGACGAAGAGGGATGCGAGGGAGGTACTGTTGATGGGAGGTGGTGGAGCTGTACTGGCTGAGCCGCCGATGGGGGAGAGTTGGTTGGTTGTGGTATCGGCTGTGATAGCGATATGGTTTGTGGTGGCGGAGGGATGCCGGCGATGGAAGCGGACGAGGTCTGGGTATGCAGCAAGTTCAGCGGGGAGTGAGGGTGAGAGAGAGAGAGAGAGAAAAAAAAGGTGGGAAGCGACGGCCAAATGGAGAAGACGAAGGGCAGGAAACCCGAAACAGCAGGACACGCCCAAGGGGCGGATGAGGGGCGCCTATCGGTTGTGCGATGCGCACGGCGGCCAAGAGGAGGGCGTGTGCGAGTGCGCTGGTGCGAGTCTGGGGGGAGGAGCGGCAGCGAAAGAACGCAAGACGGCAGGCAAGGCGGGCGTCTGGACTCGGCCTGTGTCGATTCGGACCAGGCCGGCTGGGATCGCCTCTGTGAACTGCGCCGATGCGAATGGTCGACTGGGGGGGGGTTGCATCGATGCGAATTGCACCAGCTCTGTTCGGCTCTGTTCGGCTGTCTGGATGCGGCAACATTGAATCGCAGCAACGGCGGTGCTGTTGCGTTTGCTGTGGGTCTCGACCCGCCGCCATGGGCCGACGCGACATCGAACACGGGCGGCCGAGGTCGCACACATGCGCATTTGGCAATGGCACGCTGCCCTGCACAACCAAGGCTGCGGCGACACAGTCCCGTGCAGCAGCGCACAACAGGCACCTCGGCGCCACAGTCACTCCGGGGTTCTGGGCCTGGGCGAGGACTGTGGAGATCCGAGAGCGACCACAGCCTTCGATCTGCTTATTGCGTATGGATTAAAGTCAATCCAGAGAGAAACGAGACAGTCGCTTTCTGGCATCCGAGGTGGATGAATTGCTCAAAGTACTTGGCGAGCCTGAGTCTCCGTGGGCTGGATGCATTCGACTCTCTGGACAGCTCCATGGAGTATCAATATCAAGATGCTCGGCCTTCTCGAGTCGCTTGGCTTCCCGGCACTGTGAGCACACCTGGAGATCAAGTCGCTTGTGGAGAGCCATCTGAGCGAGAAAGCGTCCTTGGTTCAGATCCAGAAACACATCACTGAATGGTCATGACCAGCGGGCGATGTGTGGAGTGATAACATGCACCAACGACCAAAATCCGTGGTGTTCCGTTATTGGATTGGCTGTATGATCACGGCCAACGGGAACAAACAATCGCCTGCCCATTTCAAATGCGAGGGTGTCCCATTTGTTGATGAGTAAGGTGTATTCCAAAAAGCAAGAAAAACTTGATGCACAACAAAAAGCAAATAAAGATAAGAATATACATAGCACTGAAGCCCGGTAGCAAGCAGGCGCTGCCAGGCAGGAGAGACAGAAGGTCCCGCGTTCGATTGAGACAGCAACCGGTTTGACGGCGAACGGACATGCGGCGTGGGGCCCGCAGGTCATAGAAGCCTGGATGCCCAGTCCGCCAGTTGGGTCCGGGACGGACGCAAATCAAAAGGCACAAAATAGTAGGAAGCGTACAAAGAAGCTACGACCAAAGCTGGTGCAGTCATACGGGCTGTCATGCAAAACACAAGCGGGAGCCGAGAGCACGGCACGTTGGGTCCAGAAGTACGGTGGAGCCGAAGCGAGGCCGCTGTCGTTGCATCGAATCCGCGGGTGACGCTGCCGCAGGACCATTTGCAGGCGGGTCCGGTCAAACAACAGTTCATCCTGAGGCCTCCTCGAACTTGCTCCGAAACAAAGCCCATCAAGGGCGTCGCGACGCGGGGCGTCCTCCATTGCGGGCCAGAACAATGTACGGAATCGCCGTGGGTGACGAAGGCGAGCCCGGTGTTGGCCCAGCCAACTCGCTTCGGCTCGAGCAAGGGGAAAGGCCACTGCCTGGGGCGGGCGGGATGGCGATGCGCGAGTACGACTGGCGGCGTGCTTGGGAGGGAGACGGGGATCGTGCCGGCGGTGTCGACTGCCGCGAGTGTCCGAGGCCAACACTCAGGCTGCTTGCAATATAGGACGGCGACGACCCTGGGGACGCTGGGGAGTGGATTGTCGGTGATGATGACAGCGGCATCTCATGGACATAGGACGTGCAGTGGTATATGGGGGACGACATTCGGGGGGAGAGCTGTGGAGAGGAGCTCAGCAGCGACGAGCAGCTGGGCGCCAACAGACCGGGATTCTCGCGCGAGGGGCTTCGTGCCAACAGAGGAGAGCTGTGTGCTGGAGCCGCGCCCGCCACGAGCTTGACCCGCCGGGCAGAAGCGTCCGTCCGAGAGTCGAACAGGATTGGGACGCGGTAGATCGACGAGGGCGAGTTGCCGACATTTGGGGAAGAGGCGTAGGGTGCCAGGGGCGAAGGCGAGATTGATTGAACGCCTCCAAAGGGGCTACGCACTGGCGAAGATGCGTGCGCCAGTATCGGGCTCGAGAGCGCTGGAATCAGCTTGCAGGGAACGAGCTGGGGCAGAGGGTTCCTGCGGGTGAGCTCGATGACGTAGTTTCGACCGTGGTTGTTGTCCCAAAAGACATCGCCATTGACTTCGTATCGAAGAGCAAAGGATAGGCGGTAGTTCTTGAGACTGGGCGAGTCCAGTGCGACGGGCTGCAAACCCGGCAGGTAAAGCTCGAACGAGAAGATGTCGACACCGGGATATTCGCCGTTGCGATGGCAGGCAACGCGGCTGAAGACGGCCGTTCGCTCGTACTTGGACACCCAGTCATTGAATGAATAATGCACAACAACGTTCTTTTCAAAGGCAAGGTTGCGGACGACAATGTCGCCTTTCAAGGAAGAGGCTTCGGTTGTGATGCTAAACGCGCGGGATACGGACAGCACGACCGAGAGTGTCAGATTTGGATACGGCGCAGCACAAGCGATACCCCAAGCCGGGCGATATGCACGCACACCAGCCAAGCCGCTTACGTTTCAAGCATGATGTGAACCCCGCCAAACGAGCTCAGCTTGGGGAGGTTCGTGGAGGTAATCTCCCACAGGCCCTCATCGCTGTCGTTCGTGTCGATCTTGGAATGGGCGAATGTGGCCGACGGAGCTTCGACATCGTCACAGTCTTCGACCTCGACCTGGAGGGCGTCGTGGACTGTGAAGGGGCAGCCTAGGCGATCAAAAAAGCATATTTGCTCGATGCGGTTGTCATCAAACGACAGCTGGAGTTTCTTGGTGCGTTGGGCCATAAAGGCTTCATGGTTTGGCAGCGACAAGATGGGGTTGTAGCCTGTATCTCGGCCAGAGGCAAGATGGGCGCTGGCCGGGTCCTGGAAGACGCCCGAGTGCTTGGCCTCGAACGGCTGGTGCTTCTTGAGGATCGACTTTTTGGGGGAAGTTTTGGGGGCACTGGGAATCTTGAACATGGGGCTGTGAAGCGGAGAGAGACCCGACAGCCGAGGCGACACCGAGGGCGAGCCCTTGAGGGAGAACTGGGGTGGCGACAGCACAAGCGGACGCGAATTCTTTTCCATGTTAGGAGGGGAGTGGGTCGAGACAGCGTCTTCGCCGAGCCACTTTGCATGCGGCGATGTGCCGGATTTGCTCATGACTCGCTCGAGTTTGAGCGACGAGCCATCGGATGTAATGTAGACCATGGTGGCGTGGGAAATATTTTCCGGGGTGGAGGGCGCTTGGTGTGAAGTGTCCGCGAAGTGGTCGCAAGTAGACACGGGGCTGTTCAGGCAAGGTGTGGGGTGGGGTGGGGTGGGGTGGGCGGAGAGAGCTGTTTCTACAGAGGAGAGGGGCTCCAGGTGGCCGAGCAGCAAAGCTTGAAGGGTGGCAAGTGGGATACCGGAGTATTGCCGGCGATCAAACGATTAATGTAACGAGGTGCGGGTTTCCGGGGTGCGGCGCAGCGCGCAGAAAGTGGGGGTGGGTGGGGGATGGGTGGACGGGTTGCTCGTGGGACGGAGCGGCTTGGGGCTGAGTTGAGTATCAGTTGGAGGACGGGTGGGCAATAATTATTTCGCTGATGGCGCAGATTAGGGCAGCGAAGAACCTTGGAGGGGGGGGTCTGGTGGAGAGCCGGGTGGCAAAAGCTGTGGAGAGTATTTATGAGAACGAGCACGAATTAGAGCGGTGAAGGAGACGAGCAGCCTGGCCAGGCTGAGCGAGCTGGCAGGTGTGCTGACAGGGGAGCGTGACAAAAAGAGGTTCTCGTGGCATCGAGGCAGGCCGCCAGGCAAGGCCCAGCAGCAGCAGGGTTGGCGTGGGCGTCATCATGAGCATTTGCAGCAGCAGCAGCAGCAGCAGCAGAGGGCGAGGAGCCGAACACCCACCAAGCCAGCGTAGACCAGAGGGGCAGCACGGATGGAGGAGATCCGGGCGATGCAGAAGCGTCTACACGCAAGGGGAGGGGAGCGTCGACCGAAGAAAGGACAGAGCGACGGATGGGTGTCAAGGGCCAGGGAAGCCCGCCAGGGCATATATATGCGAGGAGTGTTCTGGTGACGGGGGGCCTGAGGAAGGGCGAGGACAGCCAACGACAGTCGAGCCAGACTGGGCGGACCAGCAAAAGCGACAATGGGCTGGCGGAGGGAGGGTCAAAAGCGGTCGGACGGGGGGGGGCGATTGGATCGACGGGCACATCAATGCGGAGCGAATCGGCGAGCGGAGCGGTGACGAGTGGGGGCGTCGAACAAGCGACGGATGAGCGCGAGTGACAGCCGGACACGGGCGCCATCGGCGGACAGCAAGCACGCACGGCCGGTCCGCAGCGCACTGTCTCCCTGGCGTGGCGGGCACGGGCGCTTGCAGGCGGCTTGTCTGCCGGCGGTGTTGTCTGCCGGCAATGTTGACTTGCGGCGGCCGTTGTCTGGGCATCGACTCGCTTGCTCCGAGTGTTGACTCCGTCCGAGTGTTGACTCGCCTTGCCCAAGTGTTGACTTGCTTGTCCTGCCGCTCGCCTTGGCAATCTGTTCATACTCTGCTCGCGCGATCGGTCAGAGTCCGCCACCGCTGCCTGTCGGCGACGCAATCTCGCTGTGCGAATCCAGCGCCTTCCCCAATCTCGCCCTTGCCGAAACCCAATCCAATCCGGCGCGCTCCACAACTAACGCCGCAACACACCGCCAGCCAACCACACCACGCAGCGCGCCGCTCCTGTGCCTCCCCGCGCAGCGATAGGCGGACCCATCCCGTGTGGTGCGGTCGGTGTCCGTCACGCCTTGACTCAGCGCGGATGCATCCGGCGGACTGATTGGTGAGGCGGGCTTCTCCGGGACAGTGGATGACCCCTGATGACTCGAACGGGCGCTCCAAACAGACCCGCCGCCACCGCATCCCCCAACAACAACACAGCGGGGTCGCAAAGTGGGCCCACGCGGGCCGTCTGTCGACAGCAACACTGGCCCTCGGCCAGCGGGCCGCCTTGCTCAGGGCTTGCCCCACCTGTACGCGCCCCAGCCACAACAGGGGGCCTGATTTCATTTGCCACAAGGGCGGCAGGTACCAGGCCGACCCGCCACCGCCCAGCCCGTGTGGCGCTGGGCTCAGCCGACGCGCATGTGTCTGCGCACGACCATGGGTCGCCTCAGCTTCCTCGGCTGCCGTTGCTGCTGCTGCTGTTGCTGCTGCTGCTGCCGACGCACATGCCAGAGTCTGCTGAGCCAATGTGGCGAGCCATGGGCTCGGGTGAACCAGCACCTGGTGCTGAGCACCAGCGCATGCTTCCTTCTGCTGTCGTCTTGCGACTGCTGCCTCCAGCCGATTGCTCACCTCCGGTCACCGTCCTCGGAATGCCCTGGCATCGCCGGCCAATTCCGTGGGCATCGTCTGCAGCCGGGTCGTCGAGCATCCTTTTTTCCTCCCCCCAGCCCGCCTTTCGCGCCCCAACCCGGGTCTGCTTGGTCCTGCCTGGTGCCTGCCTGTCGGGCCCACATGCCACGAACGTTCTGGGTTGCAGGCCCATGATGCCTGCAGCCATAAACACTGTCATGGTGACTGCAGATGAAGCAGTCAACCTTCGGGGGTAACCGGTTAGTGCCCGGGCAAGCGGACATGACGCAAGCCCGGGGGCTGGTCATCCTTTTCGGTTTGTCGAGGAAACAAGCGGCGGTTGCGGGTGATATCCGTTGGCTGGCGGGGGACTCGGCCAAAGCCGGCGGGCAGATCCGTGAGGCGGATGCGTCAACCAGCATGGCGATCGGACAACGAGGAGACAACCGGCCGACCGTCCAGCGGGACAGATAGGCGGCCCAAACGTGCGCAAGCCTCACCATGGCAGAAAGCAAGCCGGTCCAGACCAAGACGGCGGAGACGGCCCAGACGACGGCCCAGACGACGGCCCAGACGACGGAGCAGCACGCAGGACGACGCCGCCAGGCACCTGGCATCCGCTGCACCACGAGCCCCCAAGAGATGCCTCCCGCGGTGCTCTCCGCCGAACCCCACCAGTGTCCTCCGCCAGTGTCTCCAGCCATGTCTCTGGCACCGCTCCGTCTGTGCCCGTCGTGTTCCGCACTGAACAGGATCTCTCCGTCCCTGTCTCTCCGCTGCAGTCATCGGCCGCCGGCACTGCTCGCCCCCAGCGCCCCCCAACCATCGCTGCGGCCGCACGCCCCGACTGGGCAGCTTATTTGCCCAGACGGGGCGATTGGTGTGCTCGTCTGTCCAGCCAATATCCAGTCGCGCTGGGTCCACGAACCAGTCATCAATTCGTCGGCCTCGCCGGCTCCGCTCCTTTCGCATCGCAACATGACCCCCTCCAGCGTCCGTTCCTCCGCCGCTCAGGCGAGTCAGGCGGGGAGGGGGATCACTCCAGCACTGGCGGAGACGCCCCCGGCAGACGACCGTCCCCGATCGATGGCTCCGCCAGTCTTGCGGCCGTCGTGCTCTCTGCCGCCACAAGGCCCTCCGCTTGGCCCAGACCGTAACGTCTCGCGGCCTCCGCTGGCCACGGGGGATGGCGGCGCCGGTATCTCTGGCCCACAGACACTCGTCGCCGGTCATGATGCGGGACTGTCCTGCCGCGTGGAGGTGTGTTGAGCATCGGGCTTGCGGATGCCGCCATGTCGACAGTCCGTTTGGTTTGCAATTGCAATTTGCCAAGCCATGGACAAGAGAAAAAGAGGAAAAATTTCTCCTGCGAGGCTGTGGCATTTGCCTCACCAGCAGGCTTGATGACCACTCGCACGCTCTCCCAGCACGCACCGCTCCTTTTTTTTTTTTTCTCTCCCTCTCCCTCCCTCTCCTCGATTGCGTCCGGATCCCGCCTGGGGCTTTGGGTGGCGGGAACGGCAACGGCAAAAAATCCTTGTACGGACTTATCGCTGGACGGCTCCCAGACCCCGCTTGCAGCCGAGCGGCCTGGCATGACAGAGAAGCTTCGGGCAGACAAATCTGCCGCCGGATCCACCCCAACAATCTCGGCGCCAGACGGACCACAGGGTCTGGCAGCGATTGCTGGCAGGGAAGTGCTTTCCGCTGCCGTCGAGGTCGCTTGGAGCAATTCGGTGGACCTCCCGCCACCAGTCTCCGCCAGATCCTTCCCAGCACCATCGCCGCCGAGAGCATGACCAGCCCCGCAGCCGGAGCCCGCACCGCCGCAGGTTGCTGGTCCCGCATCGCAATTTGCGCCGTCATCGGGGCAGCGCGGAATGTTGCGTGGCCTTGGTGTGGTCGCCAACGTCCGAGCCGCTCTCGCCTCGACTCAAGGACCACCAAACCCGGAGATTCCTCGGAGGAGCCGGTGTATTGAAGAGAGCACCCGTCAGTGCTGGCGATGAATACCTTCCAAGCATCACATCCAAGAATCTCATTCAAGAATCGTATCCAAGAGTATGCAACCACGCGGTCGAAATTTCCGGTGTTTCATCTCAGTTTCGCGAAGGCATTGTTGAGCTTCCCTTGGGTTTGCGGCGGCGGCGTCGTCGGATGACACACAGATACGATGAGGGCGGAACATGCGGCCGAATCGACATGAGAGGGGGGAGACAGTCGCTGCCATACCAGAGAGGAGACACACCGCTGCCTCCAAAGCCATGGTTTCCCCCCCCCGGCAAAGTGTGCCCCTTCCCTCGTCCATACTTCTGAGGAGCAGGCTCAGTAGATGGCAACAACCTCGTTGAACCAGTGCTTCGCGAGCTCGTCAACCTGCCGACGCAGACAGTCCTGAGGAATGGAATAATGGGACGGCTCTTCCTCTCGGGCTGCAAGCTGAGAGGCGACATGACACCGAAAGCCGTACGGATGTTGTGTGAGATGGCGTCGGATTGCAAGTGGCAGCCTCAACGAACGGCAGGCACCGCACTTGCACCGAGACGACGTCCCAGCGACCGACAGCCCCAACTCAAGCCCAACCCAGCCGCATTCGCTAGTTGCTCACCTCCGTCATAAGTGTGGCTCTTGAATCGACAATCCGGGAGGACATGGCCGTCAGCACAAACCCAGCGTGAGCATCGGCCGAGGTGCCAGAGGCACGCTGTGCGGGCTTGCCACCCTGGAGCCATCCAAGTCCAAAGCCCTCGCCGGCTCGGGCAAGGCGCTCCAAAATGGCGTTGGCATTCTCCTTGGCTTCAGCCAAGGCCCAGGTCTTGGCCAGAGTCTGATCAGCCCTGCTCCGCTCAAGATGCTCGATGTACGCCAGAATCAGGCCACCGCCGCAGTCCCAGTCTTCAAAACCGTCAACGCCTTCGCGCTTGGACTCAAGGCTGTTCAAGAAGGTCTTCAGGGGCTCAAAGTTTTCTGTGAGGGATGCATGGTCAGAGTGAACAAGACTTATCAGGCTCTGATTGAAACAACGCCGTCCGTACGTGCAGATACACATGACAGCAAGCTTGGCCCAGGGGGCAGAGCCCAAAGTCACGACGCTATTTACCTTGAATGATCCAGACTGGAGCGAGCTTGGTGACAATCAGATAGTGCGCACCAACAAAGTCTCCGGCGTGGATGAGATACTCGGCCTCAGCAACGCTGTTATCGTTGTAGCGTGCGAACAGAGCCTGGTGTCGGGTGGCCGTCCGTCATCCATTCATGGCGCGGCACATGCAAATGATCCCGCCAAAGCATTGCCATAACAGCAGAAGAAAGAGAGTGTCAAAGATTGTCACAGGAGAACACAACATGTCACCGCTGTGTAGTCAGATAGGACATCCGAAGACGGCGAGGGGAGAGGACGCCGACCATAGCGATGCCGAAGCATCAGTCTCACTGTGCCTTGTCTCGTCCGTCGCATCTGTTACATCTGTCGCACCCGTCGCATCCGTTACCGTCGCGCGACGAACTTACCCAGGCTTCGTAGACAAGAGCCTTGGGCACACCGATTCTGTTGACAACAAAGTTCCAGAGATTCGTCTCCTGCTCGTGCACGCCGTGATCGATGGGATCCGGCTCCTGGTGAATGCCTTGCAGCCCGCAGTCGCACGGGTTGAAGTGCTTGGGAGGGCGATAGTACCGGGCCAAGGTCGTGCGCACTGCGTTCTCAACCAGCAGCGGAGAGTCCATGAACATGGCCACAAACAGCGACCATTGCCATAAGCCGATTGACTCGAGCTCGAACATAACGGCCTCGGTCAGGGCGTTAAAGTGGCCAGGAAGATCGACACGGCTCTTGAGATTGCCCAGAATCAGCGACAGGAGCCAAGAGAGCCGCCTGTCCAGCGAATGGGGCCCGAGGTTCTCCGGCTTGAGGGCCAACTCGAGCGGATACTCGTCTGTATCGAGGTAGTACTTGAGGAGATGAAAACAAACGTCCTTTGGACGGTCCGTCGAGATGTCCACCTGCTGCTTCGATGCGTACGAGGGAAGTGGCTCCGGAATCGAGGCGTTGGTTTGGTTGCAGCGGGCGATCGTGGCCTCGTATTGGCCGATGCAGTCCTCGAGCTTGAGACTGCCGCCTTGGGCGTACCAGAAAAACAGACCAAATGCCTGCCTCCAGTTCGACAGGCAGCTGTAGAGGGACGGTTTCCAGAAAGCAACATCGCCCGTCAACAGCCGATAGACATGGTCCAGCTCCTGGCCAACGACGGACGACGAGTGGTCGTTGGCGGACTGGGTCCAGCTATTGATCTGCTGCGCCAGGAGCGCACGGACACCCGGTGCCGTCTGGCTGGATCCAACAACGCCGTGGCCAGAGTAGCTTTTGCTGCGCTGGTCGACGCTGATGTTGCGGAGGGCGACTCGGGAGCCTGCTCCGCCGATCTGCGCCATCAGCGCCGCAAGGCGGAAGTGTTTCGAGTCCACGGCCACTCTCACAGCAGATCCGATCTGTCGGTTGACAAGATGGACCAGGATGTGCCGAACCGAGTCGTTGATTTTGCTGAGATCTTGTTGCATGGTAGTTGAGATGGCTCGCTTCAACCACTGGCTGATCTTTTCCCTTCGAGCGCCATCGAGAACGACGGTGGCGCGCGCACCGTCGAGACCGGCTGCTTGCTCGTGGACAGGGCCGAGCTCGTCCCAAAGCGACTCGCATAGCTCCCACAGGATTTGTTCCTCGCGGTCAAAGATGGAGGGGATCGTTCCCTTGGTCGCCGTCAGCTCCACAAAGTCTTGAAAGCAAATCGGCTGGGTGCGAGACAGACGGGCGTGTGGGATGGCAGCTGCGTCGGTGCCCTCGTGGTCGACCGCCATCTGGTCTCGGCTGGCACTGCCGACAGGATCGAGATCGGTGTGGCAAAGGAGCGTTTCGAGGCAGCGTTGGTGTCGCTGTACTTGGGCATCGCTTGCATCCGCCTGGATTTGCACAAGTCGACACAGCCAGTCGGTGGCGTCAGCTCGTTGCTTCGATCCGCTTTGAAACAAGCACGCAGGTGCACTTGCTCGCAAACGGAGAGGCAAGCATCACAGTCGGCATTTGCAGACAGCACGCGCTAACAGCTCGAAGGTCGACAGCCTTACCGTCGTGCCAAACGGGCGGATGCGATGGACCGTGACTTGCGAGAAGGACTTGCCTCTGCTCGTCGTCAATCAACATGGAGGGAGGATGCCGATCCCAAGCAACGAACAGGGCGTTGACCAATCGGGACCGTTGGAACATGTTGCAGGAGAGAGAAAGGTGGCAAGCACAGTCAGTCAATGCGATCGCTCAAGCAGATCTTTATTCGAGCACATGCAGCTCGGACCCGTCACAGCAAACTAAACACAGGGTGTATAAAGCAGAAATCCCATTCCGTGGCTGAGGAAGGGCAGTCCGAAGATAAAGAGAAGGGGGCGAGGGAGGGCGGAACGGACTCGGGGGCGATGACAAGAGCAGGGGAGCAAGCAAACGAATGGGGGAGGGGAGATCTTTGATACCAAACATAAAACTCGATTGCTGGCACCAGATTCCGCAACGAGCCAGGGAGGAGTCGCATACAAAGCGTGACAAGTCGCCATGTAAAGAAAAAGGACGCTTGCACAGGGAATGGCCCTCGAATCGGAATGAATGTAGAAAAACGCAGCAGCCAAGAATCTCGGCGACTGCGCTGCATGTGTTCGCTCAATCTGGCAAAAGAAGTGCCCTGGGCAACGATGGCAAGAGAAAGAGTGCACGGGAAACTGCGCGTGTCCAAGCAAAGGCTCTCTGTCAAAGTCAGAGGCACTCACCTGCCGACTTGCACAAACTCGCCTCCAGGACCCCATCCTGCTCTGAAGGGGCGGCCAAACGACAGTCCGGCGTCGGCTCTGACGGCCACAGGGGACTCGCCGCTGTGCTTGAACTGGATGCTCTTGTCGCGCGGGAGGAGGCCACTCTCGGTCACGGCCTTGAGGGTCTCCTGGATGTTGCGGGTGAGCGACAGGAACGCTGACGAGGGCGGAGGCTGCAGCGTCGATGCCTCGCTGGATTCCGCATCCCGCAGTGCCCGAGCAGAAAACGAAAGAAGGTCGGCGCTTTGGCTGTCATCATCGCCATCGCCGTGGGTGGAGCTGAAAGGAGCCTTGCGCTTGTCTCCGACCTTGTGGAAGGGCGTGCCCGTTGCCGATGGACGGTCCTTTGGGCTGGCTTTGAACAGAGCGGCCTTGAGCCGGTTACTGCGCTTGGCTATGGCTGAAGGCGCTACGGATTGCTCGAGCTGCCCAAGGCCGCCAAAGCCAGACGATCCAAAGCTCTCAAACACGCTCGATGATGGAGTATCGTTGAATCGTCCGATGCGCCTCTTGAGCGATGCAAAGGAATCTTCGGCAAACACAGACTCCTGAGTGGGCTCCGTAAGCTCGGTGCTATCCTCAACGAGGTCGGCAAAGGGTTCGGTGGCTTCTTGGATATCATCCGTTTCTTGACCATCCATATCGATTGCGCTGCCGCCCAGCGGTGCAGAGCCGCCGTCGCGAGGGCGATGATCGCGACGAGATGGTGCGCGGCCGCTTCCATTGTCGACTTCGTGTCCGTTTTGATCTTGATCGTCGCTGCCGGTGCCATTTTCGTTGCCGTTGCCATCGTCGTCGTCATCGTCGTCACCCAGCCCATACTTGCTGAAGTGCTCGACTTCAAACGTCCAGACACCGGTCTCAATGTCGAAATGGATGAATTTGGTGTCGGGCTGGTTCTTGATGCGCGTCAGGTGCTTCTTGAAGCGAGGGTCCTGCGGATCCTTGACGTATTCGCGAGTAGACTTGTCGACCGGCCAGCACTCTTTGAGGCTGATGCGGGCGGGGACGTTCAGGCCCTGGCCGATGGGCGCCTTTTCAACATTGTCCGGGTACACCTCGCATTCACGGAGTCGGAAGATGACCACATTGTCGACGATCGAGGCAATACCGCTCCGCTTCTTGTTTGGAGCGGCATCGAGCAGATCGACCGTGTCGAGGAACTGGAGCTCGCCAAAATGGTCGTGGATGACCTTGAACTCGCTGACCTGGCGGAGCTCATCGTCGCTCATATCAAGGAGCTCGCTCAGATCGGGCTCGAAGGAATATACATAATAGTCGTCCGAGTCCTCCAGGACAGCTGCATCGGATCCGTTGTTCTGATCACCCTCGGGATAGGCGTTGGGATCGGTTGACTCGAAGCTGGGCGAGGTCAGGGCGCCACGAGGGGCAGATGGCGGCTTGCTGGGGGTGTTGTTGACAGAGTCATCATCAGCCTGGCTGCCGCCGTCATGGCGCACGCGGAGAGTCCCGAACGGGCTGGTGGTGTCGATGGAGGGGTCGAACCGGACGCGCACGCTTTGGGCGCTGTTGGAGGGGCTCTTGACCCGCGAGGTCGTCATCTGCTTGCGGCTACGAGGCGCGAACGTCGAGTCGATATCGTACTCGCCAAGGGTGTCTCGGTTGCTGGACAGATCAAAGTGTCCAAGCGAGGCCGTGTCGGCCGCACCAGAGGGCTTGTTTGAGGGCAGCTTGGTGGAGGGCGAGGGCACGAATCCTCGAAGCTTGATCTTGCTCATGCTCTTGGGTGTCAGTTTGAAGTGCGGTGTGAAGGCAGGCTTCTCTTTCTTGGACTGGATCAACGGCTCAACCGCGGAAGGACCCTGCGCCATGGCGGCGCCTGCTGTCTGTCCTTGGAACAGCGGTAGGTTTCCATAAGGGGCTTTGTCGATGCTGGCTTGGAGAGCAGGTGCTGCAGGCTGGGCGGCAAGGGCGGGAGCCGCCGCGGCACCCAGTCCCAGACCCGTGCCAAAGAGGCCTCCGGTGGTGCCAGCGGCTGGGGCGCCGAACAGGCCTGTGGATGGTGCCGCGGTCGCTGCAAGGCCAAAGCCTGAGATATGTCAAGTTTGCGTTAGTCTTTGAGCAAAGAAGACAAGTACACCTTGCCAACTTCGCTTCACCATAAGCCATGCTAAGATTACAGCGCCGTCCAGTAGAGCGACGAAAGGGACTGCGGAAGTGGTTACCTGCAGGTTTTGCGCCAAACAAGTTCGAACTAGAAGCAGCAGCACCGAACAGCCCGCCAGCTGCGGGTGCGGCCGCAGGGGTGGCCGCACCAAACAGCCCAGTGCCAGCGCTAGCAGCAGGAGCGGCGCCAAAGAGACCCGGGGTAGCTGTGGCAGGAGCTGCAAAGAGAGAACCTGCAGCAGGAGCAGAAGTGGCTGCAGCGCCAAAGGCTCCACCAAATGCTGAGGGAGCAGCTATTGACATCAACGAGGTGAGCATGGAGTCTCAAGCGGACGACAGTGTCCGCAGGCTTGCACTGAGCGCAACGTCACAGAACCTGCGGCCATGCACGAGAACAGCGTTGCATATCAAGCACAAACCTGGTGTCGCGGTCCCAAAGAGACCACCCGCTGCCGTCTGGGCACCAAAGGGAGTTGCAGGGGTTGGTGTGGCAGCAGCGGCACCGAACCCTGTTGCGGGTTTGGCGCCGAAAAGACCGGATGCCGCTGTCGCCTGGCCAAAGGGTGTCGCTGCAGCAGCTCCGAAGGGAGTGGCAGGAGCGGCCGATACTGCAGGGGCTGCAACAATACCATGGATGGTGTCAGGTTGTGATGAGCAAAGGCACAGATCGACGGAGAGGGAGGCCGCAAACAGCCGTCTAGTCTCCAGGATGCGCCCAAAAGTACTCACCAAATCCAAAAGCGGGCTTGGCGGCAGCGGCGCTGCCAAAGGCAGAGGCTGCAGCAGGAGTACCTCCGAATGTTGTGTTTGTGGTTGGGGTCGTTGCTCCGAATTTGGCTCCACCAAAGGCTGAGGTACCTGAAGATGGCAGAAATAAGTAGTCCGCGTTAGGGCAATCATGCCAGCCCGACCGTTCAGAGAGAGATTTAGGCTGGAGCAGCTGACCTACCTCCACCAAAGGCCGATGCACCAAAGCCACCGGTGCTGGCAGCACCACCACCAAAGCCAGGTGTGGCTGCGGCGGCGCCAAAGGCCGGAGCGGGTGCTGCCCCAAAGCCAGCGGCCGAAGGAGTAGTGGCACCAAAGGCCGATGGAGCAGCGCCAAAGGGAGTTGCAGGGGCAGCGGCTCCGAATGCAGAGGGGACGGCAGCCCCAAAGGCGCTCTGTCCAAAGCCGGCGGCACCGGCAGCGCCAGAATTAGGAACAGCGCCAGCATGCTTCTTGCCCATGACGTAGTCTTGAACCCTCAGCTCCTGTTGATGCAGGCGAGACGGCACCAGAGCGCAACAGCCACGCAGCGTGCAGCGCAAGATATCAGTCAGAATACGGCTAACAACAAAACTCCTGTCGCACACCCATCGGATCGGGTCGGACTGGGTCGCGCCAGGACGGGATGCGCTCAAATGACGATTGCAAGGCGAGGGGACGCACCTCAAAGGACCAATTGCGGTATGCAGGCATGGCGTTGATGCTCTGGAACGAAATGCTGGTGCTGGTGTTTTGTTCTTTTTCGGAGGTTGCAGCGTAGCTGGGATTTCCGGTTCCGTTGTTGCTGTTCTGGGTGGTTTGAGTCGAGGAATTGCCAAAGCCCCCGAGGGTGCCGCCACCAAAGCCTGAGGCCGTAGGGGCAGCGGCACCACCAAAGGCAGGATTCGCAGCTCCGAATCCAGCGCCTGATGCCGAGCCAAAGACGCTCGCCGCGGGCTTCGCGCCAAAGAGGCCGCCGCCGGCCGTGGCAGTAGAACCGAAAGCAGGTTGGCCTGAGTGGGATAAAGAAAGTGTGATCGAAAGGGTCAGTAAACTCAGGCCGTGGCGGGATTTCTCGAGAGTCCCAGGCATGTCAAGAGCACGTTCAAAACGGAGTGCCCCGCCGATGGCTACAGTCCGTCCAAAGCATGCGGCCGCAGAGGTGCTTGCACTGATATGCACGCCGATCCGTCCAAAGCGAGGACCAGAAACTCGAACGCACTTGCGGATCCAAATGCCCCGGCTCCTCCAAAAGCAGCGTTTCCGGCAGGTGTTGCGGCCCCAAAGGCTGCTCCAGCGGGGCCAGCGGCACCAAACCCAGTTCTGTTCTGCGTCGAGCCAAAGGCAGAGCCCCCGAATGCTGCGGGTTCAAGAGCGGCCACGAAACCGATCACAACAAGACGCATGGATAGCAGACGAGCATGAGTGAATCGGCCAGCGAGCCAAAGGACAAACTCGAACTGGAAAAGATGCGGATGCACGCATCCTAGCGACGGCTCTCCATGAACCCAGCAATCGGCTGGATCGCATGCAATGCACGCCATCAGCCCTACCTGAGCTTGTGCCGGCTCCACTGTTGAATGTACTGGGCTGGCCAAAGCCAGATGGAGGCTGGCCAAAGGACGAAGCAGATCCGAAGGCAGGAGCGGGTGCGCCAAAGCCTGTGTTGGCCGGCTGACCGAAGCCTGCGGGCTGGGCGGCTCCAAAGGCAGGGGCACTAGCAGGGGCGCCGAAGCCTGAATTATTGACCGAAACATGGCAGCGAATATGGTTAGCGTGCGCACTGGGGCATTGGGGCACTGGCATCGAGCCGCCATTGCCAATCGGCTGGGGCTTGACGATAGATCATCTCCGGGTGTGTGGGCGGCGATCAGCGTCATCCAGCAGCAGCAGCAGCAGCCAGTTCGGATGCAAGAAGAAGAAAAAAGCACATGGACGGATCACAGAGCCAGAAATCCAAGCGGGACCAGCTCCAAAGAGGCAACATGAGCTGATCGCACCGAGATCGAGATGGTGGATTCGGAGACATACCAGCATTGGGCTGCTGGCCAAAGGCAGGAGTTGCAGCGGGGTTGGGCTGGCCAAAGATGGACGACTGTCCAAACCCAGACTGACCAAACATGACTTGCAGCCGTGTACGAACAGAGACTCGATGCGTGGACGGGAGGCTGGGCTGGGCTGGAACGTTGGCGGTCGGGTCTCGAAGCTGATGTGCGCGCGGAGGTGCTCAACCAAGGAGCGAAGATGGGCAGGGTCAAAAAAGGGCGAAAACACGGGCGATCGACAGACAGCCACGACTGGGCCACCTGGTTCGATCCGGCACGTGAGCGGCAAGGCCGGGCAGCGACATCGTCAACGGCAACGGCAGCGGCAACGGCAACGGCAAAGTTCATGTATTCTCAATTACGACCAGCTACCAGCACAAGGCCAAGGACCCCTGGTCTGGGCAGATCCGAAAGCAGGCCCGCACAAATAGGACCAAAGATATCGAGGGCTGCAAAGAGGCAAGAAAATGAAAAGGCACGGGAGAAGTAAACTCTGTCGTCTCTCGAGGTCAGCGATCCGCGTCGCAAGCCATCTCGGCACAGGCGCAACGGATGTCTTGACATGGGAAATTAGAAAGAGGTCTTCTTGATCCACTCGTTGATCATATCCGAGGAGTGCTCGGGCTGGTCATAGGGAACCATGTGGCCAGCCTCGTAGACGCGCAGGTAGGTGAACGACTCGAAGGTGCGGAACTCGCCAGCCTTCTTGCCGGTGGTAGTCGAGATCCAGTCGAGATCCTCGGCCTCCTGGAAAGCGTCGCGGCCGTACCAGTCGAGCTCGAGAGCCCAGTTCTTGTTGCCGATCCCTACAGCCAGACAAGACAGAGACATTAGGGACTGCCAGTCTGCAGCGTCGCACTGCACATGGGGGATGGCGCAAATGTCGAGGTGGCCCGCTGGCAATCGCTGCCAGGAACAGCCGGGTGCGACTTACAGTTGCAGATATAATCAGCATCGCCGGCGTAGATGAGGATCTGGATTCCGTCGTCGAGGAGAGGAGGGAGGTTGTTGACATAGGGGCGCATCCAGTCGCCGGCCATCATGAACTTCATGTTGATGTCCATGTTGCAGCCCTTGTATTCGTGATCAACACCGAGAGTCTGCTGGACCTGAGGTTGGTTCAGGAACGACTCGATGTCGGTGAGGATAGAGTCTGCACAAGGAGGAAAGGAATAGCAAACACAGTTAGATCACTTGAGCAACTTACGGAATCAAGCCGGGCGAGCGGAGCTGACCACAGCAACGGACACAGCAGATCGACGCAGCAGTGCTCAGAGCGGTGTGCGCGGGTCGCGAGAACTCACAGCACAGGGGGTTGCTGCTGTCGCACTTCTTGCGAATATCGTAGATGTTCAGGCCGGTCTGCTGGAAGGGGTTGATCATGGCGTTGTTGCAGTAGATGGCACCGGGGCTAGCGAATAAGCGCGCGTTAGCCCGGCAGATCGGACACGGCCATGAGAGGGCGACAGTGCCGGAGCAATAACAGCCCAGGCGACACCATGGAAACTTACACACAAGTGAAGGGAGTCTGGTACTTGTAGCAGGAGTTGATCAGGGTGCGGCAGGTAGGGAACTTGTTGCGCATGTCCTGGATAACATCGGCATCCAAGATGGGGCCATACTTTTCGTCTTCGGCCATATCAGCATAGGCAGAGTACTGGTTGAGGGGATCGGTCAGGCCGTTGCCGATGGCCAGAGAAGCCAGGTTGATGGGCAGGATCTCGGTCTCATCGGGGCCGGCCTCGTTGTTGTGGTCGGCAATGACCTTGCCGATGGCGGGGACATAGTGGCCGGCATAGGACTCGCCCGTGACGTGGAAAGGAAGGTCAATGTACTTTTCGTTGCTGCCGAGGAAGAGCTGGAGGAAGGCAAAGACATCGGCGGCGGCCTCGACGGTGGTGCTGGTCTGCTTGCCGCCATCGGCGTAGCTGAAGCCAACATTGACAGGCTATGCGGGCACAAGGAAGGCAGAAAGGCGGCCGCAGACAACACCACATGGTCAATATAGGATCGACAGCTGCACACGCACACGCAAGGACGGATGCAACGGAAGGCAACGCTACCTGGTCCAAGAAGATGACGTTGGCCTTGTTGTTCCAGGAGTAAGGGTTCAAGGTGGTGCCCTGGCCGCCCTCATTAACACGGCAGGGGCCCAGCTCCATGAAGAGACCGGTAAGCGACGAGCAGCCAGGGCCTCCATTGAGCCACAGGACAAGGGGATCAGACTCGGGCTTGTGGCGAGACTCAAAGAACCAGAAGAAGAACTGGAGGCGAAAGCACGGGGGGCGAGCGTCAGCAACCCGGACAGAGAAATCGTTCTGATCGAACCAGGCCCGCCAGATACACGCGCAGATTTGATCTCGGAATATAAAGCCCGATACTGATCACCCAGCCCCTGATCACTCGAGCCGTGACGCAGCTCTGCATCACGACAAAAAGCCCCGCAACAGAACGCCGCCAGTCGATCCGCAGGCCACGACTTGCACTGCCCAGCCTCGGGAGAGCAACCATGGCCACGAGACAACCGAGCGGCCAGCAATACAATGCACCAAGCGAAACAACATGCATCAACGGGAGAGCGGGTACAGAGGTCTCGGCACAGGAACAACGACACATACGTGCTTCTCCTCGTCAACATCGAGGTAGCCGTAGATCTGCGAGACGTCGGGGTCGCAGAGCTCGCTGCCCTTCTTGACCCGGAGAGAGTACTTGGGGAAGCGCTGGTGTTTGTAGATGGTCCAGGTGTGGACATGGCCGTCGGCACCGTGGAGATCGACGGTGTTGGTCGACATGGCGGCCTGCACAACATGCTTGGAAGCCGCGGCCGAGGCGAACCTGTGCTTGGACAGGCGGCCGTTGGCAGCATCGGACATGACGGCCTGCTGGCTGGCAGCAGCAACCGCGGAGACGGCGGCGGAGGCCGTGAGGAAGATGGCCAGGGCAGACTGGAGGAGCTTCATGGTAACTGCGCTGGAGAGGGAAGTGAGCGCTGGTGGGTGGATGGAGGGCAGAGAGGGGCGGGCGAGCCAAGCGCAGATCAAGAGGTCGTCCGGCCTTGGCGCGGTGGGAAAGCCAGGGTCGGAACGCCGACCCACGACGAACGGACACGGGCGCGAGCCGAACCCCAACCCCTTGCACTTGCGGACCGAGAACGGATTCTGGCGGGAGCGGGCGGGCCGACATGACGGCGACTGAGATGCGGGGGGCTGGCTGGCTGGCGGGACCGGTGCGTGAGATGTGAGATGTGAGATGTGAGATGTGAGATGTGAGATGTGAGATGTTCAGTATGTGAGATGTGAGATGTTCAGTATGTGACTGAGAGCCCTATCGGCCCGCGGTTTTCCTCGCCGGATTTGCTCTTGGTTCTCGACGCTGGACCGAATCTGTGCATCCCAAGGATTCCCGTGCTCGATTGTGCTTGCCCATGCCGCTGCGAGCAAAGTTCCGTTTGCCGATTCGCAGGGCGCAGGTATTCGAAATCTCTGTGGCCAGTCCTGTGGCGACGCCTGGGAGCTTTGAAATCGAGGGTGGCCGTGACGGACGTGGAATGCCGGTATCGGCGTCGGTATTGGTGTCGGCATCGGCAGCGGTGTCGTTTGGGGCACCTGGATTTCGAAATGCGGTCTGCACTGCTGCCCCTGTTGGGGAGGGGCAGCCCGGAGCACCACCCATGGCAGCACGGCCCGCCGATTCAGCCAGAACCGGCTCGGCATGGTCGACAAGTAACACCCACAACCGCCATCCTGCAGCCGTTGCTCACGGGCGCCGAACGGCAACCAAGGCTTGCGGTGGCGCTGCGGGCTCATGGCCATGGCGACGCAGAGGCTTCTGCGATGCTCGCGGCTTGACCGGGCCAGCCGTGCTCTCTTCCCGACACCACACCGGCCACCGTTCCCGGCCTCTGCTGCCCGGTGCATCTGCCCAGTGCATCTGCCCGATACATCTGCCCCGTCGGCCTGTCCTTCGTCCATCACAGCGTGTCTGTCGCCGCCCCGCGGCACATCTGCCCCGTTCGTGCATACCCCACCGCTGCCCCCGCTGCCCCGATTGGTGCTTCCCCACCGCCTTCTTCTGCCGCCTGAGCAACCCCGCCACTGTTTGTTGCTGTTTGTTGCTGTTTGTTGCTGTTTCGCCCAATGAACGGCGCACGCATTTCAAAGCGTGCGGAGTCGCCTCCCCGTGGCCCAGTGCTCCAAAACGACACGCCCGCGTGATTTGGCTTGCAATCCCCAGGCCGCTGCGGATCATTTCCCTCGGCTTGGTGCACCTCCCCCGCACTCCCCCGCACCCCCCCCCTCGAATCGCACCGCTTTGCATATATAGGTCCCTGCGACTGCCGTCCCTCGTCGGCACCATCGACTGCACTCGCCAAACCCGCACCGCACGCTCTGTTCACAGGCCCCTCATGTCGCCCCACAAGATTCTTCCCGCCACCGCTGCCGCCGCCGCCTCCGGCGCTGAAATCATCGACATCCGTCCAGCCTCTTTTGGCCTCTCGGACCTGTCTCCCGAAGGACTCGTCAAGAACATCATCAACGAGTTCATGTCGCCCCGAGTGGTGTTCACCCACCCAGACACGGGCTCAGAGCACCTGATCCGCAGCATTCCCACAATGGTTCTGTACGATGACCTCGGCCTGGAAATCTACGACAGGATCACCAATCTCGACGAGTACTATCTCTTCAATGCCGAGATCGACATCTTCAAGCGCCACGCCGAGGAGATGATCCTGAACTACATCCAGGACGACTCGGTGCTGGTCGAGCTTGGTGTCGGGTGAGTTTGGTCCCTGCCTTCCACCCTGGATCGCGATATAGCCGTTGTGATTGTCCGCCGACAGCGGCACCCTCATGCACCCCCCCCCCGACCTCCACTCGCTCTGATTCGCCGGGCCGTTTCTCGTCAGATCCATGAGGAAAACAAAGTACCTCCTCGATGCCATCACAAAGCACCGCAAGAACATCACGTACTATGCCCTGGACTTGTCCGAGGCCTCGCTGCGCGATTGCCTGACCCCCCTTTGCGCCGAATACCCCGAGATCCGCTTTGTCGGACTTCTTGGCACCTACGACGACTCGCTTCAGTGGATCCGCGCAAACATCCCCCAGACCGTCCACAAGAGCTTCCTGTGGCTTGGCTCATCCATCGGGAACTTTACTCGGGCCCAAGCCCGCGACTTTCTCAGCCGCGTGGCCAGCGCAGCCATGAACGCCGGCGACGACTTTTTCTGCGGTATCGACGGCCGCAACAAGCCCGAGGACGTCAAGCTAGCCTACGACGATCCAAAGGGAGTCACGGCCGAGTTCATTCTGAACGGATTCGACCATATCAACAGACTCTTTGGGCGCAGGGTCTTTGAGCGAGACGCCTTCAGCTACCTCTCGATCTACAACCGCCATGAGGGCCGCCATGAGGCATACTACCAGTCCAAGGTCGAGCAGACCATCGATCTGCAGGACTCGATCCAGGTACACCTGCATCGCGGCGAGATCATCAATGTTGAGTACTCGTACAAGTACTCGGACAGCGAGGTCTACAACGCTACCGCCGGCACCGGGCTCGCCCACGTCGATCGCTGGAAAGATTCCTCGGATCGATACAGTATGTTTGTGTTCCAGAAGCCATCGGTTGTGTTTTCTCCCGAGCCGCGGCTTTCAAACGGCATCCCCGTGCTGGCCGAGTGGGAGTCTCTGTGGAATGCCTGGTAAGTGGCGAGTTGTAGTGGCGGCCCACGAATCGGACCGCCTGTGTGCAGCGCTGCTCGGTGTTGTCGACGGCGTTCCTTTGACACCGGCCCACGTTTGCTAATCCGGTTGCGTGCTGATGGAACTGCTGATACTCAGGGATGTTGTTTCGACTACCATGATCCCGTCGGACCGATATCTCGAGGCCCCCATTGCCCTCCGGCATCCGTACATATTCTACCTCGGCCATCTTCCTGGCTTCCTGGATATTCAGCTTTCCAAGGCCTTCAACTTGCCGCTGACTGAGCCCAAGTACTTTGCCACCATCTTTGAGCGCGGAATCGACCCCATCGTCGACGATCCCAGCCAATGCCACTCGCACTCGCTCGTCCCGAACAGCTGGCCTGCTCTTGACGAGGTGCTCGCCTATCGCGACCAAGTGCGCCGCAGAGCTCGCGATATCATCTGCAAGCTGGCAGATGCCCAAGATACTGCAGTCGACAAGACTGCCGCCCGCGCCGTCTGCATGTGTTTCGAGCACGATGCCATGCATCTCGAGACCTTCCTGTACATGCTCGTCCAGTCCGACCATACTCTGCCGCCTGCTGGTATTGTCAGACCAAAGCGGCTTGGACAGCAGCCCCTGGTTCCTCTTGCACCCGCTGCACTCGCACAGGTCTCCGCTGGACAGGTCACTCTGGGCACGCTCCACCGAGAACAGGACGACGGCAATGCCGGCAGCAGCTTTGTCTTTGGCTGGGACAACGAGTCGCCCGAGCTGACCGTCCAAGTCGACGGATTCTCTGTGCAGAATCGCCCTGTGGCTGTGCAGGAGTACTACAAGTTCTGGTGCGCCCAAGGCAAGCCTGAGAGCCTGCTTCCAAAGTCCTGGACCGACGACGGTGCGGCAGTCAAAACGGCGCTTGGCCCCGTTCCCATCCACGCAGACGGAGAGGACGCCAACGGACCAGCCAGCCGCTGGCCTGCTTACGTCTCCTTTGATCAAGCCGACGCCTATGCCAAATCCATTGGGGGAAGCCTGCCTTCGGAGGAGCAGATTGCTCGTATTCGCCAGTGCGTCGACAAGACCACCAAGGGCACATCGCCAGCCCGACCAAGGAACAGTGGCTTTGTCGAGTGGACGCCGGTCGATGTCGAAACCCCAGCCGACCCGGACTCGGTCTCTCAGATCGACGACAATGGCTGGGAGCTCACCCGCACACACTTCAGGCCTTTCCCGGGTTTTGAGACGAGCAAGCTGTACCCAGGATACTCGTCAGACTTTTTGTGAGTACCAGTTCCTGCTTCTCCCCGAGCAACACAAACATCCGTCGACAGTCGAGCCTTGACAATGACGTACTAACGCTGATGTCCGACTTCTAGTGACGATCACCACTTTGTCGTGCTGGGTGCCTCCTGGGCCACCGTTCCGACAATCGCCAGCCGCAAGACCTTCCGCAACTGGTACCAACACAATTACCCCTATGTCTTTGCCAAGTTCCGAGTCGTTGTCTGAGCAGATGAATCAGCAACCGGGGGAGGCGGCCAACGCATGCGAGAATACACTTGGGCTCCGATGAGGTCCTCCTCAGTCCCGAAAGACCATTACTGTGATTCTCGAGGATGGGAGCAACCCAGAACCAACCGGATTGTGGGTGGTACTGGTACTGGTGCTGGCTCAGGTGCGGGTGGTCGGCTCTATGGGTGTGTATTCAAGTACCAGACAAAGAAACCCCAGCCAGCCATCCTCAGACATCCAGGATATGCTGCTTCATGTGCGATGGGTTGTCGACACCGGAAAGACGAAACGGAAAGGCTCTGAGGCATAGCCATGGCGGCAGCAACTCACCGTGTCCACCCTCCCTCCAAAAAAAAGACAGAAAGGGGAAAGAATAATCAAAACGAAAATAAACGCCCGGCATTTCATTGCAGTTTGTTACAAGGTCGAGAGGGTGACGACCATTTGGCCCTCCCCCTGTCGCTTGAATCCTCTCTCGCCCTGGTTGGACAGCGGTGTATCAAGACGACAGAGAAGCCCGTAAGCATAGAAGGGGCCAAATCGAGGCTGTGGCAAACCACCAAAACAGGCCACCAGTCGCCTCGGGTTTCGGTAGCGGCAGCACATCGCAGCAGTGCATTGATCGAGTGGCCGACAGCCCACGGATCGGCTTCGTATAGTTGATGCACCTCAATAGCTCCCGGTCCGGTGGGCTAAGCCTTTGCTGGAGTTGCTTCTCTGGAGCTCGATTCCGTCGCCAAAACCCTTCCTGATGACTCGCTCCCTCTGCTTGAGCTTTCGGCAGTACGCAGCCGCAGCAATAGCCGCCAGGATGGTGACGTCGACAAGAGCCAGAGCGATGGCGATGTAGTAGCGAGTATACGAGTCGTTGCCGGCCTCGACGAGCGAGTCGGTCATTGAGCTCGACGACGACGAGGAGGAGGACGAGGACGACGATGTCCCCAGAATCAAGTCCCAAAATCCGATGGTCAGACCGCCGACGACGTTGATGAGGACCAGGTTGAGGGACTGGGCGTAGATGTAGAACCGCAGCATGCCGTTCTCGATGCCGACGCAGCCCGAGAGGCCCGGAATGCCCAGGAAGATTCCGGCGACAAGCCAGGCTGAAGGCGCACGGTCCCAACCAAACCAAACGACATCAGCATACGCAGAGACACCGGCATACGCACTGGCCCCCTGTGGTGGAGTAGAAACGAACAGCATGCTGCTCGTTGCTATTGCACTGGCCTCCCGGGAGAGAGTGGACGGGGACGGGGACGGGCCCGCAAGCGAGGCAGAGACAGGAACCAACAGTTACCATGGAAAGCATAGTCGGTAAACACGTTGTGGATGTTGCTGACATCAGGCCGGATCTTGAGCAGGATCGTGCCAAAGAAGATGATGGAGAGCGAGGCGAAACAGACCAAAACGGTCGATGCAACATACAGCCCCTTGGCTGTGGACAGCTTCATGGCAGCAGTGAGGTGTCGAGGTTTCGAGAGAGGGGCTTGATATGGGGGGGGGCACAGCGACGAGGGAGTTTGGAGCGGGAGACGCAGGCCGATAGGCAGCGGATGCTGGTGGGCAGACAGGCAGAGGTCGGTTGGACGAATGGCCGCGAAGAGGGCAGCATCGGTCCAAGTCGGGCAGCGGGAGCCTTCACGCCCAACAAGGTTTGCAGCGCTTGTCCCACGGCGCTCACAAACACTGGCGGCGGGATCGCCATGTTTCGGTCTGGGCACTTCCACAGCACATCCCGCATCAACGGATCTCCGAGATTGTATTTATCGATGGCAGACGCGCATCTGGGGCATCGGTCTCAGACACAGGGCGTCGCAGCATCCTGTCGAAGCAGATCGCCCCGCTGCATCACCGCACTCAGTGGCGTCCCGACCGGATCAACTTGACGTGATCAACACCAAAACCCTCCTGGATCCGCTTGACGAGCATACCCAGGCCGTTGCCCATAACCGTGATCTTGATGTTCACGCCTTCAAAGGCCTCCTGGTGCGGCGCCTCAGTCAGGGTGTGTCGGCCGAACGCCCAGTTCAGAATCTGGATCTTGCCGTTGATGCGGAGCATGCCCTTGACTCGATAGACATCGTCCTTGGGCAGCGCTGCCAAGAATCGCTCAAACTCGCCAAGGTCAATAGGCTTGCGAGAGACAGCCGCAGCCGCAGCCGCAGCCTCAGCCTCAGCCTCAGCCTCAGCAGGAGCATGGCTGTCATGGTCGTGCCCATGACTGTGCTCATGGTGGTGGTGGTGGTGGTGGTGGCCGCCGGCGCATTCACTGCCACAGGCGCCGGCCTCCGGCTGGATGTCAGGGTCGGTGACCTGGATGAGGTCGATTTCGTTCGAGTGGTGCTCGGGATCCATGAGTCCGTTCCATTTCTCGCGCTCCTGTGCGTTGCCGAGCTGGAATAGCTTGGTGTCGATGCCAAAGACCAAGTCGGGCGAGACGCCGTGGGTTCCTTCGCACTTCAGCTTGGGTGTGTCGGTATTGAGCTCGTTGACGTTGTCGAGAACGAGGTCGTATTGACGCTCGGACACCTGGGCGTCGGCGAGATTGCGGGCAAGTTCATCAGCACCGCGAATCGCACATGTGCCAATCCATCACTCTTTCCAGCCTGCATATCGGTGCGCATTCCGGCTCCAGGTCGACTCGGCCGCATGGGACGCATGATCAGCCCGATGGATCTCCCGAGCGGCGAAGACAACGAGTTCGGTCCATATGCTGCGTCTGTGCCGTGGTGGTGATGGTGCATATGCTTCCACCAACCAAGCCCATGTCCAGCCACTCACCAGTTCGTGCTTGTTCATCAGGATCACGTCGGTGTACTGAGCCTGCATCCGAGCGGTGTAGCTCGTATCTTCATAGCCGGTGAAGTTGACGCAGTCGATCACGGTGATGATGCCGTCCAGAACGAAGCCATCGCCGGCCAGCTCGCGGATTTGCCAAGCGATCGGGGCTGCTCGAGCCGGTTGCGGGGCGCCCAGCAACAGTTGTCAGATAAGCCAATGCCGTAGATGGACAGAGGGTTGGCAGATGGACAGAGGGTTGGCAGATGGACAGAGGGTCGGCAGGTGCCCGCCTTCTCTCCTTCCTGCCCAGATTCGCTTGGCCATGGAGCCATGCATGCGATCTTGCCACATACCTGGGAAGGCCGAGCCCGACGTCTCGATGATGATGCGATCTGGGCTGAACTTTTCCTTCAGCTCCAGCAGAGCAAGCTTCATCTGGCCCACAAGCACACAGCACATGCAGCCATTCATGATCTCCTTAACTTCGATGGCGTGCGACTTTGTCGAGCGGGCCAGCTCCGAGTCGACTTGCACGTCGCCAAACTCGTTCTTCAGAAGGACCACGTTGTATTCCTTGGGTAGCCGATCGATGAGCGACAGGATGATGGTGGTCTTGCCTGCGCCCAAGAAGCCCGTCAGCACTGTGACCGGAACGCTCTTCATGATGGCGGGATGCGATGCGGATGCGATGCAGATGTGGGTGTCGAGGCTGGTGCAGATGAGCGACCAAGCACCAGGGCGGTCGTGGCTGCGGTTGGTCGGCCTGTTGGCCTGCTGCCAAATCCAGCGCCAGCACCGCCCAGCTTGTCGCATGTCTTGACTTGCCCAACCAGGCTTGGGAATCAACCCAGCTGTCTGTCCCGGTCGCCGTGATCCTACAGCCAATCCAATAAAAAACGGATTTTGGTCGTTGAGCGGGTATGCTATTGCCTCAAAACATCGCGCGCTGGCCATGGCCATTCACTGATGTGTTTCTGGATCTGAATCGAGATACTTTCTCGCTCAGATGGCTCCCCGCAAGCGAAAGGCACCACACTCCCACATCGAGTGGATGCACACACTCCCACATCGACACATGGGACCGACCGAGTGTATTCAAGGTCATGCTTCCCAAACCAACGAAATCAAAGAGATCGCCTACCAGGCCGGGAAACAGTCGCATGGCTTGCTCGCTGGAGCCTACGGATCAGTAGACTACAGGCCTCTGATGCCAGAAAGTGACTGTCCCGTTACTTTCTGGATCGACGGTAGTCCAGGCGGGCCCGAATCCGTTTGCTGGTGGCCAAGTGCCCTGAGCGATATCCGCGAGATGCGCACCCCAGTCGCGGCAACAGACTCGTCCGATGTGAATCGCAGAACAATCTCGGCAGCGTCGCTGCTGATCTGGAAGCTATATGGCCACATCCTTGCGCCGTGCGGGCGGCCGTCCAGCTCAAGCAGCGTGGATGTTCTCTGGGTGCTGCGGCTCCTCGTCTGGATCAAGAACAGGTCGAATGAGGCCTCGGTGTCCACCCGAGCGTCCACGGAGAAGTTGTAGTGGCCGCTGGGGAGATTCAGGAATATAGAGAAGGATGTGTCGACATTGTTGGCGTAGAGGCCCGTCTGCGGGTCGGTGGCAATCGCGAGTGTGCCGTTTGCAAGCACCCAGCCGGCGGTCTCTGGAGACTGTGTGTATATGCCGCAGAAAGTCGGCAGCTGCGTAAAGTCAAAGGCAAACGGGACGCTGCTCAGGCCTTGGTGAGGAATCAACCGGACCTGCCGGTTGGTTTGCAGAACCGCTTTGTCGCGGATATCCAGTCCAAGGATGGTGAGCGACAGGTATCGCAGGACAGAGTCGGTGGTGTATCCGGTCTCGATGTTGAACTGAGCGAGGTCGGTGGACGCTAGCGATGTCGATCCGACCACGGAGCCGTCCAGGCTCACATAAAAGGTTCGGATGCCGCTCGAAGTGATGTTGTTGAGCACGAGGAGTGTTCGCACAGGGATGTCGAATCTCAGAGGCTCAAATAGAACTGGAACCATGACCACGAGCAGGATTAGCGGCATGCAAAGGTCACCGGCTCTTGGAGAAGCAGGCAGCAGGAAGCCGCAATGCCCGTGTGGCACATGGATACAGGCATCGAAGGTGAGGTTTGTTTCCCACACTATTCGCAGCGGGACCACAGATGCAACCGGAGGGGCATCGCTTACACGCGAGGCTGTTCTGTCCCGTGCGGCTGCCGAGATCAGCCAGCAGTTGTCCGAGATACTCCAGCTGACTCAGCGTCGATTGATTGGAAAAGAAATCTGCCCATGAAGGTCGGAGATAGTAGTCTGGTTCGACAAACAGAAGGGCAGTCAATACGCGGACGTCGCTTTGCGATCGGGTGTGGGGGTAGTTCTCAAGAGTTGGGGTCATATTATCTCCATGAGATGTGAGCCCGATGGATTGCGGCAACGGTGACTACGCTTACCGGCGGCCACTCCGCTGTCTTCAATCAGGGCACCAGCATGAGTGCCGGTGCGTATCACCTGTCTCCATGCAACCCGCAGGTCTGCCGCACCAAGGTGACTGTTGTTCTGGTTGTATGACGAGTACGGAAGCGGCGAAAAGACTACTTGGCTGCTGTTCGAGCTGTCTGAGCTTGTTCCAAACAGCGGAATCAGAAAGCTGCTGTAAGCAACAACGTTGCACCCTCCTCCGCCGGTTTGCAGGTCCTGACCAAAGATCAGCGCCGTTCCAGAGTCCTGCATATTGGCCGAGAAGAGATCGCACGCCGAGTCTGGGTGGAGATTCGAGCATCAAGCCCAAAGTCAGCGACGGGTCGACGAGCTGCTTTCAGAGTCAGCTGCAGTTTGAATCGATGCAAGGACACTCACAACAGTAAGCGTCGATGAACAGAGCCACGGGCTTGAGATATGCAGTGCCGATTGTGTTGAATGTAGTTCCGGAGAAGAACGGGGTGACATCGCCATATGTCTGGTTCCTCGAAAGTCCATCAAAGTAGCCCGGTATCCAATCCGAAAGAGCCAAGGACGCGTTGGTGGTGTGCAAGATGGCGGTGTTGGTTTTGGAGATAAGCAAGCGGCCCGAGCTGTACGAAGCAGAGTTGGCTCTAGTTAGCCTTGGAGCCATTGTCTCAGAGCTCTCGGACTACACGACCAATCTTAGAACATCCATCGGCGAGCCGTCGAGATCCCACTATTCCAGAGCCCATCGGCGTGCTACTGCAATGCAAGACCATTACCTGGCCTGGAAATTGGGCTTGAACAGCTGGGGGATCAAGTCGGCCAGTGCCATGTCGCCACCGCCATTCCCGCGGATGTCAAAGACAATAGCATTTGTGCCGGCGAGCTCACGGACAAGCAGTCCTCGAATCAACGACACCGTATTCTGAACAGAAGTTGACGGGGTGAAGCTCTTCAGACTGATGATGCCGAGGTTGGTGAAGTTGGGCCGATAAATACCCCAGGACAACAGAGATTCGGGCGTGGAATTGAGCTTGAAGCTGGAGAGCAGGCTGAAGCGCCGAGTGGCATGATCGGGAAAGAATTGGCGAAACTCTTTCTCGTAGGAGAAGGTGCCAGATGTCGACTACATGCGGCCAAGATAGATATAAGCGCAACCTTGAGCTTGCCGAGAACGGTATATAGCTGTTTCAAGCACGAGCGCGGGTGCCTCACGATCAAGCGACAGAGCATCCAAAGCTTACTCGGCGACGCTGCTTTGAGTGGCGAGCATCTGCTCGCGCTTCGGTGACGTTGGGGACTGTCTCGCCCTGCACGAGAGGCTGGAGGCAGGTTCCGTTGACAAGCGATAGATACGGAACTTTGACAGATACACTTTTGCCAGATTGCTTTCGAAAGACAAACGTTTGCGTGTCCTCCTCCTCCGTCGGTAGAGGATACAGCACCGATGGTCTCATAGAAAGCAGGTACGAAAAGTAGCGCAGACCGCCCATTTCGTTCGCCGCCTCGGTCTTGCTTTGGTACGACTGGGAAACAAGCCGCCGATTAGCAACCTCGTAGAAAGCATTCGGTCCATATCCGAGAAGCAGACACACGAGAGCCCGCTCATTAGGACCGAAGTGCACGCTCGCTTGGACGCATTGAAATGCATGGTGCCATCTGAACGGTACCTCGAAATACACCGAGTCAAAGGACTTGCCATTGATCGAAACCAACTCGTCTCCGGGCTCGATCTCGGCCACTGATGCATTCAGGGACGGGCCATAGAGTGGCGACATGTCCACAAGGCGTGCGTATCCGGTGCGGGAAACAACGACGACGGTCGGGTTCCAGTAATCTGAACTCTCGAGAAAGTCAAAGGACCACGGCAGAAAGGATCGAATGCATCCATATGGCGCAGGGATATAGTAGCTGTATGAGATTGCCATTCGGCACCGTGTTAGCTCGATGCACATGACAGAGATTGGTGGCAATGTACGATGCGGATAGAGGAGCGAAGCCAAGCGCCTGGCTAGGATGCACACGCTCTGGAAACAAGTGCGGTTCTCTTGAGCCGTGGGGCGTGCTGCTGTTGTGTATGGAAGCGCCTCGAGCATATCATGCGACTTACTTTGTGTGGAAATCGCGGGCGGAGATGAACAGCTTGGCAAGACTGATGTGGAAGCTCAAGGGGTCGTTCACATACGACTTCCAGTTCTTGGTGATATTGTCCTTTCTCGGGATGATGTCGATACCGTACTGGCAGGGGAGATGAAAGTGAGTTCCACGCCGCGACTGATGGCATCAATGGAGCGAGCTCTGTCGCAAGTCAGTAGCGCCGTCGGGCGATGCTGGGATGCGGCCGACTTACGTTCTGGATCTTTGACTCTCGATTGACCCAGATATCGAACAGCTTGTCGACCTCATGAGCGACTCGCTGGAGATCGTTTGCCGAGTACGGTGGCACCGCAGCAAAGGCGCTACTGCGAATATCGCGCAGCAGGCCCACATACGAGTCCTGGAAACGTACGACGCGGCCCGACTTGATCAGGCGATGGACCCCAGAGAGCAAGTCGTCGGCTTGTGTGACATGGGCTGTGGCATGGACGACTGCGACAGAGAGCAGCAGCAGCAGCAGGATCCCGAGCTGAAGACCGGCGAGAACACGCATCGCTGAACGCTGGCGAACTGGACGATGGGCAGGGAGACCGATGCGCCCAAAATATAACTCGAGGTAGCGACCAGGGACCGGGGAGACGCTGGGGCTATTGGCGGGACTGGCCAAGCGTGGGATGCCGAAAAGCGCGCCAGCAGCAAACACCGCGGGAAGAAGACCCGTCGCACATGCTTTGGTGCAGAGCGGCCGGCGATGATGCGGGATGAGCTCGCTGCAGGCTTGAGGAATGCCGCAGCACGGGCGAGGACACATTTGTATCAAGTGTCAAATGGCAAATGGCAAATGGCAAATGGCAAATGGCAAATGGCAAATGGCAAATGGCAAATGGCAAATGGCAAATGCCACGGCATATCACGAAGAGCAGCGCAATGACAGGATGTGTGTGTGTGGAGCCGACCGCAACGTGGCGGTGCATGGCGCAAAGCGACAAGCCAGGAAGGCGTCGTGGCGCAGAAAGACGCAAGGCGATTGGCTGTGTGTCCGCGTGACACGGCGTGGGACAACGGCTGTGCGCGACGCGGCAAGGGGGGCGGCTGGGACGCAGCACTGTGCTGTAGTGCGAGCTGAGGGAGGAGGCGCGGCACTGCCTCTGGATGCATTGCACAGAGCGACACAGCAACGCGCAGAGCGACGCGCGGTTGGCCCTGATCTGAAGGGAGCAAGGGCCACTCACACAACGGCAACAGCAACAGCAACAGCAACAGCAACAGCAACAGTCCCGCCTTGCGTTGCCCAAATCCTCCCCCCGGCCCCACTGCTCCTGATATCGTCTCTTACCGGGCTGCTGTTCTTCCTGCCCACCCACCCCTCATCCTTCTATCGCCCGGGTCTGCCGTCCGTCTGCCGTCCGTCTGTCTCGTTTCCCTCCGGAGGACTGCTCTCGCCATGGCCGTCTTCAAGCTCACTTCGCTCTGGGTCCTCGTCCTGCTGCTGGTGGCGGCCCACGGTCGCCATCTCCCTCGCCAGATTCCTCCAGTCTCCAGCTCGGCTCCCCCCGTTCCTCCTCCCCCTCCTCCTCCCACCAGCTCCAGCGCTCTGCCTCCCACCTCCACGTCGATCCTGCACTCGTCGACAACGTCGCTGGTGCCGTCGTCGTCTTCGGTGCAGACCTCGACTACTACAACCTCCTCCAGCCCTTCTGCTGCTGTCACTTCCCAGAGCTCTCTGACCGCCACATCCTCCAGCCCCTCCGGCTCGCCCACGGCCTCTGGCACAGCTTCTCCATCGGCCACCCCAACCACCGCCCCGGCCCCAAGCAGCGGTGGGGACGCCACCACCATCGCCCTCGCCGTCGGCGGAAGCTGTGTCGTCGTCGCCGCCCTCGGCATCTACATCTTCCGAAAGTGGAAGCTCAAGCCCTCCGACTCGTTCCGCGATCGCATCAATCCCAACTATGCTGCCAACCAGGAGCAGTACCGTCTGGAGCAGCTCGCCGCCCAGGGTAAGAGGGTCGGGAATCCAGCGTGAACGAATTGGGCTGCCGACAGGGAATGGGATCCGCACCGCTCGCTGTTCCGGGCTCGGGCGGATGCTCCGAGCCCACCGCCATCCTCCTGGCCGACATACGGGCTTGCTCATCATCCTGTTGTCCAGCAGTCCTTTGACACCTTTCCTTTCCTTTTTGCCCTGCAGGCGTCAGCACCAAGCTGCCTGTCGCGCCGTCCTGGGAAACCGGCTCCACTTACTCGCACCAGCGCAGCGGCAGCAACCAAGGGCCGCTACCAGTTGGCGGCTTTGTCCAGTCGGTCCCTCCCGCCTCCAGCTTTGGTGGCCACACCGACCCTCGTCTGAACCCTTACAGCGATCCTTACGGCCGACCCCAGCAGCAGCAGCAGCAGCCGTATTCCAGCTACGGATACGACACCAACTCCAACCACGGACAGTCACAGAATCCGTACACCCGGCCGTACTAATTTGCCGTAGGCTGCGTACCCTCCCACCTCTGCAACCCCGCAGCTACACCGAGGACAACTGTCGCTTCCACCCCGTGGTTCGCGCAGCAGGACTAGATTGACGGTCTGCTTGGTATTGCGTCGCCGACTCTCCCCACCCCGCCCTGTCCCTTCCGTCTCTCCCCCATCTCTCTTGCTCTTGTAATTCTGTCCGTGCCTATCCCAGAGCGGCAGGGCGCCACGCATCTGCTTGTTCGCGACGACTATCTCGTATTCATGTCAAAATATTATCACACAGTCGCTTCGTTCTTTCTTTCCTTGTTTCTTACCCTCTGGCCAGGTCTTCCTTGGCCAAGACTCTGTCGTGCGGCAGCGGCAATCGTCTGTTTCCTGTGCAGCCTGCTGTCGACACCGCACCCCTGCACGTAGCCTTGGGAGACATGGTTGTGAAGCGTCGAGACCCAAATACCGGGATGCGTGGTGCTTGGTTGGTTGCCGGTGGCTCTCCGGGACAAGCTTCAGGACGGGTATCGAGCAGCGGCCTCGCTGATCGACGACGCTGACAGGGTCGGATTCATAGTAGAGCAAAGCCACCGAGGGGAGGGGATTCGATTTGTGGAAGGGCGTGGACGGTACCGCATGGACGGGCCCTCGAATCCAAGTTGGTCGGAACCATTTTGATTTTCAACCGCCCAGCGGTACGGCCAGCGCGGTAGTATGTGGTGGGGAGGCGCAATCATGGTCGAAGAGGAAGAAAAAAATGCCAGGGAGGGTGCGCCAGACAACGGTTGGGTCCATTGCGGTCTCGCGGATAGAATCGGCCGCCAGCAGGGACTTGTCTACTCTACCATCGAAGCAAAGTCATCCAGTTTCAGCGCGTCGATGATCAGCGAATTGATGATATGGACAAGGCTCCGTTGGAGCTCCTCTGATGGACCCAGCGGCGGGATATTCGGATCGGACGGCTTGAACAGAAACTGGTCTCGGATCAGCAGCCGGAGGAGCCCATAGAGCATCAGCCACCGCAGCTTGTTGTCGTAGCTGGCTGGGTCGCCCTTTGGCCCTTCATGAGTCCAGAGCAGGCCGGGGAGGCCCGGGTAGGTTGCTCCGGTCTCTGAATCGTTGCTCATGACAATCATTTGGGCACGGTCGATGCCGTCTTGGATCTGCCCGCATTCGTCCAGGAGGATAAGGTCGTCGTTGTCGTTGGCGGTGTTGGGCGGCTTGGACCAGAGCGCGATGGCATCGCTGCATTCTCTCCTGATCTGCGTGGTTTGACGATGCACACCGGATTTGACAGAATCCCACTGCTCCTGTAACGAAGTCGGGCGGGTTGACGCTTGGGCCGCCTTTGCGTCGATGGCTCGTTTGCGCCTCAGGGCAGCCTGAAGCTCCTTGTCGAGGGATTCAACGGCGGCTTCGGCTGCGTCGTTTTGCGCCCGAAGGGTTTGCGTCGCTCTCAGAACCCTCTGAAGCAGATTGTTGCGCTGTACTTGCAGAGGAGTCAGTATCTGCTTCGTGAACGGCTCGGGTGAGCATTTGTGTTGATGCTGGCGAATCAGGCCGGCCATCTCATCGAGATCATGCTTGGGGTGGAGCTGGACTGGGATCATCGGAGCAGGCGAGGCTCCGGCGGCGACGATAAGCCTGTAGAGTCGATCGACACACTCGACAATCTCGGGCGGGTACTTTCCAGCCACCGGCGAGGTCTGCTGCTGAACCAGTGTCGTCGAGAACGTGATCCAACACCTTTGATACAGGTATTGGCCCAGCTGAACCAGTACGCCGTCGAGCAACTTTTGAAAGTCATCTGCGAGCTTATTGATGCGCTCCTCGTCCCGGCTCGATTCGGGCTGTTGCCGCATCTCGTGCAACTGGCGGCCCTGGCGGACCGTGCGGATCAGATCGCCAAAGATCCTGGTGGTATCGAGGGGCGCCGAATCACTCGCCAGCGCGGATGCCGGATTATCGTCGCCGTCGACTTCCATCGCAAGGTATCGGGCTATTGAGCGGGTGGGAGGCGCAAGGACGCAAGGACGCAGAGACAGAGACGCAGAGACGCAAGGACGCAGGGGTGCAGGACCGTGCTCGCGCGGCAGCGCTGACCGATGGCTGATGATGGCAAGGGGAGATGAAAAGCTCGCCAGGTCCGCTGTGGATGGCCAGGAAAATCTGGTGTGAACTCGCGCACGTGATGCCCGCTGCCTTGTGGTTCCGGACCAGGGGGGTTGTGTATATTGCGCTGGCCGGAACTCGATGCCAGTACCCAAGGCGGACGGCATGCTGGTGACCAGACGGGCCAATCGATTTATCCACCACCCAGGGTTCCAAGCTATGACTCGTTTATGCAGGTTTGATGTGATCGGCACGCCAAATGGGCCGGCGGATCGAGTAAGACCATGCCGTGGATGGCTCGATGTGCGCCGAGTCTAATTCTGGCCGATCATGGCAGCAACCAGAGCCGACCCCTGGACAGAGCCGTCGCGCACTATGAACAGAAAGACCTCAGTATCAGCCACCCACGATTTGATCCAAGCCAACAACCAAGACCACAGACACTCGCCACATGCTCACGGGTGACAACTTACAGTGCTCCAGATTGATGAAATCGGCTGAGATGCCGATGAGCTCGCGGAGGGTGTCCTTCATGCGGTTGCCAAAGTGGGGGTGGTAACCCGTGTACAGAGAGCCATCGATGGCAACGGTGCACTCGTCCAGGCGGTTGATCTTGGTGATCACTCCGGCAACGCCGGCAGCAGCCAAGCGCGCGGCACGGACACCAATAAGCTCGCAGATGCGCTTGACGATGCGACGGTCCTGCATGGTGCTGGAGTTGTAGCCGAGGTACTCTTCGATCACGGCCTTGGTATCGGCCAAATCGGCCGAGTAGTCGCTGCAAGCCGGGCGTCCAGCGAACACGGTGCCACAGGAGTGGTCGCAAATGGGAGGGGACACGGATGGGATTGCGAGGCGACCAGCCAGTGACGGAGCGAGATGGTGGGGCGGTTTGTCAGTAATGGAGTGTGGCGGCAAGTGCAAGCGACAGCGCAAGAAGGAGTTGGATTCGGACGGTCAGAGATAAAGCCACAGCAGCCTACCGCTCGATTCGGGGCATGTTCGACGATGTAAAGCTGTAGGGGCGCTTCATCTGCTCCGTAATGCCGTCGTGGAACAGCTCGCCGCTCAGGGTGAGGTCGACGATGACCAGACGCACGAGCTCGCCCAAGTAGAGGCCTGAGATCATCTTTTCAAAGATTTGTCGCTTGGGATGATCCGACTGTCGGTCGAGTATGTGGTCATAGTCGGTCAAGGGAAGGACGTGTCCTTCGTTGTCAAAGTTGCCCCACTCCATGTTGATGAGCATGTTGGACGACCCTTCGGTACCGGGGCCCTCGAGCTTGCTGATCTCGGAGACCTGCTCGACATAGGCAGCGTTGGAGCCGGTGCCAAGGATGATGCTGACGCAAGTTCGGGGATCGATGCGCGCTTGAGCAACAAAGAGGGCGACGCAGTCGTTGACCAGGGCGGTGATCCGGACGTTCAGCCCCTGGAGACAGAAACGAGCCCGTGCATATGCGCCAACAGAGTCAGCTGTGTGCGTGGTGGCTTGGCTGGGATCGACATCGATGGCGATGCGCGCCAGATAAGCAAGCCACAGGGTATGTGACGCAGGGCGACTTGCCTTTCTGTGGAGAGCGGCCTGGAAGAGCTCCACGACATCCTCGCCTTCGACGTTGCTGGCGGTGAAGCCCTTGGTCCAATGGATGAGGCGTCCTGTGGGATGATGTTGGGGCGGGGGAATCGCAACGAAAGGCGGAAGAGTGGATCAGATCAGCCCATGCCTGTGCCGCCGCGCGTTGGGTCCAGAGCCGCCGAGATTGCGATTTAGATTGGATCTGATCATATGCGGGTGCATCTGCGATCTGGCTCGGACCTGTGCTTGGACCACAGGCCAGAAACAGTGGCATTGGGGCCATTTCCACAAACCAGCCCCCGAGCGCACGCTCCAGATGGCTTCGGTCCAAGCCAGGCGACGCACTCACCTCGATCAGTCGAGGTCTGCTGCGTCGGGAACGAAAAGGTGAAGCCCATCTTCATATCACCAAGGTCCTTGATTGAGTTTTCCTCGAAAAAGTTGAAGACGCAGTCGGCCAGGTGGTCGAACAGGGCGGTGCCGTTGCTTTTCTTGATCTCCTCGGAAACGATGTACTTCTTCTGGATGATGCGGGGCGGGGTGGTCGCGTCGCCGGCCAGATCAACCCGGCAGACTCTGAAGCCGCTGCCGCCGAGATCGGCTCCAAAGTAGACGCCGCTTTCTTTGCCGGATGGGCGCTTTGCAATGTGTGAGGGCAGCATCTTCAGGTCCTGTCCGTGGAGAGTAAGGCCCGCCTTCATTTCGCTGACGAAATGCCGGACGATCTTGGGCAACTTGCTGGAGGGAATCGTGAACGCCGCCTCGAGGCGTTCGAGGGTGCGGATCTCGACCTCGGATCGATCGTCAAACTCCAGGCGCGTGGGGCTTCCGACGGCACGAAGGGAGGCGGACTCATCGAATCCTCCCGAGAGGAGCTGCCGGGGAGTGAGGCGCACGGTGGTGATGTGCTTTGCGACCGACCATTGCACCAAGGCCGTTCCGCAGAGGCCCACCAGGAGACCGGCGGTAAAGACGAATCGGTGGTCGTGCAGCAAATCCGACATGGCGATGGATGCGAGAGAATGGGCTTTGGCAGAACCGCAAGGGCAGATAACGGCGGGCGAATGGGCAGGCAATCAACGAGAGCCAAGCCCGCGGGCGAGGGCGAGCAGCAGACCGAGGAGCTCCTCGGTTGCGGCGGTTCGATACGGGCAATCCAATAAAAAACGGGACACCCGGGATTTTGACCATTCATCGAATATTTTGTTACCCAATGTTATCGCGCGCTGGCCATGACCATTCGCCAGTGTGTCCAAGAGCACCATCCATCGATGGCACCGAGGATGCAAGCTGGATGACCCATCCCGGGTCCCAGCTCGCAGATCCACTATCTTCGAGCAGGCATGTCCAGTCATCCGCACCCTGATTGAACAGGACCCGTTCCAGACTGGTCCTGTGTTGCGATGCAAGCTCGAGTCCATCCTCCAGAGGAAAGTATCACTCTCACTCTGCCACACTGCCATCCACCGAGCAGGTCTCTCACACAAGAGGGCAACACACCTCTACAAGTCCAAGCGACTGGATGAGCGAGTGGCACAGTTCAGGGACCAGGTCCGTTCCATCGACCCACGACGATTCGTTTTTGTCGATGAGACGGGGATCAGGAGATCCATTTTCTCTCTTTACGGATACTCACCGAGGGGTGCTCCGCTTCGCCAGCGCAATCACATGAAGCACAAGTCTGTCTCGGCTGCATTTGCCATCAACCACTCTGGTGTGCTGCATCGCATGTACATCCCCACATCATTCAAGACACACTCGATGGTCGAGTTCTTTGAGCGAGCGAGCTTCCCAGACGACTCTGTGATTGTGATGGACAATGTCAGCATGCACAAGACAATGGCTGTCCTGGACTGCATTGAGCGCCGAGGTTTGTCAGTGATCTTCACCCCACCTGCCTCGCCCGACTACAATCCCATCGAGAACTTCTTTGGGATTGTGAAGCATCAGTACAGGAAGGCAGCAGCGCTGAATGCGTCCGAGGGGTTCAGAGTCGGAATGGTGACCCTGTTTGAGTCTGCCGTTCGGAGGGTGCTTCCAGATGTCTTCCCACGGCTGATTGAGCGAGCGATGCGCTTCTGGGGTTGAGTTCCCTCTCCAATCACGCCGCCATTTTCACGCTCACATCCCTGGCTTGAACCTCTCGGCGATTTTTGAACAGGGTCACTTCCCCAACCAGCCCGCAAAGACGGGCTCCTGCTCTTGGGTATAAATGCCACACCTTCGTCCTGCTGCTTTCTTCCCTCATCTCGCCTTGATCTGATCATCGCGCCATTGTACGATAAAAAAAGTCTCTGCTCTGACCAGTACCACTGGCAGACATCCAGCATTCTCTGCCCCCATGCCTCCGAAGCGCAAGGGTGCCGGTGATGGCCAGCCTCGGCCACCCAGGCCCAAGAAAGCCAAGTCACAGTCGGAGCCTGTCTCTGGTTCGTATTCTGACCCCACGCATGCTTGGTCGTCTGTTGCTCCATCGCTCACCACCACTGCTTCTGCAGATCCAATGGATGTCGATCCCACCGAGCCTGGTCCATCTACTTCCTCGAGTACCGGCAAGCGATGTCCCAAGTGCGATGGCACCGATCACGAACGTTGCAACACCAGCAAATGTCCCAAATACCGGCCCCTCAAGAGTTCTGTCGTCCCACTCGTGGATGGAAGGTCATCCGCCCCTCAGTTCAGCTGCTTCAAGCAGACGATGGATGGCTGTTGTCTCAATCCCGCTCTCCGCGACAAGATCCAGGCCACCGTCGAGGCCATGACCCAGATCCAGTTCGAGGCATCCAGGCTGCTCAACCTGCACATCCTGAGGTGCATCGAGCAGGATCTTCCCGTCCCCGTCATCTCCAAGTCCACCCCTGCATTCATCCGCCAATGCTTCACGATCGTCCAGGCCGATGCCCTCTCCCCGACCGGGGACAACGAGAAATACAACGAGCATCTGGTCGCTTCCTTTCGCGACTACCAGACCACTCGACATGCAGACCTGCCTCCGGCCCCTTGTCTGCCTGATGGTGCTCACAGTCAGCTTCTCACACTGGCTGTCAATGCCTATGCTACCAACTGCACCACCCACCTCGACCTGGCATACTGGCGACTCCTTCGCCGCTTCTGTGCTGCCGTCTTCCCAGCCAACAAGCATAAGCACGAAGCCATCGAGGCCTGTCTCGAGCTCTTCGAGAAACCAGGGCAGACTCCACCCAAGGCCGATCTCGAGTTCCTCTACCCCGACTTTGGTCACATCCTGGACGAGTTTCGGTACAGCAACGACCAGGACCGCTTCCGGACCCTCTACCGCCTCTCACACCATGTGAGAATCCTCGCCCGAGACAAGATGGTCGACAATGTCCACAAGTGGATCGACTGTGACATGCCCGCCCTCCGAGTCACCGAGCTGCAGCGCCAGGTCAAGCTAGACGAGCTCACTACCCAAGGCATTCCCTCCGACGACAAGAGGTTCACCAAGGCCAAGTCTGAGCTCGGCACCACCAAGTCCAAGATCAACAAGCTGGCATCCAGGCTCAAGTGGGCACTCAAGCAGCTCGCTCTCGACACTCCTCCAGCCGTGTGCACGATGGTTCCTCTGTGCACCACCAAGGCCAAGTATGTCAAGATCGACACGGTCACTCTCTGGGAGCTCCTTGGTCCAAAGAAACGCCTTGGACTCACCAGGGACATGCTCAAGGAACAAGGTGATGACGGCATCAACAACCAGGATCGTCTCTGGCGCAGTTGCTTCAAGCTGCGTAGTTCCCTCTTCCAAGAGCGGGTCAGGGACAAGAAGCTGTTCAACTACGAGATCAGCACCGATGGCATTGGATGCACCATCGGTCTCGTCAAGTTTCTGCCTCGAACCGATCACACCGAGACCATCGAGCCTCCTCCGACTGCCGAGCAGCGTATCCAGGCCCACATCGGTGACCCAGACCCCGATCGCACCACTTGGATTGGCATCGATCCTGGAGTCGGCTCCATCTTCACGGCGGTCATCCAAGCACCGGGTCACCAAGACGAGGTGGTCTCATTCTCCAATGGTCACTACCAGCACATGTGTGGCCATACGTCCAACACCAAGTGGCACAATATCATGAAGTATCGACTCGGCATCGAGACCTGGATGTCGACCACCCCCTCGCCCAAGGTGTCGTCCTCGGAGGCCTTCAAGGTTCATCTCACCCATGTCCTGCGACCGGAGCTGCGAGTGCAGCTCGACTTCCACCTTGGCAAGAAGTCTCGCCACCATCGATTCACGGGCCACAAGAGACGCCAAGTGGCCGTCGACAGGATGTACAAGGCCGTCCTGAAGCACGCCCCGATACGGACCGATGTGGTGATCGCCTTTGGCAATGCATCATGGCGACAGGGCAAGGGCTATGCATCCAGCCCTCGGAGGCAGCGATTTGCTCGGTACTTTGAGCAATTCGAGCACCACCGACGCCGTCCCAATCACCATCATGGAAGCGTCAAGGTGGCCTCGACGAACGAGTTCAACACCTCGCAAGTGTGCTCCAAGTGCCTGGAGCCAGTTCGGTTGGAAGGACTCGATGCGCCCAGTGTTGCGAATTCCCACTTTGTCAGGAGCTGCAAGAATCCCAGCTGCCAGACAGTGTGGAATCGCGACGTCAATGCGGCGCGCAACATGATCACAGTGTGCAAGTCGATTGTGGAGACCGGAGAGCGACCGGTGGTCTTCACTCGGAGGCTGCCAAAGTGATCTGTTTTATTTCTTGTGGCTTTGCTTGACGCAAGCACAGCACATACTACATGTTCATGGAAACGGCTATATTGTCCCGTTTTTTTCTGAATAAAGTGTACGGGACACTCCGATTTGAGCCAGGGCTGCTGTTGTTTGCTGGGAACTGAGTACACACTCACTCATTGCAATCATGTACAGGGAGACCGAGGCGGTGATTGCCTTTGGCGATGTCTCCTGGCAGCAAGGGAAGGGATATGCATCTGGCCCACGGAGACTCTGGTTCGCCAAGTACTTTGAGCAATTCACCCACCACCAGAGACGGCCATGTGTGCTCTGAAGGGCGAGGCTGCATGATTATCGAGTTAAGGGCGGATGAGACCAGAGGGCGGCCGCAATCTTCAGTCCGAGACAGTTCAAGTGACCTGTTGGACGCAGGCCATCACAAACCACCCACATACAATGGAAATGGGTGCTGTCTCGTTGCGTTCCGAGCAGGATGCAGTCCGGAGCATGGCGCTGTTGACTTGCTGGCTGGTCTTGGGCTTTTCGCCTCGCTGTGCTCGCACACTGGAACCGAATGCCACAAAGCACCCTGGCCGAACCCCAACGCACCCCGGCATACATTCAAAGCCCTCATCCTGGATCCTTGATTTGCGTGGTTGCGATGCGACGAGGTGGTGGTGGCTTGTGGCTCGCCAGGGGGTGGCATTCCTGCGGCCAGCCCTGCGGCCAGCCCTGTCCTGCAGAGCGCAGTATCATGGAGATTCGTGCAAATGCAGACGCAGATGCAGATGCAGAACGGCAGGCCCGATCTGCCCGTCGTTGGCGCCAGACCAACCGATGCGACGGCCGACGAGACATCGCACCACGCCCAACAGATCCAATACACCGCAGGCGCCCTGGCGTCGGCGCAGACGCCCGCCCGGCCGACGCGCGACGCCCGCCCCCAGGGCCCGGTGCGCCCGCGCGAGCCAGCCGCCAGAGCCGCCAGAGCCCATGCGTCGCGCGCCGCGGCTTGCCACAGTGCAGTACCAGCCCGCAACCTGCGTTCATGGCTCGTCGGTGCATGAGCGACCCACAGGCGTCTTTGCCGCTCGCTCTGCCTTGTTGCCAGCACACATGTCTCGCTGCGATTCATCGTCGGCTCGGTCAAGAGCGTTTAAATCGCTTGCATCCGCCTCTCGCCGAGTTTGCCCCGCTTGTCCCGCTTGCCTCTGGCCAACTCCATCGCCAACTCCATCGCCAGCTCCATCTTCTGTCCTGCTCTCTCGCAATGGAGCCCCAACCGCCGCCGTTCATCCCCGAACGCAAGGCATCAGCCCCCACCAGCCGCTCTGTCGAGCATTCTGCTGTCTATTCGCTCTTCTCGGCCTTCCGCGACCTGCTCTGCTGCGGCTACGGCGATCGCTACTACGAAATCGACGACACGGTGCACCGGGAAGACTCCAAGGAAAAAGACAGCGCCCGTTTCAGCGTCAGCAGCAAGGAGCGCCTGCTCTCCTGGCGACCCGACGGAACACCGTCCCTGGGGGCAATCCATCCCGCCGTCGTGTCCGAGTCGCAAATCGCGGCCATCATGTCCGTTGTCGAGCATCCATACACCTCCAGCACCAAAACCAAAACTGCCGACACCCGAGCCATCAAGGTCAGCAGTGCCCCCAAGCGCACCACCTCGACCCTCAACCGCCATGTTCCCAACCCCCAGGTGCAGAAGCTTAAGCCCTCTGCAAAGGCTGCTTCCAAAGCACTCGAGGCCAAGGCCGCTGCCGCGAATGCCCAGCTCATCGACATCAGCGTCCCGACCGAGCCGCGTGCTGCTACCCGGTCCAATGATGCTGTCGAGCCGAGCATCGCTGCTGAGCCTGCTCCGGCTCCTGCTCCGGCTCCTGCCCAGCCGCGAGCCAAGGACCAGTCGCTGGCCCAGGAGCTCACCCAGGCGCTGTCCAAGGATCAGCCGCCCGCCAAAGAGCCGGCCAAGAGCCCGTTTTCGGGTGTGGACTTGACTATCCAGAACTTGCCCGCTCGCATTGTTGTGCCTCCGCCGCCTCCCATGCCCACCATCAGGGAGTCGCCAAAGGAGGTCGATAACCCTTTTGAGGAGACGGTCGAAGCCTCGCCAAAGACTGTCATCCCTGCCGACTCCATCGTCATGACCGACATTCCCGGCACTAGCCAGCCCTTCCAGCCCCTCGTCGATGTCAGCTACAGCCGCTCGATCCTGCTGCCAAACGACGCCCCGGAAGACTACAAGCCCAACAAGCAGGTTCCAGTTGTCAAGCGCCCTGCCGTCAAGAACGCTGAGGCCAGTGTTGATGCCAAGCCCACTAAGCCCACTTCTGCCGCTCGCCCCTTCGGCGGCTCTCTTGTTCCGACTGGTGAGAACATTGCAATGCTACCATGACCTGTTGCCCTTCGATCAGAGCGCGTAACTGCCCAACTCACCCAGCAGATAACCACACACCCTGCTGCGGCTCATCGCCAGACAGAGGCCTGGACAGTCGACTAACTCTTGCATATTGCTCTCCCTCTCCGCTAGTACCTGTCCTGCCAGGTGACGAGCCAAAGGTGCGATTTCACACAATCCTTGTCTACACATCCAGTTGGATGTCACCGATACCGTCTCCGCTTCCACTCAGCTGTGATCATGCGATTCGGCTTTCGTGCTGTCGAGGCACAGTCTGTGGAAGCCACTTTCGCTCATATCGACTGCTGTCTCTGTCCACACAGGAACCCGAGGTCTCCAACGCCGATGATGACGACTTCAGCTATCCCAGCGCCGCAAACTTTGACAGCTATCCTGCGGACTCGCCTTCGTCGGGACCGACCAAGTTTGCATCGATGCCCCGATCAAGCTCGCGGCTGCCGCCCAAGCTCGACAAGCCGCTGCGACCCCAGTCTGTGTCGTCGCTTGCTGATATCAAGAACAGCAGCGTTAAGCGCGGCAGCACCTCCACCATTGACTCGATATATGGCAAGATGGTGGGTTTCGTATGACCATGACCATGGCAATCATCTGGACAAGACCGGGGCTTGTGATAAGATTTGAAGGAGAGTTCCTCTCTGCCCCAAAGAAAGTTGCTCACTCGTCTCTTTGGTCATGCCACTCGGCTCGCAGAATCTGAAGCTCAAGCTGATCACCAGCAACCGCACCCAGCTTGTCATGGTCTCCACCTCCATGGACCTGCCTGGAGTCATCTCCCGTATCCGCACCAAGATCCAGACGGATCTGACGTCCACCATCAGTCTCAAGTACCGCGTTGACGATCAGTTCGTGCCCATCAACAGCGACGAGGATCTGCGCAAGGCCTTCGCTGCCAGCGGCATCGAGTACGGCGCGGAGGAGGTTGATGCCACCGCCCGGCTAACTCTTTGGTGCGATTGAGCATGCCCGGTCTCGTCCGATCCACCGCACTCCATTTCCATCATTCGCCACCCTCTCCCCTGATATTTGTCGCCATATTTCCCCTCCTTGCTCCACGCGGCCTTGATGGCCTCACTCTCCTCGGTGCAGTAGCTTTTGGTAACAGGTCCCTGAAAACGCTAGTAGTTCTCGTTCATTATTTGTGTCGATAGTCCCCTCCCTTTCCAATCTCCGTTCCATATCCCTTGGCCCTCAATCCCCTCGATACAGCTCTGTCCTGTCAGTTTCGTCCCCCCTGGCACATGAACTGCCTCGGTTGGCGCTCTTGGCGCCAATTTGTTCTCCATAATCCGCTTGGCGGGAAACATCTGTCCATAAGCAAAACAGGTCTGGAGACGTTCCCGCCCCTGAGTGCCCAGCCGATTTCAGATGTATCCGTAAATACAGCATCACTCTTTTCGATTTCAGTCCAAAAAACCTGCTGCTCTATAGATCCAGTCCATAGAGGCGATCGCACCAGAACCGCCATGAACACGTCGGGAGCAGAGTATGTCGGCCGCGATGACGCCGTGGCGAGCGGGCCGGGTACTGCTTTCGTTCTCGCTGCCACTCCGAGGGCGCCGATACCTATGCGCGCAGATGAGTTGACTCGTGGTTGCCAATGCAGATCCGGAATCAGCGCCTTCGAGGCTGAAGCCATCATCGAGCGACTGGAAAGGTTTCAAGTCCGCGACGTTGGATCGCGCAGGTATGCTGCCGCCCATCCGCCCCAGCTGGCTTTTCTGCCTCGACGAATGAGATGACCAAGCGATCTCTCGTGGCTCCATCGTTCATACTCCCAGATGGATGGCCCAACATGAAATGACAGAGCGCCTCAATATCCAGGTGGGGAACATTGACGTCGCAGCAGCACGCAGGCGTCGCATTGGGCTTGACATCCGGGCTGGCCACCAGCGCCCGACTCACCACCAACGGCTGCAACGATCCAGGCACACATGAATGTGCATCATCAAAACGAAGAGTTTGTTACGGAAGCCTTGACCACCTTTGAGAAGGTTCGGAGCTTGCGAGCGACAGGGAGGATCCCGATATTGTCCCCGGCAATATGCACCACTGCGACCACCATCATCACTGGATGGGCTCTGTGACCATGATGCTCACCATGCATGCCTCCGATTGCGTTGTGCTCCAGCTGCCTCTGCTCATCCGCGACCTGCTCGTCATCGAGACCTGGAAGGGCAAAGTCTACCCGCTGGTGCTTCGGGAACTGGCCACCGATAGCGTCACGCTCTATTTCACTGTAAGTCAGATTGAGGTTCCGCTACGAGGAGCCAGCATACAGCCAGAGCTATTGTAGAGCTATTGTAGCACCTGTTCCTTTGCCAACGGGCGAGCTTCTTCCTGCCACTGGCTTTATCATTCAGCTCTACCACGAGGCAACTATCGTCAACCTCCTCGAGATCGTGCTGTTCTCCAGATCGGCGTGTCTTTCCGCCGGCGATGCCTTGCTGGATTTGGTGGACTACTGTGCTCGAAAAGTTGCCAAAGTCACTGCCTGGGAGGCTCCAAGCGATCCGCAGGCTCTCTCGGGCAAGCGGATTCTCGAAATGTCCGATGAGGAGGTGGGCACATCCACAGCAACAATGGTCAACCCGGCGTCCATGGGATCGGCGGCATTCTGGTTTGGAGCCATGCTTCTGTTGAGAGCGCTACTGACTCCTGCACATGCCACCACCGTCATTGCATGCAGCTGATGAGGGACAAGTTTGACGAAATGGAGTTTGCCATCTGCATCGGCGCCATCGGTATCATGCGATATCTGAGCGAGCACGCTGCCGAGCTGGACCTGTCGGTGGTCACTCGGATGCTCAACACACACGATATCCTTTTCCATGAGATTCACGGCGTTGGCTTCAGCGAGAGATTCGCGAATCCGTCGCAGGCTTGCGTAGCTCAAGGAGGGTGTTGGCTGGCTTTGCTATGCTTACCCTGGATCGAGCGCACGGCTGAGTGTCGGATCGGGGGACTTTGAACATTCACGTATTGGCCCTTGACTCGGCTCACCTGATGGATACATATGATCAGTGCGAGCGTTTATCTCATCGAACGGGCCCCTTGGTTCGAGCGCACAGACAAAAACAAGTTCCGTCGATACGAAGATGGTGCCTGGCGAGACATTCCGCGCGACGAACTGCCCAGGCTCGGCAAGGTCGAGGCCCAGGTACACCGACGGTCCGAGGTCGCCGCTGGTGCGACGATCTGGATATGCATATGCTTGCATGCGATGATATCGCTACGGATTGCCGACAAACGGCACAGGACAGAGCAGGACCAATAGTTCATATCTCGAGTAACTCATCGTCCTGCTGCAGGCTTGGCTCACGGTCTACAATCTCTGCCTCGAGCCCAAGTGCCGCGAAAGCTACGAGTACACAACCCAAAACCAAGACATCATCCTCAGGGTGCGTCTGCGCTGCTTGATGCAACGTGCAATGCCCGAGATGCGATCGACTGGCTGACCGACATGCTCCACAGCTCAAATCGTTCATCACCGAAATCATGGTGGATCAGCTGCCCGTGCTGGTCCATCTTCAACGATATCTCGAGGAGCTGACGATCCTGCAGCCACCCGAGCCTAAACATCGTCCAAACCGCTCGATTCTCGTGGAGCTGGTGAGTGCCATCACCGGAACCCCTGTTGTTTATCCATTACTTGTCTTTGGGCTTTGGGCTTGCTATTGTGCCGGCTGTGTCGACATTCTGCTGCGTACAACCAGTTACCAAACGCCTTGATTTGCCTCTCCTATGTCGCCGCAACACATACCGCGCGTTGAAGGTGCCCGAGATCCTGGACGAGATCACCAAAGACATCGATTGGGATGAAGTCGCCGAGTACCAGAAAACCACCGTCTTTCGCCAAACAGAGGAAGACAAGCGCGAAATGGCCAGGAGGCAAGTCCGTGCGCATCGCAGCAAGCGCATAGGTGTCGGCAGCATTGTTGCCCGAGACTATCGCCTGAGGGATTAGGCATACCAAGCCTCGAGTGTGGCAACAGTTTAGGTTCAGTCGTGAATCCTTATGCCGGCCACCGATCCACCGACAGACTCGCGGCTACATACGACCTTTCGGAGTACTCGGAGCTGCTTGATCCGCCAAAGTGCGGCAAGTGCGGAAAGGATGCATCCCAGCGCTGTTCAAGATGCAAGACCGAATGGTACTGCAGGTAGGTGGCACTGTGAGTCCAATCGATCGCAGCTGGTTAGCACAGAACACTCACGTCCAAATTCAATGCAGTCGTGCATGCCAAGTAAAGGCGTGGAAGACCCATAAGGGAGCATGCGACATGGTTGTCGGGTACACGGCGCTTTGAATCAGAGACGCCCCTCGAATTCTCAAGCCATGGCCAACTGCATATCCGAGGATTGGTCTGCCGTTGACCCGGGCTCGGCTCTTGATCTTGGAAACAATTGGCCGGCACGTCCTGGATTGGGATAATCGCCGACGACGGCGGAATAAAACAGCCGCGAACAACGCAGCGATTACCGCCGAGCGCTGCGTTACATGATACAAGCACCGCTTAACTCCAGTGCCATATGGGAGGGAGGGAGAGCATGCGGGTCTATTGATTGGGATTTATTGGTGGATTTGATGCACGATTGTGGCACCAGTAAAGATCAATAGCAGACAATCTTGAGCTTGGGGTGCTGCTCCTGCGACATCAGTGCCAGGACGCTCTTCAGGTCGGAGGTCAGCTCGGGGATATCGAAGATGTTCCGCTGTTTCTTGTCGACGTAGGAGGAATCGAGAACGACATAATCGGTCTTCTCAAGCTTGAACGAGTCTATGTCGTAGGCAGCATCGCAGTGCCAAACGGAGTGGAGACAGAATGGCGAGAACAGTACACGATGGTGAGAACAGCACATGGCGGCGAGGACCGCACAGGAGAGCAACCGAGCGAGGCACAGGTGTCCAGCAGCTTTGGTGCCGGCCCAGTCTGTACATCACCAACGGACGGCCCTTCGGGCTGCGATTAGGAGTCCAAGCGACCCGCCGTGCAAACACACCCCTGCCTCTGACATGGCAGGACTGAAGCACAACAACGGGCCACCATCATCGTGACAAGTATAGCAAGCAACCAGTGCATTGTCGCTCACCTTCGCCCTCGGGTCCCAGGAGCTTCAGGAACCGGTTTGGAGTGCCCACGGCGACGGGGAAGCGCTCGTCCTTGGAAAACTTGATCTGCTCTGCCAGTTTCATGTGGCGCGAGAAGAACTTGCCGAGCTTGCAGCTTGGGAACCCACCTTTGAGATGCTTCAGCACAACGACACATCGGTCGGCACTGGGACACAGGAACAGAACTCGCGGTGAACCCTTGGACCCTCTGAACTTCTCGTTGAAGGTGACGTGCCAAGAGTCATTAAACACTGCAGCGAGCCACGTCGGTGTCGGTGTGGATTTTGGTGTTGATGTCGATGTCGATGTCGGCGTCGATGGAGTATGTAAAGCCGTAAAGTCAGAAATGGAGTGTTGCCCACATCTGGCATGCTGATGCCCATCCGCTCTTTGTCTGCCGTCCATTCGCCTGTCTTCCACTGCAGGTTTCGTGACCAAGCGACTCGATCCAATCGACCGAGGAACTACCTACATAGCTTCAGGAAATCACACAGATTCGAGTCGTCGCGCGGCTTCTCAAACTCAACCGAGGTCACATTCACATCTGAGCCAAGGCAGAGTCAAATCGTCAACGCATTAGCGGTCACCCATCAGATGTGGAGGGCCGGGTATCTAGCCATGCGACACATGCTGTCTGTGCTGCACACGCCGTTGTCGGAAAGGAACTGGGCCTGTTTCTCTTCGGGTGCCGGTCGCTTGGATTTCTGGAGCCGAGAGAGTCAGTAGGTGAGCACCAACGACGCTCGATGCGATGCTTTCGGGACGTCCCGGGGCCGATGTGACAGCACAAACCTTCTTCTCCTTCAGCTTGTCGAGCTTCTTCTTTTTGGCCTCCCGCTTCAGCGAACTGGACTCGCCGTCGCTTGCAACCTCAAAGTCATCGAGAGCGTCGGCGCTGTGCCGCGGGGTCTCTGCGGTTGCAGTCGCCGCGGACTTGCTCGACCTTTTCTTGGGCTCTTTGATGGGCCGCGAGCCAGCAGGCAGAGCGACTGCTGCGGCCGATGTTGCGGCTGCAGCGGTAGCGGGGGTCTTCCGTGGCAGCTCGTCGTCGACACCACTTTGGTCGATCTGGCTGGTGTCGACTTGCTCGAACTCGACGTCAGCGTCGGAGGGCTCGGCGTCATCGACGTCAAAGTCGTTGGCGATTTCAAAGTCGTCCAGGGCGTCTGCGCTCATTGTGAGTCGGTGGCCGGAGACCGATGTGTGCTGGGGCTGGGGCTGGAGCAGATCGATCAGCACAGGATGGCGCTGGATCGGCGAAATCGCCAGAGCCAAAAAGAAAAATGCGCAGCATCGGAGCTCGGTGCCCAAACCGGGGCGGCTCGGGGCCGCGGACATCGCTCTGGCTGCCGGCTGGCTCCTGCGGGCTCCTGCGGGATCCTGCCGGCCAAGGAACACACCGGCTCAGCGCAGGCCTGCAGATCCACCAGCCGCGACCGTCTCTGGTTGCCCGCATGTCCCTGCTGCTCTGCAGCCTTGGCCTTCCATGTCCAAGGTTGCTCCCCAGCACATCCCGCGACGAATCGCAGCCCCAACCAGGGCGGCTGGGGACGTCACGGGCCGCTGCTGCGATTGGCTGGGCGCGCCGGCTCGACTCACAGCCCGTCACGCCTGGCCAATCGCGTGCGCGCTCGTGACCGCCTTCCGGAACACAGAGCTGCCACAGCCAGACCGTGGCTGGCCGCGCCGTCCCAGCCGAGCGCTTTTTGCGGGGGCTGCCCGAGCGCTTCTTGGCTCGCTCCAACACCGTCGTTTCCCAGCCGGTGCCGCCCCACCACTTTCCGCACCCCGTCCCATCCCAAAGCCGCCTCCGTGCCCCCTCTGCATCTCCATCTACTGGCCGCAATGTCGGCCTCAACGGTGAAACTCAGTGTCGAGGGCATGACCTGCCAGGTGGGTGCTGCTCGGCCCAGAGAGCCAGGCGGGCGAGAGAGACAGGGGAGCGCCTCTCCGCTCCCCAACCCAGGCACTTGCTCGTGGCTACACAGCCAGCTTGGACATCATGGACCGCCTACTGCATAGGCACCATGCGATCGGCTAACCTCTGCATATTACTGGGCTGTGCTGACCACGGCGCCGTGCGACGACCGGTGTCTCAGTCCTGCGTCAAGTCCGTGACCGGGACGCTGCTGGCCATCGACGGCGTGGCTGCGGCCAAGGTCGACCTCGACTCGCACTCGGCAACCGTCACCCTCGACGGTAGCAAGGTCCAAGATTCCAACGCATTCACCAACCAGCTCATCGATGCCGTCAACGACAGCGGATTTATAGCCTCCCGTCCGCAGTCAGGGCAGCCACTCGACCCTCAGACCGCCGAGGTGGTGGTCGCCATCGAGGGCATGACCTGCCAGGTGCGTTTTGCGATCCTGGGGCAGTGGAGAGTGGCTGCGGCCTCCCCGAGAGCCATGTTGGCCTGATGGCAGGCGTTTGGACGTCGGAAGAGTCTATCTGGGTCGGCTGCATCAACAGAGCCCGACTCCAGGCCCTCGCCAACGTCGGCGGCATCGGCGGTTCGCAGCCTTTCTGGAAGGCAGCTCGGGCTCCTGTTGCGACTATACTCCCCTGACCTATCTGTTTGCCAAATCTCACTCCCGCCACAACGCAGTCGTGCGTCAAAACGATCACATCCATTCTGCTCGCAAAGCCCGAAATCCAAAGCGCCGATATTGACCTGGCATCCGAGCGCGGCCGCATCAAGTATATGCCGGATGTATGCTCGCCCGAAGACATTGTCGATGCTATCGAGTCGTGTGGGTTTGACGCCCGCCTGGTCAACGACTCAGGTCACACCCCTGCAGCGGCCTCGCAGGCAACCATCGCAGCCGAGATATCGGTTGAGGGAATGACATGCCAGGTACAGTATCGACATCCGAGACAGCGCCGACCCATTTTGCGAGGGCCGATTGCGCCCAGTGCCCGTAATAATCGGACTGGTGCGCATATAGTGGGACTGGTGCGCATAGTGCGACTGATGCACATATAGTGGCCCAGTGCTGACAGCATCCTACCTCTTTGCCTATCCACGTCCTTGGCGCTGCTCCGATCTCGCTCTCTGCGTGATGTGCCGGGTCCTTACCGTTGTTGGTTGACCTCGATTTGTAGTCGTGCGTCCAAACCATCACCGCAGTGGTGTCCCAGATCCCGGGCGTGCAGACAGTCATCGTCTCGCTCGAGAACAACCTCGCCTCGGTGACACTTGACTCTTCCTTGACTAGTGCCCAGGCCGTCATCGATGCGATCGAGGACTGTGGCTTTGAGGCCAAGCCCAAGGAGACTGGGGCACCAACACAGACGACCCCAAAGCCAGCCCCTGCCGTCCGGCATGCACCGAGCTCCTCGACTCTCCACGAATCCTTTGTCATCGACATGTCCAATGCCAAGGCCAACGAGGAGCTGGTCAACCTCCAGGTGCGCGGCATGACCTGCGCCAGCTGCGTCATGCGCATCGAGGACCACCTCAAGCTACTCCCCGGCATCATCGAGTGCCGAGTTGCGCTGCTCTCGGAGCGCGCACAGGTGAAATTCGACACCAGTCTTGCCACTGCATCGGTGGTCGAGGACGCGATCAATGAAATCGGCTTCGAGGCGACGATCATTGTCCAAAACGCGGCCGGAAGCGTGGACCTGCGCATCCTTGGAATGACATGCGCCAGCTGCTCCGGAAAGATTGAGCGGGAAATCTCAAAGCTGCCGGGCATCAAGTCTATAGCAGTCAATCTCCTGGGCCAGAGCGGCCACGTCGAGTTTGACAAGAGTGTCGTTGGCGTGCGCACCATTGCCGAGAAGATCGAGGAGCTCGGTTTCAGCGTCCTCACGGCGGACTTTGAGACCAATGCGCAGATCGAGTCCCTGGAGCGCACCCAGGAAATCCAAGAATGGCGGAGAGCCTTCTGGCGGTCCTGTGCCTTTGCCCTCCCGGTCTCCATCATCTCGATGGTGCTGCCCAGGGTCACGCCGGAGATTATCAAGTATCCCATCCTCGGCTGCAGCGCAGGCAACCTGGTGATGCTGATCCTCACCATCCCGGTGCAGTTTGGCATTGGCCAGCGATTCTACCGGGCGGCCTACAAGGCCGTCTCCCACAATACCTACACCATGGATGTGCTCATTACCCTGGGCACCTCGATCGCCTTTGCGTATTCCGCGCTGTCCATGTTCTTTGGGGCACTGCGGAACACGCCTGACGAGCCCGTGTTTTTCGAAACGTCGACGACCCTGATCACCTTTATTTTGCTGGGCCGGTACCTCGAAAATCTGGCCAAAGGCCGGACCTCCAGCGCCCTCAGCAAGCTCATGTCGCTCACGCCGCGCAATGCTCTCCTCCTCGCCCAGGATAGCAAGACCGGCGTTTGGTCTGAGCGAGAGATTCCAAACGAGTACATCCAAGTCGGCGACACGCTCAAGGTCCTCCCGGGCGAGCGCATCCCCACCGACGGCACGATCGAGTTTGGACAGTCGAGCGTCGACGAGTCGCTGATTACGGGCGAGCCCGTTCCGATCCGAAAGAAGATCGGCGACAGTGTCATCGGCGGCACGGTCAATGGAATGGGCCTGCTTCACATCCGAGCAACCCGTGTTGGGTCCGACACGGCTCTGTCGCAGATCATCAAGCTGGTCAACCAGGCCCAGACCTCCAAGGCCCCGATCCAAAACATTGCCGACCAGGTGGCGGGCTACTTTGTGCCTGTCGTCATCGGCCTCGGCGTGGTGACGCTCGTGTTCTGGTACATGTGCATGAGCATGATGCACTGGGTCCCCGGAGCCTTCCCGCTGAACTCGTCACCGATGGTGATTGCCTTGAACCTGTCGATTTCGGTGATCGTAGTGGCCTGCCCGTGTGCCCTGGGATTGGCCACCCCTACGGCCGTCATGGTCGGAACGGGCGTGGGTGCGCACCACGGCATCCTGATCAAGGGCGGCGGGCCTCTGGAAGTCACTCACCGAGTGACCAAGATCATCTTCGACAAGACGGGCACACTGACCTGGGGCAAGCTCTGTGTTGTGGCCCACCGTATCTTCATGTCGACCCAGGACGACAAGTCCAAGTTCATGGGCGATCCGCGGTTCTTTGGCATCATTGGAGCAGCCGAGTCCGGCAGCGAGCACCCCGTGGGCAAGTCGATCGCTCAGCATGGCAAGGAGTATCTGCACATCACCAACTATCAAAACAGCCACGAAATCGAAGACGTGGAGGCCGTGCCTGGCCTCGGCATCCAGTGCACTGTCAAGGTCAAGGGCACGGTCGAGGAGCGTGTCCGCGTCCGGATCGGCAACGAGGCCTTCATGCGCCAATCCGGAATCACCATGGTTCCGGAGAGCATTGAGAGCATGGAGTACCACGAAGGCATGGGCCGGACGGTCGTCTTTGTGTCGTTCGACGACCGGCTGACGGGTCTCGTGGCGCTCTCGGATGCAGTCCGCCCCGAGGCCATCACGGCGGTCAAGGCGCTGCAGAAGATGGGGATCCAGGTGGCCATGGTAACGGGCGACCAGGCCTTGACGGCCAACGTCATTGCGCGCGAATGCGGCATCACCGAGGTCCACGCGGGCATCTCCCCAGCTGGCAAGAAGAACATTGTCGAGAAGTTCCAGACACAGGACGGGTTTGTCGTCGCCATGGTTGGCGACGGTGTGAATGACTCTGCAAGTTTGGCCCAGGCCGACCTCGGCATTGCCGTCTATGGCGGAACAGATGTGGCTCTGGAGGCCGCCAGCATTGTGCTGATGCGCCCGGACCTGACAGATGTTGTGACGGCCCTGGACCTGGGCCGGGTCATCTTCAAGCGCATCAAGGTTAACTTTTTGTGGGCAACGATCTAGTGAGTATCAGCCCAGCACAGAAATACGCCGATGCTGGTGGGTGCGCCCAGGAGTATCTCTAGCAGTGCGAGGCGCCGTACGCAACCGTTCTAACTGCAGCGCTATTGCTTCTAGCAACATCCTGATGATCCCCTGGGCTATGGGCGTAACCCTCCCCTTCCGTAAGTAGCTCAGCTGCAGCTGTCGCCCCTGGTTTCTCTGTCCGATACTCAAGGATGGTAGCTTGAATTACGGCTGGAGGCCCAGCTGGATCGCATAACGGAGCAAATCGTGGCTGGCTGCTGACTCGCCTTCTCGCTTCGCTTGCTACTTTTGATTCGCAGACGGGCCCCCGCTGCACCCGATGGTCGCGGGCATGGCCATGTCGCTGTCGTCGGTGAGCGTCGTGATCTCGTCGCTGCTGCTGAAGCGATACCGCCGACCACGATTCGACCGCGAGGGCAACGTTGTCTCGCACGACGAGCCCATCGAGGAAGAAGATGAAGAAATCATGACCCTGAACAGCGCCTTTGGTGACGGTGAGGAAGATGGCCTCGACGATGACGACGACGACGACGAGAACCAGCTGATTCCAGGAGGCATTCCCATGGTGCCAACCAAGCCCGTCCTGGTGCCTCAAGACGACATGCCGGCTCGACGCCGCACCAAGCCCTCGGGCCGCAGCAACCAGCACCAAGGCGGATGGAGGAACCTGAGCTGGATCAGCCGCGCAAGGGGCTGGCTGCAGGGCAACAGATATGGCAAGCTTGCAAATGTGGAGCAATAATCGGTGCAGCTCCTTCTATCGTTTCTCCCTCTCTTCCCCTTTCCTCTTCATGTGCTTGTGCCGTCGTCGGCTTATTGTCGGTGCGATTGATCCTCAAAGAGGCAAATGCCAGCCTTGCATGGCCCTTGCGCGAACCACAAGACACCCTGGTGTCTGGAGCCATCGCAGCGACAATTCAGCAGTAATCATTACAAGACCACCCCGCTGCTGCCACCTATCGTCGGTGGTAATATCTGTCTTGGGAAGCACGGGTCTTGAATACACGTGGTCGATTTCCGCGAACGATGACGCTGCGATTCTCGGGGTGAGGATTTGGAGCGGCGCAAGGACGGGCCGACAAGGCATTTCGAAGGTGTGACCTAGATTTTATTCGATGAGGTAGACTTGCGGATGACAGAAGAGCAGGCGTGGATGCGATCGATTGTATGGAGCTTGAAAGAAACATGGACAGAGTAACAAAGAATGTGAAAGAAAGTCGTCGATCGCGACTGCAACGGTAGCAGCGGCAGACATGACAGTGATAGCGACATCGATGGGGGGAGACAGTTGCGACACGGGAGACTGTCCCGACAGATGTGGTCGCTTCTCACGACGTGCTTGTGCGAAGGCGATGAGGCACTCGGGACCGCGATGGAGAGGAAACAGATGTGTGTTGAGGGAGAGAAAGAGAGAGGGACAGCAGCCGAGGCAGATCATTTATTGCGAGCGGCCTTGGCGATGCGGGTGCTGGTCCTGGACAGGGCCACGAGCAACGCCAGCATTGCCAGAAGCAGTATCAGAAGAAACCCGATTGAGAGCTTCAGCAGCATCGACAAGGCCGAGGCTTCGACCCAGAAGGACCACAGGAGGAACGACAGCGGTGGGATCCGATTCAACTGAGACAGATTGCTGCTGCTGGCGAGCACCCAGGCTCGCTCGGCGAAATCAAACACATAGGAACGGAAACTCGGCACCCGGTAGGCCGGATACTCTTGGACGAGAGCACCGTGGTAGTTGCGGGGCCGGAAGGTCGCAAAGCCCTCAAAGTGAGTGGGAACCAGCGGGAAGAGATCGGCGGCTCGGTACTGCCACGGAGACTTGCACTGCCAGACGACGGCCGATGATCCAAAGGGTCCTTGCGGTGAGGGATGGACGGGGGCCAGCCCAGTGATGTCCATGAAATAGCCGGTACGGGTGTCGATAACGCGGGCGTCGATGACATTGGGGTTGCCAGGGTATGTGGTTCGGTCGTGGAAGTGCGGATTGACGTCGAGCAGGATGAAGGGGGCGATCATGGTCATGTTGAAGGGCACCAGGCGCACCAGCTCGGAGGCCTTCATCTGGATGTCGATGTCGTCGTCAAAGGGCATGATTTTCTGGCCCCAAAACCAGCCGAGCAGAGAGCCGTGGGCAACCCAGTGCTCGATCTGGTGCTGCTGGGCAAAGCGGGACCAGGCCTCGAAGACGGCGTGGAGGCTGGAGAGGCAGTGGCGGCGGATCAGCTCCTCGCTTCCGTTGAAGGACTCTTCGACGTCCTGGGCATAGCGCCGATCGGCATGAAACCGATCGCTGGATTCGTGGAAATACTTGGGCTCTGGGATGGGGGGCGCCGGCCGCAGCAGAGACGAATCGAGCGGGAGAGCATCCCCGACGAAGCGACCCCGCAGCGACCGCAGCGCAACGAAGAGGAGCAGCGTGGCCGGGACAAGCACACAGGCCAGGAAAACGAGCCTGGACCGGGCACGGGGGAAGACCATGGACCACAGATGCTATTGGGTGACGAGGCGAGGTGGTGTGTTCAGCACGGGCACTCTTCCATGATCGAGCGGATAAACGTGCAGCCCTGAAAAAGCGAAGGAATCGGCAGGTCGGCGGGGGACCGAGGGAATATATGGGGGTGGCAAGCCGATCAGGGAGCGAACGGTGGAAGCAGCGAAGCGTTCGGCTGGGAGGGAGCTGGAAGCAAGCAGCCAGGGACGACGGATAGTGCCCTGGGTGTACCGAGCAAGCAGGGCAAGGACCAGAGCAAGACTGGGTTGCACCCTTGTGCCTGTGGATGCAGGGATTGGCCAAGGGCCAAGGGAGGAGCCACGACGGCCGGGGGCGTGTATGTGCGCACACGGCCGCGTGTTGTTTGAGGGCGTGTGGCTGGGCGAATGCTGCGGGATCGATGCGAGGGATGAAATGCGAGGGATGCGATGTGAGGGATGCGATGTGAGGGATGCGATGTGATGCGATGCGAGGGATGCGATGCGAGGGATTGGATGCGAAACATCCAGAGGGAGTGCAATCGATGGACATGTTCCGGCTGGAATGGACGGGTCTTGTCCACCCCGAGCAAACAAAAGCATGCAATGACAAGCAACCACAAGCAACGACAAGCAACGACAAGCAACCACAAGCAACCACAGGCAACGGGTTGCTGTGCAGCTTGGCAAGGCCGGTATCGCCCAAAAGAGCGTGCGCAGCAGCCAAATTGCGCGCCACACGGGCTGCCGTTTGCGGAAGGCGCCTGCAAGGAAAAGCGGAAAGGGCGGGGTCACGGTCTGGCCGGATTGGGCGAGCGGCGGCTGGGTGGGCCCTGTGGCAACGCCATTCCCGAGAGGGACAGGCCGTTTGGCCGCGGAATTCTCGGCTGGCGACAGAACGAAAGGGACAGCATGTGCCTGGGTTGTCACTTCCATCAGTCGTTGCCTGTTGGTTTCGGGGAGCACGGTCCTGAATACACCCAGTCAGTCTCCTGTGGCGACAATCGGCCAGCATCGATGGGGTGCATGGGATCCAGAAAGTGACAACTCTGGCTGGGAATAGGGTGTCCCGTTTCGTTTTAGGTTGGCTGCTCGCCGAGCCAGTCGGCCCCCTCGATGAGATCGGCGATTGTCGACGTGCATGAGCAGGCATCGGGCAGGCATTGGGCAGGCATGCACCAGCACCCACTGGGATCCATGGTCGTGCGGGCGGAGCCGTCGGGACCTGGTCTTGGCCGCTGCGGCCCTCTGCGATCGGCAGAACAAGTGCATCGGCCATGCGTATCCATCAACCGATGTGCATCCTGGATGGATACATATTTCTCTTCAGACTCATATTCTTCTTCAGCCTCATCTTCTTCATCAGACTCATATTCTTCTTCCCTTTCGATGTATACTCCCCTTTCGATGCATACTCCCCTTTCGATGCACATCTTTCTATCCATCCGTCCACCAGCACCCACTGAGCTGATGGCGCTTCGGGAGCATCGAGCACCGCCCTCTGCTTGATGCACCTCTCGTCCGTCTCAGCTTCCGCCCCCACGTCCGTCTTCATCCACCCCCCCCGGTTCGAAGATGAACCCACCCTGCGTGCGTGCGTCCATGCTTGCACTGCTCCTCCTCCGCCGCCGCAGGAATCTTTCGTCTTGCCTGGTCCGTTGTCGCCCTTGGCCAGCCCGTATCTGCGACCGCTCAAACCATCAAATCATCCATGGTCTCCCCAACGACTCTCGCCTTCCACCCACAGGCCTGCCCCCAACAGCCCGCCGTGCCTCCCCATTGGCTGTGTGCGTGTTGTTGGCCAGCAGAACCGGCCGTCGGCAGCCAAGCCCTGCGGCGGACTCTGGCTCACGCGACCCTCCCCATCACCGACGCAAGCGCAGCCCATGGCCGCTCTTATCGCCGAGACATGCACTGCCAGCCCCACCCCGCTGGCTCGCCGCAGCTCCGCCCACCCCCCAGCGCTATAAAACCCGCAAGCCGACCCCCCTTGCTGTTCGCCTGCATCTCTCCCGAACAGCCTTTCGCGATCTGCATCCCCTGCAGCCCGACCGTGCCGGCATTAGTATCCCCACTTCCCTGCCCAATAAATACCGCTGTCTGCCGCTGAGTAGCCTCCTCATCCTCATGGATATCAACCCCCCCGTTGTCCAGCCCGCAAATCTGCGGCGCTACTCCGAAACCCAAACCGTCGTCACCATCAACCCCAAGCCACGCAGCCTCAAGGAACTCTTCTTGAAGCAGCAGAACAGAGAGAGGCATCCGTCCCATAAAAATATCCAGAAAGAGCTGGAACTCGAGTATCTCGATGAAGATCACACTGTCGCCCATGGCGTCCACAGGAGATCGCTGAGACGCAGTCGCTCAACGGTACAGTCTCGCTTTTCATCCTTTTTCATCGTGCTGGTTCGGATGGGCCGTCCGTCTGGGTGCGATCTGGCTGGGGGCTCCGCTATCCTGATTTTGCCTCGGAGCCGCCCCTGGTGGTCGGGCCACCGATTATTACCAATCGCTCTCAAGCGAGTCGTATTGGGTAAACTGACGCAGCCATATCGCTCTGTTATCGCCGCTGTTCCTGCTGTCAGTCCTGTTTGCTGACATCAGGTGCCAAGACTGCAACCAATCTGCCGCCCGAGGACACCATCATGCGCCGACGCCGCGGATCCCTCGACGACAGAACCCCTGGAAAGCCCCGCAAACTTCTCGTTGATGTCGAGGAGACCCAAAGTGCGTGCCCTTGCGGTGCTCCCGCAGTATACTCTCCGCACACTACTCTGTCCCGCCTCGCTCTCTTTCGCCTCTGCACACCCATCCATTCGCTCGCTCATTCACCCGTCTCTCGGTCACATCGACCGTCCACCACCGGTCCTGCGCAACGGGATCGATTCGTTTACTCACCTCGTCTCCTCGACAAACCACGTATTCTAGGACTGATCCTCCACCAGGAAGACACCGATGGAGATTTCCAGATCACCGTCTTCGACAAGGGTCCCAAGAGCTTCCCGGTCGGAACAGCCAACTCGAATGGCTTCAAGAAATACGAGATCCGCGGCACCTATATGCTGTCGAATCTGCTCCAGGAGCTTGCCATTGCCGCCGATTACGGCCGCAGACTCATCGTCATCAACGAGGACCGCCTGAGCGAGAACCCTGTCGATCGACTTAGCCGCCTTATCAAGTACCATTTTTGGGACAGTTTGACCCGCCGCATCGATGCCGATGGTATAGTATCTCGACTAGTTTGCTTTCCGGCCCTTTTGGTCTTTGGGCTGCGCAACACCAGTTGCCATCATGACCCATATAACCCGTGCCAATTTCAGCGCACAGACTCATGTGTCGCGAGTCATGGCCAACATGCGACCTCCTGAATAACCACGGGTCGATGTGCCATGCTCTATTCAAAGGTCTAGAGGCAATCTGTGCCGACTCCAAGAACCGCGGACCTGACCAACGCAACCGTGTCTTTGTCCCGTATCACGACCAACTTGCCTTGGAGTACTACGCTCAGGTTGCCAAGGACCGCCCCCACTTGCGCTTGGATGTGGTTCGTCTCCCTGAGATCATCACACCTCAATACGTCAAGACCCTCAACCACCACCCCGGTATTCTCTCGCTTGGTCTGCGCGAAACAACCGACCACGCCACACATAAGAAGACCATCCGTGGAACCCCTTTTGTCGTGCCCGGTGGCCGCTTCAACGAGATGTACGGCTGGGACAGCTACTTTGAGGCCCTGGGCCTACTCGTCGACGGCCGTACTGAGCTGGCCCGCGGCATGGTCGAGAACTTTTGCTACGAGATCGAGCACTACGGCAAGATCCTCAACGCCAACCGCTCCTACTATCTGACGAGATCACAGCCACCGTTCTTGACGGACATGATCATCCAGGTCTATGCCGCCCTCAGCAACAAACCCGAGTGGGGCCCCGCTCGCCGGCAGTCTTGGATGCACAACGGTATCCGCGCCAGTATCAAGGAGCTCTTCAGTGTGTGGCTGGCTCCTCCGCGTCTGGACGAAGCTACCGGTCTGGTCAAGTACCACCCCGAGGGTATCGGCATGCCCCCCGAGACAGAGAGCTCGCACTTTGATCACATCCTTGCGCCGTACTGCAAGAAGCACGGACTGGATCCAGACGTTCCCGAAGACATGGAGCACATCAAGCGAATGTACTCTTCGGGCCACATCAAGGAGCCCGAACTGGACGAGTACTTTATCCATGATCGCGCAGGCAAGTGTTTGCCCGCAGGTCGTTGGGCTTGGATCACGGGCGGCTGCCGCGATCATCATCAAATCTCGACGACAAAGTGCGTTCATAGTATTGACCAACAGCTTCTCTGGGCCGCCCATGAATACAGTTCGAGAAAGCGGCCATGATACCACGTACCGCTTCGAAGGCCGGTGTGCAAGTCTGGCAACCATCGACTTGAACAGCTTGTTGTACAAATACGAGACAGATCTCTACGACCTGATCGCCAAGCATTGTGGTGGAAGGTTCGTTGTGGACTGCCAATGTCGCTCACTCGCCTTATGCTGCCCGCTACAACGGTCAAAGATCACCTCAGTGTACTTACCAAACGGCAATGTTTGCCTTGTTCCCACGCTGCATATGTCCCATGTCCCCAATCCCCAATCCCCACGATTGCGGACTCTGGCGTTTCAACCATTGCAAACACACGCATCCCGGTCTTAGCTTCACGGTGAAGGTCCGTCGCGGGCCCGAGGATGCTTACTTGAACGGGCTCAAGGTCTGGGTCATGCTCCTCAAGACTGAGGGAATCGACAGCATGCTCGGTGGCGACGAGGGCAATGTCTGGAACACACGGTGGGCCAAGGGCATCATGGTCTATGACAATGATGAGTCCTCCTCGTCCACACCCACGTCCACACCCACGTCTACGACGAACGGGAGCCGTTCGGCCGGCGTCAAGCACAAGCCCTCATTTGGCGACAGATTCACCGAGATCAATTCATTCACCCCAAAGATCAAGACGATCAAGGGGGCCGACTATGTCGAATTGACGATCCCGGCGCAGCTCTTCCGACAGCTTGCCCAGCGAACGCAGCACCAGGTGCACAAGTACCTTTGGAACCCAAAAGAGAAGATGTTCTTTGACTGGGACTGCAAGCGCGGCGAGCAGTCCACCTACGAGACATGCACGACCCTCTGGGCTCTGTGGTCGGGTCTGGCCACCGCCCAGCAGGCCAAGCAGATGGTTCCTGTGGCCCTGAGCCACTTTGAAGTGACCGGTGGCCTAGTGTCGGGCACGGAACTATCGCGGGGTGCGATTGGACTGTCCCGACCAAACCGCCAGTGGGACTTTCCCTTTGGCTGGGCTCCCCACCAGATGATCGCCTGGGAGGGCCTCAAGAACTATGGCTTCATGCCGGAGGCACGACGGATTGCCTACCGCTGGCTGTATACGATCACCAAGAGTTTTGTCGACTTTAACGGCGTTGTCCCGGAGAAGTTTGACATTGTCAACATGACCCACAAAGTCAACGTCGAATACGGCAACGTCGGCGCGGACTTCAAGTTTGTGGTTCGTGAGGGATTTGGGTGGATGAATGCCAGCTACCAGGTAAGCACTCGATCTCAACTCTGCCAAAGCACACGATAGAGCGCGGTTGTGATATGGATGTGCACTAATCACCGAACCGGCAATGATCATTGCCTCCTCTGATCAACTGACAATCAGGTTGGGCAAACGTACCTCACCAAGAACATGAGGCGTGCCCTCGGAGCACTGATACCACCTCAGGAGCTGTTTGACCGCTCCGGAGAGGCAGTCAAGTCTCATCCCAGCGTCTGTACGTATGCCCTGCGGTGCAAGAGCCGTAATCTCCTGTGAATACCAGTCGTAGACTTGCGGCGTAGCTCGCCCAAATCTGGGCTGCATGCAAACTCTGTGCCAGTACTGACTCTGTCGTCCCCCCATTATGTCGCCTGACGCCGTAACCCGACATGTTCCAGGGAAGCAAAGGAACTCCTTCGACAGCCTCGAGAGGGTCCTCAGCCACTACCAAGAGCCCACTTCCAACAACAACTGCGTGCTCCAGTAGTCCCAAGCTGGTCCGACTTGCTTGTGCAGAGCGGGAGGAGTGCAGGACAAGCAGCACCACGATGGAGCCAAATGGCTGCGCGAGTACAGGAGCAAGAGTGAGGGATATTACGATGCAGTATTTATCCAGTGCCTATATATGTATACAGTCATTCCAGAGATAAACGGGGCAGTGTCCCTCTTTCTCTGACACGGGAGGCCTGAAGCTTGCTGAGCTTCCGCAGGACCCAGTGCGGGCAGACCGTGGGAATGTGCTCCGGTCTCCGTTGGTTTGAGAATACATCTTAGTCGATCCCCTATCATCGCGGTGTGGAAGTGTAGTGGACGCATTCGACCATCCGGACAGGTCGGTGAATCTTAAAGACTCATCCCCCCAAACTCCTCCATCAGCATCTCGGCCGACTCGCCGTCGTCCGACGGAGCCTGGATGCTCCCGGCTTGCGCTCGCTTGGCCGCCTCGCGCTCTCGGCGCAGCTGTTCCTTTTCTTGATCCGTCTTCCGCAGTACCAAAGCAACGGCGGACACCTCGGCGTCGATGCGCTCCAGGATCAGACGATGATAGTCGTCGGGCGACTGGCATTCTGGGGCGCTCTCGTCGATGCCAAAGGTGCGCTTGCGCCCGATGATCGCCACGTTCTTGGTGCTGGGGATACGCAAGTGCTCCTTCTCGGGGATGTACCCGCACACCCGCTCGCAAAAGTCGACGACATGCTCGAGATAGCTATGGTAGCGGCCTTTGGAGATGTCGGTGTGGGTGAAGCGGATGCCCGAGAGCTCGTGGAAGCAGCATGGAATGATCACGAATCTAGTCCCCCGTCCAGGGAGTGGTAATGGAACGGGAGGTAATGACGGAGCGCGGGGATGGGATGGGACGTGGTGGTTGGTTCAGTTCATGATGCCTCCAAGTCCGGGGACGAGAGGCTCATGCAATAAGGTCATCGCTGAGTGGGAGCAGCGCTTACCTTGTGTCATATCCCGACCGTGCAGCAAAGATGGGAATCCAGAGCGTCAGCTCATCTTCGTGCATCGACCAGCACCGGCGGATGCCATTACATTAGTGGCGGTGGTGATCCAGAGATGGATTAGAACAGCAGCACTGATGTGTTTGGAATATAGACAGAAGCCGGGCCACTGCCGGCAGCATCCGGAGCCACAGCAAGTACTCCTGAGAGCTCCCACAACGAGCTCGCCTATGCCGGCGCCCGCTCGTACCTGGGTGATTTCCGATGATCCAGTCGACGCCTGGATAGGTCGTTTCTTTCGGGTGGATGACCTGGGCCGTCAGCTTCGTCTTGGCATCAAACATCTTCCAGAGCTTGCGGGAAGCCATATCGATGCCGTGCCCGGAATATCCTTCCTCGGTCAGGATGTGGACCAAGAGCCCGTTGCCGCACCCGACATCCACAAAGGTTTGCTTCCTGTAGTTTGTAGTGGCGGTAGCCCTAATCAGCACCTCCTCATCATCAACGAGCCATCTCAGCCATCCCAACGATGCACCCCTTCCCACAACAAGACCGTACCTTTGGAGACCCAGCTCCTGCTGCTCGTTCTCCCAGATGACAATCAGCCACGCCGCTATGGCAACGTCCTCGAACACATGCTTGCGAGGATCCGTTTCCTCGGGCCACTTGTCGACCCATCCGATGTATTTGTCCTTGAGACACTGGTACTTGTCCTGGAATGCAATCTTGGGTGCAATGACATCGTGGTGGACTCGCTTCTCGTATCCGGCAGCAGTCCCCCGCATGAACTTGAAAAGTGCCTTGAGCAGCACTGTCCACACCCGTTGCTGCGACGACGGCCAAGGACAGGGAGCGGAGGCAGCAGGAAGAGAAAGAGAGAGGACGAAAAAGCGTGGTGGAAGGAACCCTGTTGACAAAATGGATCACATTTGCATGTCGGCATCGTCGGCATGGATTGCTTGCTGCGGCGCTGGGAGGATTTGTGCTTACCATCTTAACGTTGGCAAGAGGAGCGTCGTCGTGCTCAAAGGGAACGATGCAGACGCTCAGCCGTCCAGAGCGGCCGTCGTCCTCGGAGCCGGGTTCCAAGACATATGCAAACTTGCGGACCTGGAAATGGTCGCCCATCGACCGCAGACCAAAGTCAGAGTCGCTTGACCCAGGATGCCAGAGCCAGCTCCGTCGCAACTGCATACCTTTGGGCAAAAGTACGGCAGATCCTGTTCTTCCCAAGGCCCGTCGAATACCGGGATGTGCTCGGCCCAGCAAACTGCGTCATGGCAACCGGCTGCGTCAGCGCAGATCGATGGCGCTCGTGCCAACCGCTCAGTCGTCTCCGGAGCCCAGAGCAGATGATCAAACGGCAGTGTGCTGCATCGGATCGCACTGCATCGCACCGCATAACCACTGCCATAGACTCTGGCAGTCGGCTTGGTCTATCTGCGGCACGGGCTCACTCACCTCCCTCGGGGTCCTCAAGCGAGACAACGTCCTGGACCATCGGGATGTCGATCTTGGCCCGTTTGGGCATCAGCCTGCGGCGGATCCGTTTGAGGACTGGGTGCTCGGATTCGATCTGTTCGCTCAAGATCTCGGCACGCAGGATGTGGACGATGACATATTGCGGCTCGGCAGTCCACAAATCCTGGAGAGGCCAAGATTGAGGCCGGGTCGTCAATGCAGATGTAGGGGCAGTACGGATGTGTTGCCGTCAAGAATGGATTGCGAGCAGCAACACGATATATGATAGAGGGTGGGACTTGCAAGCCGCTTGCATCAGGTTTGGACGGGGAGTGGCCCTTCCCTTTGCACACATTCTCTCTCGCCAATCTGCATCGAATTCTGGCTGGATTGCTGGTGCTGTTGCTTACGATCACAGTCCAAAAGTGCTCGGGTGCAAAGGGGCATTCGCATGTCACCGAGGTGACCCAGGAGATGCCGTCCCGCACCCGGACCGAGTCGACGGGGTACTCTGGGGTGCAGATGTCCATCTTGCTGGGTGCCTGGGCAGATCCCGACCGAAGAAGCGATTGGGGTTTGGGTTGATTCCGCAAAACCGCACGCTTGACCCGTATCGGGCTTTCAATTCGGCGTGGCTGCTTGGCCCGCCTTTGTCGCTGGCGAATGCCGTGCTTCAGAAGCAATGAAATGAAACGGAGCACCGAGCTCTTTGATCAATAGCCAATGGTTGCGGCCTCGTAGCATTATGCTGGCCTGTTGGATGGATGGGGGTGTATCCAGGACCGACCCAAAATGGTGTCCCAGAACCTCACAAGCACTGCGGCGGCTCGAAGCAGTACATACAAAACGGATCAGAAATGTATTCGGTAAAGCGAGATAATTAAATACAAAGAAATGCGGCTGGATCGTGGAATCGCAATCGATAGAAGCGGCGTCGCTACCAGGGTCGCTCTGCTGGGTAGGCTTGAGTCATGACAGAACTGCCGCTGGCGGCGAAACTGGGCAATGGCAGGATGGCACCTTCGCTGTGCGGTTATCGAGGGCCCACGCTCCTACCACTCCTCCGACGAAAAATGCTGGTCGTATACAGGGATGATGTCGATCGGGCCGCCTTCGCTCTTGAGGTAGACCTGATACTTGTGCGCGGGGTCGACGGCCTGTGGCATTGTTGTTTAGATGAATGGTGATGGACACGACTGGCACGGCCATAGATACCACACCCTCCTCGGGTGGTATTTGACGTGGCTGCTCGGCGTATGAAAGGACTATCCGCATCCGCAACGGCCACTCTCACACCATCGCCCCTCGCTGCCAACGAGTACCGAGGATGGTGTCGACATGCGTGGCATACCTCTTCGGGATCTGGGACCTCGAGACGGGTTCCAGGGGGGGCTTTGACTGCTATCATGATGCTGCCGCGCAGGTACTCAAGGCTGTTGAGGTCGGAGGGTGTGACGTAGAGGAAGGGCGAGTTGAGGGTCGAGAACAGATCCTGCAGCTCCTGCTCCGACTCCTGTCTCGTGACTTCGATTTGGGCCAGGTGCTTTGTCAGTTCCTCCTCCTCTATCTTGAGCTGGCGATAAGCCTCAATTTCTGGCCCATCGTCGAGATCAGAAGGGCTGGCGGGCGGATCCCTTTGGAGCGCGGGCAATCAAACAAACCATCAGCGTTTGCACTCGGCGAAAGCCAGCAGCAGCCACTCCGCAATGTGAAGCTCAGCTCTCCACAGCAGCAGCAGCAGCGACAGAGAATCGTGGATCAAACCCCCATGCGACTTTCTCCGGGTCGCTTCGAGCAGTAGCGCAATCTAGAGGCCCCCGACTCACCTCCACTTGACCTGATTCTTGAGATTCTTCTCGACAAGCGAGATGCCTTCGAGCACATTGGTGATGTCGTAGATTCTGCGCTTTTGCACTCCCAAAAACCCTGCTGCCTTGTTGAGGTCCAGGACTCCGTCTTCAGAACGCCGGAGGCACTCGACGAAGCGCTTGGTGAGGAGCGTCAACGACGAGTCTACTCGCTTGTCGCCTGCAAGCGTGGGAAAGCGCCAGGCTCAGTTACTCTGCCGCACGCCATGACATCGGTCCAGGCATGAGAAGCATCGGCGAGCGGACCTACCGGAAGAAAGGGGGTGTTTTCGACCACGTTCCTCGACTGGACAGGGCGGATCGATTCGAATGTTAGCTGCCGCTAAAGGGCTGGCGATTGGAAACCAGAGAGACTTCGATGCTGCGTGTGCGATACCCACATGCCATATCCTGACCGTCGTCGTCATCATCATCATCGTTGTTATCTGACACAGATGGGTTGCGGGGAGGGTTCTTGCGTTTCTGTAGATCAAAGGTTCGCAGCGATGCATGGGTGTTCAATGGCAGCGATCTGCACCGCTATGTGCAAGCTGCCTCGGCCCAGCTGATCGATCTCCTGCATGATGCGTCGCGCTCACCTTTGCCGAGCTGCTCATCCCTGGCGACGATCAGTGGGGCGTTAACGCATTAAACGGTCAGCGAAAGCTGAGTGTGTGCAGATTTTCGGAAGCACCTTGCAGTGATTGCCGCATGCGAAACGGGTTTGTGCAGCGTCCTCGCCTCTGCGAATCTGGCGTGCACGCAGCGGGCCATGGGACCAACAACGCTGCAAAGCGGACTGAAATACGAGCACCGCTGGGACACCAGGCAAGCTCGGCCGGACACACCACCTGCGGGCTCGGTTGATCGTCGGCTAGTCATTCTACGATTTACGGAAGAGGGAGGCAGATTGGTGGCGGCTGCTGCGGACTCTGCTGGTTGATCGCCGGAAACCGATGGCCAGTCCGTTTGATTGCTGAAGCCCGATGGTCGGTCGGTGTGATCGCCGGAGAGCTGCCCCCTTGCTCGGTAGTCAAAGATCGGTGCAGGCGGTTGGAGGCCCAGGGTCGTCTCGGCCAGACAGGGCCCGCCCAAGGCCGCTGGGGTCATCCTGGCGGTAAAAAGCCGCCCGGTCGGGCCTGGCGTTGGCCGCAGCGACAGGCGGAGTTTTGCTCGCTGCGCAGCACACAGGACAGCCCGCCAAGGGCTGCGCGACGGACGACAGACAGCCAAAGGTCAGCCGAGGTCAGTCGAGGCCAGCCGTGGACAGATGCAGCCGCCCAGGGCAGGCGACGCCGGTGGGCAGCGCTGTCGGGTGTGTCTGCAGCGACAGCAGACGGGGGCGGCTCCATTGGACCATGTGCGGCTGGCAGCCCGGGTCGATCAGGGTGATCGGCCTCGTGCGATTGCAGGCCCCACGACAGGGGTCCGTTGCCGGCCAATCCGCTCTGGGCGACAAGTCCGCTCAAGCCAAACATCAAGCCCCAGATATTCCGGCGCTCGAGAGGGCAGCGAGTGCCCCGCCAGCAATTACTGTCTTGGCAAACTCGCCTGATCAAGGACATTGTTGATCGCGAATAGCCCCGCAAGGTTGCTCTCGACGCATCGAGATGGCCACGGGAGCGAAGCCGATGCGGCCTTGCAAGCCCTCTGTGCCTGTCCGGTGCCCTCGGTTTGGCAATGTGACATCTGTTGACGGGACGGAATTGGGTTGTCGGCTCATGAAGATTTCGCTTGGTCCGGAGGGGCACCATTACGGTTAGCTTTGTTGCCAACACTGCCGCCGTAAGCGGTAGAAGATGGCAGGATGGCAGGATGGGCATAGTCTGCTCTGGCAGCGGGACGATCGAAGGTTGGCGATCGTTGCGAGCGCCTTCTGCATGTCGGTCAATAGCGGTCTGGGACTTGGCGGCCGCACGAGGCACATTGTGCACAAAAATCACCGTCCATTACCGGCTGGCCCTTGAAGTGGCTGTACTGCCCAAAACAACACTCCACCAGACTCCAGCCCACATGCCCCCGGTCCTGTGCCTGCAGCAGCGAAAGGGCATTGTTCGAGCCAAACCTATTCTCCGAGACTCCAGGCGACTCTCGGTCGCTGCTATTACAAATTCAGCAAAGCTCTTGGGGCTCAAACCGACCGATAGTGTGGCACGGGGGGGTCAACGCCCGATGTGATTGTACCGCCGACTGCCGGCTTAAATAGAGGACGGCCGATCCACGGAGACGCCGTCGGCGCTGCCATCCGCTTGGTGCCTGCCTTCGGTCCCCCATCAGCCCTGTCTTCTATCCAGATCAGAGCAAAAGCGCACCCCTCCTGTTCCTCGACGCAGACCCCTCGTGTGCCTCATCGCCCCCCCCTCCATCGCTCTCCGTCGCATCCATCCACCCACCCACCCGCCTGCCCAGCCGCTCCCCATTCCATCACCTCTTCCTCCTCGCAACCAGAGGGGCCATGGATCCTTGGGAGGGCCAGTCCTATGTCACGGTTCTTGGAGTGATCCAAGACATCCATGCCTCTATTCGATTTGTGCTGAGCTCGCTGCCGACGCCCGAAGCCATCCAGCGACTCAGGGAGATTCTGAGAGAGTCCTTTGACAAATGCAAGTCTGTTTCCGAATTAATGGGGCCGTCCAGCCCCGATGGTCCAGAGCCGCTCGATGATGGCCAGACACAGGTCATGTCCTACGTTGTCGACTCGCTTCTCGTTCTTCTCGAAACGTCGTCTGTCGAGCTCGACCGGTGCAGCGACTTTGTCGCCTCGCTCCACAGCTATATCTCGTACGCCGACCCGATCGATCGAGACAACCAAACATTCTTCCGGCACCGTCTTGACGAATCGTCTGGCAGCTCATCATCCGCGGGACAGTCTCACTCAAGCACGTCGTATCTGCCGGACCAGCACCGGGGCGGTCCACATGTGCACCACCATGAGCTCCAGCCTCGCGATCCTGCTGCCGCAGGGTCAATGTCGGTGGGTATCGTCACCCTATCGAGCATTTGCCTTTGCGCATGCACGTCGTCTGGCATTCTGCATCCACGGTCGTCTCGCTCCACTCCCCACACTACACCATCCCACCATTTCACCATTCCACTCGACAGCTCCTGTTCTCAGCATGCCGGCGACCGCCACACATATCTGACACTCTGTGATCTGCTTCTTGCTTCCGCCCGTCTGTCCGCCCGTCTGCTCGGCCTGCAATATCCCCCAAACGCCAACGCCCGGCTGCAGCCGTCTCCACCCAACCAGTCCAGTCGAATGACTCGGCACCCGCCAACAAGAGCCGCCTCCGCCTACCATCAAACTGGCACGGGTGTCTGCCTTCCCGACCGGACAGATCATCCCCAGCACAATCCGCCGGACGTGGCTCTGCCACCGAGAGCTGCCCGAGCTCTCGAACAGCGACGCAGCTCGTTTGATCTCTCTGACGACCACTCGGCGACGGCGGCGTCCCACGGCAGAGACCACACCGATGTCCCGCGCCAGAGCATGGTGGAGGACAGCCCGTCGCCTCAGAGGACCACTGGATCCGTTAACCAGAAAACCGCAGATGATGTCGCCGCAGACGCTGGCCCGCAAGCCGGCTGGTCCGAGGCAAGTCTGCACAGAAGCTTTGACAGGCCGGCAAGGGCAGTCGGCGATTTGGGCTTTCGAGGCGGAGGCTCTGTGGGTCCGGACGAGTCGAGGCGGGGAGTTTGGCAGGGCGATGCTGTGTTTGGCAGGACTTGTCTGCGGCGCCTCGCCTTTTTTTGGCGTGGTGATCGACAACAGGCTCGCTTTTTGGCAGGAGCAGCCCAATCAACCCTCGTCCCCTCATAGACCAATGCGAGCCCGTTGCAACCCACCCCTCCCCGTGGCGTTGGTTGGTGCAGCCCGCCCTGACCCGATCACTCTGTTTCCGCCCGCACTCCGACTCACAGCATGCTGCGGGCCATCCGCCAACCTCCGAGAGCAGCGGCGCTCTCACCGCGCCATTCTCAGGCAAGCCGTTTCATCCGCTTATCCGTTGGATCTGTTTGCCGCTGGATCAGCCTACCGTTGCATCTGTTTGTTGTCGAATCAGCCTCCTGTTGGATCGGCCTGTGGCAGCGTGGGCCTGCATGACTCTGCTCTCTCGATCCTCGCAGCCGCCCCTCGCACGGATGCACCGCTGAATCGCTCGCTGAATCGTCCGTTGATTCTCACTGCTCAGGACCCGCCGATGTTCCTCGGCATCGTGGGCCACACTTTGGCCGCCTGGACACCGATGAACCAGACATGCCACAGTTTGCAAATGTAAGCGACGGCATTCCCTTCTCGGTGGCGACTCGTCGAGTCCTAAACCCAGACACATCCTCGTTGCCATGCACACTCGATAAGCACGCAGCAACGGAGGTATCGGATGCAGCGACTTGTGCAGACAGCCAGACGCCGGGAATGCATGTGCGGCCGCTTGGATCGATGTCACGTTCTCACCAAAGCGATCTTGGACCAGCAGCAGATGCCGAGGCATCGCCTCGATCAGTCGCCGCCAGCAGATCCTCGCCCCCGGAGCCCGTTCCCTCCAGCCGATCCGTCACTGCTCCGTCCAGCCTTCCCATCGCCTCGCCCCCATCTCTATCCCCACCAGCAACCGCATCCCTTCCCTGGCCCTTTTGCTCCTCCTCTATCTCATCCGGCGTACCCTCCCCGGCCTCACCCATTCGCTTATCCCCATCTCCCGCATCCTCACTCCCACCCGCAACTCCAATCTCATGCACACGCTCATCCCCCCAGCACCTTCCCAGTGCAGTCGTCATCAACATCGCCATATTATCAGGGCGATATTTCGGAATCGCATGCTGATGCGAGCACTAGCCACTCTCAGCTGCCGAGCTCCAAGCACTATCTCGACAGCCCCGCCCTGGCTATGGCCCCGCCTCCACATCCACCTCCAGCCGCGCTTGGGTCGCATCGTGGCCCGGATTTTCAGCACGGGCGGATTGCGTCGGATTCTCGGCTGCCATCTGATTTGTTTGACCCGGGCAACCCCTCGTTAGATGAATCGATCGCCTCCTCCAGCGGGCATCATCCGGCCGATGCGGCGACAGGTAGTGACAACGTTGGAAGCGCACCGGGCTCCTCTGGTGCCTCAAAATCGTCGGACAAGCGGTTCCGGCCGAGACCCAATTTCGCAAAGCCCATTAAAAACATTCTGGTCCAGTGGATCGAGGAGCACCACCAGTTCCCCTACCCGACCATGAGCGAAAAGGAAGAGTTGATGCGGCGGACGGGACTCGACATGCATCGGCTGAACAAGTGAGTCTCGCATGCTGCGGCTGATGTGCAGATGAAACTGCGACTGTTGGACAGCATGTCCTTATTTGGCGCAGAGTTCCCCTCGTAGCAATTGATTCGTTTGCAATACGATTGCAGCCGATCGTTCAGGCAGCAGTCACTATCGATCTCACAGATCACACTGACCCCACCGACCCCACTGGCTCTACTAACTGCCCTGGCTTTCTGGCATTTCGGTCGTCGCATTGCGCCTTTCGACGCTGCCTGGTTAGTTGGTTCATCAACGCCCGCCGCAGGGTCCTGACCCCACCAACGCAGAAGCATCGCAAGTTCATTCCTTTCTTTTTGAAGGAAAAGAAGCCCAGAGGCTCGGCCCGCGACGATGTTCCGCCAGGCGAGATGGGTGAAGCCGTGGCCGGCCCGAGTAGGATTGGATCAACATCCAGGGGCATTATGCCTCCCAGCACGGCCTTTGGCGACTCGGACCGACCCACACTCCACCTTCCGAACCCGCCGTTCAACGGCGGTGTCTCGAGGGCCGGCCCTCTGGCCAGCGCATATCTTGGCAGGCAGTCCTATCCGCAGCCCCCAATAGGCTCAGCGGCCCCCAGAGCTCCCGCCGTCCCCGCCGTCCCGGCAAGTGTCCCAGCAAGTGTCCCGGCAAATGTCCCAGCAAATGTCCCAGCAAATGTCCCAGCAAATGTCCCGGGCATCGGGGTGCAACCTGCGAACACGCCGAGAATGTCCATCGATACCTCTGCGACACTCCAGGCCTCTGTTGACCCAAGCCCAGCCTTATCAGGATCGCGCATCACGCCAGTCGATGCCGCAGACCCGCAGGTTCCAGTCGAAAGATATCAACCCAGCGCCGCGGATCCACCAGGCGTCCTGTCCGCCAGCAAGAGAACGAGGGAGACACCAGAGACAGAGGAACCTGACTCGGATCGGCTGAGAGTCTCACCGGGCCTGCCCAGGATCAAACACAGGAAAGGTAGGCTTTCGTGAAACTGATGCGGAACAATGCCTCGCTCGTGGCGTATACTTGCGAGTGTGATCTGGCCGCGTGTGATAGCGGAGAGACCTTCATCGGGTCCCCGTATTCCCGCCTCGGCTGGCGCTGCTGTGTCGCCTCCTTCACCCTAGAGTGGATTGGCCTTTGATGATCAGTCCTCCGTAACACCTCCGCTCGCAGAGGAGCCCTGTCCCTAAAGCCACTCGGACGCTTTGTTCCTTTGCAATCCTCTCCAGATCCCGAGTCTTAGCGAGGTTGCTTGATTCTCGCCTCTGTCCTCGAGAATGTGCTTCACACGGCACACTTTTACCCTCCACATCAATACCCATTGTACTTTCTTCCCCGTCCCTCCCATCGCCACCCCCCTTCTCCCATCACCACCCCTCCCCACCTGTTTGTCAGGCATTTAGTCCTGCAGTACTCACGCTTTTGGATCGGTATGCTTCTAGCAAAGTAATTTAGACACCAAGTTTGCACCTCCTTGCATATGCTTTCCTTGCTTTCTTTCCATTCTCTTTGAACAACTGGATAAACGAAGAAACGAATGGGCGAACGACCGGCCAAACGAATGAACGAACAAACTCACGAACTCACGAACTCACGAACTCACGGACGGACGGATGAACGGACGGACGAACACAAATGGATAAGGCAGAAGAAAATACATTCATACACCAACATATACAAAGCCACAAGGAACCTGCTCCCACTCAGCTCCAAAAATCTCCAGAACTCTCCGGTGTACATGACTGACAGAAATATATCACTCCAAATCTTCCCGCTCCACTGGCCGTGCTGATTGTCCCCGAGCGAGTCAAATCATGGATATTATTACTTGAATAGCCGAGGACGCCGTCGCGAGGCCGTAATTTGCGATGCAAGAGGGGTGTATCCACGATACCAGGGAGAAGGGTGTATTCACGGTACCAAGGACCAACAGAAGTGTGTGACCTCATGGGATACGCTCTCCGGTCTCGATGAAACTGCTAACGATCGAGTCATTGGAGCGGGGAAGGAGGGCCTCAGTAGAACCGATGAGGACGAGAGTGGATCAGGACGGACAATCATCAAGGCAAGCACAGGTTTCGACACAACAAAATCAAGATAACTGCAATAAGTGGAGTAAAGTAGAGAGAGAGAGAGAGAGAGAGAGCGTGATCTGCTGGGTTGGCGAGTGCGAGTGTGATCTGCTGGGCTGGTGAGTGCGAGCAATTAAGCAGACGCAAATGTGCGACATGCGGGGTGCTCCTGGCCCAACAAGGCGACAACGTGGCCAAGCCATTCAGAAACCTGTCATGTCGCAGCCTCATCAGTGCTTGACAGGATCAGCCTCGTAGCCGGGCGGCGAGTCCTTTGGGGAGCTTGAGTAGAGGACCTCGTGCTCGTCTTCGCGGACATCGGCGAGGGGCTCATACTTTTTGCCGGTGGGGGTCTTTGGGTGTGCGCTCTTGGTGCTTCTTGGGCCATTGCCGCCGCTGCCGCCCTGGCCCTCGACGTCACCCAGTGTTCGGATAAAGTCGCCAATCTCGCGCTCGACGTCGTGGTTGACGGTCTTGGCGTACATATCAGCTTTGGAGGGATCGCCGATATAGCGAATCTCGACAACGGGCCGGCCGTCGCCGGCAACCAGATGGGCGGCCTCCTCAAGAGCCACCTTGGCCTGGCGGATAAAGGGCAGACTCAGGTAGAGGGCGCCCATGCCGCCGATGAAGAAGCAGGGCACCAAGAGCGAGTTCTCCTTGAAGTGGATGTAGGCCATCTGGCCCAAAACGCCGCCAACGAGGAAGCCAAAGAGCAGCGGGACATGCACCTTGAGCCGCCAGATTTCAGCGTGGCTGTCTCGGCGGCAGGCCTGGCCGATGATGTTGCCGATATCGGTGATGATGCCGGTCATGTGGGTCGTTCTGACGGCGGCCCCCGAGTAGCTGGTCGCCAAGGCGTTCTGGAGACCACAGGCAAAGGCGGCGCACCACTCGCCAATGACGAGCTCCCGCTTGAGGAACATGAAGCTGCCAAAGATGGCGGCTGACTCGATGAGCAGCACCACCCCATAGCCCTTGCCGAGCTGGAACTTGTTGTCGCCGACGAGAAACCCGCTAAGGAACGAGCCAAACATGAACGACATGATGATGGAGCTGACGAGGGACAGGGTGGTGATGTCCCACTGATAGAGCGAGATGGCGATTCTCGAGACGTTGCCGGTCAAGTGCGAAACCGTGACGGAGTAGACACCAGCCAGGGTGACGACGTTGATGAAGCCGGCATTGATGGCGAGCAAGGTGCCGCCAAAGACGATGGAGTAGAACTCCCTTGCCGCAAAATTGTTCATTGCAGGCCGACGACAAGACAGCGCACAGTGTGAAGCAGAGAGGCGGAGGAGCCGACGGGCTTGATGAATCGATGGTCAAGTGGGGAACGAAGGAGCCAAGGCCAAAGGTAGCTGGATAAACGGCCTGCGAGCGAGCAGCAGGGTGCGGGTGCTGCCCACCCAGGTGTCGTCGCCGACCAGTGGCTGCAGATTGCTGGCGATTGGGAAGGACATATGTCGAGGCGGATGTGGAGCATATGTGGAGCAATATGTCGAATCGGCTGCTGGACGGCGCCTGAGCAATCGCTGCCTCAGCAGAAGGGAGAGACTCTTGCTCTCGATTGGAAGCAGCGTGTATTGGACTGGCTGATCGACGGGATATGCGGGCCGGTGTCATCAGGGCAGCGACCGATCTGGCTGGGACTGCCCGCGCATCGCAACACATCGAATTGCGACATCGGGGCAGGGGGAGATAGCGGTTCTTGAGTCTGGACGTGCCGCCAGCAGACAAGGATGCAAATTTGGCTGGCGAGGAGCCTTGTTGGCCGGAACTCCTGGATGAGGCTGAGACAGGCACCGTGCGAGGCGGGCTGCGGTTGGTCCCTGGCAACTGGATCGACCAGGACCGCACCAGAGCCGCACCAGGGACGGCAAGGCGACGCGCAACGGCCCTGGTCGGAGATCGCGCTTGTGTGTGTGTGTGTGTGTGTGTGTGTGTGTGTGTGTGTGTGTGTGTGTGTGCTCTCGCTGCGGTCTCGGTGTACTCTCGGTGTGCTCTCGGCGGCTTGCCGAGAAGACCCCTGTTCGGAATGGGCCGCAACTCTGATTGGTGGCAGCCAGCGGCTCTGATTGGCGGCGGATGGCAGCACACGCCACTCCCGCAGCACGCCACAGCGCCCTGCCACACTCCACAGGCTCCACACCAACAACACCGGTGGCGCCCCGCAGCAGTCCCAGCGCAGCCCCACCCCGCCGGACAGCAACAACGGCCTTCCCGATTGGGACCGCCGCACCGCCGCCGACAGCGCCCGCCCCGTCTCGCCCCGTCTCGCTCCGTCTCGCTGCAGCGAGAAGCGCTCTCGCCATTCCCACGTTCCCAACGCGGGGCGATACATTTCGTCCTCTCCATCCATTCATTCACCCATCCATTCGTCCATCATCATCATCCGCACTGCATCAGCGATATCGATCGATCGACACCGCCGTCAGCGATAGCACCGCCATCAGCACCATCAGCACCATCCACACCGCCATCAGCACTATCGACACTATCAGCACCGCCGCCGCCGTTAAACTCGCCTTACAATCGCCGTCCGCTCCTCCACCGGTGTGTATCCGCCCGCGCAGCCGCCCGACTTGCCTGGGCTTGCTTGTCTGCCTTCTTGTGGACTTGCTTGTGGACTTGCTTGTCGATTTGCTTGTCGATTTGCCTGTGGGATTGCCTGTGGGATTGCTTGTGGGATTGCTGCCTTGCGTCTCGCACGGGCCTTGTCGGTGCTTTCGGTGTGCTGTGCTGTCTCGGCGCTGTTTGCCCTCGTCTGCCCGTCACCTCCACCCCCCGCCCCGGTCCGCCTCCGCCTCCCCTATAAGTGCCGTCCCGACCCGGTCCCGTCTCCCTCCTCCCCATTCCGCTCGTCGCATCCCGTCCCCCCCCCATTTCCGTCGCCTTCGTCGGCCATCCATCGCCTTTGCCCGCCCTTTTTCTCCCGACGCGCCCGACGCTTAAATACCCTTGCCATGTTCTCTACCTTCGTCCAGTCGTTCCAGAAACTCTTTTCGCCCGTTGCAATGCCCTCCCTCGAAGAACAGTACGCGACCCTCAAGGCCCGCTTCGATGCTGCCGGTCAGGGCCACCTCTTCACATACTGGTCCTCGCTGACCGACAGCGAGAAGGCTCTGCTGATCGAAAACCTCAAGGTCATCGACGTCGAGCGCGCTAATGCCATCTTCAAGCGCACCTACGGCAAGCCCGAGGAACAGCATCCCAAGATCGACCCCCTCCCCGCCGATGCCGTCGACTCGACCCTGTCGGCCTCCAAGGAAAAGCTCGATCACTGGCGAGATCTTGGTCTGCAGCTCATTGCCGACGGCAAGGTCGCCGTTATCCTGCTGGCGGGTGGCCAGGGTACTCGTCTGGGCTCCTCTGCCCCCAAGGGCTGCTACGACATCAACCTGCCCTCCAAAAAGTCGCTCTTTGAGCTCCAGGCGCAGCGCATCCTCCGCATCCAGGAGATTGCTGCCGCCCATAAATCCAAGGCCGACGGCAAGGAGGTCATTGTCCCCTGGTACGTCATGACCTCGGGCCCCACCCGCGCCGCGACCGAGCAGTATTTTGTCAGCAACAACTACTTTGGCCTGAAGAAGGAGAACGTCTTCTTCTTCAACCAGGGTGTCCTGCCTGCCTTCACCTTTGACGGCAAGATCTTCCTCGAGAACAAGTACACCCCCGCTGTCGCCCCTGACGGAAACGGCGGCATCTACGCCGCCCTCCGCAACGAGGGCGTCATTGCCGATCTCGAGCGCCGCGGCATCCCCCACGTCCACGCCTACTGTGTCGACAACTGCCTCGTCAAGGTTGCCGATCCCATCTTCATTGGCTATTGCGCCTCCAAGAACGCCGATTGCGGCGCCAAGTCGGTTCCCAAGGCCCATGCCCACGAGTCCGTCGGTGTCATCTCGCTGCGAAACGGCAAGCCCGGCGTCGTCGAGTACTCCGAGATCCCAAAGTCCTACGCCGAGCTCACCAAGCCCGACGGCACCCTTGTCTACAACGCCGGCAACATCGCCAACCACTACTACACCACCGAGTTCCTGAAGCGCGTCGAGTACATCGAAGCCGAGCTCGACTTCCACATTGCCAAGAAGAAGATCAAGCACGTCGACCTGGCTTCTGGCGAGTCCCAGAGCCCCACCACCCCCAACGGCGTCAAGCTCGAGCTCTTCATCTTTGATGTTTTCCCCTTCACCCAGCACTTTGCTGTCTTCGAGGTTGCCCGCAAGGAGGAGTTCTCGCCCCTCAAGAATGCCCCCGGCTCCAAGGACGACAGTCCCGAGACTTCCCGTGCCGACATCCTGAACCAGACTGTCCGATTCGCTACCGCTGCCGGTGCCAAGGTTGTCAAGGGCGAGAAGCAGGACCAGAACGACATCCCCGTTCTCGAGATCTCTCCTCTCGTCACCTACGCTGGCGAGGGTCTCGAGCGCCTGAAGGGCGTCACCATCACCACCCCCTATATCATCAACTCCGAGGCTGACATTGCCCGTCTGCTTGCTTAATCATGTACTGTTTTTCCTCATCACATTTGCATTTGCATTTTTTAGAGCTCTCGTCTCATTTTTCACCATGTGTTGGGGAGATGGTCCAAGCGGAGCAATAATGGCCTGGCCCTCCCTCTCCCTTCTTCCCTCCATCGCTCTTTGCATCGCTCTGCTCTGTCTTTCCTGACCGGACGAGAATGAAGGTGGTCATCAGTTGGCTTTTGGCTGGCCCTGCCTCCCGACAGTGTATGCCTCTGTGCCCTCCCCTGAACACACACTTCCATTGAGCTGAACACGCCTGAATACAGCATTCCCGTAATGAAACGGACACTCCGATTTGAGCAGGGACTGGTGTTGTTTGCTGGGAACTGAATACACCCACCGACTCATTGCAACCATGGCCAAATAGTATGTCCGAGGAGACCGAGGCTGTCATCGCCTTTGGCGATGTGTCATGGCGCCAAGGCAAAGGCCATGCGTCAAGTCCCATTTCCCCCTGAATTAGGTGTTACCGCATTGGTACATTGTCAGGGAGCAAATGTAGCCGTTCTTCATGATCTGTCAGAAAAGATCAAGCAGTCGGACCGGGCTCATTAGAGCGACTCCCTTGTGGCACATCTAACGGCATCCTATGGCGCTCCAAATCACTTCACCCTATCACTATCGCAGCTCCATCACAGCTCCATCGCAGCTCCATCGCACCATCGGAGCGGGGCAGAGCTCGTGCATCGGACAAAACTCAAGTTCAGAGCAGTATAGGTCATCAGATACCTCAAAGATCAGTCCCTTGTATCCATAGAACGACGTTGCTCCAAAGGGCGTGGTCGGCCCGCGGTCAAAGATAACCGGGTCGCCGAGAGGCTCGCCGAACGCCTGGAGAATCTCGGTCCACTGCAGCCGAAACATACTTTGTTAGGGAAGCTCTCAAAGACGCAGCTATATCAGCGATCGAGGCGGGAGGGCGTGCAAGCCATCGCGGGACCAACACAACAGCGCAACACAGCTGCGAGTCAGAAGCGGCGATAGGAATGCTTACTGTAGAGTCCGATGTCACGTTCTGAGCCTTGCTTTCTAGTATTTGTGCGATTCCCGGATCATCAGTTGAAGGAAGAGGACAGGTGGCGAGCCCACAGACCAGCCAATTTCGGTCATCTCAAATCGATGAAATGGCCGGAGCCAGGCCGCCTGCCACCCCCAGATCGATCCGATGCCACTTTGACACGAGTCACGTACCGCTTGCGATTTCAAAGTTGCACTTGCGATAGCTGCAAAGGCAAAGAGCCATGAGCTACGTGTCTTTGTTTAACACGGCAGCAGATTCGCCGAGCGGCGATATGCAGGCAATCCAGCACCGGCGCCATGATGTCGTCGCCTACACCGTACTATGCCACTCACCGGTTAAAGTCGTATTGGCCGGGAAAGTTGGTGTGGAAGGCAAATTTCTTGACTGTGTGCGTGTATGTGTCGAAGAAGATGTCGATTCCCAGGAGAAAGTCTTGCAGTCCGCATGGAGATGAGTGAGTGGATGGGCGAGTAAGTAGTCGGCTGCGGTTTGGCTTGCAGCCCCGTAGACATGAAGCAGTCGATCGCTTACAGCTCCAGATGTAGTACTTTGAAGGACCTGGCAGAGTGGCAAGCGAAATCGCACAGACATGTTGTCATAAATGATTGTCAGCATCAAGTCGTGTCCGCGACAATGGTGGCTTCGTCGGCCGGGGGCATCCAAGCATGTGTTCAAACAAGCGACGCTTCCCTATCGGAGAGCCGTGCACAATCACGTACGCTGGAATCTTTGCTCTCTGGCCCCGTGGATATTCATCTTGTCGTCTTGCTTGAAGAACGATACCGAAGGCCGACCAAGTTGGGCGAGCACATCTTGGCTCATGCAACCAAACTCAATCGCGCAGGCTTTGCGGGTGAAAGTGACATGCGTTCCCGCCTGGGAAGATGGCCAAGGTACGCCATTAGCTCCCCTCCCCCCACAAAAGTCAGACGAACTTGGTATCAGCAAGCGACCATGGCTTTGCGGAAGAAAAAACCTCAGCGCCTCACCTTGATGACGAGCTTCTCAGACAGAACGTCGCGTGAGGCCAGTGCTGGAGGCACAGCGCGGGCCCAGCTCTCGCCCTGGTATATGTAAATCCGGTTGACGATGGGCGTGCTTCCATCAGGCAGCGAAAGCGGAAGATCGTTGGCTGCACAAGCAGAAGATACCGTTGGTGATGGCAAAGACGGAATGCACCCTGAGCACCGACAGTCCACAAACCGCAGTGGGGCTGCCGGGGTAGTCAAGCAGTTGCGATGCTATCGCAACTATTGGCCGCATTGCTCATCTGCCAGGGCTGCTGCTGTGCAGGTGATGGATGGGTGGCCTACTTTTCTTTGTTGGGAAGTACTTTTCTGGTATCGGGAACAGGAACGATATGCCCTGGGGATGAAATCGGCCGCGGGCCTGTATCAGTGTGCCTTCGCCTGCATCTGCAGCGAGAGCTACGGACCATATCCTCGACTCTCTCCCCGAGCCGCCGACAGGCATTCACCAGAGACGATGTGGGCGATGCCATGGAAACCAGCGGACTTACCGGGTATTTGAGCGAGTAGCGATAGTCGGCGAGATATTCTCCGGGATTTGTCGGGCCAAATGTCTTGTAGATCAGAATGAACGTGGCAAGATGCTTGTTGGAGCTGTAGAGGAGCCTTCGGTCAGCAGGACCGATCGTCGCATTTGGCGCACTGACAGCCAAGCTCACCTGAAATCGATTGACTTGTAGGTCAGTCGCAGCTTCGAGAATTCATACAGTTCGATGCACTTGAGTCGCTGGAGAGAGTTTGAAAAGTGCCAACGAGGTCAGTGTCGGCGTGACGAACGTGTGCCATCCAGGCATGCATGGCCCCTCTACGAGCCACAATACCGCAATCGAAACGAGGCGATGGGATGCAGCCACGGATGCTGACCTGCGAAACGGGATCGATTCGGAAGCAGATTCCGTTGTCAACCAGGTCCAGAACGATGTCCACTCCAAGAGGGCTCTGTCCGAACGAATCAGTATCCGTGCCAAGCAGAGTGATTTTCCGACCGAGTTTGCAATGACTGGGTTAACATCGACCGATCCTGGGCCATGATGCGATTCTCGACGGAGGAGGCTCGCAGCAGCCCATCCCGATGAATGGCAGAATGCCACAGTGCCGCCGCTCCTCTTTGCTTCGATGGCGCATTCATGGAAGCTCTACTGACCGTGTTGCTGTACTTGAAGTCGGTTTTGACGATGCATGGTTCGGTGCGTATGGCGTTGATCAGCATATCCATTGGCATTCCTGCGGTGGGAGTGGCCCGGGGTGAGACGAGGATGCTGACAAGACCGATGGCTGTCCTTCTGGTCGCCGCTCCGCACTTTGATATATCGGCAATGCAGCACCAATGGAGCTACGAGACGCTGCCTGATGAACGGCCGATCCAGGCCCGGGCCATAATGACGATGGCCCCGGCAGTCGCCGGGCGGCCGCGATGATGAGACGCCTGCATTGTCCGTACCAAGAGCGAACGGGCCGGCAGCCCTTCCAGGCTGGATGGCGAGATTCAAAGGCGACACTGTTGGCTCGGTCATTTGGAGCGACTGACTCGGGGGTTCGGTTCAAAGCTGGCTTTCGAGGAGCGGGGGATGTCGAACGGAAGGGCGAGGCGGATGCAGATTCGCAGGCGGATGGATGGCAAGCAAAGATGCAGCCAGCTGGCAGACGGCCTCTGGCGGGCTGTTGGCCACCCAGCGGATTCGTGGAGCAGTGCGCTTGTGAGGCGGACATGGGCTGGACAACCGCATGGCTCGGCCCCAAGACAGCGACGAGACCGCTTGGAGCAAGCATATCGCACCGACACATAGACGGCAGGGGGGAGGCCGTAGATGCTCAGTCGTATCCAGGCATTGCCGATCCTGCGGGCAGGCGGCGGCGGCGCCGCATGCCAATTCGCATGCTGTCGGGCCGCGCAATGCCTGGGCCGAAAGTCCCGCCCAAACCGATCTTGGTCTGCCGTCCATCGGCTCGCTCGACATTGCCTATCCCGGGCAAGAGACCTCCCTCGGGACCGCTGGCTCGAGACGCACTGCCGGGACCGGTCTCTTTCTCTCTGCCCCGACCCAACTCAGCTCAACTCAGCTCCAACAACCCCCACTGCTCGCTCGAACGATCCAGGCTGCTCATGGCTGACCAGGCAGCCGCTCCGCGAGCCTACTCCTCCCGCATTCCGAGACTCAGGGGTGCCCCGGTCTCGCCAAAGGGCAACCATAGACTCCAACCCTCTGAGCCCGAGAGCCGCAATGCCGCCTCAAGTTCTGGGCCATCGCACGTCCGTGCCGGCCTCGCTCGAGCTCGAAACGAACCCGAGTCCTTTGGGCCAATGTCGACTGCCAGCGACTCGCCCTTTGCGCAGATGGCGACGCATATTCACGCCAACCAGTTCGGAGGGAGGCTGCAGGGCCTCGAAAATGGCCGGATTCGAGTGCGTCCCGCATCACCGATGAACTACAAACCCCGCAGCCAAAGTCCCGAGCACGATCCGGCCGAGCGGCTCGTCCACAATATCCGCGAGGACGAGGCCCTGCGCTTCGCCCGGCCAGCACAAAGCCGCTCTCGACTGCGAACAGCCAGCGACGAGGCCGACCCGGACCAGAATCAGCGGACAACAAGCAAATTCGATCCTCTGGTCTCGGGGTATGGGTCGGCACCGGGACCGGTGGCTCCGCCGGAGAGTGATTTTCGGTCGAGTCTGGGCAGCAGACATCGTCACCCAAGATCGTCACCTCCCCAGCCCGAATACGTCTTTGTTCCCCCGGCCGCACCCAAGTACTTCCTGTGGGATAGCACTCCGATCGGACCACCGCTGGATCTTTCTCGAATCGGGCTGGTGCCGGAGTCTGTTCGTGTGCACGCACCGTCGATCCAGAGCCTCAAAGCCCGCTTCTTTGGTGTCCAAGGGGAGCTCGGGTTTCTGATCGGGCGCACAGTCTCGGACTACCTGCAAGATGCCCCAAACTCGATCCTGCTTCTGGACCGCTTCGACGCTGGGAAGAGGATCTGGAACGGCCAAGACAGCTTCATTGTGCCCAGCATGGTCCTGCGCGACGATATTGTTGTCAAGGTCACCCGGGGCGAATGCGCCGGATCGGCAGTTGATCACCTCCGGGTCGTCGGGGCCAATGAATACTATTTTCTCCTGAAGGTATGCACCCCACTTGTTATCGCCGCTTGATGGAGAAGACGGACGTCCGCATTGGACGATAGGTCGGACGACGGTCAGCAATATCGTCAGGCACTGATGCGGATGTGTTCTCGATCAGCTCTTTGAAACCTCGGTCCACCAGCCCGAACCTGGCCCAGCCCTGAGCGGATTAGTTCCAAGCCTGATTCACTGCGTCAATGTTCGAGACGAGATACTTCACTTGTCGTGTAAGCCACCAGCGTGCGTGGATCGCTGAGCTCTGCGACTTGCGAGTCCCAGCCGGCTGGCCGGCCGGCGAGTATCCTTGCTGTGATTGCGTATCGATCATTTGACGAACCCACCAGATGCTTTCAGTCCGAATGCCCGGTTGCTTATATCGATTCTGTCTGTGGCGCTGCGGTCATTGAGTCCTCTCTCCCTGCTGACTTGACAAATTGTTCTCGCGAACCACAGTCCGTCTGCTGCTCCCGGTCGTCAACTTTCGCCTCATGCCCATCTATGCCCTCCGACTGGTCCCTACAACATTGACATCTCGTTTGACTTCCGGGGAGCAGTCGGACGAACTATCGTTTGGGTACTGACTCGATCTCGGCCAAGTTACTTGTTGCGCTCTTGGCTGCGATGTACTGGTCTTGGCACTAACCGGCTCTTCGGCCCGCATGTGCAGCTATGTCACAATCGACCAGGCCCGCCAAGTGCTCCCGCTCAGCATGAGCGATCCGAAACTCGGCAGCATGCCGCTTGTTGGCATGTAAGACCGAATACCTTCATTGCTTGGCTCGACCCGGCGTGCCATCCACTGGGTGCATTCGCGATGCATCGCCGCTATGCGCTGGATATCTGCACACGTACCATGTCTCTCCAGCTGATGTTTTTGTTTATCATCATGATACAGCTGGATCAACCAAATCCCGATAGACAGCCACCAAATCTACCAGCACTGTATTCACTTCATCAAGAACACGAGCTTGAGGTTCATGGAGACCGGTCGCCCAATCATGTTGATCGTGTCATTCGAAAAGCGGCCTAGTGGCACAAGGTTTTGCTTGCCCAAGTTCTATGAGTGCGTCTACCAGGTGGGTTTGATTTTGACGATTGACTTTGGCCGCAAAATCCTTGGCCCGGGCTGTATCGATCGTTGACACGGAATCGGTTCGACGGAGACTCTCTGGTTGCTCGGTTGCTTGTGTGGTTGTGCTTGTTTGACTATCTCCTCGTTGCTTGCTTGCTGGATTGGCGTCTTGACGCTTGCATACATCGATAACGCTTGGTGCACCTGCAGATCAACGACACCCAGCCGCCTTTCCGCCCCTATGGAGGCGACATTCAAATCGAAATCGACTCAATGGAGGAGCAATCCCAGCACTGCGTGATGGAAGTCAATCCGATTCTTCCGGCCTCGGAGCCTGGCTTTGTCGAGGCCATCCGAGACATGTTCCAGATGTGAGCACGAGCATTTGTCTGAGTAATGCAGTTTGTGTGTGTTGGAACGGGAGAGTGAATCAGCTCGCGCACAAACTAAACTCTACCTGTCGCTGCAGTAATCTTGGACCGCCATCACCGGTCGCCGTCGAGCCTGTCTTGACCTCAAATGCACTGGTTGGTGCATCAGACTCACCCGATCAATCATCTGAAACAACTGCAAGTCGAGGAAGGTCGGCGGCATTTGCGACGCCAGATGCACACGGCTCAACGCAAGTGAAGGACGGCTCCTCCAGTCCAGGCCGTCGAGATAACAGAGAATCATCAATGGATCGCAGCGCCGGTCAAGACGACCAGAGACTGGATCACAGGACCGTCCACGTCGCAACAGATGCGTCTGGTCATCTGGACTCGATCGATATCACACCCAAGGGAACGGCATCTGCAGCAGCTCGCACCGATCTTCCTCCGCCTGCGACGGCAGCCAATGAAGCCGTGCTGCTCCAGCAACAGATGTACATTGCTTATCTCCAGCAGCAAATGGATATTATCCGGTCGCAGCTGTCCCTGATGACGATGCCGGGACTTGGCGCTGGAATCCCCGGCATCGGTTCCGGGATGCCTGGGATGCCCGGCTTCGGCATTGGGCTCTCTGGACTGCCAGGCGCGATCCCAAGCGTTTCACCGATCGGCACGGCGTATGGCATGATGCCAGCCTCCGTCCCTCCGACTCCACGGCCGCCTCCTGCCGAGTCAAGGTGCACAGTAGGGACAAACACAAGCCTGGTTTTTGAAGCGACAGCTGTAGCCGGAGCAACCGATGGACGTCTACCCGAGGATGCTGTGACCAGCCGGAGTGGCCAAAGCGGGCCCGCCCAGCCGCCACCGGGAGCACGGACGGATGACAAGCCGCCGCAGGATCGTGGGTCTGAGCAGAGACTCGGCTACACCACCGAGGGCGATGCCGGCCTTGTGATTGCACCGACGGAGAGGTTGCAGATCTTTGATCATGTACGAGGCAAGCATGGCGGTTTCACACTCCCACCCGACACCGGAAGCAACTATCGCCCGTTTTGGGGGATCGACGACATACATGACCAGCCGGCCCATCTCAAATCATCCACCTCCAAGGACACTCCAGCAGACCTTCACCTTTCCGAAACAAGGTTTTCTGGCAACAACACCAGCTCTGCTGTCATCGACAAGACCCAGGACCAGTTCCAGGATCTTTCCCACATCATCCGAACCGTGCCTGCTGACCTGCAAGCCAAGGGCCGCCACGAGGCCATCGTGCCCGAAGCCGATCTCGAGCCGGACGACTTTGAGCAACTTGACTCGAGCTTTGAGACAATCTCGGAGACACCTTCTCCGGGACACGTCCCAAGCCCGCTCCTGGGCACCAACGGCCGTGGGGCACGACAACAGCAGCAAACTGACTTGGCCCGCGAAGCAGCCTCCGAACGAGATGTCGACGGTGGGACGCGGTTCCATTCGAAGTCGCTGGCGCTGGACCCGTCGATGGATGCCAGGGATATCATCGCTGGACTAGCAAGCCATCCAGAGGAAAGCTTTATCTTTGTCTGTGACAAGCCAGAAGGCGCACAGGCTCAGGGAAAGGTGAGCCATGGCAAGATGCAGCGCTGGGCGGGAAGCACAAATGAAGAGGAGCTGCGGGTGCTCGGTGGACCGGGTCGACTGGCAGAGTATTGGGACAAGTGGTTTGTGGCCTCATGAGCGTGGGATCGCAAGCATGGCCCGGCTCCCTTGCCGCGATAACCACCGATCATCGATCATGTCGACTCATCTGGTGGACGGCTGGATGCTTGATTTCAGCCCATGAACGAGGATAGAACTGCATCCATCCAAAATGGATCCAACGCGGTGGTTTCAGCAGGGGACGCCCCGATGGCCACGGTGCCCTCTGTCCGAACTCGACGGCTATACTCCGAGTCGGACGACGACGATGATGACAGCGACGATCACGAGCCTTTCTCTGCCGCGACCCTTGAGTATCTTCAAAAGTACGGGCTCCTGACCCCAGGCTCTGCTTACGGTGCCCCTGCGGGTGATTCGGTGAGTTGCAGGGATGATCTTGCCGATCGACATGTGAGGGGCTGCTGTTCGAGTGATGGCAGCTATGCTGGGCAGCCCTGTATGAGCAAATTGGTGATCGAGCAGGTCATTGTGGATGCGATGGGTACACACCCTTGTGAGTGTGCCACGAGTTGCTGATCGAGTCTTCTTCCGACAGACCAGCGAGTCCGATTCGTACAACGATTATTCGGCACGGCCCCGGCGACGCACGGCGTCGAGCTCATAGCCATGCGAGAGCTGCCCGACCATCTGCGGCTGCTGGGCAACGGGGCCGAACCGATGCGAGGGATCCGAGTATCGATTGTGTGAAACGGGACATTCAGCCTCGCTTTCGTTGGCCACCTTTTTGAAATTGCAGACCAATACACTCTTTCGCTGCTTCCAGGTCATCTGCGGTACTGATGTCGCGAGCCTGATTCAGCAAAATCCTGAGAATGCCACACTGAAGCTGGCGGAATAATTGAAAAAAAGAATCGCTCCTAGGTGGGCTCGAACCACCAACCTTCCGGTTAACAGCCGAACGCGCTAGCCAATTGCGCCATAGGAGCTTGTGTGTCTGGTATGTCGTCACGGTATCTGAATGTGGTAAAACAATCACGTGACACGAATGCGAGACAAACGGTGTCTGGCTCTGGGGTTGCTTGGCCCGCCGATCTGTCACTTGCAGCGCATTGGCAGACCGAGCTACAAGAGGCACCTATGAGATGAGGTGACTTGACATGCCATAAATCTATTCTGCGGCTTCGAGCCTCTTCTTGGCTTCCGATACAACGCTCATGACAGAGTTGTAGCTGTCCATCAAGACTGACTTGCACGGAGAACCAGGCGCGAGCAACTCCTCCACCATATCGCAAAAATGCGACTGCGGTCCATCCAAGCCCAGCGGCTTCAACTTGGCGCCCTCGAATCGCCTGTACAGCAGATGGAGCCCGTAGCCATCGTAGCAGCCAATGATGGAGGTGACATCGAGTGGGCGGAAGCAGGCATCGGTCGCAACCAGCACGGCTGACTGCATCCGAAACCAGAAAGTGGACACAAACTTGAGCTCGCCGCAAAGCTCGTCGAGACTTGGCATCCGGTAGCAAGGGCCCAGGCCGCGCCAGGTGAGAGGATCGCCGGCGAGATCGCCATGGGCCTCCAGGAGTTCCACACGGGCCTCCTCAAAGAGCTCCACCAGGATACACAAGAGGAGAACGTCGATATCGAACGCTGTAAATGGCGTTCGGCTCTGTGTCGCCTTGATGAGCACGTACAAGGTCAGCGTCACCAGCTGGAGCGTCGAGGTCTGCTTCTGAGTCAGCGTGGGCGAAAAGACAGACTCGTCCGAAAACAGAGCTTGATACAGGAACGGGGCATCGTCGGGGTCGCAGATGCGACACACATTCATGATTCGCGCGGCCCTGTCCTTCTGGAGCAGCTCCTCCATCGTCATCAAGTCGTCTATATCGAATATCTTGACGACCTTTCGGACAGGGGCTTCCACTCGAATGAGCTCGTTCAAGAGGGCTCCCTGTCCGACGACCACCCAGTAGATTCGCTGGAAGAGAGGCGAGACAATGTCCCAGCTACTGACGCCCCTGTGGTCGATCTCGCCCGTGAGATCCATGCAGAGGCGGCGGAAGACTCCGATCGACATGACGGTCCGACCGACCTTGCTTTCGATAAAGACAGGATGAAGGGCGGCAGGGATGTTCTCGTTCAGCTTCTCCTTCACCTCGCGCGAGATTGTTGCCGGCTTGTTGAGATTGTATGGGATCATGCCCTCGATCATGAGCTGTTTCAGTCGGCGGTTGGTGGGGTCCTTATCGGGAAGACACTTGAACACAACCTCGACAGGGTCGCTGCGGTGATCGAGTCTTGATAGATAGGCGATTGTATGGGGGATCTTGTAATTGGCTCGCCCTTCAAACACCTGCATTCGGATCGCCTTGGCGCTGTCATAGTCAACATAGTCGTTGCTGCTCATGACGGCGAGAAGAGCGAGGAGTCGAGCGTTGCCGTGAAGACTTCCGTAGGCATTGCGGAAGCCGAGCGGGGTCAGACACATGGCCGTCAGCCGACGCTGGTCGAGCGGCTGGGACATCGATAGCAACTCTTGCGGGAACTCCTCCGGGGTGCGGTACCACGAGGTGTTCAGGATCGAGCAGTAGATGCCAAACTCGGAGTTTGAACTCATGATGCCGAGCAACTGGGATCTGGGCGCAACGTCTTGGGCGTACCGAGCCATCTCCTTGATGAGATCGGTCTTGCAGCGGTGGAGTTTGAAGCTGTCGGGCGTGGGTGGCTTGAGATGCTCCAGGGCGACGCTCTCGAGGAACGTGCGGATGTTGACTACGGATTGGAACTGGTTCTCGTCTTCGGGGCCGCCTTGAGCCGATCGCTGCTGCTGATGCTGCGGATGCTGGTCCCGGTGATGGTTATGATGATGATTCTGCTGCTGCTGCTGCTGCTGGTAGTGGTGAGGATAGTTGCCGCCTCGAGCGCTGCTGTTGGTCCACGGGAACTGGGCTGGCTTGTAGACCCACTCTTCGTCATGCTTTGCTCGCAGCTCGCAGTTACTGAAGAGCACCACCGAGAGCCCGGCATCGAGCATCTTCTGGAAAAACACCACAATGCGATCACGCAGCTCGTGGTACTGCCCCATCGTGGTTTGGTTGATGCGGTACTCGGAGGGCAGTGCTGGCGTTACAACCGCGAACATTCGCTTGAGGGAGCCTGCATCGACGAGGAGGAGCCGCCCAGAGACCAGAGTGGGATTGAGGATGTTGTGATTCTCCCCATAGTCCCTGAGATACGAGGTCAGCAACTTGACTCCCATCGCTGCTCCAGTGGCCGATCGATTGCAGAGACGGGTCGGGAGGCGGGCGGGTGGGGAACGAGTGGGGAGCGAACGAGTGGCAAGAGGCGAAGAACAGGCAGTGTCGGACGGGCCACAAGGCGGGAAGGGCAGATTTCTCAGCACGGCTGGCTGCGCGCCAGGCGGGTCTGGGGCCAATCTGTGTCACGCTGGCAGGGTTCGGTTTTTCGGTGGTGCCGGCGCCATGAATTGCAGCAATGCAGACGCATCGATGGGGGGGAGCAACCTGACGGCGCTGAAAGAGCTCGACCCAACTGACCCATCTCGATTGTGCATGCGGCCTTGGAGGCCTACGTCCAACAAGGCCAATGCGGTGTCTTGGGGGGCAGCAAATCTTTTGGTCGTTGATCTGGAGAGCCGGGTATCCTGTTTTTCGTTGGACTCGCCTCATGCTGCTCTCCCTCAGCGGCCTGGCTGGTGCATTCGGGTGGGATGGAAGATGTCGAGAATATGTATTTCGGCTCGCGATGACAGCGAGTCCCTGCAACTCCAGAAAGTGCCACATGCTACTTTACACCCAGGCAAGAGCGTCCAGACGGACAGTGCCAAAGCCAAACGCTCCCGGCCACGCTTCTCATCGAGCCCTGATACTCGCTGCAACCATGTCTAACGAGGGGAAAGGGGGGAGGAGGAGTGGGTCTCTAGTCCGACTTGCTCTTGCTGGTAACCTGGGTCTCCTTCTGGACCCAGGTGCGGCTGATAAACTTGAGAGCCTCGTCAATGAAAATGACGGGGAGCGAGATGAGGAGAACCCACTTCCATTCCTCGAGTCCGAGGGGCGTGATCGCAAAGAGATCCTGGCGGTTCGAGCATCGACCGGGGGAATGCAGAAGGGCAGAGCTGGGTCAGCTGGGCTGGGCCGAGCGGCTCTCAACAATGCGAGGCTCTAGTGCTTCAGAACCATGCGTCTCGGGTATCCAGACCGATCATACTCCATGTGAGCGTGAGTCGCGGATCTAAATGCAGCTGATGCAGTGTCAGGCACTCACCGAGAAGAAGGGAACGTAAAGGATCATAAAGTGCAGGGCCATGGAGAGCGTGACGGCAAAGACCAGGTAGAGGTTGTTCTGGAGACCAAAGGTAAGGAGCGACTCGTTCTCGGACAAGCTGGTGTTTTGCACACGGTAATCGAGAAGTGGGTTAGCAGTCTCGCAGGCTGCAACGCTGCTCTCCAGCGATCGTTGTGGCAGACATTCTGATGCCGGCGTAGATCGGCCTACCTGTTGATCGCGTTGAACATCTCGACGACGACGAGAATCGACAGACTCATGGTCGTGGCTTTCTTGCTCATAAAGTTGGCAAACATGTCACATCCGATATCAGGGAACAGGGTCGAGCACTTGTGGAAGTTGGTCTGAAGCAGGATTACGGGTTAGTTCAGGAAGAGTGGCGTCGGCATGCTTCCAGCAGCCCGATCCTTAACCGGCTATGCCCAGGCTGAGGGGAGAGCTCCCTCCCGCTGGCCGCTAGTCGAGTTCCTTCCGAACTCGGCCTTGGATGGCTTACCAGCTGATACCAGGTGATATGGGGACCGTTGCTGTAGTAGATGAACCACCAGGCATAGCCAAACACAGTGGCAATGCCAACGTAGGTGCCGATCACGATATAACTGGTTTGGGTAGAGGCGTGCGTGCTCACGGTTAGCATTACGCCTGGCAAACGACGCTGCTCCATCGATACAATCGGAAACGGGGGCAACACAAACTACGTCGTGTCAGTCTACCCTTACCGGATAAAGAGCCAAGTGGTGACGATGGGCTCCTTCGACGAACGAGGCGGTCGACGCATGATGGCATGATCAGCAGGGTTGAAGCCCAGAGCCGTGGCCGGAAGTCCGTCGGTCACCAGGTTAACCCAGAGCAGCTGGACGGGGATCAGGGCCTCGGGCATGCCAAGAACGACTGTGAGGAAGATACTAACGACCTCGCCAATGTTGGATGAGATCAGGTAGCGGATGAACTGCTTGGTGTTGGCGTAGATGCTACGGCCCTCCTCGACAGCAGCCACAATGGTGGCAAAGTTGTCGTCGGCAAGGACCATATCACTGGCGAGCTTGGCAACGTCGGTACCGCTGCCCATGGCAACACCAATGTCGGCTCGCTTGAGGGCAGGGGCATCATTGACACCATCGCCGGTCTAGCGGGGGGCGGGCCAAGCAGTGCGTGAGTCTCGCAAGTCAAACACCATCGAGTATGCATCTGCCGTCTGCAGCTCGTCTCACCATGGCAACAATCCATCCATCCTCTTTCAAGAGATCCACGAGCTCCTCCTTGTGGCTGGGTTCGGTTCGCGAGAACAACGAGGCGCGGCGGACGGCTTCTTTCTTCTGGGTTGGGGTCATATCATCAAACTCGCGGCCGGTGTAGCTCAGGTGGGCCAGATCCTCATGCTCTCCAAAGACGCCAATCTTTCGCGAGATCGATTCGGCGGTCTTCTTGTTGTCTCCGGTGATGACAATGACGCGAATGCCGGCCGCCTTGCACTTTCGAATGGACTCCTTGACTTCCTCGCGAGGAGGATCAAGCATGCCGACGAGACCAACAAAGGTCATCTGCGACTCGATCTTGGCGTAGCTGCTGGGGTCAATCTTGGTGGGCTCGGGAATGTTGGGTTGGTCAACGGCGGCGAAGGCCAAGACGCGCAGGGACTCGGCTTCACCCCAAGTGTAAACCTGAGAGGCGGCGAAAGAGGAAGCAGACATCATCAATGTCAGCCGACGTCTCATCCAAGGCCCGCGCGACGCTGCTGTTGCCCAGCTACCAACCACAGCCGCCTGTGAGCAAGCGTGCCATTCGTGTATCAGGCCACCACATACCTTCTTCAAGATCGCTTGGCGCAGGGTTTCGGTGAGCTCGACGCGCTTGCCGGGCGAGGAGGACAGTCGGATGTACTTGCAGCGCTCAAGAATTTGCTCGGGGGCGCCCTTGACAAACAGCACAGAGCCACTTCCGCTCTGCTGGCTAGCGACGCGGGTCAGGGGCGAGGTTCCGAATACGGGGGCGTCCTGCTGGCGGCTCAGAAGGACAGACATGGACTTGCGATCGCGCGAAAACTCGAGAGTAGCCTGGCGCTTGTATTTGGACGCAAAGTGGTCGGCGGCCTGGCCGGCTCTCCAAAGTTTGGTCTTGTGGTCAATCTTGCCGAGGGCGTTGGCATCGGGGATGACGGGCAGCTGCTTATTGAAGGCGGGAGAGTCCGTGCCGACTCTTTCGACAAAGGCCTTGAGAGCCGCCTCGGTAGGCTCGCCAAACTTTTGGAACTGTCCGGATTTCTACAAAGCCAACGAGTACCATCCGGGGCGGGGTTAGCGGACCGACCACAATCAAACACATCTATTGCGAGCAGCGAAAGCTACCAGGGATCGATGCAGGGATCGATGCAGGGATGCGGTACAAACCTCGTCAAAGACGATGCGGGAGTCGTTGCAAAGGGCGCAGATCTGGATAAGCTCGTTTAGGACAGCGTTGTTGCTGAGGATGTCACGATCAACTTGTTTGCCCTCGGCGTTGAGGATGCGTCCCTCGGGTCCGTAGGTGGAGCCCTCAGCCTGGACTTCGTTGAACACGCCGCCCTCGGACTCGACAACGAGACCCTGTGGTAGAAAGTCGTTCCGTGAGGTTAATGCCCCAGCTTCAAAACAATTGGACACACACGTCCTCCGGCCGATCAACGCACCCAGTGAACTCGGATGCCTGGCATCGCTGAGCAATATGCACGCCAATCAAGATCGCAGTCCTACTTACTCGGCGAACACTCATTTGGTTGGTAGTCAGGGTGCCGGTCTTGTCAGAGCAGATGACGCTGGTGCATCCAAGGGTCTCGACGCTGCGGAGCTTGCGGACGATGGCGCCCTGCTGGGCCATCTTCTTGGTTCCAAGGGCGAGGCAAGTGGTGATGATGACGGCAAGACCTTCAGGGATGGCGGCAACCGCCAAGGCGACAGCGATCTTGAAGTAGTAGACTGCGCCCTTGAGCCAGTTGCCGTGGAAGTGCTCATCGTTGAAGTGGCGGATGTTGATGACCCAAACCAGGACGCAGATGATGGAAATGATGCGGGCGAGCTGGTCGCCAAACTCGTCGAGGGCAATCTTGAGAGGCGTCTTATCATCCTCTTGCTCCGAGATCGACTTGAAGATGCCGCCGATGGCAGTATGGGGACCAGTCTGGACGACAATAGCCTTGGCCTTTCCGACAGTGATGGACGTTCCGGAGAAGAGAATGTTGATCTGGTCCTGCTTGACTGCGCCGGGATCCGAGACGATCGTCTGGGCCTCCTTGCTGACCGAGACGGATTCTCCGGTGAGAATCGACTGGTCGACCTTGAATGACGAGGTGTTGATTTCCAGGACGCGGCAGTCGGCGGGCACCTTGTCGCCAACGACGAGTTCGACAACATCGCCGGGCACCAACAGACGGGCGTCGATGGTCTGGACCGTGCCGTTGCGGATAACCTTGGCCTCATCTGGGGAGTATTCCTTGAGGGCCTAGAGCACACAGAGGCGGTCGCAATCGCAAGCAGAGCGACAAAAGTGTGGGTCAGCACGGGCCTGGAAGACTTGGAACTGCTGTCGCGGCAGCCTCAGTGTACCAAGTGCGGGAACGCGTTCGGAGAAACCCAGATTGCGCTGATCGGCGTCCGATCAAACCAGACAGTTTGGCCGACGCTGGCCCTCAGAGTCTCCGGAGCGCTCGTGGATGAGGAGCAGAGCCTCTGCGAGCGCAGACGGGCCGCGCGGGCACCGTCCGAGCAAAGTATATGTGCCAAGGTCTACCTCGATGGCCTTCTCGGCATTGGTTTCTTGGACGACGCCGACGACGGCATTGGCAATCAAAATCAGGAGGATAACGACGGGCTCCACAAAGGCAGTGGTCTTTTCTTGTTCGTCCGTCTCGAGGGCGGCCAGTACAAATGAAACGACGGCGGCGCCCAGGAGAATGAGGACCAGCTGATCCTCAAATTGCTCCAGAATCAGTTTCCACAAGGGTGTGCCCGGTTCCTCGGGCAGTTCTACCGTGCACGGAATGAGCGATGGGGGATGGAAACAAATGGGGGGGGGACCAGAAGGATTGGTTGGCAACACGGTGTCAGAGATGAAGCTGGACGGTATGCTCGCCTTCCGAACAGCACAGCCCAGGACGATATGCCGAGTAACAGTCCGCAAGCCGGCGCACAAAGTCGACGCTGCGGTCTGGGAGCTATCCGTGTGGCGCGCTGCCATTACGGCAGATGGAGCTGGCAGACCGTGCCAAAGCTTGCTGGGCAGACTCTGTCGATGCCACCGTCGGCTCTCCTTGGCCTGCATGGCGGGCCACTCACCATTGCGGCCGTATCGCCCCAGACGCTGGTCGGCCTCGGCGGCCGTGAGGCCGTTTCGGCGATCCGACTCGAGTGTCTTGACGACCTCCTCGGGACTCTTGGTAAAGCTGTTGTCCATGTGGGATGTCCTTGGCAGGCAGGTATCCCTAAACTGGCGGTAACTGTGACGGCAGCGAGGGCGGTTTGGGCTGGCGTCCTTGGCTCAGAGCGGGAGAGGATAGCGCGGGCTGCTGAACAGTCCAGATGCCGCTGGTTCGTGGACGACGATCGAAATCTCGGGCTGGGGAGAAGTCGGCGAAGCCCTTGCTCCAATCAGCGACGGCCAGGGTGGCGGGAAATGAAATTTTCATTCATTCGTGCCGGGGGAGGCGGGAGCAAATCCGAAAAGACAGCTCGGTGGGGGAACTCAGCCGCACATCCACGGCAAGCGCAGGCGGCTGCTGGCGGGCGCTGGGTGGACGGCGGATCGTCGCACGGCCAGATTTGTGGGAGGTGGGGTTGTTGCACCAGCGGGCTGGTGGGGGTTCTCACGGCGGCCGTGGCTGCTGGCCAGGGGACTTGTGCTGCGGGTCAGCGCTTCGGTCTCCTCCAAGTGCTTTCGCCAGGCCTTGTCGTTCGGCCTGGCTGGGTGCGCTCTCTGGTCCTGGATGGCCGCCCTTTGGCCATACGGCCTCGCCTGGCCTCTGGCGGGCGGGCGGCAGTCGCCTCTGCGCGGGTCCTGGGCATCCCCCCTGCACCTCGGGGCCCGTCAGGCGCCGCCTCTCGGGTCGCCGGTCGTTCAGAGAGCCGTGGGAAGTCTGTCTCTTGGCGACCATCCAGCACCTATCCAGCGTCCATCCAGCACCCATCCAGCGTCCATTCAGCGCCCATCCGCGAGCGACGCCACTTGTTGCCGACGGCGATGCAGCCGTTTCGGTCCCAGTGAGGTTATCATGCTCGCGCGGCGCTCGCTTCGTCGTCTCGGCCTCCTGGCCCTGGCAGCGAGGGCGGATCCAGTCGCTCTCTGCGCTGCCGCCATGTGCGGTGGGCATACAAACCCGCGCGCTGGAGCCGCTGTGCGCTGCCTTGCAAGGGGGGGGGGCCAGAGCTGCATGTCTATGCCTGGGCCTGTCGTCTCCCTGATGATGCCGAGCGGGCAGCGGATCACATTGTGTGCAACCTGGCATTCCCTCCCCTCCATTGTCTGCAGAGCGCCGGCCGCCCGCTGGTCTTGGTCCTGCAATTGTGTGTGTATTGGCTCGTTGAGTAGGCAGCCCGGGAAACGCGGAGTGCTTGCGCTGCAGCAGTACAGCTGGGCATCTGGATTTCGCCCGGCGGTCCCGCTTGGCTTCGTTCGCTCCTGCTGGCACTCTCGAGCATCCTTCCCTCCCGTGCACTCTCTCCAACCAGACACCTGTCGCGGCTCGGGTGCCTCGCTCCTCCCCCCCCCAATTCATCTACTAGCCTGCGTGCTTCTGGTCGTGTCCGTCTGCGTGTCTTTTGTCGGGACTGCCTGCTCGCGTCGGTGCTGTTCGAATCCCACGGCCTTTGCATACTTCGCTTCGGCCTCCATTCCACGCATCTTTGGCGCATCCCACAGCTCGTGCCGCTCGAGTTGCCTTTGTACTTGGAGGTGCCGGTGATCCCACCCGTCCACGCACCCCGCATCCTCATTTGCCCGATTTGAGTAATAAACTTCCACAAGGCAAAGCGTCCCGTCTGCCGACGACTATCAGCTCCGGGTGAATCGCGACGATACACCACCCCCTCAACCTCCAAGACGATTCTATCCGCGCACGCAAGAACCGCCTCTTATCGTGTATCCAGCGCTCAGCAAGATCAAGTCTGCGGTCATCTCTCCGCTTCCTGCCCAGCCCAAGACAGCAAATGTCAGTCAATTCGTATTCGCCCATGGTACACGCCGAGTCTCGCTTGGTCGAGCAAGAGCCTGATCAGCACGTCGGTCATTCCCACACCACCCAACTGGGCGACGATCTCGGCATCTCGGTCCATGAATCCAAGTTCGAAGCCCAAAAGAACAGCAAGTGCAGAATCGCGAGCTTGACCAACAGGTACCACGCATCCCGTTATCTGTCAGCCACCGCCAGGGATCGCCAAATGCCATCCAGTGCGAGCGGGCGGGTGTCACGCATTCGTACACTCAGGGCGATGAGCGTCTGCTGCTCGGCGACCTGCCGCTAACGCGTCCTTGGCCTGATTTTACTTCGTTTCCACCTTGATCGCAACCGCCACATACCGACTGCGGCAAACTCGATTCTGATGTGGGATCGCACACCCGGACCGTGAACCTGCGGCTACCACCATCCATGTTCTGGGTGCCTCATCCCTCCGCTCGACCGTTAACTACCCACCCGGGACAGCCCGAAACACCAAGCCACCCAGATGGTCCCTGCCCCGGTGCGGCTCATTGCCATTCGCCTGGATCTCGAAGTCGAAGGCGTGAAGCTTCGTGACGCGTTCACCTGGAATCTTCATGGTTGTTACCTGTCTGATGCTTCTGAACGATTAGGTCGCGCTGCTTCTGTGTGCTTTCAGATAGGTGTCCCCCTGGCCTATGGCTGTGTGCTTGTCCAACATGTATCTGCTGCGTAGCATGCATCGCCGCTGCCTTCCTGATGTGGATTCGAGACGCATGTCCGATTCTCAGGCTTGGCTGGCGTTGGGAAACGGTCCATGCTCGAACCGTAGCACCGCACCGAGTCTCTAACACACCCTGATGCATCCGTACCAGAGGTCCTGGTGACTCCCGAGCAGTTTGCGCAGATCTTTGCCGACGATATCGACTCCCCGCTCTCGCAGCAGTTTGTGCCGCTCATCTCGCAGTCCATCCGTCAGCAGTGCCAGTCGTATTTGGAGGAAGACAGCAGCCCAGGCATGGGACAAAATCCGCCTGCCCCCGTCCATCCCTTTCCGGAGGGGCCGACAATGAGCCTGGAGGACATCCGCATCATCATTAAGGTACGTTGCAACAATCACTGGCCTTCACATTTGCCTTTGCGGGTCCAACCGTGACGACCTTGCCGCCCACGAGAGAACCCTGGCTGGCGACGCTAACTTTACGGTTGCTCTCTCGGCGATGCTTTGTAGCTCGATGTCAATGTTGGAACTTTCCACCTACACGACCAGTTTGAATGGCCGCTCTTTGCTCCCAACGCACCCAGCCCCGAAGAGTTTGCTCACCAGCTGTCGCTGGACCTCGGGTTCCCTCAAGAATACATCTCGGTGATTGCCCACGAGATCCGGCAGCAGCTATGCCTGGCCCGAATCAACTTTGAAGAGTCTGCACACGTTGGTCCTGTGGTCGGAGCGGCCCCGGCTGCAACGGGCCCTGTGCCAGGCATCACTCCACCCCATCTCAGCGTCCTGGGACCACAGGGATCGGCGCTGAATGCAAGTTACCAGTCTGAGCACATTCAAGAAGGTGATTGGATCCAGTCCGAGTCCAGCGAAAAGGGCGGCCGAGAGAAATCCAAGAGGTAAGTGTCTATCTCGCACACGTGCAGCCATTTGTCGTCGAGCGGTGGTTCTGTCGAGTACTTCGCGCTGGGACGCGCAAATGCGGCTCCGGTAGCTGGAACTCGTGCAGGATCGGCTTGAGCGAAACTTGCGTGAAAAACAACAACAACACGGTGCTGCCCTTGGCGCCATCTGGTGCGCTGTATGCAGCCGAACGGAGCTGGGGACGCTCGCAGGTCGCAGTGCCTGATGCGAGTCGCCCGTGGTGTCGCGCTTTCCGTTTGAAATGGATGGGGGGGGGAATACTTTCCCACACACATGAGGCCGCATTCCGCAGTGTGCTCGTGGTTCTTTGATTTAGCACGCGGGGAACTGTCCCGACACGAACTCTTGGTGTCTAATTGATTCCTTGATTCCTTGGTCTACCAGGAAGCGAAACCGGCAAGGCGCATCCTACAGCTCCCAAAGTCTCAACCTGAGCGGCAACCCTTCCCACTCGGGGATGTCTCAAAATGCCGCGAGTATCCACTGGCAGCACGGAGGCCCCGCGGGTGGAACCAGCAACAGCAGCAGCGGCTCCAACTCCCGCACGATGATGCCTCCGAGTCACCCTTCCCGTATTCCATACCGCAACTACACACCGACGGCCGAGGAGCAGGCAACCTTTTCTCAGTTTGCATACGGCGCCGGTGGGGTCTATCTGGGCGGGCCCCAGACACCGACGCAGTCGCAGACACAGGCGCAGACACCAACGCAGTCACACCACCCTAATCCATACCAGAACCAACTGCAGCTTCCGTTTCAGTCCACACACTACTCGTCACAGTTTGGCGGGGCAAATGTGCCACAGCAGCAACAGCAGCAACAACAGCAACAGCATCCTGCACACCTCTCCATGCACTTTGCCAACAGCGGACCCGGCAGCAGCTGCAGCACCGACAACCAGGGCAGCGGCTCAACCATCGGCGCTCATATGCAGCACAATCACATGTCGAGTGCCTCACAAAAGAAAGAGAAGCGCAAGCAGCGCGATCCCCCCATCATTGACACGGAGCTGGTCGCGAAACAAGTCGAGTTGATGCAACAGAGCGCCGACCTGTTGAACAATCCCGGTGGCGGAGAACTCATCAACACTGCAAACGGAAACATCATCGATCTCTCGGATTCTCGAGGCATCAGCCCTCCCAAGAAGCACAGGGGGTTTGGTGCCAGTGCCAACATGTTCAATGCCGACGGAAGCATCGATGTTGGCGGTATGTCGAGGGTGGTGCTGTTGCGCAGGAGCCAGGGCCGACTCACAATCATGGGTCTGGCTGCGTCCCGCTATACTTTCATTCTCCAACTCCCCGGCTTTGACGCCAAAATGCTGTTGCTTGAGAGTCTGTCCACGTCATAGGCCATCTTCATCGCAATCGCTGATGACATCGCGCTCTCCCTCTCTCTGCAGAGTTTCGGCTCGTTTGGCGATGCTCGTGGTGCCTGCTCAGTGGCCGCTACACACCCACCCTCCGCAAGGGACCTCTCGGCTCGAAAACCCTTTGCAATGCCTGTGGAATCTGGTACTCGAAGCATGGATCCCTGCCTCAGGATCGATACCAAGAAAACGCAGACTGTGTATAGGGACGCTGCTTTCTTTTCCAAATCGCCATCGCTCGTTGCCGCTGCGGCTGCTCCCTTCACTGTTACGGTATCGACCGACGGCATACGTGCTCTCGACGCCTCGTATGCAACACTGTGGTTTACTTTCGCTTCTTTGATTTTGCTCATGCATGATGCATGGCATTCCCCCCCCTTCAACCATTCTGTCAAACTCTCTCTCTCTCGTTGCACTGGGTTTGCCTGCAATCTCCCTCCTTTCCACCCTCATGCGCCATGCGTTCATTTCGTTCTATTTTCTTTCCCTTCATACACGCTCACTTGCTTGTTCGGTTCGGTTCCATCACTCTCACCTGCTTGCTCTTTGCTTCTCATTTCTCTCTTTGACTACTTCTCTGGATCTGTCCCCCCCCATCACCGAGAATGCGCTTCATAGTTGCCGTGACGACTTGGTGGCCAGTCAATGCACCCCGATTAGAGCCCGCCTGGCTGTTATCAAACCAGGCTAGATCTGATATAGATTCATGTTTTTACAAGAGCGCTGTATGGCTGCGGCACTGAACGTATGGTCACGCTGTTTATGGACGAGCCAATGTCCTTGGATAGGATCTCGACGGGGGGGGGCACTTTGATATGCCGCTGACCCACTGTCCTCGCAGCGATCTGCAGTCGTCAATCGGCAATGGCTTGATCAAAGTACACGGGTACCCAACGCCGATGTTCGCCACCGAGACCCCTCCATTCCAAAGCGACGATGCACCCATCTGGACCAACGCCCGAAGCGAGGATCGAGTCCGCACCAGACACGTTGTCTTTTGACGAGGCTGTTTCCCACACAGCCTCCATAGCCTCCACAGCCTTCGCAGCTTTCACAACTCTCACGAGGCTCGCACTTGCTTTCATTACATATTTCGCTCCTCAGTATTCCGGATTGCTCCAGTTCGATGAATATGCCTCCCTTTCGGGCCTGTCCTCTTCCTCACTTCCTCCCGATCCACTCACCCAAAGCCCCATCTACCGCTTCCTTCGCATCGTGGGCTCAACCTATCGATATCACTGCCACTGTTCTGTCATTGTCGCTGTCAGTATTTCTGAATACTGCACAGACACTACCTTTGCTTTCTCTGGATGTGATCGCTGCACTGTGGCATCTGACTGCTAGCTGTAACCCTTGCAAGGAGCAACAAAACAAATCTAGGACACCTGGGTTTCCATAATCGTTGTTTCCATAACGATTGTTCCCGTAATGGACTGCGGCCGCCCCTCCCGAGACGCAGGCTTTCAAGGCCTGTCCATGCAACTGTGAACAGAACTGTTCCGTTTTTCTTTTTTTTTGGCTGGGTAGACTATCAGGTCGATTCTCACAGGCGCTGACGCTCTCGGGACCTGCCCTGGCCTGCAGCACAGAATATGCGGCGGGCTGCATTTCGCCGCCCTCGTCGGGCCCTCGTCTGGCTCTCGTCTGGCCCTGGTCTCTGCTGGCTGGCGCGCCTGGCTTCCCCAACACGCCGAATCTCGGCTGGTCGGTTTGCCGAGATCTCCCATCTGGCCGCGCAGCCGAGCACTCTTCCCTTCCAAGCCAGCACGCACTGTCTCGGCGATAGCACCAGCAGCATCCAAAGCTCTCCTCCGATCTCGTTTTCATTAGCCGTTCGGTCACTTGATCTGCTCTCATCGCACACAGTCGACTCAACATTGGATCGCACCGACAATATCCTTCGTCTGCGCCGCCGCTGCCTCCGCCTTTGATCCCAGCGCACAAGCTTCTTTTGGAGAATTTTTTTTTGTCTGCTCCATTCTTTGACCCATCCGCTGTTGACTTTGTCGCCTCACAACCCATCGTTCGACTTTTCAATTGCTCCGAATATCCCTTGATTGTCCCCCCACTGCCTCCACACACTCGAAACATCACCACCATGATCAACATCCAGGAAGAGCACACCCGCAGCGCCTCGAGCCCAACTACTACCCCTCCTCTGCCTCGCTCCAATGGCGAGCAGCCGAAAGACTCAAAGCCCGCCGCGCCTCAGGCATCGATCGACATCCCGCCCAACGAGCTTCCCCAGGGACACGACCCAAGAATCGGCCTTGTCAACGGCAGCGTCTCGCTCCCGGTCGCCCAGCAGCAGCAGCAGCAGCAGCATCACCATCACCACCATGGCTACCATGATATTGTCTGTGCACATCTATACCATCATGGTTTCTCTCAGGGTCGCTATCACGACCTTGTTTTGCGTTTCGAGTGTCCCCCCACCGACGATCGGACTCTGGCGCTTGATCGTGCGGCCCTGGCGGCTGCAAACTTCAAGCTCCACCGCATTGTGGCCTCGAGGAGCCCCTTCCTTTCGGCACGTCTGGAAGCTTGCGAACAAGAAAGGTAATGTCGCCTGCCGAGCGCTGGATCCGCGTGTCGGTTAATTGGGCTGCTATGATCTTTGTGGCTGCGATCGGGCCGTGCTCACGACTTGCCACATTGATTTGGCTGTGCCCATGGCTCCAGCATTGTCTGTCAGGAGAGTGGTCGTTGGAGCAAAGGGTAGACTGGATCGGATTCCAGCCATTCTGGCATTCACACACATTCTCCCAGCCGATCCGGCCAATCTATCAGTGCTTGCTGCAGCAAGCAGATGCTGCTAGTCTAGAAACTCCCCCGTTGGAGCAGCATCCAGGTGCAGTGACTGATGGCTCCATTCTCTTTCTCTGATCAGATATTCGCTTCCGCTGACAATGACGGTTGAGCTGTCGGACCCCAACCTCACCGTCGAGGGCATCACGATCGCACTCGGGCATCTCTACGCCGGATATGCCCAGAGCCAAATGATGGGCCACTCATCTCGCATGCTGCGGTCGCTCCTGTCGGCCACACAGCTGCTCCAACTGTGGGATCTGCAGAACATGGTGTGCGAGTGCATCAAGAACGACATGTCTCGAGAGACGGTGCTGGACTACTGTCGGTTTGTAAGCCAGCTGCCTGATGGCACTGGATATGGCCTGGCCAACCAGAAGATCCGCGACTTTGTCTACCGCTTCCTCACCAAGGGCATCGTGCGAGAGCTGGTAGACGAGCTCAACTCTCCTATCTGGGGCAACCGTGGCGGAGAAGGCTACAAGGGGCTTGTCCGGATGTTCTCCAATCTGCCCTTTGAGTGGCTCAAGAAGGTGGTCGAGAGCGAGCATTTTGAAGTCCCCAGCGATATGGAGAGGTACGTCGCGCTGGTGCAGTGTTCTGGGCCGATATGATCCCGGCGGCGAGCGGTGCGGAAGCTGGACATTGGCAACGAGGCCCATATGACCAAAGTGATTGCTCGGGTGGCCCGGCGTGGTATCCTCGAGTTTTGCCAAGATTCAGAAGAATCGGGATTGAGTGGGTAATGGGAGGGTGACTGGTGCACGAACATTGCGAGATTGGCAAAGTGCTAGGGCAACCGCGGATCGAGTACCAATGCCAACTCCATCTGCTGCAGATACACTTTTGCCAAGGACGTGATCGGTCTGAGGTCCCAGCGACGCAAGGGAAGCGCAAGCGGACATGCAGCAGGTGAAGAGAACGTGCTGTTGTCCTTTGGCAGCGGCAAGACCCGGGGCAGCGAGGTTACGATCGTGCGGAAGGCGCAAAGCAAGAGCCGCCTGGCCGAGTCGGGACGAAGCAGCGTCGGGAGCCACAGCAACGGCGCCGAGCGCAAGGTGTGGAAGGCACAGGCTCTGTGATGCCGCCCGCTGATAGACCGCAACAGACGATGGCGGGTCTGGGTTTGTTGAATGATGCCGGAAGGCCGGCAGGTCTGAATCGATGCGCGCTCGAGACGACTTGCAACTCGAAGGCTTGTGCTCTGGCTGGGATTAGCGTCTGAGCCGGACGGCACCAATACGACGGAACAAACGGCGTCGCAGGGACTTCGCGTCCTGGCAATAGCCTCCGCCTGAGCACTGTCGCAGATCCGTGGGGGCTCATGGATACCATGGGCCAATCCTGCTCCGAGGACATTGATGTATCGTCCTGGAGGTGCCCTTTGGATCGTGAATAGACACGTTCACAGAGCCATGCAGCACCGCCTCTATCTATCGACATCGCGGATACCGTCGATGATTCCTCCAGGTATCCAGAGCAGCTTCATCCACCAAGACAGGGGCACATACATGGGGTGGGTGAGCCTGGTAGGCAGTCACCGAAAGCGTGCCAGCGACCGTGCCGTTGATGCCATGTGGCGAAGTTGTGATGGAGAAGGTGGCGAAGTGTCTGGATATACGAGGAGTGATGTGGGGCGATGTGACGAAGGACAGATTGCCAGAGATTGCGATGGATATGTGTGGGGTAGGTGGAGTGCTATGGGTTGCGCAATGGATGGAGCGGATGGAGTGGGAACAGGGGGCTGAGTCTGGCCGCCCTGAGGCGGAAATGTGCAAGGCCCGGCCCAGCACAGGATGACAGAACGGCAAATCAGAACGGCAAATCCGGTCACCCACAGAGCAGATGGCCACGAGTATGGGCCGCGTGCAGCGATGGATCCGGGGGAAGAGGGCGAAAAAAAGACATTTGGCGCGCACGGTGCCGAAGCCGACGGGACACATGCAAATAGATGCAAGATGCAAGGAAGTGCAACGGAAGTGCAAGGAAGTGCAACGGAATGCAAGGAAGCGCAGCAAAGGCCAAGGAGACGCAAACAGACACAGCAGCCCCGCGGAGTTCGCAAGACGCATTTGCACATCCGTTTACATTTCGGCCAACCATTTTGGCCAACCATTTCGGTCAACCATTTCGGTCAGCCATTTCGGCCAGCCGGGCTGAAAACGCAACAGACACAAGGAGCGCAGACACAGGCCCGCTTGTCTTTTCCCGGCCGCCTTGCTGGCCAACCACGGGTGCGCCACGTCCGCGCTCCTATCGCCGTCGTTGTCGTCCGCGCCAGGCCGAGGCGGGCTCGCTTGGACCGAAGAGAACTCCTCTGGTCGCCGTCTCAGCCAACTGTTGTATCCGTCGCCTTGGTCGTCGTTGCATCGTTATTTGATACCACTAACGCTCCACGTAACAACCGCAGCTGCAACCGCAGCAACAGCGCTTCAGTATCCGTTGCCGCGCCTCTCCCGCCTCGCCTCGCCTCCGCTGCCCGCCACTGCCACCGAGGCTTTCTCGTCCTGCCCTCCAGACCACTCCCGTCGTTGCATCGGCTCTGTTGTCCACCTCGGCCTATTTTAGCCCAGCCAGTGTCCTCGGGCCTCACTCGCTCTCATCCTCGATCTCCCCAGGCCGACTTCTTTGTTCGTCCGATCCCATCCTGTCTTCTCCGACCCCCCATCATCGGTCTTGCACTCCTGTCGCCGCTAACATGATCACCCCCGCCGTTAATCCACGAGACAAACAACCTGTGGGCTCTCCAGCCGTGGCCTTCACCCCTGCCATCAATCCCATGTCCTCGACTCTCTCGCCGGCTTACACCCCAAACATGGCCTCACGCCCAACCCCCATGCTCGCCTACGAGCTCGAGCGCCTCAACTTCAACAGCCCGGCTCTGCCACCCACTGTGAACCTCGAGGAGACCTTTGATCCGCGCGACCAGGCCAGCTCCACCATGGCCGCTCTCGGTCTTCCCGGCTCGTTCAACTCCCAGTTCGTTGGGCATCCATCGGCCTTCAGCTCGATGGCTGCGTTGGAGTCGCCGCTATACCCCTTCGTGCAGAGCCCCGCTGTCGTGCAAGCGCCGCCCATAGGCACTCCATATTCGACTATGAATGTCCCGTTTCCTCACTTCTCGCCGGCACTGCCGCCCGCCGATCACTCGCTCCTCAACCCCTCGACCGACCTGCAAGCATCGCTGCTCCACAGCCCCCATATCCTGCTCAGTCCCTCGGCCGGCACCTCGTATTTGCAGCCGAGCCCATATCTGCAGCCAGCTGCAGCTGCGGCTGCGACCTTGTCGGCCCCAGAGACTCTGGCCTCGACCTTTACCCTGCCACAGGACCCGAGTTTTGCCCAGTCCAACTTTTTCGACGCCCTTGACGACCCGCTGCTCATGCCAGGGCCAGCCCAATTTGTCAGCCAGCCTCAGGACGACCTCGACTTGCAGGCCTTTCAACAGCAGCCACTGCAGCTCCAACAACCACAACAACAGCAGTTCCAGCAGCAGCAGCAGCAGCAGTTCCACATTCAAGAGCAGCTCCACTTCCCACAGTCGCAATTCTATGGCGTCGGCACCCTCCAGTCGCTGCCTCAGATCATCGCCACCATGCCCGACGATGCCAATTCTGCGATCATGTTCACTCCACGAATCAGCGTGCTGTCACCGGACCTGTCTGCAATCAGCCCGCACATTTCGATGATGAACCAACAGCTCCCGCTCACTATTACGTCGCAGACGCCGCTGAGTATGCTGTCGCCTGCCCTGCTTTCCGTCATCCATACGCCGATCCAGCCCTCTCCCATCGACTCTGGTGAGAATCTGTGACTTTTACTATAACGATCAGACGCCGTTGCTCTAGCTGCGTCTCCGGTCGTGTATGCATCTGCAATGTCTGGTCGAGCATGCATGAGTAGGAAGGTGCTTTGTGAATCTAATCTCTCCGCTCGACTCGGCTTCGGCATCCATCGACCGTGTTTCCCTGCTAGAATGGTCGTATGCGGGCTCCAGCGCCTCACCGTCCCTGCTGGTCTCTGAAGAGCTCGATGCCGGCTTTGATTCAACGGAGCTGGGTGATGAGGAACTCGATTCGCCTTTGCTTGAAGATGGCGCTGCGTCTGCAACCGCAACAAAGGCCAAGCGACACGCATGCACCTATCCCGGCTGTAACAAATCCTTCACCAGGATGAACAACCTGAAGAGCCACATCGACGGTGCTCACGAACGTAAGGGACTGCTGCTCAGCGATTCTGCCTATGCATTTGCTCTGCCCCCCCCTCCTGATGCGATCTGTCTATCAGCATAGCCCGCTGAGCGCCATGGCCATGGACTTGCACCGTCGCCACTCCTGCGTTGCTGTCTCACTGCCTCATGATTTAACGCCTTTCTGCCGCGTCGTCCTCGATTCTTTCGTCGACTCGTCGAATCCACTGCGCCAATCTTGATCTGCCACAGATGTCCGCAAGTATACGTGCCCTGGATGCAACACATCCTTTGTTCGCCAACAGGACATGGCGCGACACCGGAAGCAAAACTGCCGGCAGCTCCGCCAGTCCAGCACGGTTGCTGCTGCTGCTGCCGGAGGATCGTCGCCAATAGCGCGCTATGTGTGCGAGGACTGCGGCCGCAGGTTTTGTCGACAGGTACGAAAGCCGGTCTGGTGTTGCGCGACGGTCGCATGTGGTGGCTCGACGCTTCAGTGTCCCTAGCGCCTGCATGAGATATAGATGGCAATGGTCAGTCTCCTTGGAGAGGCATGTCCTGATGTCGAGGTCCTTCGGATGGTTGCTTTTGGGTGTCTGCGGCTCTGCGATCTTCCTCTGACACCCATGCTGTCGTGGCCTTGTTTTTGCACAGGACGCTGTCCCACGCCACAAGAGAAAAAACTGCCCACGCCTCAAAGAACACCGTGCCGATGCGCCGGCGCAGGACGACGATCAGTCTATCGACCATCTGGTCAACCATCCCACCGACTACCTCCAGCAGTAGTCACATGCTGACTCGATCGGTCGCTGCACTTGTCCTCTTTGGCTGTCACACACATCAGTTTATTTCATATATGGTTACATGGCTCGTTTCTTTCGGACTTGTGTCCCCCCCTTTTATTGCCGATGCCGACGAAGCCGCCGTAGCTTATCATCCCGCACATTTTGTGTCTGTGCTGTGTTTATTTGTCGGCGCAGCGTATGGCCGTCCTTTCTTGCTCTCTTTCATTCATTTCGTCGTTCGTTCACTCATTCATTTCGTTTCGCTGTTCGTTCGTTCCGTATTGTTATCGTATGTTCTCGTTTCTTTCATATTTTGTACCTCTTGTTGCCCCCCCCCATCTTTCTCTCCGTTCATCTTCCTCTCTTTGTATTTCCATGTATAGATTCGATTTGGAGCGATTACGCCCATGGATGAGGAAGGCTTCACGGCTCCTTCCCCCCCCTCCTCTGTTTATTTGTAATCTTTGATCATCTATTTTGGGCTTTCCGGGAGGAGATCTCCATTCCAATTGGAAATGTACAATCTATCCAAAAGAAAGTGGAAGTGGAAGCACAGGGCCAAGGAAACGGAGAGGGTGAGGGGAGAGAGAGTTCACTGCTCCTTTGAGCTCAGCATCATCCAGTCGGGACAGGAAGAGGCGAGAACATGGCCAAGGCACGGGCAACAGGGCTTCGCAGGTATACTTGTCAAGCTTTTGGTGCGTCTCCCTGGTCCCGGTTTCCCCAATGCGAATGACCACGACTGCTTTCGAGATCCTCGTTCGATGCTGCGGATACTGTATATTTTGAAGTTACATCATTTTGTACATATCCCCTTGGGCTGGCCAAGACGAGCGATGTGCTGCCTTTTCCGCTCGATCGGTACTCTCCTTTGGTCCCCGCAGCGCCAATACATAGACATGATTAAGTAGCCATAGACGATCCCGTGCTAGCGGAGCGAGTTGGTTAATGGGTCATCGGCGGTCACCAACTTGCCCGGTGGCTCAAGGAGCTTTTGGCCGGGCTTGATCGGGAAACACTTCCAGAACTAACAATATAGGAACAGAGCAGAGGAGAGAGATTAACGTATGCACGGCGATTGATAGCCGGCAGGGAAGGGAGAGACGATCGGCAAACAGTTGCAGGCTCAGTTCACACCACCGACGGTGTTGCGCCATCCTCTGCTCCCTTCCCCTCACGCCCACCTTGAGGTTCTCATCGCTCGCTGCCGTCACTACTGTTTGGCCGTCCGGGCTGAGCGCCATGTGGATCGGTCGTTCCTTGTGTCCAGGCATTGTGCCGACCTGTTCCATCGACGGATAGCTCCACAGAATAAGTTGGTTCTCGTCGCGGTATTGGGCCGAGATGAGCTCTCGATACGACTTTGACCAGAGCACGGCGCAGACTGAGTTATGAAAGTGTAACGAAGATCGATCAAAGATTTAGCTAGCAGCCCACATCCGCATCTCCCTTGTCGCCTCGTGCACCATGCTACAGTGTTCCCGCACTTCCATATTTCTGACGGGGCTACTGGCAGACTT